AGTTATCGATGGGGGCCGTGCGCATGGCGCTAGGCCCGGCCGGCCAATCAGCAGAATCCTGGTGCTTGGCGGAGCACTCGGATTCTGTAGCGCGTTCAGTGTCAAGGGAACCACGGTGGTTACCGTGACAACGACTCTAAAACAGCTTCAATCAAGTTAATCTCAATCGCGACCTTATAAAACTTCAATTAAGCTCAATCGGCTGCCTCAGATTGATTGACTTGATTGATGGCATGTCTGGCTGGCGGTGCTTTGCGACCCACATCCGAAGCACCTCGCACAAAATCTCCAAGTCCAGCTACCATACGATTGATTTGCTGCCGCTCAGCAAGAGCACGCACAGTCTCGAGATGGGTCATAACCGTTTGCGACATGTCGCGCAGAAAGATGAGATCCTTTTCTGAAACCCCATCTCGGACTTTGTCGTCAAGGATGCAGTATGCGCCAATGTTCACGCCAGATGATGTAGTGATGGGAACGCCGGCATAGAAGCGTCCGTTAGGATAGCTGGTAACGTACGGCCTAGTAGATAAGTCCGGGTGCTTCGTCAAGTCGTTCACAACGAAAGCGCTTTTCCTAATGTCGTCATCTACTGCCGCAGAGATAGGGAATGAGGGGAGGTTGACAGTAGTTTCACAACAGGCAATATCGCGAGGGATAATAGAGTGGCCCATCCAGACCTCATCTCCAGGTTCATAGATCGCATCATCTTCAAGTGATAGCGTTTGTGTCGCCTCAGCCATGATATAGGCTTGATTGACATCGAAGAAAAAGATCAAACAACGGCAAGCCCTTAGCCTCAGAGCACCTAGCTGGCAGAAGGCTGTAAGAATTTTATCAGGACATGAGACAGCTTTGTGTTTCTCTCTGGCGTCGGGGTCGCGGACGTCGCAGTATTCAGGACCATAGTCAGACATCTGCCGGAATGGGCCATAGTATCTGGATGGAACCATCAACGCTGTCTAAGGGCCGTGAAACAGAATTCGGCATAGTGAATGATCGGATGAATACCGGTAAAATTGCTGCTCCCGCCTGCTCTCGCCACGAACGGCTTTTCGAGTCTCCCACATGCGACCTGGCTCGATACAAGCACCTCCAGTCTGTGCATTGTCCACAATGGTATCGACTCGACTGGAAGTACGCGTGCACTCGTGATTGTTTGGTCAATATGGCAGCATGGTGCTGGGTGAGTGGGTTGGTTATACGTGGTGGCGAAAGCGAGCGTTCGAATTAACCATAAGCGTTCGTCTTAGCACGTTATTTATCAACGGCAGCAACGGGTGGCTTATAATTTCGCGCTAACAAGGTTGGCATCGGCACTCATTTTAATTTTAAATTTCTGCATGCGTTGATAAATCCTATGCCTTGTCCGGATCAACGCTACATAGCACTCTTATCCCATGTGGTACCATATGTAACCTCTCGGCTGGTGCGCGAGCACAACCCTCTATCACCTCAACAACGAGCCCAAACGTTACCTAACTATAGCGACTCAGTCTTCGGCGGCGAGCCAATTGTGGCCCCAACCGAGCACTAGCTTGTCCATCGCACAGGCCCGTTGCTCAGCCTTCCGCTGCACGAGCGAGTATCTGTGCAGCACTACAACCCAATTTTCGATCTTTTACACGTCTATTAACTGCTGCGAAGAGACTAGGCTCCTCCAGTTCGCATTGGCTTCGCCTTCTGTTTCCTCTGCACTATCCATCCACCAGTGTGTCAGTGCAGAACGCTCAAGGTACATGTCGTCAAAGCTTGGAAAGGACAGCATTGTTATTAGGACCGACGCAACAGCGCACCAATTGGCAACAGCCGCGTACATCTCCCATACCGTCAACACGCTATCGATGTATTGATGCACCAGGCCTTCAGGCCTGCGTAGAAGCAGCTCCCACCGTCGCTGCCTGTACTATGGCAGAGAAGATACGCCTTGATGTCGCTCTGCAGCCGCGGCGTCGATCCGACGTACGTAGGTAGCGGCAAGCGTGACAGCCAGCGCACCGAAGCCGTAATCTTTCACGACTACGGGAACATCATTTTGAAGTACCTCATCATCACGCGAGAGCTTGGAATACTTTTGAACATCTCTACAGCCTGCGCCACTCCCATCTCGCCTACCTGCACGCCCTCCAACCGCGTCATGTCTCTTGCCGTGCTGCTTCGACTTGTGGTCACGACATTCAAAGACGCTGCATAGGACACGAATTGCTTGATGTTGTTGTAGCCGGCCGCTTCCCGGTCCTCAATCGTGTCGACGCCATCAAACGCTATCAGCTACGGCCCTCGCTGGCCTGCAAATCAGCTCTTCACTCCAGTCACAGCATCATCTATGCTGACTGACACTAACATGGCAGGCGTGTGAAGCCCAAATAGTGTCTGGTACAAGCGCACAAGATCGCGCTCCAGCGACTTCTTGCGCTCCGCCTCGATTCAGAACGTAACCCTGTACCCGTCACGGTGCTGTGGCACGTATTCCAGCACCAGTCTTGTCCGCCTCGCTGGTTCCCTATACCACAAGTGTCCTGGCGCCGCTGTCTGCAGCATCGCGGCTGAGCTGTGCGTTCACCTAGCCGTGCAGCAGGCGTCACGACACGTGCGCCTTATTTAGCTGCAGCGCAGCATGCGCGAAACGGCCTGCATAGTTGGGTCAGCTTGCTGCTAAGGAGTCGGCGCGTTGGGAACATTGAGGCGCAAAAGAGCCGTGGGGAACTCGGGAAAGCGCTCCCCAATAGTGACGCCGATGAAGTTGCCCTAGAAAGCCGATGTTCTACCAATAGGAAGGGTAGCGCCAAAGCGGGACCCTTTCTGGCGAACATGCGCATCGCTAGGTCGCCGGTTCCCCCGCTGGCAGGTGCATGGCGTTGCCACGAGTGGAGCTCCAAAGCGGGAGTTGCACGCAGTTAGTGATGCGCTCGTAAGCACAAGCTAGCATCGTCGTCAGCCTTCCAGCTGGAACCTTTCTTTGGGACTCTCAATTGACAGGCGGCATGCACAGATGCTGAGCCGCAGCGCAGCAGCTGAATACAAATTGAGAGGGTCGTGACTGGTCACATTGCTTGAGTCAATCCCATGGAACTGCTTACATGTGGGTTCGATCGACCTTAGCGTGCATGAACCAGATCCTGTGGTCGAAGGACCTCTAGCTGGCATGCAGTCGCAAGCGAGGTAAGGACCGACTCCACATTGGCCTTTGCCTGGTGAGTATCTAGGCATGTACGGTATCTACGATCTTGATCCAAGCAGATCTTATTCGTCAAGCACAAGTGTGTCGATGTTGCCAAGAGTCTTGTTGACGGAAACGAAGAGCCGATAGTACTCGAATTGGAGGTAAGCTGAAGTCTCACCGGCAGAGAAACGTGCAGCGACGAGCGGAAGGAACGCACAAGTGACGAATAGATCGCGAACAATTTCGATTCGCATGCTGGATTGTACGGCTTGTGTAGGAAGCGTGGCCGGTGCAAAATCACACATTCCAAGTCGCTGAGGCTAGATACTTGTGCACGCCTCTTCCATGCCTGCGCCGCGTCAAGCTTCGATACCTATCTGAGGTACCTCAGGCAAGATCTGCTGGGTTTAGAAGCCATTGGCACGGGTTGTGCACGCGCTAAGCCTGCATCGCGTAAGATTGCTGAGATGGTGGCACTCGTTCGCGGAGGACTGCGACCGGGAATAAAGGCAAATTTTGTGTTTAGAAAAGCTCAGCATGAGGTGCACCGGGCGAAGCAAGAAATCTGGAAAGTGACATGCTACGTGGAAGATAATCTTCCGCTTGTGCAGCAGGTGCGCGGCGTCTGTATCATGCTCGGGCAGTCTACAGCGAGGTCATGGTTCAGTTGCATATCGTTCGGTATGCGAAGGTTGCGTGTCATAGTGTAGCCATGCAGCGGTGCGCACAGGGACATACGAGGCCGACATGCACGCGGCAATGCGGTGTTGAAAGATACAATGCGGAAGATGCTAGCTAGACGGTGCTTATCCAGAGCCATGCTTCAGCTGCACCTTCTACGGTATGCGAGGATTACGCGTCAGAGTGTAATAATGGCAGCGACTCGATAGGTTGATATTGGAGAGTAATGCTGCTGCCATCATTCATGCTCTTTGTCTTGCCGACCGCATCTTGACCCTGGCGAGCGGTACGACTCATAATCAACCGAATTATCAAAGTCGCTGCGCTTCCGCACGAATGTCGTACTCTGCAGCCCGCACACCTAGATGATTTGGTCGTCGACTTGTATTTCTTCCGGGCAAGCAAGGAGGTGAAACTTCCCAGGTTCGACAGAGATAGCGGAAACGATAAGCGAAAGGGACTAATAGCAACAGGCGCAGGGTATCAACTTCTTGTTTCTAAGACAAGCCCGATATTTAGGGCGTCCCTCCAGGCCAGACCCCAGTTTTCTTGATAAAAGCATTGACGGTGTTGTTTACATGGAGCCAAAGAGAGATATGATCTAGGTTCTGTGATACATCAGTCAGCCACGCGAAGCTTGTAAGGGCTAAGTAAACACGATACTGGCCCTATCACGAGAATCATCAGCCACTGGCCGAAACGCTTCGATTGCCACTTTACCAACGGCTGCGTCAAAACCAACTTCCTCTGCAGATCTTATGGCGATACCCAGGTCCTTCAAGCTCAAATGAGAAACGAAAGCCCGCCGGTAACCATGACTAGAGGGTGCTTCTGCAGCCAGGCCAGGGACGGGCTGCTCCAGACTCATAACCCAAGAATTAGCCGTGCCGTCTGTCATGCACTCCCAAAGGACTTTCTTGTCAATCCCATACTTGTGGCCAAGCGCCATGCCCTACATAGAGGTGACGTTGTTGCAGAGGGACACATAGTTGTGGGTAATCTTGGCCAATTGTCCCATGCCCAAGCCGCCGCAAAATCGAATTTCATCTCGTTAGCCCACAAGAGAGAGTATGTCCCAGACACAATTACCCATGGTGTGAATCTCGATAATTCTAGCGTAACCAACCCTGAAAGTGAGTGTACCATCAGTAGCACCCTAAACACCTCCAGACACAGTCGCGTCTACGAAAGTACCTACACCAGTGTCGATAATAGTGTTGCACATGTCCCGTGTACACTCAATCTCAATAGTACTGCAATCAATAATCAGGTGATTGGTGTTCTTCTCTGCCTTGAGAACGCAATAGTCTCCAGTAGTGTAAACATTTCTCACATGCTTCCCCATAGGCAAGCTAGAAATGGCGGTCTCGCACTTATTAGCCAAACCAAGCGGCGACTCAGACACATCAATCTCTCCATAACTGCCGTACTCGTCAACAAAGGGATGGCTTACAGCAGGTGCGATGTCGTAGATGTGGAGGACGATATCGGACCCGGGCCTCATGCGCAAATTGCCAGCCATCCCGTAGCCAATCACTCTCAGACCTATGAGTCCTTCAGTCAAGTGAGCCCCAAGACTTACGATAGGCAGGAAAGGTACCGATTAAACCAACGTCGGACATCATGGTAGAAGTCATATCCTGTGCGTTGTTGTTGAGGCTCGCGCAAAAAGGAAGTGTTCGTTGAAGTTTCTCAAGTAGGTATTGAACATTACGGCTGTGCTGTTAATGCTTTATATCAAATAACGTTGAAGTTCAAAATACTTCATTCCTGATTTCGCAGGGCAAGTTGCAATATGTTGCGTGTTCGTACCGACATTCCTAAACGAAATACTCAACACATGACCGAACCTGAACTCAAAAGAGTATACTTCGGAGAATGATGACCTATTGCGGCATACATTACTACGAGCAGTATATATGCGCTTGCAAAGTTAGACCGCGCAACCAGTCGTAGACGCCAACGATTGCTGAACTGTGGGGTAACGCGTGAGCGACGGCGCTGCGCACGCTCACCCTACCAAAACAGCCACTAAGGTCCTTCTTCAACGCGTATGACAAGGCCGTAAAGTCAGGTTCGAGATCCATATTGATAACGTGCAAAGTGCATTCGACAGGTGTGCCTTCGGTAGCAGCTTTAGGAATTGGTCGCGCGTCAAGAAGACGTATAGAGTTCGAATTCGGGCGGAGGGTATGTCTTTTATATACAGTCCGTTTGTTTCGTAAGTTTTATCCTCTTTGCTCTGCAGGCAAGATCGCATCGGCCATTGTCATTGATACGTTTAGAGCGCCATGCTGAAAGATAGGTAGCGCACGACCGTAAGATGGTAGTTTTGTCACTAGATAGCGTCTGAAGATTGATGGGTTCCAATAGAACGAGGTATAATGTACAAGGCTATAAAGTATGAAGAGAGCAAGATGGATGTCGGATTTAAGAACGTGAGCAAAGATGGCTGAAGCAAACTTGCCGCTATGCCGTATGCGTGTGCGCCACGAATGCGGAGAGGAAGGAACCGACCAAACCGCATATTCGGGTCTTCGCGCTCGAGACCGACAGATCTTATCGCTGAAACCCCAGGCTGATCGTGAAGGCGTACCAAGTCATCGTCGCGCTCGGGTAGTGAATAGTGAGAGCATTTTCGGGCTGCGACTATGAGGTCTATAATGATAGCGGCGACGACGCGTGTGGGCGCGCACGCTGACGATATCTTATTAATACATATATCCGCAAGCGTAGTGTGTTCGTCAGGGTTGAGTATGAGGTGAGATACGTGAAGTGCAGATAACACGTCGTCTCTAACGGACCACTACATCGTATGACGGGCCTGCACCACGCCTCTCACCTCTATATCCTCACCCCGCGATTAGCTTTAACTCACTGGTGCAGCGCGGGGTCTCCACTAAAGACTATTATCAACGTGGACACCTTCTCAAAATGGTCGTGCACCTGCCCGATGTGTAAAAGCGGTGCCAAAGGCACACCGGACCATGCCCATATGCGTGGTTGGAGTGGCTGGGAGGAAGTGTAACAAGGTTAAGCGAAGCTGCTATGAGGTTTTTAGAGTGCTCAGACGAGAGTAAGGAGTTCGTTGTGAATGCTGAGCTTTGAGCCTCACCATGTGTCGCCTGGTATCGTGCTCTTCTTAGCGGCCTAATTAGCAACAGTGACGCATGGAATTTGATTGGAATGGAAGAATCTCAAAGCTGCCTGTATTAGCGTGATAATGATCACACAGCTCCCTTCAAGTGTTAGGTGTGCTAGTTCATAGCGCGAAGGCTAAGGTCTTGCGTCTCGATACACCTGATGATCTTATATTGCTGAACGCTTCATCTATCGTTGGACATCCGGTCGTTCAGAGATCATGATTCGTAAGAAAAGCGTCGACGAACATGATCTTCCGTGTGAGAAGGTCCCTGTTGAGCAGTATATGGTGGCAGATCGGGACACCCTTCATGCTGTGCTGCCCGAGAAGAGAATGATGCTCTCCTATGGTGATCTGTTCCATTCGAGATAACGATGTCGCTTATGGTTAAAGTCGCCGATCGGCCGGCAGCGTGGGGTGCTGGTAAGATTGGTGTTCCGTTTGGGTCAACACCGTTGATAGTCCTTTCTCGCACTATCATCGACTCTTTCTCCGACAGCTGACGGCCTCCCGCTTCGTGAGCTGCTGGAAAATCGCCCATCATCTCATAGATCGGCTGCTCGATGGCCTCTGCGTCCGCGAAAGGATCATTGTTTTTGGTGACGTTCGACTCCCCAGGTAACTCGGATTTCTGGAATACCAGTGGCCCACCAACTACGTCAGCGAAGGCTGAGTCTTCAGGGTGCTTTGATGGTGTTGTGGCTGCAGCAACAGAGGAGTAATCCGGCTGTTTTTGCCTTCGTGGTCGCTGCCATATCCACCATGTAGTCGTGGCGGCAATTAAAACAACTATGACAGCCACAACTGCTATACCCACAATAGCTCCAGTCGACAACTTCGATGATGCTCGGTCAAGGTCTTCCACTCCCGTTGTCTTTCCATACCGGGGTGAAACGATTGCAGCAATGTCTGACTGTCTGTCAGTCCAATCGCGTTGGTACAAGCCAAACTGAGAGCGCTCCCAGTCGACTTTAAGGTAGGCTTCTTGGAAGAAGGTTCGCCCAAGTGTCCACTGGCTTTCGTTGGTTCCTCGTCGAATCGGGAAATATCTCTGCGTTTTGTTGAGACCTTGGTAAGGTGATGAGGCCTGAAGATCGAAAGCAGCGTACGGTAATACAATTTGAACAGTTCTAGGAGTATCAGACTTGGTCGTCGGGCGGAGAGCGAAAGTGACGTTAGGATTGAGTCCCATGAGGATCCGGTGCGAGATGTCATCGACAAGGTAAAGGTCCGTAACTTCATCGTAAATGAGGCCAAAAGCGTCCTCGAAAATCTTGCATACTGCAACAGGAAGCCAGATCTCAGCGATAGTGGAGTCGATATTCATGTTAACGTTGGTTCCATTGAGAAGATCTATGTCGGAAGCTGATGTTGTTCGCGCAACCAGACCAACCAGATCAACCATAAGATTACCATCGGTATTTGGCATGAAAATCATGTCGTTCGATACGATGCAGGACGCGTCATATCCGCCAAGGGTCAGGCTACCAAGAGACGTCGCCTCGGTGTGACGATAGTTTGCACCTGCGGAGTAGCCAAACGACTGGCTTGGGATACCCTGCGCCTCGAACAATGCAGTGATATAGCTTGGGTGGGAAGGCTCTTCAAAGAACGTCTTCGCTTGTGACTGCAGGCCTATATAACCAAGCCAGAATTCAGGAGTAGCCAGTGTGTTATACGTGCCGATCGTACCAATAAACGTGCCGTTCACTGTAGGACCTTCTCCGTTCCCAGGTGATCCAAGGCTAACAGTTTCCAAGCCATAGAGTCCTATCATGCGATCGTCTAGGGCTAAGGGATTTTGTAATGAGAAGTAGCCGGTCTTTTGGAAGGTGGTTGATTCAGAAGTGTTGAACAGATAGCCACGGCTGCTCTCGCATTGCTGTTTAGGCATCGTTGACACAACGTGAGTCAGATTCACCATCGCGATGCTTGAGCAGGCCTGGGCATTGACAACCCACACCTGCTGGTTTCTCGTCGAAACAAGTACGCTTGTATTCCTCTGTTGTGATCCCACTCGAAGACTGAAGGTATTCCAAGCGCCATCAATGCCTGCCCAGTCCTGTTCATTTGGCGACACCACAATCGGCTCTGGAACGTGCGAAACACCTGCGAGCAACGTGTAGCCCGGCGTGTCGGTAACGGTCTTTGGGACGTATTCGGCGGCGCATGAGGCAGTAAATATCGAAATCGCGAGGAGAAGGATCGTGCCGGGAAAAGGGTGCCAGCCCAGATGAAGAGACATCGCCTAGCAACTCTGCTTGGCGCGAAACGAATGTAGAAGAATTTCTTTTGCGAAGAGAAAATGTCAAGTTCAGCCCTGCATCGCATTCCTAAGTTGCCGCAGATCGCCGCGCCTGCGCCTCGGATATTTGTGCGCCCGACCTGACATACCCTGCAGGGCGGCGGAACGATCGGGACCGCGAAACGATCGCTCCACAACTACTATAAATAGAGTCTATTAGCACTGGACTTGCAGCCATAGATGCTTAAGAACTCGGGGAAGAACTTGTCTATACGCAGGTTGCTAAAAAGGTCTGTCGTTGATCGTGTAACATTTGCTTAAACGAATTCAGAAGCGGGTGTAAGGGGGACCCGAGCATTGGGTGCACAGCTGGACGTTGGACGCGCGCGGACGCCACAAACCTACTCCGCCTCCACTATCACAAATGATGACATATAACTGCGAAGACGCTGGAAGTACTGCTACATCAAGGAGCGACCCGGCCGTTGCTAAAACCAACAGACCCTTCTGATCAGTTTTGCAACTGGAGGCCCTCCGCCAAATTCCCGCCTTGATCTTGCTACGGACACAAAGCTGAACATGCAGCGCGACGATCATCTACCGTTGAGCCAGATCCACAAGGACAAAGAGGCTTTACTAAACAGCATCGATGAAATCGGACGACTAGCTCTTGCCAAGGCGACTGACAATAAGCCCCTCCAACTGCGCTTTCTCACCCCACTTCAGCCTGATGGCCAGTCGACAGATAATAATCATGTCCATCTCAGACTAACATCAAGTAAATACCACAAGCCTGGGTTGATCTACACAACAGTCTCGTATTGTTGGGAACACGAGCAGATTGAAAGCGAAGCGATGCAACTGCCGGAATACAGAGTTTGGGATGCCTCCACGCCAAATCAGGCTGCCAGGCTGATTAGATGCCCAAAACTCGTTCTACATCGCGCCTTGCGCTTTGCTCGAGAACAAGGTTGTCTATATATATGGATCGACCAGGAGTGCATCAATCAGGATGATCCAGCGGACATAGAACAGCATCTGCAGATCATGCATCGCATCTACCAGGAGAGTCGCTGGACAATCGCGACGCTTTCTCGTACCATTACAGACGATCGGACATGGATATCCTTTTGCTGGTGGCTACGCAGGCTATTGTCCACAAGAATGGACTCGGAAACAGCTACTTATATGGAATCCCTCCAGTCCCTCCAGTATATTTCGACAGATAGGTGGTTCACTCGGACGTGGACGCTCCAGGAGAGACAATGCGCAACGTCATTAAAGTTGCTTATTCCGATTGATACACATTTACACATGCCAGAAGACATCCGATCATCTATAGTCGGAAACGACGCTTGCATAGACGCATTCGAACTGGCTTTAGCCCTGAGCACCGCGCAGCGTCGGCTCCACAGTGGGAACCACTTTGCGACGTCAGGTGTTGGAGAGGCCTACAACAAGATGTTCAAGCTTCTCGAATTTTACTCAATACCATCGCTTCCGAACAGCGGATACCGCCTTGACGGGAAGATACATCTCATCTGCGACTTCCTAAGAATTATGACCTTGTGTGACAATCTCGTCATTGCGGATCGTGTATCTATCTTCGCCAACGCTTGTGGCTTCCAGTACCGCTTGTTGTCCAATCGGCTGAATCGACCAGATATTAGCTACGTTACGTGTCTATTAGTCTTGCTCCTGGCCAACCTTTATCCCAACATCGAGGTAGGCAAACAGATGATTGTGACTTACTGGGATAACGTTCCATCTTACGACATATTTGCGGACGCATACAAGCTTTCGACGATGTTCAAGACAAAGTATTCTTTACGTCCCCAGCGGAAGTGAGTGCAAGACTACGTCGCCACCTATCGCGCTTTCCCGTGCAAAGAAGCTTCAACATCCTCGAATATAAGATAGCCCCAGACAGATTAGCTTGAAAGACTCGGGCACTTCTACAATATCGGGCAGACCGGATGTACGACGTTCGGCACCATACAGGGAAACCTTGAGGTCCGGATGAATAAGTGCATTATTTCGTTTACTCTACTTTGCCATCGTTCAGGTCCTCCGTATACATCCCAAGTAGCACTCATTGTGCTTCGATAGTCGCGTTGTCTTACCTATTTACGCTAGCACTATTGTCTTCCCGAATTATGATTTATGCACATTACACTATTTATGTTGGACGTCAGGACTGCAAGTAACAAAGGTAGAGGTGGTGGGTTGGCTGCAACATCTTTGGGATAGTGGCGCAAGCGTGTAGTGGAGTCGACCTCCAGGAATACGTATACAAGTTCGATGTACGCACCGATGCTGGGTGTAAAAACACGATGCATGACGTGCTGACAAGATGTCGACCCCAACGGCCCACTAGCGCGGATAATGCGCGCTTGCTCCCTAGGATATCGCCTCCACCTCCTCACCCCGCAATTAGCATTCACCCGTCGCGCAGCGCCAAGTCCTTATACCGCACCAAACACCACCCAAATACACGCTCAAAATGATCACCGGTCTTCACCATATCAACTTGGTGGTCCCTCCATCAACCCTGCACCATGCCAACGAATTCTACGCCTCCACCCTTGGTCTCACACCACGCGCAGTGCCCCATCTGCAGCGCGAAACGCTCGCATGGTTTGACATTGGTAGCTCAGGCCAGCAAGTCCACATCGCCATCGGCAAACCCGAAGACTTCACTCATTCTTCATCGCGCCATCCATGTTTCAGAGTAGGCAGCGTCGAACTGCTGAATGAGCTGAGAGTGAGGATATGGGAGCACCACGAAAAGGGAGGAGAGAGTGCGCCTTTGGAAGCAGATCGACCTGGAGCGAAGAACAGTGGGGCTGAGGGTGTAGAGTATCCCACAAGGTTCTTCACGAGGGATTTTGCGGGAAACAGGTTGGAGTTTAGTGTGTGAGATGGAAGTAGGAATAGGAATGAGATTGAAGTTTCGCTCTAATCGCCATGATAATACTACCAGCAACACGCACAAGGCTACATGGAAGTTGGGGAGATAACAGCAAGTCTATCTCAAACCCACAGCATCGCAGCGACTATTCCAACAACAGTCATCAAGTTGCACAATCTCACTCCCAACATCCCCGCACCACTCTTTGCATTCAACTTGACAACTGCACCAGGAAAATTGCATGTCAACCTATCCGGATCCTCATCCCTCTTCCCATACATGCTATCCCTCTGCGCGCCATTGGGGCACGAGAAGCCCATCTGCGCGGGACAACTTCTCACAATATCAAAGCACATATCTTCACAAGGTTTCATCTCCTTGTACGGACCCGGCTTGATAATCTCATCAATCAGTGGGTTCCTCGACTTGCTAAACGCAGCGCTATCGTTGAAACCGGGTATCATGTCCGGTAGCGAACCATTGGCAAACGGGGTCTTAATGTTGCGAGGAACGAGCGAGGAGTCGTTTGCGGTCCAGTCTTCACATCGCGGCATTAGGACCATGCATAGCCAGGACTTGTAATCTCGGGCGCAGTCGTCGCATGTTCGTGCGAGCGAGTATTGCGCTTCGGAAGTTGTGTCGCAGGCGACTTGCGCTAACGACTTTGTGAAGTTGTCGTAGTAGTTGCGGGCTTGGGTGTCATAGATTTCGGCGAGGGCGGTGTCGTTGAGCTTGTACTTTGTGTTGGAGGGTACGGCGTAGGCGACGGTGTCGCAGAAATCGAGATCGAAGAGTACTTGGCAGGAGTCGTCTTGATGAGTTGTTAGCATGTTCGTCTGTGAAAAGAGTCTGGTTTACTCACCCGCTTTGGTAGTCCAATTGAACGCCTGGAAGACCCTTCCTCCACCTCTCGTTGTGCCCACATTGTCTATGTAGAGTGGCTCTTGGCTCCCCTCAACAACCACAAAACCATTGTATGTCTTTGCAGCCTGCAAATTCCTGACGTGGAACTGACTCTTGGGCATGAAGTCGTCACCACTGAATTTGGTCGTGATGCTCGTATCAATAGTGAAGTTTCTGGTCGTGTTTACGTTGAACTGCTCCTTAAGCGCGCAGTACGAGCGTTCTAACCCCGTGATCGGAGTCCACTCGCCATCTGGAAAAGCATACATGTGGAAGGGATTCTGCTCTCTCCATTTGTCGACATCTTCCGTCCTGTTCGAGTCACCCAGGTCATACGTGATAAATAATGTCGACTCGCTGTCCGTGTCGATCATGTAGAGGAAAGGGTCTGACTCGTTGTGATTATGGTAGGGTCCATCGGTGCTTGCCGCGAGTTCGAAATGCCAGCTCCCGAACCAGTCTTCTTCAAGCTTCGGTGCGCCAATCCCAATGTATACATCCGACGTAGTGTTGAGCTCAAAGCTGGCGTAACCTCCGTCGAAGAGCACACCAGTTATGTTGGTGAGGGTATTTTGCGTCGCATCTGGGCCTGGTCGTTTGTTCCGCGGCGATGTAGAGACATACATGACCAGCTGTGGGTGGTTCTTCATTGCGTCCGTCGTGTTTCCGTTTGGCATAGGCTGTCGGCAGGTGTTGGCCGTTAGCCAGACGCGACTGCGACCAGACTGCCGCTTTTCCAACTCTCCCACTTCCTCACCCATCATCTTGCCTTCTGTTCCCGGCGCAACGTCATCTTCCAACCCTGCTTCGTCAGAAGCGTTGTCCGTTCCCCGTGCTTCCAGAGCTTCCATGGGAACGTCAAGAGCACTCCTCAAGCGCAATTGACCATTTTCAAACACGAAGTGCATCATCTCCTCCGGATTGATGTCCTTTTGCATCCCCTCGTTGTTGATCAGCTGTTCCAATACATCTGCCTGTCGTCCGATCAAACTGCGGTCAAGGTAGGCAAAGTCTGGCTCATAGCCATCAGTCTCCCCCCTATCGAATCCCCCATGTTCGATCCGTGATATATCCCCGTTGGGTAGAGCGTAAAGCACGGGGCTGTCAAGGACGTCGTGGTTGGGAGTTGCGATGACTTCGGCAGCGTAGGCGACAGGTATTGAAGACGTCCATAATGCGAAACATGCACCAGTGGCGACGAGGTGTGTGAGCAGTTTCGACCGCAGAGGTGAAAGCTTAGGGCGTTGCATTGCCCTCTCCGCTGGCTTATCGATAGAACTGGGGCCGCATGAGCATTTGGTGAGCGCAAAGGGTGCGCTGTGAGATGAACGAGCGTCAGGCGATCGCACGTAGGAACAAAGCGATGCGCACAAATGACAATGCGATTGAGGACGTTAAGGGTGGAAGGTGAAAGAGTGGTGGGGCGCGGGCTGTCACGTATGTGGCGCAAGGGTCGCGCGAAGTGAAGGTAGCTGTGCCCTGCCAAGACATGTGGCTTCCCGCTGTCGGCCCCCACGTGGGTGTTCACGATACGAGCAACCAAAAACACTTGCGCACGACACCGGATTGTAACAAAGCACTCATGAGGAAATGCATCATCAGTCATCAAATTGCATTGCGTAATATGAACAACATCCATGTTGGAGGACAAATGCCTTGACGGCTATGTACAGTGCATCCTCCAACCGAACTTCCGACTTGACAAACACTCAGATATAAATCTCCGTTTCGCTTCGCTTTACACAACTTATGCGAGAGCAGGGTTGGCATTCTTGAGCAACATCTCGAAGTATGCTTGGAACCAAGTGCCAGCTTCGGGCGCAGGCTTGAAAGCGGAGGCCTTGCCGCAGAAGCCGTCGTAGCGAGCAGCAGATTGGTCAGAGGTACCATCAGACTACAATGTTGTTAGCACATCTCGTATTAGGAATCCATCAAGAACATTTCACATACCTCGCCACCGGGCTTGACCCAGACAAAAGCATCGACAAGCGCGTTGTCAGTGTTGGTAGTAGGACGGATACCGAAACCAGCGCCCGAAACATTGCACCAGTCTCCCCAAGCCTGCTGACCGGTAGGCTGCTTACCGCTGCGGCCAGTATCGACGATGAAGTGGGCTGGGAAGCCTTCGGCGCGGAGCAAAGGAGCGAAAGCATTGATGAAGCGCTCCTCGTCGCAGTTCTTGCTTCCTTGGGTGATGGAAGGGCATGTGGCGATGCGGAAGGCGTTGTAGTTACTGACGTTGGTGACAATACCACGGACAGCGCGGGGAGAGCCAGCAGCCTTGTAAACCTCAGCGTAGAGTTTTGCGGCTGGGCCAATGTTGGCGTCCCAGCCTAGCCAGCCAGCATGGCCTCCGTCGAGGTACATGTCGACATTGGCAAAGTTGAGCTTCTTGAGGGCGTAGGCGGTGAGGTCCTTGTAGGTGGAAGCAGCGTTCGCGCACTTTTGTACGCCCATGTTGGTGACCATGTTGGCCAAGGAGTCGGGCTCAATGGCAAGGTTGATCTTGACGTCAGGGTACTTCTGGATAATGGCAGCGATCTTGTCGATGTACTGGGTCTTGTACTTTTCTGCACCACCCTCGTTGATTTTGAGCTCACCGTTGGAGGCGAGGGCAGCGCAGTCGCGGTCAGGCAGGTCATAGACGACAAAAGTACCCATCAGCTTTGCACCCGCAGCATTCTTGGCTTTGATGTCTGCCAGGTAGGTGTCCATGGTAGGCACCTTGGCCATCGTGTCCATCCATACGAATGAACCGACCTTGGCAACGGCAGAAGCAGCGGGCTTCAGTGACGCAGCAAGCGATGGCATCGCCAGAGTGTAGACCTCGGACGAGTAGTATGGGTTGGCGTAGAAGTCTTTGCCGGCGAAGGGGTTTCCGGTGGCTGCTGGAGCGGCCGTCGTCGTGGCGCGAGTAGTGGTTGTAGACCTTGTGCTGGTTGCTTGAGGCAGGGCCTGAGCCACGCCTGCTGCGAGCGCAGCAGTGAGAAGAAGGTTAGATAGCATCTTGACCGAAGGGGAGACTATGAGATGGAGTGCGTGAAGAACAACACCGCCTGGCGTAAAGACATATTTGTATGTTCGAGCTCAACCCGGGTGCTGGCGATCAATGAAGCCTTCATCAAATCCAAATTACTTCAGCCGGTGTGAATGTCCGTGATGCCGCCGTTGATACGTTTCAAAACTTACCAAGACAAAGTATCGGTCATTTGGTATGTCAAAGTGGTACCTGCGCCCCCAGATCTTCTCGAAGCATGCAGAGAACGTGCAGCCTCATGACTCGGCCCGCCTCCACATTTGATGAAAGTGTATTGCTGGGGATATGCTACCAACGGGTACTAGGCAATGTCCTCCGGTGCCGAGCAGGGTCCTAGGTTTGGCAACCGGTGGCTCTTCGTGGGTGCAAGCTTGGAGTACTTGACGTCTGCTAGGGCGAACGCAAGACTGAGGCTGACTAGGGACGTCCGGGTACTAGATTGTCTTGACTTCATATATGAACGCTGTCGCGCTCATGGCGACCGGTCCATGCGACCACAATGGTACTTAGCGCAGATGTGATAATGGGCGGGTAGGATGTGGTTGGGTACAGTCGAGCCATGGCAGAGCTCGGCTGCTTTGGCCATTAGTGCGCATCAACACAAGCTTTCGCGTTGTGCCTCCACCACAGCATCCTCCCGAGTCTCGCAACCTCCATTACAATGCGACATCATTCACTCCAAGATTCTTCGATGTCGCGACGTAGATGCCGCCCCCCACGAAGCGATTACCTGTAACCCGGTTCAGTATATGAGTACAGGGCTCAGCGCTGGCTCGCGAGGTTGTGTTTCCCGGTTCACCTCGGACGGATTAATCTATTGTGCTGCGGCATGTAAATTGCTCGCGCTGCCAATCAAGGGGTCTCATGACGTCGCATCAGTAATTACTTGGGACTACGAGGCTTCAGAACGAGCAAGTTGTTGATTATGGTCTGCTTGATGTTCGCCCGCTAATCTAGTTTTGTTGATCACTCAGTTGAACTCGCCACCACATTTCAAGGTCGGGTCCAACTGACTACGCCCACGATACCGTAGCATACGTCTCCGTAGTACGTGCCGTCGAGAGTGCTGTAACAAGCCGTACCCGCAACGTACACGCAATTCTCCAAGACACTAGGGTTACACATGGATTGTATCAAGGACTGCGTAGACTCGTTCTGCTATGTCGGGTTTTCCAATGAGGTCTCAATTACGTCGTCTAATATCAGGCAAACAGACATATTTCGTACCGTATGCACTTGTTGCCGTAAGCGCCTCATACATATCGCCTATTCATGTGGAGAGACCAGGTCTTTGATAGTATCCCTAACAGTCTTTTCCAGCCCATCAAATCCCGATCTACCCATATCCTTTAGCAACGTCTCTGCCTCATCCCTCGGCCCAATCAAGGCAAGGTCGTGGTCCAAACCAGGTATATCATTGGGAAAACTGCGATCCGGACAAGTTTCTCTGAAAATTGCATGGAGGTCGTTTATGGTGTATACTCCGCCGATTGCAAAAATGCGTTGGCTCTCTACTCTTGGAAGAATCAAGCCGGCAACGTGTAGTCGTGCGACATCTTCGACGCTTGTGTAATATGCTGTAGTAGGTTTGTTAATATCGAATTCAGTAAACGTATGTGAGCACAAGAGACTCACAGTGGTGCAAGTAATCCATAAGTCCAGGTTTGCCTTCGAAGTACTTTACCAGGCCCCCTGCGGAGGACGGGTAACCTTGGTACTGTACAGATATTGGCTGTCCGAATATGCCAGGCGGAATAACTAGCTTTGTGTCAACAGAGGAAGTTAAGTAGTACGCTTGCGAATCAAGATGGATGCTCACCTGAGTTGACCACGAGACATGGCTTATTCTGCTCGACCCAATCCCACAGTGCCTTTTCTGTCATGGCCTTAGCTGCTGCGTATACAATCATACCCTTTTTCACTTCTGGGAGCGAATCGGGCATTGATCGCGCTAACTTTATCGCAGTCTCGTTGTACTCGTTAGCTGTCATTACTCCAGCTCCAGGTCCTTCGATTTCCTCGATTTGTCGAACGGCCAACGCGGCGGATGTGAGCACGAAACGAAGTACACTGGGTTCCTTGGCCGCAGCTTGTAGAACGTTTAGAGTGCCTCCAACGTTGGCGTTTATCACACCTTGTGGATCGTTTGTCATTGAGACGTGCGCGGCTACATGAGCGACTCCAGTAACACCTGCATCAATTCAGACTTGTGCGAGTTATTTAGTAAGGGAAGAACCTAACAAACCTTCCAATGCGCTGTCGAAAGCAGATGGTCTAGCCATGTCCTCGACTTGCATCAACTCGAATCTTCCCTGTCCATATCTTTTGTTGAACAGCTCCACTAGCCAACCATGCTTCTGCATGTCTCTCACAGTTCCGCGAACCTTGTAACCAGAGTCAAGCAGACGATCAGCTACGTGAGAGCCTACGTAGCCATTGACTCCGGTGACAAGAATAGTGAAGCCAAGAGGGAGGGCAACCTCTCTGAATGGTGCCATCCTGTGATAGGACGAATAGATAAGAGCAAAGTAAAAGATTCGCTGCAGTAGAGTTTCGAGTATGCGAGTGGAAGATATTGCTTTTGGAGCATATTTATAGACAGTACCTGGATTGCACATTCACTGCCAGCCGTGTTCCAAGTTCTCTCGGAACCCGAATCTCGCGAGAAGGGACCCACAATAGGAAGAAGATAAAGGCTAGTCCGCTGCAGCATGTTTACCTCGCTTTATGTTAATGCCAGATCAATAGCCTTGCACAGGTCCGGCTTGAACTAAGCATCAGAGCCAATAGGTAAAACGCAAATGCTCTGTTAAAGCGGATTATTCGGTAGAAAAGAGACACATAATTAAGTTATGATCATGCTAGATAGGGGTGAGGATTAGGTTGTAGTATGGATCGAGAATGAGACGAGCTGCTAAGCTTCCTAAGTCAGATGAAGTCCTCACGTGATGCTCATCAAAGGATGGCACGGTGCCAGTGTCAGTGCGAACTTCGGCGATTCGGTGTACAACATGAGCGACTCGGGCTCTCGCCCACATGCCAAAGCCGGGATGAGGCTCATTGTGGGGTACCTCAACAACAACACATCTAGGTCCACAATGTTGATAATCAAACATAAAACTTTGAGAGTCTGAGAATCGTAATCGCGATGTGTAGAGATATCATTTACAACCAAATCGTGTGCTATATCGACACTGGGATGAGTGGTTGTTCAAACACCCAACCATAAGCTTGATTCCAGCTTCCGCACGTTTGGACGAGTTCCAGACATACCTAAGAAATCTAGGTCCTTTGTAGAACTTACGCTAGAATGAAGATTCATGCGAACTGACTTGGCTGGTAGTTAGGAAGGCTCGCAGATAAACAGGGCTGAAGGGACCCACAGTATATGTATATGACAATAGGAATCGTTCATCATCACGGTACACGGTAAGCATACTTATCATCTGGTATCGATCGGATGCAGTCTTCTTGGTAGTATTCTGTCCTTAGACGTCGTATTACTCACAGCAACATGAATACCCGATACAGAAGATAACCTCGAAATCATTGAAGTGTATACTACATAGTGTGATCTATAACAAAGACCAACTTTTACAGTCTTTCTTCGAAATCGCATATGTTGATACAAGAAAATGCCAAGACCCTCCAAAACAAACGCCGCCCATATGCTCAAAGGGTATCGTTCGTACCGAATGCTTTTGATCGCTGGAACGGAGCCGAACCAGACATGTCCCAAGAACGCCATTTCAGTTGTTCCACCTTTTCATCACGCAGATACCAACGGCCCATGGAAATCCCTCAGCGTAGCGACCAGATCGTCTTCGCGCATCAACTGGAGTAGCAACTTCTCCTGGACCTCCTTCCACTTCCTCAAGTCGTCCAATTCACGCGTACTCAACCACTTCTCTTCGTTTCCCACAACATCTGACCGCTCCGCTTTGGTGAGCGTGAACTCGATCTTCTCTCGCTCGTAGGCTATACGCTGAAGGATGCGAACCATACCCTTGTATGTGTCGTGTAGTAACTTTTCGCGGGCGCGCTGTCGATCGTACCACACCAGATGTAACGAGTGTTTCGCCTCGCGTCTATCAACTTTGGGGATCTCTTGCGTTTGTACGAAACCTTGGATGGTGAGGTCGTTGACGATACCGCGGACGTCTGCGGCGGACATCATCATGACGTTGCACATGGCGCGTTCGTCCAGTTTGCCCTTTTTGCGCAACGCTCGAACTAGCTTCACGCCTAGCGAGCCTTTCCTGGCTGAGATTGTGTTCTCGACTTCTGTTTGGATCATCTGTCGGGCAATTTCGTCGAATTCGATGTGCCATTGTGAGAAGCCGGCGCGTGAGTGCCAGGTGACAAAGTGGAATGGGTCTTCGGCGAGCATCTGGATGTGTTTGTCTACAACTTTGGTCTTTTCTTCCATGTTGAGCTTCGCTGGGTCCGTTGGTTGCGTCCAGATGTTGGTACGGTTCACGTGTCCTTTGCGGGTGATTTGTACTGCGGCGTTGGGGTCGATACCCTCGAATATGTCCAGATCACGTTCGCGGCTGAGCTTCGTTGCGACATCGCGCGCTGTTACGAGAAAACGTGGGTCGATTGAGTTCTCTCCAGGTTCGCCGCCAGGTAGGGGTGGATCAGGCCACTCTTCCCAACAACGAGGTGTCTTGGACTCTAGCATGCGCAACATGGTCTGGTAAACGCGTGCAGTAACAGGTCCTAGACGTTGCTCTACAAGGTGTACCAGCTGCTCTGTCCGCATGGCGACTGCAATCTTCTCCGGGTTAACGCGAATAACGAGATCGTCATCCGATGATGGCGTCGCGTACCCATTTGCACCGTTCATTTTCACGCGCTTGTTGGCACCATTCACCTGGCCGCTCTTCGCAAACTTCGGAACCGTGAGCCATTCGTCGCGCATTGCCCGCTTACGTTCCAGAGTTCCTCTATTGACAACATCTTTATCTTTCGTGCCAGTAGGTGTGATGCCTGCGTTATCCTGCTCTATGGACTCTTGGTAGAGCATGTCGTGCATATCACCTGGTGAGAGGTATTGTGTTTCGGTCACCGTCCTGACCCACCCGCGCTCAATCAGTAGCTGGATGAGCTCGTACAGCTCGTCAACGGAGGTGATGTCGCTGTCGTCCTGCTCTTGTCCGGGTTCCTCTGGAGCGCCATTATGGGTCACGCTGTCCACCTTGGAAGGCTTGTGCACGCCGTTGGTCTTGCCGTGGCCGTTGGTGAGTGCTGAGGGATCCGGTTTTGCATCATTCAACTCAGAAGGTATCCCATTCGCGACACCGTTCGTCTTGGCCGTTCCGTTGACGTGATTGCCGTTGGTTCGCTTCCGCTTGGAGCCGGCTCCGTTCGCAGCGCCGTCATCTGACTCATCGTCGCTTTCGGTTTCAGGCGGAAAATATGCTTCTTTCAAGTCGGCGATGCGTGTGTGGCCGAGGGCGAGCAGGTTGGACATGACATTCGCGGCCTTCTTGCCGAAGCGGTCTTGGACGAGCTTGACGACCTTGCCGAAGCGGACGATTGCGTACGAGTTTTGCCAGTCGATCTCGTAGTAAGTCAAGGGCGTGTCGCTGCCGGAGTGGAAAATGAGGTGCTGCTGCAGGAGGATGACGAGGCCATACTTGATCTGTCGCCCGTTCAAGTAGGAAGCGCGAGCGATAGATGCGAGACTCTGCCGTCCATGGCGCGCGAGGATCGAATAGACCCGCTGTGAGTAGTTAGAAGAGTGTTCTTGAATGCGCCCGTCGCATGTCTGAGTTCAGAAGATTCCTGCGCTCGAACGCGGCAGTGCGCAAAAGGGTTTGTTCGGTGAGACATACAGCCGCGAGTTCACCGTAGACATCCTCGACCAGGAAGGTGCAGAGTTCAGCAAGGACCTGGAGGATTGTTGGTTATGATTCATTTGCGAGGCGCATCGGCGGCGCATCTTACCGGAGTCTCTCGCTGGTTGTAAGACATGTTTGAGCCTAGATATTTGCCAGATATCTAGGATGAGGTAATGCTACCGTTGATACATTGGTGGGAGCGCAGCAAAGTCAGGAGTATGGGGGTTCCAGAAGGTGGACTATAGTGGTGGAAAAGCGATCCCAGAAAATGATAGCGGGTGGGGTGGGTGACCGTTCCTTCCCAAGCTCCGGCCAATGGAGGAAGGAGCGTTCGCACTTACGAGTCTTGGCGGGCTACGAACTTTGTGACGAGCATCTCGACTTGCCTCACCACCAGACGTCTTTCCATCCATTGCCGTCCCCCACCACCGAATCAGCCCTCCGCCCGGCGCCTACCATACGATGCTCTCCCGAACGACCGCCTGCCGGGGCGCGCAGCGTGCAGCCCGCCAGCAGCAGCCCGTTTCCCGCTGCCAGCGCCGCGGACTTGCTGCCCCAGCTTCAGGCTCCTTCCAGTACCAGTCCGGCGAGGCCAAGGGCGTCAAGTACGCCAGCAGAGACTTTGCCGGTCCTACCACGACACTTGCCCTGGTCGCAAAGGCCGGCACGCGCTTCCAGCCGCTGCCCGGCCTGACCGAGGGTCTTGCCAACTTCGCTTTCCGGGTACGATGAGAACATGAATTGCGAGATGCTATGGGAGAGCTCGACTGACGCTCATTGGAATTGTAGGGCACCGAGAGACGGTCGACGCTGCGCATTGTTCGCGAATCCGAGCTCCTGGGCGCCAGCCTCAACGCCCACCACTCCCGCGAGAACCTCGTCCTCGAGGCCAAGTTCCTCCGCGATGACCTGCCCTACTTCGTCGAGCTGCTCGGCGAGGTCGCCAGCTCCACCAAGTACCAGCGTAGGCAACACCCGTGTTTGGACATGGCATGATGGAATTGACACAGTGCAGCCCACGTCTACGCCGAGGAGGTCCTCCCCATGATCCACTTCGCCCACAAGAAGTTCCTCGCCAGCGTCACCGACATGGCCACCCAGTCCGCCCACAGCCTCGCCTTCCACCGCGGCCTCGGTGTCCCGACTGCCTCGGCCGCGCCCACGCCATACACCAAGTACCTCGACGCCGAGACCATTGAGTGGTACTCCAAGATCGCCTACGCGAAGCCCAACTTTGCCGTCGTAGCCAACGGTGCCGACCACGGCGAGTTCTCCAAGTGGATTGGCGAGTTCTTCGAGAATGTCCCCAGCGCCCCTCTCCAGGAGTCCAACATTGGTGCAGACCAGTCCAAGTACTTCGGTGGTGAGGAGCGTATCGCCCACGATGGCGGTAACGCCATGGTTATCGCCTTCCCCGGCTCCAGCTCCTTCACTGGCAAGTTCTACAAGCCCGAGATTGCTGTCCTCAGCTCTCTCCTCGGTGGAGAGTCTGCCGTCAAGTGGTCGCAAGGTTTCACCAAGCTTGGCCAGGCCGCTGCTCAGGGTGCCAAGGTCAAGACCACCAGCGCCATCTACTCCGACGCCGGTCTTCTCTACACCACCATCACCGGATCCGCCAAGGCTGTTGCCCAAACTGCCCAGGCCTCCGTTGATGCTATCAAGAAGATTGCCTCTGGCGAGATCTCAAGCGAAGAGGTCTCCAAGGCAAAGGCTGCCGCCAAGTTCAAGGAGCTCGAGCACGGCCAGGACATCCGCGCTGGTTTGGAGCTCACTGGTAACGGTCTGATCCACAACACTCAGCCATACCAGATCGACGAGGTTGCCCAGAAGATCGATGGTGTAACAGAAGAGGCTGTCAAGAAGGTGAGTCTTTCCAACTTCATGAGTATCGTGTTATATGCTAACAAACACGTCCAGGCTGCCAAGGAACTGCTCGAGAACACCGCCTCAGTATCATCCGTCGGCGATCTCTTCGTACTACCATACGCTGCGGACCTCGGCCTCAAGGTGTAAATACAGTGATTATGTAGCGCAGTTAGATGGAGAATCTCGTTTGTGTAACATTATCTTGTGATAGTCCCTGATAGATGCATCTCGTATGAGAGTTCTTTTGTTCAGCGCCTTGAATTTCTGGTCTAAAGTGTTCATGTGTGCTGCGTGAGACTATTGATGAATTCTCCTTGACTCCAAAAGTCATGCTCAAAACCTACCTCCGTGTATTGAAGTCGGACCAAGCCTCCCACGTGCCAGCGCGTCAACGCACAGACCAATCCTCACGACATGGATGTCAACCCAAACACGTTTACCTGCACCCCACCCAACAAGCCCCCACCGTAGCTACCACGAAATAAATCCTCCTTTATACTGCATATTGACCGGCTGGCAATAACCCTCCAAACAGCCTACGCAAAATCATGGCGCCGACCCTGTACCCCCGCGGCACCGTCAAGAAGATCGTAAAAGCGCATTCGAACAGGCAGATAAGCAAGAACGTGGATATACTGGTGCGTTGAAACGGTGGGAAGGGATTGAAGAAGTCAATGAATGAAAGATTAACTTGGAACACAGATTTATCTCAACTACGCGCTGTTTATGCAAGAGTACGTACCTACCATGCATTCCACGATCCGATGTGATACGACAGGATACGGCGCGCCCGATACCTGGAGTTGCCGACATCATTCGACACAAAATGATAACGGAAAGAGCGCCGAAAACGGGACTATGTTTCCGCGGATATTGGGGAATACAATGAAGATTGAAGGAGAAGGATAAACAGGAAGGAATGAAGGCTGACAGAAATCATAGGTTGATAAACGAAGCGAGTATCAAGAGCAAACAACGTGGTGAGAGAGGTATGTCCGCGAAGAGTGTGAAGAGGGTTAGCGAGGATGTGTTGAGGAAGTATAAGGGTTGAGGTGTGTTGGCTGAGAGTATGGAGCGTGCGTTTATTTGGTGCGCAGTTTACGGTGAACGGGTTCGGGACTTGGAGCTCGGTGATCTGTTAGACATTCACCAAGGCGTTTTGGAAGGGACTGTGGTTGAATGTTTATGATACCCAGGCGATTACCGCAGGCGTAATGGCAAATCATGTTTCGTTAATTCAATGCTTTCGGGGGTCACGGGGAAGATTGGAGAGCATAGGGTGACTGCCAGAGATATCGTCGTCCTAGAGTTTGCAAAAGACGTCTAGCTGACTGTAGACAGGGCGAGGCGGGGAAAGCCACTGCAGTAGATGTATAGATGTTACGTCTGGGCTGGAATGATGTGGATCCCCGTGGGTCGTTGATCTTGTCCACAAACTGCTCACCCATCGTGCATAATGTTCAAATCAAAGGGTATAGTTGTATGGAACTGATGTATGTAGATAACCGACTAGGTGGTAGTTCGCCAATGCTTCGATGCACCCAGGACATTATCAGTGGATCAAAGATTCCGCACTCCACCTCGATGATGCATCGGTTATTGTGAAGAGCATGCAGGAGACTGTTGGGGTTAGACGTACAGCAGAGTCCTGGTACTAGTATCGGTGTTACAATAGCGTCCATTCCGGCTCCAGTCAAACGTACGTTTGCAGATGTGCAGGCTATGCTTCCTTTAATATAGAGCCGTTGCTTTGCTCATCCCATAGTGATAGCCAGGTAGCTTAGTTAGAGGTGAGACTGATAGGATTATGCCGCGATTTATCACGTTATGTCTTCGATACAACTAAGTTGAAATGCTACAGCTCTCTTCATATGACGAACTCAATCTTTTATCGAGGTTACTTCTTTGAGATTCCTAGGTTCGCGCCTTGACGGAGGCTCTCAATCCTCCCGCAACTCTTACCAACCGTCATTTCCCACTACACTCTTGGGCTTGCAAAGACGCGTATGTTAATCAGATTCGCTGCGCAAACCGAAAGTTTTCGGGATTGATTCTGCGAACACGCACGGTAGAACGCAGTAGATATCTATGAGCACGCCAACAGATGAACGTTCAGATCGCACTACTTCACATCCTAGCATCCGCTACACCTAACTCAAAGTGTATCGTTCGTATGCCTTGCGAGTTTCACAGTGATTGCGCAGTGAGGTAGGGCTGAATTGTGTCGCTGCAGTCGCGCGGCCATTGGCCAGCCTGCAACTTCGCGTCAGCCACCTTACTGTACCAACAAGGGCAAAGTACTTGGTGCCCAGCTAACTACAGTAGATATCCTCGTTCCTTCGTTGCGCTTGCAGCTAAGGAAAGAATACCCTTGGTAACATGGATGCGTGCCGCAATACCGTTTATTACGTGTTGTAGTACGGCACAGTTAACTACGCCGTCGGAGTACCCGCTAGCGCAGAACCGAGTTAGCCTCTACAGTAGCGGGTCAATCAACGCCCCGGGTCAGTCAACGCCCCACCCACAACACAACAGCTTCATGAGTATTGCAGCTGTAACGCCTTAACAAATTGTAATAATATTGCGCAAAAGTGGATTTATACTATATAATAGCCTGCGAAGACTTTGCGCTAGTCTAAATCTTTTTTTGGGCGGCGGATTGTCCGCGTTTTAGTGGTTTTGGGCGGAACTAGCTGTGCAACTACCCGGGCTCCCACAGAAGCTGTACCACCCCTAACACGTTTCTAACGCTTTGTAGCTAGCTTATAAGGTTTTAAAGCTTTGCGCTTACCCTTTTAGGGCAATTGTATAGCTTTTTAAGCGTTGTTGAGTCTCCTTTAGAAGTCTCTTTCTGCTTTCTCTGCAGCCTTCCGCTTTCTAGTTGTGAAGATCGTCCGAGGATGATCTAGGGTTGGTTCTCGGGGAATGAGTGGGCGACGATGGACGAGAGGGTTGTACTAGCACGATTGGTAGATCGATATAATAGTACGGGGTGTGTTAGCACGATTGGTAGATCGATGTAATAACACGAGGGGTTTGAGAATCAAGTAGTAATCCTTAGATTGAACTATAAGTCGAAGTTGAACACACTGAGCTGTAAGAGCTCCTTGCCTAGTACTATATACTCAATGAATGTCCTACATGTCCTACATGTCCTACATGTCCTACACGTGGTACATTGTAGTACTCCGTGGTACATCGTGGGACACACGTGACTTTGTCCTACAGTGGCTTTCCGCCAAGACCGTGGGATCACGTGCCCTGCGGGGTGGCGTCATCTATTGGCCCTCAAAGTGCTGACCTCCAGGCCGACCCGCCTGGGTGTTTCCTGTCATCCTTTTCATACATAGATTGCAGGTTCCCTTCCTTCAGGTTCGTAACACTAGTCTCCTCCTAACCTCTTTCCCGTTTAATACAGGCTTCTTTTTAAAGTTAAAGCTTACAAAGGCGAGCTGCCTTATTAGCCTCAGCTTGCTCGGCTTTTTAAAGCTTTTTAAGCTCCTGTTGTTATTGTTGTAATGCCTAACGATCGCGAGCTTGTTGTACACTCCTAGGCGACCAGAGTTTAGCTCCCCCGTAGTAAACCTCGTCCTCATCAAGCTAGAGGGTAAAGGACTGCTTTAGTCGCCTCTCCTTAATAGCTAGGGACTGCCTAAGGCCCCTAACCTCCTTACGGAGGATACTGTTTTAAGCTGCAATGTAGTGCAAACTTCGTTAAAGCTTCTTAACGTCCTTACTGCTCTAATCCTTCACCTCACGGCGTACAATTAACTTAAGCTTAAGCCAATCCTCCCTAGAGAGTACTAACTGGCTGCTGTTAGAATCTGAAGCCTCCTTAGCAAACTTCTTAAGTACAGCGTCTAGGTTAGCTAGGTGTATACTAGTAGCTTCAAAAGACCTCTTAACGAGTAGAGGTTTAAATACAGAGGTCTAGGACCTCTAGAAGAGCGGGAAGAAGTCTCCTTTAGTCAAATTAAGCAACCCCTAGCTGTCCTAAAGGTATCTAGCTAACTAAGTTAAGTAAGTGTTTGAGAGGGGTTTAAACATACAAACGTTAAGGGGTTAAAGCGTATAGGTAGCGTGAGGGGGGAATACAAACAAGAGGATATTGTTGTCGTTACAATACTTAATAAAGTCTATAGTTACATGGGATCTGTGGCTGTTAAGGAGTAGTAATCGATACCCGGTTAAAGCATGCCGTCTAGTTTCTCTCTTAAACACCCCCTTAAGCTAAGCTAACCCAATATCGTTGTTGCTCTAGCTAGAGGGTAATGACGTAGTAAATACTGAGTGCTCCCCTGCTTATACAGCATCAACCCAGCTTAATTGAACAGCTCCGTTAGCTCCCTAGAAGATAAGAGTAGGACTTAAAGCTTTGCTATCTGAACAAATACAAGCCATTACCGTTATCCACTCGCTTGAGCCATCTTCAAGTGCTTGCCTTACCCCTTTTTGCTCGTAGAGCTTCTTGTCAAATATACGATTTGTTCTGCCAACTCGGCCAAGTTGAAACCCCTTTTCGTCCATATTAAATATATGGATCGGCTGTACGTTGTACTCCTCTATCTTTTCATGTAAAAGCTTAAAATACAAGCTGTACTTGGCTCCTGAATCAGCTTTGGTCCGCTCCTTAGCCATGGCTTTGCCCGAGCGAGAGATGAGATGGTTGGGATGCCAGCGGAGGAACCGGGAAACCCAGCTTTCGGAGACCTGTTTGCCAGCCAACTAGCTAGCAAACTGCTGTACTATTACTTTTGTAGGTGGCAAACGTCGTTCGGTAAGCGTTTTAATGTATCGTACAAGCTCGGCTTCGTGTTCTAGGTGTAGGGATCGATGGGAGACCCCGCGCCGCTCGTGCACGCCTTGGTGCCTTCGAGCGAGCGTACTGCGCTCAACACCGAACTGGGCAGCAACTTTGTTGTACGAGAAATCATCTCCTGGCTCGCGCGATTCGATATATTCAATCGCTTCTTGAATCGGATCCATATTGGTGGAGTTGTGACGCGTTGAAGTTTTGTTGTTATGGTGTTGGGGTGGGGCGTTGACTGACCCGGGGCGTTGATTGACCCGCTACTGTAGCGCTTACGGGCACTGCTCTCTGGCGGCGCAGCGCAGTTAACTGTAGATCATTAACGTCATCGCGGCATAGATTTACTGTGACATAATATTCATTTAGACGGATAGGGGATGCCGAACTCTGTCGATCTGGTCGATTTTAACCACAACACTGTAGACATTGGCAGATTAGAGTTACTGTGCACGTTATTGCTCTTGGCTAATGCGTCATTCCAATACGGTACCTAACCGCCACATACACTGGAATAAATATAAATGTATTCTCGCAAGTCTAAACGAATAATCGCTTAAGGCTTTACCCTTATGCTAAATCAATATGTGGACGTCTGACAACCTAGAGTTGCTGCTCTTTACAATATCAGGACTCCTTACCACAGCGTTTGTTAATGCGCAAAATTCCTCCTGTCAAGGCCATCGCCAGGAATTCAGAACCGTGAACTCAACCGGCCAGCACGAATTCACTTGGAACTCCTCCTACGCCAGCGACGACCCGTGGTATGTCTCTGTCCTCGTCGGATCTCGAGGACCCGAATGGAACGATAGGCACGACGTCAGAGCAAATGCTTACATCTCCGTACCTGGAAACGTACCCAACGGCACCGAAATCTGCAGCTACCAGTACACCAACATCAATGCGACGTTAAAATCCAGAGAGGAGAACAGCTGTAGCGGTGTGATCAGCTCGAGCTGCATCGACCACCTGACCAAGGTACTAAGCAGTTCGACGAATTCCTGTCCTCACTCCGATACTGGGTCCACATCAGAAGCCTTCAACAAGGCGTGTCCAATGTTGAAGGGCGGTTCACACAGTACGTTCCTTCCGTTGTCCCTGTAGAAGTCCACCTTATGCTCTTTTTTTTTCCCGCGCCGAACAGATACTATTGACTTGCGACTCGGGATCTGCAGCTTTTGTACATCTAGCTAATGAGTTCGCACAGACCTCAACTTCGTCGACGTGACCAACAGCACGTGTGCCTACACCAACATGCCCGAGGTGCAGATCCCAGACAAGTACAGCACGTTCGGGACAACCGTAGGCGTCGATGCGTCCGATACCGCCGATGCCAATGTCGATGCGAACGAGACGTATGATCTCTTGACGCGCCAGACGATCCCACTCGTCCTACTGGGACGATTCGTTGACCCAGAATCGAGTTTGGTGCAAAGCAGCGTCGAGTTCGTGTGTATGACTGCAAACAAGACGGTGGAGGGAAGCCGTGTACCGGAGCAAGAGACGCCGTGGGAGAGTGCCGGGGCTGATATTAGTGCTAGGATGGTGGGATGGGCAGCTGGTGTGGTGACGGCGGTAATGCTTGTATTGTAAAACTGCAGTTTATGGTGATGGTCTTCTAAGGATGTAATCGATAGTACTAGAGCAGAGAGGCCATCTGCATAACCTGAATGGTACATGTATTGACTATCGGCAATAGAAGCAGGGTGTTCTTTAGGAATTGACAGAAGTGGGCCTTAAAAGAAGCTTGTGACGCATCGAAACCGTGATTAACCGTTCTGTTGACTACTTTTTTACATGCGGAGACTGTAAAGGGCTTCGCCCCCTTTCCCTAGAGAGGATCACATGACGGGTCACAGGACCAAGCGAACGTACGATTAAATGAGCAGGCGAGGACAAAAGGCAGAATCTGTACAATAGCTTTTCTTTTTTATCTTTCTTCTTCTATATAATAGGTAAATGTATACTTATTTAATATGCCTCTTCGCCTATAATATAAGAAGAAAGATTACACCTCTACTAACGTGCCCACCGCTGAATGGCGCACACCACTAAAATGGCGCACCTCTACATAAAACTACCTTTGCATATTAATAACACTCCACTACAACATGCAATAAAGGCGTACAATAGCTAGAATTAATCCTCTACTTCTACTGCATCTTTCTTGCATGTGCGCTTGTTATGTCCTGCCTCGCCGCAGTTCTTGCAGCGTTAGATACCTCCTGCACTACCACCTGCGCGCACCCTCTCCTAACGCCTCTCTACCTCTAACTAGATCTCAACATCCCTTTGCTTAACTATATCCTCTGCCTCTGCCTGCGATAGGGTCCCTCCCTTCTAGATTCGCTTTTTCTTGCGCTTTTTACGTTTAGATGCTGCCTAGTTTGCCTCCTTAAGGTTAGCTATTCTAGCCTCAAGCAACGTGTGTAAGTGCACCTTCAAAGTTGATCCCTTTTTGACCTGCAGCACTATCTTAATAATAGAATTAGGTAATAATTCCTTGTAGTCTGTTATCCTCTTAACAATCAGCGTCGTTTAAGCCTCTATCTCCTAGGCGTTGCTTAGTGTTTTAGGTTGCTAAGGGGTAGGCCCTAGTGCAGGTAGTGTTGGCGTACGAGGCTGTACTTTAAGCCTAGATAACACTACATCTAGGTTATATAGGACTAAGCTAGTTGCTTAAAAGCTTGATAAGATATTATTCTTTAAGAACGCCTTGTTAAATATTAGCTTAAAGGCAGCTAGGAAGGCTTTCTTGTCAATGTAGTAGATGTAGCTGTCTGCCAAGCCCCTAAGTTCCTTCTTGTACGCCTGCTTTAGCAGGGCAAAACAACCTACATTAAGTAGCTGTAGGATGTGCGATAAGTGTAGAGGCATGCAGAGAGTGATAATATTGCTTTGCTCACACAGATCCTAGAAAGCGAGTGACTTGTAGCTCTCGTGGCTATTAAGGATAAGCAGGCGGTAACTACCTACTATTTGAGCTTCTGTATGCTAGATAAAGTGCTGTAACTAGGCTAGACTAAGCTCGTTCGTTGTCTAACCGTTGTTACTAACACCTATCCTCTAATCTTTTAGGTTGTTGTAATACTAGGCCTAGTCGTAGTGCTTTGCTTTAAGGATAAGGAATAGTAGAATTAACTACCCCATCGCGTTAATGCCAGCAATTAACGTTACCTACTCACGATCGCTAGGTTAAACTCTAAGTAGCTTAAGGCGTCTCTTAGAGGCTGTTACTACTTTAACAGACCCTCTAATGCCTATCTAGAAGCTAGTCTTATTAAAATTATAGACATCTTCGTCTAAGATCCTATACTTAGCCTTAACATTGCGTACAAGATTAAACTAGGGCCTAATAATAGCTGGGTTGCTGCACAGGACTCTCTAGTAATCCCGCTGTCTTATCACCTAAGATTTAATCTCAGGTCTCCGGCGTACAAGCCTGTAGGCCCAGTTTTCTCCAACCTAGCCACCACCACGTACAGCTAGTAGTTAATTAGCCATCTCTCGTACGTAGCTAAGCGTAGGGGCAAATCCTCGCGCGTCAAGCTTCCTGATAGACTGTATAATCGCCTCCTCTTCATGCCTCTGCAGCTTTAATGCATTGTGGTAAGTATTGTAATCAGAAGCTAGTTTAGCGCGTTGCCTTCGAAGGGTGGTTTCAGGCACGTTGTACACAGCAGCAGCACGTCGCAGGCTTAATAACGCGTCAGATTTCATAGCCTGGATAGCAAGGATAATTCTATCTGTCCGGGGACGTGATTCAAGATTAGGTTGTTGTAGCATTGTGGAGATGGTAGAAAGTGGTGTGGTCTTGGCACAGTGCGCCATTTCAGTGGTGTGCGCCATTCAGCGGTGGGCACGTTATGCTAGTTCCTATTAACATTATCATCACTATCTCCATTAGTAACCTGTTTTGATATATCCATTGCTACAATGTTATCGCAAAACCCTCAGAATACTCAACAGACTGCTGGCCGGCCAAGTAAGCGACGCAGAAAGCCCCGGGGCAAGTTTCAAAGCAATTCTCTACCACATTCGTCGCAGCGGATGGACCTCTCTTTGAAGAGTCGCTGGCGGACAGTAGTAGTAGGAATGGAGAATAGATAGTACTACTTCAATCCATCAATTTGCTCCATCATAGACTCTCGAATAGCAAATCTTATATCTACTATTAGAACAAGTGTTGTTTGAAACACCTAGGTGTTTCACTACCCTGATTAGTAATAACTTTAAAATGTATGGAGTCTCCATGGAGGTATGGAGATGGAGGTGGAGTCTCCACCTCCCTCCATGCCGATCCCTGACACTAGGTGGGGAGGTCGTAAGAATAATCCTTGCTTTTTTCCTCACACGCGAAGCGCAGGTTACAGGCAGGTTTTAAGGCTAAGACGTGAGCGAGAGAAGCAGACATGTTGGGACTAATCGTCCCCCTCGTCCAGCCTTTGCCAGCTCGTGTTACAAATTAGCTGTATAGAATTTAAGTGCTCGCTAGCGCACTTAGATTCTACAACACTAAAATTCCTACGCGAACGCGCCTTATTATAAGCTCCTTAAACTACGCCCTTATCTTAGCCTAACCTAGTACCGTTAATATACGTAGTGAAGATACTGATCACGTGCACCTATCTCTCCTGTCTGCCGCCCCTGTGACATATATTCTTATTTCTAGTTTATAGGTACAGGAAAAGAGTGTTAAACTCGAAACAAATACAAAGCAATACATGTAAAGGAGTGAGTAGGTGACTGATCGATAGTAGAAGACGTCGGTAAGAAGGAGGAGTGATGATAATCGATGATTAATGATGCCTCCCATGTTGAGGAGAAGCTGCCCTTCTTGTAGCCTAATAGTTGAATATCGGATAGGAACGCACTAGCGAACCTTGTGCGCCAGCACACTATTTAGTAACGAGTCCTATAGGGTATCCTATGGTCAAAGTGATTTGAGTGTTGTAGAACCTCCTGGAGCTTTAATTGGCGATGGAGCACTAGAAGGGCAGGTGGTAACACAGGAACTAAGCCCGAACATCCAAACAAGAAGAGTTATCGTAGCCTCAGAATCACCTGAACGACAAGAGTTAGACTCCGCGCAAATTCTCCGTGCGGTTGGAAGCAACACCTCACCAGAGATAGCAACATCAATCGCTTCGATTATGTTGACTGCAATTGCAAAACATACCCTTTATCACTATTTCGCAAACACCCACTGTGTCTAGTATTCCCCGTGACCGCTATTATGGATGGACTACTGAGCATCTCCCAGGTCTCAGTATCGGTAGCGGGAACTCTCTTCGCTGTAAACGGATGGATCTTCCCGACCGGTTACTCGAAAAACTGGCTCGAACATACGCTAACGAAGGCCATGATCCACATATCGCAATGTCAGAACTCACTATAGAGTAGCGAGAGATGATCCAGCAAATGTACTCCCTGCACTTAAAGGCAGAGCTGGTATATGTCTGGTTGCAGCGCAACACCACTGTCTCTAGCGTGTTTGGTATACTAAACATCGAGACGCTGAAGTGGACCGTCAATTCCAAGACACTTTCTCTACGAGACCTGTCGCCCGTGTATCATGGCCCCAACATAACGGCAGAGAGTGGCCTCACCATACGCTCAAAATCACCTAATGCTATTGGGTTGACTCTGAATATCACGTATCCGGAATCTGTGGTCTCACAATCGTCGTCTGGGCTTCTGAAGCCAATCTCCTTGGCCCCTAGTGGCTTCCCTTCCATCATGGGTCGCATGAATAGCAGGAGAATTCGTTCCAAGAATGCTGAAAATGCAAAACAAAAGAGCCCCTCATTCAACGCACCACCTAGGGATGGTGAGGACACTACTCAACAATCTGACCTGCCCACAGCTGGCAGAAACCGTGTGCGCAAGTGGTTTAAGTTAGCTGGAAACTCCCTCACTAGTGATGCAGCACACGAGCATCTTAGGCTAGAATATAGCTATGATGATGAGTTCACTAAGAACTTTTCAGAAATGTCTGGTAAGATTTCGTACGGTTCCCGTCCGGAGATTTGCAACACGTCCCGTAAGCGTCTCGGGGAACGGAAAAACAGCGAATATGTGGCAAGCATTGTATCGACATCAGGACTTGAAAGTAATTCATCTTCGCCGCCTAGCCCTAGTGTCTTCCGTAGCGACGCATTTGAAGTACCACGTGAGGTACACATAAGAAACTGAATCAGTTCGACTCAACAAGCTGTGGAGGAGATTGGAGAAGACATTGTGAATGAACTTATAGCTCGATGGACAACTTCATGGTTGATTCTTTCTTTTGTGCGAGCGCATTATATTTTCAATTTCTCGTGCCCATTCTTTTCTTCGGCAATAGAATGAGTTTGTGTGCATGCTAAGAGATATGTATTGTAATAAAATATCCCCTTTTGGACTTACATCTACCAAAATCCATTTTCTTGTATCAACTAGGAGTTTTATGAAGCGAAAGCCAGATAAAGTAGCAATTGACGAGTTATTGTGACCACACTAGACATAACGCGACCCCTACTACCTACCTAGGTTCCATCTTCCCAGAACAAATGCTATCCAATTAGAGTCACCATAAGCGACATCTCGCATGCTCTTCAACGTTGCATAAGCAAAGGGATGTTAAAGCTCAGTCAGAGGCGGATAGGCGTCAGGAGAGGATATGTACAAGTGCTAGTAAAGGGGGCAGTAGACGCTGCAAGAGCTAGGGTAAGGTTGGACATGATAAGCGCATATGCAAGAAAGATGCGGAAGTACAAGATTGATTCTAGCTATTGTAACCACGAATAGCTTGCTGCGGCGTCAAGCTGTTCGCGTTTAAACATCTGTCGCTGTATTGTGTGCAAGATTCGATATTCGATAGTAGGGCAAATTAGGATAATTCTGCGTATTGTGCTTGTCCATCTTCTGAAGCAATTGATATGAACTTCAAAATCTTTCAAAGAAGTTTTCCATCCGGGTAACTGCGGTAGGGGCAGCCAGAATCTTTGTCGCACCGGTTCTTGGACCTGGGGCAAGGCTGTCCTCGCCCTGTTGCAATATCACAGCAATCCGCGTTCTACAAAGGCATAAATTAGCAAATTCCCACTCTAGAAGAAAAGAGTTGTACCTACACATTTAGAGTTGGGAACACCAAGGTTCTTGCAAAAATTGGCAGATTGCGCGTTGCCATACATGTTGCACGACCCGGAGCCAGTCTGCCTGACGCAGGCATCGCTCCCTTGATCACCGCCCCAGCAACATCCTGGATCACCGACAGTGCCAAAACCACCCGAAATATAACACTAGATTCCAGTCTTATGTTAGCGGATTGTTCTTTCATATCAATTACGAGCAACTAGAGGCTCTTACTTCAGCTTGGACAGTTACACCCAGAACTAACATGACAAAGGAGGTAGTGGTAGTGAATCTCATTTCGTTGACACGGAGATAAGAAGTCGGTATTGATACGAAAACTGGTGTGCAAGACGAATGTCTGGTCAGAGAAGATAGTTTTGAAAAGAGATGAAGCCAATTTTGAAGAGGTGAAGAACGGGGGAGTTTGACCTTTGCTAATAGAGTATAGCAAGATCATAGTCTTTTCGTCGAGACTAGCATGTACATATATAGGAATAAAAAAGGTCCGAATGCGTTTTTGTGCGTTTGTTTGATGGTCGCACACGAAACTCTTAGCTTACAAGCAAGGTCACTTTGTGTTGCAACATTCACAACACATACTACCTAGGAAAACTCTACACTAGTACGGACTCTATTCTGTAGTACCTTGACTCTCGGCATTGCTTGAGTTTCACGTTGTGCGACCCAGCTAACCAGAACGAGGTACAAATGAAACGAAACTAACGCTAAGTCCCCCACGTGTTCCTATTCTCGAACACGTCTGTGCGGTACACTAGAAGTAATGTGTACCCATTGAACCGAGCGCTAGCACCTATACCGACTTGTATTGTGACCAAGAATTATCGAGGAGAAAGTAAAGCCGAATGTCTCTACGCGATCAAGTTTCGTCGTTCGTGCAAAACGCAGGAGTTGAAACTGAGTTAACGAAACGAAACCTACTCCTTTCGATCGTAATCTGCTAGTCCCTTTGTCTTTACTAAGTAGCAAAACTTATAAAGGTACGAGCGTACTGCTATCTGGGCCTTGAATAGCCAGCCCTCGGTACTATTCCTGTTCCCAACGCGATTCTCACTCTTTTGCACAACTTATCCTATCCATAAATCTCTATGATGCAGCTTTCTCTTCTCACAGCCGCTCTTCTTGCAGGTGTTGTCGCTGGTAGAGCCTATTCCGATGTCTATGCTGCGGTAAGAGACATTCTATACAAAAAAACTCGACTAGTATTGGCTAACATGTTCTTTTTAGTGTGTGCCGGGCAATGACTGCTGTTTCTCCACGGAGGGAGCATGTCAACGCCAGTCCCAGTTTGCTGTAGAGCGATACTTTGAATGTGGCAGGGTTGCGCTCTGCCCAGAACTTGGAGTTAGTTTGGCAAACTGCGTCAGTACACCCCTACTGTTTGTTAATTTGTTTTTGTTCTATCAATACTTTTACAACCTACTAAGTTCTCCTACAGAGGGCAGATTGCTGCAGCATATCTACAAAAGGAGGTCGTGGCTGCCCTGGTAAATAGCTGTTACTAGTTGTCATGGTGCTCAGCGCAACACCCCAGCGCCCTGCTTAGTGTTCTGTTCTCTGGACAACGCCCAATATCACACTCGCTACGACATCTACTTGAGCAATTGAAATTCTTTAACAAACCCCCATTATGGTGGTCTCGTCAGTCTCATGGCCGTGATATGTGAAGACTATGCCATCCCACTACGTACCATGATGTCCAACGCTATCACGTTGAGGGGAAGATTCCTGCACCTTTGTAGCGATATGAAAAAGGCTGAATAGCATGGTCAAATCAAGTAGATTGTAAACGGGAGAGAGGAACTGCGTAAGAATAGCGGAAAGAGTATTCGCGTTGAAATATTGGAAAGAAGTGTTTAACAATGCAGACGGAGAGAGGACACGGCGTGGAACGAAGGGGTGTTGTTTGGAATTGAGCAGCAGTGATGTTTTGGAGGTGATGCGGGTATTGGAGACTCTGAGCGAGTCATCATTCCAATGCGTCACTAACAGGGCATTGCTCTGTGTCCATATGGCGCACTTGACGGATGCCGCTTCCAGACCGAGGAAACTTACAGGTAGCGCGAGAAAACTAAGGGGGGTCGGAACTTCATGTCGCTTTCCACCCGTGATAAGCAAGTCTCTGGAGTCGCGCGAGTAAAGGGCAAATATGTGACACTTCTGAACGTCGCGCTTGTATGTATTATGCAGTCAAGGCATGTGATCCTGCTTGTATCGAGTGCTGCAAAGCATATCGCGCATCAGCCGCGCGAATACATCGTGGCTTCTGGGAACAACCAGGAATTTCCTTATAAAGTTTGCTATACATCCCCATCGTACGCATCAGCCTCTGATGGCGTTCGCCAACGGTTGAAACCACGTCTCAGCCAGCTTCTTGTTGCCCGCATCGTTGGGGTGGACACCATCGCCGGTCATGGAAGTCGTGTCGAATCCAGTCCACGCGTCTACGACCGCGATGGGGCTGTTCGCTGTCGTCTTGCTCGCTGCCCACGTCTGGATCGCATTGTTCAGGGCAACAACGCGCGACCCACACTCGGCGCAGTTGGACGGATTCATGGGAATTATCTTTGCGGCAAGAATCTTCATGGTAGGCTTCGAAGCGCGCATCTGGTCTACAAGCTTGCTGAATGCGGTAGTAATCTCCTGAGGTGAGCGGTTGCTCCAAACGTCGTTCGTACCGAGGTGCATCATGACGATGTCAGGTTTGGTAGATGATAGCCAGCCCGGAATTTGGTTCTGGTTAGCAATGTTCACCGCCAGAAACCCACCCTGCCGTCTTGAGTCAGCCATGATGTAAAGAAGAACATGAGAATCTTACATGTCCCTCGTTCTCTCCATCGTATTGAAAGCCACAACCTTGACCGGCCAACGTGCCTACAAAATCGGTGTTTTTGATGCCAGCTTGTTGGAGTTTCTGCCAGAGATAAGCTCGCCAGCAGCCCTAGGCTATTGTCAATCGTGAGCCGATGCAGTCTAATCGCGGATGCATACTGGGCTGCCAGTGATGGAGTCGCCAAGAGCCATAATCCTCACTGTAGATTGACGAGCTGACAATTCTGTTGGTGTTGCTGCTGTCGCTACTGTCAAAGATAAGATAGCCAGCAAGGCCGAGCGGATTGTGAGGCGCATGTTCGCTAGTCTGTATATTTTTGCGAACTTGATGGGCGGAGAGCAACTTTGTGGTCTTACAAGACAGTGCCCATTGAGTGCGGCTTTATGTACTCTTCATGGTCACTTCCGAAGATGTTCTGAAGGGCTCGGTTTCATCTATTGCGAGAATGAAATGATCCGCCTAGATGAAGGTCTCGGGATTGTGTCTGAGCGCGAATAGTGGCAACCTTTTCGATAGCACAGGACTGCTCAGATGCAGGCATCTAACCCCCATTCTGGAAACTAGCTTCAGGTAGACGCTTGAGATTTCGCTCTATGGATGCAAAGTTCATTTGGACCTGATGCACCCCGCAATGTAGTTGATTGGTCTTTTTCGAGCAAGCCCACCAATAAGTGTCGCTGTAAAGAAATCGTTTGGCCTATAACGTAATTGCGTTCTAATTCAAGTGCATGTCTCTGAATATGTGTGACGGCCAAGAGGGTGTGGATATACGGGTGCTATATGCGATGCAGCCAGCGCGGCCGATCGGGCTCCGCGCCCAGAAGAGGTTAACACATAGGTAGCCACGAAGGGTAGGTGGGGTCAGGAATGTGTTGTATTGTTTCGTTTTGAAAGGCTCATGTTCATACATGATGATGTTGCGACTTGAAAAGCGTGGAATGGTGTCTGTTAGGAGGAGAAGGGAAGAGGGATGAGCTCATGCTGGCGGCGACTTGGGGACCAGGCGACGCTAAGCTAGCCCCACCTCTCCCAATTCCTCGTCGCACGAACTTGCATCCATGCTCCTGATTATCTCGCCTTGCACTACAAATTTCCCAGCTTGCCTGTTAACCATTTTAGCAGCTATCAGTACACTAACGATGAGGATAGAATCGCGCAAGAATTCCGCACAAAATAGCCTTTCTAGCAATCTTACATCGTTTAGATAGCTGACCCTAATCGCCCTAGGCCTACTGTCTTGAATCCCTTATACTTACCATCTTGCGCTTATCGCACCTTATCTTTCCTACCAAAATTCGCTTAAAGCTGGCCCCGGACTCCTCTTCGCGGAAAGGCAACTTGCCGCGACATACAAGAGTAGGAATCTTGGCAAAATGCCACTGCTCTACTACGGTCGGCTGCTTATTTACGCCGATGAGAGCACTACTTCGGCGTAAGTGCGGAATAGAACCGCAATCTTCTATAACCCCCGCTTCTTGGCTAGAAGCCATCGCATCGTCTATGTTCGCAGCTTGTAAGAGCTAGATCTTGACTCTCTATTCCTTCCGAGTCGCTGTATGAAGTCTGGGAAAGTTCCGCTCGTTGCCAAAGTATCGGAAATTTTCAGAGTGTGATAGATATACATCGTCTAAGAGAATGGCCAGCACGGTCAAAGTCGCAGTTACCCAGCACGAGCCTATATGGCTTGATCTTGCTGCCACATTGGATAAGACGTATCAGCTGATTGAGGAAGCAGCAAGCAATGGAGCGAAGCTGGTTGTGTTTCCCGAGTGCTGGATCCCCGGGTATCCAGCTTGGATATGGTCAGTCACTCTCCTTGATGTATTCACGCTGTTCATGTTATCCTGATCACTGACAATCTTATAGGGCGCGCCCACTCGATCCGCAACTAGCATCGCAGTATATCAAGAACTCTCTCTCGTACGAATCCCAGGAAATCGGCAAGATCTGTTCAGCAGCAAAAACGTCCAATATCGCCGTCGTCCTTGGCTTCTCTGAAAATGACAATTACAGCCTTTATATTTCTCAGTGCATTATATCTTCAGGCGGTGAGATTATAATGAAGCGCCGAAAACTTAAGCCGACACACATGGAGCGCACTGTCTTTGGCGACGGGGGCGGGCCTAGCCTGAACAACGTTGTCGACGTTGAAGGCGTAGGTAAAGTTGGGGCGTTGGCTTGCTGGGAGCACACACAACCGTTGTTGAAATACCACACAATCAGCTTGAGGGAGCAGATACATACTGCAGCATGGCCTCCAATCCATCAATTCGTCGAGGGAAGCGAAGGGCTATTCAGTATGAGTGCGGAAGGTAAGAATTCTTCTCCTATCAGCTCCAAATAGTCTGATTTCTGACGACGATCAGGCTGCGCAGCGCTGTCTCAAGCGTATGCGATGGAGTCCTCGGCCTTTGTTCTGCACTGTACCACGGTCATGACATCGGCGGGCATTTCTGCGCATCGTTCGGAAGGCAATCCGGTAATGGGGCACGTTGGTGGTGGCCATTCTGCAGTATATGGTCCGGATGGTAGACGGCTCACTAAGTCGTTGCCGCCTGATCAGGAAGGCTTCATCTATGCAGATCTACCGATGGATATGCTAGTCAGCATGAGACACTTCGCTGACCCGGTTGGGCATTATTCGAGACCGGAGCTACTTTGGTTAGGTGTCGATACGAGCGAGAAGAAGCATGTTCGAACATAGGGCGACAAAATGATGGAGAAAGCAGGTACAGACACTAAGATGGTCGAAAACCGTTGGAGGCTTAAACGACACTTCGTTGGTGCGTATATACGTGAGAGGTATGTTAAAAGAATTTCTTGATACTTCACGCCTACATGACGGAACATTGAGGCGCAATCGGAAGGTTACATGTGGTTCTAACTGCGAGAGTTTTGTCTTCAATGATATTGAGGTTTGATAAGTATGGAGGGGGTGAGGCGGAGAAAGTAGATAGGATGCGACACCTGGGGGGCGATGTGAGTTCCGCCTTTCCTCGCTGCGCGAAATCAACTTTCGTACCACCACCGCACGATATAAAGCGAGCATTTGCGCATTAAATTGGTCGCAAAGTTCAGCACTAGGGCATACGAAGTACATGATAGCGCTTATACTTACAATGTGTGCCTGCCAATGCCGCGTCGCTACATATGTCTAGTTAAAGTGAACTCAGCCCCTCGATTAACTACACGTCATCGCCTGCGCCTTCTAGATGAATTCTAGTGGTGGTGCTAAACGTTCCCATGCCGATCCCAATGTCATGAGAGGAAAGAAATGCGAGGAAAGAAGACGTAGTGGCGTGCATGTGATAGGCTGGGTTTAAAGTTTGGCTAACGAGGCGAAGGTTTGATATAGGCGACTCGGATAGAAGCTTCGACAATGTTCGCATAACGCCTGACACCCAGACTAAAGTTATCGTACGACTGTACGAAAGATCTGCGATCTGATCGCTTTCAAGCTTGTATCTTGGGAGGTCTAACTGAGAGGAATGATTGTAGTGAGCAATGATAGCCGTTTGATGCAGTTCTCGACCAAATCATGGACTCGTTTTGGGCATCAATGTTGACTAATCACTCTCTTAGCAGCGCGAACTTGGTCTGTATGCCTACTCTCTACAGTGTTCTTGAGTGGCCGTCAAGACAAATATCCATCCTACCTTTAGACCACGGGAGAATCTCGATATCCGCATGCCGTCCCGCAGCGGGACGCCGAGTCGGTGATTGCTCAACATCCATAGACTACGGACAAAGTGCGGATCTACTCCATACATACCGAGATAGTATCATACAAATAATTAGAGACTAGCTCACGTCACCAATCGCATCGTCAACAATCTCCTTTTCCACGTGAGCTAAAGCATCTCAGGATCCAAGGCATGACATTCCCGGCGCTGTGGTACCTCAGATTTCCCGGCCCTTCTCATGCTGATCCCCAATGTTAGTGCGAAGTGCGCTCAGATACATTTTAACGTAAAATCCGAATTTGCGTGGAGTTTCGCTCCAAGAAATAAGGCGCATCGCGGAGCGGAGGAAGGTCCGATGTGATGTGACTGCCCCGGCGACCCGTTCCGTGGCATGCTCGGTCCTACTCTTGACATGACATGATGACATGCGTACTCGCATGTCTAGGAACCCAGAAAACCGTTCAAACGAGTCATAGGAAGTGCGTGTTAGGTTGATATGCAGTCGGGCCGTGGCAGGGGAAGAAGGTTTGAAGGAGACGGGCGAGCGATGAGTGTGGAGAAGCCCGCATTGTGATCTACGATCTTATCAGTCTCTAGCACAACTAACGATGTTATGTAGCCGTATGGAAAGGCTCCGACAGGCACGTAATTTGCAAATGACGGCGGCTGGTCAGATTTCGGATCCGCTATTGTACATTAATGTTGAGAGATGATGCTTTACTCCTTTAGGCAGTTATCATCTCATTGGCCAACGTAGAGATGCGTACCGAGGTACGCATTCGCACAGCCCAACATGGGTCCTTAGGCTGATTTAATGGGTATTTTGAGGACGTCTCCTTTACAAGCCTTCCGCCGGGTGGCGTCGCTGTCTCGCCTATGCGACGACGGCTAATAGTGGGTGGCGCTGAGGCCAGCCAGCCAGAAGGTGACGGAGTACGCATCGATGAACAAGTGGCGGCAATAAAAGGAATGTAATCCACGCACATGTGTCAGAGTCGTGGATAGCCAAGCCGGAGGTCTTTTCAAGGCGGCGCGCAAGATGGCCGTGTGGCCTCTAATGAAAAGATTAGAACAAGGGATTGAGAACGAGGGGTCAAAGTGTTTGCGCACGGAAGGATATTGGAAGAACATAATGAATGCTATGTAGCAGTCTCAATCTTAGACTGGCTGCGTTACGGCAACTAGATCTTTCTGACTCTCGCCATCGCTAATGCGCGAACTTTGCTCGAAGTGCTGTTCGAAGTGTCGCGAAACGTAGATGTTCTTGCCAAACATTCCTCCTTCATCAGAAGTCGTCTGATAAGGCGTCGTGCTACCTGGTCGGCCCAGTTCAAAGTCTTCGTCAGCGTGTCTTGCGGTGCTTCTGACACCGTGAGTACTCCTGTGTTTGCTGCTGCCCCCAATAGTCCCATTGCCGTATCCGTTTCCGTATGATCTGCCGGATTGTAGAGAGGAGGAAAAGCCGGGTATGATCTTGACAACCAGCGGCTTGAGCGCGGGAAGCGATGCGCACACGATAGCAAGGTTCATCTCGATCGCTGACCAGTAGGCTGTCGGTGCGCTGTAATATGTGTTGTCGTCGGGATGGTCGACAAGAACGATAAGAGCGTGTAGGCGGAGGATCGATACGACGCAGACGAACCAACCAACAGTGAGAATGGCCATAAGCGCAACCCTCTGGCGCAACGCGATTTGCAGGGTCCAAATAACACGAACAGGAAGGAAGGCGACCATGAGGTCTGTGAAGATGTTGATGCTGGCGTTCACATACCAGATTCTATTGTTCCTAGTTAGAAAATCGTACTTTGCAGCTGGCTCGTGTGCCGAGCAAGTTGGTAGTACTTACGTTTTGTTGTCGATGCATTTCGCAGCGGGTTGCTCCAGTATCTGCCAGTAGGCGTGGATAGGGACGCATGTCCAGATAGAAGTGATCAGTGTGGTGATACCCCAAGCTACGCAGATGGCCATGACAATGTGAAGCGGTATGCGCATCTCTCGCAAAGTAAAGATGCGGCCGTATTGGAGAAGGATAGATATCTTGGTGAACATGAGGCTGGTGTTGTAGAAGATGATACTCCAGAACAAGTACTGTTTGCTGTTAGCTTTGGAGTGTATACGAACAACAAGAGCTCACTTTTAGGATGGTCACTACTCCACCGGGGAACTCAATGAAAACAGCATGCTTGCCGTTGCCAGCATTCGCCTCTAGATAGAGTTAGCATTCAGTTCGTCGCGAGCGCTGTGTGCATCTTACGCAGGACCTGGAGTATGCCGGTCACGATAGCCAGCACCATAGAGACTATAATGGTGTAGTCCTCCCATCCCAACGCCCGTCCCAAGTACCGAAGCCGAGTGAAGATACGCAGACCGACGCAAATCACCGCTATGCATGTAAAAGCAACAACGATAGACTTGGTGAGTGGACCCCGATCTTCCTTGGCCAAGGCAGCCAACTGTTCTGGTGGTATTAGATCCATGGTGGTTGTGAAGAAGCAAAGACAATGAAACACACGTAACTTCTCGATGTGCGAAACGGTTACGATAGGGTTACTATGAACACTACTTCACATATGTACTCCTCCACAGACCGGGGGCTGCAAATACATATGTCAGGCCCTGCGCCCAAAGGTACCTGAACTATGAGTTCTGCACGGACTAATGCGCCAGTTCACACAAGACTGGGATGCGAGATCGTTTGAGAGGGAATCCGAAACTCAAAACTCGTCGGTACACTAGACCCTGGAGAGGGAGCGCAGGAAGGATCTGGGGAGACGGCGTGCCCAATGGAAGAGCTAGACCTAGCGGACGGCAAGAAGCTGGGCTCAAGCCAATGAGACTATGCATTTCTGCCTAGACGCGTAAATGCTTCAAATTCGAGGGGTACATTTCCGAGGCGGACGGCTGCAGTGGCAAGCATAGTCCTGCAAACTCGGCTTGACGAGAGCAACCAGACGGCATGTAACATACGGAATTCACTTGCATGATGCAGTGTGTGCGTTTCCCATAGTTTGTGGCGATCCTTGTCGTTAATACGATGAACGTCTCCAAAACCAGGGATTCGTCCCTCGGTTTACCGGGTGAAGATCATGCAGGTGCTTTGACGTACAAGCTCTCGCGTGGCACGTCCTATGTTGCGCAAGAAGTTGTCTTGATTCCACAAATCACGCTCGCTACAGCGGCCAAGACCGTATGGAAGCGCTCCTGTCGTATACGATCCTGGAATACTTGGCGCACAACCGTTCGTGAGCACGAACCTGTAGGACCATTTTCCCACATCGTAAAGTAGATGCCTTGAAGTGCTCTCGCTTGATCAAATCCTTGGCTGGGCTCTTCGCTCACAACACCGTCAATTGACCATGTAAATGACAGTTGCATGTCCATGGTCACCATGGTTGTCACATGCTGAGAAGTGCAGCAGAGAGTCCGAAGTGGTATACCGCTTGAACTTGGTAGCGCTATTTACTAGAGCCACCAAATACCGGCTAATTCGTGTGGTGTAATCTGCCCGCAGTTTTAGTGTGACGCTAGAGCAGGTTATGGCGAGTTGTCAATGCCTAGAAACATCCCTGCGGACCAGACTCCAAACTCTATTACCTTTGGCTGCCTTACAGTCTACCAACCTCTAGTCAGCGCCCTGATCCGCCGCTCAAGAGGGACCTTGCAAATACTTGAGCAGAGGTATGTATGTCCTGACGCTACCGATCCGGACCGCCTTCGTCCCGGGATCCGTTATACTGCCAACGCTCTTCTTAAATCTCTACGTGAGATGAGACTCCAGGTATAACAACAAGGACGCCACGCCGCGACTGTAGTCGCACCAGGCGTGAAAGGCTTCGCGGCTGAGGTCGCGTTATTTTGTCACAAGCACCGTGCGAAATAGTCTCGTTTGGAAGCGGACCGGTGGTTAAGGACGGTGCTCTCGGGTACGGGAACAATATGCGTATTAGTATACCGCTTGGAAACAGACCTGATCAGTGTACCACTGCGGCGTGCTACTGACCAGCTCTCGAAATTCGACATTGCTGATGGATCCGTTACCTAGTAGTCTGACGTCTCAAGCCATGCGACGTTGGCGCAGAAACTCTGGAAGAGATCTATGGAGGATCACTTGTGAAGTAACGTTCGTTTCAAAATCGAGTAGTGCCTGAGGAACCACAACCCCATGCAGATGGTGTGCTGATAAGGGCAGAAGGAGAAGCGAGCTTCGTTGATTGGAATCCTGATGCTGCACCCTGGCAGGGTCGGTTAGAAGAAAGTTTGCGCTACGTCAGCAATGCAGCAAGACTACCTCCGTTGAACATCAGACCTGGCGTCGTTCGCGAACTCGTTATGGAGAGTAGATGAAGTTCGCAGTAATGTGTCATGATCTTGTCGTCTAGGGTACGGTAGGGTACGCTCAAGCACGTAGATGCCTAGAAAGGGGACTACGATCCGGGAACCTCGGGAGCATCTTGTGAAACATGACCTCACTCCGGAACGGAACGCTCGTGCACGCCCGACCCCTTGGCACACTAATCCAGTTCCAGATCTTGATACTCATTTCGCACGAGCCGACTCTGAACACCATGATCTCTGCATTGAACTGCAGTATCCCTCTATTCGCCATGCAGTCTTCGGAAGTCATGAGTGGCGCAGGATCGCTGCATGCATCTTGTGTTGTCGCATCGACTGCAGGTGCAGACCATGACGCAACGAAACCCTCGCTCGCTGCCACCGCGTTGTCGTAAACATTCTCAGCATCATCACGTTACAGCATTCATGCAGTACGCACAATCAGGGTCATCTTGAATCTCACACGAAGCCGCGCACGCCGGTGGTCCGACATCTGGCACCTTCACGACTGGGACTTTCCTAGGTAAACGAAGATGGCGTAAGCAACCCTGCAGTAAGCTGGCGGAACTCCGAAACGCCTCCCATTGGAACGCTTGTATGCTTGTTCATCTGACACCAGGTACGATGTGCGTTGGCTTGGTTGACCTCTCGAAGCTCCAGGGCTACACCCCGCGGAAAATTAGGAACGATCACCGGCCCCTGATCTACAACCACTACCTGGAAAGCTCCGAACCAACATATCACGTCGCATCAGCACACCATCAGCAGTCTGAAATGGACCATCTTTGCGTTACGAAGGAATGTCGAGTTGCTGATGCTACCTGCATGTTGCCACTTCGATTTACACTTTTCCAACGACACTACGCATTAGTACAAACTCACAAGATGAAGACTACGTCGCTCGAATTGCATCTCGGAGCGAACATGTAAAATTCACCACTCATGTGTTAGGCACTGGACGATGCCTATTCATAAATGCCAGGATTTCGCCAGAGCTTGGGGAGTCGATCAACACTCCTCTCACGCCTCCAAGACCCCTATGACAGCAAGAACAGTGGCTTCAGCCTCTACCTCGGCATCTAAACTCTAAAGGCCGGTTACCCGGCTGCTGGTACAGAACAAGTGCACCGCTTGGCTTTTACGCCTCGCGATTGATCTGTCAAAGTACCAGAACAAAAAAGCAATGTATGCATAGCGCTTGTCGGACAAACCTCCGTAGGTATGACGGAAATAGACGATCACTCGGCGACGCTACCTACCCGTAAGCAGTACGTACATGCGTGCTGCTTGCGAAGCTTAAATCCTCCGCATATGATCAACACAGGAGTATGCGATTACTGTACAACTATTACAGGTCGTTGACTTCACCACGGATAGCGTGAAGTTTCTCGGACGTAGCATGTATTGGGTCGTGAACATGTCACGCCAAACACAAAAACATATCAAGCTAGGACCGTGTTGAATGCCTTGCCATGTGATTGTACTTTGGCTGAGGCGAGTTATGCTGATCGCTTTTCGACATAGCTGAAGCCAAAGACGTCGCAGTCGCGCTTTCGCGCCAGCACTGAGAATTCGAATAAGGCTATACGGATGCTGTAAATTGAGACAAGACGCAGTCCATGCGAGAAGGGTACGGATAAATTTACACATGCAAACCAGTTCATCTTTCCAGCCTAGCTTTCAGATGTTCCAAAATCTTACTGCGAGTGCGAGTGGCGTCGCTTATTGCGAAAACATACGCGCGCGATGAAGCGTCAGTGACTGCTACAACGTGTACTGTGTCAGGATGCAAAGATCTACCAAGCTCAAGTACTATCCCATATCTATGTATAATGACGCGTACAACACTTTCTCTATCCATTGTAGACCACTGCCCCATGTCTAAAGAAGACCACTAGCTGTCGATCATCCGCAACCACTCACTCCTTAACCACCTTGCCAACAATCCACCCCTCAGCATACCTCTTCCCCGTCCCGGCTTCAGGAATCTCAAGCGCAATCCCCTTACCCACATCTCCTCCCCCCTCCACTACCTCTGCCACAACCCCATCCTTAACCCCTTTGACTGCCAGCCCAAGCGCGACGCAAGTCGCCAGCAGACTCTTAACCTCTTCATTCCAACTTTGCTCCACACCCTTCGCTTTGGCCGCCTCAGGCCCTAGTCTTTTGTACTCTGCGAATGCTGCCTTTGCCGTCTTGATATGAATGTCTATTTCCTGCCAAAGCTGCGACTCCCTGTTGCGCACATCTTTCAAAAAGGCGTCGGGCGGCGGACTCGACGGCACCCCATACGGCAGACTATGCGCGTTGAAGTCTTCAAACGGCGGTGCCTCGGGTGGTTGCAGCGCCAAAAACTGTTTCATCCTAACTTCGTACCGCAGTTTTTCTGTGGAAAACGGATCGCGGCGAGGCAGCGGCAACTTGCCCAGGTACAAAGCGATGATGTAGAAGCGTGCCATTGCCAATGCTAGTTCCGCCGTTCCCTCTGCTTCAGCGAGGAGAGACGCCAGGAATGTTTGTGCATTGTCTTCCACCTCCTGGACCTCGCGAAGCCGTCTGCTCTTGAGCAACTCGTGTGATTGAACGAGGTAATGCGCCTCGACCCTCCTCAACAACTCCTTCCTCCTCGTAGCGATGAGCGAAAGGAAAAGATACATGCCCGCATACTCGTCCGGCAAATAAATATCTTGTTCGAACCCCAGTAGCACAACCTTCTCCATCATCCACAGTTTCTTGTGGTACACCCACGTGCTTAGGCTAAAGTCCATGACTTGGGTACCCAAACCGAGGGACGCAGCCGCCGACGAAATGTCCACGTCAATGGAACCAGCATCCGCTTGTAGCAGATCCCAACCTGTGATGACATGCGTCAACATACGGCGCACCCGACAACGGTTCTGGCCCATGGCGACCCACAGATCGAGATACGCCTGGCCCGCGCGGTCGATAAATTCGTCAATGAGCATGGCGAATTGAAGACGTGGGGGTTTCGGGAGCAGTGCGTTGCGAGGAGGTGATAGCGTCCAGTTGATCGGATCGATGACCGGAGAACAAGTTAAGACGAGGGCCGTTACGTCGGCCAAAGGCAGGGAGATGGAGGTATCGAGGACGTCGGAGTGGAAAAGTAGGGCTGCTAGGTAGGAACGGGAGTATGTTAGAGGTGGTGGTGAGCGGGATGAGTAGTGCCAGAGAAAAGATTGGTACTCGAGAGGGTCGGCGGGGAGGAAGGGGAAGCGTGTCGCTTCACTGCAGTCTGTGGCAAGTTGGTGGAGTTTGGATAGTGCATCTGTGAAGGAGAGGTCGACGATTGGCCGTGGAGGGACGGTGGAGGCGAGACGTCGTTGCATTTTGGGACTGAAAGCACCCGGGACTGTACGTCCGAGTTGGTGCGTAGTTTTTAGTGAGTCGATGCCTTGGAGGGTCGGGGGCCAGGGATAGGATATCTGGTCGAGGGGAATGTCCAAGTCGAGGGCACGGAGGAAGTCTTTCCGGAGTTCTAGGCGAGAGACGATGGCTTTTCGAAGGGCGTCGTTGATGTCGAGGTCGGCATCTCCAACTGTTTCGATGGCAGCGTCCAATTCTCTCAGAAAGACATCCATCGGCACACCAACAAACAAGACACGATTATACGTATGCGTGCAAAAGTCCTCCTCTTCAAAGTAATCCCTGCCCGTGATCTTCGCAATCACAAAGTCACATCCTTTAATCACCGCTAAACAATATGCCCTCAGTACTTCCAACAACGGCCCAGGTCGTCTCTCGTCTGAAATCTCTCCACGATAAAACTGCGCCTGTTCCAGAACCTTAGTCTCGGGCCATAGCAGCTTGTCGATATACACGGATGTGAAGAGGGTTTGGGATAACGGGTAGCCGGTATGCCAGGCCATTTCGTAGCAGAGTAGTTGGTCCATGATGCCTATTAGTTCTTCAGGAAGAAGGGGAGCCAGGGTGTCGTAGTCATCTTCCAGGGTTTCGCCTGGGAGCAGGAAGCCACTGTCCATTTTGGGGTCCATGATCTGTTGTCACCCGGAAATAAGTAAGGGAACTGGATCTTTGACGGAGGGAGCAGACGTACTTCGATGGCCCCGATGGATTCAAAGAGCGTGAAGTATTCATCTTTGACTAATTGGCCGACTTGGAGAGCTGTTGGTGGTGTTAGTCGGTACTGTCTGGATATACCCAGGTATGGTTGCTTGTAGGACATGACGACGCCCGTAGCCCCGCCATACCCCTCCATGCATCAACCTCTGGACATATACATACCACTACAAGCCCTCGTAAACTTTTCCGTCACATCATGAATCTTGGGTTGTATCCCAACGACAGAATGTCTTGCTTGTCTCAGAGGTAAGTTAGCGGAAGTAGCTGCTGGAATGATAGGCGCAGACTCTTGCGCATGTGAAGGACCTATCTATCATCAGTTTCAATAGTCATTTTACGAACATGTGCCAGGTAATAACCAACCAGCACCATCAATCGCAGAGCCCGTGTTATCGTGATGCGTCTGGGCGGGGGCTGTGCTGTGGCTGCTAGACGCATCTGCCATGTTGTGGTGGAGTCGTTGCCGATGCGGGAAAGATTTGTGACGGCCGAGTCCCTACATAGCACATGCGCGTTTAAGGCTCGCTCAACATCATCGGTAGTAGCCACGAACAGTGTCATCACTTTCTACTTGGCAGGCGCACGATATCATTGGAGAGAGTGACTGTCAGCTCAATTGTTGGGTTGTTGCAATGGCTTTAATCCCCTTTCAGCTTGATAGTAGTACAAAATATACATCTATCCTTCCCCAAGCATCAACTCTCCTCGGCTTGTCCATTCCACGCCATCATGTCCATGCCCTATCCTCTCGACTGCTTTACGACGCCTTGGCAGCATCGGCCTGTGCCTGGAGAGCCGCAGCGTTGAGGTCCTTCATCTCGCCCTGCTTGCCGTTCTGCCCAATTCATTAGCCCAACTTGTCCATGTCCCTCCACGTCTACACCCAGCATATGCAACTCACCTCCCACTTGGCGAATCGGAGTTCGCTCTCGCCCCTTCGCTCAGCAGCAATGCGCTTGTCCTCCTTGAGCGAGCGACGCACGACGCGCGATGCGACGGCGATGTAGCGGTTGTAGCTGTTTTCAACAAGTCAATTGGCGGGCTCTCCAAAGTCTAGGGTTGCTGCAGCGACTGCAGAGGTGGGCGATGCGTACGTGAGACCGGCGGCTTTCCACGCGAATGCCATTGTGATGGTAGGATGCGGGTTCGTGGGTGTGGATCGGGGTTTGGGGTTGCGGGTGCAAGGTGTTGAAGGTTCCTGAGCTCCCGGCGAGATTTCGCGGATGCGGCTCGGAGCTGTAGATCACGTGCGCATGCGTCCACTGCTACGAAGACGCTCGTCTTGGGTAAACTGACCCTATAGGCATTCGCTGTGTTCTGCATGCACCTAAACAAAAACACAACACACGACGAGTACCTTTGAGGCAGTTTCTGTCCATTTCACGCATGGATGTTCTATCTGAAGTCATGCTCATTATTTTCATAGCCAGACGGCTACATCGTGATCTACAATCCTCGTCAAGCAGCTGAACTAACGTCTAGCCTACGACGACACTTCCCTACTCCTCCATAGCCTCTCCGCCCTCAGCCTCGTCGCCGCCTTCCCGGTTCTCAAAGGTAGCGTCTAGCCACTCGGCAACATCTTGTCCCTCATGGTGCACAAAGTCCTCGCCGATACCGCCGATACCGACGCTGGTGTTGTCGACAGTCAGTTCCTTGTCCTGCGACAGCGACTCCTTCAATGCCCTCAGCGCGTGCTTGATCAGCTCCTCCCTGCTAGCGTTTTCGAAATCGTCCAAGTGCCTCTCAAGGTATGTCCTCGCCATTTGACTCCTGGCACCGATACCACATGCAACCATCTCCTGTGTGACACCGCTGGGCTGGAATTCGAATAGATGCGGGCCCTTTGCGTCAACGCCGGCAATCAGCAGTCCTACGCCGTAGGGTCTCCGTCCGTACTGCTGGGTATTGGTCTGGGCACGGTCTGCGATGCGGGAGGTGATCTCGGAGAGGGGGATTGCGCGGTCGTAGGTAAGGCGGGATGCGAGTGATTGTTGCTTCATGAAGTTGGAGAGGACACGGGCGTCGGAGGCGAGACCGGCGAGGGCGACGCCAAAGTGGGAATCTATCGGGATAATCTTCTTCTGGTATGAAGAGAGTTCCTCGGCATTTCGCTGTGATGTGATTAGATACTGTCCGCAGCAGTTGTTGTACAAGTAGTTACCTTGATTGCAGCGAGTACCGCGTGTGTCTTGCTGACAATGCCTACGACGACTGAACCCTGCTTGACCGCCTCTTGTGCATACTCGACTTGGAAGATACGACCTTGTGGTGAGAAGGTGACCGAGTCGTTGTCGTAGTTGTTCCTGAACATGATGAAGGCGGGAACTGTGGGGTGTGGGGTGGGTTTGCAAGGTTGACAGCGAGAGACCCGGGGAAAATTTAGACGGATTCACTATCGATGGATGGCGAGGGAGTATGGTTGTGTGGTGGCGGCGGCGTGGGCGAGGTACCGAGAGATTGTGGTGTTGCAGCTGGAGGCACCGACCTGTTGACGACGATGAGCTCCAGAAGCTCCAATCTTGGCAAGAGCCTTAGCGCGTGCGACACAACCTCACCATCAGGCGTCTAAGAGCAAGACCACCATTACAGCAACCTCGCATCTTCGCCGGACCGAGGATCGAACTCAGGGAGAAGTCGTCGCATACCCCTACAAGACACAATCATCACGTAGCCTCCCTTCTTCGACTCCACCATGGCCGGTATTAAGACCATCATAGGCTTGTCCTTCGTACGTCAGCCTGTCGCATAGACGCGCGCTCATCGTTTCGCTATGCTCCTGCTGACAACATGCTGCTAGGTCCTGGCGATAGGCTTCCTCCTTGTCATCCTCTCCGCCGCGCTCTTTAAGAACTACCTCACGCTTCTCGTCGTCGCAACCTACGTTATCGCGCCTCTACCCAACTGGCTCTGTGGACGAGCAGCGAACCGCGATGACTTCATGGAGAGTACCGGGAATGGTGTCGTCGACTTTGGAAGGTTCTTGACCGGCTTTTTTGTTGTCATGGGTATTGGTGAGTACACCTGGCGATTTGAGTGGCACGCGCCTGCAGCATCACCTCTAACACATTCACAGCCCTTCCAACACTGCTATGGCATTCGGCAGAGATCGCGGGTGGCGCGGCGGCCATGTCCATCTTTGGTGGTCTGTTGATATACGCAACTATCATCAGCTTCACGCTCTTCTTCCAGGAGCAAGAAGACTTCTGACTCGCCGGCGGAACTCAGCAATGAGGAGCCGCATACAACTAATTGGAGGCGGGAGGCCCCAGGTATTCGACAGCAAAGGCTAGGGACCGGGAAGTCCGGATTGGTGCTGCTTCATGTTTACGTTGTACCCATAGTTTTGCTGAGCGTTTTTTGTAAAAATACATCGAGCATAATGCATAGGTCGACTTAGGTTGTCCGTATTGAACAGACCAACTCGAACCCGCTGAACAACTGGATATAAGACAACAAACAGCTTGCAACGAACAATGCCCTCATTCTCAAATACTCGTACATGATTATGCCCATTCCATTCGCGCCTCCAGATATGGAATCGTGATGCGCAAGCTCCTTCTGGTCGGACAAACCCTAAATCCATCGGATCACCCCAAGTCCATGGAACCGCTAGAGCCTACAACGCCAGGTTGTAAGTATACTCATCCTCCATATTCTGCGCAACCCAAAGCACAGCGGAACTAGACCCAGTTAGCAACCACGCTTACATACCAAACATACTTGACTCACCTCAGCATGATAAGCGCATTAGCAACTACGTTGCCCACACCCAACCATAGCGTCGGCCACGTATGTCCCACAACAACAAACTTCATAACCATAACCACGACACTACCGGCCAAACCCCCAGCCAACAGCGCAAACCCCAAGAACAAGACCAGCCTCGCCTTCCACGCAACTCCGTTTCCAGAGTAGGAGAAGCTGTCGGCTGACAGACGCGACTTGTCGATGCTGTTGATGACGAGCATACCCAAGGCGCTGCAGATGCCGGGGATCCAGTCGATGAAGGTGATGTGGACGGGCGGGTCCGAGCCGTTCATGGCGGATTTGGACCATGTGGATATGTCGATTAGGGTGTAGAAACCCATGGCGAACTAGACGGCATTGTTAGCAATGTGTGCGTGCATGTAATGGTGGGTGAGGCAGCGCACCAGAGCGCCTGCGATGTAAACGCCGGCTGTTCGCGTGTTGGCGCTGTTCAACCACGCGGGCTTTGGGAAGCGGAAGAGGCGATTTGATTCCTCCATGGTGAAGTTGATTATGCGACGTATGCGACAAAGTGTTGGGTTTGGTGCCGGCGTGTTGTGAGCAGTCGTCGTCGAGCTGCGAGGTTCTGGGAGCTAAGCTGTGATGCGGATGCGCCTGCTGAGGTCCAAGGTCCAAGGTCCACCCAAACGTCGCGCGCCTACAAGCTTGGCGCTTGACGTGCGTTCCCTGTTCGAGTCGGCATCTTTCGCTCGCAAACCGCCGATCTAGCCTCGGATTCCTTCCCAAAAAAAGTTCCAGCCTGCGCTTCTTTTGCTAGTACCCATCTTCCACCAAACGCAACTTTTGCGCGCAACCTCACCCACACACTCTCCTTGCCGCCAAAATGGCTGCATCGAAACCCTCTACCAAGGGCAAGTCCCCAAAAGGCAAATCCGGCCCTTCGAAATCTTCCGGCGCCAATAAACCGAAATCGAAACCTAAGTCTACTGGCAGCGCGCCAGAAGGCATATCGAAGCGCAAGCAGAAATCCATGTCGCTAGCCAAGCCGGGTGGTGCGCAAAAGACGAAGAGCTTAGTGAGCAAGGATGGCAAGAAAAAGAGGAGAGTGTATAGCGAGAAGGAATTGGATATCCCAGCTCTGAATGGGATTATTCCGGCGGGCATTGCAAAACCAAAGGGAGTTAAGAAGGGGAAGAAGTTTGTGGATGACCCGGCTAGTATGGTACGTCGAGAAACTTTTCTGCATCTCTTGCGTTGCGTTTCTTAGCCAACTGCACCACTTCCAACCTCGTAGTCTGTTATACTAACATAAAGTGTGTATAGATGGCCATCATGTCCGTAGTCAACGCCGAGAAGGAAGGACATCTCGAGTCCAAGATCGCCAAAGCACGCCAGCTGCAGGAAATACGCGACGCTAAGCAGAAAGAAGCCGAGGCAAGGAGATCAGACAAAGACCAAGCTTTCGAGGAGAGGAAACAGGACCTGAAGAAGAAGAGGAAGAGGCATAGCGAGCCTACCGGCGGCAAGAGCGATGAGGGTGATAAGATCAAGGAGAAGGATCGGAAGTTCAAGCAGAGAAAGAGGGTTAGCTTTGGCTGAAGGGGTGTATTGGGTGTTGGGTGATTTTACCTGTGCAGGAGTTGGAAGAGGCACACACACACACACATGCGAAGGAAGGACATTCAGACGTGAGAAGAAGACATTGTGTACGATGCCGAGAAAGGTCCGCGATGATTGGGAACCACGGCAAAGGCGTTGGCATCAAAGTATGGCACAAGAGAAGGCGTCTTTATTCGCAGCAAGAAGTCAGGTCTATAAAGCGATCTACCACATCTAAAAGTCTATGATACCCAAACAGAATCAAATGCAAACATATCCAGTCCAGCCGTCTAAGCATCCGGCAATATCAACCTCCGATGATTCGGATCGAAAATGGGATACTTCTTTCCCTGCAGTCCCCCCATGTTAACGTCCTTTCCTTCATCAACACCTTTCGTAGCCTCAAAATCAACCTCGTCGTACATCTTCTGCAAAAACGCCGCCGCAGCAACCGCAAACCATCGCCCCCCGCCTAGCTGGAAGGAACCGAGGTGGCCCCCCCAATCCGTCGTACACAACAGCGTATTCGGATTCTGCAACACCTCCTGGTACGGCAATCCCGCCTTGTTGCTAATCGGATCGTCTTCGGCGTTGATGCCCAGAAAGGGTATCCTGACGGCTAGTAGCGCGTCGACGGATTGCGAGTCCCGGTAGTAAGCGCCTTCGGTTGGATAACCCCACGTAGGACACTGAACATGGCGGTCAAACTCGTGGAGGTATTTACTCGCTAGCAAGGCCGATTCATCGATACCCGGGTTCTTGAGGATTTGTTCCCGGTGCCGGCGGAAGAGGCCCATGAGGTTCTTGCCCATGGTGCGCGAGTAGACGTGCAAACCAAGGTAACTGGATTGAAGTGTCGTGTTGCACACCTCGAGGTTCCAGGGGTTGGAACAAGATACTGCTGCTTTTAGCGTACATTTATCGCCTTCCTCGCCGCAGTAGTTGGTTAGGATGTTGGCGCCGAGACTGAAGCCAATGGCGTAGAGAGGGCGGTTGGGGAATAAGGCGTGGAGAGTGGAGATGGTTTGGCGGAGGTCCCAGGTTGCGCGCGAGTTGAAGAGTTGTGGGGTGGAGATCTTGGAGAGGGCGCAGCCGCGGCCGTTTACTACGCATGCGGTCCAGGGTTCAGACGACGAGGTGGGATTCAGGAGGGGCCAAAGGGTTTCGCGGAGGTAGACTTCGTGGGAACCGCCAGATAGACCGTGAAGCGCTATCAGCATGGGCGTGGTGTCTGAACTACCAATCCCTTCCCATTCTTTGGGGGTGAAGTTGGTGGTGCGTTCGGGGAGTTCGGTGGTGTCGTCTTCTTCAGCCATTCGCTGAGCAGAGGCGAGACCATCTTCTTTTGAGACCACGAAATCTACGGCAAAGGTTCCTGGGTAGACGGAGTGGTTAGAGTCGAAGATTTGGCGCTTGTAGTAAACGGGTGGGCCGGGGTCTTTGAAGGCCGTGTACATGGTTTGGAGGTGGCCGTTGAAAAGGAAAGGGTTTAGACGGCATGGTGGGATCGAGGATGAGGCGATTTCTTTTAGAGTAGTTTTGGAGCCGGCTTTTGTTTGGAGGGGGTAGGGGAGGAGTGGGATGTGTAGGTCGTTTTGCCGTGACCTAGGAGCCAGGACATGGTGAGGTTGGGTCGGACGAGTGCCCGGTATGAGGTTTTCAAGCCAAGTGTCTGCGTATCGAGTCCGAAGACGCAACCTGATAACAACTACACTGAGATACGTCGTCCGTCTTGTTCCTAGCTCTTTCACCAAATCTACCACTCAGTGCTATCAATTGCTGCTTTCCGTCTGATACCCGGCGGGTTCGGTGCCGAACAATGCTTCCCGTTCGAAATGATTTCGACAAAGAGGAAGTGAAAGTATTGTTTAGTGATAGACACATGCAGTAGTAAAAGAACTGCCTCGGTTTGGCTACTCACTAGTCTGCATTTGGTGGTGGACAAGCGCGCGTCTGCTGGCCAATAGGCACTGAGTGACCTGGCGCGCGTTCGCGATTACCCAAGTTCGCGACTGCCCATTACACGTCCTCGCATTCACGCCCCGCCTTTGCCCACGATGCAACATACCTACTTTGACTCCCGGTGACGTCCTCTGGATGAGACTTTTCCGCCATGGATCCGCGATACAACTGGCCGCCCCAGGCCTATCCAAACAGCCACCCAAACGGCCAATACACTCCATATGCGCCTCCTCCACAACAACAGCAGCCGCAGCCGCCGCCGCCGCCAAATGGCTACCAACAACATGGTTATCCTCAGTACCCTCCCATGCAGATGCAGACGCCTCAAGGATATCCTCAGTCTCAGCCAGCGCCGTATCAACTGCCACCGCAACACAGCATGCCTCGACCCATGAGCCAGCAATATGCGCCAGTGCGCCCCCAGATGCAACAACCACAGCAACCGCAATATCAACGGCAGCCTCAAGTCGCCATACCTGCAAGGACACCCCAATATGCATCTCCTATGCAGCAAATGCAACCTCCACGAATACGCCATGTACAAGTACCCGTACAGCGAACAAGCAGCGAGGGCATAGCGCAAACAGATGGGCCCGGGGACCAGCAACGGCGGTATAGCGCACAACAGGCACCCAATCCACCCATATCCAAGCCGGTACAGCGATCACCGTCACATCAAGAGAACGGCCCTCGGCCACAGCAGCGACCCGTCGTCACCCCATCGAATAGTCAAGCCCCATATCGAGCGCCTCTACAGCCCCAGACGACGCCACAACAACAGCGTGTACCCTCGCAGACGACACCTCAACAGCAGCGTATGTCCTCACAATCGACACCGCAACAACAACGCCCCTCACAATCAACGCCCCAGCAACAGCGCGTGCTCCCACCGTCTCGAACACCGTCGAGCCAGTATGGCAGCCCATTCCCCCAGCCACCCTCGTCGAAACCGCGAATGCACCCCCAAGTTGTCATTCCCAAGACCTCTTCGTCGCATCAGCTTACACCCACGAAGCGCGCCCATCTTCCCCAAAAGGCACTCCCTGCCGAGCTCTCCGAACTGCTGCTCACGGCTGCGGACGAATACATTGCGGTTGCGCGAGGGATGGGATCTTTGTTCATAAGGGAAAGGAGGGAGGCCGATGTGAGACAGTACTACAAGTTGATTTCCACCGCCATGGGCTGCATGGACACCGTACTCAAGGATTTCAACATGCCACCCAGGGACGAAGCGAAGTTGCGGTTGAGATACGCTAGCTTGCTAATTGAAGAGACGGACATTGAGGCCGCGGATATATCAAGTCGGATCGAAGAGATCTTGTCCAAGCAGATATCGCTCTGTGGACGCCACCGCCTACAAGATCTTAAGTTTGCTGCTTTTCATCTTCAAGCGCGATACCAGTTCAAGACTAATCACCGCGCTGGCCTAAAATCACTCGATAAGCCTATTCAAGAGGCAGAAACTTTTCAACACATCGCTTGGGTGTATGCGCTGCGCTTTCTCAAAGTCACATTGGCGTTGCAGATACCGGGTCGTGTGGAAGTGGCACTAGCTCTCCAGCAACTCCATGCTATACAGGACCACGCAAATCGGCGAGGTGACCGGGCCATTTATGTGGCTTGCCATGTACTCGAAGCTATGGTTCATCTGCGATCGGGTGCAGCGGATCGGATCGACAATGTCCAGCGCGCTATCGCAGCTGCTCGGAGCCTGCAACTTCAGGTATCAGCCAAACAACTGGGATCATTCGGTACTTTAATTGATATCATTGACATTGCTAGTGGCATTCAAAAAGGCAGCCCAAATCCACAAAAGTCCACTGCGCTGCTCGAATCTATATTGCGCGACACGGACGGACAGAGCATCTCACAAAGCGGCGTCTTTACGGTTCTCATTGAGCGGAGCTTCGGGGGTAACCTAACGTTTGACACAGCTGGCATCTTCCGAAAGAATGTGGAGCAGAAGGATGAACTGGTATTTGCATGGCTCCCAAAGGAAGATCTGCAGGCGTTGTGTTTCCACATCTGCGCTCTGGATCAACATGTCCACGAGAAGGGTCTGAACTTCATGAAAGAAGCACACCAGCGGTTCCGGGAGACCGCGAAACGACGCGCATTCAATGGCGTACCTATCTCCATCGCCTTTGCGCGCATCGAGTGGAACATGATACTAGACTGGTACTCCATGTTCGCCATCGGCCTCATGGCTTGCACACGAAACGACCCCATAACCGCGTCCGACGCTCTCAGCTTCCTCGAGAAGAAAATCTCGCTCATTCCTTACAACAGCCAAGAAGCCTTCGTCCGCACACTAACCTACTTCTCCGCCATCACTGACCAACTCCGCGGCTCTCTTGACACAGCCTTCTCATCACTCTCCTCGCCCATCCTCGCCATCCCTGAAAAGGCCCACGCAACACCCGCCAAAACGGACATCGCAGTAGTCGCATCACTAAACTGCCTCCTCATCCTCCGCGATCCCACACACCCGCAGCACTTCACCGCCGCACCCCTAATAGCGCAAATCAAACCCCTCTGCGAAGATCATCCCAACCAATACGTCCGCATCGCCTTCCGCCTCGTATTAGCCTTTCACTCGGAATCTACACCCATTCTGCAGCAAAAGAAAACAGTACAAGCCGCCGTAGGCATGGCACAGGAGATCAGCAAACGCACACAAAACTTTGAGTTTGTGGCCATGATGATGTGTTATTTCGTTGCGAGGTTCTTTGCTGATAGCGTGGGCGAGAAGAGTATTCAGGCTATTCGTGCGGCGAGGAGTCAGGCTATTAAAGTGCATAGGCCGCTTTGGGTGGCGGTCGTTGCTGGGCTTTGTGGGAATACGTATAGGAGGAATGGGTTGGTGGCTGAGGCGGAGATGGCGGGGAGAGAGTTTGAGGCTGTGAGGGGACAGTTGCCGAAGGTGTTGAAGGGCGAGGAGGAGATTAATGGTGGTGGTGGTGGTGAAGATGAGGATGAAGATGTAGATGCAGAAGGGGAGGAAGATGTTGATGCCGATGGAGATATTGATGTTGTGGGCTAGTGGACAGGTGTGACAGCCCGTGTCGCCTTCTTCGTCGCCTTTTTCTGGAGCACATCTCATGCATTTTTTCGGCGTAATCATGGAGGGCTATATCAGGTACTGCACCGCTTTGAGATACCATGGCAGTCTGCGCGCGGCGCTTTTCCTGGCGTTCACCTCACACGTATCGTAGTAGTTACGAAAAAAAGGTTTTCAGGGCTCGGTATACTGTCATCTAACCAAAGACATGTCTTAGTACAACGTACATGTAATTAAGACGCGTATAGGCAGTCTGGAGAGTTCACAGAATACTCTACTACACTGCTACCTTCAGTTCTGTGGTGCTACAAAAGCTTCCCACCAGCGAAAAAAATCCGTCGATTCTTTCTCTCCGGTAGAGCCTGATTCTACGTATACGCAAGATGATCCAGGGTATGTGGATGCCAAGTGCGCCAAAGCAGCCTCTTGCGCAACCAGAGGCATGTAGCCAAACCATATCTTCAAGAATGGGCCCTGGAATTGATTCATGTGGGTGCAGGACTATTACCCACATATCATAGAGTATGTGGAGGAATATGTTTAGTTCGCACTTGACGAGATGCGACACTACTGGGGGGTTAGCACAGACGACACAGCTTCTGCAGTGCTCAATGTTTTGGACAGCCTGGAGTCACAGTTAGGCACGTTTACTATCAACACTGCGGGCATGAACTAGTCGAGCAGCACTTCTCTAGATTGTAGCGATAGAAAAAAGATTAGCAAAATCTACATAACGACAGTGTTGAACTAAAGTGGCTGTAAACCTAAAATGCTTCGTTTGTGAAGGATCAAGACTCTCGTGCTCGTTCGCGTCACAACTGTCCTTTCCAGGTCACCAAGTGACTTCCCCCAATAGTCGGAGGTGCGATATCACTCATATTCAATTGACCTAATTCAACCCAGAGATATGCTACGCTTCTAGGCTCCATTCGCATCCAGCCAAAGTAACGTTGTCCACCCACCCTTGGGTTCCGCGGAATATAGTCCTCTGCACGGTAGTCGGCATCTACACATTTGACAATAGAAGCGGCAGGGTCTGACAGAACCTCGTCGTCAGCGAAAAGGAATATTCGGTGTAAGTTGAAGTCTGCGTTCATTAGTTGGCCACCCTCGCCACTGCTACTGTTGTACAACTGGCGAAGTTGATCTATGTCGAGGCCAGCTAGGGCAGGGTCTGAGCGTGCATCGAGACGGAAAAGCGACCACAATTCCTGAAATGTAGGATCTTCTTTAGTAGATTCGGTTACGCTTTTTGCTTCGTCGTGCGCACTAGTCTGGATGGTTTCGAGAAGTCGCTGCCATTGCTGGTCGGAGGAAGGTCCGTATCCGGTACGGTAAATGGCAAAGCCCCAGGGTCTGTGGCCGGCAAAATCATCGTCCGACGGGATGAGAAGCTCGCTCAACCATTCTTCGGCGAAGGTAGTCATGGTGGTGGCGCAAAGGAAGCCGTTCTGATACCAAGTGCAATATAGAGGACCCGAAGTTAGCCAATATAGTAAGAAGTAATTGCGCTGGAGTTGATAGCTCAAGCCTAGGCCGGCTCGGTGGACTTATAGTTCTGTCAAGGTCTGCAGATATGTGATACAACCGAGAAGCACAGGCAGTCGGTAAAATGTATTGTTCTGGCTCCAAGGATTCACCAAGGGTTGGGCGGATGCCAAACAATACGGCTGTGCCCGCGCACAGAGAAGGCTCCCAAATCCCATGAAAATCTTCGGCCCATTGTCCCGTTCACGTTCTCTGTTCAGAATAGTGCGCTGTAGGAAGTCTCTTGGCGACAAATCATTGCACGAATTACACGATATGCGCATGCCGGTACGGGAGATTTCACTCCGCGGTGCCTTACCTGAATACTCGTAGACCCACAGTGAGCCTTGCCTTGGCATGTGGCTGACTCGGCCGTACTAAGGCGTCCAGCTCCTGCATGCGAACCTCCTACTTATCGTTATTGAGCAAGGGTTCTGCAGATACGCTTGTACCTGAACTGCGTGATCAAGGGTTCGAAAACAGCGTAATCCCCGCTGCCTATGCGCTTGTCGAAAGCGAATATTCGAAATTGACCAGAAGGATGGGAGGTAATAACGCTATCTTTAAGCCTATGGCCTAGCAAACTGCGCAAATTGACTGGTTGTTTCTGGTTCGAAACGAACCGTTGAAGACGGTGTCCCTTATACATAAACCGATTTGTCGTCTATATGTCTAGCACATCATCTTTCCGGCACCAACGTCCTCATAGCAAGCTTTCTGCATACTTTAGCGATGCGGTTCTAGATAGCTTTTGGACTGCTCGTTCGGGCAGTGCGCTCGCCTTTTCTAGCACAGAGAAGAGGATACTAAGGAAGGCCGTGGTTCCTAAGAATGATCGCAATATTAGCCCACGGCAAGAAGGTTAAGTCGCACCTAACACCGCTTCTGACTGTAGCTACTATAATACAGTTTCCAGCGGTTACAACACCTGTGCGGCTTTTAAAGATAGTTAGGGTCTAACATTTGAACAATTCTTTGACTACGTACGTTGTCCTTACTTACTTTCTTCGTACAAACCTATATTAATTTCTACATAAGAACCTAAGCATTAAAGCAGATTGTAGTAGTATACGGAGTAGGAGTTTATACTGCGTCAAAGTTAACAATCGGCTGCCTTATCTGACATCTGTAAAGACTACTTTAATTGCCGCCCTAACCTCCTGTACATCTATTACTCCTACTAGCACCCTAAAGCTAAGTCCTACGCAAAATAGGCTTATTAAATTATGTACAAACTTCTACTTTACTATCGCTAACAATAACTGCAACAAGATTGTTGCATTGTATAGAACATTTACGTACGATAAATTCGTTAAATAAAATCCTGCTGTTAGCCCTACCTGCAACAGCATCTAGGCAAAGACACAGTATTGCGTAGGGATACCTAGGACGCTAACAGCGAAACCCACTATAACATCGCCTGCGCAATTATCGACCTAGCCTCCTACAACGACAAGATCGCTAAAACCTTTGCTAATTTAAGACGGTTTAATTACAGGCTGCACTAACTTTTACTTTGCGGTTAAGGGCGACACCTGCGTTAAGATTGTAAGCAAACACGGCACTTTCACTGTGTAAAACTTCGTGTCTTGGAACCCTGCTGTCGGCGACGACTGTAGTAGTCTCTAGGCCGAGACTTATTATTGTGTTGGTGTTCCTCGTACACCTACTACACGTCATGCCACTAGCATCAAGCTGATAACGACTGGTAACGGCGTCTCGACACCTCTTCCTACGCGGCCGGGCATGGTGACGAACTGTAAAAAGTTCCATTTCGTAGCCAAAGGCGTGATGCGTAGCCAGCTAACAAGAAACAACAAGACCACCCTCGACGACTTTGTTAATTGGAACCCAGGTGTCGGTCCAGACTGTAGGAGCATGTGGGCTGATACCTACTTCTGCGTTGGGGTTTGAGGTGGACTTACTTCGCATGGTTAAGTCAATTAATGGCGAACTCGTTGTTACGATACGCTACTAGTACTAGTGATTGTACGCGATCAAAGAAGTACGCTTAAGACTGAGGCTTAAGGGGTTGCGTGATATTGTGACGGCCGAGATTATACTGCATGTACCTAGGTACATGAGAAGAAGATGATGATGTGTCTTGAACTGCATGTATTTTGTTCTTGAGTGACTATTTGCGTTGAAGAATGCCTACAGCTATAGTCTTAGTCGAAAATTGCAGGCTTGTACGTGTACAACCCTCTTCTAGTGAAGTACATAGAGCTGAAGGTACTAGGTACATATCGCCGCGCGATTCTGCGACAGTCTTTAATTTGACCGCTTCTTATCTGATGAAGACATTTCTGTGTAGCAGAAAAACGCGATAGAAAACGTTGATAGTAATGCAATGACTCGCTAGTGTTTTGCGTTGAGTAGGCATAGGTTGAGTGAACAAATATGGTGGGACACCAAGAAATCATCACGACTGCTGTTTCCACGCGATGCAAAGTGGCCTGCGCATCCTAGGACGCACCTAACCCTAAAAACACTCGCGCCTTGAAACTTATGTTAGAAGGCTGAAATACTGTTAGATCGATCATACAGGTCACCTCTTGTCTTTATAGCTTTTTTAGCTCGTTTCAATCGCGTTACGTGGTTGCATTCTCGTGTGAAGGTCCGACCCACGTCGAACATGGACACGAATCGATGGCCTCCACCGGCGGGTCCCTCTTAGCCGCGTCCTCCTCCGCTTTGGGCCTTTTCTTCGATCGAGCGACGGCCCCACGCGCGATGATGCAGGGTCGTATGGGGGACCCCACTACGATCTGCGCGAGCACGATATGATTCGGACAGGCTAGGAGGAACGGGTTGCGCTAGAACACGGCTGGCCTTGTCTATCGCGGCGGATTTGTTAGCAATCGGAAAGGAAGGATGAATAACGGAATGCAGAGAGGTTGAGGAAGAAGAATGAGTGTGCACAATTGAAACAAACGAGCCAGGTCTGACTGACAGCAAGCTCCTGTATTTCCCGAGTTTTCGATGTGTGTTTTACTCATACAAAGTACTCTAGATAATATATTATTAGGATGTTGCAATAAGCTTTCGAGGCTATCGGAACTCAGCATAAGCGAAATGCGCCGGAGTCAATACAGGCTGCAGTTCGCCATAAGCGTAAAGTCCCATCATCATGCCGGTGAAAGGCTGGCCGATATGAGGGTTGCGCGTCATGATCTGAGTATCAATGTCGCCTACCCATGTCCACTCAGCTTTCTGCTGCGTTGCTTCATTGATCTCCAGGTAACCAAATCGATAGCTTTGGGGTGTGCTGTCAATGATGAGCTTCACTTCTCCCTTCTCTGAAATAACTCGCTCCACAGGCTCCATATCAGGTCGAGTAAGTCGAATCACTCGTTGCGATTGACCGTTGCGATCTGCAAGTGCAATGCCGATCCTGGCGTAGCAAGTATGATTCCACCATAATACCGTTCCGGCCTCAACGCGCGTGACATCGGGTTGGAAATCCAGTTGAGTCTCCCACACTACCGGCCAATGCCTTTGCTTTCGCAGAAATAGCGTTGGACACGCGGGCATCGATAGCGTGTATGGACCACCATTCAAAGTAAGGTAATCATGTCGAGCTGTCATTGAGTAGTCTTTCCTCACGGGTGTATCTGACGATACGTTAGAATTTTCTCGTAGGTCAAATTTTATGGACTGCTTACTCTTCCTGTACCACCCAAGGCCGAGTCTCACTCCGCTGAAATCGTCCTTCCAAGCCTTGTCTTCATCAAGCATGTACTTGTTTGGTCCGCTCATTTGCAAGGTGACTGGCTTGCCTTCGTTGAATATGGGCCAGTCATTTTCCCAACGAACTGGAAGTAGCATGGATTCGCGTCCAAAAACTGAAGTTCGCCATTCAGCACCTTCCTTCTTCGGCCGCACACCTAAGCACATGGCCCACCACTGGCCTTGAGAATCCTCAACAATATCGCAATGGCCAGTGTTCTGGACCTCGTCATCCGTTGTGTTGCGCCAAAGCGGATTGTGTGGTGCTTGCTCCCAAGGTCCGAAAGGACTTTCACGACTCCGGCTTACATACTCGCAGTGTCCAGACTCCGTGCCTCCTTCCGCTGTAAACAGATAATAGTAGCCGTTCAGCTTGAATAGATGGGAGCCTTCAGCGATACCGGACTCTGATTCCCGGATCATCTTGGGGGTGGACTTCAAGGTACCAGAAGCAAGATCAATGGTAGATACGTGGATCGCAAAGTCTTTCAGTTTCGAATCGGGAGAGCGATCAACTCTTCGGTAGGTCGAAGAGAGATATACCTGACCATCGTCATCCCAGAAGAGATCGAAGTCGAAACCGACTTGATCAAAATACACGGGATCAGACCACGAGCTCTCGTTCCAGATGTTGGTGGTTTTGACGTAGAAGCCACGCGGCCAAACGCGATCGTCACTCTGCGGCCTGTATCGATCAAAAGAGTTGGTGATTATGTAGAAGGTACCCTTGTGGTAACGGATGGTCGTTGCCCAGACACCACCTCCTGGCTCAGGAGTCCTGATATCGAGTTGGGACTTGCGCGTGAGTGCATGACCGATCAGTCTCCATTTGATGAGGTCCTTGCTGTGGTAAATGGGCGCCCCAGGGAAGTACTCAAATGATGAGGTGACGCAGAAGTAGTCATTGCCAACGCGAATGACGGATGGGTCTGGGTTGAAGCCAGATAGAACTGGGTTGGCGAAAGTGCTCATGGTTGAAGCGGCCATCTGTTTTTTCGTGTCCAGAGGTTCAACGTGGAATGAGGCTCAAAGTACTGAGAATATAGGCTGATCTCGATTCGGCTCCCGTCTTCCGCTACGCGCCTTATGCCGCGTAACTTGTTGGGTCCAGGCCGCTGTTGCTATGGTTGCGACCATATTGACGGCCATGAAGTTGCGGCTCAATTCGCGTGGCAGGACCCTCAGGAGTTTTTCCTCGAATCAGAAGATTTTTGCGGATGTATCTCGTGATGTTCCGGATCTTCGGGGTAGCTGTGGATCGTGAAAGAGACTCTCCTCGGGGTAGATGGATGATTGAGGGGTAGGCTTGGCGGGCTAGGGCGTTCCTTCACGGGCGAACATCGGCAAACCTCGGGCTTCTCAACAGAAACAACACATTCCAACCTGCGGCGCACGCAACCGCCTAAATCACATTTGTATTTGTTTGCAAAAGTTCTATGGTGAGGAATTCATCATCTGGCAGGGAGCACATGCCAAGGACGCGATTTGCGGCGCTGGAAGCTTACTTAGATACTATTGCAACCGCGACGCGTCCAAACAACACCGCCCTTGGCTGCACTTGCGGTCGATGGGATACGCAGGCACATCGGATCTCTGTGGATGTGTTCGATATCCGTCCAACCTGCATCCCGACGAAGACGGAGTCAAATCGTTGAACTCGGCGTGGGTTTAGTTGCATGTTGTTGGAGTTTGTCTTAACATCACCGACATCAGAACTCATATTGGTACCACAGCAAGTATCATCGATAGCAATCTTTTGACAGTATCTTATTCGTCCTGACCCACGATAAAGAAGACGAATTTGGTTGTTGGTCATGCTAATGGCCAAGCTAATAGAACAGGCTCAGTATGTGACCGCCATCCCCCCAGGAAGCTCAGTCAGCCAGTCGCCGCTCACTCCAACATCTTCAACCGCTTGCTGTGGCTTCTTACACTTCATCGAATCCTGCGCTGACTGGATCTTCAACACCTGACAGTTGGCGTTCGCACATTTACCGCTAGGCAAAGCATCCATGGCCTTCTGGAGCGAATCGTCTTTCCAGCCAAAGAGATAGTCTCCGTGCTGTCCGTAACCCGTACTATCTCCAGTCAGTCACCGTCATGGGAATAGAAGGAAAAACACTCACCCATCGCCGAAACTGTATACAAACGGTTGCTTGCCAGTGCCGTACCACGCGTTGTTCTTGTACCGACCAGTATCCCACATAATCTCGTACATCACTTGCGGAATGGCCACCGGATGCGTACTAGGGCAGTTTGGAGTACCCAGACCACCGTTATTGGAGTACGCGACGTGGCTCTTGTGATCTGGAGAATCAAGATTCTTTCCATCCCAACAAGACGGAAAGATGATGGTCGCCCTGATCCCACCGGGACAGTATTTGTTAGGCAACTCTGCAGAATCCTTTGCATCACAGGGTGCAAAACCTTCTCCATTTCCCAAACATCTATGGCAGATGCTTGCCTTGTTAGGCTTCTTGGCCATAGGATCACCCGCAATCATGCGGAACCCTGGTTTGAAGGCCGTCATCTTGTTGTTCTTGGCAGAGTACGGCATGTAGTACACTGTCATACCACCGTCCTGTTGGAGCCCCACGTTGGCGAACTGGGGCACGCGCTGGAATGTACCGTTCTCGGGCGACTTGAAGTAGAGCGAGGCAGTCCAGTAGTTACTGAAGTCTTCGCTGTAGGTGCAGGATGTGCAAGTCGAGCGTTTCGGAGGGTCAAAGACACCGGGTTCCATCTGCAACATGTTAGTAAGGGCCTCGCCTATAAGACGGACCAGTCATACGGTGAGGTTGAAAGAGTTTCCTCCGATGATCTGATGCGTGTGTGGTGAGGGTCGTTGGCCGGGATTCACTAGCGGATCAGCTCTCTCGACGGTGAGTTGCGAGCATGCAAAGCGAAGCATGTTTTGCGCAGTGACGCATTGCGTCAATAGCGCGCTGGCGGCGATGGTGGACCAGATCATGACGATTTTGTTTGTCAAAGTACAAGATGGGAGAAGCAACGGCTTGCACTCAAGAAGGCTACTTAAGCCACGTAGAAGATGCATATACATCCGAGGCTGGTGGCCGCTATCAGTCCATATATTGGGGTGTGACGGCGACAACACCTCTTTTCCCGCTCATGCCAATAAGAACGCTGACAAGTCGGTAGTCGTACATCTTGTGACAGTCACCCAACAAAGAAGTTGAGGCGATTTCTTGACTTCATCGTTTGGATGAAGTATTTAATTAACACAACGTATCGGCAGTTGCAGCAATAGTACCGAAGGCAAATCACGACAAGCTTTTCGCTTCTTAGATTGCCGACAGGGTTTCCATGATCTACATCCGGCCGTCGTACCAGCCTGATATTGATTGCTGCGCCCATCGGCATGTATGAAGCATCACAGAATGAGTTTCACACCTGCGTGTCTCGGGAGATGATCTCGGGAGTTCATCGAGCAGCTGGTACCTAAGTAGGGAACGAACAGAAATATATCGCTCTTTGGAACCTGTCAGCATGTACACACTCAGGAAACTGAGACTGCTTGACTGTGAGGAGGTTCGTCGTATGCTGTCCTCGGCCGACTCTGCTGCTATTCGGCTAGAACTGCCGAATTTGGTATTTTGCGGGGTGAACCGAGGATCTCCTCATCTTCAGCTTCGACATCCGAGCATGAATATACCCAAGCCATGCGTATAGACATCATGCGTCTTTCCATTGCAATACCTAATTCTTTAGCCGTACTGAGATCGTACATGCCACCATGACGCAACAGCCGCCCTCTGCTTCCTCTTCAACATCCGGCTTCTTCCAAGCTCTTCCGGTACTTTCACCGCAATACACAAATCTCAAATCACTTCCAGAATCTCTCCGAGGTCAATATTCAAGCGACATAGAAGCGTCGGACGACAAGGTCATCGCGCGAATATCAGATCTCTACTTGCCATACGACGCGACAGAAGCTACCAAGCATATTCATCATTTAGCACGCCTAGCACTCAATCCATCCGTCTTGAAGTACGCTACGGATGCAGAGACGAACCACCCGGTACTGCGGCCGCTTTCTACTTTCGGCGCGGAAAACACGAACGATCCCCTGTGGACGACGTCTGGATGGCAGAAGTTGAAGGAGATCGGGTATCGAGAGGGTGTCGTGTCTGTAGCCTATGATGAGTCCCACACCAGTTTCAACAGACGTGTGCAGCAGTTTGTCGGAAACCATGTATGGAGCTCGACTGGTACGATGACCGGATGCCCTCAAAGCATGACTGACGGCGCTGCGACGTTATTGAGCAAGCACAATAGCGATTCAGATGGCGACCAACCAGGCCGCAGCGACGTACTGAGGGAAGCATACGAACGATTATGCAGTCGCGACCCAGATGTGGCTTGGACAAGCGGACAATGGATGACCGAGCGATCTGGCGGCAGCGATGTGTCTGGTACGGAAACACTTGCTAGACGCATGACCCCTCAGGAAATCGCTGCCGAGGCGAGAGACGGAAGAGATCGCGATGCGGTTGGTATGCAATTGGGCCCTTGGAAGATACACGGCTTCAAGTGGTTTAGTAGCGCAACAGACTCTGAGATGGTCGTGCTCCTTGCACGTACAGACAAAGGTGGGCTATCGGCGTTTTACATGCCCGTGCGCCGACGTGTAGGTGCGCAGTCGGCGAATTGCAATATCCTAAACGAAAAAGCACTGCCTCGAACCGAACTTAACGGCGTTCGCATCCAGCGCCTTAAGAACAAGCTGGGGACAAAATCGTTGCCGACTGCTGAGCTCGAGCTCAATGGCGCACGCGGCTGGCTTATCGGCACCGAAGGTCAGGGTGTAAAGGAAATCTCCGCTATTCTCAACATCACGCGCTTACACACGGCTGGCGGCAGCGTTGCGAACTGGGGACGTGGTTTGGCTATCTGCCGTGCATATAGTAAGGTACGCAAAGTTCGTGGCGGACTACTCCAGGATACCCCAGCACATCTGGCGTGGATGGCCGAAGAGACAACCAAGTACTGGGCTAGTGCGCACTTCACGTATCTTGGTGTCGCCCTGCAGGGCGCTTTGGAACAGAATTGGGATGAAATGGTCGCAAACACGAAGGTCACGCATTTGATCCCAAACAACAAGACCACGGTTGCGGCTTTGTTAAGACTATTGCTGCCTGTGATGAAGGCTCAAGTTAGCGTGGCATCCGTTGATGGCCTGCGGCAGTGCATGGAGTGCCTCGGTGGTGTCGGGTACTGCGAGAATAACGAAGACGGTGGCTTGATGAATATTGCGAAAATCTATCGCGACAATCTCGTTAACCCAATATGGGAAGGGACAGTCAGCGTTATGGCAGAAGATGTCGTTCGAGTGCTTACCGACAAACGACTGGGAGACGGCGATATCTTGACAAACATTTTCGTACCATGGGTCAAAGGCGTGCTCAGTCGATGTTCTTCTACTTTTCAAGAGGAAGTTTCACTTGTTGAGGAGAGACTCCAAGCTTTAAAAGATCTTATTCACAATGCTCAGAAAGAAGAGCTGTTATACCATGGACGAGAGATTTTGGAACACCTCGACGTCATTGTTGGCAGCGCCGTGCTGGTGTACGACGCGCAAGCCAATCCGGATGCTGTCGCACGAGAAATCGCAGTACGGTGGATTCGCATGAAAGCACTCTCCGCGCACAAGCACAAGCGCTCTCAGGATTGGAAGGTCTCATCATTCATGGATAAGCGTATCTTTCTTGGAACACCGGACGTAGATGGAAGTGTGTCGGCGAAACTCTAAAGCAAGCGTAGTTTCGGCACCAAAAGGTGTGGAAGATGGCTTTCGAGACTTTCATTTATCCGTGGTACGTTGGCAAAACCAAAACGCGCTTCGAAGAGGCTGCGAAGTAGCTTTAGCTGGTGCTTTGTCTAAACAGCTATTGAAAATGGTTACTTTTACTGTGAACCGGGATCATTCCGGATGTTGCGGCAAAACTTGTCCATGTGCTTCATTCTGAGGAGTCTTTCACCATCATGGTTCCACGTCGAGCTCTTATTTTCGTTCGTACTAGTGCCACAAGCTCTCATCTGTATATCGAAGCACATGTTAGAGAAACTTACAAAGGCTATTCGTACGTTGCTGAACCTGAAATATCTGCAACTCATGTGTATCTTTGTTCTCACGAGGACATCAGCTTACAACCTAAACGGAAAGTTCCGCCTTTCGGAAAACGAAAGAATCTTCTTCGATAGTGTTGCGCGAATGTCAGACTTGTCAAAAAAAACAGCTATAGTCAAAGTATTTCGAGGTTGAATATAGGACGACAAGTCGTTTTGCCAAGTGAGGCTACGGGAGTCCGTCAGAACGCCTCCCCGCATTCTCCGATGCGACCTCCCGAATGGCGCCCGCCATCACCGTAATGGGTCTCCACTTTCAATGCCGAAAACAGTCAAGCTTCAGGTTTTACACAGCTTTGTCGTTGACTCTAGTGACAGACTGGTAAGGCGAGTGCGCGATGCTGCGCGCCATGTCGTAATGTTGGAGTCCAACTTCTGGGTCGAGGAGAGGAAAACAACGCCCTAGAATCTATACATGCCAGGCCACGGCAGAAGAGAAGACTCAAAGCCACCGCAAAAGTTGCCCATAGTCCGGCATGAAGCAGGATCATATGCACCATGCACAAGGTTATCGAGAAGGCACTAGGGCATCAGCCTTGTACCTCACATCATGCAGGTCGTGGAATTGGCGGCAAGGAACTTTCCCTTCTTTTCCCCTAGGCTCAACGCATACACTTGATAGTGTTGAGAGCATCTGCCGGCCCGCTATCTACCAGCTTAAGCTTTGCCAATAACCGTTAGGCAAGGATTTGGGAGTACACTACGGAAGTGCGAACAGACCCAATCACCTCAATCTTCCTTATATCATTGGTTTCACAACATTTCCATTGTCTAAAGTAGTTAGCCGTCGCAGTAGCTAGCATAGTTAGTGCATTGTGAGAATCATCTTGACTGCTAGTCGCACATGGACTGGTGTCTTAACATATGGCTCTCAAAGCCGAGTGGTACATACTCCGCGGCCAACCAGGTACCCACGAACCATGGACCGCAAATGTGCTGAGCATGTACGGAACTATAAAATGACACGCTCGCCACGGGTTCGTGCTGCACTGTTCAATATCTAAGGAAACGATTTGCAACGAGCAGCTTTAAAATGGCGACTAACCACAGCGATGTTGAGCTCATCCCTGGCACGGAGATCATCAACGAGGACAGTTCAGCGCAGAAGACGCTGATACCAACACCCTCTTCTGATCCCCGCGACCCTTTGAACTGGACCCGAAAATGGAAGCGTACGCGACCTTTTCTTGAACACAATAGTCTTCGCTAACGGTTAACCTAGTCATGGTGATGGCCTCACAATGGCTCTTTACTTGGATCTCCGTCACCGGTGCTCTATCTATCGCACCCATGTTCCCTCTTCTAGGCGCACAATTCCATCTCAACAACAACCAGTTAGCCATGCTGACTGGCATCACTGTCATCACACTCGGCTTCGCCAACTTCATCATTGTGCCGCTCTCCAATATATTCGGTAGACGCGCTGTCAGCTTGGTTTTCTCGGTACTCATTCTCTTGTCTTGCGTATGGCAGGCAATGGCGACCAGTCACAGCAGTCTGCTGGCGGCGCGTGCTGTAAACGGTCTGGTCTGTGCAACGAGCGAGAGCATCCCTGTGCAAATGATCGCCGACGTCTTCTACCAGCACGAGAGAGGTCTTTGGACGGGTGTGTACTTGTAAGCGATACTTCCTCCACGCGGTCGTACAACTTCTAATGTGTCGTGTAGCACTGGCTACTTCATGGGAGCTTTCCTTGGTCCGATCATGGCGGGATCCATGGCAGCTCACTATGGCTGGCAATCGTTCTTCTGGCTAGAGACGGCATTGTCTGGTGTTTCCATCATCCTCATCGCTCTCACCTTCCCTGAAACCAAGTACCATCGCGGAAACGCAGGGGTCATTCAAGCTGGCAGCAACAACGTTAGCAATGACGATCAGAGTAAGCTCGAGAAGCAAGCAACGCAGGCTGGGGTCCAAGACTCCGAAGGAAGCTCACTCGAACAATCCACCACTGTGCAAGGACGGCCTTCCCGCGCACAATTCATGCCATTCATGAAGCCGGATGCTCGGTGGAAGATGTTCGTTGTGCGCGACACCTGGACGCCCATCAAAGTTTTCTTCAACCCAATCATCCTATGGGCAGGACTGATGCTTGCTGGCCCAGCTGATATCCTCCTCTTTTTCAACCTTACAGAGTCCCCTGTGCTCGCTGCGCCGCCCTACCTCTTCAAGCCAGACCAAGTAGGCTACACAAATTTCGCATTCGCAATCGGCGCCCTGTTCGGTCTGGCGACAGCAGGTCCATACTCCGACTGGGTATCCGCCCGTGCAGCGCGTAAGAACGGCGGCGTGCGCGAAGCGGAGATGCGACTACCAGCGTTGTTCATTTACATGATCATCACCATGCTCTCGATAATCCTCGGTGGTGTTGCATACCAGCAACAGTGGGCCTGGGGTCATATTGTCGTCTGGGGCTATGGGTTCGCTGGCCTCAGTGTCACCACAGTGCCCACCATTGCCATTGCCTACGCGATCGACTGCTACAAGCCCATCTCCGGCGAGATTATGGTTGTCGCAACAGTCTGCAAAAACTTCATCGGTTTCTCGTACAGTTACTGGGTTTTCGATCTTGCGCACGAGAGCAAAGATGGGTGGATCACCCCCGCTATGGTCATCTTCGCTTGTGCGATGGGGCCTGCGCTGTTTGTATTTCCCTTGTACTTTGGGTTGGGCAAGAAAATCAGGCGATGGACAAAGGATAGCGATGTTCACCGTATGGAGGAGGTAATCTAGATGATTTGTGGTGGTGCCTTGACGCGTTGACGTGTAGGGAGAGACCCGGTTGGCAGTGCCACTGTAGCTCTTAAGGCTTGTGCGACACCTAATGTTGTGCGATCATTGTCTTGATATGGCATGATATACCCAGTCTTCTTACTCTGGCTTCTTCGACCTCTGAAAGTTGCTCTGCATTGTATGCTTGATTCTGACGAAGAAGTCTGCCCAAGTGGATACATTCTAGATGGTACCGCCAAATGTGGATCTCAGATTCGCGCTAACCGTTGACGTCATCCCAAGTTTTCCACCAGCGGGTATCGTGAATCGGTATGAATCATCTATCAACCCGCATCCATACGCCGACTAATATCAATCGCATCCCAAGATGTCTATTTCCAACCTCCAAGACAAAGTCGCGATAGTGACCGGCTGCAGCTCCGGTATCGGCCTAGCAACAACACGTCTCTTCCTCGAACGAGGCGCCTCAGTCTTTGGAATTGACATCGGCGAGCAGCCGCAGAAGCTCGCTGAAGACTACTCAACATTTACCTTCTACAAGACTGATCTTACCGAATCTCAAGCTGCTGAGCATGCGGTAGCAAAGTGCGTCGGAAAGCACAACCGCATCGATGTATTAGTCAATTGCGCTGGCGTAAGCGATGGCTGGAGTAGTGCGGACACCATTCATGAGGAGGAGTGGGAAAGGGTCATGTCTATCAATTTGACCGTACCTATTCGCATGATGAAGGCTGTACTGCCGGCGATGAAAGAGCAGAAGGGTGGTGCTATTGTCAACGTGGGTAGCAAAGCGGGGACTTCGGGCGCGAGTGCTGGTATTGCATATACTGCGAGCAAACACGGACTGGTAAGTACATGATTCTTCCCGCGATACCTTATATTAGTGCTGACGATACAATAGGTCGGTGCCACAAAGAATGTGGCCTGGCGATTTCACAAAGAAGGCATTCGGTGCAATGGTGTATTGCCCGGCGGCGTTGCAACCAACATTGCATCATCGGTGCAGATGGAGCACTTTGATTCTGCCGGCTTCAATGCGTTCTTGTAAGTTGAATGCTAGACCACGCCTACTCGTTTTGGCATTTACTTACGTAAACAGTCCCATCGTGCAAATGCATGTATCGAAAGACAGCGAGGGTACGCCAGTTCCGTATATTGGAGTCGATAACGTGGCGCGTGGCATCGCTTTTCTTGCTTCAGAGGAGTCAACGATGATCAATGGCGCGATGATACCGATTGATAACGCGTGGTCCACCATATAGGATGGAACCGTTGCGGCAAATATAAATTGATCCCTTTTCCAAACATATACTAGGTTTCTCAACGGCCTCTTTCACATATAGACAAGGCTGTTCTTTGCTAAAGGCAACATCTTTACATCTCGTCTTTGTTGCAAAAGGTCCACATTCGACTTCCTGGCTCACGTTTGCTTCGGAACGTCACTTCCCCAAGGGTAAGCCTCCGGCATAGCCTTCCACGTTTTCAGATCATCATAGTTCCTTGTCGTGCTCTTCCCTTGTAGTACCTTTTGTACAAAAGGCAAGATATCTGCATACCCGCTCATATCGCAGTGCCCACCAGATGGTATACTCATACCCAGCTTCTCGCCTACACCTAACCAGTTGTACACGACCTTGGCCGCGGGGAATGTGACTTGGGCTGTTCCTTTAGAGTCGGTGAACTGATCGTTGGCGTTTTGAGAAAGGATTACTGCGCGTGGAGCGATGGCGGCGACGATGGTGTGGGCGTCGTAGGGTAGTTGGGAGGATTTGCCAACAAATTGAGAGATGCCAGAGGAAGTCCACCATCCAGCTCCGGACTTCTGTCAGGCCATCAGTACACACATTTCTGGCATCCGTTAGAAGCTCCGATAAGACTCCATACTTACAGCGTTTTCCAAGTTCTCCCCTTGTCCACTTAAACTATATCGGTAAGGTCCAGCACCTTGGACACCAGAACACATTGGCATGGTAACAGCAATACGTTTGTCAAACAGCCCAGCAGCCAAGGCAGCCTTGCCTAGACGGGAACAGCCCGTAACTCCCGACTTGGTGGCGTCAATCTCTGGAACTTTGAGTTCGATGCCGTCAAGGACACGGTGGAAGCCCCATGCCCATGCAGTCAGAACCCCTACAACGACTGTAAGCATGCGTTGAAAGAGAGCAAAAGGATCACCTACCGATGTCCCTGCCGTTATACAGTGTCCAAAATGAACCACTCTTGCTGTTGCTATCTGCTGCAACTTTGGTATAATCGAACGTCACTACTGCAATGCCAGCATTAGTATAACTCTTCGTGTCCATGCCGCCAATCGATATGACCACGGGAAAGGGCCCGCTTCCGCTTGGTAAGTTCAACGAAGCTGCGATACTAGCAGTCTTTCCGCCGTTAACGACGGTGACAGTCAAGGTATTGCCACTCCGCGTTGCTGAGACAGTCTCTTGCGCGTGATCCGGATAGTAACCGTATTGGTATTCCTGGAGGAGCTTAAGAATCTCGGGTTGGCGGCATTGTAGCCACTCATCCTTGCTTTGAACGCGAGTTTTGCCATCAAGGTACAGAAAGGGGTCTGGCATGGTCTTGATGGATGGATAGGCCGCCGCTTTTGGCATTGGGTTTGGCGTTGCTGGACATGTTATATTCGTCTGGCGAGGAAAGACGCCCGGGAGACGCTCGAAGTTGTCTTGCAGTGGTATACCGCCGCTTAAGCTCGTTAACGTCAAGATAGCGAAGAGAGTGGTGCGCATCTTTCTGGTTGGTCTTTAGGTGGAGACGTTCAGAACACCGCATGGTTGACTGAGGAGACAACTATATGAATAGAATTAAGATAGCTCGGAGAGTCACTGTTTCGGACCAACGGCTACATTTTCATTCGATATGAGGCAGCGTCATTTCGTGGTCTTGCCCACTAATTAATAGACCAAGTGATCATCTCTTCTATATGAAGTCTCTGACTCCAATCATCTAATTGTTCAGTAGGTAGGGGTACTGCCGTGCAATAACGGCACCTTTTACTAGTCAGATTATATCAGTTGTCCGGTCATCTCGATTTCTAACGTCACAAGCTCATACTGCTTCACGCTGTTTGTGGGGCTCCTATATAGCCATATCGTCGGGTAAAGGGTCGTTCCATATATAGCTGCAATGCGGAGAGAGTTTACACATGAGATAACCCGAGGTATTGCGCGTTCGGAACAATTTCTCGCGACACCTTCGGGAGGAATGGAGGCAATTCGAGGTGTCGTGTTTGTGGCCATACTACGTCACACGTGATAGCGTGATGACGCGCCAACGTGCGCGCTGCTTCAGGCGCTGGTGTGCGATGATTTGCAAAGAGCGATGATCATTTCAATAAATACTGGACATCCAAAACTGCTGAGAGATGTCCAGAACGCGCTGGGGTGAAACAAGTCAGAGGATTACATCGGCGATGATGTCAAGCCACACGGTCCAAGCTCCTATCGGTGCGGGGAGTATGATGTTGAACAGCTAGGCGTCCTAAAATCGAAGTCTATCATGTAGCTTATACCAGCTTCAAACACCAGTATGGTGCTTTTGTTTCCAATTCTAATCGCTGCTTTGGCCAGTGCTAAATGCTTCGAGCCAAATATCGCGCATCCACCACCTGAGTACGATGTGCACAATCTCATGCTCCAGGAAGCATTCGAGTCCATCAACACAGCGCTCACGAAAGCTGTAGCTGCGCCGGAGTTTGCTCGAACCTCTTTCTCGGTAGAGATTACTTCGTCGAAAGAAACGCTGTGGTCGCAGCATCACACGGCACGCGAACGCAACGACTCTCGTCCAGATATCCCCGAGGTCAACGGCGATGCGTTGTACCGTATCGCTAGCATAACAAAGACCTTTACCGTACTCGGTATATTGTATCAACACGCAGCTGGTAATTTGAGCCTGGATGCGACAGTGAATTCCTACCTCGAAGAGCTAGGAGAGAAGTCGGATGGTGGCATACCATGGAAGGACATCACATTGCGCAGTCTGGCCAGCCAGTTAAGTGGCCTTCCACGCGAGTGTAAGCTGCCGTCTGATCAGGAACACAATCTGTTCGACGGATGCCAAACAGAAGAAGGTACGCATGCTGATTTCTTCAATTAGGGGCTCAAGGCGATTTGATCAACGAGAACTACGAAGAGCTGAATCCAAGTTACCTGGGTCTACCGCCTCATGTGTCACGAAAAGGGTTGCCGCATTGTGATGAATACTCACCGAATTATGAGAGACCCTGCACAGCCAGAGGTTCGCTTCTCAATAACTGCGCATGGAGACAGAGTGCTGACTGGAGAATGCCTAGATTTGTTCAAGCAGGTTAAAAAGTTCGCGCCACTCTTTGCGCCCAACCAAGCATCGTCCTACTCCAACCTCGCTTTTGAGATCCTCGGTCTTGTCCTCTCGCGGGTAACGAACCAGACCTACGAAACTTATATCGAAGAAGCCATCTTCAAGCCTCTAAATATGTCTACCAGCACGCTCGCGAAACCCGCCGACTCTGCTGGTGTCATTCCGGCGGGCTCACAGTTTTGGGATGTTCAAGAGGGTGTTCAAAATCCCACAGGCGGCATCTACAGTTCCTCAAGCGATCTGTCCAAATACCTCCGCTATGTCCTAACGCATTTCAACGCCGTTACCCACGCGATCAATTGGCTGCATCCCGTCTCCCCATCCCGCGGTATGAATTCCTTTTACGGAATGCCATGGGAAATATTCCAGACAGACCGGATACTCAGAGAGTCGAAGCGCACAGTACGTTTCGTAACTAAAGGCGGAGGATTACCAGGCTACACTTCCATCATTATGACAGTGCCAGAGTATGACTTAGGTATCACCATTCTGGTCGCTGGCCCTAGCGGGATCTTCTCCAAGCTTCAAGATATCGTGACTATGACCATGGTACAAGCAGCCGAGAAACTTGCTATCCAGCAAATGCGTGATCGCTACGCCGGTACATATAGTGCTTCAGATCCAGAGTTGAACTCTACCGTGACGCTTGAAGCCGACCACCGCGGTCTCGTCGTCACAACCTGGATTTCGAATGGAACGGATGTCTTCGAATCGCCCATCACGAAAGGCAGCACCCCGTCGCACTACTACGCACAGCTCAGTCCAACGCTTCTCTATCGTGACGAGGAAAAGCAGCAAGGTGAGGAGTGGCGTACAATGATCGTTGAGGAGCACGGAGAGGGTCTAGGACCTATTTGGGATGACTTCTGCGTTGAGAACTGGGATATGTCCTCTTATGCTGGCATCCCTTTCAATGCCGCCGTGTTCTGGGATGAGCAAAAGGATGGCCACATCCGAACGCTGGAACTACCGGCCTTCAGGGTAAACCTTACCAGAGTGGACGAGAAGAAGGGAGGGAATAGGGAATATGATCAACAAGAAGCGATGGAGCTCTAAGGCCCGACACTACAAACTGGTATGGCGGCCTGATTGTACTCGCTTCTGGTACATGAATCATGGCTGCACGACAATATGTAAGTCGGCGCAGCTAGAACCAGGTGACATGATCGCACACACAACGTTCCTCTAGAAGCTATACAGAACAAAGGATTCGCGAAAACTCGCCTATCTTTGTTTCAACGGCACTTGCATATGCCGTACCCCAAAGGAGTCGGGAACCACAGCGCCCTTGATCGGCCATCTGCACTAGTGTTTCCGAGCATAATTAGAGTCTGTACTAAGCTGGATCTACATGCGGAGCTAAACTTTAAATCTCACATGCAGGGCGGACCCATGTTTCTGGCAGTGAACATTGCCATCATCAACCTACAGAGAATAGATATCATTGTTCACCGGCTCCATATACTTCCGATGATCAGCGCTCTTGGTATATGTCAAGAGTCGCTCCACTAGCCAAGCCTCTGGTTCGAAGCCGTCATACATAGTAAGCATAAGCCTTGTGGCGATGAGGAAAACGCTAGAGGGATCGACACGTTTAAACAACGGATCAGGTTCACATCATCTTCAACCCCTCGTGTTGCCTAACACGGAGAACTATTAGCACTATAGGAATGTACGCGTTCATGCATCTACAGACTCGACAACTTTGCTTGATGCGCATCGTCACTTAGTAGCTGGTATGTCATTCGAGACAATACTACATACCTTATCTCAAAATATGTGAATTCACACGACACGTCCAACGTGTCAAGCCAGCGATGGGAGGCAAGAAAACGGAGGCTAATCGCTCGTTGGGCGCAAGCTTCACGTGGATTAAGCCGTAGCTGCAGCGGCGTAGCATACGAACTAAAGTCAGGGCACTGTCTAGCTCGTAGACCGCCGATTACGCCCGATCGTGCAACTTATGTTGCGGGCCTCATGGACGAGACTCCGTGACGAGGTTGGCAACTCCACTGATTTGAGCTTGTAACATACTAACGGCGCCTTGATTTCGGGTGGCTAGATTTTGACGTACGCCGATAACAGGAACGCCTTTTCCTTGCCGCGTATAGTATAAGCCCCTGGTTGTATGCTGGTTGATATGGGCTTCTAAGTACCCTGTTCACATGCGAACTGTTGTCGCTTATCATATCTCTCCTCCTTCCTCTTTCGCACGCAGGGCAACCAACACAGCCTCTTTTGGAACGCCCTTGTCTTAATACGTACAATTTAAAAAGTTCTGGAGTACGGCGTCGTTCAATGCGGGTCCCGAAATGAAGTTCTTCTCGGCACTATTATTCCTCGTCTTTGCGCATTTGTCATATGCGCAAAGTCAGAATGGGACTGACGTTCTTGCATCGGCAGTAAAGAACCTGCCTCCATGCGCGGTATGTGAAACAAGTCAACTCACCAAAAGCCGAGACTGATCATGATTTTCATATAGCTAAAATGCACATTAACAATCGTCACATCGTCACCATGCGAGCTCACCGACATTGAATGCATAAAAGGCAACGAGACGCTTCTAGATGATCTCAGCACATGCGTGAAAGCTAGCTGTAAGCCAAAAGAAGCATTGAGTAAGTCTTCCTCGACTTCACGTATCGGACTGTTTGCTAACTGAAGCCACAGCGGCAAAGAGGTTTCTTTCAGAATTGATGGATGCACCAATCCGCAACAACACAGAACAAGGAACAATCACCACGTTGGTCGCTGGAATACTGTCTTTGTTAGCCTATGTCCTACGCGCAGTCGCACGCCTCCCCTGGTTTGGCGGAAACTGGGGCCTGGACGATTGGGTTATGACCGCAGCTATCGTATGTCTTATTGCAGGCTTTCATCTATGTCACACGTCAAAACTTACACTTCACAGATACTCATTATTCCACTTACAATATGCGCATACATGCGTGAGTAGCATCGAATCCAGAGATCATAGCCTTTCTAACCAAAGCTTCCAGTGAACGAAATCGGCTTGGGTACGGATATGTGGCTCGTGTCTTTCGAAAACATCACGAAGATCCTCGAAGTATGTAATGAGGTGTTCAAATGCCGAAAGTCTGAGCTAATGGTTGTGTGATTTCAGATCTTCTACTATACTGAGCTGCTTTACCTGGCGTCGATCGCATTGACGAAGATAGCAGTCTTGCTCTTCTACCTCCGCATTTTCCCTCATCAGAACCTCCGACGCATCATATATGTCACAATAGTGGTCTGCATTATGTACATCATCGCTTTTGTCACAGCAACGGCACTGCAGTGCATTCCAATACGAATTGCGTGGGAACATTGGGACGGGGAACATCACGGAAAATGCATCAACCTCAACGCCGACGCCTGGGCATCTGCGGCCGTCAACATCATCCTCGATATAATCGTCATAGTCATACCCATGAGGGAACTCAGCAAGCTCGCCATGAGTCGCCGTCGCAAATTTGGTATCATGCTTATGTTCCTCGGTGGAGGCTTGTAAGTCCAGTCCCCAAATTTCGATTTCCGCCTATGCTGACAAGTACGTAGTGTCACCATCGTCAGTATCCTCCGCCTAAAATACATGATCCAATTCGCCCAAACAACCAATGTTACCTGGGACTACCTACCCATCGGATATTGGTCCGCAGTCGAAGCACACGTTGGTGCGATTGTCGCCTGCTTACCCGCTATACGCCAACTGCAACGCTCCATTCGCGAACGAATCTGGCCCAAACAGGATAACCCGAGTAACTACTACTACGAAGAGAATTCGGGAAATAGCAGTAAAAGGAATGGTAGCAAAGACCTCAAGTCTCGTATCTGGCTACCTAAAACCGATCGCTCCCAACTGAGCACGCTAGGTCGGAGTAGAGTCGATAAAGACGATTTTGTCCGTCTAGACGAGTTCGAGATGGGTGTCGGTACAGGAGATAGAAAGGACGGGATTTTGGAGACTGGTACACCTGGACAACATTCTTTGGATAGATCGCTGGATCGGTCGTTCAATTCGAATGAGGATGTTCAACCGCTGGCGGCTGGCCCGGAGCCTGTCGTTGGCTCGACGTTGGGTGGCATTATGGTGCAGAACGAGTATAGTGTTGATCGAGGGAGTCCGCATCCGGAGGAGTTACAGGCGTTACCTCCGATTCATCCTGGAAAGAGGAAGCTGATGGATACGAGGACGTGGCTTTGATGGAGATGGTATTACTGCGCGATTATCTATGAATTCTACGAAATTTGGGAGATACCCGAGAGTAAATGTTTAATGGATCGATACCACCATGGACTAGGAGTTTGTGGCAACCCATATCTTGTGTTTTCACTTTTTGCGTAACCTACGAAAAGCGTCCTTTCAGTACATCACCATGTTCGGTACGAAACGTAACGCTGAGTAATGCTGAGTAACTGCTCACGAAACTAGATACTAGGTGCTCTGCGGTACAGGAGGAAGCCAAGCCCTCCAAGACCATGACGACAACAGATTATAAGACATTCGAGCACTGGTCGCCTGACGTGCCGGCACGCTCTCGCCCACTTGCCGCACTACAATACCGGCCAAGACAAGAGAAAGGCGGCGACGGTAAATAATGAGTCGTGAGACTACACCAGTGTAAAAGGTTAAGTGGGGTGGGTCGACCCACGCCGGCTCGGTAGATCATACCCCACAGTATCTGCCTAGTGGCCGGATTGTGTGACTTCCGTGGTAGGTCCGAGGGATGGCGATGGCTTTTGAGAGAGTACCCTACTAGATACCTCTGACAACTACAAAAATTCCCCTGCAGATTGTGCAGTTCGAGTCTCGTCTTGAACTGTTGTTGCGACCTCCTCTACCACCCTCAACCTTAGCTCGTCTTTCTTCATCTCTTGCTTGTCCCAGAAATAGAATGCAAACAGAACGATACCACTAATTGGCACTGCCACTACGAAAAATAACCACACATTGCGACTTGCTTCATCGAAAGGGACGTTTCCGGCGATACCATTGAAGAAATTCATGCCGAAGAACGAGGACACAAAGGTTGCGGGAAGGAAGGCAATAGTAACCCAGGCTATGCCCCGCATAGCACGACTATCTCTTTGAGTTTCTTCCGCAATTCTTATGCTCTGTGCAAGAAGCATTTCTTCCCTTATCGCTCGCAGGTCGTCTTTCTCCTGCTGAGCATCTGCTCGCATATGTCGATCATGTTCGCGTCTCTGACGCTCGACTTCCTGTTCTCGACGCCCCTTTTCTCGCATTTCACGGAGCTCTTCTTCTCGTTTTTGGCGGTCATCCTCTCGATTATGACGGCGCTCGTCTCTGGCCTGCCTTTCTTCGGCAGCGACATCGATAATATGCTGACGCAATTCTGCGATACTTTCTTTTAAGCGATCTGGGTGGTACTGCTCCAAGCTCTGAGCTAAGTTTAGCAGACCAAACTGCAAAAGCGTATATCTTGACGGCCTTAAAACATCATTTGCCCATCTTGCAACCTCGATGCTGAATTTGATTTGGTTCCATAGACGTAGAAACCTGATCGTATGATTGAATTCGTTGAGCCTATGGAGCAAAGTGCTCAAGCCCCGATGTGAACCTGTTTGGAAAGAGTGTTCTATATCTTCGATCTCCGACATGATGTTCAGCGCCTCGTTCGTGACAGCCCTGATGTACCCTGATATGATGTCGCGAGTCAAACACGCGAAGGCGTCGAAGGGCAAAGGCTCGACTGTGCTCTGGGGTTTGAAACAGTCCCATACACCTTCTTTTAGGGATTTATGCCAATCCTGCGTGCCAATCTTTTCGTCGTAGGCGTATACTCCCTGCCATCGATATGGATTGCCTGCGATAGAACTTATCGAGAGATAATGATATGGAGTGCATTCTGCAGGTGTCTCTAGCAGAATGCTACGCTTCTCTCGTGAACAATGGAGACGACCAGTGGCTGAAGTTTGGTTCCCTTCAAGCAACAACGGTTGCCAGTCTTTTGTTACATCCTTTAGAAACTCTTGTAAGGCGACTGGATCCTTTATATTCTCGAATGGCAGCCTTAGCAAAGTAATATGGGTCGGAAATTTTACCGTGTGAACAGCGTCGATCTGTGGATGCAGAAAGAATGACTTGATCTGGGATGTCCATGGGACGCTGAGCGTCTTCTCGAACGTAACAGTCTCTGAATCTCCTTCGATGAAATGGCCATTATCCGTGTGGTAGACGTATACATTTCCACGACAAGATTCTATCAATTTTTTTTATCTCAGGCTCAAGCCGGGCGCAAAACTCCTGAGCGGGATGCAGGGTTTGATCTAATCGTTCGCAAAAAGAATCCTCTTCAAATGGCTCCAGGGTTTCGGCCATAGTCGCTGAGTGACGAAAAAGGAAAGTGTCGAAGGTAAAGGAATGACATAGAAAGGCAAGGCTGGGGGGTTGAGAGTACATACAGCTCAGCGCAGCTCAGCTGCCAAGAATGTGGCGCACATGCAAGCCTCAAAGGCTTGCATGACAGTAGCTCTGGAGCTGGCGATAGGATCATACAGTACTTTCAAACCCGCCTCCGACGTATTTGATTTGACCAGGTTAATTGAAGCTTTGGAATCTGGATCTTCATCGTTCGCACGGCATTATCGCCTGCAAAGGCCGTCAATGGATGCTAACGATCACTTCACAGCATGTCTACAGCTTCGCGTCCACCTTACCACTCCCCGCAGTCGCAATCAAAAATTGCCCAAAATACTTCTCCAATTTGCTCGCTGCACCTCCATCCAACTCAAGAACCGTGCCCACCCACCCATCAGGTCTCAACACCACTACAGCCCCCTTCTCCGTAGCCACACCGTACCGCAAATGCGCACTACAATTCTCATCATAAAACACACGACCGAACAGCATACCGTCTAGCGTCTCATATGCCGACGGCCCACCCGGTCCCGCAAAGATGGAAAGACATGATATAGGAACATGCGAATCATGTAGCCAAGCAAGACTCAACGTCGATACTGTAAACGCCGACAAAGCTAATTTCGTGCGCGACACCTCCCCAGCAAAAAGGGCAATATAAAACGTTGCCGTATTCGGTGTCTCGACTTGTAGACGCGTAGCTTCAAAAGTCGCGGGTTTCTGCAGCGTAACATCTGGTGCGCGCTGACCAGGCTGTACGGAAGCTACACCTGAACTCTGGACGAGGTTCAAGTAAGAATCTGCTTCGTAATAGATACCTAATCCGCTACTGAATGTCGCTGCTTCAGCCATGACTACACCCAATATCTCATTTGGATCCGCGTTTGGATCGCCAGTCCAGCCCTCGGGTAGCTGCATCGTCATGAGGCGCGAAATGTCTTTGTCGTAGTTGATCAATCGCTGTACATTGGGAAGTCTTTCCGCTTCGTATGAACGTAAAAGGTCTGGGTTGGCGAGGCCTTGGAGGACGAGTGAGAGTTTCCAACCTAGGTTTACTGCGTCGTGCATGCCTGTGTTCATACCTTGAGCTGCACCAGAACTATGCGTGTGACATGCGTCGCCAGCGAGGAAGATACAATCGTTTACGAAGAAGGAACGGGCGATGCGCTGCCCGACCACATAGATGGTCCACCAATCTACTTGCTTGAACTTGAGGCTGAATGGCTTAACGGATGCGATGGCCTCTTTGACGGCGGCTTCTTCGTCGAACACCTCGTATGCTTTCTGGCGCTTGGCTGTGAACGCGAAGCCGATGCGCGTTGCACCTCGATCTAGCGCTGCCCACAGAACGTTCCCGTGTGTGGGCGATTCGATAGCGCAGTATGTTCGCGGTTTGGGGAGATCGGTTTCGATGACACCGTCGACACGCACCCATTTGTCTTCGCTAGATGAGCCGTCGAACGGGATGTTCATTGATCGTCGCACGAAAGACCTGCCGCCGTCTGTGCCGACTAGATATCGGCATTTGACCAAGCTCTTAGCTTTTGTCTCGCCGTGTTCGATTGTAGCCAAGACGCGATGTCCACCCACCTCAACTCCCTCTATTATCTCGATCCCCACCAATGTATACGGCGCGTCAAGTTGTACTCCTTCCCTCGCCAACGCTTTCCTAAATACTTCTTCTTGGTATTTCTGCCTAAGCACCAGCGCAAAATCCCATTTTGTATCCTTCATGTTCTGCATGAATGCCCAGCCTCTTCCTTCTACCTCATTGCCATGTTTATCGTAGTTCACTGTCTCACGACACGCGAAACACTGTTGCGCGAGAGAATCAGCAAGACCAAGCTGGTCAAGCATCTCAGAGCTACGGGGGAAGAGAGTGATAGCGCGACCATAGTTGTCTTGTGAAGATTTAGGGTATTGCTCGATGATTTTGATGCGGTGGGCAGAGCGAGGGAGGTTGCGCGCAAGCTGGTAGGCGGTTATGAGGCCTGGATGCAGTTGTCAGTATGATGGTGTATTCGATGGGTGTTGGGGCACTTTACCTACTGGCCCTCCACCTACCACAAGTACATCTACATGCTCCACAGGCAATTCAAAGGCAGCCATTCTCACTAAGGAGGGCAGAGTCTAGTTTTGGCTTATGGTTTACTTCCTCAAGCTCAGGTACAGCCATGTTGGCAAGCGACAAGCTTTATGAGACTATTATCGGCATGGCAGACGGCAGGGAACAGCTGCTCCCTTGATAAGGAAGCGATCGCATTTTATTAGTCATGCATGAATTGATGTGACACGATGGAGATGGCCGCATTGCAAGTGCTGTCGCAAAGGAAGCAGGCAAGAATGGGGTGGGACGCGACGTCCATGGGTGGGCTGATAAGATAAGGATCTAAGCCGCGTCAGGCCTAAGCGTCAAACCCAGCCGTCGTCACTTTGTAGCTACAACACCAATCTTGACTTGGAGTTACTGCAGAGTACCTATGCGTGTCCAGCGGCCTCGTATTTAGCAACAAAGCTGAACAAGTTCAGTGTATCGATGATGAAACCTCGCACTCAGCTCTACGCAGTAGACGCACCGTCACAATGACCACCCCTACAACGGCAGCACCCACTCCCCCTCCCTCATAGGTTTAGCAAGACTACTTGTATCCCTCTTCGTAAACTTTCCATACCCCTTTTCGCCCAACAATCCCCCATTCTCCCTATCCCAGACCACCTTCCCCCTCAGCAGCGTATACCTCGGCCACTGCTTCAGCCTCCTTCCCTCAAAAGGCGTATAATCAACATCATGATGCAACATGCTATTCGCCAACTCAAATTCCTCCATTTTACCCTCCGGATACCAGATATTGATATCAGCATCCGACTCGTCTTCCACTAATGCGCCTTTCTTTGGGTAAAGCCCGTACAGCTTCGCCGGATTTGCAGACGTGACTTCTACGAATTTAGTGAGCTTGAGACGATTCGCGCTTAGTGTAAGTGGGAGTCTTGTTTCGATTCCGGGACAGCCGTTTGGTATGTATTTGAAGTGGCCCAGTGGGTATTCAGCACTGATGCTGGATTTCTTACCCATCTCGGGGTCATCGTAGCGGAAGGGACAGTGGTCTGAGGACAGGATTGTGAAAGTACCGTTTGCGAGTCCTTCCCAGATTACGTCGCATTCTGCCTCGCTCTCCCGCGGTGGAGGCGAGCATACGCATTTTGCGCCTTCAAAACCTGGTTGGTCGAGATCTTGATTTGTGAGGAAGAGGTACTGTGGGCAGGTTTCGGCGTAGATGGGTAGACCACGGTCTTGTGCTGCTTTGATGTGGGCGGCTGCTGCAGGTGTGGATACGTGGACGATGAGGATTGGCGTGTCCATGAACTCTGATAAACTGATTGCGCGGTAGGTGGCTTCCGTTTCCGCCATGGGTGGGTGGGACGATCCGTGGTACTTTGGCGCGAAGAGCTTCTTCTTTTCAAGTTGTGCGGTCATCCAATCGATTACCTGTCCGTTCTCGGCGTGGATCATAGTCGTTATGCCTTGTTTCCGGGCTTCGAGGAGGATGTCTAGAATCTGGCCATCGTGTAGCTGAAGGGCCTCGTAGGTCATGTAGATCTTCAATGAGGATATGCCTTCCTCCCTCAGAGTCTTGAACTCTGAGAGAGCCTTTTCCGAGGGATTACCAACGATGATGTGGAAAGAGTAGTCGATGTAGCAATTGTCCTTTGCTCGTTCATGAGTGGCCGCCAAAGTATCAAGAAGAGTATCCTCAGTCTTCTTCTGTGGCGCAAAAGTTACCATGGTGGTGGTACCACCACATACGGCCGATCTACTGCCAGTCTCGTAGTTGTCTGCCGTCGAGCCGTTGCCAAACAACGGAGGTTCTTGGAGATGTACATGAGCGTCTACACCTCCTGGCATAACATAGCCACCTTCAGCGTCTATCGTCCTCGTCGCTTTGGCATCTTTCAAGCCTCCTCTTTGAACTACTTTCGCGATCTTCTCGTCTTTGATAGCGATATCCCACTCTCGAACTTCGGTATCCGACACTACGATCCCGTTGACTATAACCAAGTCGTACCCCATTGCCACTTCTTCTCAGCCTTTTTCCAGAGAGTCTGACCTTACGAATCGATCTTTCAATTCAATCTTGGTTATCAAAGGATACATCTCAGCGGTTATCGTGGTTGTAGAAGGACGGCTAGTCCTGGTTTGTGAGGTGCGTATCTCGACCCCTCTTTCGCGCTGCCCCACCTTCCTCCCATCGCCCTCCTCCGGTCCTTATCAACCATAACGCCTATCCGCGGTATAAACGCGCTTGAGAAGGATGCATATATCCGGCACAGTCATAGACATTGGTCATACGTAACGGAGACGCGTTTCTAGAAAGCCGACGCGTCGGATGTGTCAACGGCGGCTCTAACGACTTCACGTCACCATGCCTGACCCTTCAACTCAATTTCCAAACTGCCATAACTGACATCTAAACTACAATGACTTCTGAGCCCCTAAATATCAATGGCACGAGGTTGAACAGCACGTTACAAGAAACATGCACTTTATACGGCGCTCTGCCAGCACCATCAACAGGAATGTGCCGTCTGACATTAACCCCCTCCGATAAAGCCGCTCGAGACTGGCTAGTCAGCGAATGCCAAAGTTTAGGATGCGACATCAAGATTGATCAAATGGGCAACATCTTCGCCATACGTCCAGGGACCGCTAAAGACAAAGCGCCAATCGGTATGGGCAGTCACATGGATACTCAACCGGCGGGTGGGAGGTACGAGCAACATTTCCCAAGCAATCAGTAAGATATCCAAGTACTATGTACTGATTATGGTGCAGGTACGACGGCATACTAGGCGTCCAGTCTGCCCTAGAGGTCCTCCGTATCCTCCACGAAAACAACACCCAAACACATTGTCCCATGGCGCTGATAAACTGGACAAACGAAGAAGGCGCGCGCTTTCCCGGCGCAATGATGGCCTCAGGTGTCTGGAGCACACACAGTATCACGCCTCTAGAATCCTGTCATGCTCTCCAAGATACAGAGGGCATACGCATGAAAGACGCTTTACACTCGACCGGCTACCTAGGTCCAACTCCTTGCGATTATCGCCAAAACAGTCTCTCCGCGCACTTTGAACTCCATATCGAGCAAGGACCTATTCTGGAGAAAAAAGGGAAAAGCGTGGGTATCGTGACGAGTGTACAGGGTATGAAGTGGTTTGCGATTAGGGTTACAGGACGAGAAGGCCATTCCGGTACGACGCCCATGGCAGGCAGGGCCGATGCGCTGGTTACAGCGTCACGGCTTATAACCGCCGTGCGTGATACCGCACTCCAGAGTGCCAGCCTGGGCGTTGCAACCGTTGGTGTTATCAGTAGTGATACGTCATCGCAAGCTACTATACCCGCTGGAGTGGCGTTCGTCGTAGATGTAAGATGTGATACCGACGCCCTCGTTACTCAACTATCCGACGAGATACTGCAGGCATTCGATCGAGTCATCAGTGAGGAGGACAATGGGACGGCATACCGCGTAGAACGTACGTGGGGTTTACCGGAGTCGAAATTCCACACGGATTGTATTGGGGCTGTGAGGAAGGCGGCGGTCGAGCAGGTGGGTCAAGATCAGGTTATGGAGATGAAGAGTAGAGCAGGACATGATAGTGCGTGGACGAGTAGGGTGTGTCCGACTAGTATGATTTTCGTGCCGAGTAGAGAGGGCATCAGTCATAATCCGGAGGAGTACACGAGTCCGGAGCATTGTGCGTTGGGGGCACAAGTTTTGCTTGACGCTGTGCTCGAGTATGACAATAGAGTGAGGTATGGGGAGATTGGAGCCTGGGAGTTAGCAGCTGGGTTGGAATAAAGATGTAATGGTATGCTATGTTATTTCTATCAACACCCAACCATGAGGCGACTATTTACAAAGAAGTTCACACATCCAATCCCCAAGCACCAATCAACTCATCCTCTACATCCCACTTCTTCTTATCCAGAGTAAACAGCCGGCCCGGGGCTTACATACTTGAAACTAGAATCATAAATCGCCTTTGTAAACACCGGGTCACTAGTCTTGTACCCGCCCGGGAAGCTAACACCTGCAGGCGTCGCACTACCACCTCCCGTAACCTTGACCTGGAAGCAACTGACATACGGCTGCGGGTTGTTCGCTCCAGCATGCAGAGCAATCGCCTCGGCCCTAACCAGATAATCGCCCGAAGCAATGTTCTTCGGCACGGTGAAGGCGCGCTTTCCGCAGTTGGCATTGAGGATCTCAGTTCCCCACGAGGCCGTTGTGCCGGTGTAACCGTCCTCTGCGACCTTGAAGAAGGAACCTGATGTGGCAGTTTTTGCGTCGGCGACTTTGGCCATGTAGATTAGAACGGGGCCGTAGTGGTTGCCGCCGATGGCGGGTTGGGAGCAGGAGCGAGAGTTGGGCTGGGCGTGCATCTCTACGGTCAGGGAACCGCCGGCTGTGAGGTATTCATTAGTATCATGGCTCTTCTTGAAAGTATCTCCCCTGTGTAAAGGAGGATTGGCAAGGTAGTGGGAACGGGAAGCGTACCAGCGACTTCACAAACTCCAGACGAAGCAGCAGGACCACGACCACAGAACATGTCCGGCGATGTCAAACTAGTGACTGGGCTGTTGTCCTTGACAGTTCGCACACAGGTGCCAGCTTTGTCTTCAGTGCCGACCCATAGTTCCTGCCAGGTCGAGTGGGCGGAGACGGTTGCCGCGGCGGCGAGGAGAACGGTGGCGTACTTCATCTTGAACGTTGATAAGTTTGCGAAAGGGGATTAAGGGTAGATGATCGTTTCGTATCGAATGTCCCTTCGACACAACTCCAGTACTCCCAGTATTTATTCTCTTTCGATTCCAGTCACATTCATCATAGCAATCTAATAGCGACGATATTACTCCAGCCGGGCCGCTATACCACCATCCCTTGTCATCTCCACAGATCTTTGTCGCCACCGGTCATGATGTTGCACTTGATCACTTACATAAATTGCATCCATGGAATCAAGCTTCCTTGGCATATGTCGGGTAGCATGTCCTCGTCAGCACTCAATTTGTGTGCCGTATAGTCATTGGCGCAAGAGTCTAAAATGTATGACCCCGGGCTTTACCTCATTGGGTACGGCATTGGAATTCTGGGGTCGGGTGTCACATGGCGCAATGTGTGGGCTTTCGAGATGCAACGATGCCCCTGGCTATATGAAGCGGGTATATTGTTTTGTGATTACTAGACCGGCGTGTGTTAGGACAAAGTAAGGAAGCGTGTATGTGGGCTGATCAATGCTCTTCCTGGACGTCGGTGTTTCGGACTTTGCAACAAGATGTCATCTTTGTGAAGCCGACACATTTTACGAACCTGGTGCAGAATGAAACGTCGTCGTGGTGACTATGCTGTGTTGTTGTTCAACGATGCAGATCAACCGGCATCCCGGGTGTACAACCGCCTGACTGACTAGTCCTCTTTTAATCCGAAACAAAGCAAAGCTACTGGAACGCCAACCATTGGCTTGGAATGTTCAAGTCCCGCAATTGTTTTCCTTTTGTTCGTCTCAAGTTATTCAGATATATGACTGACTGACGATGGAAGAGGTCGGTAGGTGGTATGCACCTGGACGTCATTGACTCAGACCTTTCATCTCCGTTCGATTGCGATAGAGTGCGTAATATCCATGATGCTAGCCACGTGACATCCACCATCCTCCCCTCCGCCTCCGCCTCCGCCACCATTCCCGAAAGATTGAGTATCGTCTAAATCATTATCTTGGCGTGTGCATGCACGAGATTTCTACCGGGATTCCGTTACGCCTCTTCCGTTCGATGACATGAACCCACATCGTTGTCTCTCCAGCAATGGGGAGACTTTTTCGTACGGCACTATTCTCAACGTCCCGGTATGAGCCTCAAGCGCTGCAGCGACATCTGGATCGTACCGAACATCGTCTAAAGGCTTTTGCGAGACATTTACGCAACCCCCACCTTCTCTTTCTTCCCAAAATAATTCGCCAGAGTATTCTTTTGTGTCGGCTTCCCTCCTTCTTCCCACCCGCGTCCTTTTTCTTTCCCCCTTCCCCAACACCCATCAACTTCTTGAATTCCTCCCACTCTCCCTTCCCCACAATGCCCCCACTAGCCTCTTTATGCCCCCTCGCAAAGCTTTCACCTAGTCTGTTTCTCAACTCTTTGTCGTCTGCAACAATACTCTCTAGCTTCTTGATAATGTCGACTTTCTCCTCCCCTTCTCTGGCCCGCGCGCACTTGGCAACCCGACAAGAGAAGTTGACTTTATCCGGAAGGTATCCTTCATTCGCGCACATGACCACCTCCAGTTTATTTGACTTGAGCGTGCCGGACCAGCGTGTAGCGATAACGGGGTGGATTTGCGCAGCACTCGATATCGTAAGCAGCGCAATCGTAGCATCAGCCGAGAACTTTGGCGGCGTGTGTGTGCAGCGTTCCGTCTCACGCCGTACTTCTAGGGAAGCAAGTTGAAGCTTCTCGTTCTTTGTTGTTATATCCCCCGGAGTGGTCGCTGATATAACAGCGTCCCACGCGTCATGCACATTGTACGCTGCTGATCTCCTAGGCGCATTGACTAGGGCAACGGCGTCGTTGATGGCTTTCTTGGGATGAAGTTTGAACGTCGCTGTCATGTCAGGAAAGGGCGGTTCCCACTTAATGCTGCTTCCGAGGTCGCCGTGTGTACCTAATGCAGCCAACCAAGACACTTTATCGTGAAGGTCTGCGTGTAGCGGGAGACAGATAGTATATGTTAATAAGGCGCTGGTTGCGACTGGTGGACAGTCGTGAGCTGTGACGTAATCGGCACCTTGTGGGAATCCGCCTTCGTCTGCAAAGTGGTGATCTATGACGAGACATGTATGTGGTAGGTCGATGATGGGTGGTGTTTTTCTGCTGCCTTGGTCGAGGACGAAAATGTAGGAGGGGGACATGGCCGTTAAAGCTGCCTTTGTGGTGGATTCGTGCACGTTGGAGCCTTTAGGGGGAAAGTAAACGGATATGAGAGAAGGTGGTAGACCTAGAGCGGTGACTGTATGATGGAGTATGGCGCCAGAGGAGAGTCCATCGGCATCTTTGTCGGGTAAGATGACAATTGGTTTTTTGGCTTCAGCACTATGGTGGGTTAGTTTACGGATGTCTACCCATCGAGTTCACTTCAACATACCATTCTTTAATGATTTCTCGCGCGCGTTCAATCTGCTCCTTCCGTGCCGGCCAGATAATCTCTCCAGACTCATCCTGTCTTGAAGAGGTAAGATGATAGGCGGGAATAATCGTCTTTGTCTTCTTCGTCTTCGGCGGCGATATATCTTTCTCAGCTTTGCGCTTTGCTAGACTTGACATTACGTTAGGCGCGTGAAACTGCCTCACGTATACGAAGTTGGAAACTCGTAGCGATGGTCGTGGCGAATACAAACTTCTCGAAAAGATGTTTGATGATTTCGCCGATCGACAAACAAGGCCACTCATTACGCGCACAAGAAGCTGTCGTGTGAAGCGAAACGACCTGTGTAGATGCGATGGTCAAAGGTACGAAAGTATCGATGACGTCGTTGACGCGCTAGTCTCATTCTCGTCCCAACCACCACCAAACTCTCAAGACGCGTCTCGTTTGTGTTGGTCTCGAACTAGAATAGTACAATCTCCTGAAAGTCGAGAGGCATAGCTTCACCCTCCATGATTCCATGGATATAGCAGTTGCCAATGAGGCGATACCTGCTCGTCCGTCCCGGCTCTGTCATCATAGTTCCATCTCCGTTGTCAGACGCCTCGGCAGCTACGTTGCGTAGAATTGAAGGGACTTTTGCTCTAGAAAAGATGTGGATTTGGTCACCGACCTGTCATCTTTCAGGAACTACCCCAACGTAACCATGTTGCGTGACTGCCAACCGTGTGCCATGCAAAATGCATCTTGAGGAGAACATCCAACCCGCTTCGATTGCTTTTTTTGGAAACGTATCAGGATCGTTAACGTTCGTGACTGGATTCATTTCGAGTAGCAACCACGTCTCGTACATAGTTCTAATATCCTCCAGTGTTTCCCCGTCGCAAATGTAGTTACCAATCATCGTCTTCAACTTGACAGCGCCCATATCCTCGCCAGTAGGATAGGTGACAACCTGACCAAAGAACTGTTCGGCATCTCTAATGCAAGAGAGGCGAGCGTTGAGATAGACCTCCCCAACATCAGTGACGGTATCCCAGTAAGCACTGCTTACAGCCAGCTCGCTTCTTTCGGCGTCTAGCTTCACCACCGTCTGCGTATCGGCAGCGGCACAAAATTTCCAGTGCCGATTGAAATGCGGTGCCCCTCTGTTGTCCTTTCCTTCGAGTAGGCTGGGCATCCATGAAGGGAACCGATTGGGATCCGGGCCCAGTCCTGCTCTGGCTACAAAAAGAAGCGGATCTTTTGTTTTCAAAAATATGTGATTGACAACCCTTTTGACGATGACTTCGATGGGCGCTTCATAGTCAGGTAAATATGCCTTGTCTTTGCCATCTTTTGCCAGCGAGGTGAGCGTGAATATATGATCACGCGCGCGAGATGCTTTCCTCGTCTGCGTAGATAGATAAAGCAAGTCATGAAGAGACCCGCTTTCCAGACCGATCATGCGCAACATCCGACCGATGCCTAGGTCAAGCAGAGCTATCACGCCTAGGTGCACACCGGGCGAAGCATTCACGTGTGCCCATATGCTTCCCTCTCTGAGTATGGCAGCCGTTGCCCGACAAATACGATCCAAAGGTCCATCCCACTCCCCACATAGAGTATGCACATTTGCTTGTAGCAGAACTTCCTGTTGAATCCACGCCCTGTTGTACCACGGCCGGCGAAAGAAAGCCTTTAACGAAGCAATTTTCTTCTCATATTCTTCTTGAGACATGTCTTTTTCTCTAAGCCGTGCTGCAAACCCTGTGTGAAAAGGGGTCAAAAAGGGCATTCGACTTGGGTCCGACACACTCCTTAGCGCAGTTCCAAGATCGTTCAACCATAGTGCCGGCTCTGCACTGTCCATGTTGCTTGTCTTCTCCAACTCTTCAAAAAGTACCTCCAACGCGATGTCGCTGTTGTCTTTCTTTTCGCCGAGAAATACAATTGTGGCCGTCGCTGCAGTATAGATGTCTCCCATCAACTGAACTTGCATAGCCTTCTCTTTATTATCTTCCTGGTTAATGCACACAGCATCTGCCCATACAACAGGTTCCCTACGCCCAAAAAATCTTCGCAAGTGTTGCAAAGCCGAATGGAGAGATTCCGTGATGTTGATGTAACCGCTTTGAGTATACACAGAACGACACTTTGTCGCATCTCCCCACGTGTACGATAGAGCAACGTACTGTGGCTGATGGTCAAGGTAAAAATGGCTGACTTGACATCGGATTGGGCCCGTCCAGGCGCCTGGGTCAACCTTGATGAGGCGGATATCACGAGGATTCGATAGAGACGAATAAGAAAAGACAGGTTGTTCGTTAAAGTCACGCTGAGCGGGCGTGGATCTGGATTCCATATCCATAGCTGTCTGTGGATAGCGTTCTGTGGTGTGGGCGATGGGGGGATGGGTGCACGAGTGACGGCTGGGAGTTCACGCTTGTGGAAAGTACGCTGTGATCATATTTTGGCAACAACAGCAGCGCGGTCAACAGCTGCTGCTGCTCGGCCTCAACCTTGTCGCCTGCCTATTCCCTGAGTGATTGGTTAGGAGCGCAAGGCTGATTCTGGGCAGGTAGCCATAGGCGCTAATCCGTAGTGGGGCGCAGCTGGCCCGTTCATTGGTCAGCTCGGTACCCAGTCCTCGTCTTGGGGAGGTTATCTACCTAGATAGAACCGCATCCAGCCCTCCGCTCAAGACCTAAGCACCGTCACAGTCTCTCGGTTGATCGTTGGCTGATGGGGTAGGCAATGAACTTTTGGTCAGCGTGACCTGCCCACACCATGCTAGCGCCACTGCTCGCGGTCTTCGATATGGTAGAGAAGCCTTCTTGCTGTCTCTACTCACCCAGCGCGATAACAAACGCATAGTATGCCATGACAATGGCTGCTCTCACTTCTATTATGAATATGATCAAGAGTTTGTTACCTGCCCACAATGTATTGCGCCATATCATTTATATTCAGTGTTAACGTAAAACTTCTTCTTTCTCCTCCTTATTCTTCTTCTTCCCCATCAATCACAGCCTAGGGCCCAGTCACTGCAAGTACCCATTCGCTTGCAACCACTCCCTAACCACCTTCTCGTCTCTCTCCGCATAACTTGCATAACTGCGAATTGTATCATCCACAACCTCCAGTCCCTTATTGTAGCCTCTAGTATCCTTGGTCTTGAAGAACTCTTGGATCTCATCCGCAACCTTGGCGTCCGTGAACTTGTTCAGTCCGAACCTGAGGAAGCGCTCCAGCACAACAGGGTTACCCGCAAGTGCAGGATGTACCTTGGCATCCCAGTTGTCCCTTATGTAGTGCCAGACCTCCGGGCGGACCTTTGAGTTATTGGCCAGGGCAATGGTGGAAGAGTGTTTATCTTGCATAGCAACCTTGTCGGAAAACACAAAGTCCATGACCTGTTTCGCCAGCTCACTCGTTTGCACCCTCCCAAGACTGCCCAAGCAAATTTCCTTGCCATCAATCGAAGTCGTGTTGATGTATTCGTTTATGACAGCTTGCAGAGCAGATTCGCCCCGATTCTTAATCGCTGTAGCGAAAACAGCGCGGCGAAGAGAAGGATGGATAGCGTTCTTGTCCCCCTTCTCGACGTAAGCGTCGAAGCGCTTCAACGCCTCATCGACAGTGGCCTTGTGACCGACGATACCAGCAGAAAGAAGAAGAGCAGCCCTGAGTTGACCAACCAGATAACTCTCCCCTTCCTTGAACTCCCAGCCGACCTTTTCAACAGCCGGCGTGATAAGCTTTTGGTGGTATTTCCTCAGTCCCTCACTGATGTCTTCGCTGCCGGAGAAGACACTGCGGACATTACCAATATTGGTGAGGATCTGAGACCAGACCAGGTAATCGGATTCGTCTTGGAAGCGCTCTGCTAGTGCGAGGAGACCGGCAGTAGATCCGTAACCTGCAACTGCGTTCGCGTAAGCATCGCCAACAAGACCGATCTTGTCCTGCACGGTGAGCTGATCACGGTCTTCTCCGAGTTTCTTGAGGCGGTCGGCGGGGTAGTTGGTGCGGTAGAAGCCAGTGAGATCCTTGTTGAGGAGGTAGAAACTGTCGCTGACATCTCGGATTGTGTCTTCCTTCTGTGTCATAGCAGTTGTCTTGTGAACGGACGCAGTGGAGGCAGATTCGCCGGTGTGCAGGCCAAGCGGAATCCACCAGGTGGTTTCATCCTCTTCGGGCTTGACGTTACCGGCGAGGAGGAAACGTTGTTGGCGCAGGCCAATCTGGCCGGGCTCTTCAGCTACGGTGACGACTGGGAAACCGATTCTGCGAACCCAAAGGTCCATGAAGGTGTTTACGTTCTGGCCAGACGCCTTGCTCAAGGCGGACCACAGGTCGTTGGTCGTGGCGTTGGAGTACTGGTGGGCCTTGAGGTAGTCGGCAACACCTTGGAGGAAGACCTTTTCGCCAAGATGAGCGCTCAGCATGCGGATGACTGAGGATCCCTTCAGGTAGGAGATGTGGTCAAAGATCTGGTCGACCTCGAGGCCGTCATATACGGGTACTTCGATGGGATGCGAGGTTCGTAGTGCGTCGAGGGCGAAGGCTTGTTGTACGGAATCAGTCTAGAAGACATGGTCAGCGGGCTGTTAGAGCAGATACCTCGAGATTTATGACGTACGACAAACTGTCCCCAGACGTTCCATTCTAGCAGTGTTAGCGATAGTTCCTGCATCGTATTGATTGGACCTACCTGGATAGAGATGGTCAATCGCAAGCCATCCGACCCATGTCGCGAAACCCTCGTTGAGCCAAAGCTCACTCCACCAGTCCATGGTGACAAGGTTACCGAACCATTGATGAGCAAGCTCGTGAGCTACAACGTAAGCTACCCTGTTGCGGTAGCTGTCGGCGGATGTGGCGGGATCGAAGAGCACAGCAGTAGTTCTGTAGGTGATGAGACCCCAGTTCTCCATAGCTCCGTGCGAGAACTCATGAACGGCCAACAGATCAACCTTGGGTAGCGGGTAATCGATCTGGAAGACCTCGGAGAAGTAATCGACAATCTTATGGCAGTTGTCCAGCGCAAAACGTCCCTGCTCCTTCAAACCACGGGTGGTGTACACCCTAACAGGAATATTCTTGCCATTGTACTTGCGCTCGGTGTGCGCCTCAACGTACTCAAAGTCACCGATAGCCCACGCCAAAAGATACGTAGACATGATGGGCGATCGCTCAAATACAACAGTGTGGAAGCCGTCCCTCTTGCTAGCCTTGATCTCCTTCTCTGGCATGTTGCTGAGTGCGACCTGGTCCTTGGGCACTTCCAGCTCGACGTCAAAGGTAGCTTTCAGGTTCGGCTCGTCAAAGCAAGGGAAAGCGCGGCGGGCGTCGCAGGCCTCGAATTGGGTGCTGAACATGTAGTGGAACTCGTCATCCTTTGCTACGGAAGCGGGGACGTCGCCCTTGGGCTTGTACTTGGAGCGGTAGAAGCCGGCCATGATGTTATTGACGAAGCCTGAGAACTTGATGGACAGCTCGGCTTCACCGGTGTAGGTGATGTTCTCGCCAAAGTCTAGAGTGACTTGTTGTCTCTTGTCATCGTAGGAGATGTCCTTTGCCGATAGTGTCTTGTCGCCGGCCTTGAGCTCAGCGCTTTGTAGCTTGAGCTGATGTGCGTTGAGGACCAGGGTGTTGAAGCCATCGTCCTTTGTGATTTTGGTGGTGATGTTGACGGTACCCTTGTAACCAAAGTTACCGCCAAACTCGAGGTCGTGGAGGGAGAGGGCATAGTGGGAGGGTTTGACCCTAGAGGATGGCTGTCAGTATAGATGCAGTGAGACAAGTGTAAGGACTGACCATGACGGGAGAACATCGCGATCAGAAGCCATGTTGACGAAACTACTAGTAACCTCGCTCTGACAAAACCTCTTTTGTGTTCCAAAAGTGTTTGTGGTAGCTACCGCAAACCTCGGTCTGAGGCGTAATTGCGTACGTGGGGCAGAATCAAGCTCTCTAGCTGCAGAAGAGAAGCTTCTAGAGCTGCTAAGGTGGGCCGGAGAGGTGTTGAAGTGGGTCGAGCAAGGTGAATGCGATACAGCGGAAAGTAAACGCGTCGAAGAATTGAGAGTGGCTCTACTCCGAGTCAATTGTCGAGAGCATAGTCTCGCTGAAGCCGATAGAGCAGCCAGGGTGAAGGTTTAAGAAAGGAGGGGCTGAATGGCTTGATCGGAAAGAGGGCAAGAGCGTAATTGGCACATGTATGAGATGATGCATATGGGCTTAGAGGGGAAGGTGCGCGTGCGGCATGCCGACTGCCCCACCCATGTAGCCATCCCTGCCCCTAGGGTTTAGCGCGGGGTCTTTTGAGATGCATCTATACTAGATTGGGAGATATAATGATGCTTTGGTGTACGAGATCAGGTGTTATTTGCTTTCAAGGTTGGCGTGCGTCTTCGAACACGTAATCATGCGTAGATGAAGAGCAGATATCTCAGAACGTTGGTATGACATTGACGCCGTGCAAATGCTCCAATTTACGCCTCAGCCATGCAAAGATATACGGATCCAATCCGCCCTTCCATCCAAGCCTCATACTCACAAACGCATCACTTCTCTTTACATTTGCACGTCTAGCCCTCTGTGTTAAGACCAAAGGATAATATTGCATCTTCCCATCCAGTCCTGTATCCTCAAATCCTAATAAGCACATCCAAACACTGTATCCTCCACTCCTTCTTCCCCAACAACCCCTTGACCCACTCATAACTCTGCCCCTCACTCCCCCCATTCCCTCCAAATCCGATCTTCCCCTTGACCCCTTCTACCGCCGTCTTCACAACCGCCTGTGCCGTGGCATTCGCCGCCTGGGCCAACATGCCCGTCGTTTCCGCCACAGTCCCATTCAGCGCCAGTTCAGCGCTATCAGATAGCGGCGCATCGAACCACGGTGTGTGAAAGTCGAAGAGTGCGACGACGAGGATGAAGAGGAGGAGCGAGCAGTATACACATGGGCGGTTTAGGAAGTAGGTGGCTGAGATGAAGAGGACGAGGTAGACGGGGGAGGCGTGCGTTCGTAGTCTAGGGGTGTGCGTGTTAGAATACGCTCGTCATACAAGATATGGAAAGGGAAGGGAGACGGATGAGGTGGAGCTTACAAGAAGAAAAGAACTGGTATCCAGCTCCGTAGGCAGAACATGGTGGGCGGTGGTTGTATGGTTGTTGTCCTATGCAGGTAGGTAGCCTCGCGTGCGCAACGCTACAGCCTGTGCTTTCTGGGTCTTGACGTATGCGTATCCCTAATCTAACAGCGGTCGTGTGAGCGCGCGCGCACTTTACCGGCGATAACAGGACGACAGTTGTAGGCGACCGAGTGAAAGCGCTGACAAATACGACGACTCGGCAGGGCGAACCTTGTTAATAGGGAAAACAGCGAGCGGATGGAAAGAGTAACAAATGGTTCTGGATTAGGACAAGAAAAAGGTTGAGGGTTGCTGACAGCAGCGAGGGTAGTGCGGAGTTGCTGGCGCGCCGATATTAGCGTCATTTGATTGGAGCCCTTCAAGCAACCTCGAAGCTGCAGCTGGTGGCGCAGTACCTAGACATTCATGCATGCAGGTCGCCTTTCGCGTGTCTCAGCCTTATCGGATGCAACTCAATGTGGCGACAAGTGCGGAATGGATCATGGCACGTTTATTCTTATAAGCTATCTTCCTACATGCGCCTTTTCCCGTCGTTTTGCGTCGTCCAGCTTGCACAATGCCCAGCCAGCCAACTGTCTGAAGTCTGTATGAATAGCCCAACCTTGTGTCCTCCCATTGAATGCCTCAAAACGCCCGCCTAACACACATATGCCAATGTATGAAGCACAGTGGGGCCAAACTCGGCCACCGATAGCAGAAAGAGAGCAGCGTCCTTGCGCGCGATATCTATACGGGCAGGTTGAACTTCTTGCCTTGGATGACCCTAAATATATGTTAGACTTCTGACGTGCATGCATCGAGTTCTGCAACAACTTACTTGGTGTAGTAAATGTAGAAGAAATCAGAGTACAAGATGGTCTGGATGATACCAGCAATCACCGCAATCGGGTCGTAGAACTTGGGCACCTCGAAGAAGTAACGGTAGATCCAGTTGGGGATATACAGAGCCCGGTAAGCACCCAGCGCAAAGAGGTAGTGTGTCGTAATCGTCTCCGCCTCGCCGGTTCTCTGCAGCATAAAGAGCTGGGGCAGAATAGCCACTGATTCCAGCCAGATGGAGAAAGCCCAGAGTATCTCGGTGAAGGTGTACTTGTACGGGAAAAGTATCGCCAACACTGCGCTCGCTCCCAGCAGATATTGCACCTTGAATGTGTCTAGATTCGGGTCGTGCGTCGGTTTGTAGTCGTTGAGCATGAGGTAGACGGTATAGGCCGATGTGCTGATGAAGATGATCTTGAAGATGGTGTTGTAGAGCGACTTCGGTTCGTAAAAGGTCCATAGTAAGTCGACGTAACGCGTGAGATAGACAATCAGGTAGAGGAATTGCGATTTGAACGAGATGCCAGACGCGCTCTGTCTTGTGTTAGTGCATGTGGCGCATCACTTGTGCAGTCCAGGCACACGTACGCTTGACACCTTCATCTTATGCAGCAGAATTAGGATGGATAGCAAGTGGGACAAATCCCCTACACCATGTTAGCATTCAATACCCGAAAGAGATTTGTGTCGCGACGCCTACCCAACAATCGGAAGAGGTTCATCATGGCGGTAAGTGCGTCGCTAGTCGCTGCGAGAGGAGCGTGCGAGGTTTGGCGACTTGAGGCGTGGTTGAGGGTTGTGATTGAGTGCCTGGAATAAAAAGACACGTTCCGCCAGCTGCATCACGTAGGGATGGGAGCTGGCCATCCTTGCACGCCAAGCCCCTGCCCCTGCCGCCAACGTCATCCCGATCGCCGCTACCACTCCCGCAGCCGTTCGCATGGCCATTCACTATTCACTCCACAGCAGTTCGCCATGGCCCATCTCCTTGGATGGAAAGACATCCTCAGACCAATCCGCGATGGTTACCGCCATCTGTTCCCCACTCCCGACACTGGGCCCACGCCTGAACAAAGACGCCAACAGCGCGGCCTAGATCGGCTGAAAGGCTTTGCTTACTTTGATACTTTTGATCAATTGGAGTCGTGGAACGAAACTGATTCTGACCCTCTCCAAAGGGCCAACACGCCGCTGCTACGAGGGACAGCCGAAACCACGACGGACAACCTTGGCAAGACACCTGTTCTATTGATTCATGACTATTCTGGTAATTATCATGACTACGAAAGCGTTCAGCCTGTCGGTGTGGACAAGGAGTTTTACTCGTGTGAATATCTCCAATTCGTTGATACCTTTGTTTACTTCTCTCATAAGTTAGTCTGCGTTCCACCACCTATGTGGACGAATACACTTCACCGGAATGGTGTAGAAGCTTTGGGAACGTTCTTGATCGAGCCGCAGACTGAGGGCTCAGAACGTCTGTTACAGCGCACGACAGATGAGTTTGGGGAGATGCACTTCCCCATGGCCAAGAAGCTAGACCGTATTGCGACGCATTACGGCTTCGATGGCTGGTTAGTGAACATCGAGAAACCATTCCCAAGCCAAGTGTGGAACGCAGAGGTTCTCGAAGCCTTCCTGCGCCAACTGAAAGGCAATCTAGGAGTTAACAAACGACTCATATGGTAATATCCTCATATCCACCATCACCACAACTGACACATGACTCTACTCTAGGTACGATGCTCTCACCACTTCCAACAAAGTATCCTACCAGAACGCAGTCAACTTCTCCAACCTCGACTTTGCCAAGGCATGCGGAAGCATACTCACAAACTACTGCTGGAAGGATATCGATGTTTCCGAATCAGCAAAATGGTCCCTGTACAGCAAGTTTCTACCTCAGGGAAACATCTACTTCGGTGTCGATGTTTGGGCACAGAACAAGTCCAGTTTCACTCATCCACGCGTTACCTACCCCGAGTATGGAGGCGGTGGTACTAACACTGGAGTTGCCGTGGCTAAATTGGCAGAATCTGGCCTCTCGGTAGGCATCTTCGCACCTGCGTGGTCATTCGAACATTTTCCGGGCCATGAACGCGATGTTGAACGTACAGTATGGGAGAGCACTTTGTTGCCGGAGAAAATTGACTGCAGTTGTGGCGATTGTGCATCGCGTCATCCACCAAACAAGGAGCTGGCAGTCTTACGTACAGCGAAAGAGCGCGTGGCGGGCTCAGAGCACTTGTTCTACACCGATTTTAGCCGCGCTTTCGGGACACATGGCGGCGATGCGAAACACTTGTTTGATGGCTACGACATGCACGCACAACTGGGTCAGCAATCCATTCTCCCGCGTCCAGCTATTCTCGGAATCCGAGAGGGACCTATTACACTTTCGCATCATATTGAGACCGAACCCAACGGACACGTTTTAGTAATCGATGTCACCCAAAACCGATTGACAGATGCAGAATCGATAGAGGAATGGCTTCCCCTTTACAAACTCGACATGCCAGCAGATGGTTCTTTACACCTATTGACAGTACTGAGTACTAAAATCACACCCTACACGAGCCCACAGACAAAGGACGTCCTCATTAGCATATACTTTAAAACTACCTCAGCAATTCACTACATTCCATTGCCGTTATCCAGGGATCCTAAGAAGCTCGTAGACCAGATACCTCAATCCCGTATCCAAGAACTAGGCGTTCATGTAAAAGGCGCATGGAGTTCACCTCTAGGCGAACCCGTCCGATTGATGAGTATCGCGGAGATTTGCATCACGCCTGGATTCTCTTTACAAGAAAGACACGTGTTCGAAATCACGCAAGTATGGCTTGAGGAGCGCGGTGAAGGGGAGAGGAGGCAGACTAGGCTGTGCTGGACATATGGAGGTTCTACGGGGTCTGATTGCGAAGATGCGGGTATGCCGTGGAGTGATGTGACGGGGCCTTTTGCACATTTTGAGATTCGTAGCAGTGGCCGGCTGTTGTTTGGGAGAGCGTACGCATTGGAGTATATCTTGAATGACAAGTTTATTGATCGCAGCGCTGGGGAAAAGCTTGAGATTGAAGTCGTGGGAATTGGGTTTGATGGACGGGAACTTGCCAAGAAGAAGGTTGAGCTGCAGCTATAATACTTCGACTCATAAGACTATAGCTCTTCAAGCCATCCGCGGTTTACTCGAAAGGAGTATCGAAGAATGCAAGAGTGACTGGGCCTTTACGCAACTTTGTTCCTGGGCAACATGAGAATGAGGCTGCGTTATAGTTAGGTTCCGGCGATAACTGTATCAGCAATGTACATCACATCAAGCTGCGCCACAGAAGAAGCAAGATTTTAAATGCGTCTCCGCCATCATAATTGTATTGCTACAAAAAAAGATTTACAAGGTAAAACTCCATCCAGCCTATCCTGTAAGCCTGACAACATGCGGGTATATATAAGATTCCAAAGAAAAAGAAAAAAATACTCTTCAACACCAAACACGCTTTTTCCCAAATCAAAAAAAAACATACAGGGAGAGGTGGGAACGTTGTACAGAAAAGGTCATCAAACATAGCCAGCTTCTTCCCCCCACCTAGCCCCTCAAGCTACCTTTCCTGTATTTGTCGTCTTTCAGAGGCACAGGTGGTCGTTCGTCGGCGTAGGACTGGGATGGCATGACAGAGTCCTTTCGCTCATGCCTTGGGTCGTAGGTCGCACTCGATAATATTGGCTCTGGAGTGTAGGTCGCGCTCGACAGCATCGGCTCTGGTGTGTACGTTGCGCTTGATAGTGTTGGCTCGGGAGTCGGCTCGGGGGAGTAGGTGGTCGCTGGCAGTAGCGTGTTATATGTGGTAGCAGGTAGTGTATACATGAATTCGTCAATGGCGTCATCAATGTCGTCGAGAAGGTTTTGTTGCTCCGATTGTGACGTCTCGGAAGTCGACTTGCGATCAAAAGGGTGCTTTGGATCGAAAGGGAAAGTGAAGGAGATGGGTCGCTCTTCAGGGGTATATGAGATTCTTGGCGCGTGCTGCTCTGGCGCGCTCCAATCTTGTGGGGGTGCCGGAGTTGTTGGGCTGAGTGGTAGCAGAGAGATCATGCGCTCAGAGTTTATGCGCTCGAGGTGCTGGTCCGACGAGCTGCCAGGATACAAGGATACCGATCGCTCACGTCGTTGTGAGAACCCGCCGTCGTATGTCGTAGCTGGTAGCAGAAAAGAGCCTGCCTCGGGGGCGGAGGATGAGACGTCCTTCTCTTCGCGTACAAACGTAAAAGATGTCGGTCGATCTTTTTGGTTGAAGGGGCTATCGTTGGGGTCGTTGAGTGTCGAAGAAGAGGAAAAGCCAGGAGACAGCACTGGGTCGCTTTGACTTCTCGAATGCGACACAAAGCGAGGCGAAGGAACCTGAAGATATTTCGGAGAAGGCTGGTAGTCGTAGTCGGGTGGTGGTGCGATGAAGATGTCTCCGTGCCCCATTCGCTCCCCTGGAGCGACGTTTCGGAGTGCTTGTAGTCTTTCGTTCGCAAAGTTCGACTCCAGGATGTGCGCTCTCTCGACCAGCTTGTCAACAAGCTTTCCATGCGAGTCTTTGAAAGTCCTCTTAACAAAGCTTAGTAGAAGTGATGAACACGTCATCTTGACATCTTCCCGAATATACAGTCCATGTCTTGGTGTCTTGAGGCCAGGTTCAGCTGGGGGCTTTGGTTCGCCAGGCAGTCTTCCTCCTACAGTCCACTTCCCTTGGATGTCCAGACCGAGTGGCGCGTATACGTGTGTTGAAAGACCTTCGGCTGTGTCGTTGAAGCAAGCGTGGTATGATACAGAACCTGTTGCCAGGCCGCCAGGTAGATATGAGACCTTGTCTAGACGGTGTTAGCACTCCATCTTGAAGTTGTAAAAGCAGAGTAATCACCTTTGATGGTATACCACGTAGACCAGTACTCGTCGGTTGGCGCATAGCTAGGTGGCCTGCACTTGAATCGTTCCACGACTAATGGGTTCAGGTCTATCATGGCCAGATGATCGCGGTACATGTCCAGCACACTCTTCCTTGTGATGCCAGCCGGCAACGGCGTTATGGTAGTGAAGACAGCGGTCCTCGGCATGTTTGCTTCCTCCCGTGATGTAAATCGATCTTGTCTAGATTGATGTTTCAAGAAATCGCCTGTGGATGCGATCAATGTTTACGCGGGCGTGAAGCTGGAGAAGTGGAAAGAAGAATGTTTGGACAGCAAAGCAGCGAGAGAAGATGTACTTGTTTCGCAGGCCATAAGAGGATATTCCAGCCATGTGTGCTGACACGCATCGCACACGTATCAGGCGTGCGCTCGAGCGTAGCTTCAAAAAGCCCCTGCATCCAGATTCGCGGAAGGTTTGGGAACGACAGCACCCCGCCAAGCACCCCGCCAACAAGTCGAGGACGGCATCATTACCGTTTTGATCATGCCATTGGAATTATCTTCCCTGCTATAGCTGCTATATTCAGTCGGATGGCTTCTGGCCGCTTTGTTTCTATGCGGGTCCACGGAAGACATGGTAAGCTCATACTGGCATCGTCGTGGAAAACGCGTTGCCGAGAATCGAGAAACGCGAGTAGAACGCTGTCAGATGGTGTCAGCCGACATTCTTCTGCATGTGTTCTGTGACGAACATTAGTGGCGTGGTGTTGCAAGTGTCAGGACCCTGGAGCAGATCCGCCGCAGGTACGTTCGACGCTAGCGTTTACGCTATGATGAATGAAGCAGTGGCGATGAACTATCGAAGGGTCAACATCCACATAATTCTTCATCAACACGACCATCAGCTACTACGCATGGCATTTCACGGGGTCGTAATATCGACACCAGATACTGGCTGCATAGCTGATAGAAAAGGCTATCATTGCAATTTGCGCCGAACATTGCGGCCGAAGTCTGCCGTTCCAGGCAGTTTGCGTCTCTGTTGTGTTTCAGTATGGCTTCATCAGGCATACAACGCATCTTATCAGGCACTGAGAAAATCTCTTCCTCGGCAGCACTGCTACATACCAAGCGTTTCGAAACAAGCCTAGAATTTACAATTGTTCACGCGAGTCGGCAGTCGACATCCTCCTCCTTATAATCCAGGCATCGCATTCATTCCTGACAAATATTCGGTTAATGAGAACTGCCTGAATACCTGGGAGGCAGCTGTAAATTACATGATGGCTGCCGAAACGGCTGCCGAAATCCCCTTGTCTTGTCATCGGCATGTATCTTCCTGCCTGTCTCCACATGAACAAGGGAGATCAAGAAGCCAACTGAAAGCAGGTCTGACTGTTTCTCCCATGAGCATGATCCGAGGGTCATCGTTCAGTAGCTCTGCTATTGTCGGAATAAGCATCTAGAGAGACAAGTACACACATCACATCTCAAGGTCCTTCTAAGCTTTGCTGTCGGTCTTTTTCGAGAGTGCCTAGGTATCTATTCATGTGGCTCGTCGCAGCAGATCACTACATAATCCTCGATCCAGCACGCAACCTGATAGTCAAAAAAAGTTACATTACGACTAAACCATTGCTCAAAGCAAAGCAGGATATCCAAAAACACCACGTACCGCAATCATGCCTGATGATCGCAAATCAATTCATGTACACATCAGCTCAAACCCTCCCCATCGCATCTCTATACTCCCTGATGCATATCCACCTCCTTACTCTCCTTCACCTTCTTCCCAAAACTCATACCCATACCACCACTCCTCCCCTTAACAACACCAATAACCCCAAACACGAAAGTTACCGCCCAGGCAAGCCACGAAAGCGCACTTATCGCTGTACTCGCGCGGGCTACATCGCAAACCTAGCCACCCTTCATGTCAGCAACACGACTCTCCATGGATACAACTCCTTCGCAAAAACAACGCAGCCGAAAAAAGAGTAGTGGTAGTAGTAGGGATAAGAAAGAGAGAGAGTGTGTGGGGAGAAACTCACCATACCAAAGCAAATCCTTCCACTCAAAAACACAGCAAGAGCCACAAACCCACTAAACCAAAACAACATTGTCAAACCCTCCAAGCCCACCAACGCCCACTTTACACTAGCCTTGTCTGCCAGGTTGCTGAACCGGGGCAGAGAAAGGGACAGCAAAGGGATGAGGGAGAGGAGAGACCAGGCGGGTGCGAAAATGAGGTAGTTTATTTCCGAGGGAGAGGATTGCCGCCAGTGGGTTGACCACCATGATGATACTGGTTGGTTGTTAGAAGGGGTAAGAGGGGGGGGAAGGGGAGGAAGGGGAAAGACATACCATAAGCCATCAATCCAAGAACGACGATGGAGAGAACGGTTTGTACTGCGCGTACGGGGAGGACCCAGTTGATCGCCATTCTTCTATTGTGCTATTGCTGTTTTTCCCTTTCGACAATTGAATGTTCTCACTTCTTTTTCCTTCTGAGACTTTGTCGACTCTCTTGGATAGGAAGTGGTGTATGTATGTGTCGTAGTAGCGAATGTATCGTGTCGTCTAGCAACCAGAATTCCCGTTCTGTGATCCTCGTATCGTGTCGTGCGTGGGTCCCTGTCCAAAGAGAAAAAGAAAAAGGTATGCACGACAACCAGGTCTTCAATTCGTGAAAAGCGCGTAATCAAAAGAGCGTCAAGAAAGGCAAGTATCAAGGGCAGCAGGGAAGAAAACTGAGGACACGAGGAGAAAAAGAAGGAAGAAAAGTAGGGAAACCAGGAAACAGAATCAGATTGAGTATCAGCTTTTCTCTTACAACGCCAGGCATCTAATCTATTTCCATCTCGAGAGGGAGCCTCAGTAATCTGCTGCTCCTGCTGCTGATTGCTTGCTTGCTCCATCTGCTCGCCCAAACGAACATGCAAATTCCCATCTTTGACACCTACCCTGCCGCACAATGCAATGGGGCAATACAGCAACGAACGGAACTACCACCTCCCAGCCCTGGACCCAGAGAAGTCGGATAGTCGAGATAACTTGAACTTTATGCGGCACAACGACACAAGGCTGTGACTGGTTCGAGACGTTGTTTCAGGTTGCCACTTTGCCGAAAAGGGAGAGGATTAAAAGTGGACGGGGCGGGAGACCTGCGACGTTTTATGCGTGCGACAACCCGGTCCTCATCATCGCGGAGATCATTTGGCTCGGCTCGGCTTGTCTCATCGCGTTCTTTCACTGTGTGGTCCTGTAATACCCGATTAGGAATGCGTATTTTCGCGCGTGTAGATGGCTACAACCGCTCGGACACGCCCATCATGAGACTGAACTGAATATCCATCCTTAGCCTAAGCTCAATACTGCTAACCTGTTCAATTCCTTTCTCCAAGGCGGTGTGTAACGGTTCATCTGTTGTTTATCAAGCTGTTGTTCGCGTCATGATAGCCGTGGCAAGCACAAATGCAAGAAACGAAATTCAGCACCAATATATTACTCCATTAACCCTCCCTACATCCATCCACCATCGCAGTTGCGATGATATCGTACACGCACATTCTCCCTAACTATGAGCCCCGTTCCCGACACCTCATATAAGAGTCGTCAGTCCCATACGAACTCATCCATGCCAGATCATTATACATATCATAGCGGGGAAGAGACCATGAGCAGCCCCACCAGTCATCCCCAAACCTAGCGCTTCGTCCCAAAACGTCCGTCAGACCAGTCGTCGTGAGCATTTCAGCATTCACTATCCTGCTCCAGTAGACGTTTAACGAGTGGCTCGCTGAAAGGTAAAGAGAGTGAGTGTGAGAATCAGAAGAGGAATCTATGTGTACATTGAAAGAAACGAATAACGAAAAAAACGCAGGATAGAAGCAAAAAAAGGTAATATGTTAAAAGTGTTGTTGGAAAGGACGTATGCCTACCGCATTACATGCGTACTCCATGTGTAACCAGTGAACACCGACGCGGGATACAAGTGCAGTGAAGACTTGCAAAGAGGTCAGGGGATCAGAGGACAGTTGAGGTAGCAAGTAAGCGGACACGCAGCCCATGAGCAACAAACCATGTCAAGGCATTCTCAGCACATGACAATCTCGTTACTACTAGAAAAGGTTGGCAGCCAGGTCGCCAGAATCTTCAACCGCGAGGGCTGAAGGGTGCGGCGGCACGAGTCATCTCGTTGCACTTGTTGACCAGCTGAGAGATGGCACGAAGGAGCGGGCTACCAGGTGTGCTCTCGTTGAGTTGAATGTATGCAGCTGTCAAGCGCTGAATGACGACGTCCATGATCTTGGGAATGATATCGCGAATTTCGGCGTCCTGTCGAAGATGATTAGTTAAAGTAAGATGGTTGAAGGGCGGTATACTTACGTTAGGGTTGACACTCGTGAAGACAGCGTTGAGCCAGACAAGGCGCTCTGTCAGGTTGCGTCCCAGGGACTCAGACACGACGGCACCAGTCGATAGAGCTAGCAACGGGCTCACCTGGCGAAGGTAGGCGGGGTCGCAGCGGACAAAGACAGCATCAAAGAGTGCGGCACTGCGAGGTGATTGCAGCCACTGCATGGTGCCCTGCTCGTAGTTGCCTTCTGACATAAGGCGAGTAATGGATTCAATCTCAAGCTCCTCTTGTGACTTTTGCTTTGGAGGGGAGCGCGTAACAACAGGCGAAGCTTCTCCTCCACGTTGAGGACCTGGAGCTTGGCGAGCTTCGAGTAGCTTCGCGACCTGAGATTGAAGTTCGGTCTGGGTGGCGGCCATGGTCTGAATAGTCTCCAAGCATGTATGCACGGTGTCAGTCAGCGCGGCAATCTTGGCAGCGTCTTCACGGCGTTGAGCATGAGCTTGTCGAAGCTCCGAACCAATCTGACGCTCGATGATGTTTGTCAAATTAGACATGGCCGGGTTGACGACTGTGGCAACGGAGGCAGCGATCATAGGCTCGAAGTTGCTAGCAATCTTCTTCGCGACCTGATCGGAGAGTGACTGGAACAACTGCGGTTGCTTAAATGCCCGGGAGACTGCGTCTGGAACCTCCTTTGACAATTGCTGTGTCAAAACGGATTTGAGGTTGGTGCTCAGACCCTGTTCGAGGGTAGTAGTAGTCTTTGCCAGTACCTCAGGGAGTACAACGTTGCGGATGTTATCATCAACCATCTTCCCAATTACACCTTCGACATTCTCGTTGAGCGTGCTAGAGACCATGCGTAGGACGGCCTGCTGGTTGGCGGCGTTTGTTGCGTTCAAAACGCGCTTGTCTTCGTCAAAGCGTTTGTACATGACATCTAATTCGCGAGAGAAGCCCTTGGTGATCTCAGCCTGTACAAGGTCCTCAAGCTTCTTGGCATCGAACTCTGCTGAGTGTGCAGGGGCGGGGGCGGCGCTCGGTTGCTGGAAGTGCTTGTTGATGAGTTGCTTAGCCCACTCAGGCGCTTCGGTCGTGTCAACGGGCTTGGACTTGGCGGCATCCTGTACAACAGGCGCCTCAGGTGGTGCCGGGGACTTGGACTGCGGTGTTGCCTGAGCAGCTTGCGCGTATGACGGAGGCATAGCTGGAGGCGCACGGGTAGAAGTGGAAGCCACAGCCGATGGTGCTGCCGAGACCTGGGAAGCAGTCTCTGTGGCGGCCGAGCGCTTCTTCTTCTTCTTTTCAGACTTCTCGCCGCCGTTGATGATAGCTGCACGAGCCGCGTCTTGCTTGCTCTCAACCTTTGCCAGGGTAGATGCACGCATAGCAGCCTCGGGGTTGATGGACTGCTTGGATACGTTGCTGCTCTCCCTCTTCAAAGGCTCCCGAGCAGCAGATCGATCAGAGACCGACTTAGGCGCAGGAGTGTCGCCAGCAGTAGAGGACTCGTCGGTGACAGGCTGAGGTGGCTTGAGCTGCGAAATGGTAATCACACCCTCCTCTTCGGCTTCCTTGGGGTGAATAGGCTCGCCCTCCTTCTTCCAGCCGAGGTCGCTTCGTCGAATGCGCAAAACGCAGACACCCTTGGAGTGCATAACGTACAGCTCAAAAAGAGCAGCATTGTCAGGGTCATCGACATCAGAAGGTCCAGCGGGTTCGTTGAGCATGTGCAGGCTCCTAATCTGTCCCTTGGAAGCGAAAGAGTACTCCGTGATACTAGTCATGATCGCAGTAGCGTTGACTGGAGGCAGAGGGTTCTGGCCTCTGTCACCCTTGTTTGCCAAGCGGGATATGTAGGCAGCTTGGCTCAGGGCAGGAAGGTTGTATCTCGGGCAGGAGACGTGGACGAAGAAGATCGAGTTCCTAGTAGGGTGGGCGACAGCCATGATACCGGTGCGGGGGTGGAAAGAGACGCTGCAAATGGCATCCGACTCGTTCTCGTGAGGTAGGTGAATCTCCTGAACGGCCTTGTTGAGGCCAAGATCCCACAGCTGGAAGGCGTGATTCTGCTTCATACCAACCATGACATAGCGCAACGCAATACCCTTAGTATATGGCTTGTCTTTGTCAAAGAAGAATACTGAAGTGGGCCATGACTTGGCGTTGGGTGTGGTGGTGTGGAACTCCAGCAGGGTCTCGGAGACCTCGACCTGGCGGGGTGGGCTGCGAGGGTTGCCAAGGTCTGGCTCAGTGAGGGCACGGATGTCCCAGAAACGCATGCGGCCGGCCTTGTCGAGTGACACGATGATGGTATCGTCCTCGCTGAAGGTGAAGTCCTTGCCAGCCTTGCCAGTGAGGATCTTGAGAGAGCGCTCCTTGAGGTACTTCTCAGTATGGCAGATGCGGCTCTTGCTGCGAGCATACTCAGCGGCAACCTTGGGGAAGACGATGTGGATGGACTTGCCCCTGCCGACAGCAAAGAACTCTGGGTGACGCGAAGATGGCTTCGCGCGAGTCTTGAGCTGGCCTCCAGATGTGTTATCATCTTGAGATGGCGATGGGGGAAGCATCAGACCCTGAGAGTCGAGGTTCTCACCGAACTGATCCTCACGAGCAGGGTCGAGAGAAGTCCAGAAAACAGTGCCGTTGACGCCAATTCCGAGGATGCTCTCGAGAGGTTGCTGGGAGTCGTCTGCTGAAGTGCAGAGGGCGATGTTGAAGATGCGCTCTTGGTGGTTCTCGAAGACCTGGCGGTAGTGCCCGTTCTCCTGGCGGATAATACGGAAACCACCCTTCTTGACAAGAGCGTATACGATGAAGTTCTTGCTTGCTGAAACTAGGGACCGGTCGATCTGGTCGAAGTCCTTCTTCAAGCGAGCAATGTCCATGAAAAGCTCGTTGGCGAAGTAGAGACGGCGGGGCGGCATCTGGTTAACCTGAATAGAGGCAAAGGCACGCATGGGGAACCTGTAGACTATTACCGTCTGGTCCTCACCCTTTGCGAGGCTCTCCTCAGCTTCAGCGGTCTCCCAGTCTTCGGCGACATTGTCTTGGGCAATCTCGGTCGCGACTTCCTTCAAGGCAGCTGCAATGGGCTTGGGCATGCTGGCCTCAATCTCCTTAGCTGTGCTTGGATCGGCAAATTCGTCCTTGATTTCGTTTGCAATCTCAGTCATAGTCTCCTGGACTTGTGCAACCTCCTCGGGTTTGGGGAGAGCAGAGGCCTCGGCTTCAGCAAGCGCATCCTCGATCTGCTGACCAACCTGCTCGCCCAAGTCGCTCACGGCCTCGGCCACAGTTTCGTGTGTATGGGCAGGAGCGTCGTCGTGGGGGGCGGAGGCTTCGACTGCGTTCTTCTTGAGGATCTCCATCTTGGGGGCAGGAGGCTTGGAGCCTTGCTGGATCGGGGTGCGGTGGCGAGGGCTGGCAGCTTCGAGCTGATCGAAGGGGTTGACGTAAGTGAATTTGGGAGCGAGCGAAGCCGCGTCAGGCTGGAAGCGCAACGAGGGCTCCCTGCCGTCGGAGCCAAAGACCCTCATGGGCGAGGCAGCGGCAGAGGCTCCTGGAGTATGTGCAGTGGGGTCGGAGGATACGTGCTCTAGCTCAGCGTCTGCGAGATCCTGCGCCAGGTCGTCCACAACCGTTTCAGGCTTGTGGGACGCGGCTGGCGGAGAACGCACAGTGGAGGCGGCTCGAGATGAGCGGGTGCTAGACTGGGCTGGCTTCGGGTGGTTCAGCAGGCGCAGAAGGAGATCCTGCGGGTTCTGCTGGGGCGACGACTGTGCTGGGGCGGGAGCGCCTTGAGACGGCGTCCTGGTACCCATGACGCTTGCCAAGTTCAGATCAGGCGCCTGCGATTGCTGCGAGACGCGTCTGGCCTGTCCACCGCCGCCCTGCGAGTTGAAGCGGAGGAGGTTGAGTAGGTTTGTAGACTGCTGTTGCGGCGTCTGCTGTGATACCTGCTCAGGCGCGGGCGTGTTCGCCATGGATGAGTTGGGCGACATGATGGCAGACTGATGATGCGGCTGCGGGCCACCTGGTTGTGGAGAGAAGAGAGGCGAGGAGACGGAGGGCTGTTGATAACCGGGTTGTTGTTGTTGTTGCTGCTGCTGGTTGTTGCCAGATGCGCCACCGTTGAGGCGGGCAAACAGCTCTTGCAGGTCCGCCATGGTGAGGGAGATTAGGGCAGATCTGCGTGGCGGTTAGTAAAAGTGAGTAGACGCGAATTCACCGCTGCAGTTGATGGCACGGTGACGACATGGGCGACGGACTTTACTCAGGACCCAAAATTCGAGTGCGCGGCCGAAGCGCGGATGGTGAAAGCGCGAAGCTGTAGTGGTGGAACAGTAGATGGGATGAAGAGAAGGGCTGACGAGCAGACTGGAAATGAGAGCGACGGGCTGCGATGATGCGCAGATGTCAATTGACGATGACAGAGGAAGGGCGACAGCTCGACGTGATATCGAGTTGGCGCCGGGAACAAGCTAGGCTAGCGCATTTGCCAGTGGAGAAGCGCTGTCACTCACCACATCATGACTTGATCCACCGAGCCACGTCTATCACCGAGATACGAAGCAGCCCGTTTATTTCTATCGTTTTCACTTCTGGCTCTAACACGCCCTGCATTTGTTCAAACATTTTCTTTTCTCAGGCAAGGCAACATCAAGACCTTGTACTCAACTTTGGTAATATAGCAACACGGCATACACCTTCAGACATCATTGTGGCTGCGATACAACTCTAAGAAGAAGAAACCAAAGCCTCATTCAAAGCAAACCATTATAGAATTAAAGAACCGAAGAACCCCCTTCCCATCTACCTACAGTCACCAAAGCCCGACTGACATCCCAAAGCCTTCATGCAGTACAACAAACTAGATCCACAAATTCCCGATCGACTGCAGCAGTTTCCAAACGCAGAGCCCTTGCAAGTCGACTTCCGGTCCGCACCACACCTGCGATCTGTGCTAACCTTGAGCTTCGCTGGCGAAGAAGTGGCTGCTGGGGTAGATGAGGTACGTGTGCTAGTAGTGGAAGCGCGGATGCTGGTACTGGTGCTGGTGGTGACCGGGCGGGTGGACGTGGTGAGACTGCGTGCTGTTGACGATGTCGCAATAGTAGTTGGTGCAGCACTAGATGCAGGTGGTGCAGCGCTGGGAGACGACGAACCAGACCCGGGGCATTTACCAAACAGCGGGTTGCAGCCCGTTCCACAGTGATCAGCACTGGTACCGCACCATCCATACTGGGAGCAGCATTCACCCTCCGAGAAACCAGTGCATGTGAAGCCCTTCGCCGCACCGCATGACCCATCTGTTGACATAACAAGGCCGCTGGGCGCAGAGGTAGGAGCTGAAGCGGATGAAGATGCTTGGGTCGATGCTGGCTGAGATGCGGCAACGGAGCCAGATGATGAAGCACCGGTACCTGAAGAAACAGAGGCAGAGTTGCCGCACTTGCCGAAACCAGCCTGGCAGCCAGTTCCGCAGTGGCCTTCTGTGTTGCCGCAGTAACCGTATTGGGAGCAGCATTCGCCTTGGGCAAAGCCTGGGGAGATGTTAGTCGAACCATTACTTTCATAAGGACTTAGGAGTTCGTACCGAGACACGTGAACCCAGATGTGGCTCCGCAAGTGCTGTCCTGGGAAACAGCCGTAGGGGTGGCAGTAGACCCACTGGAAGTAGCACTACGGGTGGCAGATGTGGATGTTGCTACAGGTGGTGTGGGGACAGAGGACGGTACACGGCCGGTAGAAGCATCTCGGTACCAATTGGCTTCTGGCTCGCCTAGGCACTCGCCCAATGTGACTAGCTTGTATCCCTTTGCCTGCATCGTCTGGATCATATAACCTGTCAGGTTCTGTGCAGTCTGCTGATGAATATCGTGGGCGATAGCCTGGAAAGCGTCCAATTCAGGATTGCTGGGGTCGATGGCTGCCTTGACCCTGTTTTTGGCATTTTGGACCGTGTCTGGGGTGATGTTGTTGTAGTCATCAGTATCAAGATCGAAGTACGAGACGATATATCCCAGATCCGCAAGATCCTGCTGACATCCTGATGCAGCCGAGCAAGACGAGTATGGTGGACGCATGTATGTTGGAAATTTGCCCATGATGTTGGCGAATGCCATCTAAGAGTCTCGAATTAGTACTTCTCTCATGTATGCTTCATACTGGACAACCGTACCTCGTTCCTGACCATCTGGTCGTATCGTTGCTCCTTCGTAATGGCGCTGAGATCTTGATGGGACCATGTGTGACTCGCAACTTGATGTCCTTCGGCGATCATACGCCTAATTGTAGCAGCCCATGGCTTGCTCGCATCGTCGATCGCGCCTTTGTTAATGTTGATACCGGTAATGAAGAAAGTGGCCTTTGCCTCGGCGGCTTTGAACTGATCCAACACGCCTTCAGTGTAAATGTAAGGTCCATCATCGTATGTGATGGCGATTGTGTTTGGCTCAGTGCAGTCGTAGATACCCTCTCCACCGTAGGGTTGGCCGCCGATCTTAGGACGAGCAATGTTGCGGGTGCTGCCTCCAGTTGGGACTTTGTTGGCGTCGCAACCTGGACCATACTCAAACTGGCAGTCGGGTGCTTGGCAGTAGTCACCTACAGTTGAAGTTGTAGGATCAGCATCTATCTCACAAAGATCCAAGACGCGAAGTACTTACCTCCTTGACCACAGTAACCCTCTACAGAGCAGCAATAGCCCTCAGCGCAACTAGCACGGCCGTTATTCGGCCCGCATCGACCATCGGCGCCGCCCTGACGTGCTGCCAAACGGTGCTCGGGTCCTGCAACATGCGCCGCATGTCCACCAAGAATGTTCCTAGCCCTAAGTTTCCCGATGTCTCTCGGTCCCAAGCCAACGATCTTCGGTACGGGGAAGTCGCTGTGAGCAGCCACGAGAGGTGCGATCAGACCCGCAGCATATAGTCCGGTGAAGCGCATAATGACGATTAGGATATGAAACCACCCAAAATATGCCCAAGATTCCTAATATTCGAAGTAATAAACGAGTGTGTGTGTGAAACGAGTGTATGATCAAAAAGATCGACCAATATTAAGTCTGATAAAGGTAAAGACGACACTGCAAACGAGTGGACAGACGCCTTTTGATCGCGCAAAGTAGGAAAAGATGGACCAAGAAGCAATGATAGGATGTGGGTGCTAACACATATAAGAGGCGACGACTACCGCATGCCCAGACATTGACAATAATGACTTTCGACGCCCATTAAGCGTGTAGCGTATCTTGGCTCTGAACGTGTAAGCCGCCGCGTGTATCAGGTTTGGTCGAGGCTGACACTGAGACTGAGATACAGGAGGTAGCCGGCTAGCGTAGAGTTAACAATACAAGTCATCCATGGAGATTACAGAGTAAAGTGTGAAGTGGTTCAGCAATGTGACGTGTTTGATGGAGTCTGCAGAGGGTATCGAACGTACAAGAGTTTGTAAGCTTTTTCATCTCTTTGATCTAATGATACTTCAGCTCACAACTCGTCTATGGCTCGATATCGCGAAGAAACATCTTGTCTTCGGTGGCTTATGGCGGTCATAAGCCAAGACATGCCCCTGGAGTGTTGCCAAATCAGGCATGTAGATCTTGTTAGCGCCCGAGGTTCGCATAGAAAGATCCGTGGTCCTAAGTTTGGCGTCGGTCCAGATTCCGACCTTTTACTCCAGACTCTTTAAATAACCTGCAGACTGACAAGTGACATCTGGCATGTGGTGGGCGCGCCCAAACTTGCAACTCTTCGTTAATCATCTAGTTGAAAAAGAACGTTGCATTCGGCTTAATATCCACGTCGCATATGCCCAACATTTGATGCGGTAATTGCTGACAAGTGTGGAGCAATAAATTCCTGGGCACGCCGCAGTCGGAAAAGACTTCGGCGCCGCTGTCTCGAAACCCGACCGTTGGGTTCAGATGTTTCGGTGCAAAGGCGCTGCGGTTTTCGCAGAGAATACTACTCGAGTTGGATTCCACGAAACCCGCAGAAGCGCGAAACGTAGCAGCACCAAGCGCGGTGTTCACGGTTCATCGGTTCGATGTTTGTCGTGTCGTACAAAACGACTATCACGGTGCGGGTCATTCCTAGCGGTGTTGTGCAAGGTGTGATGTCATCGCGCGATAGCGAAACAGTAATCGAGAGTGCAGGTACAAGTTGCCGCTGAACCTCAGTCGCGTCTTGTGGAAATGATGCGACTTTCTTCCTCCGCTTCGAAACGTTGATAAAAGGCATTTGTTCTCGCTAACCCTCGGAGTTTCCGTGACGTTGAATAGAAAGGCACCAACGTGGACGCCAGACAATCTCGCGCGTCTCGGGCCAGCAAAGACCTCGACGTACAAAATACATGTTGACAACCACTGAACTCATACATCAGCATTCCGGGCCTATCTACGTTTTTCAGATCCAATTGTCGCTCACACCAAGAACCTAACCACGTCGTCAATAAGGGTACTGCTGTAGAGCCCTCCTACCGCCTGCAAGGGCACGGAGAGGAGAGTGGCATTGCCCCTGTTACAGCTGACCATCTCCCGCCTGCCTCTTTGGAGGGGTTCTGGACGTTGATAACTGCGTTGTAGTCACGATGCTAACCTAGAAGGTAATAGACAAGAAGTATTTCAAGGAGATGAAGGGCGTATGTAGTGATCATCATATGTATGATCTTTTTGTATGATGCCAAGGTCTAAGGGTCCTGTATTGTACCAGACGGATAAGAGGGGATATCCGATTAGCTGCATTCATTGGGTCAGGATCACTCAGGGGTCTATATACCCCACTTCCATCTCATCTCCTCCTCCTCCATGTGCCTCATCATATGCTTATCACATGCTCTCATGCGTCCCCAAGGCATATTGTTGTATGATAGTTCTGTAGTATATGGAGGCATGTCCGATGGGAAGAGAATAGGCCGGAAAAGCTGTATTTTACTTCCCACCTTGCATGATCATACACTTTAGCTTACCACAGTCTCCCCTTCTGCACACGAGTCGCTCTTCTTACACCTGACTCGCCCAAGCTACTATTGGCCAGCCAAATCATCATATGTCCTACAATTTCGTAGTACGATCACTACACAGGCCCGAAATTACGTTGTCTAATTCTTTTGATAGGACGAGGGCGCAAGCTACCTAGGTAGTTACGAAGGATCTCCTTTTTGTGAAGTTGTAAGAGACGCCCGAGGTTGTAGTATACACTATCATGTGTTTAACAAGCTTATTAACACAGAGCGCCACGAAAATGTTTAGGACAGGCTTTGTTAAGTACAAGCCGGCCAGGAACATCCCCATGCAACCATCGCTGGCGTTTCTTCTGCCGAGTACGATCATCTAGGTCGCAGGCTCGTTATTCAACTCAGTGGTACGCGGGCTTGTGATGGCGAAGAATCGTAGATATGTTTCCACCGTTTTTACCATGACCGTGACAATTTAGATCCCGCAAATGAAACGGCTTGCTCACTGACTTGAGCGCCAAGGTTGGGAAGACGCTCGATCTGTCGCTTCTACAGAGATCCGAGCCAGTCTTGTCGCAGGAAGTTCACTTGATATTCGGTGGAGTCCAAGAGTGGCAGATGTAAAGGAAGATCTGGATCACCTTCGAGGAGCTCAAGAAGTGGAGCAGCTGGCATTGGCAGGAACATCTTCGTGGCGGTTCTTTCCTCATAGTTTGATATTGTAGCAATTATCATGGTGCTGCTGGTTTTGTACATAGGGTTTACTCCCGCATCAGCTCGTCAGCCTGTGTAACGACGTTTCCTTGTAGCAACACGCTTTTGCTGAATTGGGATTCTTATTGATCATGCACGCCTTATGGCTAAGCTCGAGGAAGAGTACGCTCGTGCATACATGAAATATATTTGAGTAGATAAAGTGCTCCATCCCCATTGGCTAGTTCTGTACTGCAATCCAAAAGTTAGACTTAAGATCTAGCACTCTTATCATCTTCGAGCCAAAGTCAGCAAAGTCAACAAAGTCCTCGCTCCAAAAATCATGCACTGGTTTATCAATCGGCTGCTGCATTCCTATGGTTGTGCACAGACTACAGAATCGACATAGTCAAACTCTCACCCAAAAAAATCGCATCTCCACAGCGCAATCAGGACAACGCAACGACGAGGACGGCGACAGCAAAAAGATGGACTTGCAGGGAATCGAACCCTGGACCACTCCCATACATTGTCCTGTTGAACAGATGCTAAGGGAGTATTATACCACTAAACCACAAGCCCGAACTGCTTAAGCTAAGCTGAAACCAAGAGCTGCTTGCTCGATTGGTGAAATCTCGAAAAATTAGTGATAATATATTATTATATAAATCTGGAGTAGACAAGCTGGTATCGAAGGGTTGGTGTTGGTGCGTTCGATAGTGGATCGGACGAAACCGAGAATTTTAGCGTGGAGAACAGCATGGTTCTAGACTATCGAAAACTTGTCCGAAACTTCAGGGTCTACACAACAAAAACGAACATGTCTTCTCAAGCACGGTTTGACGGCAGTGCTTCAAGCACATATATCGTCAATGTATACAATGTTTTTGGCATCACTGCAAGAGACAAGCAGGCCAAGCCCGCCCTGAGAACCCCCATCTGATCAGAATCTCGACTTGGCACTGTCCACTAGATCTCTCGATCTAAGCACATATGCCACCTGTTCATGCCGAGGCATCGAATATTACATGCAGCCACGTGTGCGATCGTTCGGTTACACAGTCCTTCCGCGCCAGGTTAGCTGCATATGTAGTCGGAGATCTGCACGAGGCCTGTCAAGCGATGCTTCCCCTTCCAATGACGTCGAAGCCTACCACTCAAAGTACTCCCAATGACACACAGATCCAAATCTCACCACACCGTAATCGTGGACTGAGGGGCTTATTGTTCCGGACCCTTACTGCACACAAACCCATAACAAAGCCGACCCTTACCATTCTGCAGACAGACCCACACTTTGGAAGGAATCAACGGTGAAGCTAGACCGTATTTCGCTTAGACTAGCGCAAGCACAACCCGCGAACAGATATTTTCAGTTCGACCTTGTGCCCCTCGTTCTCTCTCCAACGATCCCAAACCCCTCAGCTTCCGATAATCAATCAATTGGTGGTGTGCGACTTTGAACGACTCTTTGGATAACTTACCAGAAGACAACAATCTTCTAACGTCACTCCCTTACACTTTCGATACTTCGGTAAGAGCGAACCCCTCCGTGTTGATGCATATATCATGTCTAACATTCACCAGGTCTCTTCCTCAAAACTCTACCAAAATGGACTCTTACCAAGCACCTGCTGCTGCTGCCGGTGCCGGTGGCCGTGGCTGCTACAACTGTAAGTTGATACCATGCCCACCATGCCGTGATACGGTCCGAATGCGGCCCCGCTTGGTATATCAGATCGCGAGATGGCGCTGTTCCTCCGGGTCCAGCGACAAGTCCAGATCGATACATTCAAGCGCGGCACACGCTTCGATACCGGCATCACTACGATGACTTTGAACTCCCTACTAACGATATCTAGGCGGAGACTCCTCTCACCGCGCTGCCGAGTGCCCTACCAAGGGTACCCCAACCTGCTACAACTGCGGCGAGAAGGGCCACGTTAGCCGTGAATGCACCTCTCCCCAGGCTGAGAAGACCTGCTACCGCTGCGGTGGTACCGGCCACATCTCGCGCGAGTGCACCAAGGACGGCGGTGCCCAGATGGGTGGCCGTGGCGGCGGCAGCCAAGAGTGCTACAAGTGTGGCCAGGTCGGTCACATTGCCCGCAACTGCTCCCAGGGTGGCGGCTACGGCGGTGCTGCTGGTGGCTTTGGCGGCGGCCGTGGAGGCTATGGTGGCGGTGCCGGCGGATACGGAGGTGCTCGCCAGACCACTTGCTACTCATGCGGTGGTTTCGGTCACATGAGCCGTGACTGCACCCAGGGCCAGAAGTGCTACAACTGTAGGTCCATGTCTAAACCCATGACACGAGCGTAACTAACCAATTCTAGGCGGCGAGGTCGGCCATCTGTCGCGCGACTGCCCCCAGGAGACATCTTCTGAGCGTGTGTGCTACCGCTGCAAGCAGCCTGGCCACGTCCAGAGCGCCTGCCCCAACTAGGGTGTTCCAGATGCCGTCGATGTTTTGATCTGGAACGAGTTTCGATATACCGAATTGCTTCCAAGTAAAGCGATGTCGGGAGTTGCGCCCACGATGTGACGAATCATCGACATGATTACGATTTCTTTTCTTGTATATTTTCATTCAGCGGCTCGCTGCCGTTTTTCGACGCTTCACGAAAAGCACATCGTCGCCCGGGCATGATTGGACGGCCTTTTCCAGTTTTTTGGCTGTAACTGTCAAGAGAGTTGGTTATCGGAAAAGTCTTGATCCAGGAAGAGCGTTTGGTGGGAGATACAATGTGGGTGGATGGGAGAGCGGATGCTTTACGCGAGCAATGAATGAAGCAGTGCGTGGTCTGCACGGGGACTGTGACTGTAGGAGAGCGAGGTGTTCTCGTTTTGGCGGATGACTGGTCTCGAGGCTGTGGAATAGCAGCCGAGAGCTGGCTGAGGTTGAATGAAGAAACCGGAAAAGTCCCCACGATTGGGTGGGCTCCTCAACTTTATACTGCGCCGTTTTCATGCACCGTGATGGACGTGCGCTAAACTAGTTTGAACAGGTGTGTGGGATGCTGCTATCATGTGCCATGCATGTACTCATGGGTGGTGACAGTAGACTTGGTGAGAAGATGCACCGACCAGATGGTGGCATTCCTATAGCCATAAATTGTCAGGGCTATGGATGAGATTGGAACGATGAGTTCAACTGAGGTATTAGGTCCGTGATGCGACTTGTGTGTGTGTGTGTGATGTTGATGAGTGAATTCGAGGGGAAGCGCCAAGACCCTGGGCCTTCCCGCGCATTCGTTTACCGTTTACATCCCGCCTAAACCCAAACAACTTATCGACAGCGCCCTCACGATTCAACCGCGACAGCACCGACGCGTCACCCACAACAACACGTGCATTCACTCCTTGCAAACAAATCCCACAATCATGGCGCCGACAAAGAAACGCGAAGCGCGCGAAAACAATTACTACAACGTTGGTGTGCAGGGAAGGTGGGCAAAGAAGCGCTTGAGGGCATGCGTCGACACAGAAGTTAACATTGCGCAGGAAAACTGGTATCACGCTCGAAGACAAAGGCATATACGATGAACATGGCCTCGAGCCAGTTTCCGGCATCTTCTCGTCGCCAGAAAGGTCCCCACCCAAGCGCGGGGAAGATGCGACAGGATCAGGGTCGATGGAGATACAAAACAGTGCGTAAACATTGAAGCCATCGCAAGACTTCGCCCTCACAGATAATGCAGGTTCAATGCCCGACCTCATGACATCCCACCAAATCTTGCGCAACAGCCGAACAAACCTCCCTCCACCTCGATCGCGATCGCCCAAAAAGACAAACCTCGGATCCTCACCGCGAAGACAATCATCCATGGCACCCAGAAGCTCTCTCCCTCCATCTAGTCCTGTGCGCGACTCTTCACAGCCGATTGCGCGACGCCTTGACTTCGAACAAGATGAGTCTAGCCTACAAGAAACGCCAGCTCTGAGCGGATCGGGCGCCAGACGTGGGAAGCGATCAGACGTATACGATATACCAGAAGACGAATCGCCGGCACCAGAGGAGAGTGCGGTATTTGAAGAGAGCATTGTACAGGAAGAGATTGCGAACGAGTCAGCAGTAGTCCCTGAGGAGAGTTTTGTCGCACAAATCGGGGACGACAGCATGACCGATGACGAAGCAGTTGAGGACTTGGAGATTCAGGAAATTGAGGAAGTTGAGGAAGTCGAGGAAGTTGAGGAAGTTGAGGAAGAGTCCGAGATTGTTCCAGAGCCCTCAAAAGAGAAAGCTAAGAGGGGCAGGAAACGGAAGAGCAACGTAGTAGAAGTCTCAGAAGAAGAGCAGGAGGAAGAAGAGAAGCCGCGCAAACGAGGCCGCCCTGCAGCGCAAGCCTCGGATTCACAGAAGAGCAAGAAGAATGTGTCTGCATCGGCGGCCGAGCGCCGACGGTCACAGCGTGTGTCTGATATCAGCGAACAGGAGGCGCCCATCGATGACTCGGTAGATCAATCAGAGCAAGTCGAGGAAGCGCCTGCACCGAAAAAGCGAGGACGGCCAGCCAAAGTACAGCCAAACGGCGATAAAGCAACATCATCAGCATCAGCCAAACCAGCTAAGAGCGCCCCCATAGCAAAGAAGCCTGATCCGGAATTCACGAAACCTGCCAAACCTGCCGGTAGACCAAAAGCCAACGCGGAGTCCAGCACTAAATCGACAGGTGCAGAGCCGAAAGCCAAGTCAGTGCCGAAGGCGAAGGAAAAGTCAAAAGAGAAGACTCCGCAGGCAGAGAGTGAAGAAGCTGGCAAGCTGGTAGATGTGTATGGGAACCCTCTCAGCAAAAAGGACATCGATCAGATATCCGCAACATCAGCAGGATCACGTTTCGGACGTGGGCGACACCTCTCAGTATTCCGCGAGATGGACCCCGACAATGTCGCTCGTGTAGGACGAACAGGCAGGCATCGCGTTGCGCCCATCGACTTCTGGAAAAACGATCACATCTCCTACGACCCTGACGGTAGCATGTCGTCGATTGTGAAGAGTCAGGCAATAGAAGAAGGCCGGCGACCGACGAAGAAATCCAGTTACAAGAGTAAGAAGAAGGCACTCGCCGCCGTCGAGGAAGAGGAGATTGAGCTCGACCCCTGGGAAGAACAAGGCACTCTCGTTGGCAACTTTAGAGGTTTTGACCCTGTTGCTGATGTTGCTTCACATGAAATTATCGAAGACAGTAAGTTCAAGTCACTTTGCGTTTCCAACAACCTCGTAGTGAAGATTGAGCTAACTATATCATAGCCATCGCATGGACACAAAACGGCGTCCAACCCCGCGACGTCGGAGATGGCGGCTTCAAGTATGCAAAGATTGGTTCCGTGGGCAACTTTTTCAATTGGGGGCTCATTGAACTCGGTCCCGATCAGATGAAGCGGACGAAGAACTCGCGGTACATGCATATGATTTTCAATGTGCAGTCTGGTACTGTGGAAGTCAGGGTGCATGAGAATGAGTTTGTGGTTCATAAACAGGGCGTTTGGCAGGTTCCAAGAGGTATGTTGTTGTTTTTCCTTTTTCTCATCACGGTTTTCGTTCCTTCGTCATTGGTATCGATGGCGGCGTGGAAAGATTTACCATTGCCATCCTTACTCTCATGCACGCACGCTGTAATCCTTTTCCTTGGATTCACCATCTTCTTTACTTTCCTTGTCTCGTCTTTGTACGACAGCCGTCGCATTATGCTCGACGCCATCCGGGTATTTGCACATCTCCCATCCTCCAGCACAACTTCCGCTGTGCACTGCAACGTCACACAACTTGGGGGCCAGGGCAGAAGCCAAACGAGGAATCAGGGCAAGCGGCTCGCTTGCTCATAGGCGAAGCGAACCTGATTCTCGTCACCTGCATGTTTGTGGCGCTGGCTGCAGCATGTTGTGTAACATTTGACGCTTACGCTTACGCGAAGGTTGGGAGGTGGCCCAACCGACGGTGCACAAGATTGTCGTTCGCTTCTGTTCTGGCGGTTACGGCGCACACACACCACAAGCTTTCTACTCTTTCCGCTTCCCCAGTTTTTCGTTTTCCCCCTTTCTCCGTCCTCAGCCAACCGCTTGTCGCGTGGCGCTCGTTTTGCAGCTTCTTTTTGCCTTAATGGGCTTGGGATGTTCCCATTGGTGCAATCATCGCTTGCGAATCACATGAACATGGAGCTAACACGTTTTGTTCACAACAGGTAATACGTATAGTATCAAGAATATCGGCAGCGGGACGGCTCGCATCTTCTTCTCGCAGGCCAGGGAACTACATGTTGAAGAGGTGGAATGATTGAAATAGGACTTTTTGCCCCCCCGCGTTGTCACTCGAAAGTATTGCATGCAAACTTTGAGTAGCGGTGTAGACAAAGATTGACTATCTAGCGGTCAACATGCATGTTATGGCTTGAATGCAAAGACCTTGATGGTCACTTCTTTGGTTTTTTTCTCCCTTGCATGTTCGCGCCCACCCGGTTTGGAGGGGGGGTGGGAGATGGTGTCGACGTGTTCGCGCCATAGTGGAGATGGTGTGTGTGGGGCGCAGGACCGGCGATACTTTCAAGTGCTCAAGCGTTGTTCGTGTTTGAGTGGAGATGGGTTCCCCTTCCCTCCTTCCTTTCGTGTCAGCGAGAGCTTGTTAGTCTATGTCACTTCGTCGCGTGGCGCGCGTCGATATCTGGAAGGGGAAGCGCGTGAAGCGCGTTTGCCTGCTCCTACAATGGACGCAGATCATGCCATAGCAATGCAGGGCATTGTGGGTAGCTCGGGCTGGGTTGAATCGGGTGGATGGTAATCATCATGGATTCGAATACGACATACACCCCTGTATCCTTCCAAACTGCCTCTTCCGATCCCAATGCACAGCTTCTCGATTTGGATGTCACGTACGTCCGCGGAAGGGATCATCTTGCATCATACACAGACACTGTTTGCTGCAACTTCCCACACGTTGATCTATCGGTGCGATGGTTATATTGTCATTGCGACTGGCTTCCGAACACAGGTTCACCGCTTCTCTGCCGAAGTTCCCTGCCAGCCTTGCTTTTGTTATCTGGTACGTGACTGCACGTGTTCCTGTTCAGGAAAGCTGTGAGTTGCCGGGCGGGTATGCATTGTTATCGAGATTGGCAAGGTTATTATAGTATGAAATGTATGCAGTGATGCTACGGCAGTTAATCGCATGTATCCCGGGATTGCATTAAGAGGGTGGGAGGAGTGGGTGGGGTGGTGTGAGCGGATCTAGCTTTAGGGGCGTGGTCGTCAGTGTAGAGGGTAAGATGTATGTAGAAACGATGAGGAGTTTGAGTTGAGTGCTTGAAGAAGTGAGAAGGTAAGATCTCGCAAGGTCAGCTCGGGCATAGCTCTGTTTACGATCTGCATGTTGTTGTCTGCTATCAGTTTCCAATTGAACGGTACATTATCTAGCTCAGGCGTGGCAGACATCAACAGCTTGTAAGCAACAGCTTTACGCTATCAAATTGTCTCGATATATCACTTCCAACGTTCTTCGTTCAGACCGGTTTAATCCAACTCCAGTCTGGCTCAAAAATGTATAAACATGTACGAATGTGTCACCACTGCACTTCAGATGAATGTTACATCCACCAAGTATCAGAGCTACATCTTGTATCTGCATCTGCACATGCATTTACGTCGCTTGACGTACTGTTGTGTTACCTTGTTCGTCATCCTGTCAACCGAAAGCATACCGTCCAATCTGTCTGTTGTTACACGAAACGATCGGCTATCATGATTCCCGCATTTCACATTCCGTTTTTTACATCCTTTGTGCGACTTACAATGCTAAGCGGCTGGTTCCTAAACCTTGCCTTCAACTCTGACGGACTGATCAAAACACAATACAGTGCCAGTGAAGAACGGGAGAGATCAACACGATACAGTACCCATTGTGCTTTCTTTTTCTTCGGCTCGTTACGTCCCCAACGGCTATGCATATGCATGAAATATATCTCCCAGATACGCAACCTTCGCATTCAGATCCATAGCGCATCCGAGTTGATAGAGGTGCCGTATTGAGCGGTGTGCTAACACTGCGTTGTAGGACGTATCCTCCACCTCCTTGTCTAGCAGATTGATATCAAACTCTATCTATACCCTTGGATGATATATTCTAGTCTGGTAGCGAGACTCCATGGTCATCTAGACACATGCTTGTCCTATGCCGAGTACGGTTACTATGATCGATGTACCGAGACGTGCATACAGCACCACTACCGAGATATGCACATACTATCCTACATCTCCATGCCACTATCAAGCGGTGTGAAGCGGTGTAAAGAACCTTCTCGCATTCCAAGATAGACTTCGAGCACCTCGACCGGCATCGCCGTTGTGGCGTTACAACTATTTTCTCTGGTACCGAGTATATACCGGAAACCCACCTAGCTACTTGCCTTGCCATCTAACTAACTATGGTTCTCGACCTGCATACTGCATCTATCCGTTGTTTTCTTTGTAGCGGTGTGAAGCGGTGTAGATGGTAGACCCTGCCCAGCCATCTCGAACTAGACGTTTCGACGTCCGGTGAAGATGGATAACACACTACACCACTCACGATATTGGTACCTTGTACTACACATTCGCTAACAATAGGGAGACTTCGTCGTCTGTTCAAGTCTTTCGGCCGGTATCGTATCGATCAAGTTTCAGAGAGTCTGGATGCAAGGTACCTACAATAGAAGTGTGTGACAAGTTCGCCCTTACCTCGCCTCGGTGTAGAGGCGAGGGAGATTAAGTGGTAAGTAACCGTGACACCGCTTCTTTCAGCTCAGTTTGCTACACTTTCTAGGTTACACAGATGTGATGGAGGCTCGAGGTTCTTTTGCTCTGTGTTTGTGCGCAATCCGTTTTGTTGTCCTGCCAATCTCATTGCCCACCCCACTTTCCTACCTGAGTAAACTCTTCGAAAGCTTTGGGTATGGAATGCGAAACAAAACATGTCGAAACATCCAGCCTCCACTCCCCGTAATTCAATCAATATTAAACGTCAATGTCACAGTGTTCAGCCTCACAATGTGGGCTCTTCCAAGGCGTGGGAAAAGCCGTCACCGTCGCAGCCTTATTTCCAAGGACGGAACTAAGGGCGGGGTAAAACCTAGGTTTTAAGGCATCCCGTTCCTGCAAATCTGGCATCGCAGCATCGACGTGATGTGCTGATGCTGGCGTCTCATCATGTTTCCTCGTTACGAGGATGACCCTACCAAGCACTCAAAGGTAATGACCGTACGGTTGTGTATCTTGCCGGCCAAAGCATGGAATCATCGGCGTACAAAGTCGAGCCGGTTACGTGCGTAAATTGGCGAACTAAAATGCACATTGTATATTCACGAGTCGTGTTAGCATGGCTCACCCGTGTCGCGTGCCAGCAAAAGAAAAAGGAAATATCAGTCTTGATTAGTCGTCTTGGTCTTAGCGGCAGTTTCTCGGGTGCAGATGCTGGGTAGGTGCGAACAGGGCGTGAACTATTTGATCGGCGGCACTAATTTCCCCTTCCCTTGCGGAGTGGCCTGCGACGCTATGTCTCAGTTCGATCGTCCGATTGCAGTCGGCAAGCATGAATTAGGTGATTTAGGTAATTGAGATATGCGGGCAAAACGCGGTACGGTACGAAACCACGCAGGAGAAAGCCGTTGGGCGTGTCGTGTCGGATGCGGAATGTTGGTTTTCGGGTGCTGAACCATGGATCGACTACTGTATGCAAGTGCTTACTTGCTTGTTAGATGGATGGGCGAGCGTTTGCACGTTGTTTGCATTGGCTGGGTCGCTGCTACTGCTTCTTTTGACGCAGGAGGTGGCCAGCGTGGCGGCTTGCTTGACGAGCTTACATTTTTACTTTTCAAAAGCCACATGCGACTTGCGCGAACAGACGATACATGGCTTGATGCATTGTCTCAGCATCGTCCAGTTCAGCTCGTCGGATGATGACATTGAGCCCATCTGTGCTTTGGCTGGCAGATTCGGCGTTCATTCCGATCACCAAAATGACGGTATGACCACATAGCAGCAAAATGGCCAGGCATCTCGAACGACGGGGAACCCTCCGATCGGCCAAATCTCATACTAGAGCTCAGCGCCGAAATTACATGAGTGGCACGTGGAGGGGGTATGCGAAAGAACATTCTTGAGACGTTCTTTTCTTCCTTCCCGCCCGCGCGCTGTTAGCTTGCTTCAAAGTGCAGCCCCATGTTGCATGACATGCCTCGAACGGAGCCAGGAGCCGCCAAACGCGTGGGCAGCAAGAAGTAAGGAACGCCATGGTGCCATGCTTGACCGTCTTCCATGGAACAGCCCTGATGCAACGTGGAGTGTGCCCGATCCACACACATGTCACGGAACGGGGGGGGTTTTTTTTTTCTCTCTCTGCGATTGCGATGCTCGCTCATGTCGCTTGTTTCGGGCCTAAGGCAGCGATCCCGGGCGATCAGAAAACACATGCAAGATGATTGCAATCACGCGACGGCGATGCCATAACCAAGATGTCATCAATGTCGTATGATTACAAGCACGTCAGGAAGGTTCGTGCGGGTAGGGTTGACGGGAGGCACCTCCTAGCCCGCGCTGAACGTAAAAAGAAAAAGGGAGGGATGGATGGGTGGTGGGAGGCCCTGAGGTGGATCTGTGTGTCAAGTGAAAGGGTGTCGTCATGTGCAATGTGCATCCGTCCCAAAGTGCGCCCATGATTCGCGATTCGCGTTTGGCGAACAGGTGGGAGATTTGGCATCGCGATTTCCCTTGTCCGCTTCGGGAAGGCTTCTCGAAGGGAGGGGACCGCCGGTCAGACAGCGATAATAACCGTACTGTTCATGCATAAAGCACTTTTTCTTTCATTTGTTTATGCGCGCAGCACAACTTGCGCCGAGAGGCGGCTCGGCCGTTTGATAATGGTTCACAGATCCGTTCCGATCATGCGAACACCTATTGCGTTGCATGGCCGGCCCCCGGAAAAAGTAACGTAAGGGCGGTCGGTCACATAGTCGCCGTCTTTCGTTTCCGTCTTTACAATTACCGTTCCGTTCGTGTCATGTTGCATGTCCAGTTCGTCTCCATACGCCAGGTTTGTCTGCTTTAGTTTGGTTCGGCATTTGCGCGCGTCGTGTTTGTGCCGACAAATGTCATGCAGATAGATGAATCAATATCTGCCTGAATGCGATGTCGTAAATATCCTGGTGAGGTTGCGCGAGTGAACGGCGAGTGGGTATACCGCAAGGGGAATATGTCATGGGCGTTGACTTTGGTTAGTCTCAATCGACCTTCTAGAAGGATTATGGAAGGTTACTGCAAAGCCGCACTGGGCAGGCTGGGTGAAAGAAAGCCCGGGCGCCCTGCTTTGGGCGGGTTCAACTAGGCTGTTTCAAAGCGGTTCGTGAAGGCTGCGGGACATGCATATGGTGCATCTCAGCCTTGTGCTCCGAGTGGGACGGGAGCGGAGACCGCGCACACAACAAAGTTTCGAGCCTAAGGTAAGAACAAAAAAGGCCGATTAACTTTGAGAAATGCAGAGTAAGCGCGCGAAAATGGTTGGCAAGGGCGGCAGCATGGCATTTGACTGTACTGCTAATCGATAAGCCCTACGACTCTCAAACATCAGTGTCGTCCAATCACGTCCCACCGTTGCTTTTTGCGGGGCTGAACACCCTCATTTCTGCATAACAGAACCGATGACACGACACCCAGCAGCCCAAGCCCTAAAATAGTTTGCATGTTAGTTACGCACACCTGCAAGGACAGCGAACCGTTCTACGCACAAGTTCATGCAAGCAGCACGCTCTTTTCCCTCGTCACACCCAATCGCATGGAACACAAGTGAGGCTACGAGGCTGTGCTAGTGGAGCAACTATGAGTGAACAACGCACCCTACCACACCCTCTTTCGCACGCAACCCTGATGGAGAGGCGAAAAATTTCCGACTGGAGCTAGGCTTTGCGAACACACCCTGAAGCGGTGACAGCGCAGCGCTCCGCGCACGCAGGGTCGGCCACGTAGGTACCTGTTTGACCGACCTTTCGTTGAAGGATGGCAAAGTGCCTTCATGGGTGCTACGTCATCATACGATGATCCGGGGTAGACGAACGTTGTTTTCCGGGCGGTGGGAATACAGCTGTTCACCGCCACGCCACACACACCATCCTTTACAGGGTAATGCTGGACTTGGGCATGCTTGCTGTCAAGCATGGTGAGAAGGAAAGCTGTAAGTTTGAACGTCCGGACCTGCCAAAGCTGCGTAATTAGAAAGGAATTTGCTTCTCGGAGATGAGCGGAAGCGTTTGGTTGCTTGTGTATTATAGTATACTACTACTGTGACAATGTGTTGGCCATAGCCATGCTGGCTTGCAGGGTACAGGTGGCGCAAGTTTGCAGCGATGCGAGAACAAGTCTTTCTAATGTGTTGGGTTCATACTTGAGACCATGAACTAGCTGGTTCGATACGTAAGATCCAAGAGGAAAAAAAAACAACGGTGTAAAGGTATCCTCGCCACGCTATGCCGCTGAGTGCTTGTGTTGAGATGGGTAGATAGAAAATGCCAAACGCTGTTGTAAAATGCACAATCATAAACCACACCAAAACAGTGCTGTGACAAAACGGTCGATAAAAACGAAAAAAGAAAACAAAAAGTGACAATGCGAGTCTAGAGAGGGAAACAAACAAACGCTATGATGTTCTGCGATGCGAAAAACAGAATGCCAAAGAGATGATATCAATGCGAGAAATGCAACGACCAACCCACGCTAAATGCCACAGTCGTGCGGATGCCTCTCCGTTCGTATTCATCCATGCTCTGAGCGTGGTTCCTCAATCTAAACGTTCGTGGCATACTCCGTACTCCCAAACCCTCTCTTTTGTGCGCCGAAACCTAGGGTATACCCACGCTCATTACGGTTCCTGCCCGAATGTTGTATGTATGCATACCAAATATGTCTATATCCCATCTACTACAAGTAAAGAAAATCGTTGCGTTGATAATGCGATGCGAAATGTTCTATGCAACTGCCGATGTCGGTCGCTCGTAAGGTGTGGACGGTTGGGGCGGGGAGGGCACTGTGGCTGTTCGCTCGGTTTCCTCTGGCTCGCGCTTCATGCTCTTGATACTTCCCGTCGCGCTACGCTGTGACATTCTGTCAGGACTCCTCATACCCTGGCTCCGTGCCTCGTGTTCCGATCGTGATGGGCCTGCTGCAGCCTCTTCTTCCCTTCTCCTCTGATGGTAAGCCTCCATGTAGCTGGGTCCCTCCATCTCTCGCTTGATGATCGACTGCATCCCTGGCACAGGTGCTGTCCTTGCTCCGCTGATCAAGTCTTCTTCTGACTGTGGTTGAATCTGGGGAAGAGGTTGGCCTAGCTGAGGGGGAACGCTCGACCGAGATCGAGGGTCTGCGCGTCTGCGGCTGAATGAGCTGTTCCTCCTTCTTCGTCCGCCGGCACTGGAGCCACTGTCGGTCCGCTGATGACCATAGCCATGCATCGGGGGTTGAGGCATTGGCGGGGGCACCTGGTGCAGCTGCGGCGGCATCGGCGGCGGGTTTGGCATCAACTGAGGGGCGTTTGCAGGCGTGAAGCCATGCGGGGCAGAGGCAGGTATAACGGGCACTTGCGATGGCGAGCTCATGCCTGTACCAGTTGCAGATGGGTGAAGCTGAAACACCGGCGCATTCGCACGCGCGCTCATCTCCTGCTCTCCCAGCTGCCAGTGCATCGACTCGGCGGACCGCCAGGGAATGCCCATCTCTGTAGCAACCTTCTGCCACATTTGGTCCTTGAATCTAACACAAGAGTCAGTATTGTTTTTGGGTATATTGCGCAGAAACGCGTTGCGGGCGAGTGCATCAGAGTATGCTGGGGGTTAGATCTGAAACCAAAGATGTGGGCTCAAAACGAAGCAGCGGATGACCAAAATGAAGCAGTCTGGACATCCGGACTTGTCGAGTGGTACGTACCGAGCGTAGAGTCTTGCAAGTTTGTTTTTCTTCTCCTCGTCCCAGATGGCTCGCTTCTCAAGGTAGTTCTGGTACCGTAATCGGCAGGAAATGGAGCTTCTTCCTGGTAGTCGTTTCGCAATGTCGTCCCACTTCATTCCTTGACCCCGCAGCTCGATGGTCAGATTGTCCTCCTCTGGTGTCCATTTGGACTGTTTCTTGGCGGGACTTTCGTCAGGTAGCGGGGTTTGAGAAGCTTGTCGTTTTAACGTTGAAGGGGGGGAGTGATTAGTATTCTGCGCGTGACGAGGCGGTGAAGGCCCATGTGGGCCGGAGTAGAGTGGGCGAAAGTGTGGGAGCGGGGCAGGTTCAGCATGTCGATGAAGTTCTGAGATGGCGGGTAAAACAGGTCCTCCTAGCATTGGTCCGGGTCCTTGGGGTGCTGATGTCGGTGCCTGGGTGTAAGCAGACATTGGTGCATAGTGCGGGGGACCTGGGTATGCTGGTGCTCCAGAAGCGTAGGCAGGCGACGCTCTTTGCGAGGGAGACTGTGTGTATGCTGAAGGTGCGGTCGTGTATCCTCTTGTCGCTCCTGTCGAGTGGGATGCATTTGATATGGAGCTCTTCTTGCTCGCAGGTGACTCTGAGCCCCGAGCTCGAGGCTCGAGGAGGAGGTTGATATCCAGGATGAAGGTGAGGGACTAGCTTATTGCCAGCCCATGTATTGATGAAAGGTCCCCGAACAACGTTTGTCTCCCAGAAGCTGAACTCGCTGGCAAGATGTGAGACCAATTAGTTGGTGGCGGTGTGGGGGATAGAACGGCTGTAAGGTGAGAAGTGGAGCAGATAGATGGCTATCTGTAAGTTGAATGTCTACCGGTCAGGTTGGGCGTTGTGTCGTAAGGTTGATGTCCAAGGTAGCCTTGCAGATGATGACAGGTACCAAAGTAAACGGTACGATGATGAGCCCAGGCGTGGCGTTGGGCAGAGGCAAGGCAGAAACTGGTGTTGTATCGGCGTGCAGTGGCTGTTGATGTGCAGATGAAGTTGGTAAACAACAACAAGGAGGCGAAACGTGATATGGGTAGCTGTGTATGAGGTGGAACAGGAGAGGACAGTGGTAAGGTGATGAGGTTCGGATAGACTAAATGTGCCGCTGATGACCCAAGTAGCCAGTTGGGAGGTACTTTGGATGATTCACGCTCTAAGTGGTCGATCGACTCGAGCTATTTGGGCTATGGGCCGGGGCTTTCGGAGCAGGGGGTGAAACAGGCCAACCACTCGGTCTGATGAATGACGGGCGTGCTTAGCCACTGATTTTTCAGGTCGAAAAGGTAGGAAGCGTAGCGTAGGGGAGCGGTGGATACGGTCTGGTAGGAGCAAAGTAGGGTCTGAGGGGACTTTGAACATGGATGTGTTAATAGAGAGAGTTAACGTGCGTCTGTAATACTAATAGCAGGCATCCCTTGAGGCCCTGGCTGGCGCCGCCTCATCGTCCGCGGTAGGGATCCGGGGGCTTGGGATCAGGATGTACCCTTTGCGTCTCCGACTTGACACCACTACTTTCGCGCTTAACGCTTTCTCGACTCGTGCTGGCGGCGCGCCACATTAACGACCCACAGACCACAAAGGCATCACAGCTGATCCGATCTAAGGAAGCATGGTCTTCCGGAGATTTTAGCGAGACCAAAAAGAACAAACAGGCCAAATTGCAAGCGTTAGCCTGACACAAAAAGCACGACACCCGTTCTTGCGTGTGGTGAGGTACTGCGATGACGTGTCCCCCACTTGAGTAGTAGTATTAGCAACCTACTCACCCTCGACGACGTGGGAGACGACTCCGGTGCATTGCGTTGATATTGGCTTTGCCGGCGTGGTGTGCTGGGCCTCATTTGCTGCCCTCCTTTCCGTCAGGCCTCAATGCGCCCAAGACGGGGCTGCGGCGTTTGCAGCAGGGCCGTATTCACGATCGTCGAAGAAGCGGCTGGAGCGTGTTTCTGTCACTTGAGGCAGCGAATCAAGGATAGTATTAAGCGGTGAACAGTCTCAGGGATTTACTGAGGGTTCGGAAGAGCACAAGCGCGATGACATGGAAGATCTGCAGCATGCTCGCCCTGCTCCGGCTATCTGACGCCTGAAGCGTCGCTACCGAAGCCTTGCGAACGGCTGACTTCATCAAGGCGGTGCAGATAGTGATGTGTTCACGCCAACGTCTTGACAACGTCGAAGACAAGCTCCACAGATGCAATTCCTGCGTTCATGGCTCCGGTCAAGTACCCCACTGTGGGCGGCGATCTAACAGTATCGACATATGCCCAAGAGGAGCGGTGAACCGCGGTGAACTGCCGGCGTGACGTCTAGCTTTGCCGCCTAAGCCTTGAACAGTCTTCAAGGCGCGCCATAACACGATGCTGGCACGCTGGTGTTTATGCGATTGATGGGGCCTCGGGGTGGTAGCGTCGGCCTCATCCGCAACGAGACATAATATTGTGCGCCCTCGCCCACGGGAGACGCGGCGCTGTATCGCACTGCGGCGGTGCTGCTGCTGTGTTGTCTCGTGTTCGAGAGCCACGTTGTTGAAGCTACGAGGAGGCGCCGCCATGCCATGTCATGTTGCTGCGGGCGTTGCATTGTGCGCCACGGGCAGCAGCGCGACGGGTGTCGGATTGCATCACGGGACTGGGATTTACGATGATGCGCATTAGGCGGTGAGAAGAGGCCGAACTGGATGGATGTTTTGAATGAGGTTGGATATAGCAGGCTCTTGGGCCAGTGGGAGCCGAGATGCAGGTGCATTAGCCATGAACAGCGTCCCCGTGCGTTGTCCAACGCTAAGTCCTAAGGCCTTTCGTCGGCGGCTGCACGGCGTGGTTGAGTGATTGAAGGATTAAAGGACTCCCCACAGATGTCTTCGTCGCAATCAGCCTACGCCGACGGCATGCGAACTCGACTTTCCATAACCCTGGTAAATGTCCTTCCGCTTTGAGAGTCTTGCTTGCACGTGCCACAGCCTCTGTAGCTTCTGCGACTCTCTCTGCGTGTACACAAATCTGCGAAGGCGCAGCACTCTATATTTACAGACGACTTGCATTGCATATAAGAAGCGGTGAAGCCTGCCCACTGTTGGAGGAAAATTTGACAGGGCGCTGTATATGTCCTGTTGACGCTGAAGCAGAGAGGCTGGGTGCAAGCGCTGGCTATGAGGCGCCTGCGAACAGTGCCGTGAGGGCAAGCACCTGTCATTAAGCACAATGTCACCGGGTCTTGGCTGAAGATCGGATGGTTTCGCATCATTCGTACGAGGCAACTCGACTCGGACGTCACTGACAGGCCTCACCTCGACGAAGATCATGGTGAACAAATCACCCACGCGTGAACGATGCCTGCGCGCGGCGTGGGGTTGCATCTGTAGTTCCCACGCACTTCCGCGATGCTGAGTGAGCGCGTGGGGTGAGCGTGGGTGGTGGGTGTTCGTGATGGGTTCTGAGACATTCACTGTGGTTGAAACCCACGGCCTTGGCATCGCTTAGCATACTCGATACGGCCATGCGCAACCCTCTCCAATGCTTTTCCTCGGCCCTACACCACTCGTAACTATCCCGCATACAGAGCGGGTCACCTGCCAACTGCTACACCATCAACACCAACAACAACTCCTACTCCTCCTACATTACCCCTCCAGCTAGTCTACCTCGGCATCGCCCATTTCGTCGACATGTCACTCCAAAGTGCGGCAGACGTGCCGCTCCTCATTAGCTCCCCGAATTCGTCTTCGGAGCGCCGTATTTCTCCGTCTTGGACCATCGCTCAACTCAAGGCACGCCTCGAGCCCATCACCGGTGTTCCCGCAAGCAGTCAACAGCTGTCGTTGCGCGTTGCTTCTCAGGATGCCGTCGCTCTCATTGCTCCGGACGAGGAACAGACGCGTCTTGCTGCCTTCCCGCTGCAGCCGTATGCGGAGATAACCGTAAGTGCTTCTTCTGCTTTCTCATTGAACAGTCGTCGCAGCCCTGTCCTTGACCACTCGACTATGCCGTCCTCTCGCAAGCTGCCACATCTCTCCAACCCCGGCTCGCCTCTCTGCTTCCTTGTATCTTCTACTCTACATCCAAGCTTAGCAGTTTCATGCGTCATGCCTCCTATCTTCCCTATTCGTTGTCAAGGCCGACCTTGAGGCTGTCGACTTTAATCAGGTCATGCCTGCATATCTGCATGCCCCGCAGTGCCCCTCCTTAGCTCTACACCCCGGTCATGTCAGCCTTGGCAGAGCGATCCGCGCGGAAGCCATCCTTCATTCCACTTGCAATTACCAGATCATCTTGAAGCAATGGGCTTTTGCTGGTACTCGGCATCCAGTACCGGACTTTTTAAACTTTTACCCTGCTCGATAACCTTTCTCTCTCGATTGCCCATTTCTTTTTCGGCGCTTCGGTGTTACTTGACGCCTTATATGATTGCATGATTCATCCCATGTACCAGTTACTTAGCTAGAGCAATCTCAACTGGCTTCTGCGAGCAAATGAATACCCTCAAACATGCTCCCGTGCTGACAAGGCAAATCTAGGTCGTTGACACACGTCCTCCCGCTGCACGAACTGACTTTACCGATCTGTCGTCCGTTGAGAAGTATGAGATGCCTGCTGCAGAGTACGAGCATCGGACCGATAGTGTTCTTGCATGGAAGAAGGCGCAGAAACTGGGTCGTTTCGACCCAGACGCTCCCAGCATCGAGCAGCAGAAGATCCGCGCTTCAGAGCGGGAAGTAGAAGAAAGAGGTAAGCCGTATGATTTCCCGCATGTCCTTCCTACCGTTGAGCCGTACGTTGGCGGCAATAGAGATACCGGAGCCCGGTCATCAACATGGATTACTGCAAGGCTGCTCTGCCATGATTTGTTCCAATGTACAAACCGGAGATGCTTCAAACACTTCCCAAAACGGACACCTGCATACTTCCAACGCCACCGTGGCCATGATGGCCACCTCGCCTCGTCATGGCAGGATTCGTTATGTCTCAGCCTGTCATCATCGTCCAACGAGGAAATCTGCGCGACAGGCAACCAATCTTCCATACCAGGTGTCGTCTTACCAAATCCCTCCTACATGATTACCTCTTCAAGCACTCTGCATCCACCCCTTGGTTCAGACCTCCGTAGCCGACACGATAGCGTTTGAAGTCATCCCTCGGGGACGTCTACAAGACGATTTACCACCCAGAAATCGCCTACTATTACCGTCGCTCCAACGCCGTCGCCCGGCTAGTTACCCGTTTTGGCAGGGACCAAGCCGCGGGAATAGAAGTCGCCGAAACTCAAAACGTCGAAAACGATCGTCGCTCCCTTGCCACCAGCCTCACTCTCGAGCTTCATTCGTCGAATTACCACAGTCATTTCACAAAATACAGTTCGACTACGACGACATCTTGTTTCCTCAAATCTCCCTCTTAGGTTCCGAGATCGACAATGGTGGTTTAGGCTCGGATGGCGCGGCCCGCTTCTAAAACATATTGCACATCTCATCACTCTGCATGCCATCATAGGCACCATACAACGTACACGAAGTTTCTGTTGACTAGACGCAACGATCCAACGTCGCACCTCATCCTCGATATTCGCGCATCACTGCTTCGCCCAAGGGACGCCTAAGGAGCACATTGGGCAGCGCCTGCATCTGTCTCGAACATCAGGCCGCTTCCCCGCTTGAGCCTCTGCTACCGTCACATCTCAAGAAAGCGAATGCTTGGTGGAGTAAGATGTGATCGGTGTGCATCAGGGGCGTGCAATCACGTCCTTTCCGCACATACGCGATCCTAGTTTACCAACCGCCGCCGGGAGTCGGGACGTTTGTTCGACTTGCCCATCCGTGCCACTTACTTTGTTTTTGCTTCTTCCTCGCTTTAGCTGTGACAGCTAGCCAGCCGACCCCCGGGCCATGAATCAATATCAACACGAACGGGTGTTGCCGCTAATCTCTCGTACGATTCTTCTGACCCGATACGAACATACAACTTTGACCTCATTCTTTTCCTCAGCTCACGCACTAACGCCCTTCTCAACTAGGTCTCTCTCTGAACTGTCGCGTCCGCCTACTCCCCGAGTCAGACGCTCGTCGCGGGACAATATCGTATATTGGACTTGTGCCTGAGATACCGGGCATCGGTGTGTGGATCGGCGTTACGCTCGACGAGCCGACTGGTAAGAACGATGGGAGCGTCAAGGGTAAGCGGTACTTTGAGTGTGGTGCCAATTGCGGTGTTTTCGTGAGGCCAGAGAGGTGTGAGGCCGGGGATTTCCCTGCGCTGAATGAGTTTGGGGATGAGGATTTGGAGGAGCTTTGAAGGAAGGGGGAAGAAAGGGTGGCATGTATACCAGTGATTATGCAGGCGTAGCTATCAATCTGTCTTACTTTACCTCGCTGAGGAAGACCAAGCTGGGTGTGACAAACTAGTGCATAGAAAAGGCAATCAAAATATTTCTATACATCAATCACTCTATCAGTGCGTCTTCCCGGTTATTCACCCAGCAACTGCTTCAATACTTCAACAGCCCAAACTCGGCCGAAACATCATCTTCCCACCTTCTTACCTAGGAACAGGAGAAGAAGAAGAAAACTGTAGGAAAGCCATATCCTCCTACTACACTTCCACTCATCTACACAGGTTTCTGCCGCTAGTCACCCTCTACAACCTCCATGTTTCTTTACAGAAAAAGGTCGCGGTGGAGCCATTGTAGCAAACAACAGAAAATCTGTGTGGTCGCGTCGGAGAGTGATCTAAGGCCAGATAGATAAAGCGTAGAGGCCTGGTAGGGACAATCGACCGCCTGGTCTGTGCATAGGATATATATGATGGATGATAACAGGTTCGACAACCAACACCGTGATTAGATGGACAGGGCTAAGCCCGGAGGCAGTAATCCTCCGCCACATAGCTCCTCTGGCCATAAGAGTCTATCGACCCTCTTCCACCTTGTCCCCTCTTGACCCTCACCTACGTTAGTTGGACCTAGGAGCGGCTTCAGCCATCTTCGCCAACACTTTCGGCCACTCTTTTCAAACAGTTTATCCAATCTTTCTGAAAGCTTGGCTCACGAGCGTCAAGGACCTGAGTGGAGTCGTTGACCGACGCTTACGACCCGGGTCTCACGGGGCCCTGGTGCGCTGACGAGCGTTATGCGGCGGCACCTCAGTGCTCAAATTCGAATTCCGGCTTCGCTGTGCCGCTTGGAATTGATGGAAAGGCAGTTATATATGCATCATATCACGCCAGCAGGTGGTGAGCATCGATATCCTTCGGGATTGCTCAGAACCAACTATTACCTTTTTTCGTTGACATTGCTACTTTACGCAGTCTGTTGAAGAAGAGACACTCGAACGAGCGACAAAAGTGTCTAGAGATTGGACCTTGGCCGCGAGAACGTTTTTGTTACATTGTGTATGTCGGTGGCCTTGAGAGGGTTCAGACGAAGTCGGCAGATATTGTAAGTTAGAGCCAGCAGTGTGACGACATCGCAACACCAAGTACACAACCAGCTCCATGCTACATCACCTCGATGTGCACCAAAGAGTAGTGTATCTGAGTTTTCTTTCCAGTGTTCTGAGATTCGCTATATACCCGATCAGAGGTTCTTCCCTTCCGTCTCCTCGTCCACATACCGCTGCAACGCCTCCATAGCTCTTTCCCGAACCTTCTTCCGCACTAATCGATAGCGTTCCTGTATATACTCCAAGCCACCAAGGTCATGATCCGAAAACTCAAACTGCACATTAACGGATACCGTCGCATCAACAGTGACGGCTGGTGAATTGGACCATTTCCGCATATTACCCTCCATTATCAGCGAAGAGTCACTGGACGTTTGTGTGAACATCTGTTCATGTGGGCCAGGTCGGAGTAACATCTGCTGTTTCGGTGCAGCTGAGTTGCTAGCATTGGAGCAAGATCCACCGTGTAAAGTATTGTCGCGAAGGCGGAGGCACTGGCGTTGTTGATTTCGTCAGCTACGTCAAAGTCCGCGCTTCCTTGCGACTCCGCACGCTGACCTGGTAACGCTGACCGACGGTCCTGTAGTGATACCCTGCTATCGCTCGAGACTATGGGAGCTGCATTGAAAATGGTGTCGTCTACAGAAGTAGAAGAGCGTGGTCTCCAATCTGGATGAAGAAGACTTTCATCGAAACCGGCCACGTTGCGTACTTCTAGAAGTTATTGGAGAAGCCGACGTTACTTGATGTTTTATAGAAAGGTTGACGTCTTATACACGAAGCGCATATGTGAAGTGATCAGGTAGCATGTGCTCTTTGGTCACGAGGGGCCGGGATGTTGTGGTGATGTATCTGGTGGGTACCATAACAAACGCATGTGACGTTTCAGAGTGTATGCGTGTACTAGTCACAGATTTTGGTAACTCTGAGAAGGTTCCATCCGCGTTGTGATCCGACAAGCATTGAGAGATCGATGTTCAAATAGATAAACAGCGCTCTGTAGGGGTATATGTAGTCCAACGCCTCGAATTCTTTGTGACACGTCACGTAAAATCGTAGATCACCAGAGCCTGACTACCTTCGCTCTTTTCTCGCAGCACAATCACGTTCTGCTCGTCAAACCCGACCCAACCGCGACTAATGGAAGAGTCGTCGAAACCCTGGTCAAGCGCGAGCCGCAGGCCCACTTGATGACCTGAGTCATCGTCCTGTGTGTACTCCTCACTGGCCTTGGATGGCTGCACACGAACGCTCAGTTCTCCGTTTCTTGAGCGCTTGCGGTTCGCCGAAGACGTCATGCCACCCTCCAAGTCCCACACGCGGAGCTCATCTCCTAGTCTACTCACGGATACGGCCTTGCCTCGCATGCCAACATGAGCACCGGATATTGAAGATGTATGGCCCCAGAGACGGTTGCCGGAAGTGATTGATAAAGCTTGTGATGTGGATCGAACTAGGTAGAGCGATAGTGTGTTGTCAGGATGCGCGACGAGGAGATAAGGATGCGAGTACGACATAGAGGTAGGTTTCGATCGGCTTGGTCCGCTCGGCATTTGGGCTTCGCCGGCGCTACCTGGCAAAGGCGACGACGAGCGTGCAGAAGAGGAGGCCGCGCGGTATGTAGAAAGCGTAAATGAATGTTCATCCGCCGCAGTAGCTAGCCGCGACTCGATCACTTCTCCTTTGTGCGAAAGTATCAGCTCTTGCACCCCGACACTCCAGCCAGACAAGTACGTTGGTAGGGAGTATGCGATGGCGGCAGTCATGCTCGTTGCTGTTGTTCGCAGTGATAGTGCAACAGGTGGCCATGCGGTGTTCGATCTTAGGGAATATAGGAGTTTCGGAGGCTCTAGAAGGCCGAGCTTCCCTGGTATTGCTTCAAAAGCGTATAGCGAGAGTAGATGATCTTCGGTCATCGTGAGAAGGTAAGGTGACGAGTAGGCGAGAGCCGATAACATTCCGTTCGTCGATGGTGGATGGGTAAAGACATTCGTGAACGTCTTGCGATTCGTTTCGAGAGCGTAGATGGAGAAAGACCCATCTTCAAAGCCAATAACAACTCTTTCGGAATCGTCCACCGCGTGGGAAGCATCTATGGCCATGGATATTGGTAATCGAGCCGTGTCTGTTTCACTAGATAGTTCGGTAGATGCGAGTAGTTCCCTGTTGCTCTTCGAACTCCACGCTCGGAGGCCTGCTATGGAATCTGCAGCATAGATAATGCTATTAGACATCATCACCAACAGCGGCGGATCTGGAGACCTTTCGGCAACCACGATCTCACTAACGGCGCATTGTCCCTGGGTCCAATTATGCCGTAACCGATATTGTTGCTTCCAATTCGTTTGTGATCCGTCTTTGACCAAGTAGCCATCTTCTAACCATTTCGATAGTCGCGAGGAATAGTGTAGCCGACTAAGGTTCGCAGGGCCCTTGATGCCTGGTATCCGCGACGCTCTCGGGAGGACAAATGTGCGGTAGTAAGCGGCCTTCCATAGTTCTGAATCGACAGAAAGGCGGCTAAACTTCTTTGACACCCTGTGCTAGTCAGTGACTGTCGCGATCCATTGGGTCTGGCTGTGCCTACCTTTGGCATACTAGTAGTGAGGATATGGGCACGAAAGACAGTACGCGCACAAGCAATTCTTCACTCAACCTCGATAGTCTATCGGGATGCGAAAGCCGCTGTACTTTGGCCTGGTGCTCGCTGTCATCCTCCCCTTCGTACGCGCGCTTCATAGTAAGGACAGTCGTGTCGGCGGCAAAGGCGAATGCGCCTCGGAACGATACCATGTCTTATCGTTATCGCTGAACGTCTGTGCGCTGACTCGTGACAGCGCGTTCCACTAGCGCGTGACTTTCGCTGTTGCCGCCTGCCTTACTCTAGACCGCATTCACAGCCCACGCGAACATCAAGCCATTTCTCATCCCATCCCTCATTTTGATGTTTTGTCGGCCTGATCAGATATGGCGGACTTTTCAGCCTGGGTAGAGCAGAACAAAGGGCTCTGGACGCGAGTATACGATGAGGTCATCCAACCTGATCTAGAGAAAGAGTGGAAGAAGAGTATGCATGGCCAGCTAACGTGTCGGCAAACACTAATTATACTTTAGGGGAAGAGAGGCATAGGAAAGAGTTAGAGCAGAGTACGCGTTTTGATCTATTTACTGCGGCGCGTACTGACCAACTGTAGAGAAACAGGACCAACAGTTACTATTCGAGCATCTGAACGACGAGATCTTGAAAACTGTGCGTCTTGCCAAGGAGAACGCTCAACTAAAGGAACAACTCGAAACTGCTGGGCAGACAGACCCGGACGATTCTAGGATTCCTGCTTGGGATGAAGAGTATCGCCACCTCGCCGCCAAGAACGAGCAGTTGAAGCAGCGACTCGCGACACTCCAAGAGGCAACTGCACCATCGCTAGATGATAAAGATGTCAACAAGGACAGGCCGAAATCTTCCGAAGAGGACCACCGCGAACTTGCCGAAAAAATCAGCGAGTTGAATAAAAAATACCGGGATGTATGTCAGAAAGTGAAGTATCTTGAGAGGAAGAACGCAACGGTCATGCAAAAAAATAAAGAAATGAAAGAAAGCGTGCGCGCATGGCAAGAGTACGCAGATCGACAATTCAGCAAGCAAAAGTCAAAGAACGCGGCCAGAGGTGAGGATGGCAAGTCACATATAGCAGCTACTCGCCTTTTTCCTGAGGAGCGGCCTCACATGCCCTCCAGTCCAGGCTCCGCAAATACTGTTCGAACACCTGGAGCGCTCGCCAACCTGGAGCGCTCCTCTCCTGCTCCAATGGTTCCGCTTGTGGCGACAACGGATTGGTTGGCATCTCCGACGACATTCGGTGGCGAGGCAGCCAGTAGTCTGACCGCAACTATCACTCCAAAGGCTAGCACCCGATTGGGAGATGTTCAGCTACAACAACTTCAAGATGATAACGGCACTGGTTTAGGTGTATCCTCGCACATTCAACGCATAATATCAGACCACGAAGGCCACCGTTCCGCAATTCCTAGCTCAAGTCAAACAACAGTGGATGAGCATATCGAGCCAAAAAGCATATTCGAGCAAGCTATAGTCGCTGAAGACGACGATGACCCAGAATTTGTTTCTGAGCGGTCACTAAAACGGAAACGAGATCAGCCATCAAAGTCAAGATTTGAGATATACGCGGACCATTCCTCAGATGGCACGCCGATAAAGCCCCATCGAGTTAAAGAAGAGCCGCGCAGTAGTCCTCCAGTTTCTACCTTTAAGATGACACGGACTGAGACGATGGATCTTGACGATCCTGCGCCCAATGGGCTCAAAACACCTCGCCATCCTCGGACACGACTGTCGTATGATGCAAATCCGGCAGAAGCACCTCGTCAGGAGAAGTCTAACAGTGCACCACTTACACAGGCTATCAAGAATGAGAACCTAAATGATGCTGATCTGCTTGATCTCTACGCCGGGATACGCGAGCCACAGGCCATGGCAAGCATCGAGGCACGAGCTTTGAGTGAGCCGGCTGAACCCACTCAAGCAGGAGACGCCGTATTGAGGACTCTTGACCCGAATGTAGTGAGCAGTGTTTCGGAGGAGCCTCCAAACAAACGCTCACGGCAAGCCCAAGCGTACCATCAAGACAAATACGGCTTTCTCGCAGAGTCGGGCGAAGCACCACCTCCTGTCAACGACAATGAGCTGAGACTGCCGCCCCGTGCAGCTCGAGCACAAATGAAACAAAGACTACAAGCACTGAAGAACCTTCAATCACCTGGAAGCACCTCGCCAAAGACTCCCAAGTCAGGGTTGGTGAAGATCAAAACAGAACAAATGCCAACTCCTCCCGCAAGTACGTCGCGGGATACCCATACACCTTCCAGCAGCAAGGGATCGCGCAGCTCAAAGTCGAAAACTCGCGCGAGCCCTCGCGAAGATCCGACGCCTGAAGGCCCAGTATGGACCATGAGGGCTCCCGAGACACGTTCTACTGCGCGAAGAAGTCGTATGTCACCATCAAGACAAGAGGGTCGTCTTCGAGATAAGCCAGTAGAGGAGCTTAGCGTCAAGGACTTCAAGCCAAACCCTGAATACAACCAAGGCTACAGCTACGCGTTTTCGGAGACTGTGCGTAAACGAGGCGATCGCATGTGTCTTCCAGGCTGCACTAATCCACAATGTTGTGGGTCCACTTTCCGGACCTTTGCAGAAGTTCAAGCACCTCTCAGCTCATCGCAAGAAGAGGCCCTACTCGAGGACTATCTAGGCGATGCATACAGCAACATGCAGCTTACGCAGATGTCATCCGAAGAGCGACAAGAGCTCGTTTTGCAAGCCCGCACGAAGAAGATGGCAAAGGAGTCAGGGAAGCATCGTGAGGCTTACGAGCGACGAAGAACGCCGCCTGGGTTCTGGAGAGTTGACTTTCCGACGACGCAGGAACAGCAAGAAGATAGGCAACGGGTGAGGGAACAGGAGAAATCAATAGTACAAGAGCGTTGGTTGGAGGCGCATAGGAGGGGTGGAAAGTGGATCTTCAGAGACGAGTAGGTCGTTGGTAAGACATGCTGTGGATTGGGTGCGACGAGAGTCTCCACGTTATGAGATCCATGGTTCACGTTCGACACAACCATAGATACTAGCAAGTACCACAGTATTATCTGAATACCTTCTTGTAGGCGTTGTGTGAGTATATATGCTTTCTCTTTCCCAATTTGCTCCGAAGACCAAATCTCATCCTTAGGCACTTGGGCACCGCTACCACAAGACCACCATTCCGAAATCATACTGACCACAAACACCAACCCTCTTCAACTTCAAAAGATGTCTACACTCACACGTGAAGAGTTCCTCGCCTCGAATATTACACTCGCCAACTCATCTCCAGAAGACACTTGTTCAATCTGCAAGGAAGACTATGACACCATCACCACCACCACACACACTGCAGTAACTTTTTCCGACTCCACAAGCTGCAACCACATCTTCGGCCAAGACTGCATCGTCTCTTGGCTTAACATGCATGGAGTCAACTCCTGCCCATGTTGCAGGCGCGAGCTCTTCGCCCTCACCTCGGAAAACTTGGACATGGATTCCAGTTCCGGCTTGGGAGATGATAGCGATTCCGAGTCTAGCGAGTCGAACTACGACTCAGACGTCTACACCATCATACCCGTTGTAGATCTAGTCTCTCTTCTCGAAACAATTTGGTATAAAACGTGGAACCTCCTCTCTGTATACATATCGGAAATTGAGTCCGCCTACCAATACAGCCCTTTTCCCCTCAACCCGCGCTACTTTGACAGGTACCTACCTACCATGCCTATGCTGCTTGGTTCCGTTCTGCATCACGTGTCGGCGCGTGTGGGATGTGATATCTCGGGTCTGCTAAGCGAGCAGCAGGTTGACGCGTTAGAGACGTTGTTGACGGAGATGGTGGAGGTACAGAGGGTGTTCGTTGACGTGTATTGGGAAAGCAGTGGTCAGTTTGTGCAGGAGGGTGTGTCGTTAAGTGGATGGGTAGTGATTCTCGACGCGGCGGTGGGGACCGTGGTGGTACCTAGGTCTTGAGCGGAGGATTAGGTGCGGATCTAGATGACCTCTCTAACAGACAAGAATTAAGTACTAACTTGTAGTCTCTAGTCACAGGACTGCTCCCTAGTATAGTACGTAGAGTCTAGGTCAACCTAAGGGCGTAGATCCCTAGACACCCTTATCTTAATACGTTATATTACGCACAGGTTACTACATTCCTTCGTATGACCTTTTATCACACCTACAACATAGCATAGCACGACAATGTAGTTCATGTACCCCAACGAATAGATGAGTGTTGAAAGCTGTTCGATTACGTTCTTGTTGCTGCATTATAGATTATGCGTTCTGTATACTATAATATGCCGACAAGATGTGTTAAGGTGATAGTAACTGGATGGGCGTGGTATCCGGGATGCGAGGATACCATGTGGGGGCGATCAGGTCGCTAATCTGCCAAGGCCGCGGGCGCGATGACGTACCCCGCGTCGCAGGCGCATCCGCGTCAACCATCCATCGTAGCTAACTATGGAGTCTTTGCAAGATTCTGTTCCCGACATACTTCACTCTCCACAACCATGTCGACCACCAAACCGCTTACCCCCGCGCAAACGCACGCCCTCTTCGACATCCTAATCCACCACCAAGTCTACTCTGAAATCGAAGCTTTCAAATACCCCTCTACCATCGATCAGTATGGCTACCCGTTCCGGAAGGCCGACGGCGTCCAGTCGACGAGCCCATTGTTACAGAATATGCTCAACAAGTTTGCACTGTGTAACCCTGCAATACGAAACTTTGGCGAGAGCTGGTGGTCCGACAAGATCCAGACGCTGGTTGCGAGAATGGCAGAGGCCGAGTTGAGCGAGAGTTATGACAAAGGTGCCATTGGGAGTCGGAAGGCTCTTGCGACGGCGGCGAGTAGTATTGCCGAGTATGTTGCGAGAGGCATGTTGGGTGGATACCCAGCAACCAAGAAGAAGGAGAGCAAGAAGGAATACGACACAAGCAAACCGGAAGACGTCATACAAGGCTTCGAGGAGCTGGTGAAAGATGCGATATATGGTAATGCTCTGGATGATTTATATGAGAAGGTCAAGGCGACGTCGAGGCTCGAGGATCATTCCAGCAGTTTGCAGGCAGCGCATGAGTATATGCTGTTGAAGTGAGTACTTGTAGTGGCTGTTCATCACACAAACTAACTATACCAGCGCCGCGTCCTTCCTCCACCATGTCTTTGTAATGTCGCCTGATGGCCAGTACCTCGTCCGCCTCCTCGAGAACCTGCACCGCCTCATACCATACACCGTCATCAGACAGACATTGCGCGTAGGGAACGCAGCCACCATGATCAACGGCATGGTCAGATTAGTACTGGCCAAGCTCTCCGTCACGGCCATGACCAATTGGATAGGTCTAACCAACAACTCCAACGACGGCATGAACCTCCTACAGCAAATCATATCGACAATATTGGCCTGGGACACAACCGAGTTCCAGAAGCGAGCAACGAAACTAGAGTCATCACGCAATGCCCCCGATAAGAAGGTCTTCAAGGCACTCAAGGCATACGTATACTCCTCAAGAGAGAAGCACGAGGCGGCACGAAGCCAATCAGTCTCGGAATCAAAATCCATCGCAGCTGTCATCCTCGAAACCTCCGACCCTCCATACAAGATCGACGCTGAAACTCTCAACGAACACCAACATAGCGTAGCTATGGAATACCTCAGCACATATCTATCCATTCGCGACCGTGAGGAACTCACCAAAGTGCTCTGTAAATCCAACCCTGACGTCCTTACTTCCACAATACGAGATGCCGTAGCAGCTATGGATCCCGTTATCCGAGACATACACAACGCAGTCGATCTATCAGGCACCGTCACCGACGCGGAAGCCTTCATCACCGACCTCATCAAAACCGCCAAGCCAAAAAAGAAGGGAACCAGAAGTCGCGAAACCTCAAAGTCCCGCCCGAGCTCCCCAGACCCAGCCAGCATCATCGACCAAGAAGCAAGCGACGCCCCCACCGTAGAAGAGTTCGTCCAACTTCTAAAGAAACACGCACCCTCCATGCACAAATTCCTGCATCAAGTCACCAAAAACGCACCAAACCTCGCACAAGACTACCTCGTATATGCTAAACGCATATTCTCCGAATTCCGCGTCGACGACCGCGCAGCCGAAGCGGAGAAAAGGGGCGAAGGAGGCGCGGGAAACATGACAGCACCACTACACTCACTCTTTGAAACCCTCAGCAAAGAAAAACAAGACGAGTTGAAGAAGTTGCTGGATCAGCACGAAAACCACCTGACCACACTGAAGTCCACATCCCAATCCCGCCTTGAATCTATCATGCGGCCCTCGCCCTCACAAAACAGCGGGAAAGGAGGTACAACACACGGTCCAGGCATGTACCTCTCCCGCTGGAACGCTCTCCTCGACAGCACGCTCATCTCTCCCGCCACCATCCACGGCCCCATACGCAAAGGCTGGGAGGTCAAAGGGGAGCTGGATGGTAAGGGGCTCAAGACAAATTCGAGTCTGCTGGATAAAGACAGGAAGCGGGATCGTGTTAGTGCTATGATGGCGGATGGGACGGGGGATAAAATTGAGCGGAAGGAGAGGAAGAGGGATGGGTTGGAGGAGGAGAGTATGGAAGTTGTTTGGGAGGGAATGAGGAATGGGTGGGTGGGGGTTTGTCGGGGGCTGGAGATTATGGGTCCGGAGTAGGGGTAACATGGAGGAAGGGGGAAGGGGGGATTTGTTGGTTAAGATGGAAGTTGGTGCATAGAAATGGAGCAAGACAGAATACATAGAGCAGGCCGTCGTTAGTTATAGCATAGAAGCATGGTTTAATGATCAATGTCAAGGCTTGGGCCTCCCCACAACGGAACAACTTATATTAGACAAAGGAACCTGTGCACTAGGCCTTATATCAAGAGTGTCTTGCCACCCATGGTAAGAGTAGATACGTAGAGTCATTTCAATAGGGTTTTGGCAAACAAGGTGCAAAAGACAAGAGCAGAAGACACCAGATACCCGTTCAGAGGTGTCGAGCGTATTACCAAGAGGCAGGCTCGGAGGGAAACAGAGAACCCATGCAAAAAACCCCACATCAAAGGGCTATCACCCCGTATAACATTAAGTAGAGCGGCAAAGTTCCCTCCGTCACTTCCTTACCTCTTCCCGTGCTTCTCTATCCTTCCGTCCCTTTCGTTCTTTCGCTTCGGACCGAATGAACGCGGACCCGCCGGGCCCGTCGTTCCTTCGACGTGTAGATCACATTGTCGGATGTCCGGATGTAGCCGCAGCCGCGCGACCGAGAACAGCCTCATGTCTTAGCTATGGCATGTCGCTGAGGTCATAGAGAGCTGGTGATTAGCGGGTGATACAGGGAAATTCAGTCTTGTGACCATGCCGGGTTCGTGGTTTCTTGTTGATCCAAGATGCCACGCGCCCGATGTGGAGGAACGACGCGGAACCCTGCGGATCTGATTTTTATGGTCATGGGAAACTGAATTGTAGTAAACAAATGGTTTTTTGCTGCATGTTTCATAGCTATGATTGTGTGAAAGATAGTTTAGATGAACGTAGAACATTGTAATAATATATGACTTGTATACAAAACGTAATTGGTATCTCTACTAAAAAGCTTAAAACAGAAAAATGTGAATGGTATCTCTTTAACACATGCCCAAAGCCGAAGCCAAAATCCCAAACGAACGCCCTCCAGCCTGGTCTTACTCTCCTTCATATGTCTGTTACATCCAGTCTCCTCCACCCGACCAGTTCATTCATTGATTCAACCTCAATCAAGACATGACTATTTTTCCCAATCCCTCTAAATCGGGGACCTTGAATCCAGCTTCCCCTTCCGCCCAAGCCACAACCCCCACACTAACAGTCCACGCCACAATAACCATGCGTGCCACAAACGCTATCGTGGCAACATCCAATGGCAACTCTGCCTTGAGGACTTGCTCAACCTGCTTCGCTAGCGTCCCCTCTTTGTCCTCGGACGACAGCGCAGGGCTCGTCTCGGTGACATCAGAGAACGTGCTTGAACGGTTCGATCGACGACGCGGGCTGCGTCGCGAAGATGTGGATTGACGCTTGGCTGATTTGGCCGATATCTCGGGTACAGGGGAAGATACAGGTGAACATATCGATTCGACACTGTTTTTTCTAGTGGTTGAAGAAGAATGTGTTGTGACGGCTTGCTCGTACGCAGCTCGTATCTCTTGTTTCATTGCTTCTTGGACGGCGGCAAGGACGTCTTGTGGTTTCAGGTGTGGTACAAGGGCCATCAGACGTTCGAGGAGGGTGATATAACGTGACATGCGAGATGTTTTGTCGGCGAGAGTATCGGGTGTAGTAGGGTCGGTGGCGAGTCTACCGAGACGTTCGCGTTCGCGGAAGAGTAAGCCCGCGTTTTGGGGCTCGTAGAGAGGGCCGAAGATGTTGAGATGGGGTGTGTGGCGGTGCACTTTGTCAACGAGTTGTTCTAGGCGCTGGATTAATCGTGCGTGAGCGAGACCCGCGGATGCTATGAATTGGACGGTTTTGATCAAGGGTGCTGAAGCGAGGGGAGCGAGACCACCGGAGAACGGTAGCGCTGCTATGGCGTCTAGTAACGTTGTCGATGTGTGGACTTCGGTTGATGTGGCGAGAATGTGGAATCTGGATTCGCGCGAACTGGGTAGCGATGCGAGGAACTTTGACTGTGGTGTTCGTGCGGCATATGGATGTGTGTATAGAGAAGCACCTGCTTGCAACGCCTCGAAAGCCTCGTCTGTAATGAGGATGCTGTGAACGCCAATGTTATTTTGCGAGTACGGGAGGGAGCCAGCTGCAAGGTGCTTTGCGAAGAGTGGTGAGACGCCTGAGCCCTGGGCGTGCCGTTGCGATCTGCTGCGCTTTTGTTGCGTGAGTGTGACTTGGCTTTTGGCGTCTGTCGTTGGCGCAACAGCTATCGAAATGCCGTATGCACTGGGCTCAAGTAATGTATCCTTATTGGGTTCGTTGCTCAATTGGCTTCCGAGTATTATGGAAAGCGCTGCAAGTTCGCCAGAGGTGATCTTCACATTCGTCCTCCCATCCTCATACTTTGCTGTCTGGCCCTCCTTCATCCAAGACCTTTGCGGAGTTTTCTGAACATCATCATCGCGCAGCCCGTTGCGCATAGATACTAAGGCAGATGCCGGTTTCTTCACGGATAGACTCCTAGCTAAACCCATCTCAACCACCGACAAATCCAAGCTCTTTCTCGCAGCCTTCGGGTTAGGTTCTCCTCGCTTGACATTTGACATGGATTTTGACCGTCCAAGGTTCCCTGCGGGCTTCTTTGCTCGCCCAAGGAACCTCGTCATATCTCCAGGGTATGATGAACGCTCCGAAATTGGTCGGGATCGCACTTCGGTCGCGAACGCATCGTACAGGGTTTCAAGTGGTAGTTGTCCGGGATGGCCTTGAAGATCGGTAAATAATGCGGAGGAAACCAGACCCTCATCCCCGGCTTTTATGATGCCCGACAGATTCGGCACCCAATGGCGTTTGCTCGAGTCTTGCTTGGGGAGTAGCAACCTTTTCCACGAGCTCGAAATCTGTGTGAGTTGAAGCTGCCCTTCCGTCTTGCCATCTGTGGTGAACATGTCGCTTGTTGTTGTAGTTTTGGCCTGCTTGTGCTGCAGAAAGAAGCGGGTAACGAGTGCCATAGCTGCGATGAAACAAAGTCCAAGTACAGCGCTCACTGCGATAATCTCTTTCGTCTGCATTCTGGATTTGGCGGGCGTTGTACTTTATACAAGATGTCGCTTGTTGCTAGTACGTCGTTAGACCCTGGCCGATCTGACAGGAAGTAGTCTTGTCGCCCAATCGGAACACAGGGAAGCTGCAACTAGTCCCAAGGTCGCGCTCTCGGACAAGCTGGCAGCCGCTTTCCTTCGCAAAGATGATCCTAGACGGTCAGGAGTCATCCATCAGCGCGAATCATACTTTGCCGTGGTTCGCTCCATTTGTCAGATATGTGGGCCGAACGAGGCAGTCATCATCTCGCGAAGACAGCACGCTGACCGTTGAGTGACAAACAAGCATGCACGTGTTTTGGCGTTGCTTCAGGATCCTGGACAGTCTACAATCGAAGAGTCTGGACGTTTGCATGTCCTAAACAAAGTGCCTTGTCGGATACTGTCTTAAACACCCTGGCAGCCCAATGTGACCTCTAACATCTGAACATGATTTCCAGCTATGCAGATCTTGACATCCTCGCGACCCCACATGTCAATTCAAAGTTTGACTCTACAAGGCTTGAAACTGTTTCCGCCCTGCAGGACAAGTACCGTGGCTAGCGGAGCGTCGGACAACTGCGGGACGAAGAGGGTCTTGACACACGGGCCCTCCAATGATGGCATTTACGCACGAGGACGACTTGAAAGAAGCGCCGGGACGGCCACAGCGAATTACCCTTTCCTGAGATCAATGCGAAACGAGCAACCTTGGCAGGCAATTAAGGCATGTTCATACCGCGACGTCATAAGGTGTTGACTAAGATGAGAGCCCTCAAAGCTTAGCAGGTGAGCTACCTCCCCACTGGACGCACAGTAGCCCTGTCGACCCACAGCGGTAAGCAACCAAGTTTTTCGAACACCACCAATGAAATTATGCGCAAAAGATTGAGTTTTTGTCCCCAACCTCAGGCGCCTGTTCTGGAACTTGAAAAAGCATCACGCCCGGATCTTGCGGATAGTCGCAATCCGAGAGGCCCGACGGCTTCAAGTCGGTCTTCCATGATGCGCGTGGAGTGAGAACGCCCCAAGATGCGGTCACTCACACAACCCACGACCAAGACGCCCCGGACGATGCGTGGAAAGCTGTCATACGCAGTGACTTAATCGATCCACGAAGAGCTAGCCAGATATAGCGTCATTACCAACATTGTTCCATTCCTGGTTGGTAAGGCCCATGGAATGCGCATTAGAGAATGTTGTTTTGTCAGCAGTCAGCTTGTGACTTTAGGTAAGTTGCTCGCTCTGGACGATCATCATGGTATATGTATTCTTTCCGGGGATTTGATCTTGCCGATTTGTGAGTGTTCGCGTGGCCATTCACGAACCCCACGCGAAGTTTGAGAGGTCGTGTGGGGTATTCACAATCTTCAGCCGTGTATTCTAACGAGCTCCTGTACTCTGAGGAGCCTCTTCTGCGATGACAGGACGGTATCGGATGCTTGAAGATCAGCACAACTATTACGCGCATGGAAAACATAGTGAGACATTGCTGCACTCGGAATTTGCAGGGTTTGCAGTACCGATCTCGTTGAGACAAGGTGAGCACCGTGGGCGTACGAGCCGCAGCAGCATCCACAGTGCATATCCAATATAAGACACTAGCCATACCATTCCCATACGTTGGCAAGATCGGTGCGCTCTAGAGTTTCCCACAACATCTCGCTGTTGTGTAGTTCTCCGGAAGCGGCCGCTCCGGACCAAAGTGTCTTTTGGGCGGGCTCAGCAGCCATGGAGAAGGGTAAACTGCAAATAATGGATGCCGTGTAGATCATGGTAGTGAGGCGGCATGCTTCTTAGACCCAATCCCCGGAGTCCGGATGACGTGGAATAGAAGCTGGAAGGAGATTCGTTAATTGATCGCGTAATCCAGCCACTGTTGCATTGTAGTCGGCATCAGCAGAATATGAAAAGGCAGGACGTATTTCGTCGGTGTCGCTGGGAACTTCGAGTATGGTGTTGTGCGATAGGAATAGGACAGTTAAGTCGCGCATATCTCGTAGTAGACCGTGTATGGAAGGTGAGCAAGGCTCGTCTTTAAGGTTAGTCACAAAGTTGGGTCTTGGGCAAAACAGTGGCGATTCTGGTATAGCAACGTCGTCGTCGGGTCGGCTATACTTTCCCATTTGCCAGGACATGAAGGCTGGCAACGGGTCCGCCTCATAGACAAGACCGCATTGGAAGCAACACCTTTCCGAAATATTAGTATACATCCTGCTATCCGCCAGGGGTAAACTCACGATGCAGAAACCTCTGCGATTATCGCTTTACTGAGCTTGTCGAAGCCACCGCAGAGAGTAATCATTTTTGCGATGCCAGATACATGCCACTAAAGTATTCTCTCATTGCAAATCCATATCTCACCAGCCAACAAGTGCAGTATGATCACAATGGTCGACGCGGCGTTATCCTTGTTGGGATGCCGAAATCGCTCCTTGAGCATGTCTATGATCTCCTTTCCAACGAGCGCAGTTGTGATGCTCTCGCCTGAAGGTTTGGCGTGCATGCCGAGCCAGTTACATGCCAGGAATACTGTGCTAAGTAGGATATGTGTTCTGAAACACATCACTTGTGTACCAATTGATGGAGAACACCTAGAAAATCACTGGCGTTCTTTTGTTATGCTCACCTAGACCTTAAGAAATTAGCCAACATCCTCCGGATAGCCTTACCGAAGCCAACGAGCAACTGCCAGATTGTCGCCCCATAGCTTGGTTTACCGATCTGATCCTGCCCCGCTATTGATAGAGATTCATTCTCTGCTGACCACTCAGTTGGATCCAAGGATCTACGCGTGTCGACATCAGCCGGCCGGATCGTCTCGTCGCTGTCAAACGACTCAGCCACCCTATATCAATCACCAAACATGTAATCGCAAGGCAGAACCGCCCCTAAGCGTTCATTAGTCTTGTTTTGTACTTCTTCTGACCGAATCCAACACACCTCGACTTCTCAGCTCCGCTCGAGCCCTATGCCGAGCCTTGTTCCACCGCGCTTCGTCGATCAAGGGCGGTGCATCAAACAGGGTTCGTGGAAGCGAATTCGGACTGAAGGGCATAGGCAAGAGCCGCCGCACGTGCTTCAGAGCTTCTGATGCTCTTTCGCCTTTGTAGAACATTCGGCGCTTCACTTCTGGCGCGATGAAGCGACCATCTGGCAGGTTGTACAGTAGACGATATTGCTCTTCGGGCGTGTAAGAGTCGATGTAGTCAACAAAATGCTCTGCGATGTAGCTGGGGATATTCATGGCGGTACGGATAATGGCTCGAGTACTATTGTTGAGGAAACCGCATACTTGCTCAGAGTCGAAAGTAGAATTCTTCGACTCCGCACGATGTAGATAAAGAAGTTGGGCTGTCACTCTTGCTGGGTCTCCTGACTGCACCAAACGGCTTTCTAGCAAACCATGCGTTGTGACGAACGAGATACATACGTTATTACTATCGCCAATGAAAAAAAAAGTTTAAATAGTACGGTATGACGAACGTTCACGGCCTCGTGCTTCGCCACCACACTGCTTCACACCGATAACCACAACAGAGAAGAGGCTTACCAACATTCCACAAACGACTCGCGCATCGATGAAACTATCTGCGCTTGTCACCTCTTACTCTTTCAACCTCCTCAGCGCAACTCAATCTCTTTCTTATGAATCTCCTCCCCAACATAACACTATCCAACCCTCAGAATCTCTCTTACGCGCTTGTGCTTCGCCTGGATTTCTACAGGCCGTTCTACTAATTCGCATCCTCCTTCGTGCGCATCAACCGGACTAATGTTATCAGTGAGAATTGCTCTAACCCTGACTATCTTATCTTCTGGCTTTGTACTCGCTGAAACCCCCTCTTGCGCCTCTATGCAAACATACGTCTTCCATCGAGTCTCTGCGTCTACGTACTTAATGATGCCGGGCGAGGAGACAAAGCAGTTGTCGATATAGGTCACGGCCTGGTTGAAGAGGGTGGAGAGTGAAGGAGGAGGTGGCAGTGGGATACAGATAGCGTGTGTGTGGTGTAAGGCATCTAATTTGATTTGTCGCTTTGGTGTTTCGCTTCGTCTGACTCTCGATGGGTCGTCGAACAGTGTGAGGGCCTGTGGGCGTGGAAGTGGTGGTAGAGCCCAGGGTACGCGTTCGTGCCATATGCCTTTATCACTTTCTTCCCTCATCTTTCCTTCTGACTGGAGATACCGTACACTAGATTCGCTACTTGGTAATAGCCTGCGATCGCTGGTATGAGTATCGATGATGTCTCTCGGTGGTGCAATTGCAGCGTGGGAAGATGAAACAGCAGCACCATTGTTTCCTATCCTCCCAATCACGCGCCTATTACTGTTCGCCATAGGAGCCTGTGCAAAGAGTACATCTATCATGGGCTGAACACCTTGATCGATACCTGGTGGTGCTTCTGGCGGTGATTGATTGGAACCAGTCATAGTTGAATTGCACAATACCCATATGAAACCACATTCTGGTAAGTAAGAGACATTTGAAAGAAGTGCAATGCCGTATTGTAGGAAATGCTCCGAGTAGTGGGTGCCATACAAGTGAAACGAAGTTACATGTCAAGAACCAAGGAAGTAAATTTCGAGGAGTGAAACGCGCAAGCAGGGAACCCAGAAGGGTAATATGGAAGAATAGTGTGAACGAGAAGAAGTGAATAGCGAGTGAATTGATGGGCTTTAGCGGTATCTACATTCAGCCTTGAACAATGAATGATTCCTCCCGAAGCGTCATGATATCCAACATGGAGCCAAAAAAGACACCACATGGTACTACAACGCTGGCGCGTAGTGATACGTACTCATGGCAGATACTGTTTGGCCGTGTTCTCCTAGCCTATGGTGATGGAGGAGTGATTGGTTATATGGTTGGAGGGTCCTTTAGGTGTTTTTCGGATAGTTGGGTAGCTGCTTCAAGATCAGAATCGATGTCATAGCTCGTTCAGATCTTGTGTCCTGGTTTCTCCCAAGTGCTAGTGTTTGAAGACGCGAGTAGTGCCGAGAGGTAGCGTGTCCCGTGGTCATGATGAAGGTGTACGACATGAGTTATTCCCTTATCTGGCCACATACTCCATCTGTTGAAAGATGAGCTACTGCCTGGGAGGGATAGAAAAGGCAAGGTCGCTCTTTCCCAGGAAACCCTTTACGTCATACACTAGACTACATTGAGCGTAGCCTATTAACGGGCACCACTCTATCCATCAATGGCTAGGTACTTCAGCTGAACAACACCGGTATAGCATCGTGCAGATCTCCTGTCTCTCGCAAAGACTAGCAATGTCTGCTTTCCAATTCAGGGATCAGCATGTACGCAACCGAAAGCTACGTACACAAGACGAAGGCCCACCTGTGCCACCAAAGTCTTTCGAGCTCGAGAACACGGCGAAATCATTCAGACGCATGGCCGTACCCAGTCCGCTAAATTTGCAAAGACACTCGAAACCTCTCCCACTACTGCCGCGTTCGCCAGTAACGAATGGAGCCAGTGAAGGGTTACAGTCGAAGCCGTTGCCATTACCGCCCAAGAGCGTCACACTCCGATCAACCCTTGCTTGGGTGGCAGCACTGTTTGTGTGGTTTCTACTGATCGTGGTGCTACTACCTGTGATCACGGAAAAAGATGCAATGCCTGGTTTCAACAGGTGGCTCCGTACGTTGCTATGACTAGAGCTATGGGGCTAAAATGGGCGTGTGGAAACTTCTAAAACCTGGACCAGTATAATTCATCACTCATAGCAACACGCATTCAGAGAGTATATGGCCGAACGCTCGATATTCAGACTATGAAGAAGGCCTACAGCTTCGACTCAGCTTTTGTGGCGTCTACTAGGCTCTTCCTCCCACCGAAACCGAACAGATATGCGGCAACCTTTCGCATCTGGATCTCTTCACTACCCTCGGTAATCCTGTACCGACGATGATGTCTCCAAATGTGCTCGAACGGGTAATGTCTCGAGTATCCATTACCGCCGTGGACCTGGATCGCGCGGTCTGCCGCCTGTGTACACAACCTGTTCGCGTAGTAGTTACACATGGACACCTTATCGCCAATCCTCTTCTCGATCTCATTGTGCGGCATAGAGTCCATCTCCAGTGCAGTCTTCCGTATCAGCTGTCGCAGCATCTCGCATTGGGTCGCAAGTTCTACGAGTGGGAACTGAATACCCTGATTGTGCGAGAGCGGGGTGCCGAAAGGCGCGCGATCGTTGGCGTATTCGACCGACTGCTGCACACAGTATACGGCTGCGCCGAGCGATGAAGCAGCTTGTCGGATGCGGTTCTCGTGAACAAAGGCTTGCGCGACGCCGAGGCCGTTGTGGATGGGGCCCAACGCAGCGGTCTCGGGTACCCAGACATCCTTGATGGAGACGGTCGCGTGGTCGGTGGGCATGTTGAGCGTCCTGCGCAGCGTTAGCAAGCAATCTCCCGCGCTGTAAGGCCAATCACCTACCACTCATACGACTCGGCTTTGAGGCCCGGAGTGTCGACCGGTACGACAAAGCACGATATGCCCTTTATTTCGCCATCCTTTCCTGACGTTCTCGCAAAGACCGAGCAATGGGTAGCATGGTGCATGCCGGTCTGCCACCGTTTGTATCCGTTCAGCAACCAGCCCTTCACACCGTTCCTTATCTCCGGTCGCCCCTTTGTCGCCATATGTGTCGCGTCTGAGCCATGACCGGGCTCTGTCAAACCGAACGTCATTCTGAACTTGCCCTCTAGCCGCAGTGGTATAAACTCCTTCTTCTGTTGCTCGTTGCCAAAGTTCATGAGCATAATGACATCGGGAAAGTTTCCGACCATGGAATGCTCCGTCTGCAAGTCATTGAACAGACCCAGTCCCTTCGCCGCGAGATGCTCTCGAATGACGGCCATCCAGAGGTTGCTCCCTCGTCCATCGGCACTGTTCTGTCCACCGTATTGCTTCGGTAGGGATAGCCTGTAGAAGCCAGCTTCATCGGCCAGTCTCCTTGACTCTGCCAGTAGCTCTTCCCATTCCTTGCGTGGCAGGCCGCCATTGTCCCAATCGGTTCGAGCGTGCTCGCGGCGGTGGTCGAAGAAGCGATTGTTGTCGTCTTTGTGTTGAAGCGGCGTGATCTTCTCATCGATAAACTTGTCAAGATCGGCGAGATATTGTTTCAGATCATCTGGAATCGAGAAGTTCATCGCGTGCGCCAGCGACATCGTAATAGTTCCGTCAAAGGGTACGGTGGGTGGAAGTTAGGAGTATTGCCGTTGACGCGCTTTCAGCGTTCTGGATATCTCACGATTGCGAGAGGCAACATAAAAGCTTGCGGTATAAGGATAGGCTTCGGGACGCGCATCTTGATGACTCGCTTGCTCTCAGTCGTTGAGTTGCGCTGCTTGGAGACTCACTCTGCGGGGAAGGAAGCACAGGCCAGGCGGAGTTAAACCTCGGCCTTCGCGAGCGCGCATCAGCCTTCCATGGCACGACATCTTCAGCCTGAATCATATACTCGCGCGCGATGGTTTTTGCTACACATCTGCAAACTCGCCAAACACAGCCAGTCCCTCTGAAAATACCTGCCACCGGCCTGCGATCGTCTACCACGCGTCATTCAAGATTCCAAACGAGAGAAGAGGGAGCTATGTCCTGTCAACCATTAGACATCATGATTTCTGTACGTACACCATTACCAAGGTGGAGACTTCCTCTACTGGTGCCTTAGTAGCGTGATGCGCCATGGGTTAAGTCTCGTGCATGAAGACTCTCGTTCTTTGTGAGTGGTATTTAATCGATATCATGTACCCTGAAGATATATGCTATCGTACGATTTATAAATATCTTCATGAGACTTACACCAAACATCTCCCAGATGCTCTTTGATGTCGTACTTTCACCCTTGCTTTAATCTAGCCAAGCTTCACTAATCACCGATTCGCTACACAACATGTGCTTCGGTATCGTTTCCGATATATATGACTTTTTCACTCTTTCTACTTTGTCCTACTCAAGTCAACATCAAATACTTCCATAGCATCGTCAGTACTGGTGTAAGGATTATAATTCGCAACGCAACCTGTTATTCAGGCGGCTGGGCTCTCCATCGACCCTTCTCAATCGAAGTTGGTAGAGGAACCCACACAAACCCGGGTAAAGAGGTGAAAGCCACTGCCACGGCTTCCGCAGAGTCTACGAGCCAGAACGGATCATCCAATGCATGTCATACCATCAGCAGATTTTCGCCGCTCGTTCTACGGAAATGCCTTGTTGCACATCTTCCGTAAGGCATCTACGGAGTTTCTATCGTCATTGTCATTATCTGCAGAGGAAGGAATAGAGCGGCAGAAAGCCTACCTCGCCTTCACGACTGAATTCTGTAATAATAAAGACCGGATAGACAGGGACGGTGCGATGCGTCAGATCCGATTCATTACTCAGGACTGACACCAGCTCGAAACAGCTTTTCCGCCTTGTCGACACTTACACTTTACGAAAACCCTTGTACCATCGCCTCTTCACGCCATTCTGCTCCGCCATAAGTTCCTCCTTAGCTCTAACACGTTCGTAATCCTCCAACCATACTGTCGCAAACGACTCAGCCGACGAATTATCCTGGCATCCTATCGTCTCCACACCTCCCTTCCCGGTATCCGTGTTCTGCACATTAGGGTATTTCAAAATTCTCGCCTGTGGCTCCTCCAAAGTCCTCTCGCTTGGCGCTTGCTGCGTTTGCTGCACTCCAGCTACATTTTCCAACTCTTGCCCTGCTTCAACTTCACTCCAATCCAAATCCGCCGGTACAGCGCTCCTCCGCTGGAACCCAGTCTTATTGGGCAACGGAGAAGGCAGGTCCTGAAACGGATGAAGGCCTGCGACAGCTTTTGAGAATCTCTCGATCTCGTCTTCTTGGACGTTATCGTCACTGCTATATACACTACTCCTATCGTATTTCCCAGTTGGGTTGACAGGGTCGGCCATCAGGCAGGTAGCTGCCAATTTCTTCGATTCTAGTGATCCTGGCTCAGCGATGAACTCGGAAGCGTGGCGTTTCTGATCGTGCGAAGTAATTCTATGAACTGGGTGGCTCTCTGAATCGCTAATCTTCCGCGACGGTGCACGCGGTGCATGGCGATGGTCTTCGCCGGGATGCTTGTTCTCTAGGCTATCACCTTCAAGCATTGCGAGGGCTTTTGCTTGCTCTTCAGCACGCAACTTGAGTACGTGGTCAAGTGTGGGTGTGCGTTTGTGTTTCGTCCGATTAGTTGGCTGGTTCTTGGAAGAAACTTTGAGAGGCGATGATGCCTCGACGACTGGGGATGGAAATTTGGGCCATTGATGGTTTGTGGGGTTGCTAGAGGCAACTGCGCTCACCTTCGGTATCTTTGGTGATATTGGAAACTCAAACTTTGACCTGAACGTGGTGGGGGTTGTAGAAGGATGATACCTGCCAGAAAATCTGGGTGAAGGCATTGGTTCGCCCCCAGGCACTAGTGATAGTGGCTTCTCGACATTCAACTCGTCACGCCGTGTGGTTGCGGTTTGGATAGCGTTCGTTGCTTCCCTGCGCGTTTCTAAGTTAGCATTTTTCGCACCCATAGCAACACGGGCGCTATCCTTTTCCAGACTTCCTAAGTCCGCACTGTTCCTCGCATCTGCTGCATCAAAGTACGGAGTGAAATCCCTCCTGTTATCCTTATTTTGTCTGAAAGCGGGCTCAGGTTCATCAACTGATTCTCGATAATTCCCATAGAATGCCTGGTGTTTACCATACGGTTCATCACCAACAATGTCGAGATAAGGATTGTTGAACGCACTTTGGGGCGCGATTTGGAGTTGACTACCTTGCTGTTGACTCGAAGTACTACGTAATTCTCCACTGACGGCTTTCGCATACAACCGTGCTGAATATCGAGGCCCTGTACTAGGAATTTCGTGGATCGCACCGTTGGAGTCGTCCCAGTATGGAGTACTCTGCGTATCGTGGCGAAAGGGATCGCTGGTTCGCTGTGAATTCCGAATCGACGAGTGTTGACCCTCATTACGACTTTGAAGCGTTCGTGGAGCAGGCCTTGCACTTGATGCCGGATCTTGACCTCGTCCTCGTGGGTGGCGGTGTCTTGGTCCCCGTGGTGGGTTCCAGTTCGCGTTTGGCTGTGTCATTTGTTGGCCCAGTTAATTCCTCGAAAGTGGGAGAGTCGAAGGGAGTAAATTTAGCTGTTCTACAATAGGTAAGGTTTTTGATCTTTTAGCTTGCAAAAAACGGGTTTCGAGTGTAGTCTGCGAAGGAGGAACGTGCTTTTTGGGAGGCAGACTGCCATAGCGAACGTAAGTACTACGCGCAAGTGAATGTACGCCTTTTGTAATGGTGTCCTGGTGATTTGACTCTTCGTTAAGGCTTGAAGTTAACCTTACGCGCAACCATTCAAGCAGAAAGACATAACAACACTGTGTAGAAACTCAGTGCAAGGAGATTATGCATGAAGCGACATCTTGAATAAATGAATGCTCTCCTTTGCTGCCATCATCTTGATGTGATGCCATTGAATACTGTTGGAATGTCTCGGTCGAGCTCTTCGAAGCTTCCGATCAAGTCATTATCATACTGTACCATTTCGAAGTCCTGATCGAAGGTCTGCTCCTCGTTATCTGGTTTCTTTGATCTAGTGGATGATATGTATGAAATCACGAATCCTTCACTTGTCTTGTCGCGCATCCCAGCTGGGATCTGTATCACCTTCATCAATTCGCTCGTTGATAAAAGCACGGCCGTATGTATCAATACCTTGACGATGATCCTGTGCGCAGTGTATTCTGCCGTCGCTATCGCTTCGCGACGCTAGTGTAGGTTTCAAGCCAGAAGTGATGTCTTCCATATCCGCGAATCCAGATTGACAAAGCCCTGGTGTTGCTGAACGAGATGAAACGTGCGAAGGTCGACGTGGTCGGAGATGCAGTTTTCAAGTATGTGAAGTGCGGTATCGCTGGCGGTCTTGGTGCAACAACGACCTGGCACGACAACACGACGACGCCGACGCAGCCAAGGCGTTTGCCTGACAACTTATCAGAAAGAATCGTACGTGACAATTGGCATAGGTAGCGCGTGCTCCTTGAGTGATGCAGTGTTGATGTGATGGTCTGTCAGTGTCAAGCATACAGGTTTGTCATCATACACAGTTGTGATCTCGCGAATCATGAACATGTTTGCTTCAAACAGCACGTTGAAAGAACAAAAGAGAGTCTAAACAAAACCCTGGCACAAGACCTGCCGAAGTATTGGAGGGTATTGGCTGCGCGGGGTTCAGTTTGAACCAGTATCGCGCAATGAGAGCGTAAGGGGCAAGCAAAATATTTGCTCCGGAGCGAAGCTGATCTTTTGATGGCGAGACTTCCATGCATGGATAGGTGGAGACGGACAAATTACAGGAGAAGTGGATGGTGTGGCGTATATTATGTCTTGGCAAACAGATCGGCGTAACTCCATCCCGATCGCCGTACTCTTTACCGTCTATTCTATTGCGCAACCACGCGGTCAAAGGGAAGGATCTGACAGTATGTATTGTGCGTTGATACTGCTAAATATGGCCCGTGCCCGTGGTGTTTTTTCCTTCGACCTTGAGTGCAAGCACCGGTTGAGTTTCCCCGCATAGCCCGTCCTACCCGTTCTGTTCATGCATGGGCCCTTTGCCAGTTTCATGAGAATGAGTTCGCGTGGCTGAAGGCGCTAACTCCAAGGGTGGCGCTCGCTACCCGAATTCGTTCTTATCTGATGTTTCATCTTCTTTGTGTCTCCGCTCTTCCCACCCCCGACTCATCGGTCGCGACCCAACGCATCCTCGCGTCGCACTAAAATGTCCAGCGAATGCCAGATCTGGTATTGAAAAGCGTGTTGATGCACACACTGTCCGGCTTGGCGCATGCGTGGCGTAGCAGGATGCTTGAAACATCACTCCGCTGCCAGACGGGCACTAGCATCGAAACATCCACGATATTGGTTCATGCCATCACGCTTTTGGAAAGATGGCCGTTGCGGGAAGGATACGCGCCCATGCCTTCAATTTTGCAGAACACGAACCAGGCACGCACCTATGGGTAGGTATATAGGATCAGGGCTGCTCACGATGTTGATTATTGCTATTCGCTACACTCATTCACTCATTCTCTCTTATCGACTACCTTTCGAATATCCTCTCATTTTCTCTCGTTGAACACATTGAGCGGAATCTTCGGCTGGTCTGAGTTAACGTTCTTTATCTTCTCGCACATACTACAAGACCTCACCCTTTCAGCCCTTGCCTATCAACTTTATAACATGCGTTTCGAAATCGTTGCACTTCTGGCGGCAGCTGCCACCTCTTCCGCTCAGTCGGTCGTCGGCACAGCCTACGGTTACGGTGCCGGTGCGACTGGTGGAGGAAAGGCCGCCGCTGTCACCCCGACCTCAAACGAGGAACTCGAGAAGTACCTCGCCGATGACACCGAGCGCGTTATTGTGCTCAATAAGGTGTTTGACTTCACCGGCAAGACCGCAACCGGTGCTGGTTGCGACAAGACCACCTGCTCAGCCAAGAGCGGCGGTGGACAGTACTACTTGGGCGACCTCTCCTGCGGTGGTTCGGATATGACAGCCGTCAGCTCTATCACCTACGACGCAGCTGGTGAGACCGCGCTCAAGATTGGATCCAACAAATCTATCCTTGGTGTTGGCGGAAAGGGTGTGATCAAGGGCAAGGGTGTCTCCATCGCCAAAGACGCCAGCAACGTCATCATCCAGGGTGTCGAGTTCACCAACATCAACCCTGGCATCGTCTGGGGAGGTGACGCTGTCGACATGCAGGGAGGAAACACCAAGATCTGGGTCGACCACTGCAAGTTCTCGCTCGTCGGACGCATGTTCGTCGTCAGCCACTACGACGGTTCTGAGGCCACACTGTCCAACAACGAATTCGACGGTGTCACTGACACCTCGGCTACCTGCAACGGCAACCACTACTGGACAATGATGATGATTGGAAAGACCGAGAAGTTCACTCTCGACAAGAACTACTTCCACGATGTTTCTGGTCGCGCCCCCAAGCTCGGTCAGGATGGTGTCAGTAGCACTTTCCACGCTATCAACAACTACTTTGAGAACATGAAGGGTCACGCTTTCGATGCCTACGATGGTGTCAGCGCCCTTGTCGAGGGTAACGCGTTCGTCGCCGTTGACCAGCCCAACACCGAGCACGCTGCCGGCGTCAAGACCTTCGTAAGCAAGGGTGGCAATGCCTGCTCTTCTGTCTTTGGTCGTGCTTGCCTCGAGAACAGCGTCGACTCTTCCAGCGGCAAATTGTCCCCCGGTTCCTCTTCTGGCTTCATTGCTCAGCTTGGAAAGATTGACGTTCCTGAGGTTCTTGAGGCCAGCAAGGTTGCCGCTTACGTCAAGGCTAACGCTGGTCCCGCCAACCTTGGTGCTTCATCCGCATCTGCTCCTGTTAAGGTTGTTGACACTAAGCCTTCAACTCCCACCTCTAAGGCCGCTAGTAAGCCAGCTGCTACCACCAAGGCCGCTGCCGCGCCAAAGCCTACCGCTACTGCCGGATCTAACTCTTCCGCCGGGGCTGCTAAGCTCTACGCTCAATGTGGCGGTCAAGGCTTCACTGGCCCCACCAAGTGCGAGGCCCCGGCTACCTGCGTCAAGAGCAATGACTGGTACTCCCAGTGCATCAACAGCTCTTCCAAGTTCCGCCGCGCTTTCGGCCGCTACTTCTAAGCTCGGGAAGTGTTGAAGATGCGGAGGTCTCGCAAGTCAGAAGAGGGTGTGTGATGGATAATGTCAGGTCTAAGAAAGACTGTTCTTCTGTAAATAATTTCATCTCGATATTTTCGATATATTTGTCATTCAAACGATGCGTCACATTCATGGTGCGTTCAAATACCTGCTTCCTGTGCAATAATGTGTGGTTAGTTGCCTGCCGTCATCAATTGACAGCACGCGCGCCTCGTGCTCATCTGAGCGACGGTCTACTCTGTCCCTCAACTAACGAAACTCAATATCAATCCTCAACGCCATGCTATGCAATATATGCCCCATAATAACGAATACACCTATGCGCCTTCAATCATGCTTCGCTACTCTGCTGGACAATGAAGGACTCGTTACTCATGGCGACATCAACTTCCACAAAAGCCGAACGCTTAGATCTTGCTGTGATTGCCGGAAACGATGTTGCAATCGCCGTAGGATTGCTCTTCGGATCTACTATCGAATCTACCTGGCGTACTGATCTGGTTCTGCGTCCTTCCAAGTGTCGCTGATCGCCGGCTTTGCGGTCTCGGGGACGATGCGCAGAACGGCAAACTTGCGCGCTGGAGTCTCCAGATCCGCTTCCTGTTGCACCTCTCCCAAGTTCTTTATCGACTGGTCGTTCTTAGAGCGCTCCAACGGAGACTTGCTAGGGCTGTCTCTTGGTTCCCTAGACTTTTGTTTTCGACGATCGTTTTCCTTGTCGCTCATTCTCTTTATCCATTTTGTGTTGAAAGATGGTCGATATTGCTCGTTCAGTTTCGGATCGCGCACACGCGCCTCAAGACCCGGATACTCTTTCAGCATAGCCAACATATCCGCGTTATTGCTCAACGTCTCTCTACCCGGGCTATCCGTTTGGGATTCACATATACGTTGACCGACCACTTTGATCGCCGCGTAGACATACCGGCTTTCTTTGCTCAGGCAATTCCAGAGCGTCTCTAACTCTACGGCGAAGATTGGACGAACGAAATGGTTTTCGGCGATGTAATGATCGACTCGTAGCGCATCTTTGTGAAGTTCGAAGAGTTCCATGGTTTGAGCCAAAGAGCAGGCGACAAAAGTATTCTTCGGAATGCGGATCTGCTTCATCGACCCCATGGTCTGGTACTGGCAGGCTCTGAACATCCAAGCTATTAGAGCTTTCATAGCAGCCTGACTAGAAACTCCTCGAGGCAGGTTCATCTCCTGACAAACTGGCGCGCCTCTCCAATTCTCATCGTCCTCGCGGTGTATGGTGCGGATAAACCTATTGACCACTCTACGACCAAGGAAGAGGACAAGCATCTTCTTTGGAACCTGGTAAGCGAGAACGACTCCAGTATCTTGCTCCACTATGTCTACTACTAGCCCATTAAGCGCGTTGAGTTTCCGCTCAGGCTGAAGGTAAGGCAGCAAACTCTGTAGAGTATGTAGATGGCGGACATCTTCAGGGTTTGAGTATGGGCGCGGCATAGCTGAGAACGAAGCCCAACCTGCCCAGCCGAGCGTATTCGAAGCTCCATGCGGAGGGCTACCTGTGTAGCCTGACTTTTCATCACCGTCGCTGGACTGGTAGCTTCGGTTGACTGATTCACTATCCACGCCGCCTTTGGATGCTGCTATGGACGGGTGGTAAGAGGGGCCATAGTAATGCTGTGTTTCTGGGGCGCCAGGTGCGGGGTAGGCCATGCCACGGCGTGCAAGGAAGGCTCCTACGACGTCTCCTTGCTGTTCATACGCATCTGCTACCAGAGGGCCACATGTGGACATCTCTGCAGCAGGGTATGGAGTTGATGCCGTAACAGCGCCGTTTGAATCATAATGGTAGAATGTCGTCATGTCAGGTAATTTCCCTCGTTCAATGTCCTTCGATGTATGCAGTGGCTGACTGTCGAAGCACAAGGTTGAAGTTGCAGAGTCGAAAGAGCTTTTGCGACTTGAGGTGAGTCTAAATGTTGAGCTCACCGCGGAATGAGTTGAACTACCTTGTTCGTGACTGTTGGGAGAAGCGGGTTGCTGGTGGGGAATTCGAGTTATGTAGTCTATAGCGAGAGGGTTCATTGTAGCGCGGAAGCGAGAGCGCTACTATGAAATACAAATAATTGTCACAGCGCGGCTGTTACGTTGTGAAACGGTGTTGTTGTTGTTGCAGAAGAGGTGGTGTGAAAGAGTGAGGGATAGTCGCTACTGCGAGTTGTTGATGCACGGGCCCGTGCGCATACCTAATTCGGCTGTAACTGCCGGAACTAAAGTGAAACACCACGCCAAGAAGTCATCACGTGTACTGTGTAAAGTCTTGAAGAGGGCTGTACATACATCTTCATGCAACATATTTGCGTCATGTTTCTTTAAAATCACGACTCCGTGCGATATCAGGGCAAATCTATGCGATGGTCCTTGTCTATCAGGCGACATGGGACGATAAGATTCTATTGCCGGCTATATTCATCGGTAACAACTCTATAAGACTGCAACAGAGCAGTACCTTATGAACTTTCAATAAGCTCCAAAATTGGATATAAATCTAAGAGATCGCGAGATTCCACCATCAAAAGCACGTCATACGCTTCCATGCGTCTCGTTTTCGCTTCTCTTTCCCCGGTCGCGCATCATCCCTAATGAATGTCACGTAATCGCTAGCTAAATAGCCTTCCTCAAGATTCCCTAGGCCATATTGCCGACCACTTGACGAAAAAAACCGGTCTTCTGCCAGTCAACCCGCCCTTGACGTCGCGCGGCGAGTGATGAGTGGCGAGCTGTTGCTCCGAGCCATTGGCCAGACGATCCGCGAGGCAGACTATCAGACTTCCCACTGGCTCCATCGAGGGCTGACAGCGTAGCGGACTGGTTTATCGAGCGATTTGGAGCAGGTGGGCTAGAGCGATTGAGATGTAGCTCAGATGGTACGTCCAAGAGCGATAACGCACGTGGCCTAGGCGTTACTGGTTGGAAACTGTCCTCGACACTATCTGAACCTTGCATGCCTTCCTGTAGTGTGCAGCGGCATTCATCAGTTTCGTGGGCGAACTCCTCCGTCAGTTCTTCCGAATCAGTCGAAGCAAGCGATGTCGTCGACCAGAGGCTACCGCGCATATGTTGCGAGGGAACGGCCTCGAAGCTGATTACACGAATGTGTCCACGGGTGGGTACCGTAAGCTGATTGCTAGGTTCCTCGACGTCCTCTTCCTCGAAATGGTACTGATCAGAGTTCTCTCTCGCACTAGCAGCATCGTGCTCTGCCAGAACCCGCTGCATGTATGTTCGAGACTCATCCAAACTAGTATCACGCCGAATGTTGTCTTGTGCAACTCTTGCTTCAGCTGCGCTTCCGCGACGACGTTCTTCAGCCCCTTCTTGAGTCTCAAAGCGGCGGGCAGCCGTGTAGCAGCTAGGTGTGTCTTGGTTATAGCCTAGATCCTCCTTCAAATCTGGAGTTGTGAGGCTCCTCGAGAAGGATACTGTAGAGGTTCTCTCGAAGTTCTGCGCACTTTCTCGACGCAAACCTCGGATGTTAGGCTTTGAATGCGACACATGGTGGGTTTGCGTGCCCATCAGGTTGGTATCAAACTTGTGTTCATCTTCGCTATACGTGCACGATGAATCTGAACCAATGAACAAGTTCGCGCTTTGCCTTGACGATGAGTTCATCTTTGTAGATGGAGATGATGGCACTCGTGAAAAGCAGGCTTATTGCAGCGCGAGTGCGGCAAGTGCGACCACGCTGAGGTTGACAAGTGGTTGAATTGGGTAGATTGTGTGCGTTTGCTTTGCAAATGGGCGAACGGGCTGGCGGTAAGCAGTGTTGATTGTTCGAGTGTTTGTTGAAGGTCAAGGCGAAAGGAAATAGTTCATTCAATCGTAGCAGAATCCAGTCGTTGTGCTCAGAAGCGTTTCCTGGGTCCCCTTCACACGTAACGTATTTTACGTAAATGAATTAGTGTGGGTGCATCGGAGCCCTTCCCTCTCGTGCATGCGTTCATCGCCTCACCGAATATCCTCGAAGACTTTAGCTTACCTGCGGTACACTTGGGCAAGGTGCAGGAGTAAGTCTTTGACCCAAATCACCACCTCGTCGCATATGGTGGGGAAGAGGCTGAGTGAGCCATTACACGTCTTAGCGATCTGGTTCGCCTTATCTCCACGTTCGCTAAAAGTGGTCGACACCACCGCAACTCGAAGTTACTCAATTGGCTTGATAAGATGTCGTCGATGAATCCAACTTCAAATCAGACTACCTCATCAACGGATCTGAACGACTGAGAAACCTACCAGGTCAATCTCGAGGATGTAAGCGATCGGCTTACTGGCATGAAGATCGGTATCAAGAAGAATGCCGTAGTAGATGATCTGGCGAACGCGTTAGCGTCAAAGTGGGAGCCAAATCGTACTCATGATCCGCATTCGAAGATTGAGACCGATATGCGAGGTACCTCGTGACCAGCAGAAGCAACAACAAAGCCGTACTTCACCTTCTGGTGGTGAGTCATCAGTAGAGATCCAAATCAGTCGTGTTCCTAAGACACTTTGATTCCAATCTTTTTTCTTTCCGTAATGCCTTGCTGGAGACAAAGCTCTGGCACAGTTCTATACGAAGAGTCAGACGAACATGAAGACGACATAGATGTAAGCGTTATCATGACGAACATAGCAGAAGCCCTGAAACCTTCAAAGTGATCAGGTATAGACTGCTAGAAAAAGTAGGGCTGACGTGTATAATGCTGTAACACCTATCTTAATGCTGGAAGCGACGGCGCGAGGTGTTTGGTGCTCGCAGTCATGATGCGGCCGGAAGAAAGGAAGGAGTGGCACTAGCAGTACGCTGAATCACGTGACGATGTAACGCGTCCCTTTCTTCGCATCTTCAAATACCAAGCCGCACAGTTACTGCGCTTCTCCTTCCTCAATCATCAAACCAGAGCCTCTAGAATTACAAAAAGCCATGCAGGCAGAGCCGCGCATCCCATCAGGCTTATATTTAGTATTCCTCTAGTGTTTACGTTTACCAAATAGAGCTGCCATCTACTAGTTGGTGATATATCGGCCCTCAGCTCAGCTTAGCCTACGTAGCTATCGACGACAATTTGTCCAGGCTGAAAGTACTAGTCATAAGAGCATCCATAGCTGGTCCCTCGACAGCCTGCTGTCTAGCACCTAGGGTGGTAAATGGGTTGGGGTTAGGTCGGGGTTAGGTTAGGTTTGGATTGACCTAAACAGGTAATGACTAGCTCTAACTTAGCCTAGTTACTACCTGTTTAGGTCAACCAGCCCTAACCCAACCCCGACCTAACCCCAACCCATTTACCACCCTACTAGCATCCACGTGTGGTACTTATGGACCTAGAAAAACAACAGTGAACGCTGAACGAAGCCATGCGTGTCTTAAGAAGCAAGCGCAAGGGTTTCGGATCTCAAGGTGCCTGCGACATCGTTCGTGCGGACAACGCAACTACCCGCACCCATTCGACTGTCCGCAATATGAACCAGCTCAGCGAAAAGCATAAGCGGACAGAAATTAAAGGAAGCGGGTCATTGTAAAGACGTGCGAGACTCTGTCGAGCCGCCTAATTATATCTATCTTGAGACCACCTTGCACGCATTAGATGTACGTACCCAAACCTACACGCATACCAATTGCTCATCTCCACGAAAACATGCTTGGGATTCACTTCGGCTTTTAGACAATCTTTCACACTACCCAAAATCTACCAGGCTTTCACTACCTTGTCCCCGACCGGAAGCATGTCGGAACCAACGGCGAACTTTACCCAACTTCTTGCTTTTTGTACCATCTTTAGCGGTCTTTTGGACCCAGATCGCCTTCGTGACCTCTTCGGTCTGCATATTCTCTTCTGTAGTTGACGAGATTCCGTCTTGAAGTATTATGCTCTGTGTGTTCATAGTCTGCAGCGGTGTTGGTAAAGGAGGCCGAGAGGTTTTAGAGACCATACGACTGACTTGAAGCGGCGATGGGCCGTGTAGTATCAAGTTCGGTGAAAGAGGCGGTCGTGATGCTTCTGATCTGCTCACAACTGGCATTGCATTGACCTCCTCGGAACCATGATTCTCGCTCATCGGCACTAGCTCCAGCGGAGTTTGCGCCTTTCCAATGTTGGCCTGTTCGACATCCTTCCATACCGGTATCGAACTCCGATCGTCGCTAAATCTCCAGTTTTCGTCCTTGCGTTGCGGTGGCGTGGATTCGTCACTGAATCTCCAACCAATAGTGTGCGGGGTGCTACTACTGCGGTGATGCAGCATTGGAGGCAGACCGGTGATATCGTGGTATTCGTTCATATCAAGAAGTACTGTTCCCTCTGTCTTTTGGATGTCATCGTCGCCGAATCCTGAATCGTCCTCACTTGATGAGTCCTCCTCCAGAAGAGTCGCCAGCTGTGCGTCATCATGTGCCGGAAGGCTTGTTCGCAGCATCGCCAGCCATTCGTTTCTTAACTCATCATAGGCACAACATAGCCTTCGCAACTTCGTGCTTGAATTCCCAAAAGAATACCGCTGATGCTACCGGCCAAAATGACGCCCTCGTTCCGAAGGAGCTTCTTCAGCGTACGTAGACCGGACCATAATTGCTTATCTGCACTTCCATGGTCAGGCGGCACATAGTTGTCGACGAAGAAAGCGCTCCACTGCTCATCATACAGCGGACTGAGACGTACCATGGCTTCGAACTCCAGGGGTGATGATGGGTCGCCGTAGGTCAGCAGCTCTCCATTGTCGGAGAATGTAGCACCTATCTGCTGCAGGCGGCCACGGAGTTGCAAAATATCCGAAAGCTCTTCCAGAATCGTTTTGCGGTGGGTTGTGTCAAATGTCTCGCGCACTGGATCACGATCCTCTTGCGCGCCGTAAATGCTCAAGAGGTTCTCCGTTGACGTATTGGTTGTCTTTTGAGGGGCGCTCGTAAGCAAGGCTAAGGCATCTTCGTGAGCTTGCATTGTGGGTTCCAGGGCAGAATGATTGTACCGAAGTCTGGGTGCTATACTACCTGAACTTGGACCAGTTGCTATGGTTCTGGTGGGAAGTTGTAGTGTTCATGGACTCTTTGCAGCTCGGAGGTTTTAGAGGGGCTATTTGAGAGCTCCGGTATATGGCTCTACAGCATGGGCTTCATTCACCAAACAGTACCACAGTGATTGCAATTGTAGAATGCGTGTCTGATGGACGATTTCACTTGCCCCTTACAATTGTAGTTGCGCGAGGCGCACTGGCACCCTAGGCACGCGTGACCCTTCCGCCCATGGAATGACAAAAGCATCAATTTCCACTCATCGCAGCCGCTTGCGCCTCTCACCCAAGGCCGCTTTCCACCACGAATCCGGCGGTCCCTGAGATATCTCGACAGAGTCCCGCCACTAACTCCAATTCCATATTTTGTGGCCCTGGCCCAGCCATTGAACAACACCATCACAGCATGGACACTTCCTCCACGACCGAAGCGATCGATAGGTCGTTAACGAAATGTTCACGTACAAACTCCCTTTCTGGTACGAAGACTCAGTCAAACAAATCGTTTGCTACCACAGAAGCAAATGCACCTAGATGGACTGGCGTCGTAGCACCTCCAGCGTTTCGGCATAAACGCTCACGCTCACTACCGAGCGACCTCCCACTAAGCGGTTTCGTCGCGTCGCGAGCCAACAACGTCAACATGACTAGCGCGATGACTCAGAAGATTAACCTTACTGATGCGTATACTCTTGGAAATCAGCGCCAGAGTTTGCAATCTTGGGCTGATGGTATCCTCTCAGAAGAATCGGAACTCAATCGTGGCTCTCTTCTTGTATCTTCACCCAGAGAGCAGTTCAGGACCCGAGGCCGGCAGCCAGGCATGAATAACAACGCGTGTAATGATGACCGTAACAAACTGCCATCTCAATCACAACCTTCCTCAGCTACGCCACTGTCTCGCTATCGCCCCTGCGCTCGCATGATACACGCCCTCAGGCCCAAGCCCAATCCCACGACCGAGGATATTGCTCTTCAACTGGACCCATTCGCGAACGAAGAGACCTTAAATGGTCAACCATGTCTTTCAAAAGCCGACAGGTCGAATAGTAAAGGCTTTGTTGAGAACAAAGGCTTGCACAGCGAGCTGTCAAGGATGACTGAAAACTCGGCAACAGCTACTTCGCCCTCTCACCGACTCAACAAGACGAGTATAACGCAGATGAAGGAGCCAATTGTGCGAGATGACCCGCAAAAGCGGTTCTCATATGGCACAGAAACGTTTCATGCGACAAGCAGACAGTTTATCGATGAGCCGACCATTCAACAGAATATTGCTTCTCCAAACAGTGATATCAAACTGAATGGTCTCAGCTCTAACGCAATCACTAATACCCCCGCTCAAGAGCGAGAACCACCACTGAGCTCTAGCAGATTGAGTTCAACGAAGGCATCAAACAGTCGAAACGAGCCTGATACCCCATGTTTGTTGTTGAAAACAACACCAGAGAAGCGGAAGAAACATGAGCGCACGCCGTCCAATGGTTACGGCAGTCCCGGCTCCACCTTGACCTCGGGCGCTTGGGATGCCTTCGCTCCAGAGACATCCTCCCCGAGAAATGAAGTTTCACCAACAGCAGAGAGACTCCAGCGCCGGCTTCGTCGCGTGGAGAATTTTAGTCACGTTAAGAAGTCCGGTTCTCAGACAAGTCTTTTCGCACAGCAAGACTCCGTTGCCACACTCTCCGAGATGCATGAGACGGAAGTCTGCTGTATATACCCACTAGAAGCATTCGTTTTAGCTGGCACTGAAGACGGCTGCAATGTTCTCGACTGGGCCTGCCCATGGCCACCAGAGAAACCTGCAAAAAAGCTCCTTCGCTTCGCATCGCAAACAGACTTTGCATCTTCCGTGCACTACAAGTCAAACTCGCAGAGCTCAGCCAACTCGGATACTTCTTTGCACGGCAGGGTTGATACGGGTGGGTACCTTCCTGATTATCGAAGGAGCACGCTTCGTGTAGTTGATGTGCCTGATCAGGCGCAGGATGGTGGGCTTACGACTCTTGCTCCGCTTACGTATAGCGCACCCGTTGACGACGAGACATCAATTCTGTTTCCACTTGCATACAATCCAGCTGCTGGAGATGAGAGCACGACTCTCAGCCCGCTTACGTATAATGCGGCTGCTGGCGATGAAATTACGACCTTGCTTCCACTGACGTATGGTGCGACTGCTAATGATGAGATCACGACTTTTCCACTATTTGTATACTGTCCAACTACTAGCGATGAGTCTGGGAGCTCGTTATCAACCAGGCGGAAGCCAATACCACGAGAGTTCGAGGATAGCTCGCGTCGGACTTCTACTTCCTCTATTGACGCCGAGAATGACCACGAGGATGAGAATGAGAACAATGATGATAATGAAGTTGTCTCTCCACGCATGAAATCCAGAAGGATTCGCAATTATAGTTCTGAGGGTCGCTGCGCCGAGTTGAAACAGATTGTCGTCGGGAAGAAGCACATGCGTAGTAGTGGCTCTACAGGCTTACTAGATCATGTTTCAAAGTCAGTCGGCAAGTTCATCCAGTCGGATTCGGATACAGACGTCGTCGAGAAGCAGATGCCGGCCAACTCGATCACACGCCGTCCACTTCCTGGCAACACAGGATTGATAGACCGTGATCTTGAGTTTCACTATCGGGACCAGAACAAACGTGGGGTTAGCATGCCGACATTCCCTTCATCTTCGGCCAAGGGTGGTGAAGATAAAGAGCACAATCGCCGTAGCTCGTTCAGCAAGCTGCTCAGACTTGCTATCAGTCAGGTAACTCAGTTCGAACTGACTGAACTGACTGCCAAGACTCAGTTCAGTCAGTCAGTTCTTGAGGCCGCTGGACGTCAGTCCAGTCAGTTCAGAGATCTCTAGACTGACTGAACTGACTGATGTTGGACTGACGTTGGCTGTTTTTAAAGCAGAATTTTGCAATCGTGATAGCTACATCTAGTGCAGCTTCGAAGCCGCGCTAGTCCTAGATACATAAACACTAATCCTATACAAGTTAACATATAGAGCATCGAGCCAATCGGAACTTATAGAAGCGCGCTAGCCGCATCTAGCAAGCCTTTCGCGTCGCGTCGCGTCCGCTATACACGCGACGCTATACTACTGTTGCCATAATACTGATTGGTGTACTTCATGTCTACTCCCTCTAATTTAGGCCTTCGCCGCCTTGTAGAATACGACAAGCGCAATTCTCCTCTACCATCGCTATCGAACGCGCCTACTGTTGGCGATACTGCGAGCGAGGCACAGGCTGATGAGCCCATGGCAGTACAGGCGGACTTCCCCAACGGCGACGACGACGATAATTACGACGGGCTTGATTTTAAGCGTGTGCCGTACCTTGAGCGGCGCCAAGTGGAGCGCAATAGTCGCGGTGGGCCAAAAAGCTGGATCTACCGCCACGGCTGGGCCGTCTGGCACCGCAAGTACAAGAAGAACTACTGGCTTTGCTGGTACTGCTATTAACGACGGAGGCAGGAGGCTTGCTACGAGGCTGACAGCACTACAAACGCTGGCCGACACCTCTCAAGCAACAAGCCTGGGCACTCACACGGACCTAACGGACCTATACTAATTGCTAGCAGGGAGGACAATATTATGGGCGCGCTCGCAAAGTCCTAGGTACATATTATGAGGTCTAAAGGGATAGAAGTATCGCAAGAGGTGGCAAATGAGATGGCAGCAAGCTTTTCAACCTCTCGATTTCAGGACGCGCTAAAGGACTGGGTAGTCGCGGACAACCAGAGCCTCCGCGTAATAGAAACGCCGCAGTTTCGAGCCATGATTGCAGCCGTGAACCCGCTAGCCGAAGCCCTCCTTTGGCGTAGCCACCAAACGCTCCGCGATCATATTATTGCTGAGTACAACACATACATACCAGCTGTTACCAACTACCTTCGTGAAGCCCGGTCGCTTATACACGTGTCGTTTGACAACTGGACTTCAATTGGTGGGCAGTATGCTTTTACTGGCCTCTGCGTACATTACCTCAACAGTGAGGGCAAGCTAGTTGACAGTGATCGGCATGGAGGGAGATCTGGCCACCTCCACGATTCACCTCCATCTCCATACCGCCATGGAGACTCCATATAATTCTGAACCGACCTGATTAACCAGTTTAGTAGTAGTAAACCAACGTTCGTCGCAACAGGGTGGAGAGAGAATGTCCGTGCGCAGGGTGTTTCAGCAGAGTTTCTAACGTCACTCCATCAATCGTATGCTAGTTCCTATCAACATCATCATGACTATCTCCATTAGTAACCTATTTTGATATATCCATTGCTACAATGGCGTAAGAAGCCAAAGTACCGAAGGATTGATGAGCAGCTCGAGGATACCCGAAAGTGGCCTATCCCATCCCTCGTTCAAAATGAACTAGATGCCTATCTTACTGATCGGCGGGAGACCGACTTATCGATCGTCCCGTTCAAGTACTGGATGCGACCATCTGTTAAGGTGCAGTACCCTAAGCTCTCTCGCATGCCGATGGACCTCCTCTCGATCCCAGCTATGAGCGCGGAGCCAGAGATGATATTCAGTTTAGCTGGTGTTACTTTTTCTCCGCGTAGAAACAGACTCACTGAAGATGCCCTGGAGGCAGTCACATGCCTGGCGAACTAGGGAAGAAACAGTTTAATTACGATAGGCAGCCATAAACAGGATGTAAGAGGGTCTCAGGTTATTAGTGAGACGGCAGAGGAGAACGACGACTATCTCTCTTCCCTCTTTGGGTTCGTTGACGACGACTATGGACCTCTCTTTGAAGAGTCGCTGGCGGACAGTAGTAGTAGGAATGGAGAATAGATAGTGTAAGTAGATGGTATGTATTGTGTGTATTCTTCTTCATCACCGAGAGGTCTGTGATCTAAGCTTATATACATAGAGTGGTGGGCTGATTGATCGCTGGATAATCCACGTGACCATGCAAGGTACCCTGGGCTTACAGATAGTACTACTTCAATCCATCAGTTTGCTCCATCATAGACTCTAGATTAGCAAATTTTATATCTACTAACGTGAGCGGCAAGCGAGCTGCGCAGGCAAGCGAGCTACGCACTAAATGCAGCCATCCACCCCAACACACCAACAACTCACTACTACAACATCGTACTATGGTGTACAGTACGTTAAATTAACCCTCTACTTCTGCTGCATCTCTCTTGCATGTGCGCTTGTTATGACCTGCTTCGCCACAGTTCTTGCAGCGTCGAATACCCCCTGCACTACTACCTGTGCGCACTCTCTCCTAACGCCTCTCCGCCTCTAACTGAGCCTCAACATCCCTTTGCCCAACTATATCCTCTGCCTCTGCCTGCGATAGGGTTCCTCCCTTCTGGATTCGCTTTTTCTTGCGCTTTCTACGTTCAGACGCTGCCTGGTTTGCCTCCTCAAGGCTAGCTATTCTAGCCTCAAGCAGCGTGTGTGAGTGCACCTTCAAAGTTGATCCCTTTTTGACCTGCAACACCATCTCAATAATAGAATCAGGTGAAGAACTCTTATGCTCCCTTATCCTCTTTAGGATCTGCGTTGTTTGAGCCTCTATCTCCCAGGCGTTGCTTGGTGTTTTAGGTTGCCAAGGGGTAGGCCCTGGTGCAGGTGGCGTTGGCGTACGAGGCTTTACTTCAAGCTTAGATAACACCACTTCTGGGTTATGTGGGACTAAACCAGTTGCCCTAAAGCTTGACAAGATGTTGTCCTTCGAAAATGCCTTATTGAACACTGCCCCAAAGGTGGCTAGAAAGGCCTTTTTGTCGATGTGGTGGATGTGGCTGTTCGCCAAGCCCCTGAGTTCCTTCTTGTACGCCTGCTTCAGCGGGGCAAAACAACCCACATCAAGCGGCTGTAGGATGTGCGACGAGTGTGGAGGCATACAGAGGGTAATAATCTTGCTTTGCTCGCAGAGATCCTGGAATACAAGTGACTGGTGGCTCTCGTGGCCATCGATAATAAGCAGGCGGTGACTACCCACTGTGCGAGCCTCTGTGTGCTGGATAAAGTGCTGTAACCAGGCAAGACCAAGCTCGTTCGTTGTCCAGCCGTTATCGCTAAGGCCTATCCTCCAATCCTTTGGGTTGTTGTGATACCAGGCCTAGTCGTGGTGCTTTGCTTTGAGGATAAGGAAGGGTGGAATCGACCACCACATCGCGTTGATGCCAGCAATAAGCGTTATCCACTCACAGTCGCCAGGTTGAACTCCAAGCGGCTTAGTACGCCTCTCAGACGCTGTCACCACCTTAACAGACCCTCCAACGCCTATCTAAAAGCCAGTCTCGTCGAAGTTGTAGGTGTCTTCGTCCTAAATACCGTACTTGGCTTTAACATTGCGTACAAGGTTAAACTGTAAGTAGATTGTGTGTATTCTTCTTCTGATCACCGAGAGGTCTGTGATCTAAGCTTATATACATAGAGTAGTGGGCTGATTGGTCGCTGGATAGTCCACGTGACCATGCAAGGTACCCTGGGCTTACATAAACTAGGTACTAATTATCGCTGGATTGCTGCATAGAACTCTCTGGTGATCGCGCTGCCTAGTGATTTGAGATTTGATCTCAGGCTTTCGGCGTACGAGGTTCCTGGCCCATTTCTCTCCAACCTGGCCACCGCCACGAGCAGCTAGCAGCTGGTTGGCCATTTCTCGTACATAGCTAAGTGTAGGGGCAAAGTCTCGTGCATCGAGCTTCCTTATGTACTGTACAATCATCTGCTCTTCGTGCATTTGAAGCTTCGATAAGTTAGGATGAGAATCACGTCGTGAGGTGGTTTTGGCGCGTCGCGTCCGAAGGGTGCTTTCAGACACATTGTAGATGATGGCAGCACGTCGCTGGCTTAATGACGCGTCGGATTTAATAGCCTGATAGCAAGGATGATCCTGTCTTCACGAGGAAGCAGCTCAAGATCAGGTTGTTGAGACATGAGGATAGAAGGTGGATAAGACGTAGTCTTGGCACGGGTGCGCAGCTCGCTTGCCGCTCACGTTATAAGAATAAGTGTTGTTTGAAACACCTAGGCGGTTCACTACCCTGATTAGTAATAACTTTAAAATGTATGGAGTCTCCATGGAGGTATGGAGATGGAGGTGGAGATTCCACCTCCCTCCATGCCGATCCCTGCTAGTTGACCACCTGCTTAGGTTGCCTGAGCTACACGGAGCGCACACTGGCAATAATATTGCCGCTGTAGCAACAATACTTCGGCTATTTGGCGTTGACAACACGAGCGTCAGGTACTTTGTGCTTAACAACGCAAGTAACAACGATACTGCAGTTGAGTCCTTAGCAGAGGAGTTTAGCTTTATCGCAAGCGAGCGGCGGCTGCGGTGCTGCTGCCATATACTTAACCTAGGCGCGCAATTAGTAATTTGGGGCAAAGACCGTAGCGCGTACGAGAATGACGCCGCCCACCTTGAGGACGAGGAGAAGTACATAGATGAGTGGCGCAAATACGGGCCTATTGGCGTCCTCTTTGACGTGATTGCGTCTATCTGCACGCCTCAAACTCGGCAACTACTAGAGCGCCTACAGCGCGAGGAGGCAGAATTTCTAGGTGTTACACCTAACATCCGGCAGCTTGTTAAGCCTGTCAAGACCCGCTAGAATAGCTATTTTAGCACGTTTGTGGGCGCAGCTAAGCTACACAGCCCTATCGATAGCTATATTGAATGTAAACTTAGGGAGCATAGTGCTGCAACAGCACCCTCACAACGCCGGAAGAACCGCGAGCAGCTGCCCGCTGCACAGCCGCGACTATACATACGTGAAGGCGGTCTAAGCGGTAAGGACTGGGCGACAATAACAGAGTACATTCGACTCCTTGAGCTATTTGCCGAAGCTACACAGCTACTTGAAGGCCGCGGACAACACGGCCGCCACGGCGCTATTTGGGAAGTTCTAGTAACGTTTGAGTGGCTTCTCGACCAGCTTGAGACCCTTAAAGACTGTCTTAAGGATGTAGATTACAAAGGTCTAGACGCGCCTAAAGATCATCTTGTTATGAACGTTAATCTTGCTTACAGTAAGCTTGCTGAGTACTACGCAAAATTTAACGATGCGCCTGTCTACTACACTGCTACGATACTACACCCGCACTACAAGCACCACCTCTTAGCGCTCTGGAAGGTACCCGACACCCATGTTACTGCCCGTGACGGTGTTCACTATCGCGACGGCTGGCTTGACAATAACCACCGTGCATTCCTGCGCATGTGGCAGAGGCGAAAGGACGCCGCAGCTATTCCAGCTCAGACAGTGACGCCGCCGCGTAAGAAGTCCCGGCTAGGGTTGTCAACGTCGCGATCAGCTTTTCTACAGTCGTCGATCGAGCAAAGTATACGGCAGGTAGAGGCAAACCTTGCGAAGGATGAGTATGAGATTTGGAAGCGGCAGCCAGCGTTAGCTGAGGAGGACTGGTGTCAGATTAGATGAGATAATGCATAGAATTAATAGATGTTGATTCTTTCGTGTCTTCTCCCTGGAAGGTAGTGCTATCACGATGTATATGCTCTCGTACAAATAAGGCCGAAGTAGGATCGAGGCGGGTCGGCCAACATGGCTGCAATCGACACCAATGCTAAATTGCCTGCTGGATGGCCTTCCATCAGACAGCAACACATGCTATCTGACAACTAGCTGTCTCTTAATCCGCTTCTATACTGGGAGTCAGTTGCTGGGCAATTCCCCATACTCTCAAAGTTTGCTATTGACGTTCTAACAATACTAGCGGCAGCGGCAGACTGTGAGCGGACTTTCAGCGAGCTTGGCGACATGTTAGGCACGCGGAGACTCCATATGAAGCCAGAGCTTGTTTCAGCTTTGCAGAGTTTAAAGAGCTAGAAGAGGCTTGGTATACAGCCAACGACTACGTCAGCTTTGGGGTTAGCGCGTACACTATCGGAGGAAGAAATCTCGAAAATACAGGAGCAATTATCTCAGTTCGACGTCAGGTAACTCAGTTCAGTCAGTCAGTTTTGACTCAATTGAAAAGTCTTGGCAGTCAGTCCAGTCCAGTTCAGTGACCTCACAACGTCAGTTCAGTCAGTCCGGAGCTCTCTGGACTGACTGAACTGACTGATAGCAACTCTGGCCGAAGCTAGCACGCTGTGCAATTGAGTTCGGTTACGATACTAGCCATGATGCATTAGGCCACGCGAAGGCCTTGTTCATTCGTCAACTCTGGATCCTGAGATGCTGAAGAGCTCCAATCCCGGTTTTACAGTACTAACGCCGATGTATCAGCTCTCAGTCATAGCGGCCCCTCATGAGACTGCTACATCACAGGCGTCTCCGATGACGATGGGAGTTCGAGACTACTCATGCCGAAACCGTATAGCGCTCTGGTAGTCTGATATCATTCGATGTCTAGGTCTATATTTTCGATCAGCCTATGTAGAAATTGTAGACTCGTCGTTACATCACTAGAGATGGGCGATATGCATCCACACAGATCACTGAGGCGGAAGCACAGGTTGTGCTATTATCTAACCCTGCAAACAGCCTAGAGGCGTTATGACACTAGTGCTTGGCAATGCCTCTGGAAACCACTCTTTGAAAGTATGCAAGGATCTGGAACATCGTGCACGTTCTTTCATTGTTCAATCCGTTGCATACAGTAAGTTAGAAAGTGTCATAACTGTTAGTCGCAAGATTAGATCAGAAATTGTCCCAACCACTGTCAATAGTACGGTTCCAGAATTAGCACGCTTGTTCAAGAAACCCTGGTACCATTGGTATAAGCCTAGGACCACATCACATGACTGCAGAGCAGTCATGACTAATGCGTCCGACTATTTCAGAGCTTAAACACACACTTGTACATAACATGGTTTACAAGCGAGCGCCGCGTACAAGCGAGCGCCGCGTACAAGCGAGCGCCGCACCCCACCAACTTTGCGCACCTCTACAGTCGTATATCTTAACAACGTGATAATATGATATATAGATATTTATATAGCAGATTAAGCAGTATCTTTAGTATCCTTCTTGCATGTACGTGAGTTGTGGCCAGTCTCCCTGCACCTCGTGCAGCGCGCCAGAGCCTGGCGGCTGAGTCCTGATCGCGCTCCTCCTTGACGCTCTTCACGAGAAATCTGCTGCTCAACCTCACGTTGAGCGAGTATATCCTCTCCCTCTCCCTTTGTCAAGGTCCCTCGCTTCTGTATACGCTTTTTTTTACGCTGTTTACGCGCTGAGGCTGCCTCATTAGCCCTCTCAAGGCTGGCAATCCGATCGCGCATCAGCTCAGCTGAGAGCATCATCACCTCAGCGCCCTTCTTAAGCTGGTCAATCGCTTCAATAATAGAGGCAGGCGATGAGCTCTTGTGCCGCCGAACGCGATCACGTATCAACGTTGATTGAGCCTCAAGCTCGCGTACGTTGCTCGGCGTACGCGCCTCCCAGAGGGCCTCTGGCAGGGCAGCTGGAGTAGGCGTACGCAGCTGCACGTCAAGCTTCGATAGTACAGTATCTGGTTGGAGAGGCACGAGGCCTGCGCCTCGAAAAGCTGAGCAGATATTGACTGATGTGAACGATCGATCAAAGGCTGCCTTGAACGCTGGCAGAAACTCGAGCTTGGTGATGTGGTTGATGTGGTGGCGGATCAGGCTCTCTACCTCACGACTGTACGCGCGCTTCAACGGCGAGAAGCAGCCAACGTCAAGAGGCTGGAGTAGGTGAGATGAGTGAGGTGGCATACAGAGCGTGTAGATGTTGTTCTCCTTGCAGAGCTCTTGAAACTCAAGAGAGTGGTGGCTCCCATGGCCATCAAGGACGAGCAGACGACGCGCACCAACAACGCGAGTCTTCGTGTAAGCGTTAAAGTGCTTTAGCCACTCAACTCCTAGCTCGTTATTTGTCCAGCCATTGTCGCTAATTGCAATCGCCCAGTCGCGTGGGATATCCTCCTCGTACCAGGCAGACAGGTGATACTGGCCAGCAAAGATAAGGAATGGTGGGATTGTCCAGCCAGCTGCGTTGATCGCAGCAATTAACGTTACCTACTCACGATTGCCTAGCTGAATAGCCTTTGGTCTGCCTCTTCTCTCTGACCCTGTCACGACAAGCTTAGTCGTGATCTTGCCCATCATAAAGCCAGCCTCGTCGAAGTTGTAGACGTCCTTATCGCAGATGCCGTACTTAGTCTTTGTCTCCTCTACAAGCTCAAACCAGCTCCTAATTAGAGCTGGATCCTCGCATAGAGCTCGCTGCCTATCGTACGGTCGATTAAAACACGTCGTGAGACTGTCTGTACGCTTGACAAAGTTGCGCGGCCAGTGGACGCCGACCTGACCAGCGCCGCGCGTAGTCAGTAGCCTATTAGCTATATCACGTACAGCTTCGTACGTAGGCGCAAATCCACGCTGATCTAGGTCGAGTATATAGCTAATAATCACCTCCTCTTCTCTCTGGGTAAGCTTTCTTGAGTTAGGCTGGCAATCGCGTCGGGCAGGTACACCAGCGCGTCGGCGGCGGATCGTTCGTTCAGACACGCTATAGATAGCAGCAGCATTGCGATTACTCTGTATTTGATAAGATTTAATAGAGAAGATAGCAAGCTGAATATCTGCTTCATTTGAAGCTGGTAGAGTAGCGCTACGCTGAGCCATTGTACGTTAAGATGAGAGAAGTGCGCAAAGTTGGTGGGGTGCGGCGCTCGCTTGTACGTGGCGCTCGCTTGTAAACCATGTTACAGACACAACAATACACTCATACATGAGACCCTATACTACTATCATCCGTTGCTTACACTGTCACTAACAAGATTTTGTCCGACTGGTAAAGACAGAGTTTGGTACGCTAACTTCTGCTTAACCGGTTTTTCAAAAACCGGTTTGCCCATGTATGTCACCGTGCTTCGAGTTCAGTACCTCCGCCACAAAGGCATCTCCTGCACATCTACACTTCTCATAATCTCTTCTTCTCCTCAATCTCTGCCGACAATTTCTGTACGCCGCTCTCGATAAGTCCTCTTACCATCAACCCATGCATCCACCTTCCAACCACCCCTTCCAAGACCCCGGCGTTCCCTTTTCCCTTCTCTCGCCACATAACCGTATGGTTGATGAAAGTAGTTTGGTCTCCCTCCTCTTTGACTTCAACCACCAGCATTCCCTCTACTAGTGGGCCTTTATAACTTCCAGGCGCATCTAGAGTCAGGGTGATACGCTCTTTGTCTCGAGAAGTCACCACGTAAACTCCGCAGACGCGGTCTCCAAGAACAAACTGGAGAGAACGAATGTATGCTGAGTTAAACGTATTCCTGTCTTTGGCATCCTTGATCATGTACCAGATACCCCACGCAGGAGGACGCTTGGAAAATGTAGCCATTGTGTGTCGAAGAAAGAGCACCATCATCTCTGGCTTGGAGGCTCCAAGAGCCACTGTGGAGATTTTCTTGCGCGTGCACTCATGGTGAATGATGTAGTTTTCCGAGCTATTCTGGACTGTATCAGGTATAGCGATCGATTTGTCTTGTAGGTAAGGCGTTGTTTGGCATTGCACGCTTCGGGAGAGGGTTATGTGTAGATACGTAAGGTACAAAGCTGAGCCTGCAAATGGCAGAGAGGCTAGAAGGAACTTGTAGGCCATGTTTCGAAAAGATTCAGAGGTCATGTCTGTGTGAGGGGAATGCCTCTAGCACAACGGTGAAAGTCGGAGTTAAGCTGAGGCAGCCGAAGACCACAGCATCGTCTGTAAGCGTCACACAACAAGTATCTAGCTAGCAGATAACTAAATCTGCGTCTTTATCTCTAGAGATGTTGTTTGCACCTAATTTGCTACTACATTAATGTCAGGAGAGGTGGTGTTAAGGCATCTCACCATCGGCTTGTTTCCAACTTTCACGGTTACGGTAGGGACTGCATAGAAGAGCGGGATATAAAAAGCTTAAACTACGATATTAACCAATCAAGTTTGATCCGAGGTCGAAGACCTAATATAAAAATACCGTGTCCGTGCACATGTAGTCATCTCACCGTTACAAACTAATGCAACAGCATTAGTAACATTCTTAAGAGAATGCATTGATTGCTGCGGGTCGTTGTTGACCTGTCCTTGCACTTAGTCCATGAACTCGGGCATATTACAAATGCACGTATGTGTAATAGTACATATAAGAAACACACGCCTGCGAAGCCATTTCCTACTTAATACCTAGTAATTTTAGAGCTAGCGCTGCCACACTTTTGCATAATACGATATCGTAAGAAGAATTATGCTCTACTTAGTTCGTGTTTGTGATTGGTGGAAAATTACTCATCAAACCAAGCTTTACTAATGAATGCCGCTAGTTCCCTCGCACATTAGAACAGCGACACTACGGAGGTCGCTGTCAAAAGTTGTCTGACGCTAAAAGCGCCATGAAGACGCCACATTTCTTAGCTATTCCTGTGCCCTTACTCTCCTGCCATGGATGCCAACAATCAAGCCAATCAAGCTGAGTTGCCCAGCTTGGCTAGGCTTGAGGTTTATAGACAATACAGCTTGATGGATTAGCTTGATGGGTTGAAATCGAAGAGCTTTATTGGCTTGCAAAATTTTGATGTTGGTGTGGCTCAACCCGCGCATGGGCACTGTATCGTAGTCTCTTCTTGGCGCCGAAACCCGCACTCTAGTCACACTGTTTTGAAACACCCGCGTTTGAGCGCGCAACGGTGCGCTACTTAACAAGAGACTCAGACCGTCTAATTTACGTGCAGAGACGATGGCTAAGCTTCACTTTCTACTGGCGTACTTTAGCACTGTTGTGCTGGCTTCCACAACGTGCGTTACCCCGCCTTCCTTGCAGGCGATCTCGAAGCGAGAGTCGGCCGCCGAGTCCCGCGCATCGCATGCAACGGCGTTGGCTAACTCTCTTACACCACATGCGCCTTGGAACACCACTTCACCTTGGGGTTGGAACGCGACATACATTCTGCAATCTAAGGGCACTGCAACTGGGTCTTGACCTACAACTACTGTCACTGTCGGCAAAGCAGGGGAGCTTGTCTTCTCGCCGTCATCGCTGAACGCTTCTGCTGGCTCAGTCATTGATTTTAATTTCCTAGGGCTAAACCATACATTGACTGAGAATGATCTTTGGAATCAGTGCCACAGCAACCAGAAATTCGATACTGGATATCGACAGTACAATCCGGCTAGTGTAAGCGGGAAATTCATCGTCGAGATCGAGATTACCATCAGGAAGCGAAATGGTTCTTCTGCGCTCAAACAACAAAGCGCTCTCATTGTCAGGCGGGGATGGTATTCAGTCTGAATCCACACGGAGCGCATGCTCATTTCCTTCACAACGCCTTAGCAGGCGTTGAAGCTACAGCAACGCCGACTAAGGGTGTATGCGAGCTACCCTTGGTTCATCTAACAAACAAGCACAGCAAACACGTACCGTGCGTGACGGCCCACCAAAACTACACCTCAACTTCAACACGCGATAACTCTACAACTATGGCTAATATTGAGGCTGCGCTTAAAGCAATAGAATCGCTAGGACCTAGAGAGCAACTTAGCTATAGAAAGATTGCAGGAGAGTATGGCTGCAGCTATACAACGCTTAGACGAAGACACCAAGGTCTCGCAACCTCGCGAGCTACCCAGGATTCAAACCAGCAAACTCTCCACCCACAACAGGAGCTAGAGCTCCTGCGCTATATTGAACGACTCACAAGGCAAGGCTTACCGCCTACACGAGCTATGATAAGAACTTTCGCCTCGCAGATCGCGCAGAGAGAGGTTGAAATACACTGGGTTGATCGCTTCGTGCAGCGACACCCGGACGAGGTGATCTTCAAATGAACCAGACTTGCTATCAGTCAGGTAACTCAGTTCGAACTGACTGAACTGACTGACGTTGGCTATTTTTGAAGCAGAATTTGGCAGTCGTGATAGCTACATCTAGTGCGGCTTTGAAGCCGCGCTAGTCCTGGATAGGTATAATCCAGTCCCATATAAGGTAAAGTATATGGCATTGAGCTAATCAGAACTTGTGGAGATGCGCTAGCCGCACCTAGCAAGCCTTTCGCGTCGCGTCGCGTCGCGTCTGCTATACACACGACGCTGGACTACTGTTGCCATAATACTGATTGGTGTACTTCATGTCTACTCCCTCTAATTCAGGCCTTCGCCGCCTTGTAGAATACAATAAGCGCAATTCTCCTCTACCATCGCTATCGAACGCGCCTACTGTTGGCGATACTGCGAGCGAGGCACAGGCTGATAAGCCCTTAGCAGCACAGGCGGACCTCCCTGACGACGACGACGACGACAATTACGACGGGCTTGATTTTAAGCGTGTACCGTATCTTGAGCGGCGCCAAGTGGAGCGCAATAGTCGCGGTGGGCTAAAAAGCTGGATCTACCGCCACGGCTGGGCCGTCTGGCACCGCAAGTACAAGAAGAACTACTAGCTTTGCCGGTACTGCTATCAACGACGGAGGCAGGAGGCTTGCTACGAGGCTGACAGCACTACAAACGCTGGCCGACACCTCTCAAGCAACAAGCCTGGGCACTCACACGGACCCAACGGACCTATACCAATTGCTAGCCGGGAGGGCAATATTATAGGCGCGCTTGTAAAGTCCTAAGTACATATTATAAGGTCTAAAGGGATAGAGGTATCGCAAGAGGTAGCAAATAAGATAGCAGCAAGCTTTTTAACCTCTTAATTTTAGGACGCGCTAAAGGACTGGGTACTCGCAGACAACTAGAGCCTCTGCGTAATAGAAACGCTGCAGTTTTAAGCTATAATTGCGGCTGTAAGCCTACTAGCTAAAGCCCTCCTTTGGCGTAGCTACTAAACGCTCCGCGATCATATTATTGCTAAGTACAATACATACATACTAGCTGTTACTAACTACCTTCGCGAAGCCTAGTCACTTATACACGTGTTATTTAACAACTAGACTTTAACTAGTAGGCAGTATGCTTTTACTAGTCTCTGCGTACATTACCTTAACAGCGAGGGCAAGCTAGTTAATTACCTACTTAGGTTGCCTAAGCTACACGGAGCGCACACTAGCAACAATATTGCTGCTGCAGTAACAACAATACTTCGGCTATTTGGCGTTAACAACGCGAGCGTTAGGTACTTTGTGCTTAATAACGCAAGTAACAATAATACTGCAGTTAAGTCCTTAGCAGAGGAGTTTAGCTTTATCGCAAGCGAGCAGCAGCTGCGGTGCTGCTGCTATATACTTAACCTAGGCGCGCAATTAGTAATTTAGGGCAAAGATCGTAGCGCGTACGAGAATGACGCCGCCCACCTTAAGGACGAGGAGAAGTATATAGATAAGTAGCGCAGATACGGGCCTATTAGCGTCCTCTTTAACGTAATTGCGTCTATCTGTACGCCTTAAACTTAACAACTACTAGAGCGCCTACAGCGCGAAGAGGCAGAGTCTTTAGGTATTTTACCTAACATCTAGTAGCTTGTAAAGCCTGTTAAGACACGCTAGAATAGCTATTTTAACACGTTTGTGCGCGCAGCTAAGCTACACGGCCCTATTAATAGCTATATTAAGTGTAAACTTAAGGAGCATAGTGCTGCAACATCAACCTCACGACGTTAGAAGAATCGCGAGCAGCTCCCTACTGCCTAGCTACGACTATATATACGCAAAGGCGGTCTAAGCGGCAAGGACTAGGCGACAATAACAGAGTACATTTAACTCCTTAAGCTATTTACTAAAGCTACACAGCTACTTAAAGGTCGCGGCTAATACAGCCGCCACGGCGCTATATAGGAAGTTCTAGTAACGTTTAAGTAGCTTCTTAACTAGCTTAAGGCTCTTAAAGACTACCTTAAGGATGTAAATTACGAAGATCTAAACGCGCCTAAAGATTATCTTGTTACAAACGTTAACCTTGCGCTTTGTAAGCTTGCTAAGTATTACGTAAAATTTAACAACGCGCCTGTCTACTACACTGCTACAATACTATACCCGCACTACAAACACTACCTCTTAGCGCTCTAGAAGGTGCCTAATACCTATGTCACTGCCCGTAACAGTGTCTACTATCGTAATAGCTAGCTTAAAAATAACTACTAGGCATTCCTGCGCATGTAGTAGGGGCGGAAGGACTCTGCAGCTACTCTAGCTTACACAATAACGCTACTGCGTAAGAAGCCCTAGCTAGGGATTGTAACGTCGCGATTAGCTTTTCTACAATCGTTAATTAAGCAAAGCACACGGCAGTTAGAGGCAAGCCTTGCTAAGGATGAGTATGAGATATGGAAGCGGCAACCGGCATTAGCTGAGGAGGATTGGCTGTCTCTTAATCCGCTTCTATACTAGGAGTCAGTTGCTAGGCAGTTTCCTATACTCTCAAAGTTCGCTATTAACGTCCTAACAATACTAGCGGCAGCGGCAGACTGTGAGCGGACTTTTAGCGAACTTGGCGACATGTTAGGCACGCGGAGACTCTATATAAAGCCAGAGCTTGTTTTAGCTTTGCAGAGTTTAAAGAGCTAGAAGAGGCTTGGTATACAGCCAACGACTACGTCAGCTTCTGGGCTAGCGCGCACACTATCGGAGGAAGAAATCTCAAAAATACAGGAGCAATTATCTCAGTTCGACGTCAGGTAACTCAGTCCAGTCAGTCCAGTCAGTCCGCAAGCGGCATCGACGTCAGTTCAGTCAGTCAGTTTTAGTTTGATTGAAAAGTCTTGGCAGTCAGTCCAGTCCAGTTTAGTGACCTTAGACGTCAGTTCAGTCAGTCCAGAGAGCTCTGGACTGACTGAACTGACTGATAGCAACTCTGAAACTGCTTAATGCTTTTGGTAAGAAGGACGAAGATACTGAGAAGGTGGAGACGAATGATAAGCTCAAGAAGTCGCTGGGTCGACGCATCAGTCAAAGCGTGAGGAAGAAGTTTCTACCGCTCTGGCCGAAGTGAGTAAGTGAAATTAGGCTTGGAAATCAGGGCAAGAACGCCCTTCATCTGTCGCAAGGCTATGTCGAAGATGAGCAAAAGCGCACGTTTTGTGTACAGAGTTGATAAGATGTAATCATGAAATCACAAAACTGATGCATGCAAAAGACGATTGTAGCATTCTATGTAGATAACGATCGGTTAGAAGATAGTAAGCAAAGACAAAACACAAAAGTAAACGAAAGTCCCCATATACCGATCCTTCATCCCACACATCCCTCATTCTTCATCTTTCTTCCAAAGAGTATCAGCTGAGAAGTGCGAGTGCGAGTTCTACTGGCAAACAATGACTCCATTATCGAGGTTAGTCTGGCCAAAGTCGACATCATCGCCACCGGCGCTGTTTAACCATTAGACTCGTTATCCACAGAAATCACACTCCAGATTTACAAAACTTGACCAATCGAGGAAAGAAGAAAATGGAAAACTTACACAATAGTAGCAACCCTCTTAGTCCCCGCAGCATCGCTGAAGATATTGCACCTCCCGTTTCCAGCTCCAACAATCAAAGCGCGATTAGCGCGGACGGGGCGGCCCAAGCCAGCAAAGTTGGCGCGGATAGAAACACGGGAGCTGTTTTGGAAAGGTAATTAATCAGTCATTACGTTGGTGAAGTAGGGAAATGTGGAAATGGTGTGGCAATTGGGTGCGAGCTTACCCATCAGCGGGGATATTGCGCTGGACAGCTGTGTCGACGGCGTCGTTGGAAAGTTGGACGCGGAGAGAGCCGGTTTGACGAGCGTCAATGTCGGCGGGGGCGGCGAGGGCGAGGGCGGCGAGGAGGGGGGTGAGGAGGAGGGTGAACTGCATTTTGATGGTGGTGAGTGGTGAGTGGTGAGTGGTGAGTGGTTGGAAAGAGGTTGTTGCGGTTGAGATGTGGAAGCTGTGGATGATTGCAGTGAAGATGTTGCGGATGAGAAGAAGAACGGGTGATGGTATTATAGCTTTATACCTCTCATCTCATGCTCTATGAACGTTTGCAATCATTACGAAGCACTTTTCTTAGGCTTCTCCACCTACCTGTCTCTCATCAGCTTCCTTTCCTTCTCAATTTCTATTCTTGGCCTTCAAGCGCACGGAAATCCGTTGACACCGACGAAGACTTGGTGCAATGTCGTCTTGTCGTAAGAAATGTCTGTTGTCGAAACACCATGGATTACTCGGTACCACGTATTCTTACAAGTCTGACTACAGACTTAATGACGAGTATCTAAGTATGGGAAGATCTGAAACGTAGATCATGGCTTGGAGATGATGTGCGTTATTCCCGGGTAGGACGCGTTCGGCTGATATCAGACCGGTAGATGTGGGGTGCGTAAGGCGGGACGCATGAACCGGGAGGCTTACAACTAGAACCTTGTTTAGAAATTAATATCACGATGATTTCCCTCGACCTTTCATCGGGCTCAAAACGGTTGTGCATGCACAGGCTAGGCATATGGCGCCATGGTGCGATGCCAGGTACTGCGAAGTGTCACCACCATGACGCCTCTGGCCGATGCGCGTACGATGGTCATGGCTCTAGGAGTTTAATAAATTGTAGCATGTACCGCACAATTGCGGATAGCGGTGTTCGGTGACGCGGCTCTTGTGTGGGCGCGCAATAGACTGCGGCCCTTATTAGCATTGTCCTAGAACAACCAGCTCTTTCTTCACGTCGCCCATATTGTGTGTGGCACAAGCAGCTGTGATTCATCACCTATATGTAGACAGGATCTCACTAGTCGGTAATTGATGTAAAATTATTCTTTTGTATATATACACCATGAACAAACACTGTGTTGTACACGTATACGGCCGTTGCAGTCTTAGCCAAAGTCATCCTTTTAGTCATCCCCACGTCGAACGGCTATCCGTTTATCGCCTGGGCAGAACATCCTTCGCACCGTCCTTTACTCTTTGGGCGGCGTTGGCGACGGCGTCCCTGGTCAGTTGGAAATGCTGGCCGAGGCGATCCTGGGAGAATGGTTAGCATCATTCCCATGGTGGCGCAACCCGATGATCAGCTTACCTGCTCAGCTCCCACTCCGCCACCAGCCAACAGCTTCGCTCTCTGCTGGCCATCGTATCCGAGACCATAGTACTTGGCGTTCTTCTCTCCATTGGCGGCTACGCTTCCTGCAGCCTGTACCGCCTTCGCGGCATCAAGGCTGTGCAGCGCGGGGCTGAAGTGTGCGTTGTATCGGTCCTGCTCTGCGCCGTCGCCCTTGTACTTGGCAGCGTCCTTCATGGCGTTGTAGCCGCGGTCACCAATGCTCAGGTGTTCGCTGTAGCGGTCCTGCTCGGCACCCTCGCCCTTGGCCAGAGCAGCTTGTTGCAGCTTGTTGAGGCCCTTGTCGACACCGCGGCGGATGGCATCGGTTGAAGCACCGAAATGTTGGCCGTAGCGATCTTGCTCAGCTGCGGAACCGTGTTTTGTGGTGACGTCGAGGTTGACGGGGTGAGTCGCGGCAGCGGACTTCTCATCGGAGCTGAACCAACCCATTGTGAATTAGATTTGAGATATTTGGGGTATGTGGTGTGTAGTTGAAGGTATGGGAATTGAGTTTGAAATTGCTGTGTAAGTGGTGTGAGGAGGGGGAAGAAGTCGTGTTATGTTATTGGGGTTGCGGAGAACGATGACGTAGGAGCTAGCGAATTGCGCCAAAATCCTTGTCTTGTGCCTGATCGTCACGTGAAGCTCATAGCTCACCTCGGCTTGCTGACCAGGTACATCATCGTTCAAAAACGTCAGGTTTGCCATCCTCTCGACCTCTTGTTTTGTTTTTGACGTGTCCGGCTCCCCACATGATGCTCTTCATCGCCCAAGAATCGGTCTCTGCGATATGTTTCTGGTAGTGCGCGAACCCTTACCAATGCATGTTCATAAGTATTAGGACGAAATCAAATTCTTCGCCCGTATCTCCTCAAAAGACGGCTGCAGAATCCACCCGCTGATGCTTCTGTTCACGGCAAAGGTTGCTTCACGGCATGAATTCTGATTGCGACGCCAAGAAGCCTTTCGACCAAGGTGTTGGACCGTTTGGCTCCATGTACTGGGATATCAGTGTTTGAACAACACAGAGAACGTGGTTGAACTGCGAAGTACCAGCAACAGTGGAAATCTGAGGGCGATGCAGCATATAGAAGTTGACACCTCTAGTGAAAGAGATGCTCATAGCGAGTTGTGTTTGCCCCACTCGGAACCATTCGATGCCTGATTGGCTGATCAACAACGCGCAGTATCCACACATTCTCCCATCAATCCCGTCTATATCATCTTAATCTAGACTCTGAATCTTGCCATTTCGTTCCAGGAAAACGACTTTGTTTGCGACATGGTGCATATACATACCTCATGTGACTCGTCGCGTTCTTCCCGTCCTTCCTCCGGCGGCCAGTGTGACCCTCCTCAGCGTGTCCTATCCGCGCTTATTCTCCGCATACTTCGACGGCTCATTGATCACACTGTCGGGTCTCTCCCTATGACAGCATCAACACGACCTACATGCGTGCCGATGTGACAGCAGTCTCCTTGTCGATGTGGGGAAATGTTTGCTGTGTCTTACTAACGACTGAAGCTGCTGCATAGCTCGTACACATGATTGCCATGGCAAGAGTATATGATCCTGGAGATCGGCCTTCCTGTCCATCCTTCTTCATCAACTGTCAGATATCGGTCACAACCTTTCACTACTTCCTGCAACTGCAGGACCTAGTACTGGATTTTGTCGCGGAGGTAAAACAGTCTGCGGACTGGATGCAACAGGGGTGTGCATGGCATGGTCTTATGTAGGCAAGGTTTGACGTAAGTTGTAGTATTTTCCGTGCCCCCCAACATTCCCATCACTCTTAATGTTCATGTCTCCAATTCCAATCAGTCTACGTGTACCTGGGTGTTCGGATATGAGAGGTACGACGCTATTTGGTCTTTGGATAGTGAGCTTTAGTAGAAGCCTCTCAAGGCATCTACAGGCCTCCTCAAATTGTACGACCAGACGACCTGCACTTCCATTTCGGGTGTTGCGCGCATCATAACTCACCTTCACCTTGTTGTCGTGTACAATCGGAACAAATATGGTCAGGCTTCACCTGAACAAATCGCTACGGCCACAACAAGCACACGCGCCTCTCATCCACTGGCCTATCCACGCATCTCGGCCTCGAAGACAACGGACCAAGCCATGGCGCCGGAAGCACAAGCATCATGCGCTGTCTGTGGCGAGCCGGCCCTCAACGTATGCAGCGGCTGCAAATTGGACACCTCACTTCGCCAGTACTGCGGCAAGGCCTGCCAGACGAAAGATTGGCCGACTCATAAGAAGGCTTGCAAGTATGCCCAGAACGCCATCCTGGAGAAAAGACTTGAGCGGGTTGCCGAAGTCGTTAAGCAGGCGTACTACAGCTTCCGCAAGAACACTTGGGACAAGCCTATCGACAACATCGAAGATCGTGAAGACGCTCTGGTTATTCACTATGGAGCGCAATTTGAGCAGTCAAAATACTTTGCGAAGTTTCCCCAGCATCTCATGCCTACCAAACAAGTCAAAGATGCGGTGCTTTGTCTATTGATGTGCAACGAACCATTGGCCTATATGTACAGCGTCGTCGTTAAGCTTCTGAAGGGTAACGCGCAATAGGAGTATTTCCTGATGTCTTGCTGACTTATGTTAGACATACGCCTCGAAATCGAAGAAGTCCGCCTAAACCTCGGTTCGATTCCCCGTAAGATGGTCATCTACTACCCGTGCGGTGAGCGCGATCAGAACTGGCCTCGCTACTTCCACGAGGTTATCCGCATCACGTCAATCACAACGAAGAAGCAATGGATCATTGATATCACCGGTGCTCAGTATGGCATAAATCGGGCTCTGTGGACATGGCAAGAATACCGGTACCTTTTCAAGGCCGAGGTCAAAGCCATATATCCTTTCGGCACCAACAAGGCTGCATTAAAGGCCGCGAGTAGGATAGCCGGGAGTCCATCTATGAGCTACGGTGCAATCAGTGTAGTAGCAGACCATCTCGCTATCAATCTTGATGAAAGGCTGACTAGAACTGGTAAGAGGCTTTCTCAACTGGTCCACCTGAGTCAGAGAGAGTTCGCATCGGATATGCGTCAGCTTCTGGAATTTATGAGTGACACTGTCCATACCTTCGTCCGAGCGAATGATTTCCAAGAAGAATTCGAGGCCATGATGATGCACGAGGAAATGTATCCTGGCGTCAGCATACAGCAGTACATCATAGTCACCAAGGCGATTTATGCTCAAGCTGCTACTGCCTCAACGGGTTAGAAGACGAGGATCACAAGGGACTGAGGTGAAGAATGACTGGTATCAGAATTGGGGGAGGATGCTCACGATGTCGGAGTGGTATTTGGCGCAACCATACAAACCTTGCTTCGAAGGAGTATTCAGCGGGTCGAAAGCGTATCCAATCCCAAGGTCCATTTGGATAGCTACGTATCTCAAAACGTCTTTCACACGATCAGTCTGCCCGTTTTCCATTTTAAGCCCACGCATGCCACTTGAGATAGCTTGTTATATTGTACCGCTACATTACAGTAAGGAATTGAAAACTGTGTTTCAGGAAGAAGTCCAAGGGAATGCTTACTAGTAGTCGCAGCAGATCCAATGTACGGCTTTTCCTTGCACAGATTCCCACGGCCATCCACCAATCCATCTCAAGGCCTCTTCATTTCGTCTACTCTATTACTGTCATCCTGGAGAGTGGTACCCACAAACTCATTAGACGATATCTCCTCGAAGCTGTGCAGCACAGAAATGAACGGGTCCGGTGCCGGGGTGGTAGTGATCGCGAGATGTGCAGTATCCCTTGCACGACGGGCTTTGAGCTTACGTTGGTGTCGCTTCTTGGAATCTAGGGTCTGTATACGATAGGTTTGGTCATCCACAATCATAGATAAGAGATACGTGTCCATGTCGTAGCCATAGATATCTGGGATGAGTGTATCTACCGCCTCAATAATCTTTGTAGTAGTCAGGATGATGTCGTTTACTGTAGTCATCGCGAAGAGGCACGACGTTAGGGTAACGATGGGGATTAACGAAGCTGAAGGTGAAATCGAAAAGGACGTACGTCTTTGGAAACAAGTATGGAAAAGGGAAAAGTAAAATAATTTTGCCCGATAATCAGCACTTGACAAGGAGGAATGGCATCACATCTTAGTGTAAGGGTTCATCGGTAACCAATAAAACTAACTCATTCCTCAATACAATGTACACATTACTCAATATATACAGGACTCTTCGGTCTTTCTTTCATGCCCATCTAGTGACCCTTCTTGCTCTGAATACCCTTGAGGAGGCCCTTGTACGCAGGCTTCTTCTCGTAGTTCTCGTCCCAGAGAAGCGCAGCACCCTCACCCGTGAAGACACCTGGGATCCAAGAATACTTGTCCGAAATTCCCCATACGGTGATACCGATGCATCGCTTGACAGCCAGGCAAGATTTGGCAACGCGCTCAAAAGCATCGGCCTGAACCTTCAGCTTCTCGGGGGTAGCAGGGGTGTTCATGCGAAGATCGAGCTCGGTGTAGACAACGTCAACGCCAAGGTCAGCAGTGGCGTGAAGAGCAGCCTCGAGAGTCTTTTGGTCTGGGGCGGCGCCTGGGGAAGTTGGTGTGGCCTCGCTGGCAAGATGGGCCTGGTAGCCAACACCGTCGATGCGGACACCGTAGGACTTGACAAGCTTGACGATGCGCGCAGCACCCTGGGTCTTCTCCGCGTTGTACTCGAGGTTGTAGTCGTTGTAGAAGAGCTCGGCCTTGCCACGGTACTTGTTGGCGAAGCGGAAAGCAATCGGAAGGTAGGCCTCGCCGATGGTGTCTAGCCAGACGCTGGAGCGGTAGGTACCGTCCTCGTTCAGGGCCTCGTTTACTACGTCCCAGCGTGTGCAGACGCTCTTGTAGCGGGTCATCACGGTCTTGATGTGATTCTCCATGATACCGATGAGGGTCTTATTGTCAAATCCACCCCCGGATACCCATTGAGGCAGCTGAGAGTGCCAAACCAGGGTGTGGCAATGGACTTGGAGGTTGTTCTTCTTGGCGTATGCCGCATATCGGTCGGCATCATCGAAAGTGAAGTTGTTACGGGATGGCTCAACAGACTCCCACTTCATCGCGTTCTCAGGAGTGAAGGAGTTGAAGTCGGCCTTGATGATCTCGCCCTCACGAGGCTCATCGCGAAGTGTCAGGGCTGTGCCGATGAAGCTTCGTCCTGCCTTCTTCATAGACTTGTAAAGACTGTCATTGTCCTTGCCGTGGCCGGAGGTGCTATCCAAGTGTTAGCGAATCATCGCTATGGCTAGATCTTAAGTTACTCACGGAACGGCAACGGTGGAGCTGGCAAGCGCCAGGCTGGCGACGATACTGGAGAAACGCATATTGATCGAGACTTCAGAGTGTTGAGTGCTTCAATGTTGTCTGCCACGGATACCTTTGAACAACAGGCCGGCCTGCCATGCTATATATTCTTCGACGGTTATTCTAGAACTCTAGCGTCTGCACGTTCAATCTATCTATCCGCTCTCGCGGTTCGTCTTCACCCCAGTCACTTTGTTTAACCGGGCTCGTGGCTCATGTGCAAGCCTGCCTTTCGTCGGTGCAGGTCTTTTGGCCTGGCTGCATGGCGCCACTTGCTAGCAGGTTGCGGAGTTTCTCCAGACTAATCCACAAATCAACCGGCTTGGACCTCGGGATCGTCGGGGTCAGCGCCTGCTTCCGGGGTAGACGTTCTGGGCGCTGCTGTCCATCGCCTAAGCGAAATGTACATCTGGGGTAGAGAAGCACGTGAGATGCAGGTCCCACTCATGTCAAGAACGTGGTTGCGGAAATGCGTGCGTTAGTGGAAGCTAGCCGGTTAATATGAAATTGTGCGCAGCCTCAAGCACTCACTCCATCCATCCGGAGACTCTATGGACTTGGTGGTAGTAATGTAAAGAGAGATGGCGAATGATGAGGGAAAGTGCCTGGTTGCTGGGCCGCTCAGGGTCCACGCCCACGGTTGATTGACGCGACCCTTAGCACTGTCAACAGCGATCAACATGCGCACCAATATATCGCGCGTCCTGTCTACGTCAAGCCAACATTCCCTTGATTGTGACTTTTCTTCCCTTGCCACCCTTTCAAACAAACCCTGCATTTCTAATCTTCCGACCTCGCACTTCAGTTCACCGGCAGATCTCGTAGAACTGAATGACGACAGGAGAAGCCATGGAGATTTAGCCCACCCGTAAAGCCACGATCTATCGTTTCCCGTTCTAGCGCAAAGATTTATTTGTGGGCGTCCCGCTCCAATGACCGAAGGTTGCAATTTAGCCGTTTTCCCGTACGCCACATCAATCTCCTAGCAATGGGCGTTTTTCCACAACTCGACACCGATGTAACTGAGCTTGCCACAGCAGAAGGAGAGCTATCGAAAGCCATGCACGGAGGGACTGATGGCAGTGGCCATCGGACTTATGTGGCCGACGACGACTGGCGCATGACTCAAGGAGTGCCGCGGCTTACCCATCCCGCCAGCGGGGAGCTCAGCAACACCGGTAAAGCGATGTGCTGTGGACAATCCGACAAGTGGTTAGCAATGAAGTAAACATATTGATGTTGTTTCTGATAAGATCAGAAGCGCTCTAGTGGTAGTTGCTAAGAAGAGGGCCTAGATTGTTCGTGCTCACCTACCGTCATACATCTAATTCTGGCCTTCACTTTTGCAGGCCTCCGTCACGCGAGGAGTGGTTTTCCTCCACAATCGACAAGATTTATTTTTGCGCGTCTGGACACCCTCTAGCTCGTGTTCCAATTCACTGAATAGCCCGAATAGGACGAGAACGTTCGGATCTACGTATCAACACGCATGCTTGAGTGAACGGAGTCAAGAGCTCGGCCATATACGAATGGAGTTATAGAACCTCACGTCTCAAGTCCAACTGCCGGAATCAAGAAATCGAAGTCGGATACTATGCTAGGTGTAATGCAGTTCTGATCTTCGATCTCGAAGCCTCGAACTTCCTACCCTCGACTTCGCTACTCAGGTCCTGAACATGCAGACCTCAGAAATTATGAATGCGAAATAATGGCCATTGTGCTCGAAGTCTCTCGACACGGGACGCATCATTCAACGTACGTCACATTCGAGCCCTTCACGTATCTTTGTTGCTACGATTCAACTTTCTGCGATAGTCCATTGGCTACAGAAGTTACCTTCAACTTTCATAATAGACGGAAAGTCTTCAATCACAAGACTCAGTCGATAGACGTGCTGCGATAATTCGTCTCCGCCCCTTCTCTCTCGCCCCATAATTCATATAAGACAGGTACGCAACTCATCGAACACAGCTTTCTATAAACGAACAACTGTCTTCGAGGCTACGCCGCTAGCTGTGAACACGAATCATCCATCGTGTCGCTCTTAGAACTTTCGAACCTATCAGAGTACAGCACGGAGACATGCCATGGTCGTGCTCAAATGGATCGTCTGATCGAGGTTCTTCTCTAGCTTCCTCTATCTCTCCTGCGCACGCGATTCACTACCACCAATTTGGGGCACGAGCCAAGATCCAGTTTTTAGTGACTACCTCCGAGTCATACCTTGCGGGACCCAAGATTCACAGGCAAAGTTGTAAAAATTCGGCAGAATTTGGTACATCTGCGTGATCCAGTACTTCAAGCACAAGATCGCATCTGGGAGGAGGAGAATCTGTTTACTCGCCTGAGTTGAATGACTAAGCGATCGAGAACGTAGCTTTTCAGTGACAGGTTTGTGGACTTGGGCACGTCAGACGTAACAAAAGACGTTACGAGAATCTATAAGACTCGCGCATTGCCGGACCTGGAGAGCAATGGCTGTAGCGAAAGTAGTGAAAGGCATAGGTGTCAGTGAGGTGCGATCATGTGGTGAAGGCTAGCACATGCTGCCGATAAGGAAACTGAAAGCAAGTAAAATCATAGGATGAAAAAGTGGTAAGGACTTCTAGGGAGATTTCGAGCTAGTCTTGCTGAGCCGCAACGCACTTACACTGAGGGAGAAGGGTCGGTACCTTTGGTCTGAAGTGGTACCTCGGCTTTCACGTTTGTCATTCAAGCAACTTACTCAACAGTCAGGCCGCCATGCGTATGTCGCAAAAACTTATACGACACTAACAGTCGGTGAATGTAAGGGACGGACTTTTGGAGCGTAGTGTAACGCGAAGCAACTTTTTCTGCACGCGTCGGACAGATCCGCCTTCCAATGGCAGAACAGTGCCGTGAAATGATCCGCGAACAAGGTACCCACCTGCGGTCTCAGCGATGAGGTTCATCGTGGCTCGAACATGAAGGGCCAGGAGAGGCGAACTTGGGCCTGTATTTCGGTTATGAGGTTGGGCACGCGCGATCGACGGAGTTTATCAGAGAAGCGAGCGAGATCAGCGAAAGGGTTGAAGACGCGAGGCTTGTCCCCGAATGACGCTAGTCTGTTGAGGAGTGTTGATTGGCTCGATGTGCGGGACAGCGCGTGGCTGAACAACGTTCCGACGTTGACGGTCCGATTTAACATTTTTACACCCCGCAAAAGGCCCGTCCTGTCAGGAGAGTTGCGACATGAATTGCAGGATTCCCTGGAAATGAAATGAGGGCGACTCAAGGGTGTCAACAAATCAAGGCCGCACCTACATCTACGCTGTGACGTCACGACCTCTTGGATAGCATCGAGAATGCGCACAGGCCGCTGGGCGCGATGACGAGACCTTTAGATGTGACTTCCAGATGGGAAGAAAGAGAGATAGAGAGCATGGTCCACGTTGTACGTGGAGATGGGGTTCCTGTTATTCAGGTACTAGTCTGAGACTAGGTACCGAAGATACCCGAGCGGGAACAATCCAATGGGGATCTTTTCCTCACCCGTATCTTCATTCCCTATCAACGCCCGATCTCAGAGCCCAGGTAACCATGCCCAAGGCCCCATGATTCGCAGATCATCCCCTGGTTTATGCAACCCTGTAAATCCATATCAAGGACAGTCATGACAAACCCCAAGAATGCCTGCGCGAGGCTGACACTATTACACAAACACAAACACAACACCAGATTTTGCATTCCTGAAGGGATTTTGTGCTCGCAATGGCTTGCGCAAACGGTTCCACGCCGTTGCTCCTGCCCTGGGCGAACAACTCGGTCTCCGCAGACGGCACCGTCCTCTCCAGGGGCATTTCGTTCGCTATTGGAACACCTCCACAACCATTTTCCTTAACGCCATCAACTCTCTCCGACAATCTCTTCATCAACAATGCAGCGGAATGCGTGGCGGCTACGAACACTAGCTGCATCGGTCAGCTCGGTGGTATCTATGACAGTGCAGCTTCTACTTCGTTCACGGAGGTGGACTACGCGACATGGAGAGGCAGCAGAGACTCCGTGGATTTAGCATCCGCCAGCTCTTACATCTTCTTTGATGATGCCGCGGCGTTTGGTCTCAAACCTGACGCGAACAAGTTTGCAACTTTTCCTATGTATACCAATGGGTCTACCGACAGTGAGTTGAGAAGGGTACCGGATGTGAACAGCACTAACGCATCGTAGCGAGCGCAGACGCGTTCATGAGGAATGAGCCAGTCTATCGAGCGACTCTACCTTTGGGGATGGACTCCAGCTTTCTGAACTTTCTCGTCGACGCAGGACAAGCTTCTTCTCGGACATTTGGATTATGGGTTGGATCAGAATCGGAAGAAGCACCTCAAGACGGTCTGATCGTAGTCGGAGGTTACGACGAAAGTCGCCTCAAGAGTGCCGCAACCACGTTTCCTATGTTTTCAGACTGTCCAACATGCGCCATACTAACAGCCATCACGTACGATGTTGGTGGTAAGAGCACCACGTTGTTCGCAGACGCGACGGATACCCTCGTCGTGCATCTAGATCCCTTCTCTTCAGACCTGAAACTTCCAGCTGCGATGCTGCAGAATCTGGCCGCTGCAGAGACTACTGCCGTCTGGAACGAGACTTCGCGGCACTTCGAACTTCCTACAGATCCAGCTCCGGCAGGTACCATCACCATCACGCTATCCGACATGGGCACTCCTGGTGGTGATGCATCGAAGCCTTCAGTTGCTTCATACAAGTCGGTCATCCCAGCGACTGAGCTATACAGCCGACCGCGGGCATACAACGCCGCAGGGCTGTTCGAAGTGGACAATGCCACAGTATTCAACATGGCGGTGACCAACCAAACTCAGCAGACCGGTTCGGTGACTATTGGCACTCTAGGCCTTCCTTTTTTCACGCAGAACTACCTCATCGTCGACCCCGATGCGCAAAACTTCCAGCTCGCGCCTGCAGTGGTTGCGCCGGCCGACCCCAAAGGCGCAGATGCGAAGGTAAAGCAAGTGTGTCGCGTCTTGCCTGGCGCAAAGCAAAAGTCGCAAGTCGCAGCTATAGCTGGAGGAGTTGTCGGCTCAATCGTCGGTACACTTCTAATCGTCGGATTAGTCTTGTGGCTGCGCAAGCGCAGGAACAACGCAAACAACCAACGGCATTCTCGCGGTGAAAGCGACACACCAACGGCGACATCTCAGAACCCGATCGTTCGGCGTATGCCTGACCATGAGTCATTGGATAGCAGCTCTCTTGAACTGCCGCGCCAGGCTCCTCCACCCTCTGCCATGGTGCTTAGTGATGGCACCGCGTTCCCATCTCCAATTTCTGGTCGCTCGAAGAGCACTCGCAGCGGTAAACACGAGGATCCGAGGAGAGGCTTGGTCCACGATAACTTCAAAAAGGTCGATGAGGAAAACGACGGGAGGCTGTTGGATGAAAGGCCTATGGGATTGAGCGAGACGATCCATTCGCGTGGGACATTGCCGAGGTTGGCCGCCGAGCATACGGTCGAATGATATCGTTATTACTGTTGCCGCTCTTGCGCATACGCGCGTGGAAACCGGCCTGATTTTCTTTCTGTCCTTACGATCTTGTAATACCTCACTGCGGAAGAATAAACAGGAATACTATGTGCATGAGCACCCTGAATGTACTGTACCTTCGCCTGAAGCTGGCTTCTAGTTGTAATAAAACTACTGCGTCTTGCACCTATACGGCTCCAACATAGGCTCCGGACTCCGACCCAACGACGCAAGCGTATGGCTCGCCGTTATTGTATGCTAAATGTTGATTATATCGTGATAAGCTGCTTGATTGACCGTGGAGCCGATGAAGAGGCACGGAACATTTTCCGTTTAGCGCCTTACCCCTTGAGGCGTGCACTACATCAACGCAGTTTAGCGTAGCCCCACCGATCTTGGAGGGGCTATATTCTCCAACCTCGAGGGCATCTCGGCGTTGTTCGCTACAATGATACATCTAACTCTGACTTTATCCACGCTGGAAGCAAGTCTCCAATGATTTTCGTGCATTCAGCGTTGGAGAAATTGTCCTCCTCGTGGCATCGCGTGGTCAAATCAACGACGAATCTGCAGATCTTGTCAAACTCAGCAGCACTCTCAAGCAGATCACAATGCACAGCAAATCCTTACTTGACTCATTATGACTACTCACGCGGCTTCTACTACGTACGAAGATCTGTTCCACTGGACTACTACAGCGATGATGCGCGGGATAAAAAAACTGGCGGTGCAATGGCATGCACTACCGGTTTCACATCGGCAATGCGTTCTCAGCAGAGTGCGTTCGAAAGCTACCAAGGCCATTTCCAGCATCAGAACCCAGTTTCACCCCGAAGTCCCCGCGCCAGTGGTGGCGCCCCGTTGAGGTGCATCACTCCTGGTGATCACGTTCCCGCTGTCGGTACGTACTAGTGAAAGCCAGCATACCTTGCACAATACCTAGTGATCGACGCTGGTTCTAACGTGCTATCAGATATCAACGAAGTCAAAAGTAGCGTTCGGAAGCGGAGAATTGACGATGCGAAATGAGGATCCGGGATCTTGATCTGCATGACTACCGAAACTGCCATACAACTAAGAGATGCAGTTAGGGCTGATGCCACCAAGTGTTGGTGCTGACAGTACTGCACCATCACTGGTGTTATTCACGTGGTGCTGCGGACTGCTGGGCACTCACAGGCCAACTGGTCTCCGAGGCTGCGCAAGACAACTTCGACCTACAATTTGTAACTTTGACTGGACCTGACCACGTCGGCCATGAATGCGATGATATATGGTTTCACGGTATTGCCATCATCGTTGGTACTGGTGATCTTGGACGCACGACCTTCCACATAGAGACGGAGACGGGAGTCCGCACCTTGGTTAGGTACAACGCCTGGCGTATGGAGCCGTTGAAATCAAAGTTCATCCAGAGGCTTGGAGCGAGCGGTGGCTTAGAATGGCTAGAGCAAAAGTTGTTGATGCTGTTTCCGCACGAGTAACAGACCTTCCAAAGAACTCCAAGTACGATACCTCTGTCCGCATGGCGATATCCGACCTCTGCATAGATGATCACTGACTTTGCACGAACATTTGGCGTTTTGAGGAGACTCGGATTTGTCAGCACACTACAGGGCCAGTGCATCAATGGGTGCGCTACGTGCCCACACGCTTCTTCGAGATGACTGTTGGTGCCTGGTTCCTGGGCTAGAAGCAGTCACAATTATCGTCGACACGACTACGTCAGTTGCGTGCGAACGCCAACAACGAAAATGAGCTTAAGAATGCACTCAGTACACAGGTTCTACTCAAGTACATACAAAGACACAAGCGGCGTGCCGATTTGGAGAGTAAGCGTCGCGAAGAAGTGGCAAAAGCGACTTGCTTAGAGCAAGAAGAGAATTCATGCGACATCGAGGTGCAAGAACATCGCCAAGGACGGAAGCAAAGGCGTGAACAGACCAGCATGCGATAAACCGCCCAGGAATAGGTTGCTTGGCGACATCGGGAGAAGAAAGCGCTTGCTGTTATTGGGATCACGTAAGCTTGCAAATCCGTGATAAGATTTGGCAAGATGAGTCTGAAACGGCGGATTTCAAAGAAACTTCCGAGGAAGGACAATCTCTTAATACAATGTCTAGAGATGTTGCGAATAAGTGACAACCGCAACGAGGTTGCAGTCATGTGCAGTACTCAGAAGCCGGCGATGTGAGACAGGGTACATGCAGTGTAGCCTGCAGACTTGGATTTTATGGTGATTGGAGCTGGAATTGACGCACTGATAGTAGTAACACGTCTGATAACTACTTCTAAAACATGGTCTTCCTTGTTCGGCGCCGGTAATGGTGATCATTACAATAAGATTGAGTTGATGCAGCACCGGTGAATGCGCAGTCACCCTTCGCAGCTGCGGATGCGTGGCCCGATTAGCCATTGTATGGCTCGCTTACCTAGGTATGTGATCGATGTCGGCCTCTTAGGCTTTGAGATTCTCAGTTCAGTCTTACTCCGACGACAAGGACACTCCCTTTCAACTTTTCAATCCACACTCAATCAACGCCTTCTTACCCTTCGTCCCCTCCTCCCACCAAATATCGTTTATCACCAGACCCACCTTCTCCACCAGCTCCTTCCACTGACCCATAGTGCGTTCCCCCGAGGCCAAATTCATCATCTGCCAATCCATCTTGGCGTCGAAATGGTCAAACTCTTTCTCCGCTAGGATGACCTCATGAACCAACACCACACTGTCCTGGGCCATTGCATCAACAACATTTTTCAGGATGGTAACCTGGCTTCCGTAATGTCATCGTCTCGTTGAATGCATGGAACATCCGCGCGTTCTCGAGCTTGTTCATGTAGTCAAAGTAGGTCTCGCCTTTGCACTGGTACGCGTTAACGAAGGGGCTATCGCGCGCGTCCACGGGGGTGTTTGTACCCGTTTGCGGCGAAGTAATCGGTGAACTTCACGGCTGAGCGCATGTGGTATGAGAAGTGAATGATAGCGCTGTGAAGGGGCGAACCGGTCGCTAAGGCGTGGCCGAAAGGAGTCGGGGTATAGCGTTGTGGGGAGTCTGCTCTGGTTGTTGTGGCGGGGGTGAAGACCTTGGGAACGAGCAGTCAGAGAGTGCGGTCTAGGGGGGTAAATGGGGGGTGCTTTGGAGTGGTCTAGATGGAAATCAACTTATGAATCAATTTGATGTCTGCTTTGCTCTTCTCTGCAAGTTCGGCGGCGGTGATGGGTCCATTGTGTGCGATGGAGATGTCGACGAGGTTTAGATCGACGGCGATGAGAATCACAATTGGGTCGTAAAGTGCCTGGTACCGCTAGGTCTCAGTTACGTTGTAGTGGGTATGTAGATCGAATGGGACTGTCTATCGAGACTAGAAAGACCTAAGAAGAAGTGACGCAAGAATTTCTCTAAAGGATTCTCCAGAGCAAGTATGAGTTTCTCGGAGGCTTGCAGAAGGGCGAGTCGATCGGCCTCCTCGAGACCTGCTGGTCCTTTACTGGCGAGGTTAGGATACCTGGCGTGAGCGTCATGTCTACTATCTTCTCTTCTTCTTTGAAAGCGGAGATAGGTATCTTGGGTAGTTTCTCAGTTGCCTCAAGCCATACTTATACAAAAGGGCTTGGTACGTGGTCAGAATCAGACTGATAGCAAAGAGACATCTCGTCCAATGAGACAACTACTGTATGCGAGGTTTTTAACGTTATCAGACGATCGCAGTAAATCTTCTCCTTGCGTCACTCAAAGTGCCCCGGTCTGAACTCATCATGCTCGTCATACAGCATGAGATACGACTGATCAAACCTACCATGATGGTTCATGTGCATGTCTCTCATGCCTACGTCCGCCTCGTCATGTACCGAATGTGTGAAGATACCTAATGTGTAATTGTACCGAGTATCGCACAAACCGCAATAGGGATCAACCATGATTGAATCCCGAGGCCGTTTTAGTCGTACTGGCTTTCTCCCTGTGTGCTAGCATCGTGGTTAACATCTCGCCTATAGTAATTATGTCCGCTCTATCTGTATACGGTAAACCTGGCCGCTCTCCAATGGCTGATCGACGTTTTCTTGAATGTGTAAATCCATCGAGCCTGTGAATATACGGAACAAACCAAGGTACCGTGTGTGGATATTCCAAGAGCATAGTGTGCCCGGGAGTCGGAGTGAGCTTTCGCAGCCGCTCCTGCATATAAATCGCCCGATAAGTGGCCATATGGCTTGTTTATGTAATCGACGCCGGCTTCTCGAAAAAACGAATTGCCTAAGAACTCTTCATGCGTACGTCTCTCGCTTCATCGTCGCTATCTTCCTGGAGACCATACGCATCGCTGCCGACGCGACTTCTGAACGAATCTTCTCCATGAGCTCCTAGCCACGCATCGCATTTCTCCCAAATACTTGGATTGATTACAACAATTGAGGGGCCGCAACGCATCCCTATCCCCTCCAAAAGAAAAACTCGCATGGCATAGCCTGTCCCAGATGAACTCTTAATCACTCTGTTCGTATATGGCAGTAAAGCGACGCGCGAGGCAAGGCCTTCGCTGATCGGCTCTATTGCGCAGGTTCATAACACGCCCATTCGATGACGGCAATGCGATGACACGCCAGAAGATATCCTTTATCACTAGATGAGGCGGTATTGAGAGTTTAACTAGTAGCGAGTATTTTTATTCGAAACACCGGCTCAGCGGCACGTAAACCTCACGCGAAGCCTGAAACCCGGGTATGACTACGCGCATCGCTCTCGATCGCTCCAAGCAACCGTCTCGTACGCGTATATCTTTCTGCATGGTCGCTTACGGTACTTTTGGATGTTCTGACAAAGTGCGCGTCGCGCTCCACTCGCCGGTTTGGCAGTGGCTTAGCTTCCCCGCACTTCCGGAGAACGCTCCTCGAGCCGTCGCATTGGCAACTGTCCTTAGCACCATCAACATTTCTATACAACTGCAAGCTCCGGGCCGACGATCTGGGCATGCTTACACTGGAGTACGTAGATCGATATTGAGCCGCGATCTCGCGTGACCCCATGCTCGGCAATGACGATTCTGCCTTGGCCTGGAGTATTCAACCATGGTGCTAGGATGCACACGCGCTATGACGCGGTACCACCGATCGCCTTTTTGCCTACTGTGTATGTGTGTTTTCAGTAGTGTGGTGCAGCATTTCGCCTTACTAGAGGTATTCACCTGTTCTCTCCTGATGTGTGCCGGCATAAGCAAAACCGCTTTGAAAGGACCGCTCTCACCGGATCGTGTACTACGATCTCATTGGAAGAAGCCAAAATCCATCATGACTAGCCCCACTTCTACACTGAGTGTTCCTAAGACATGGGATTTGAGCATCGCCGGCTTTGGCGCAGTCATCCGGCACTCTCGGCGTGGCTGACAGCAAGTACTGAGCTACTTCATATTGTTTATCGGCAAGCGACTGCGTGTACCAAGGCGCAGGAAGCCTACGCCTAAGGTCTTGGTTTCTCTGACCTTGATCTGGCTCACGGTGGTCATGGAAAGTTCGGTATAAAGGAATGCTTCCGCCCTCACTATGTTCGTTGTACTTTCAACTTGCCAAGCTACCGTATATCTTAAACTTTCCCAGCGTAAGCTGAGCTTGCCTTGAGGCCTTCTGATCAACTGTATCCCAATATCAGAGAAGACACAAGTGGGACAAAAACATGCGGTACCTCACCGCCGCTCAGGCTTCTACAGGTGTTTTGCTTTCCCTCTCTACTTTGATCAGCATAACATCTGCCTGGCCAACGTACAACCTGCATAATTCGCAGTTCGCGAAACGTCAAGGACCAGCTGATCTTCCACCTCAAGGAGGTCAAGACGAAGACCCAGTCTTTAATGAAGAGTACGACTTCATTGTCGCAGGTGGTATGTTCTGTTACTTTGCTTTGATCGCGGTATGGAATGGTCGAGGAGTAGACTTCATTCGTGCTCGCTTCCTGAATGTTATTAATGACTCAACTGACAATGAGCAGGAGGAACAGCTGGTCTTGTCTTGGCCAATCGCCTTACTGAATCTGGACGCTTTTCTGTACTGGTCCTCGAAGCTGGCCCCAGTCCCGAACAGGTCTTGGCGTACGAATCACCCGGTGGCAACCAATTCATCAAAGGCAGCGTGATCGACTGGGGTCTCCTTACGACGCCACAGGAGCATTTGAACAACAGAACCTTGCAGTACCTCCGCGGGCGGACTCTCGGTGGCTCTAGCACCACAAATGGTCTCTACTACGCGCGAGGCTCAGCCAGCGTGTATGACCACTGGGCGGAGTTGGGAAATCCCGGATGGGGCTGGAACGATGTGTATCGCCTGTTCAAAAAGAGTACGAAGATGAATGCACCCACCACGACGCCGGAGCTTTCGGTGTTCAGTCAAGACTACAAGACTTTCGATGTTGATGCGTATGGCGGAGGACCACTTGAGCTAGGCTTCCAGGGATATGTTCCGCCATCTACCGATGGGTTTATCGTTGCTTGTAGTGAAGCTGCGGACATACCGATTGTGGAGGATCTCAACCTTGGTGACGGCGTGGGTATCAAACACGGAACGGCAACGCTGAACAGTAGGCTCCGAAGGAGCTCAAGTTATGACAGCTTCTATCAGCAAGCTCGCAACCGAACAAATCTCAGGGTGTTGCATGACGCTCCCGTCACCGGAATCGTCATGAGTAACGCATCCGGCAATAGCAGTTCGACGAACTCTACCAGCAGACCGCGCGCCATTGGTGTCAGCTACATCAACCAGCTCACTGGCTTCGTAAGCCAAGCAAGAGCGCGAAATGAAGTCATCGTCAGCATGGGTGCCTTCCACTCTCCACAGCTCCTCATGGTATCAGGTATTGGTCCGGCTGACGAACTTGAGAAGGTCGGTGTTGAGCCCGTCGTCGTCAATGAAAACGTCGGTCGCAATCTTAATGACCACTCAGTGTTCAGTATCATGGCGCGTGCACAAGAAAACGCTTCTACAACCGAGATGTCTCGCACACCCCAAAACTTGCGTGCCGCCCAAGAAGAATACTACCAGAATCTCACCGGCCAATATACCGCTCCGTCCGGCGTGACGAACGGGTTTCAAAAGCTCACGGAGCAGCAATTACGCGAAATCGGCGCTCAGGCTGTCATCGACGCCGGGCTAGCAAACCAAACACATATCGAATATCTATTCGAGAGTGTCTGGTATCCCTGGATTCCAACACCATACTGGGCGCCGCTACCAAACGACTCCTACATCTCAGTGACGGCATCAAGCATGGTCCAACTTTCCCGCGGAACAGTGACCCTCCGCAGTGCCTCCATGTCCGATAGTCCCCTCATCAACAGCAACTACTATGCCGACCCCACCGATGCCGCCATCGGTATTGCCTCGTTCAAGTACCTCCGCTCTATCCTTCGCCACCCGGCCTTATCACGCTTCACTATCGGCCCGAACTCTGGTGAAGTCAGCCCTGGCCCTGCGGTTGCTGATGACGATGATGAAGCTATCCTGGAATACATCAGGGCGAATACGATTCCTAATTGGCATGCTACTGGTACGAACCAGATGCTGCCATTGGAGGATGGAGGTGTTGTAGATAGTAGGCTGAGGGTGTATGGCGTTGATGGACTAAGAGTCATTGACTGTAGTATTGTACCGGTACTTCCGGATGCTAATATCTTGGCGAGCATTTATATGGTGGCTGAGAAGGGCAGCGAGATGATTAGGGAAGATTGGGATGATGAGATGACTTATTGAACACGGAGGGAATATCATAAGTATAACAAACTAAAACAAGAAGCGCATATTGCTATCTATATTGACTTGCTCTATATATAGAGACGTGATGTTGTGAAACCTGGTCACACGCCTCATCGGCTCTGGCAGTCCTCCATTGGCATGTCTTCGAACTCTTCCAAGGTCGACATATGTATTTGGTCGGACGAGCCCGCACGTGTATAGGACATTTTTACATACCGGCAGCCCACCTCTTGATAGACTGATGCCCCTTCAGTATGACGGGATCATTAGGCGCAAGCGTCAGAGCTCGGTCGATATACGCCGATGCCTGAACAGCCTCCTTCACAATAACGTCGTAGACCTCACGATGCGGTTGCCGACTGGTAAGGAGAGTGGCCGTGTCCGCGCGATGAATGACTGACACAAGAGGTGTGCACGAGGTCGCCACAGTTTCTGCAGGACGCCTGAACGAGCACAGCAAACGCGTATATCTGATTGCGCAGCTCTCCAGGTAGGTCCATGAAGGGAAATGGCTGGGCGCAGTGGGATGCTATAGTGATTGCACGATGGTGAGATATCGAGAGTGATCGAGCAAGTTCAAGTCGATTGAGTATAGTCGGAGGCAAGGGCAGAGGAGATGAGAAAAGTAGTGGTATCGAATTTGTCGTTTGCGGCGCGCTTTACAGCACGAGCCTGCAGGTCCTAACTTCTTCGGATGTCACCATACTATCACCAGTGAGATAAAGATGATTAGTAGTCCCGAGACAAAGCCACGGGCGTCTAGACACAGCGACCAGACCTAGTCAAGGGCTGGGAGAAACAACATTTGGCGTAGTGAGACACTGGTCTTGATATTAGAGCTGTCCTTTCCACGCAAGTATGTTCTCACGCTCTCTCACGAGCGCAGCGTCGCCCGGTTGTAAACGAAGGGCGCCGTCGATGTATCTCAGAGCGCGATCTGCATTCTGGGGGCTTGCTTCCAACCTCATAAACATCGCGTACCGATAGCGCAGCTTGGCGAGATGCTGGACGGATGGATTGTGTCTGTAGTCGATTTTCCAGAAGCCTCTCTTCATCGACCGGACGGCAGACTTGAGCGCGCCCTCAGCCATGATATCGGCACCAAAATCCATGTTCTGCATGTTGGCGATCTGAATGTGGGCAATGTTGAGTTGCATAAGAAAGTATAGTGGAGCGATTTGCGAGACGAATTGATCACCTCCACGGCGAACCAGGTTTGGCCAAGAACTGGACTGGTGCAACTTCTCTAATTCGTAGACCGCTTCCTGCCAACTGACGCGGGCCTCCTGAATTTGGCGGTCTCTGAACAGTTGTGATCCCTTTTCTTTCTCCGCTGCAAACTCTGCGAGAACAGCTGTAGGGTCTGAGTATCAGTCCTGGGCGAGGTTTTGACGAACAGCAACCGCTAGAGCACTGTCGACGTGGCCTTTGATTTCCACAGCCTTGTATCCATACAGATTGGTCATGAGCGTGTTAAAGAGCGTTTCCTGTGTCTGCTTGGTGAAGAAATCGGCGAAGGTGGGTGACAGCGTGCTGTCTTGCACAGAGTCTAAGACGGGAGCCATGGTGACTGATATTTTGATGGATTCACTGAACCCCGGATCGTATAGATCTCCATCATTCAATGCTTCACAGAATTTTTCGAGATCACTGTGAAGAATCATGCCATTAACCGGTTCACGTATACTTTTGGGGTGATAGTTAGAGTCATGAGAGGCGGGGATCTTTCGCGGGTTTTTGAAACCAATGTGCACACTAAGCACATATCCCTTGAATTCATCGACGACATCTTTGTCAATAGCGATCATCCGAACCGCCCGGCTGCGCAAGGGAGAGAGCGTGTTGATTCACGCTGGAGCTGGTGCTGTGGAGCAGACTGCTATTCAGCTTGCGCAGCTGCGCGGGGCGGACGTCTTTGTCACAGTAGGAAGTAAGTGGAAGCGCGAGCTGATCAAGGAGCTTTACGGCCTCGCGGACGACCACATCTTCCATAGCAGAGAGGCTAGTTTTGCCGACGACGTGTTCCACGCCACAGCCAACCGCGGCGTCGACGTCGTCTTCAACTCCCTCGGCGGTGAACTCCTCCAACATTCGTGGCGATGCACTGCGCCCTTCGGCTGATTCATCGATATCGGCAAAGCCGACATCCTTGCCAACAATACGCTCGAGATGGGCCACGTCTTGCGCAATGTTACCTTTGCGGCCGTCGATGTCGCGGGAATGTACGCTGAGAACAAACCGCTGATGCAACTCGTGCTCGACGATGTGTTCAGCCTGTTTGCTGTGAATCCTGGGTTGCATAATCCCAAGCCTTTGCATGCGTTTGCACCGAGCAAGATTGAAGAGGCAATGCGCGCATTGCAGGGCGGTAAGATCGCTGGCAAAGCAGTTATTGATTTTGAGACGCCGGGTGACGAGGTATTGTACCAGCCTGTGCGAACGCCTTCGTACGGGTTTGAGGCGCAGGCTACTTATGTTATCAGCGGTGGATTGGGCGGATTGGGACGCGAGATTATGCGCTGGATGGCCTCCCGTGGCGCTCGACATTTCCTTGTCACCTCATCCCGAGGCGTAGCCGGGCGCGTCGACGTGATCGCCTTCATCAAAGAGATGGAAGCCCAAGGAGTCGTGATCCACGCCCCAGCGTCGGATATCTCCAACCGCACCATTCTCGAGACCATTCTAGAGGAGGCTAGTAAGACACTGCCGCCCATAAGAGGCTGTATTCAAGCGGCGATGGTATTGTCGGACAACATGCTTTCCAACATGACCGTCGAGCAGTTCCACCGCGCCCTAGCCCCCAAGTACCAAGGGTCCTGGAACCTCCACGAGCTCCTAGCGAAGGACATGGACTTCATGGTGTTTCTTTCCTCCATGAGTGGTATCATCGGCAACCCCGCGCAAGCCAACTATGCAGCTGGCAACACCTTTGAAGACGCGCTCGCGCGGCACCGCGCCGCCAGCGGGCTCAAGGGCGTCTCGTTCGATCTAGGCCTAGTTCTGGAGGCCGGGTGGGCGAGCGATAACTTTGAAGACGTGACGAAGAGTTTGCGCGCTGGGTTGGGTGGGTTGACGCAGAAGCAGCTGATGGCGATTTTGGACGTGTTGTGCGATCCGGCCTATGACTGCGCAGGCGGAGCGGCGCAGGTGGTGAATATCCATGATAAGCCTGCGAAGCTGTATCGGATGTTCCAAGATGGTGTGCTGCACTGGGTGGGAAAACCGCTATTCAAGAACCTCCTGCGTTTGGGCCAGGTCGAGCTCGTCAACGGCAGTGGAGGTGGCAGCGGCGGTGAGACAGCAGCGGTCGATTACCTGGCACTGATCAGAGCAGCGGGTGATGCTGAAGAGGCTGCGCATATTGTCACTATGGCGTTGCTTGGAAAATTAGGCAAGTCACTGTCGGTGCCGGCGAAGAGTCTCGATGTCGGCAAGCCGGCGTATGTGCTTGGTGTTGACTCACTCATTGCGGTCGAGCTTCGGTACTGGTTCCTCAAGCAGTTCGGAGTTGAGGTTCCCGTGTTCGTTATCTTGAAGAAGCAGCCGACTGTCGAGTTGTGCCGGTATGTGGCGGACCAGGTTATTGCGGCGCAGTGAGCTTGGTATTAGCTACGATGTCTGGAGAACAGGGAAATACAAGTTGATGACAATCATCATTATCGATTGTGACGCGTTGATGTATAATACCCATGCGCTTGCAAAACAAATTATACAATATTTTAAACTATGCTTACTCTAATCAATCTCGAGCTTAAGCATCCCCTTCCCGCGATCAACACAGCTTTGTACTGCCTTCCCCTCTTCTTTGCTAGTAAGAGCTGTGCTTTTGTAATCGATTTCTCCTTGACAAACTGCTACCTTGCAGGCATCACAGGCACCGGACTTGCACGACCATTCGACATCAAATCCCGCTTCGGTAAAAGCATCGAGCATCGACTTGTTAGAAGGGACCGTAAGCTTTTCCTGTCTCTTTGTTTCCGCTTCGTTAAATTCAATTTCGAACGATTCACCAAGATTGCCGCCTCCAGTACCCCCGAAATCTTCGAAGTGAAGCATATACTCCGGATAGTCGAGCTCATTCGTAATCTGTTTACACTCTTGCATCATATGCGATGGCCCACAGCAGAAGATACGAGCTGTGTGATTGCCGTCCTGATCGGGTCTTGGTACAACCCTCTTGATGTCGAGTCTTTCATGTCTTAGTTTTGCATATAGTGTAGTCTTCTCTCCAGGGAGCTGTGCTAGAAAGGCAGCCTGCTCTAAATCTGGTACAGCGTAGTGAATAAGAAATGGTAAACATCTGCTTTCCCAACCCCAAACCGATGGGAGAAAAGCAGTCATACCGATATTTCCAACGATTAGAATGCGCGCTGTGCTCTCATCACATTTCCATATAGGACTCGTATTCGGCTACTCAAAGCTTAAGCTAAGAGAAATATATTTCATCATCTACCCTTCTTGCTGTTTCAATTATGCTTTGAGTTGTACCGGGTATTCAGGTATCGTGGTATCCGGTGTAAGGGTGCGATGGGTTGACCATAAGTGCAAGGTATAACAGTAATGAATTCGATAGAGAAGCTACACTACGCTTGCGCTGAGTCTATGTATCACGTAGTGCTAGGTTCGAGAAACTTCTAAGGGTCCGTGGAGCGCCGATGAAGCCCCGACAACGCTCCGAGGGTTGCAGCCTATCCCAACCAGCTATAACGAAGGCCACAGGCCAAGTACTACTAACCAAGGCTTCAGCCTCTTACAGTACCCCCCTTCTTAGGCTTAGATCCCTCCTGTGTGGCGTGTTTCCAATCTTTGAGAGCATCAGTCTCTTTCAGATTTACGGCTGGTTCCCAAGTTGGATCGGGATAGCCTTCCCATTTTACCAGGTACTGCTTTCTGTGCCCCTGGCCTCTCTCCTCCAGGATCTCCTCTACCAGATACATCTCTTCTCCATCCACCTCAATAGGCTCTGGCTCGTTATCATCTTGTGGCTGACTAGGTAACGGGTCCGATGAACGAGCCTCAGCATGTTGACGTTGAATACTGGATGAACTCGTCCAGGAGTGTTTAGCTTGACTGCGCTTGGTCCTACAATCTCAAGTACCGTATACTTCAAGTTCTTCCAGTCAAGTTTTCTGCTTGGCCTCTTAGTCTTAAAGTGGTCGCCTAGCTTTAACCATACTTTGTCACCAACTCGCAATTGAGGAGCTTGTTTCCGTCTCTTGTTAGCCTGCAGTTCTTGGTCTTGTTGGGCCTCCCCCATAATCGCTTGAGCTAGCTGAATGCTCTGCCTCAATCTTTCTACGATGTTCTCAGCCTTTTCATGCTCGTCTTGCACTCTCTTTCCCTTGGGCTTGTTTTCCGGGCCGTACTTAATAGCAATCTGAACAGGGTCCACTTCGTATCCGTGCTGCATAAAGAATGGTGACATCCTTGTAGACCGCGCTTCCCTTGCTGTAATTGCGATTTTAGCCATTCCTAGGTTGGATTTCAATTGCTCTGATTCCAGTCGCAGAAAGCGCGGAGGTAGGCTTGTACTGTCGCGTTCATTCTCTCCGTAGATCCATCGGTCTCTGGGTGGTATCCTGACGATAGTCTTCGCTCAATACTCATTAGTTCACAAAGCCTAGCCCACATGTGGCTTACAAACTGTGAGCCTCGGTCTGAAGTAATGTAGTCCGGTAGCCAGTGGTATGCAACGTGATTCATGTACGCCTTAGCTACACTCTCTGTCGTAATGTCTGCTAAGCCCATAAGTACTACGTCCTTACTAAGGCGGTCTGTTACCACCATTAGGTTGGTACAGCCCTCACTTTCAGGCAAGCCAGTTATAAAGTCCATAGAGACTTCCTTCCAGATCGTTCAGGAATTGGTAAGGCCGTAGTAGCCCTTGGAGGCCATCTCTCCAAGGCTTCACTCGTCCCAAACAGAACAGTTCCGTACATACTGGCGAACTGGTTGCTTAATAAAGGCCAGAAATACTCCCGTGCAACAGCTTGGTATGTGAGGTTTCTTCCTGGGTGCCTAAGGCCCTTGACGAGTGCATTTTGTGTATGATGCCAGTCCTTAGAGGTTCACTGTCTGGTACCCATTTTCGATCTCGATATAATAGGTTACCAGAGTCGTCCAAGCGACACTCTGAGATCGATAGCTTGAGGTCTAAAGCTGTTGGAAACTTGCGTTCACCGTCCCTAACCGCTTTCCAGGCCGCTTGGTACACCTGATCTTTTTCCCTAGCTTCCTCCCATAGTTGCTCTAACCTGTGTTGAGCTGGTGGGGTTGGGGGTGCAGACACTGGGTAGGAGAAAACTGTCGGTCTCTCAACACTACACCGAAAGATCTTCAGTGCTTCGTCGTCAGCTGGGTCTTCGTCTATCGTAGCAGTAGCGGGTTTAAAGACCTGCAGGAAACGTCGAGAGATCCGTGCATCTGAACCATTAGCTGGCATATCCTGATGTCTTCTTGAAAGAGCATCGGCTCTGACATTGTCAGCTCCAGGCCGGTAGGCGATCTCCATGTTTGGGAACTTTCCGAGAAACTGGGCCCATCTCATTTGGCGTTCGCTGAGCTGCCGAGGCTTCCCAAAGTACTCTAGGTTCTTGTGGTCGGTAATTACCGTGAACTTCTTTAAAGACCTCAGCATTCCGTCCCATTCAGCTATGCAGCAGATTACTGCAAGCAATTCTTTATCGTGGATTTCGTAATTGCTCTGAGCGCTAGTCATCTTTTTGAGTAGTAGGCGACTGGTCGTAGCAGCCCTTGGTCATCGTACTGAGATAGTACTCCAGCAACTACGTAACCAGACGAGTCAGTCTCTAAGATAGTCTCTCGATCCGGGTCCCATTGAGCGAGTACTGGTTCGGTAATAAAGATCTCTTTTAGCTTGTCGAACGCCTGTTGCTCTACTTCTCCCCATCGGAAGGTAACATCTCCAGTTAACCTTGTAAGTGGAGCTGCTATCTCTGAGTAGTTCTTGATAAAACGTCGGTAGAAGTTCGCAAATCCTAAAGCTGCACTCCCTTTACGTTCACTGGGGTTCCCATTCCTTAATAGCCTTAACCTTGTCAGGATCCATTTTCAGTCCTTTGCCAGCTTCAATCACAAACCCAAGGTACTTTGTACATTTAACGTCGAACTCGCATTTCTTGATATCCAAGGTAAACCAGCTTTGCCCATGGCCTCAAGGACCTTGTTTGTGTTTTGCTGGTGCTCCTTCAGGGTACCGTTGGTGTAGATCAAGACATCATCCAGGTAGGCTGAGCAGAAGTCGTCCATGTACTCACGAAGCGTCCAGTTGATATACCGCTGAAAGGTGCTAGGTGCGTTTGCCATACCAAAAGGGTGACTAGCCACTCGTATAATCCAAATCGGGTGCGGAAGGCTGTCTTCCATTCGTCTCCCGCGTTGATCCTTATCCTGTGAAAAGCAGCTGATACATCAATCTTTGTAAACCATTTTGCTTTAGCGATGTTGTTAAAGGTCTCCTGGATTAGGGGTAACGGGTATCGGTCCTTCTTGGTGATTGCGTTAAGAGCTCTATAGTCTACGCAGAAGCGTAGCCCTCCTCCTGGCTTCTTTGCGAATAACACTGAGAGGCAGCTGGGGAGCTGCTTGCTCTGATCCATCCCTTGTCGAGGAGAGATATCAATTCCTTGCGTAAGACTAGGAGCTCTCCTCTGCTCATGTTGTACAAGGGGCCCCAGGGTGGCTCCTTCTCCTTGCCATTCTCATCCTTCTCTAGTTCAATCCGATGATCAATCTCCGGTCCCGCAGAGGAGGCATCTTTGCAGCTGTTTTGGGGTCAAAGATCCAGGCCATGTGCTGTGTGCTTTAGGAAGATAAGACATAACATCAACCTTCTTCTTTGGGGCTAACGCTTTCTCAATGTCTTGAAGAGAGGCTGCGAATATCTGTACTGTCTTGTCGTTCTTCGAGCGCCGGATGTACGTGTAATAAGCTGTTGCACCAATGCGCTTCAGCCGTAGGTCCTTCGGGATAGGGCGGTCCTCTGTGCTAATAAGGCGGATCCTCTGGTGTGATGAATGGATATAGATAGACTTCTTCGATGGAGCAATAGTAACTTGTCTCTTGTTCATCCACGGGCGTCCCAAATATAAGATCATACCCTGGGTGTGAAGGCGCAACGTATCCCCATATAGTGTCCTTGTAGCCTTGAATGTCGATAGTAAGCCTAGCGACTCTTCTAATAGTCCCAGGCTCTTCGGTAACTCCTTCCAACACGCGGGGGGAGATAGGTAGGCACTGTAAACCAGCACGTTTAACAAGGCGGGGGCTTATAAGAGAGTATGAGAGATTTCCAGTGTCAATTAAGGTTGAAGCAAAGGTATGCTGGTCAACTAGTGTCTCGACAGTAATCCCATTGCTGCCCATGTCCTTCTTAAAGGATGCCCACTCTTTTGCCAAATTGTGCTGACTTACATGCAGCTCTTGCCGGTGACTTTGGGCAAGAGCTAGTCTTTCCCGAGTCGCTGTCTTCTTCTAGGGTATCCACACTACTTAATTCCTCGTCACTACTTGGTTCCTCCTTCTGGGCTTTCCTGCTCTTCCTTTGCTCTGTAGTCTTAGAGCTAGAGGCCTTTAGCACAGCTGTCTTTTTGTTCTTTCCCTTCTTCTCAGGTAAACCTTTATCCTCTGCACAAGTAGCAGACACATGTCCTCTACGTTTACAGTTAAAGCAGCGTCCTTCACGGCGTAATCGGTCATACTCAGAGCTGCTGAGTCGGCGGGGCCTCCGGATCTCCCTGTGTATTCTACACCTTCCATTCTATCCTCTAGTACTGGGGAAGGAGAACGGTGCTTGTTCCCGTGTTCTTTGTTTAGGGGTCTGTCTTCCCGACGGCGGTTCTTGGTTCCCTTGGTATGCAAGTCCATCCGATACAGCTGGTCGGCGATCTCGATTGCCCTGCTCTGTAGCTCCTCTAGATCCTTGCTCTTTAGGCCTACAAGCTTGTCCTGGAGCTTGTAAGCGAGGCCTTTCTGAAGATCATCATCTTCGTATTCTCGTCAGGCTGCTGTTGGAAAGCAGTAACTGTTCCCGGAAGTCCATCACGTAGCTACGGATGTTCTTGTTCCCTTGCGACATAGACCAAAGCTTGTCACGAGCTCTCTCCTCCTTGTGTGGATCTCCAAACATCTGATCAAAGAACTCAAGAGTTGGTTAAAATCCCATTTGCCAGATATTCTCATCTGGCTTATGTATGGCAGGGTCAGAGTAGCAGCTGTTCCCTTGAGTCTCGCGAAGGCATAATCACATGCCATCTTATCGTTCTCGAAATCATTCTTGTCATTTTCCACTTTAGCTGTCAGCTGCTGGTGGAAGACCTGGTATTGCTTCCTTGTACCATCGAACATGTCCGGGTCAGGCTGTCGGCGGCGCTTTGCGGCGGTATTAACGGTGTTTGCGGGTTGTATCGCAGCTAGAAGGGTGGCTAGCCATGCCGGCGGCTGTTCGTTTGGGTTTATGGTTGTAGTTGTAGCTGTAGTGGCTGGAAGATGTAGGTCTCCTGTCTCCATGGGCGCTGAATCCTCATTGCTCTGGGAGTAGAGACATTGCTTGAACCAGCCCTCTGCAGCGCAGTTCTCATCGTACTCCAGATATGGAAAGCTTCCTGTACTCTTTCCTGGACTGCAGGCTCATCCATCCCCTGGGCCCTTATAGGTTCTGGAGAGATCCTCGTATCTCCTCATTGCTTACACCGTCGTGGTACAGTTGCGTTATCTGTACTGCCAGCCCTACTGCAGAGGCATCCGCTGCTGCCATTGTGCCAGTGTAGGTAGGTCGATTTCTTGGGCCACGCCTTGAGTAGTGGACTTATCTAACGGTCTTCGGTAGACCTTTCTCGGTTTCTGGTGCTGCCTAATGTCCGCGACGATGGCGGCTTATCCAACGATCCTCGGTGGACCGTTCTATATTTCGGGTGCTTGTACGTGTACCAAGCTGTGTAGCACTGCAGCCAGTTGCAAGTGCTCTTCGTTAACCCTCGGTGGGTTCGAAACGGCTTAACTGAGATCGGTTCTTTGATCACTCAGTATCTTCAATATATCGCTCTAAAGGCGTCCGTCTAGATGTAGCTCTAGGGGGCTTCGGTCGTCACTGCTATGGAGGTTACTCCAAAGAGGCTAGTTCGACGTAGCGGATGCTACAGAAGGATCGAATTCAATTGTAAGGGTGCGATGGGTTGACCATAAGTGCAGGTATAACAGTAATGAATTCGATAGAGAAGCTACACTACGCTTGCGCTGAGTCTATGTATCACGTAGTGCTAGGTTCGAGAAACTTCTAAGGGTCCGTGGAGCGCCGATGAAGCCCCGACAACGCTCCGAGGGTTGCAGCCTATCCCAACCAGCTATAACGAAGGCCACAGGCCAAGTACTACTAACCAAGGCTTCAGCCTCTTACATCCGGTGATCGCAAATGGAGGGCAGGTGAGGAGTAATCAGCGAGCATAGCCCATCCTGTTGGATCATAAAGAGCCCTAGGCCCACAAGACGGAGGAAATTTTCTTGGGATTGCGTAACAGCGGTCGGACGTGAACTTTTGTCACTGCGTCCAGAAATTGATTTGTGCGGTTGAAGTGAAGTACCCACCGAGGGCCGCCAACCTCCAGCCGAAGTTCCGGAGATCCCGTCGAGCCACACATCCGTTCCGGATATCCCGCTAAGCATGGGAATTCGTTCCGCTTCGTATGTTAGCCGCTTTTTCTGCTGATTATGTCATCAAAGATGAATTTTTCGGTATCGATAGCGACGGGTATTCCCGTCATACATATTCACCTGCTTGATCGATTACAAAAGTCATACCCAGGTACGTCAAAGTCGTTTTCACGTTGCACGGATACTGACAGTGTGCTACTATAGTATCGAGTCAAGCTTCCTTTCGTGCTTGTCTTTCCTTTCGAATTCTAACAACATAGCTCTTCCCAGGATATCGAGGAACAATCCTTTTCCTGATATCAGTTGACCAGGCTATATTACCACTGACAGTGAAAGGATGTCTGGCCTACAAAAGACTGTTGTAGTTGTAGGCGCGACTGGTAAACAAGTAAGCTCTCCTCATTAACTGTTACTGTGTAAAGACGCCTTCAGGTACCGTAACTGACTCTCTACAGGGCAGCTCCGTTGTCCAGGAATTCCTTCAGAAGCCTCTCGAGTATCGAGTTCGCGGTCTTACGAGAGATCCGAATTCTTCAAAAGCGAAAGCCTTATCAGAACAGGGCGTGGAGGTCGTCCAAGCCGATGCGAATGACTTTGCCAGTCTGTCAAACGCATTTCAGGGTGCTCATGTCATCTACGCCATGACAGATTTCTGGCAAGCTATGTCCTTTGACGTGGAATATGAACAAGGAAAGGCCATGGCGGATATTGCGGCAGGCCTGCCTCAGCTCGAACATCTTGTATGGGCCGGACTTCCAGACGGGAGAGCTATATCTGAAGGAAGATATACCCATATCTATCACTGGCAGAGTAAGGCGGCTGTCACCGACTATATTCGCGAGTCAAAACCAGACCTTTGGGCAAGGACTACGGTGATACTGTTTCCGAACTACTTTGAGAATTGTACAACTAATCCCCGCTCGTATCTACCGGTAAAAGTAAGTTCTTCCTCCACATTGAAGGCACCGTCGAAGTACAAAGCTGATCAAAACAAGCAAAGCGACGGCGTATATGTGCGATCGTTTCCGCTGCCAGCTGATACGCCTCTACCGAACGTGTCAATCGCCGACACTGGTAAGCTGGTATATCAAGTCGTAACGCACAACACAGAATATTACAAGCGTACAATCGCATTCTATTCCCAAGCCATCAGCGAAGGTGCAAAGCTTGAAGTTTTATCAAAGCGTATGATAAGTCTGTTGAACTATTTTTTGACGTAGGACTGACCAACCAAAAAGATCACGGTATTCCTGTCCGATACGAGCAGATCTCGGAGTTGCAATTTCGGACCGCCCTCGAAGCGCACATGCCACCCATCACCGCGCTGGACTTTACTGAGCAGCTGATGTTATTTGACGGATGCGGAATGATCTATGACAGACCCGAGTTTGTGCAGGCAAATCAGGTATGTATATCAGTCATTCTATTTACCCTTAGAAAGAGTGGAGGGAGACTGATCTAGCTAACAAACAATGTAGATTGAAGGACTCGAGCTGAAGACATGGGAGACCTACGTTAAGGGTGAGGATCTCTTGTCTCATATGGAGAGTGCCTGATACGTAGAGCTAGGATATCTGGAACCGGCCTAGTTGTATACTTTATGGAGACCTGATTCTTCTGATAGCTAAACCATGTAGAAATCTATTCAAAGTGTTGACGCTGAAATTTGTACACCCGATGGTCTCGATATATAATGCTATTCTAGTGAACACTATGTTTCGGTTCTTTTGTTCTGTTTTGTGCTGATGCTTCTTCTTCTGTTGCTCTCAGCGTCTCCAAAGACTGTAGGTATCAGCTCCTTCTCGTTTACCTTACCCATCGAGTTACACTTTATTCCCGACACGACTTCAAGATCCTGCGGAATCTCATAGCTCACTGATCGGCCCTTCAGAGTGCGCCTCATGGGTCAGCCGTTCGTAGGTAAGTATCTGGTCAACTTTGGACATGCATGAGCACATAGTGGGTCCTTTCTGTTTTATAAGCCGCCTTAGCCAGCAATTCTATGTGTGACTCCCAACCATGCAGACCGTTACGAGTTCCATGTTTGAGGCCATGCAAGGTTGAGATATCGATCCATAATATCATACAGTATTGCGAATCGAGTAAAGTCTAGATGGCTTTAAAAAAACGTGAATTCTCCCCATAACCATCTTATGCTGACGAGGAGTTCCTGAACTCATGATGACAGAACGGAACTAGTGGGCTGGTCCAGCTCCGACTCATGTCCTGCTCTGCATATCTAACAACTGGTGCAAGAACCCGAAGATCGTCACCGAAAACTGAGTCAGGGAAGTGCACGGAGAACTCTTCGTTCTGCATGAAATTTCCATTGCGTTCCCAGGCCTTCAGGATCTCGTAGTAGAATGGCGCGACATGTGCATCGCTGGACCACGGCGCAAACCGGTACCTGTTCTGAACCTTTCGTACAATCGCTCAGTCGTACATGTCTATTGCAATGATGCAAATGTTGATTGAACGGGGATTAGGGGCCAAAATCGGTCAGATGATCTTGTTCTACCCAGTTACAGTTACAAACACACACAGCGCGAGGGAATCATACAAAACATTCGAGGATGGATTATTCTCTCCAGCAGAGACCATGGATTGGATGATTAACACATGCATACCAGATGAGAAGGACCAAGAAACTCCACTGGCGTCTCCTTTGTACTATCTATCGGATGATGTCCTTGCCAAATTCCCACCGCCAACCATAATCTTAACTGCTGTAGATACTCTATTTGATGAAGGGATAGCTTTTGGGCATCGCCTTCAGAACGTGGGAGTTGATATTGCCATAATCAAGGCTAAATGGCAGATCCATGTATTTGTCTTGATGAAGCTCATGAGGCAATCAGCAGCCGCGCACGCAATGATGCAACTTGCGGCAAGCAGAATGCGCCAGGGCCTTCTTCTTAAGCAGTCTTTATAATCAGTTGAGCTGGTACAATCGCGAGCACAAGAATAGCTTTTGTCCTTTTTGCTCTGTAACTTTATAGAAAGACCATCATCTTCGCGATCGGGTGCCACTTGTTATGCTTCTCTCGCCGCTTCTCGGATCTGAATACGATTTACTGGAGTCCAATAACGGCATTCTGCCCCCTTCTCGCAAAACTACGTCTTATAAGCTATCAGAATATTCGTGCACATTCTGTGCTCAAAATAATGTGTACCGTTTCTGCGCACTGATCAATCTACTTTTGCTCGATATCGTAGGGGAGCACAGCTAGGTGGAGTCTCCGGGGAAAGGTGCACCCAGATTCAGCCCCAAGCTTGAAAAGAGTGATGGATCAAACGTTTCCGAAGTCAGAAACCCAAAGGCTTCAAAGCCTTCTGTATCGAGTTGCATAGTATCCAAAGTATTGTTCGTAAAAAGGTGAGAATTTTGAGAGAGCTCGGCCGATGGACTTGAGGTAGGACCATGGTGGTTCCCTGAGGAGACTAGATATAGTCCAAAACTGATCAGCATGGGTCTCTTATGCATAATGAGAGTTTTACATAGGCATACTGACCTTGCGAGTACACTTCGGATAGATTACGAATGTATCTAGAACAACTCAAGACCAGGGGATCGTAAGTTTTGAGCTTTTGGAAGATAATCTCCGCTTTATCGAGTAGTGATTGTAGGTGATGTACAGCAGCATCATCTGGAGTGGCTTGCCCGCGCTTGGCCCACAATAAGCGGCCGCTTATCACTAACGCTGCCGTAAAGACTATGGAAAGCTGGTATTAGTAACGTAGAAAAACAGACAACGGATTGTGACGTACCGTAATACAGTGTAAAGAATCCCACGCCAAGATTGTTCTTGCTAGTTGGGTCAGCGGCTAAGACCGTATGCACTATTTCGATAGTACTTTCGGCGGACTGCAGACATTCCTGGGCCTCAGCCATCACAGGTTGCATCAGGTATGGTAGTGTCTGGTCCGAGGGGATGTCCACGCGAAATATATTGCGTATGGCAGTGCTGAGTAAGGGCCTGTGGACGAGTATAGTAACATTGTGGTATCGGAGCGATAAAATCACACGTAATCGGTTGATCTGAGTATTCTCGGAAAGCATCTCGGAGGCAGGTTCGCAAAGTTGAAGATAGGGAGGTAATTGCAAAGTCCAGGATCGAAGCATCTTTCGAAACTCGCCCGAGGCCTGCAGCGAGGCCAATTCGTCAGGCTCAAGGTCCTCGTTCTCCATATTGGCACCATACTGTTTGATGAGAGATTTACTCATGATCTGATACAACCAGAATGATACAGCTAAAAATTGACCTGGCAAATCTATGGCGTCGTTCGCATTGTCTAAAGCCGTTCGAGATTGCCAAGTCGTAGGCTTTTGAGTGGTCATCAATTCGTCTGAGATGGCTGCAGGTCGACCAAATACCATACTCAGCAATTTGTCTAATCCATATATGACCAACCAGGTCCGGCGCCTTGATTCTGCTGTATGTGTATCCAGAGTTTCCCTGCACCTGTTGCTATGCAGTCCAAGGGCGATCGCCGAACGAACAAGAAGACCGTGTGTGTTCCAAGCTTGGGCAGACCTCTGCGTACCCTTACAGAACAGTACGACCAAAGCCAAGTAGTGCACGATCTCAAGGCTAATTACACGCGTCGATAGCTCCCCGCAGAGGCCCACACCTCTGTTGTAGAAGAGATTTGATCTATCGTGGCGGCTTTCTGCTGATGTTGTATCGTCGCCGTACTGGTCGAACTTGCTGGCCATGGCAAGCATCATATTGAGAGTACCAAGCCAAGTCCTGCGAGCCCTAACAAATCCATTGGCCTTGCACTCGGCGTAGGTTCTTCTCATCATCTGCTCGTGGATGAAAGGGAACACCACGCCACATGTGTTGAAATATACGTCAAGCAGGCAGTCCATAACTTCGATTGATGGCAAGGTGGTGATGGAAGTTTCCGAAATGTGTGAAGAGGGAGACAACTGCACATGGGATAGTCTCGTCATGTTGATCTCAGCCAGAGTGTGGTCCCCGTCTGCCCTAGTCTGCACAGCTTGCGCAAATGGATTGACAGCAGCCGCTGCGCGGATGAGGAGACGGGCAAAGTTCATGTTAGATGACTCGCCAAAAAAAGCTGATGTGCGTTCCTCCATGAAAGTCATAGCCATGCCATTTGGTGATGCATCTTCGTTCCGCGGCTCCTCTATTTCATTGGCGCGATGGTGAAGGTCTTGATTCTGCACGGACTCTTGCCGGCCAAGCGAAACACTCGCGCGGGCACAATCCGAAAGATGGTCTTTAAACAATTGATCAAGACGCTGCACCATGCGTTCGTTGGCAGCGACACGTTGTTCAAGATCTGAGAGATGCTCCTTGCGCACCAGAACATTGGCGGCAGCCTCCGTGGGCTCGTATTGGCAGACAATGCCAAGCGCCTGGCAAGACGAACACAATGGACGTTGTCCATCACACCTGACATGAGGAATACGTCAATCAAACATGACCTCTCGGGTCCTGCGGGGTGAGTGGTGGGTACCTGGACTTGCGCATACGACATGCATTGCACGCCAGAGCAATGCGCCGACGTTTGCTTGTCGAGCCAGTCGTTTCCGGGGCATGCTCGGAATCCGCCATAACTTGGAGGATGTGGGTGAGAGCAGCACCGGGAAAAGCAGGCCGGGAGTTCCGCTTCAAGAATAGAGTGGACCTCGATTGCCAGAGGCAGGTGGGGAAGGTGTTATCTGTGCACCAATGAGATTAGCACGAAGCGGAGTCTAGCGGTAGTCTGGGGGAAGGCGGGATAACATCACGAACCGACAACCTCTTCCTACACGCAACCACCTTGTGGAAGACACCTCCATTCTCGAATATAACTACAACGAATTTGAACGAACAAAAAGCCTATCAGACACCAAATACTAGCGAAGAACAGCAGAATAACGTCGATGATACCAAGCCCGCTATAACTGTACTCTTGTCGACACAGCTGATTGTCTTTCACTATGGTTGGAACACAGGCTAACGACTTTAACGTCGCCATTGTCGGTATGTTTGAGACGATGCGTACAGCTTTACCCAGTCTATCTAATATGAGGCCCAGGTGCCGGGATTGGAGGCCTCGCACTGGCCATGGGGCTACACAAGAAAGGAATACCATTTATACTCTATGAAGAAGCGAAAGAGTATTCTGCTGTGGGGTTAGCTGTCCTGATATGATGCTTTGCATGGAGAGCTTCACTGCTGAGTCTGTAATAGTGCTGGCATAGGCTTCGCTCCTAACGGCCTGAGGGCGATGGATCTAATCGAGCCTAGCTTCCGACCCTTGTATGAGAAGATTTGCGTTGGAAACAAACGTGCCGATGCTCAGGACGTTTTCTTTGAGGGCATGCTTCTCGAAAACGGTCTCGGTATGCACCCTTCTTGATCCACATTGTGCTCTCTCAGTAACCGGCATTTGTAGGCCAAAATCAACCGTGGTACGGCAAGTCAGCGTGGGGTCACCCTGATTTCAATCGTAAATCGGTTCGTGGCTTCGTGACTTGTCATTGTATATTCTAGTCCCGCTGACTTCCAACAGGCACACCGCAAGACGCTGCTTGAGATCATGACCAGCTTTATTCCAATTGAGAATGTCCGGTTTAGCAAGCGTCTTGTCGATATCGAGCAGCATCAGTCCAAGGTCATCCTCATATTTGCAGATGGGGCTGTCGCGGAAACCAGTGTCCTTGTTGGCGCTGATGGGATAAAGAGTACAGTGCGCGAGCACGTGTTGAAACCGCAGTTCCCCAACGAAGTCGCTCCTGTTTATGCAAATGCATATTGCTACAGAGCTGTTATCCCGATAGCTGATGCAGAGGCCATCCTTGGAGATCTCACCGATGTCGCTAAGTTCTACTTTGGTTACAAACGCAGCGCTGTTACTTATCGAATTTCGGAAGGACAGGTAAGCTAACTTTCCATGAATGACGTCAGCTATAGTCACAAGCTACCTAGGCGCAGGAGTTCAACTATCTTCTATGCGTGACGGACGAACAAAGGTGGAGGCTCAACGAGTCTGTAACAGAAAGAGTCTCACATGAAGCCATGATGGCTGATTTTGAAGGGCCGGGGGCTGACGACCGCTTCCGACAATTGTTAACCATGGCCGACCCTATTCGGTGGGGATTCTTCCATCATCCGAAAACCTCCACGTACTATCGTGGCCGCGTGGCGCTTTTGGGCGACAACGCCCATGCGTCTCTACCATTCCAGGCTGCGGGTGCTGCTCAAGGCTTAGAGGATGCCTTGGTTCTGTCGAATGTACTAACTGAGATTGCCAAAATGTCTAAAGGAGATGAGGTCTTACAACCAGAGATTATCGCAGGTTTGAATGAGTACGATTTGGTGCGACGACCACGTGCTCAGAAGCAGCTGGAACAGGCTGCAGAGGTGGCACGCATGATCTTCTTCCAGCATGAGGAGGTGGGAGACGATATGAACAAGATTCTTCCCATGCTGCAACAAGGTCGGTTCAATTGGTTATGGTTCCATGATATCCAAGAAGATGTGGACAAAGCTTTGTCCAGGATTCAAATGGCGGCGTCAGAGCGTGGACCCATCAAAGCAGCTATGTAACACAAATATATCATACACAAAAGTAACCAAACATTCGCGTTCGAATTAGACTTTGAACGTCTTTGAACTTTTGCCAACTGACAATCAAAGTGACTATAGTCGCATTAGTAGTTGATGGAACAGCTGTAGTGTCAGGCTCTCGGCGAGAGCAAGAAACTGCCCAGGACGGAAAGGAATGTGTCAAGCTGATAGTAATATGTAGGGTCCACCTAATCATATCAGGTGCAGGGGGTTACTTCCCCGTCTAATTGCCTTGCTTGTCAGTCAGCGCATGCTATTGCTGATCGCTTGGCGCAGAATAACACCCGGAATTCCCCATCTATCGATATACGTATCCCCCTTTCCCTCTACGTCTTATGCTAGAACCGAGAAAACAGGCATAAGTGAGCAATCTGTGCCAACGGTGTTCGACTTCTGCCCAGACTGCTGAGGACATTCTTACGATCAGTGCAAAGATGGCAAGCGCTCGCAACCCCCGAGCTCCATATTCCGAAGACAAGAAGCACTGTCAAGGTGTTCATTATCGACAAAACAAGCCACATGAGCAAATTTCCGGCCTCAGACCTTCTGCACCCTATTGTTCCTGGTTTTGAGGAAATGTATTGCCGCGACATCGCATTTCTGGTCGAAAATCCCAGCAGCAAGCACAAATACGCTACTCTGCTCTTGAACCTCCGTGTGCGCGAGGACTGAGACTGTGATGCAGCTGTTAGAAGTATGGTAATGACTCTCTACTTACTGTGACTTCGACGCGTGTTTGCCGTACCTGACCGCCCCCTCCATTGTTCTCTGAACACGACTCAGACTACTCCAAACAAGGTTTTGCTCGCATCGTGGCCCCGAGTCATGTTTAGGTATAGCGCTTTTCTTGTGGCACTGTTGATCGTCAAAAGCACATGAGCTCCGGGTAAGACGCGCAAGATTCGGCAATTCCGGAGATAATGATAAGACCTCGGGATGGGGCGATGAGGAAGATAACGGCACCATGCGTTAGCGTACATCAGCAAACAAGTGCGGGGCAAACGACATAAGCGATAGTTTAAACCCACATGTAATACCGTAGTCCTCCACCAGGAGTGACGAGCCGGCAGTAGGAATTCCGCGGCGACATGTGATCACAACATCCGACATATAACAGCCTTCCGCGATCACCACCCTATATCTTAACTTCGACGAAGGTCGACACTCGTAATCCCAAGCCATTCTGCGACCACATCTATCATGCCGGACGATTCCGTGCCTTCGCGCCTTACCCAACTCCCGGTCATCAATGAGGAGCGGCCACGCTTCAGTGTCATCGAGTTACAAGATTATTTTCAGCGAATTAATCTCCCTCAGAGATATCTGGACTCGCCAGTTCTCTCAGACAAGACTTTGGCTGCAACCAAACAACACGGTCTTCCTTTTTTAAAAGCTCTCATCAGATACCACACCTGTAACGTCCCCTTTGAGAATCTCGAACTCCATTATTCCGCCCATAAAACGGTTACTCTTAAGATCCCAGACCTCTATGTCAAGATCGTCAAGCAGCGTCGTGGGGGCCGATGCATGGAAAACAATACCTTCTTTGCAACAGTCCTCCGCTCGCTTGGCTTCGAGGTACGTAACTGCGGAGGCCGCGTTTCCCGAGCAATGAGCCCTTACCCAGAGGTTCGCCGTAACCAAGCTTCGACTTATGATGGGTGGAACCATATGCTCAATCTCGTACAATTTGATGGTGCATGGTACGTGGCAGACATTGGAATGGGAGCCATGGGTCCCAATCTACCCTATCCCTTGCAAGATGGATTTGAAACAGTCAGCGTTAGCCCCCGCAGGATACGAGTTCAGCAACGCGCCATAGCGGAATCATATGGGACCGATTCAAACAACCTTTGGTGCTATGACATCTGCTACAGTCCAGTCCACGGTGGGGAGAATCAATGGACTCCGGTTTATTGTTTTACTGAGACAGAGTTCCTACCGCAAGACTACGAGATCATGTCGTGGTACACATCCACGCATCCAAGCTCTTTCTTCACAAAATATGTTACAAGTACCAGGATGCTCATGGACAAGGCTGGCGAGGAGATTGTTGGCAGTATGACCCTTTTTGAGGGCGGTATAAAACAGAGCATCGGCCTTGACCGGAAGATCGTGAAAGAATGTAAAACTGAAGAAGAGCGCATCAAGGCACTAAAGGAGATATTTGATATCGCCCTGACAGATGAAGAGAAGCAAGGCATTCCATCGGAGCTGCGACTAGCTTGATATTTGCTCTGGCACTTACTGGATTTAGAAGAGACTGATGCTCAGGGAAGCCGGCCCTTTTTTCATAGAGTTGTTTCGCCATTCCTCCATCTCGGATTACCCTTACATATCTTTTTTGAAAATGGGTTTAGCTCCCAGTTCCATCAATACTACTTGTTCTCGACCTTATCTAGCTGTCACATTCCTGTAGCTTCATCTTGCTTTGTTGTTGTTTCTATACCGTGTAACAATGATGAAGATATCTTGTTCCGATACAAACGTCCATCAAACGGAGCTAAGTAACATAACGATCAAGTCTGTTAAAGCAGTCGAGTCCAAAAATCACTACGCAGGACTTTCTTCCAACTCGGATTTCGTCTGTAGATACCAGTATCCTTCCGGATGTTCGGTTTTCCACGTGGAAGCTTTTTGCGCATCGTCATTAACGAGCTTCCAAACGTCCACTCCCTCCTGCCACCTCTCGTCTTCCCAAATATCTGTTTCACCGTCGCCTCTCCAGCGCCTCATCTCGAGTGGTGTGTGCGTTCCCCAATTATCAGTCTCCCCACGGACAAACGCCGCAAAACCTTCGTTCCAACCTTTCAAGCATGTCTTCTCTTGATGAGTCAAGCCCTTGGAGTAGTATGTTCCCCAGAACCAGATCGTCACATCCGTTGAATGTCTGACTCCCCACTCCACTGGTATTGTGGCATCGATGCATCCCAAACACCTATCAAATCGATACCGCAATGCATCTTTGCCTGGTCGAAGACCTCCTTCGAAAAGCGCATTGTGGAAATCACGCTCAGGATCATGAACCTGGACGTCGGCATAAATGTGCTCAAAGAGCTCCCGCCAACTTTCGTAGCACGAAGGTAGCGACTGCTTGGAGCCACAGTGACGTTGAAGAAGGGCTAAGTCTTCTCAGAATACTCTCCACAAAGGCGTTTGTACAAAGAAGAATAAGAATCCTGAGGTGTACGCCTGTTTCGATACATCGCATGATCGTGGTCTGAAGAAGCTGGCGAATCGTATTGACAAAATCGACGACGTCGACGCCCCGACCATACGCGCAGCAAGAAAGATGGTCGGCATCGTGCTTGATGTCTAGTACAATGACTCAAGCAATCGAGACAGGCGTCAGGCTTAACGGACGATATATACTGTCCTGCACCATGATCAGTAGTTCACTGATCATACGTACCTTTTTAGTTGCTTAGCGTAGTAGTGCAGGGCTGCGTTCTGACAACAGGCCTGTTCCCGAGAATTAGTTTATTCAGCAAGTCCATTTTTTGGTCCTTCTCTGATCTAGCGGTCTTCAATCGGCCAGTCGTATGGGGCATCAAAGCATCTTACACAAGTTCCGTTGTTGCCACAAGATCAATTGGCCTCCGAAACGTCTAGGGGTAATCTTTCAGATCAATGACCTGAGATTTATTAACTCGACACAGCTTCATGAACTTATATCCCTTCTGGGCTATATTTACACTCTCCGAACACATCATGGCTTGTACCAATCCTAACCAGTGGGAAGAGGATGTACATCAGCTAGATGGTATTGGCGAGATAACGGAGCACTTCAGCAAAACCTTGCACCCGGATCTTAAGCCTTTTACAGAGACCACCAAAACGCTTAAAAAAGTGTCACTGACCATACAAGATAGTCGCTGGCGCAGGAAGTCTGGGTGTCTGAAAGAGCAGTCCAACAGCTAGAGTGGCACATAACAAAGGCCCAATGAACTCAGCACCAGCATCAGGAGTATAGCCCTCTCAGATATTGATCTAATGGCCTTTGATATGGTTCATGATTTTCCAATGACTACGGACGGCGATCTCGATCCACTTGGGTTCGTATGGACAATGGAGAACGAATTCATTGGCCGTAACTGGAACGAGGATTGGTGGGATATGGGCTGCATGGGGGGCGGCAATCATGATATGCCAGGGACATAAATTGCATTTAGAAGGTCCATTAGCTATATACAACTGACTAACAAATACAGTGCCGGGCCAGGGTAACAAGAGGTAGATTGTTCGATGCTGAAGCCGAATACTTGATGAGATTAGCATGCATGCGCGCATTGCCCGAGATCCCGATGCTATGTTCATCACAAATACATGTACTGTTGCACCACGCCGAAGGTAGCGATCGGATCAACCCATGAATAATGACCAAGGCACCTTATATTTCGAAGAGGCACTATGATAGAGCGACACCATCACTATGACAGATGTTGTGTTACTCATGCTGGGAGAGGCGATCCGACGTAGCGCAAGCAGCATTAGCCATAGCTGCATACAGTAGCTCCAGTGAAAGACCGAATACAGAGTATGCAAAAGAAGATATAGCGTGTTTAGTGTACGTAAGATACTGTTTTAGGGTAGAGCGTTGCGCAACCCAGCCCACTGCGTGCACGGACACGGTATTAGGCTGCAACTCTCATCTATGCTACATAAATATCCCGCATTCCACGATATAACATTCTGCTTTCTCAATCTCACATAACACTCCGGGCCATAGCATTTGTTTTTATTGCAAACAATCAGTAATGGCCGATACGTCCGTACCCCATCTTCCAGCCGAGCTATGGGCCCATATCCTCCAAAACGTCGATGACCCATTTACGATATGGGTTACATGCCGAAAAGTGTCACGTGCCTGGAGGAAAGAAGGCGAGCGTATCTTTCGAGCAACTTACCTCCCAATCCTTCGCGTCGAGTGGTACAAAGTGGCTTATGGCCGAGTAGGATCTTCTGTGCTAGCTACCACAGACGAACACTCCATCGACCCAGAATCTTCAACGCGTTCGCTAATCCTTCAATTGAGCCACTCAGACACTTCCGACAATCTCACGAGCACGGAGTGGTTGAGAGAAGCCCAGTGGATTTTGAATTACGATGACTATCGCTTATGGGTGAAGGATACGCCCCATGCGAAGCTTGGGCAGGCCATCTGGTTTGAAACTGGAGATGGACGTTATATCTTCGTCGGTAGTTTGGAGACGCGCAAATTGAATTACTATCCTCCTACGGGAGAGCTAGAGGATCTTCCCAGGCGCCGAATCACATGCGACTGGAAGGTGTTGATGGATGCGCTGTTCGCGGAAGAGATGTATGTACGGCGAAAGCATCCAGGCCCGTCCTTTTATGAACTTGGAGAGCAAGGCGTAAGTGAGATATTGCAAGCCGTCGCCACCAAGATTGCCGATTCAGAATCGTCGGAAAAGGGATCAAACGGACGCACGAAGTCTATCGCAGATGAACGCAACATCTACCAACATAGAGTAAAGAACTTCTTGCAGACACATCTTCGCCGTACCGAAGAGTTCCGGCCACTCTACGCTGCAGCATTCCAGGAGAGGCTGCGCCGTGCATTCAGCAGTGCGGGCGTAGATCTCTACACTCATCACAGCTTCACTGGCATATGTGATCTCAACCAGCAACTAGATTACAATATTGAGAAAACTGGGTGTCTGTTAATGATGGAGAGTAGATTAGAAAGGCTTTAAACTTTCGCAGACGGGGTTTGGAAGAGGAAATTCGGGGAGTAGGACTAGCTAGCTCGCCGAGTTGCAGTGGCTTTGTGCGAGTGACTCGCGTACAGCTTACGGGGCACCAATATTTGGGTATTGTTCACTCGAAAGTGAAGGCTCAGGTCAACGCGGTCGACTAGAAGGGCCAGCAATGTTGTTGACTTGCACAAGATATGCTACACATTGCCCACGGTGTTCATCTTCGTTCTCTTGCAGCAAGCTAAGACGATATGTAGTACCCCAATGTTTCCACAGGGCGTACTTTCAGCCCAATCTAATAAGGCGCAGTTTCCACCGTCGACAAATGTGTAGACACTCACGAACAGCAGCCCATGCTCGGCGACGTGGTGAAGCTGCTGCGGAATCTCGCCACGGACAAGACATGGAAAGTGTTTCGAACTATGTCAGACTAGTAAGGTACGCACGGTCATGGTCTGGCCTGAGCTATCGGTGCAGCTTCACTCGGCAGTCTGCGGATAATCTGCTGCAGCGAGAAAACAGGACCCGCGAACTAGCGACTGCGCGACTATACGATGCGATGGTCTCGATGTACGGCGCCGCACTCGATTACTGTCATCAATATCCTTGAAAGAGCTGGATGAATGTCGAGGAGGATATCAGCGCGATTAGTGCAATCTCACCAACGGAAGTCCTCTCACTAGAGCCTTGAAAGCACCCCAACCGCATATGAAATTGCAGTAACGTTGTTGATTGCATACAGATTTCAAGGCAGAAGCTTCTTCCTCAAGTAACTGGCAAGCCAGAAGTCCCGATGAAAAAAGTTCGCGTCAGCCAAAGGTAGTGAAATATTGGCGACACTATGGTTCTGAGTATGAGCAAGCCCAGTGACTCACAACCGAGGCGCAAAAATAAGGATAATCATGAATGAGACCGTGGTCTCGTTCTGGATTGGAAGTTAGCAAGGTAGCCAGACGAGCAATGGCGGAAGAACTTACTCAGCGATTAAACTAAAAAGAACAGATACTACACTTGATCTAAGCCAAAAGGCAAAGAGAGCTAAGGAGTGAGGGAGGGGACGGGCAAAGCGGAATTGATATGTGAGATCTGGCCTTGGCACGCTAACGGTCACCTGATCGCGTACCTAGCGTTTCTTCTACGCTTTGGCCTCACCAAGGTGGGTGACCATGAACCTTGCACCGCAGTTCCGCCGGCCGGGCGCAGCAGTGGTTGTGAGTGGAGCTTCCACACCAGAAAGACAAGACTGGTTCAGCCCGTTCTATACCACACCAATATCAACCCTTACCAGACCATTCCAACCACTAGTCATTAGGAAAGTTTGCGTTGCGAACATCGAGGACTCTGAATTCATGCAGAATCCGGCGCGGGCCGCAGAAAGTTGCACCGCTTGAGAAACTTGAGCGATTCAATGCTGGCCACATCGGCAGCTAAAATGAGATGAAGCTGCTTGGGATCGGAAGCTAAGGTTGAGAGGATGCTAGACATATCAATGATATTTTCTTTCTGGGAGGACGTTATACTGTAGCTTCATACTCAGTGTCGATCTGGCATCAGCTTTTGCCGGTTCACGCGCGCGGTCTCGACATGGTTATAAAGTCATTTAGATGCTAAGATGCAAAATCGTATAGTAATATCTACATCAGAATGGCTAGGCAACGTAAGTGGTCATGTTTGTGAATCATGCAATGAGCGTGTTTGACAATAGTAAGCTGTCCATATCAACCTCGTGTAGATTCTCGCCCCCTCTCTTCTACTTTCCCGCACCATTTCCACGCCCTGATAGCCATTTGGAACGCTCTCTACCCCAGTCTTTCTCCCACAAAGCAGGTGAGAACTCCATATTTCTCAAAAACGCCTATGCAAGGAAGCACCTGCATTCACAGATATTTATGCCAACAGGGTTGTTGCTAATCGGCAGGTAGGTATTGGGGTTGTCGTTGCTGCCAGCGCGGGCGCAAGCCCCAAAGCAGTCGAAGTCGCTGCACGGGTTCGGAGCACATCCACGTAAACCGCCGTCATACGGTATGTTGAAACAGCCCCTGAAAGTGGGTGACTAGGCGTTGACCGAAATGGCCGTTGCCACCGCGAGAAGAGAGAAGACTAGCTTCATAATGCGCAGGCTAGTTGGGTTGCGAGTCTGGTCAACGGTGTTCTTGGGAAGATACGAGACGGAGCGTTTAGAGTGTTGATTGAGCGGATGCTAGCGGATGATGCGGGGAAGAGAAGAGCTCTCAAGGATAACGAGTAGGGCTAAGTAACGAGGTCAAGGCGCACCAAGAGAGAGTATGCTCTAGATGTAGTAATCTTGCTGGGAGAAAGACAAAGCATTTATACCTCTACAATACATGAACTTTCTATGAAATCGTTGAACTAGATTAGTAATAACTCAGTACTAAGCTAGAAGTAAACCGGTATGTTTTGATTGAAGTAACTAGACAGAAACTTGAACTAATCCAAAGCTAATGTAAATGCGATGGTAGTATACGCGTCCCAACTTCGTTCCGACTTCATTCTGGATTACTGCCTTTTCTGTAATAATCTGCCTCATTTTCCCTCAGAGGACTCTACGCGTCCTAGTGCCTCACGGTGTAGTCGTCTCATTAGGTGCTGGTGCTTACTGGATGCTAATCTCTCGTCCCCTTGTTTACTAATCCTACCTTGGTTAGGACTAGCCTCGCTAAGTAGGTACAATGTATGCCGAACAAAGTAGTAACTTTATAGCTGTTCGTTCAGCGGAAGATGACGCGGCGGGCAGATCAATTTATCCGCGACTAATCATGTGTTTCAAGCTTCCTTCCTAAACTGCCTCTGCTCATGTTGCGAACTACGTAGACTTGTACGATATCATACCAAGGTACCAAGAGACCGATTCTCCAAACTCCGCTTTCCGTCAATCATTTACAAAGTCCAACATATCGAAACAAGATAATTCGTCTCGCTCCTCACGGACCCCTACTTCGCTGGTTTTGCTTTCTAGTAGTGGCGGTACGTTTGCAGAGGAACATGTTTCGGTGAGAGTGGCTCGTAGTACATCATGTAACTGATTGTTCGCGAAGTCACTCCACATCGTTTTTAATCTCTCGTCATGTAAGCGACTTCTAACAGCTGCGTTGAAGCGACCAGGGAGAACACGGAGGAGTTCTCGTGACACATTTTCAAAAACTTGGTGTTCTGTCGGCAATCCGATTCGGCCGTCGTGTCTTTTTTTCGTAGTTTCTTCGCTAACATCTGAGCCAGAAATTATTAGCAAACGTACCAACTACGAGGGTGACGCCCGCGAAAAACTTACATGGCATCGACATTTCTTTCTCCTCGGCGTCTGGAAATATGAGTCGATAGATTGCGCGCCACCGCTCCTCTTCTGGCTTCCCTGCTGCGTCCTTCTTAGACCGCATCGCCTCGAATTTGGTGTAGCTCAGTCCCCAGACGTCCGGTCTTTGTTTTGCGATAAGCTGGCATGGCTGAGTATTGCGCTGGTGTACGGTTAGGCGTTCTCTCCCCGCTGTATTTCCGTAGAACCTAGTCCCGCATCGTTCGCAGCTATGATACAGGTGCACGCGCTCGAGGTGTTGCTTTAGTCTATGAATACCGATGGAGCCTGGTCCGGCACAGGAGTCGTTTTTGCAGCGGTCGGGGTTGCGCACATAGAAGGGACATGCGAGATCGGGATTGAGGGGATCAAGGCGGCGACGTCTACGTTTCTTGCGGAGTGGTACATTTGATTCTTCATCATTGACAACTATAGTACGTGTTGTCTGACGGTCACATTCGATTGGGCGCTTGCGTGAAGTTTGATCTACGCTATATGTATCGCATTGGGAGCCGTAGCCGCTGTCAAGATTTCGAAGCGATTTCGTGTTGAGTGTGGACGCTGTCAGACGGGTAGTTGTCAGGGTGGATAACGTTGATACTGACTCCTCGCTTGGAATTGTCAGCATAGCTTCAGCATCGCTACTGAGATATGTGGTGTTTGGCTCCTCGATGCTGTACGATATTGGAAAGTCGGCTTCGATATCGAGACCCACCTCCGCCGCGCTGTTATCGAGGCCGCAATACCGCATGAATTCCAGAGATAGATATCCTTCCTTATTACTAAGAGCAGCTTCTTCCTCTAGCCGCTCATCGCGCAAGAATGATTCAAGTGGCTCTATATTCTGCCGAACCGTTGAAACCAAATCATCCGTGGCACAGACTTCCAAAGAATTCTCTATCCCTGGTGGACCAATACAACCTACTGGCGTAGTCTGAAAAGCCAGCCTATCATCTATAGCGTCTTCGGTCTGGACTTGGCCGAGGGTCGGACGATGGCAGACGTAGGCGTCTTGAAAGTTGGTTCCATCGCACATCGAACACACAAACCAAAGGGAGACACGGTTGTCAGGGAAGCCGCATTGGCAGCATCTCCATACGCGCACGTGCTCAACATATCCGTTCACAAGCGAGTAGATCACGCTCTCCACGCAATGCCTGCATCGCAAGTGTACTCCAAAAGCCGAAGTTTGTATCGTGTCATCAGGCCTGCGCGCGAAGTCGAATGTATTGAGGGCATTCTCCATAGTGGTGATGTGTAGAAGTCGCAGGTATGTCAGTTGCTGTGGTCTCTGAAGTTGATAAGAAGGCCGTGGTTCCACACAGCAAACGTAGTATGGACTCAAGATACGTGTTAAGGTGTATCCGTGCTTACCGAGAACGCGCAAAGTTGTGCACATCCTTAGTTGTGCGGCTTTGCGCATACAAGGACTTGGCTATTAGACACATGCAGCATCTTGCATGATGCATGTAAGCAGAGACGTGTACCAATCAGGAACCATATCAGGCAAGAGCTGGTTTGCGAAGAAGGATGCTTTCAGCCTTGCTTCGAATCAGAAACTTGCGTCAGCGACGCGTGAAGTAGCAGGAGAACATGTTCGCACAAGTGTAGATGAGAAGCTATTCGTGCATTGGATGTGTGATAGGTAGAGCCTAGCTCAAACGGAAGCGAAACGGTATATTTTCCAACATTTCTTCGTCCGCGATCCATCTCCCTCAAAAGCCACCAGAGATCATCGAAGTGACTAAGTATGCGACACCAGGCTACTTTCACATAGACCTCCAACTCAGCAGTACACCACCAGCGCAATGCATAACCAGCAAGCTCAAATCAGTAACAAGAAGAGAGATAAGACTTACACATCATGCGTCCCAAGCATCTAGTTCATCTCCCACCCCTCTCATGATCAATAAGAGAAGGCAGTCGACTATCCAGGCGGCACCACGAGGAGGCGCAAGGGTCCGACTTCTACCGCCCATCCACCTCTTGCGATCGCCCCTAAAATTGAACAAATGCGATCCAGCTTTTCTCCAGACAAACGTTTCTTGCAAACAACGCAAAGGTTCGCAATAGCGGTTTGCCCCGCTACATGCAGTAAGCCACCGAAGCGGCATCCCACATAAAAGCCTTTCTTCCATTCCCATGTTCCTTGGACCCATAGGATGAAGCAAAAGCGACGGTAAAGCCACAACAAAAAAGTAGTAGCTAAACCAAAAAGACCCAACGCTCCATCCAAACAGCATGTCCTCAATCGACAAGTGCAAAAGACAGAGGAAGAAAGCCCACAGTGAAAGATCAACCAATGCTCTCCAAACGAACAAAGAAGACCAGACACAAAACGGTACTTGACGACGCATCGGTTTTCCCACACAGTAGTTGCCCATACGGGCGGTTTCAAAATAGGTTTCCGCAAAAGATGCCACGAAGTGGCAATTCCACAAAATGGATACATCCACGCATGGATCATTCCATACAAAATCCCCACAACAGGGATAGGTTCGGCCCACGGATACTCCCGTGAGCCGTGTTGTCGACGCATGCCTTGCGGCAGAGGTGTCGACGGGGTACGGGTGCTTGTATGCAAGTTGAGCCAGGGACCATGGCGGTCTGTCAGAGAACCCACAGCCGAGACTGGGAAACTCAATATCTGTTGGCTGCTTCCGCACTCGACAACTCTAAAAAAAGTGACACTGGCGACGGGTTTACGCGAGCGTTGCCTGCAGTACAAGTCCGCATGTCGAATCTCGAAGGGCATCGGCCAGTCACAGCGACAGGAAGGGGCGTGGATAAGCGGGCGGGCTGTATCCGGAAAGACACGGGTAAACTCGAAAACAACGGGGTATACCCGGAGGATGCAGGGCGTACCTGAAGGTGCGGGCGTACCCGCAAGTAAGATGAGACACCGAGGCTCGGGGGACGGGGACGAGGTAAAGGGTCTGCACAATGGCCAAGACATCGGGGGGACGTGCGATCGAGGGTGCCTGTAAGCAATGTTGCCATGGACCATGACGGTCTACCAGAGAACTTCCGAAGAAGGAGCTCCATATCGCAGGCATCTTCCACACGCATCTCCCTGAACAGGATGATACTGGTGGCGGGGCTACGGGCGAACCGTTCCCTGGCTGTACAGGTTCCTGACGCGAACCATCATGGGGTGAGAAAAGGATACTCTACCTGATACCAGTAAGGCGAGCGAATCGGTGAGGCCAAACTCGAGCCGGAACGGAAGACAAGGAGCAAACCAATCTCGAAGCCCAAAAACACAAAGCAGCAGCTATGGTAGGCTGAGGGTAGACCAAAACTCCGAAGAGTGGATACAAAAGGCGAACTCTGGCTATCAAAAAGGGAGCTCAGGGAAAATCGCGGTACACCCTCTTGTAGTCCAGTCTGGGTGTCCCACAGACCAAACTACGATAAAGGTGTTCGGACCAGACATGACATGCACGTCTAGTCCTGAAGAGAGAAGTGACTGTAGCCAAAACCTGCCATGGACCTTGCGGTCTGTCAGAATCTTCCAAGGAAGTTTCGATATCGCAGGCATCTACCACGCTCGTTCTCTGAAAAGACAACACTGGTGGTGGGGAACACTCCCTTTGACTGACAGGCTCCTCGCTCCGCCTTGCGCTGAAGCGCAAAACATTGGGATCGACTGCTACGTGATCGCAGTCGACCCGGATTCAAATAGAGCAGAAGCTGCAGGCCTCCGCTACACAAGGGCTTACCAACCAGTATCTCGGCACTCCCAGTAAAGCTACCCATGCCCGGCTATCAATGAGGAAGCTCTGTCATCGGCTGACCCGGTCGCTGAGGCCAGTCGTCTTGCACGCCAAACACGTCGCCACGGACCAAAGGTCTGTCAGAGCCACAATACCGGTGTAAAGTGAAGCTCCATATCTGTTGGCATCTTCCACCGTTCGCCTGAAAAGGGTACTAGGTAACGGGGTAGTAATCCCTGTCGTGACAAGCGCTGGTTGAGGGATAGAGACTAACTGTGACAAGGCTGCCCGCCAATAACGCGCACAAGAAACAGTAAGAGAAGCCTTGACTTCCTACATGTGGTATGACTGCCTCGAGGAGGACGCATTTTCTCGCGTCAATGAACCATGGACCTTGAGGCCTGTTGAAGCACAAGGCTACTATCTGTTGGCATCTTCCACACGCGACAACCTGAGAAGGCGACACTGGTGGCGGGGTTGCAGCAAGTGCTCCCTGGCGTGAGTTCTGCGTCCCCCTCGTGGCTACCTGTCCGCTGCTCCTAATGGTGCTCGCAAGACTTGGAAAGGAGGGAGGAGAGCTGGGAGGAGCCTATCGCGGGCATCGATCGGGACTTCGGCTGGCGAGTACGGTCGATGGTGCGGCGATATGGACGGGGCGGTGCATAAGCTATCGCAATAAGAAGTGTTGAAGGAGGAAAGGAAGTGCCGCTCGACGCAAAAGCAATACATGAAGGCAAAGATGTGTAAGAATCCAGCGGAGTACAACGAGGGAAGAATGCTCATACGGTGAGGTGTAATGAATGAAGCCAGAAATCTGTTGATGGGAGAGGGTCGTCTGTTATCGCAGAATCACATGTCGAGGTGTGCCATCAATGGTTCCTGGCACGAATGCTAGATACCAGTAAACAGCACCACGTATCAATCATAGGAGGAGAATGGGGAATACCAGCATACTCTATGCAGAGAACGGGAAGCCAACCATGGTTTGTACCGATCCACATCCGGCGTAAGACAACCTGTACAGTACCAGACTGTCCTATGGTCAGACGAACAATGTTGCTAGAACTGAGCTGTAAGCATGGCCAATCTCCGTAATGCCTCTCGCATGACGAGGGACTTGGACGGTAAGCTGATGGGCTCAGGCCATGTTGTCGCAAAGCCAGGCGTGTTCGTCCTCGGGAGCCGTGGCCGGATGGTGGAGTACATCATGACTGTCTTGGCCTGTTATCTCGTTTCGAATTTACCTAGGTGGGCCAACCGGACAAGCTCATTCGAGGAATTCCAGACAGTCCGGTCGGTGGTCCGCTCGTCGAGAACTAATCGCTATCTCCTAGAAGCTCAGCAAGCTCCGCCTCTTCTTCCGCAGTCATCATGCCTTCCTTCTTCTCGGGTTCCATGTCCTTTTCCTTACCGAGGCGTTCATCTTTGGCCTCTTGGACAGCCTTGGCGAGCTCTTGCGGCTTCAGGCTCCACTGTCTGACTGTAGCGTCAATGCTCACGCTGACTACGCGTTGTCCTAATAGAAGCAGGCCAGTAACTTCTTCGAAATGCCCACTGAAAGTGTGATGGAGCTTTCCGCTGCTCTTGTCCCATACGCGAACCTCTTCGTCTCTGCATACTGAAACCAACCACCCGCCGTCTTCGTCGACAGCAACATCGCGAACGAAATCCGGGTGCTCGAACTTGGAGTCCTCTTCCCACTCACGGCCTCTGGACAAGCACTTGGCTGTCTTGTCTGCTGAAGCCGTCCAAAGATCGCCATCCGAATCGAAGTGTAAGGCGTCAATGCTTGTCTCGTGGGCAATAATTGGTGACGGTTGGGTCTCAGAGGCTGAGGTCAATCCGATAGACCATCGCCGTATTTCCCGATCACTTCCAGCACTGAAGACTGTAACAGTCTCTTTGCCGGGCTCGTAATCGGCCGGATCCAACGCAAGAGCGAGGATACCCCGTGTGTGTCCCTTCAGGGTGTGTAGCTTCGATCCCGCAGCGACGTCCCAAACGATAATGCTTGCATCTTGCGATGCTGACACTAAGACCTCTTTGCCGCTTAGCGTGAATGCTATGACGGCCTTGACAAAGTCGCTGTGGCCTTGGAAGCGCTTGGCAGTCTTGCGCGTGGAGAGCGTCCATGACCAGATAGACTTGTCCCAACACCCCGCAAACAACGTGTCTGACTTGGGGGAAATGGCAACAGAGGTGAGAGGAGCTGTGGGTCCTGAGAAGGTGGCGGCGACTTTATTAGTCTAGAGGAGAAGATGTCAGTAATTGATGCCTGGAGCTATGGTGAAGCCACGGAGCTTGGTGGAGAAATGGAGGTCTGACCGACTTCAATGTTGATGCGTTTCACGTTGCCTGCTGCTTCGGCAACGTAGATGTAGTTCTCATCTTGCGGGTCGGCGATGACGGCGAGGATCTTGGAGGGGAGCTTGATAGGGTTGCCCTGGGTGTTCTTGGACTTTGCAGCCTTTCGAGCTGTCTCCTCCAGGGAGGAGCTACATGATATCAGCTAGAGTATGGAGGACCGGAGCAAAGAAAGGCCATACGTCGTTTGAAAGTAGTGGCCTGGATCGTTGGAGCGCGACATGATATAAGGTAGGAGGAGCGGTGACACCCGGCAGGTTATGGTGACTGACGGTGGGTCAAGTTGGGCATGTGAGCATCAACCCCGCTATTGTGACTCCGCCATCCACCCAATGAGGAAGCAGCCTGCGACAGCTGCCACATCACCATGACAGCTCCTCGCGATACCCTTCCAAGGCCCTTTTCGCTGGCTGATATCGTGAGCATCATCACAGAAAAGTGGGTACAAGGGATGATAGCGGTGAAAATTGATTGATTCGATAGTAGCAAGAATATGGTATTAAATGCTTTCACATGTACTGAAGTGCAAACCCAAACGCCGTAGATCATAAAACAAAGGAAATCGTATGTTGTGGCTTTCGCGTTCGACCCTGATGGATCGTGTCGCGACTAACTTTAGTTGGGTACTTTGGATAAAGGAAATCGTATCGTATAGTCATGTCCGAGCAGTGAAGCTCCATCTGTATGGTATTGCGTTCGTGTGTGCAATGCTTTTGGGTTTGCAATGCGTATCGTAATATCGTAAATGCATATCGTAAGAGTGAGGCGTAGTTATGCAAAACTGCGCCCATCATAACACTCAGGGGGGATATCTCAAAAAGACATTCCAGGGCAACCTCATTAACTTTTGTGTGGAAACATAGTCCAGCAAAGTAGTTGCGCCCAAAGACTACATCATCTGTCTGCGATGCAAATCATAAAGTCGTGAATGTGTAAGTGCACATAATAGTGTACAGGGTCGTTAATAGGCTGAGTGTCCAGCGGAGGCACTGGCGGCGAAGTCGCGAATCGCCCATCTCCAGCCGCCTCGTTGTTCGCCGTTGTCGCGAAGGCCGCCGACCCAGCCTTCGACTCGTCGTCGCCAAATGGCTTCTTCGTCACGCTGTCGACGGATGAAGCCGGGTCCGACATCAAACTCCTCGCCCACAAAGGTTGGGTCATCGGGGTTCGGTGTGCCAGCTCTGCCCATGCCATTACCACCGGCGACACTCTCGTTATCTTTGAGGTCGTCGAGGCCAGCGAATGGGTCTTCTTCTTCATCCGCTTCGGAAGGCGACCCAATATCGTTTGCCGGTCGAGGCGCCTTGAGCCAAGTCATCTTGACAGGATCGAAAACCATACGGCCTTCGTATTGGACGTTACGTGGCACAGAGATCTGAGAGATCAGGGCCGGTCGTGGCGGAGAAGGTACTGGGGCAGGCGTTGGGGGCTGAGCCAACTTGGCTGCTCGCGAGGAAAAGCTTCTATGCCCTTGGTTGGCATGGTTGGCATGGATAGACGACAGTGCAATGTGCGAGATCGACTGTGAGCGATCATGGCCGCGGCTCATCTGGTTTCCCGGCGGGGCAAAGGTAGGCGTGCTCGCTGTAGTTAAAGCGAGGGTTGTAGTAGAAGTATTAGGGTGTGAGAACGAAACAAGGGCCTCCTCGTTTCCTTCCCAACGTTGTAAAGTCGGGTTATAGATCATACCTTTTTCGTCTACATAATGGTCAGTAGGAGCTGGAAAGTAATGGTGGAGTGCTGTACTTTGTGTATAAGGCTGCGTCATCTGCCTGATCAACTGCGGCTTCTGTCCTGAGCCCTTCTTCCTCTGAGCAGATGGACTAGTATGAGGGCTACGAGCGGCCACTTGGGCAGCCCAACTGACGGGCCTAGTGGAAACGGGGCCCTCCGCCCGTGACCTCGTACCTGCCAAGCGCTGCTCACGTGCATTCCTGCTTGCTGCAGTGTCACGAGCAAAGCGAGGAGTATGGTCCATCTTGGGGGGACTTCGAGGTGTCTGGGGCATAGGCGTTTGCATTCGATCAGGCATCGGCAGGCGTGAATTGCTAGGTTGATGTCGCAGCGACTTGTTGCTTGCGACGTTACGCGGCACCTTTTCGAACTGCTTCTCTTTGGAAGCTGAGGTGGGCAAGTCATCGAACAGATCGAGCTCATGGCCATCCCCAAAGTTCCGTTTGCGCTGGGGCTGGGTCAGCTTCTTCGGGGCAGGATGACGTGCAAGGGCAGAGGGGGCCATGTCACGTCTCACCGAAGCGCGACTCGGTGTCTCATTGTTGCCGCCGCCAGACAATCGCGAGTAAGTCCGCATCGAGGGAGACTGTGGACGGCGAGGGTCGGAGTCGCGGCGAAGGTGTGCTTGCGAAGTGCTCTTTGACATGACGTGGTGCGATTGCGAGGACGCTCCACCGGCAGGAAGAAACGGCATGCGTGGTGCCTGGCTGGTATTCATGTTACGGAGGACAGGAGCAGATCGCTTTGCACGGAGCAGCTGGGCGCTGGTAGTCGTAGGCATGGTCCGAGTCGAGTTGTTCGAGGTGGACGCACCGCTTTCGTAGACAGGGGTAAGCCTAGTGCGACTGGCGATGGAAGGCAGGGGTCTGGGTATCCGTGATGTGGTGGGCCTGTCGGTGAAGGTAATGGTAGTTGCTGGGCGAGCAGCGTGAGGAGCGGTGGTCTTGGTAGCAGTCTTCTTCACGACGATGTTCTTGTTCAGGGTCAGCTTCTGTCGGTCCAGAATTTCGCCGTTGCCAAAGTCGAAACCATCCTCAAAGTCTTCCTCTTCGGCCGCAGGCTTTGATTTGGGTGATGGTGCTTTGGGGCTGCTGGTCTTGGGGCTGCTGAATGGCGAAGGGGACAATGGTGCGGCCCTGGGTGATAGGGGCGGTTCTTGCATGGGGGCCGAGGTGGGTGACATGGGCGCGATGGGCTGTTCGCGCAACGGTAAAGGTGGAAGGAGCGAGGCCTGTAGGGTTGGTAATGGTGGTGGTGGTGGTTGCTCGGTCTTCTTGAGCTTCTCCAGACGCGCACCAAAGTCCATGTGCTCGGTGGGGAGGACGAGGCCGCCCAAGTCGTCGTCTTCACTCTCCATGGTCATGATGCTGCCCAGACTAGGGCTCATGGCAGACACGGAGGAGCTGCGTGCGCCGCGAGTTCCCTGTCGCGTGCCTGCAAATCGAATGCCCAGTGAACCTTCGCCCCAGTCGAAATCATCGTCCTGCTCTTCTGCTGGCGTGCGTGGCTTTGGCGTCTTCAGCTTCAGTCCTTCCGTCGCGTTGGTGGGCAGCTCGAGATCATTTCCCCAGTCGTCGTCGACGTCGATCTTCTTGGTCGACTTCTTCTTGCCCAGCCTCTTGATGGATCCTCCTAGTAGTGCCGACGACGGCACGCTTGTGGGTATCGGAATGCCCGCCTGTTTCGCGGCCGTCTTGATTGCGGACGTGTTGGTTGCTTGGTCGTCTGGCGTTATCAGGAACTGCCAGTCGTCCTGGGATTCGGTTTCGGAGCGCACGCTCATGCGCGAAGAGAGCGAGTGTACTGTTGAGTTCTTGAAGAGGAGGCCGTCGGAGCGGTCGTCGAAGTCGCCGTCGTCCCATGTTTCCATCTGGGTGCTCTGTGAAGTAATGGAGGCGATGCGCGCCGCAAAGGAGCGGTTGTTGGCCGCCATGCTCGGTGGAGCGCGAATATCGCAGGTACGCGTGGTGATGTGGGTGTGCAGGATCTTCGCGAGAGGTACTGAGGTGGTTGGGTTGTGGGCCGGCGAGCGTCGCTCCTGCACCGCTTGCAGGTGCTTGCAGGGCTACGCGAGCTGGAAGGCGGTAAGTAGACAAAGGAAGGTCCGCAAAGTGGCCCGCACGCCAAGACACGCGTGTCGATAAGAACAACAGACCCACACCCCTGCAGCACGCGACGACGATGACGGCGATGATGGCGGTGGGTATGCAGGAACAGATTGTGCAATGCTACTCCCCGCATCCTACTACGTGACATGGCCGCCTATATAGTCTCACACATGGCCGTGTCTATGTTTATTTCTGTTCCTGGTCTGAGGGACTGGCGCTGATCGCCTGCGATTCGCGTCCAAGGCGGATGCCTGGACACCAACAACACTAAACTTTCATTCTGACGGGTGCTGCCTGCCCTACGCGTCGGCCCTTTCCCTCCACCACGCGAGATCCGCTGTCTGCCATCACAAATATAACCTGTCTCAGGTAGAGGTGGTTCAAGTTACGGTTTCAATAGTTCCCCCTACCACTTGAAACGCCCGGTATCCTTTCCTAGTCCAACACCATCCCAAACCTTCCAGCTCGGCACACTTCCGCCCAAGACTAGTGCAGGTACACACCACCTGCATCCAGCGTTGCAATGCCTAGCCGCAATATCGTGCCCGTCGAGCCTGCCCATGGACGTGGGGAGACTGTCGTCATTGAAGTGCTGCAGGAGGGCAATCACCCTCTCGATGTAAGGTTGGTAGGTTGCGAGGGCGAAACCCCATACGTGACTTCGAGTAAGACAGCCCGAGTATCCACAGCACGTCTGTGTTTCGCCATCTGACGCGGCCCAGTCAAGCATTGCAATCTCGCGAGTCACAAACACAAATTCAAGGGCAGCGACGATGAGTGGGCCACCATCGTGTCTCATTTTCTGCTCCAGCAACCACCTGAACTCGGCCAGGCCGACACTTTGGACGGTGTCCGCATGGTCTACATGCTGAAAAACAAGAACCTGGAGATTTCTTTTCGCAAGGACGTCCAGAACATCAAGGTGGGTGGCTATTTCGGTTCGCTCTGCAACCCGGCTCATGTGTATAGGTCACCCTGGGTGAGATCGTTCTACCAGAAGACGATGAGTTTGAGTTGAACCCGTTCGAATGGGCGCAGGCGTCAGCCATGGCGCACGCCCAAACGTTGAAGCAGATGGTTGACCAGGAGGCGAAACTCAAGAGCGAGCAGCAGACTGTCGCCAAACTCAATGCGCAGCTGAATGACTTTATCAAGACTAAGAATGAGACCGAGACAGCTATGCTCCAGCAGTTCATGCAATTGCTTAATGAGAAGAAGCGGAAGATTCGGGATCAGAGTCGTCTCCTAGCTGGCGCAAAGGTTGACAAGCCAACAGGTGAAATGACCATGACCATGTGTGACGGGCTTTATATTGACAGTGTCTAGCGGCCGCCATACAGTCGACGCGAGCAGATGCCAAGACTACAGACACCAAGGCTCGCAAGGCAGGCGCGTCACGAACTTCCAAGCGCAAAGCTCCCGCACAAGCCGCAGAACCAGAAACAGTACCAGAGTCAGACAGTGACCAGATGGAGATTGACCAGGCCAAAGTGGAAGAACAGGACGACGAGGAAATGCCCGAGCCCATGACCCCAGAACAGTCAGACAACGAAACAGAGAATGACGAGTCTGCGCCAACTGCGACAGCGAGGTCATCTCAAACACTCAGGTCGGGTTCAGTTGTACACAGGTCGAGGAGCGAAGCCACAGAGAGCAAGGGTGTGCCACCACGTCGAGCGCTTCCATTCGCAAAGAGAACGGGAATGCCAACACGAAGTAAGGATGTAACAGCAATAGAGGAAGACGATGACGAGACGGACGACGAAGAGTTGTAGGTTAGTGGCTGGCTATGTTTCACTGTGTTGGACACAAGTTTGGTTGAAACCATCCCTACCAAACTTGGCAATTGCGCCGTCTGGTTCGCCGTGTTTCCTTTTAGCAGGATTATGCCATCACCTTATACAAAGAAGAGACCAAGCAGGTGCTAAGAACTCTATGATATCTGTGTTGGTGTTGCTCTAGGCCACGTAGCCCTGGAGTAGGATGGCTTGCTACACCAGTTTAATTTCTTCCTTGCATGGAGTGGGATGGACCTGTATCGAGAAACTATAATTACACCAAGTGTTTGGTTCAAAATTCAGACTTTCGCTTTATGATTTATCGCCGAAGCGGTGCTTGCTTCTGCCGCAGTGGTCATGGTGCGAAACATGATTTGCAAGCCCCTTAACCTAAACATGGATGACACTAATTATGGGCAAGATGCGTGACGTGAAATCTGTCATGAATATTGGAACTAGTACCTGGACCCTTTATAAGTTTGTACATGTCCGGGTGGTAGCCCGGTTGCTCATTTATGTGATTGCGATGCACACATGGATACGTGGGAGTCGGCTGGCGTTGATGTCATCCATGTCGATCGTTCGGGACACCAGGGACGTCCCGAGCAGCCCGATGGTGGGAACAGAATATACGCTTGAAATGAAGAAGACTCGAGTCCCCAAGTGATGAATGCGATAGAAGGAAACCATCTTCATTCGAACGCAGCCAAAACTAAAGCGATCTGCAAGTGATGTGGTGTCGGGTCGGAGCAAAGGGCAGCCAATCGACGATGCAAGTGTCTCCGGCCAGGGCTGAAGCGCGCGGGAGAAGCCTCCCGCCAAGCCATGTCCACCTCGACATGTCGTCCTGCACCACCCGGTTATCGCAAACACGAGATCACCGTTTTTCTGGGATTACACACGAGGTCGCTGTAATCGTATAGACCACGTGTGCGAGCGATGTCCTATCCCAGCCTTACCGACCAACGGTAGCAGCGCGTGCTTTAGGTGAGTGCGAGTGAGGGATAGCCTCCGATATCCACATGCGCGACCATGTGGATCTACTGTACTGACGACACGTGAAGAGAAAGCGATTGTCGGCTTTGTATTGTCCACGCGCATTCGTACTAGAATCCGACCTCACACCGCGTCCATCTGGTTGCCATAACCTGATCCCCGCTCGAGCACCTCACCTAATGCTCCTCCACCTCCATACGTCGTTCCACTGCACCTACCGTCGTCGGCCCGCGACACCACCAAGACACGCGACCGACCGTATCCCCACCAATATTAGGTAACACGCCATGTCGGGCCCAGACCAACCTGAGCCTATCGTGGATACGACGCGATCACTCAAGCGCAAGCATCTATCCGCCGACGATCAAGCGGAGCTCGACTCCCTCGACGACATTGTCAAGCGCATAAAGACGGCGGTTCCGCGAACGCCATACATACTTTCAGTACCTTCATCAAATCCATACCGGTACTACTCACAACAACAAGCCAATGCCTGGAAGATAGGAAGATTATGGAAGTCAGATGAAGAGCACTTGCAATACAGAACATATCTGTACCGCGAGCCATGCCAGGACTGCTTCGAGCTGCAGGCGGGAGAAGACAACGAGCCTGAGCCTGAGCCTCCACGCTCCCAGGCTTCAAATGGCCAGCCAGCGAAGAAGAAGCCCAACTTGTCAGCCTTCAAGGTCAAGCAAGCAAACGGTCCCAACACTCCCAGCGTCAAGATCACTTCGCCCAGTCTCGCGCCGGAAAAGGCATCGAAACAGGCGATTGGGGTTAGCAAGTCTGAGAAGTTGTCTGTGCCCCCCCAAAAGGCCGAGTCCAAGTCGCCAAGATCGTGAGTTCACCGCTTTATATGTTATCATGATACTGACAACGAGCAGCTCCTCTAGCACATTACGCGACGAAAAATCTGCCAGTAAAGCCAACGGTGACGCCCCTCCCTCGAGTCGACCGCGAGCCTCATCCGCGCAGAAGAGCGAGACTATCAGCTCCAAGGGCAGGATCGAGAAGTCGGATCCTTCAAACTCAACACCACATGGCCTACCCCCACTACTGTCGCCAGTACATGAGCCAATGGGCAATCCCTACGGCCTCCCGAACATTCTATCCCCCACACTCCCCTCAAATATACAGGCCGAGCTGGATAGAATAGAGGTACAACGGAAGCGCGCAGACTCCGACGCATCTGTGTCATCGTCAGATCGCAAGAGTCAGACGCTGGCTGTGCCGCCTAGTGCATCTCAGCAGTCCAACGGTACGCCCAAGTCAGAGAGCAGAGTGCGCTCAGTCTCTATCAACGGCAAATCGCCCAATCCCGAAACAGTCAGTCATGCCAAACAACCCGATCCTAGTATGCTAGTGAAGCTGAAATTCTCCAAGACCAAGGCTCCAGTCGTTGGCCAGATTCTCCGCCTACCATCGAAACGATCCAATGCCGAGAAGAAGGAGCGCACCGATGCGCCCAAGGTTACTACAGCAGATACACAGCCCAAAGTCACGGATCCGCCTCTCATCAAGAAGAAGCCTATCCCCAAGGTTGCTGCTCGTCGCGGAGAGACTACAACGCCAGCTGCATCCACACCAAATGCTGGCGCAAAGCCAGCCCCTGCAAGTACAAAGGTTGCGGAGAAGCGACCACGGCCGGATGAGGATGCGTCTTTGGCGGTACCTCCCACTAAGCGACCCAGGGCTGGCTCAACGCAAGACCGGCCCATTACCCCTCTCCAAAACACATCATCGCCAGCACTATCTACCAAGCCCAATGCACAGAAGAGCCAGAACCAGTACACAACCCCTAAGAAGGATATCAAATCAGTCAACATGTTACGAAGCCAGTCTTCGGAAAGCAACGACGCAACGCCCGGTCGGTCTGGTGCAACTCCAGCCGGCGTAAAGATGGAGCACAAGGCCGGCCCTACATCTGCTCTTCTGAATAGCAAGAAACAAGCGGATATCTCGCTGCTAGGACAAACGTCGGCAAAGCTGAATCAGATGGGTAGAGCCCTCAAGCACGAAGCGACCAAGATCCTCACAGCCGGCGGCAGCAAGATATCAAAACAGGACGAGAAGCGAGCTGCAGTGACGAACCTGGAGTGCATTCTGTACGTCCAACACTTGCCATGACATGAACCTTGCTAACGAACCTAGCGCATACATGGCCGCCTACTTCGCCCAAGACTTTTCCCTTAACCTCCGCGGCCGCGCCGGCGAAGTAGAGCAAACTTGGAAAACACTCCTTCCCCTCTGCCTCTCCTACTCGCGCTGCACAAAAAATCTTCAACACCTCGACGGCCTACGTTCATATCTCAGTTCCGTCATCGCCGGAGCCATCTGCACGCACGTCTCGCAACGCTGCCAGAACCCCAAGTTATTCTCCCACGACTCCCCGCAAGACCACGCTACGAACAACGTCGATGTAGCCCGCCAGCAGAACTCCCTGGCGGAGAACTTTGCGTTGCTGTCTGATCACACGATTAAAATGAACAGACATTACCAGGATGCCCGCATCGCCCTGCCAATTGAAGACTTGCAATCGCTCTACAAGAAGACGTATGCGGGTCGTGAGGCCAACGCCAAACTCGCACGTGAACCAGAGAAGGTCAGCGGCGCGCGTTTGTCGGGACCGTATTTCCTGCCTCTCGCGACGGATACTACGCCCATCCAAGCTGTACGCTTCGGCCTCAAGTTTCTGAGCGAGTACTGCGAGAAGGAGGGATTGCAGTATAACCTCAGAGTAAATCTGGATAAGCCGGAATAGTACGAGATTCCTGGTTGGTATACGCGAGGTTAGAGTATGTTGTTGAGGGTGGACGGTGTAGACATGTATTTCTTGTTGGCGTTTTGTTGTTATCCATTTTGAGTGCCAATTAGCGGGTGGTTTTTGTTTTGCTTTGAAACAACTCTGATACCCCATGAGGTTTGGCTGGACTTGTTCTCCTGTTTTTAGCCAGTTACCATTCCTCTTCTTCTTGTACGGTCGGTTCTATACGTAATGGGTTGCGATTGTGGGGATCAAAGTGGAGTCTAAGTTAAGGCGTTGATAACGGCATGGACGAAGGCAAATGAGACTCCGACTTACAAAAGTCATTTATAGTTGGTCTTTCTTGTAACGGTATACTGCAAAAAGTCTCGGATTTTGTGATCATGTTCATATAACATAACTCGTGCAAACATTATCTCAACCAAATTTGTCCTTGGAGTGCCAACGCCTTAAAAACTCCCATACTCGTATCGTCATCAAGTGATATGCCAGCACCTTTACGATGAAAACACCCTCTCCAATCTCTCCAATAACAAATCCGCATGCCCCTTTTGGAAAATCAACATAGGCCTCAAACGAACTGCCCTCTCTCCGCTCCCTCCAATATTAACTCCCTCACCCTTCGCCTTCTTAAGCACCTCATCCCGTCGTACACTGTCAAACGCAATGAATGTGCCCTGTCCCTTTCCTCTCAGATTCTGGATGTCCTGGGGGAACTTCTCACTCAGCCTCTGCAGCCCGTTGTATAGGTAATCTCCAACAGCGGCGGTAGAGTTGACGAGGTCCAGACGTTTGATTTCCTGGATGATGGCACGGAAGAGGATGGCGCGGGCTGGGTCGCCCATCCACGTGTTGAACTGACGGTAAGGCTTGTTGGGACGGAGATCGTTGTTACCAAAGTAGTACCCGGCTGTCTGCGCCTTCTTGGAGAAAGTAACCATGTCAGGTGGTGTCGTCAGGCCCCAGTGTTCATGAGCCCAGAATTTGCCTGTCGCGCCGACACCCGTTTGCACCTCATCGACGATCAGGAGGACGTCGTGTTTCTTTGTGATGTCGCGTAGGCCGCGGAAGAACGCGGGGGTGGCGTGGTTGTCACCACCTTCGGATTGAACGGGCTCGATTACTACGGCAGCGGGCGGGTTGTGGAAGGTTGTCAGTATGTGTTCTGTTTCATCTAGACATCTCTGTTCTTCTGCTGCGTTTTCCGCCTCATGTTCATGTAAGGGATATTTGAGAACGGGGAATGGGGCTTGTGGCCAGTCGAAGGCGGGGATGTCGAGCTTGTGGATGGGTTTAGAGCGTGTGGTTGATAGACTGCCAAAGAGGCGGCCGTGGAACCCTGTCTTAAAGGATAAAATGGACATGTCCGGGGCACCGGGTGCTTTGTTATCCATGGAAGAGGTAATGTCTTCCTGTGAAAAGTCGGCGGAAGCGCCGCCACGTTGCTGTTGGCGCTTCCACATAAAGGCTGCTTTGTAGGCAAGCTCGTTAGCGTCGGAGCCGGCTTGCGCTGTGAAGACTTGGTTTAGGCCTTTGGGCGCTACGGAGAGGATACCAGATTCGAGAATGTCAGCCCAGTCGTGCTGGGGGAAGTTTCCGAGAGCTGGGCGATTGATGATGGCGGAAGCCATTTCGGGGGATGTGGCTGCGAGGAGGAGGGAAGGGTTGTTGTAGCCTACAGGGATGGAGGCAATCTGTGCGTATACATCAAGGAGAACGTTGCCGTCGAGGTCTGCAATGCTGATTTGTGTCAGTCTCAGTTCGTTTCTGGAAGCATGCCAAACATACTAGTTGCCATAGCTTCGTGAGTAATCAGCCATCATGTTCAAGCTCCTGGTATCGAAGACCTTGCTTAGTCTCTCAATGGCTTTCTTACTCTCCGGACCGGGTATCTCCGTCTTCACAATTGGCTGCCGGGGCTCATCTGGGAAGAAGGGGTGCTCTCCGCTATCTGCAACAGCCGCTGCCGCTGCGGAAGCATGTCGTCTTTGTGAGGCAATTGGTGCCTTTGCAGCTACACGGACATTTGTGCGAAAGATGGGGGCTCGAATGCGACCGGCATTGCGGATGAGGGATGCCATCGTGGTTGTTGCCAGTGTTGTTGTTGTTGTTGGAAGAAATATGACGGAGGGCTGATGACGCCGCGGGGAGCTCGAATGCGGGGAGACGCGACGCGTAACAGTAGCAGCTCTGTCACAACAAACAACAAGACGATGTATGTCAAGGACTACAACGAGAAAATGGGATACTCGGAGTTAGAGAGACCTCTGGGATTAAGAGCGATATCGCATCTTATATCAGTTCAGAGCTGTTTATCTATGCGTCGATAGAGCTGATAGAGCTCCATCATCAACCGGCCCTAACCCGTTGCTATCCCCGCAAAAGCTCGTCCAAGCGAGCTCCCCCAACGCTTGACCCACACTAGACCCTTGTCTAAACCAACTTCAGTTGATAGAAACTGGCAATGTGTTCCGGTACACGCCGCAGACGCCATGCACGCTGGGTCCATCACCAACATCCAGAAACATCAAAGAGGGGTTTCTATTCCGACTTATTGGCTCACTTTTGGCGCTGTTGCTCCTCGACTACACGCCTCGCAGCAGGATTGTCCCAGGTATCATTGAAGTCATACTCTGGAAGCGCTTCGATCTTGCAGTCGAGCTGGGCTCTGGTTATAACGACTGCGTCCTTCTTGCCCTGCTCCTCCGAGATGGGGACCCCTCCTTTGTCTTGCTCCCAGGTTATGGCTTCGATCTTCGCACCGTTACCGCTGTCACCGTCGTTTGGCTTCACATGAAGGATGTACAGTTTGTTGCCTGTCCAGCTTCGAGCATAGTGGACGAGAATGTTGTTGTTTTGGCTTTCTTCTGTGCTCCAGATGTTCCATCTGTCGTCCATACTCTCAGAGTCGACACCGGCTTTGAGCTTTGCGAAGTCAGCTTCGCTGATGCTCACGTCCCAGGGCGCTGTACCAGGCTCGATCATCGCGGCGCGGTCTTTCCATGCCTTGTCAGGGAACGCCATATCGCTGGGTCGTGTTTTGGAGTCGACGCTAACCAACACGGGCTGTAGGAAGGCAGTGTTCTTTTTTAGATTGATATGAGACTGGGGACCATGGGCGTTGTCGAAGATATATCCTACTGTTTTCAGGGGGTAGCGAAACTCGATGACAAAGGCGTACGGATGTGTGTATATGTTGAAACTGGACACATGTTAATCCCTGACCATGACGTAGTGGTGCGGCCCTTCCATAGACGACTGCACCTACGAACCTACCACGAAGCGCCAGCATGGGCAGCTGTGTTGGTTTCAGACTACCTGTTGTCCCTATTGGCCCCGCAATCCTTCCAGATAGGATTCCCGGTCAGCTTGGAGGCACAGTTTGGAAGGCTCCCTCTACGAATAAAGTACCTAGGTACGCTTATCTGGTAAATATCATGCATCTTAACTTAGAGGATTCCGGCCAGCAAAGTAACAAATCGGTGTGAGGTATGTGTTTCCGATCACATACCTTTACTGTCAATATTCATTGCCTCAATCTCAGCCTCGACATGCATCGGCATAGCTGCTTGCATCGGATGTAACTCTAGTTTTACTCCGGACTTCTGCTAATGAGAAGATACTCTATCGACACTACAGCTTATCTGTCTGAACTACAGGTATGGATGTTTTGTGCTACACAAAGTGGCACACATTGGTAACCGCTAAGCAAAAGTGTTACGTACGCCGGATTGCTGACACCGTGCCGCAAATAGGTCGTTGGAAACATCGATGTTCGGACTCCGAATGGGGGCGGTGGACTAGCTATTCATACGAATGGAAGTTCTCAAGTTCCCGATGTAGTGGAGCTCAGTGGCTCAGTTACAAGTACAATATTCGAGAACCCTAGTAGGTGCTATGGCACTGGGGCAGTAACATCTTGCTGTGCCCCTCTACATGAATCACTTTGAAAGACGTCTTTCTTTGGAAGCTGAGTACGGTACTCTGGCGCTTAGTCTCAGCAATAATGACACGATAACCTTTGAGACGGTAGGTACATCACTTTGGGGTCTGTAAAAGAGGCCGTTGATTCATTACCTTCAAGGCCGAGTCGAGTATAGAGAGCACATGGCTTTTATGTTCATTCATCAGCCCGATATCCTTCGTCTCATCTCACGATACTCTACTACACTCAAGACTTCGGCTTTCCCCTTCGTTGGCAGCGCTACCTCGCCCTAGAGTCTCGAAAGCATTACTGCAACATGCACAATTGTCCCTTGTTTATTATCCCCGGTTTCATTGTATTACTACTGAGCAATGTCGCAGTCACCACTCCAGATATACTCTATCGTGGTGACTCGCGCACCGGCAAGACCATCAAGGATGGCGGAGGCTTCAAGGCAAAAGGCTATAACAACCCAGAGGGTACCTTATTTGAGCACGTAGAAGGACAACCGAAGTATCCTTCTCGAGACCCCTACATTCCTACTTCAGAAAGTCTCAGTTTCTTCAAGGGATACGTGCCCGAAAAAGGGCGTATTTTCTTCATCGACTCCAGTAAAATCATCGAAGACATTTTCGATGTTCAAGCCGAGTACGATAAAGCAGGGTTGCCGTATGGACATGCAGTTGAAAAAGAATTTGCTGTCGGGAAATCCATTCCATGGGAAGCTATAACCAAGGTCTTGAAGAAAAATGAGAAAGGAGAGTGGGTACCCATCAAATTGTCCACATATGCGACACTTGTTGGCGCGGACATATTTGAAGATGTCAAACCTAGCAAAGGATGGGCTCTTTCCATCGCCATGGTGTCCATGGTAAACTCGTACAGCGGATCGGCAAACATTAGAAACGCTTGGAGATTCTTCACCACTGGCGTTAAGAAGGCAGTGGGTAGCTGCGGCGAGACCGATGGGCAGGAACTTACTCCTTCGGTGCCGATGGACTCAAGGGCGGATCCCAGAAACCCACCATGGCCCGCAGGCGATTTCACGCTGATTATTGAGGGAGAGGAGTGCCACTACAAGTGTGATGGAACGAATCCTGGCAGTCTTTTCTGCCCGGACAGGGGGATCTCTTGTGCGGAGGATACTGCGAAGAGTTCAGTGGAAGGTATGAAGAATTGCGACTCCAGAGTCTCATTTCATGCTGTAGTTTACTGCGACTTTTAGATATGTTTGAGGCTTGGGTGTGGTTTGTGGGTACGTAGGTGTGGGACGCAACACCGCGCAGTTTATCGTATTCTAGCGTCGGAGGGATTTGTATAAAAGATCGGATCATTCCCTAGCCCAATGCGACTTTGAGTAGTCGTCTCAAATATTAGTATATGTTTCCTATCCATCGTAGCACTAATGCGCCTTGCAACTCCCTTCTACTCATGACATACACACTTCATCTTCAACTTCATATGCACTTCTCGACTTGACATGAAGATGCTGTAATACTCAAGACGTATGTTCATCTAGGCCATATCGTAAAGACACGATGACGAAAAGGAGGTTCGTTTCGAGAAGTCGTGTTGAAGCCATCTTTAACCGACGGGAAGCGTGTTCCTCAAGGCTGGTCATTCCACAGTCACTGCAACCTAGCGTTAGCGCATTGACAACAGTGCGATGACAACTGCTAATCACCTTTCACTCTTGTTAATTAAGTATCCAATCCTCATTCGCCTGCGCAAATTCTGGAAATGCCTGGGTTAGACAAGCCTGTACAAGGTCATCGTTGGGCTCGGCAATCGCTGAGTTTACAGTCGCACGATATTCGTAAGATTCCTGCCTTAATACCCGATTTCGTATTTCAGATTTCTGTTCCACGACCAGAAAATACTAGCCACCCAACTGCGAACCGCAAGCAGCTGTGGCATCATCCAAAAGCTGCGACAGGATATGTTCCCTTTGGCCAGCAATACCGCCACTATACTGTGTCTTCGACGTACCATAAGATACTCGCATTATTTGTTGACACGATGAACGATGCTGGTGTCTGGAGCAAGATTGGGGGTTTATCATGTATCGTGCAACTTTCTTAGACGACAATGCTTAGGAGAAGTTCAAAGATCATTGGTGGCATGAGTGTAATGGTAAGAGGTTTCGCTATGCTTGTCCGCCGGCCGCGGGAAATTTAGCACATGGGATCAATATGATGAGAAGGGTCCTTAAGTACGTAAGAGGTAGAGGGAGATTGTCGTGCACCACGCTTGAATCCTAAAAATGATTTCAGCTCTAGTGTCAGTCTAACATCACGACGCTGCCATGGTCCCACAGATTAGAAAGCTACCGAGACGTTCATGGTGATGTTCGAAAATGCGATATGCACGCAGGCCAATGGCATCCGCACTAGAGATATCAGTTAGGACCATCGTAACTCGTTGTAGGAGTCTGAGTTGTACAGCATGTGCAAAAACTGGCGAGTAGGCTAAAACGTACGATCTCATGATATGAATACTGCATAGCATTGAGCAAGTGGATAATCAAATGTTGAAATGATTTCTGCAGTCACATTCTTTCCGATAATGTGTATCTCCAAAGATACGACTGAGATTCCAGTGACACGACAAGGACCCATACATCAACCGATAATATCCAGCCTACTTTCCAATAACCTAAACACCACATTAGCCAACCCTGACGCACACAAGAAAGCAACTCAACATACCTTATCGACGACAGCCTGTCCCATCATCGCCGCATTAGCCAAACTACTCTCCATCGTCCCACCAATCCTCATAAAGTTCACGGCCAGCACCTCCAACCCCTTCTCCTCACAAAGCCTTTGCGCATTGAACCCCCATCGATCCTTCAAATCCTGCATCTCACCCTGCTTCCCCTGCGCCGCCGCCACCCACTCCTTCTGCATCTCGCGCAGATCCTCAGGCCGTACTTCCACCTTGCTGGAACCGCGTGCGAGGATAAAGACGTAGCGGTGGGGACGTGAGTAGAGATAGTTGGGTAGAGGGGCTGGCCGCACGTAGGGTGAGCGCTCGGCGGCGGCGTGGTGGGAAAGAGTGCCTGAGGAGGTGCTAGAGAGGTTTGTGACGAGCCAGTGGCGGACTTGGCCGCAGTATGTGTCGTTGTTCATTAGGAGGTCGGGGTCGACCATCATCAGGACGAGATTGTCTAGGGGTTCGGAGGGCTGGGCATGAGGTTAGTGGTGTGATGGGTGGAATGTTCGTCGTTGCTTACAGGAGGGTTGATGAGGACTTTTGGTTCAGGTTTCGTGTCTGCATTTTCCAACTCTTTGCCTGGGGAGTCCAGCTTTGCGTTTGGCCATTCTAGTGTTAGGTCGTAGGATAGGTTGACAGTTTCTGGAAGAACATCTGGGATCACTTTGTGCTCGGATAGAGCTTGCTTTGTTGCTTGCGTGTTTGACATACTTTAGATTTTCGATTGATTTTCTCGATAGAAAGGATCTTGAAAGTCGCGGCGCTGTCAGTGCAAGTTATTTCACTCGTGTATTATACATGCCAGCAGCCGCATATGCCGGAGAAACACGCGTGTCATAAGCAATTACGCATCATGCATATGACTTTTGGAAGCGATCCGCTCTCGTTATTGCCCATACAAGTTGTCGCGACCGGCGTTGGTGTGCTCTCTTTGGTTAGCGACGCGGATATGCAGGCACGTTGGGTGTCGTTATGGTACGATTGTAGAGATGACGTTGATATGACACGCACAAGACACGCGACGCGAGGGGCCTCGGCCACGTGCTAATCCTGAGTTATCAGCACCATCACTCAAACACTACACACCTGGAAAATGATGCGGAATATTCGATAGGACGTACACTCGTAGTGTACGCCTCCGGTTGATGAACCTTCGTGTATTACGTCCGCAACCAACATCAATTCATCTCTACCCTCAGCCACAAAATCTGCAGTATGCCAACTCGTTATCATCCAATTACTGAGTCAGGTTATCGGCCACGACCAGACAACTCTTGAGGGTTGATCTGATCACCAGCCAATTCTACCGGAGCTTGTGTTTGTGTGGTCGGAGCTTCATATCTGGAAGCTTCGTCTATGGGTGCTTCGTGCCTATACGCTGGTGGTAATGCCTCTTTGACTGGCTCATAGTAGCTTGTCGCCTCTGTAGCTTCCTTTCTCTTCTTGTGCGTCCTTCTTCCGATGAAAACACCCACTGCAATCAGCGCAATGACACCGAAAGCAGCACCCACACCAATTCCGGCCTTTGCGCCTGTCGACAGGCCAGCACTGACGTTATTCTGTTGTGTTTCGGTAGGCGAAGGGGTTGGCGTGTTCGAAGAGCTGGGCGAGCTTGGCGGAATCGAGGCGCTCGTGGGCGATGGGAGTAAAGAACTCGTGATAACGGCCTTGAAGAGCGGGTCGACTTTGAACTTCTCAAGGTTGGGATCCGTGCAGCAAGCATCTGAGTCGCCACAGCACCAGAACTCGGACGTAGCGGTACCATCACAAGGAGTGACAGTTACGTCGTTCTTGCGTTGTTCATCCTACAAGTGTATGTCAGCCTTCGATCGTGCACCGTGTCCCGGCTTGTCATACCCCACTCGAACATAGGTCCTGGCAGCCTCCGGCTTCCCAGTTTTGTAATGTACAGGATTCTCTGAACCATAGGCCCCTAGTCTCATTAGTTGGCGCAAAAGCTTCGCAAATGCCATTCGGAAGACAAGTGTCCTCGCTTTCGCCTATTTTGCAACAGACGTGACTGAGCGGGTCGGAAGTGTCGTTGGAGCAAGGCCAATATTTGGCAACAGTCTGCTCACCGCCGTTGCGCCAGTAACAGGCTGCTTGCGCAGAAGCCAGGGTACCGAAGGCAAGACATAAGACAGCTTGGGGCAACATCATGTGCCGTGTTTGAGATCAGACAGTGCTGTAGGGCCGAGAAGCAGACGCAGGGCCAGCCTCACGCGAAAGGGGACCGATCACTATTTATAACATGGGGGTTATTGCTGCCAAGCGCTTCTATACTTATCATGCTGTAGGATTTATGGGCCGGGGCGGTTATCTCATCTCTTGGGGCTTGTTGTTGCTGTAACGCGTGCAGTGAGTGGGCAGATAAGCGACCGGGCGAAAGCTGACCTAGCAATTTGGGGGCCGTCACTGCTTAGTCGGTGGCCTAAAACGTTGATTTCGCTGCTGCGATAGCATTAAACGGCTTCACTGTCCGACCAACGGTGTAAATACTAGCGCTAATACCTGCTTTGGGATCCGAAGAAATCCCGCGGCCCGATCACCAACACACAAAATACAGAGAACATAGTTGAATATTCACTCAGTTCCAAACCCCAACATAATACATACATACATACGTCTCTTCACCGCTTTCCTTCACATGCCAAGACTAATCGATAAAGCCAGTCCACTCCCTACAGCTCCCCTCCTGATCTTATCCTACCAACGCCATGTCATGCTTGCGCATTCGAATCCATACGGTCGAACGAACGCATTGAACTTTAGGAAGAATTACAAAGAATAAAGAAAGAAGATCTGTAATACAGAAAATGAATGTGTAACTAACTCGCTCGCATGCTATGAACGGGGATGGCCACCGTTCACTGGGTGCGCTTGTTGCTCGCCAGAGCCGTTTGTGGGGGGCGTCGCGAGTTGCATGGGGCTGCCGTAACCGTCTAATTGTTGGAACGCTACCTTGTTTCCCGTATTTCCTCTTTCCGTAGAGTCGGGGAATGACATGGTAGAGGCGTCGTCCATGGGCGTGAGGCTAGTCTCTTCGACGTCGGTGGTTGCTGGGGGTGGCGGTGGAGGTGGAGGCGCTGATTGCTGGTTCCCAGAGCTTGTTCGGGTTCTCTTTGGCGAGCCAGATAGTCCCTCTTCTTCTCTTTTACGTTTCAGGTCTGATGTTGAATCGGTGGGAGAAGCATCATTCGTATCCCCGGCTGGTCCTTGTGGAGTGCTGGGAGACTCATCGGCAAGGTCAGACTTCAAACCACTCTGCGCAGTTTTCATCTTCTGTCGCTCTTGCTTCTTCTTGACAGCCTTGTCCATGAAACGCTTGACCTCTTCTTTGATAGTCTTCTCGTGATTGGAACTAATCCTAGCCGTCGGATCTTTTACACGACCGGACTTGTAGTCGCCTCGTACAAGCTTCTGTGCCACCTCTTTACTAAGTCTTTTGATCTCCTGCTTTTCGAGCTTCTTGCGGTAATGATTCGCTACGGCCATGACGTGTGGTGAAAGCTATGAGGGTCAGACATGCTTTGCGGGGAAATGGGTGATACTCACTGTTGCTTCATACACCTTTTCCTGTTTCTCTATCGACAGAGTACGCCACTTTTCACTGCCGGAAGCTGTTTCTGTGTCCTCGTTGGGCACCGGCTGTGGGGTAGAAGATGCGGACGGCCCGGTAGGAGTGCCATTCGATGTGATGCTCGCTATAATGTCTTGTAACAACTGAGTCTCGTTCCTGGCCTTGTTCGGAGGAGGAGGTGGGGCATCTGCAGGCTGGGTCGGCCGTTGCCACTGTGTGATGCCAGAGGAATTGTAGAAATACGTCGAACCATTCTCAGCTGTGGCCTGGAACCAACCCTGTGGAAGAGGGTTGAATGGTCTTGGTCGCATGATGGGTCGTGGAGGAACGAAGAAGCCAGCTGGGCCGCGAGGCGCATTTAACACACGAGGGCCGGACGGGATGTTTGCTGCGGATGGGCCTTTAGGGGCAATCGTAGACGGCGATTTTGACCTAGACCTAGAGCGTTCACGGCCTCTCTCGCGTCGTTCGAAATGGTTCTCAGTCCGGACTGGTGTGCCTGCGTTTGGATCTCTCTTCAGCCGTGGTATCCTGTAGCCGATTTCCAGCTTACTCCATGCTGACAACAGCTCTTTGGCGGCCTCTTCTACTCGTTCCTCCCCACAATTTTTCAGCTTGTCTACCTCCTCTTCGATCCCGGAATCTTGGATCTTGTTTCGAGTAATGCGCGGCAGTCTGCGTAGTATGTCCAGCACCTGTAGAACAACATTGTAGTCATCCCTCCATTTGGACAATGTAGTTTTGAGAAATTTATAGCCGTGGAATTGAACGATGCGATGACCAACCCTCTCATTGTCGGTCTGCATACGACTGAGAAGCTTGACAGTAATCCACTTTTCTTCGCAGGTGCGCAAAGCTGTCAGGACCTTGTTGACTGCGTCTTCTTCAAGCTCGCGTGTCTGCAAATCACTGATGTATTCTTCGTCGTCTTCGCTAGCCTTCTTCTTGCGGGGCTTCTTGGCGACTGCTGTACCCCAACCAGCACCATCCTCGATTCCGAGAGCCGCGATCGTATCATTACTAAGGTTTGTCGCGTTGTCGGACTGTGTCTTTCCGCCGATAAAACCACTGCAGTTAGGCTCGCCACAATAGCAAGGTTGCGGGTCCGCGCCGTATCGATCGACGTTGTAGTTGAAGACAAGCTCCTCGCCTGCTTTGACGTTGCGCTCAACGAATATGCCCATGCGCAGCTTGTCCCCAATAACCCATTTGTCAACAAAACAATTAGGATTGCACGAGTGATTGCAGAAACGACCAAGGTTACCCTTTTTCGTGGCATCTACAAACTCGCCCTTGGTAAGAGACATGAAGTAGAAGTGCTTGATTCCCTCATCGTCGTATTGACCCATTCGGCGGCGGAAGGTGCGCTCGTCGATGACTTCGCCGATATACTCGAAGACAAAGTCGCCTGGAGCCATGTCCTTGTTGGCGCGAAGACCAAAACCCTTCTTCTCCGTCTTTATAACCGCGACATCCGCATATTGTTTCCGTTGAAAGCGCTGGTTCTGGCATTTTCGACCGCAGCCGCAATCACCCAGGCACTCCATCTTTGTCGCGCGGTTGATGCAGTCAGAGTCTTCGCCACAGGCATGATTGGTCTTGGTTGTGATGTCGTATTCTTCTTGACAGTCGCATTCGAGCGCAGGGTCGGTCGTGCCGATGGTCTTGTTCGCGTACGTGCATTCTGGGAGGACTACAAAGGTTTCTTTCGCGGCGGCGGTGGAGTCGGGGAGATCGAGGAATAGCGGAGGTGGGCGTGTGACGACCTTTTGGGACGCGGTGCGTGAGAGCTTTGGTGCCTTGCCGGGTTCCATCTTCAAGGTGATATCTCCACCTAGGACCTCTTCATGGGCGCTGCCGGGCGATGGAGTATCGAACTCGCGTTTTGCCATAGGCGACTGGGATTTGGATCGCGTCTTGAGCCTTGGAGGTATGGCGAGAGGCGTGTGCGCGCGGTCCAGAGAGTCTACCTCCACCTTCACCTGACTGGTGCCCTTGCCCTCACCTGCTCCATCCAAGGTCGCAGCTTCCAGCTTCATCTCGCGTAGCTCGGGCTCTAGTTGAGCCGTTTTTTGGTCCGACTCGCTGTCCGACATAATGTTGAAAGTCGTGGGGTTGGTGGAAGGTGCTGAAGAGAAGTGTGAAGGATTGCGAGAATCTCAATGAGAGGGACGCTAACGCTCGATGTCGAATATCACACATGCAGAACCAGGAGCCTATTCACCTCATAGTCCATGCGATGCGCATACACTCAACAGTCCCAGAACAGCTTCTTGCAAACCTGAGTGAAAGGCGACGGACGAAGACGAGAGGCTCGGTCGTCTAGGGTAATGACTGAAGCCAAGTTTTTGCTTCCCCTAGGCACGAGGCGGCGCAAGTCGATCCAGATTCGCTATGCGTATACACCGTACTCGACGCACTAAGTGACAAGAGCTTTATGGAGGTGTATGTGTTCCTGACGCCGTCGCCGTCGCCATGTAGGTGCGCGGGATGGAACCGTCGCCGCAACCAGGCCTTTCGCGGGTTCGAGCTCTCTTGTCTCGACGACGACACCGCAGGCGATTCTTTCTAATCCGCAATTTTTTACGTGTGTAGGCCTGAGCAAGCAGGATCGATCAGTAGACGACGTATTCGAGTGGTGGTGCTGCGCGCGACGCGATGCGCTGAGTTCGGGATGCTACTTTGGAGATGCGAACGAAAACTAGCGTTAGCCTGTTGGCCCAGCCTCGGCCCTCCATGATGCAGGGCCCCTCTGGTGATGCCTACCATCGGCGCACGCAAACAAGTCAACTGGATATACATGAAAGATCCAATGCGATGGTATCATTACATGTTCTGAATAGAGATGCGTAAATGTTGAGGTATTGGACTACAGAGCTACTATACGTAAAGTGAACTCTTGGCGACTCGTGGACTATCTAAGAAGTTGTCAGAACGTCGAAGCAAGTTGGTTGTTGTGATCAACAAAGCACGGCAATCTAGTTTCGCTGTTCAAAGGGGGTTCTCACTTACACGAGCACATCCGCTGTTGAACGTATGTCACGTCAAGTCGCTGAGGCGTCATCATTGTGTACACACTGGAAAAGCCCAAGGCGTTGCACAGATCCTTGCCGAATGGGGAAACTAATCTACATTCATGTGCAACTGTAATAACAAATGCCACTAAATAACCTTGGCCTGTCACTGTAGCCGAGGCTTATAGTGAATGAGTAGTGGGCGATGTATCAGAATACCTTCGTTATCGGTGCATTGTACGCGAGTCACCGAGACGTACGGTATTCGCGGGCCGAGGAGAGACCCAGGGCGACGAGACATGTTGAACGGTTAGAGCAGCATGGATCGAGCACGACTCAGGTCAGCGTGTGAGTTGACCGCTCATGCAAGCTGGAGTTGTTCAGTCATCGGGAAACATTAGGTGGCTGGTTGTCAGAGTCCGGACAGCTCGTTCCTTTTCCAGAGATCCAGATCGGGTGGAACTAGCGCGAACCCAGTTCTTCGAAAAGAACGGGTTTCTTCGCGGTGTGATGGAAAATCAGGTGTCGAACTGGGATTGCGATGTACGACATCCGGCACCGGGTTATCCATGTGTTGTGACTTTTGTAGCGGGGTGTTCGGCCGCTTGAATATGGCCAAGTCATGACGCTTTACATAGACTTCTTTTCTAAGATCGCTGGCGTTCGGAGTCTCGACTACAGCATTGATGCATGTGCTTGCTGTTGAGCTCCGAATGCGCGGAGCAACTTTCCGAAAGACTAAATAGTGGCAGATAGAAGTAGGGCCGCCAATGGCGCATCTTACTGTCCTGGCGATGGTTTCCAACTGGCTTACTTAAGCGAACATTGGTCCACAAGCATACTAGCGCAAACTTTGACTGAACGGCTACCTACTCTACACAGCAGACCCATGACGCCGGCACGATAGCTGACCTGGCGGCACCGGCTAGACTTCGCCAGACTGTCACTCGCTGCAGACCAGCGGCACCAGATGCCCGCTGAGAGAAGACACTTCCACCTAGCGGACAGCCATAAATTTCATTGGGGGCTATGCCGAATCGCGGGCCGCTCCCGATCTTCGACTGGTTTCAACTGGCTCCGCGTAGCATACGGTGTGAAATGTGAAAAGACCAGCAGGAGAGTGCTACGTGTCGATGCATGTGCGCACATTCGTCGCTGGCCAGGTATAAGAAAGCGAGCATCAAGCTACGCAGCTGCGACGTTTGTGCCTCTCGATACACACCTCCCAGCAGCAGTCCTGGAACAGACTACACATCGCACCGTTGTAGACAGGGATGACGACGCCAGTCTTCCGCTGCCCCATCAGGCGCGACGCGCTCACGACGATCCGCGCGGAACCGTTCTTGACAGATTGCACGCAGGACACCAGCGCTGCTGCGCGTACCGAAATTTCAACCTCCTCAAGATTGCGCTTGCGGTCATCTCGAGGAACAGTGACGGTACTGATCAAACCCCCGAAACAAAGGCGGCAGCGTACATGAGAAAAAAGGAAGGCAGGGACTGGTTTGCAAGGGAAGGGCCGTTAGTCTCAGGCTAAACCCTCCACGGCTGGTGAGACACGGCTTAGCCTACCCTCTAGGCGATTGGCTCATCGGTTTGCGCAATCGTTTTCGAACATCCGCTGAGGCTTTCGAGATGGGGTAAAGCGCCGCCAGATCTATGTTACATACGTAGGCTTCGTTATCGATTTGCGACAAATACTGATTTGGACAGATACCGTGCGGGAAGCCTTGGAAGCTGCATTCTTGGTGTGGGGACTAGTCGCTTCCCATTCGTCTTTGAAGAAATCCGCTAATGTATAACATACCGGGTGGCTCTCCCCAGTAATCTCTCACGGGAAGCTGTCTCTCCTAATTATTTTGACCCAGCCTCATGTGGTCCCTTCTGACACAAACTTCTTGCCTGCTGGCATGAATACGACAACCAGAGCCCGCCGCAGGTTTCTTTGATTTTAGTGCTCTTCTTCTACCGCTCGTTACTCTTTCGTTTCAGCACTCTCGTTTGTTCTGTTGGTAGACGCAGCTATACAACCGCGCGCGAGGGCGCGTTGCTCTTCGCGCCGGTCCACTTACTTTACGGCCTTGTGATCGATGCTCAATTAGTCTGGTTGCATACAGCAAGCTTTTGCCACTACTACTTCTTGGTCTCTGCCCTCGCGTATTTTGAGCGTGTCGAGGATCACGACATGGAGCCCTCGAGCTCGCGCGAGCCACCATGGGCAGAGCATGAAAAGGTACGTACCTCTTCCCAACACTTTAGCACATACATTCGTGGTGTACTGAAAACTAAAACAACTATTTTAGGTGTATTTACTTGCTGAAGTACTAAAAGCGGCTCCAATACCATCTCATGTTCTCTTCGGCATTATACGCGACGCCAACATCCAGCCACGATGGAACGATATGGCATTGCCTCCAGGTACGCCCTGTCTACCTCTGCGCTCTCCTAACACCCATTAATTATCACAACATTACACACAACCGTTGCAGTAGAGGAGTACACTAACGCGATGCAGGCCGGTCTGTTCGCTCTAGTCAGATGGCATTCGAAAGCCTCGCAACAACGTACGCCGCGCCCGGGCAGGAGTATAGACGCCCCCAGCTCCCTGCCCCGATGATATATGCCGGATCCGATCTCTCGAGAAAGCGACCACTTCAGCAAGAAGCTTCCACGCCGGTTGGCCGGTTACTACAGCCCCGTCCCCCGCATTCATTCCCAGGAGAATTCATGCCCGCCGGCCCTGCCTACGCATCTACAATAAACCTATCTGGTGAGCCAGCGAACAAAAAGAAACGTGGAAGGCCTACGAAGGCAGAGGCACAACAAAGAGCGCAAGAGGCTGCTGCGAGAGGCGAGGTGTATCCACCACCAAGGAGGGGAAGGCAATCTATCACGGCACCACCTGAACCGTCACCACTCGGATCGGACCCTCGATCGGACCCTCGACCACACGATCGAACACCCCCACCAACAGCGCCTTCTCAGCAGGCTCCTGTGATGACACCACAACACCAAATCGGGGTAGAACATGGGTCAGAATCCTCGTCAGGCAAGAGAAGACGCACAAGGCCACAGCCATTGGAATTAGAGAAACATCGCTCAACCAGCGAAATGGAGTCTCCGCTTGCATATGGATCAAGTGATCCTAGTCGCAGCCAGCAATACTCAACATACACGCCCATTTCTGCGCCCTTACCATCTTCCACAGAATCCAGGGACAGAGATGTGCGCATGGAAGGAGTCGAAGAGACTCAACCACGAACCACGACACCTCACTCGTTTAAAGATACGGTCGGCATATGACAGCGTTTCTTTCGTCCACAAAAGCAACATACGGCGGTAATCCTGTTTTCAAAGCGTTCTGTCAACGACTTTACTTACGCACTCACGATGAACTATGGCCATGATACCATGGAGGTACGCTCTGCCGTTTACGCTTGCTGCCACATTTGATGAGCACCAGTCATGCGCGCGCATCACTTATCATGTCCACGTTGTTATTGCAACCCTGGGGCTGTTTGTGCCCCAGACACACTATCATTTTTCCCGTCAAGCTCAATTTCCTTGTCACAACCTGTTGATTCGTTTCTTCGTTGACTGCATATCCGTACTTTACGAAAGTCGAGATATGACGAGCCTTTACCTAATGTCTTACTATCGCTATCTTCACGACTAAAGAGTTTCGTATCTCTTTCGGCAGTAAGGCGCTTATGCCAGCCATTTTGTTTTTCCGCAACATGTACGATAGATGGATTTCCGATTAGTTCCGCATTACGGCCTCTGTACAAAAAGCACCTATTAGCAACAGCATCAATAGTAGACTTGGCCGTGGCCAATCAATCCGCAGTCCTCCATCGCTTTGAGCGAGCATTTCTCGTACCATGTCGCACCTCTCTCCTGCATGTCAATGTACGTATCCTGGTGTCCATTCATCTAGCGAGTACTAGCATTTCACGACGTCAAGTTCCTGCAGGCTGACCAGGAAGGCAGCATAGAAGTGGTTGGGAATCCGAACCGGGCAGCGTAGGGCAACGCGAACCGCGGCGCGTGACGCAAGCAACGGGTCCTGTTTCACCTATGAATACTCTACGAACTTCGGTGCTACTATCGCCCGTTCTCGTACTTCATACACAAGGTCGCGACGCAGGGGTACAGTTTGCTATTCCGTACAAAACTGTTCGGCAATCTGCATGTAAGCGCCCACCAAAGCATCCTCTGCACTAGACAATCAATCGCATCCATCAGTTTTCGAACATAACAACCGCATTTTCGCCGGGGAAGGGGGTGGTTGGCAAAAGTTCGGCAAAAGAGCTTATGAGTATTGGTTGAGAGGCTTGTGAGGAAATGACTCGAGTTGCAGGTTTGCGGCTACGCACTTGCGCTCTGCAGACTACCACTGCTGCAGCATGAAAGGGGAGTCGACATGACGCCAACGCATGCACGCATCGACCAAGTCCCAACACAGCGAAAACCAAAGCAGACACATTGCCTACCCAACCAACTTAGCCTGTGGTAAACATGACGGCTAAACAGCGTATAATTCATAACAGTGAATTCTGCAACTCTGGTGTTGCGAAAGATCAACAATCGATATTCTCGAAGCTCGGATCAGAGGATGCATGACGGAACCTAAACTCCGAATAATCGCCGTATCAGATCTTACCGAAACACCCCACGTTGCGCCTACTATACAAATCAGCGGCGTTTATTTTTTCGATCTAGCAAAACGAGAACGAACAGGTTCACCAACGCACTGGGCTATGGAAACTTTCTTTGCCAAACACATAGCTGAACCGAAACGGCGCCCCTTCCCGAAATCTTCGATCTAAACGGCTGGCTATCGAACAAACGTTTTTGTGACATGTCCCAGTAACCCGTATTTCGTCGCGCGGCAGCGCCAGCGTTTTGCCATTCGATATTGCCAATACATGTTATTCTCTGGGCCTTTGTGGCGTAAGGCCTTCCTTCCATATGGAAGGCGGTTCTTGCCTGAAATAGTAGGAGGAAATGCAAGTGCGACACGATTACACGCATGGACCAAGCGTTCGTGGCCTTTTCTCTCCGGAGTTCCGGGGGTTATGAGTGGTGGGTTGATTCGTTAGGTGACTTGTTGTTTTGAATCGGAATGGATGTGCTTGTGATAATTATTTGCTTGCACTTCCAACATGTGGGTACACTTTTATCGTTGATACAGTATACACTGAACGCAACATCTACCCCACGTCCATGACGATACCCGCTGATACTGACGTCGAAGCGCCCGTCCGTGTTTTTTTTTGCTTACACCTACCTGAAACACATACATCGTAGCTGGCGATCATAAACGCGCTTGTATATTACCCTGATCGTCATAACATGTTCTCATTATACCCATATCTCATACACCCATCCCGTCATGGCGTCCACCTTCTTCTTCTGGCCTGCTGATCCAGCCAATACAACGATCGTCCCGTGCTCTTCCATCCGCTTAGCCTTGCACCTCGGTTGCGTCTTCCGACATGCAGACATGCAACGTGCAGATGAGTTAGATGAAAGATGCTTCGTACCTGCATATTAACGATGGGTTCCTGCATCGAAATCATCTATACCATTGCTCCATGAGGAAAGAAGAGTTTATTGGGACTATGCGCATGCAATGCCGTGACGGGGCGGTGGTAGTGGTGCATATACCAAAGATGGAAACTAGAGTATGGCGCATGTGGGATGGAGATAGAGGACGAGGGGGACATAATTAAGGGTGCTGTGGGGAGAGATATGGAATGGGGTTAAAAGGCTATATGTCCAAGAGGGGATATGTTAGGCGAAGAGGGTATGGGGAAATGGGAGTTAATGTAGTTGGAATTGTATAGGGCGTATGTGGGAGGGTTCGTTTCGAGTCTCTCGCCCGCTTCTGTGCCTCTTGGCGATGAGGGTACTACCTAGGTAGATGCTTGTCGACGAATACTTTCGAATGATGTTTTGTACGGAGTATGCATAATATGCATAGTGAAGGAAGGGTGTCACTGATACCTATCTACCTTCCTGGTAGTTTGGTAGCATTGTGAAGTGATGACAATGTACAGGGTTTGTTGCCGCGCGATATTCTGACGGCAATGAGGGTCTCCTTCGACAGGTGGCTACGCTACGTAGACAAAAGTTGCGCGTGGCTTCGAGGTCGATTAGAAGAAGAACGAGAAGGTTTCATTGATTGATGACATTGGGATAGTATATCGGCTTTCAAGTATAGGCTCAGGTGCCCTTCCTTGCACCACGCACTTTATGCAGTCCAAGAAATAATTCGAAGAGCGTCATTGAACGCCGCCCAAAGATGCTAGTGGTATCAAGAAAAGAACCCGAAGAATAGTAATAACCCAGCCAAATAGAAAGCGTTTGGCAATGCTAAGGCCGCTGCCAGGTTTTCCCTCCCCAACGCCAGATGTAATCAAATTAAGAGTCAAAGAGATGGGTGCCTTGCTACGGCGCTACAGAATCTTCCACGGCGAGAAGCTAACCCGTTGTATTAGAATCGTGCTTGCACCCTTCGCAGGTCCAGACTCGTGTTTTCTGGGCAAGAATTGGTATTGGTGTTTTTGTGTGCTGTTGTATACATGCACGATGGAAAATTCGACGTATGCAGTCCTGTAACAGTCTTAGTTTACGAGCTTACTAGCAATGTAGGACTTGAAGAACTTACAGTGTTATTGCAGGCGATGATACCCGATGTGCCTGGTGCCGTCGATGCGTCGGCGCCACAGTAACACAGGTCGTAAGGTGGATCTGCATCCTCGTCCTCATTTTGAGGTGTATACAGTGACTCTGCCGGCATTTCCAATGAAACTTCGCTCATATTCACATCGCCATCAAGATCCCCGTTGATAGGAGTCAGATAGCCAGTCTCTGCGACTATGGCTTTGTCTTTACCCTTTCTGTCGTTCTTCGACGTAAGGTCCTTGTTCGTTCCGTAGACCGAGTTAAAAATGCCATCGGCCTGGTTAAGAGATGAATACGTTTGATGTTCTGGGTTGAAGCCAATCTCTTTGCCAGGTCTGTTGTTCGCGCCATTGCCAGCAGGACCAAGAGGCGTCTCTTGATGCTGAACATCGAGTTCTACCAGACGTTGAGAAAGCTCGTTGTCTTCTCGGACGTTAATTTTCTGTTGGCCGACAGTTTCCAAGGCTTTGCCATATACCTCTATTGAGATCACATCCTCGTTTAGTAACTCGTTCAGCTTCTTGGTGAATTCGAACATGATGTCGTCGCGCCATATTTGTACACCACGTTCGCGCGCGAACCGAATGATGGAGTCTCCTGCATGCATATCTGCTTGCAAATTCTCCTCGTGCATAAAGTCGTCGAATACCTTCAAGAATCGCCTGGACGCTTCCGGTAGGCCTGCCTTGTCGATCTCTGCATGTTTCCGACGGTACATCCATCCTTCGTCCAACTCGTCGTCGCTCTCACTGATTACTTCGCCGGGTTGGAGCGGCCTCTTACTGATCGAACGGAAGAACGTGATGCCCTTTGGTGCTTTTGGTACGACAAATGTCTTCTTCTCCCTTCGCGGCCTAAACTGCACTTGGTCTGGAGCTTTGCGCGGTCTAGGCCCAGGCGCAACTTTTGAGCAGTTCGTTGCTAACTTTGTCTTTGCATTCCTAGTGGGTTTTCCCATTTTGGCAAGTCGTTCAAATTCGTCGTCACCTGCCAGATACCGCCTTCTATCGAAGGGTCGGGCTGGTGCAAGTACACGCACGTCAAAAGGTTCGTCGGCGGTATCACTTGCACGTTGGCCCGCTCTATAGTTCGCCACCTCGCTCTCAAACCGCCAGTGCTCGACTCCGTGCTCATCGACGCGTTCTAGGGTGACTTGATAGTCAAAGTACTCGTGCCAACTGATCAGGTGCATCTTGAGGTCTTCAATGCCTGTGGTTTTCCTCTTAGAACAGTGTGGGCACACAAGCTCCGACCGCTCGAGGCTACCGTTGCCGTAAACGAACGTAAGCTTGTAACGGGGTTCCATATCGAGAGGCGGTGTGGGATATGAGCTGGTAGGCTCTATTGTGTTTCGAAGATGACGGTTGTAGCTCGTTAGGACCGAATCTCTTTTGAGCGGATACCAGTACATGCTAACTTCTAGCTCGATGCCGAGCTGGTTTCCCGATGCTCTTAATGGTAAAGATGTTCTTTCTCGTGGCACATCGAAAATGTTACCATATGAAGTGGACAGGCGGGCTGGTGAATCCGAGATTTTGAGGCCCATGAAATCGTACAGGTCCTCCACATCCGTTTGGTTTTCGAAGTTTATACTGATCATTATCCCATGTATATCATTCTCATCGATGTTGCTGGGGTCGGTATACCAGCTTTGGCGATAGATGACAATAGGCTCCATTTCCATCGAGACCCATCGGTCCGTCCTACTATCAATTCCCCGCAGGGTTGCTTCTTGTTCTGGCGGATCGCTACACGGCGTACCAGGGGATGATGAAATGATTGACGTCTTGACCGAGCTCGCCAGTCGCAACAGAGTCCGCGCCTTTTTCACCGGGCCATTCTCACGATCACTGCGAGGAGCGTGCTGGCGGTTCTGTAACCGGATATCGTGCACCTCAAGAACGAAGGATCCTGCGGCCTTCTCTGCTGAGACCATATCGTCTAGCAAGTCCCAAGACGGGGGTCGCCAATTGGCGCGAAAACTAATTCCCGTCTCTTCGTCGTGATGCTTGCTGTGACGAGAGTGCACCTGTTTTCTATTCCGCTCTAGGAAGGGGAGTCTTCTCTTCCTGTACAGGTAATCGTACAAAAGTATGTTTCCAGAAAACCTGTCTCGCCGTCCTAGCATGCTCTGCCAGTGCATATGCATATCAGACAATGTCTTGTCTCATGTGAGAGTTTGGTTCACTTACAGAATTCCTCGGTTGCTCAGTTGCATCCTACAGCAACCGAGAATGCGTGGTGAGGGCGCGCATTGGGTAGGGCCAGGCGAGAGAATGTAAATTTTACTGCGGTAGTTCGCCGTTGTCTTGAGCGTTGGAATATGGCTTTGCAGTAGGAAGATAAGTAAGAAAGTGAAGGTCGCTGAAAAGCAGGGTTGTTGTATATTCTAGCGGTCTGACACTCTGACACCCCTGGATTGCGCGCGATTATCCCACGATATAAGTGCGGCGCAACAAATATGCACCGTTGGTTGTTCAGCTTTGGATCTGGCTGACAAAGGGTTGAATTAGTTGTGTTGTTGTTGCTGCCGTCGCTGTTTGTTGTTTCGGAGAGGTTTGGGTGCGCGACGGCAACCATGGATAACGCGATAGCGCACGAGCAGATAGTGCTCAGATGGCGACAGGATGGATCGCATCTACCCACAGCCACTAGTGTAGAGCAATGCGAACGCCTCAGAGACCCCACACGCTTGATGGCTGTGTGCAGGAGTTGTGTTGCGACAGGTGTCACGTGCACGGGCGACGCCGCTAAGCCGCATCGGCTGGGTGATCCTGGATGATCTCATTGTCGCCCTCTTACCTCCGTAGTCCGTATGCACCGACAATTCACTATCGCAACACTCACTCCTAACCACCACACTCTGGACTCACACACTGGCCTGCTCCATGCACTTCCGCGACTGCTTTCCAGGGTCTAAGCGCCCCTTATAGGCCGGACTCAGGACCAGCCAGTCTTCAAGCCCCAAGCTGGCCCACTACAGTCATTGGACCTTACCTTGTACGACATGGCTGTTACACTGAAGCGCAAACGCGGCGCTGTATCGTATAAAGAGCCGAGCAGTGACGAGGATCTCTCTGAAAGCTCCGGCTATGAGCAGACCACCAGAAAGCGCACCGTACCCTCTCGACGATCTACTCGCCGCCCACCAGCCGACGATGAAGCCGCCAGCGAAAGCGATCACTCTCCGCCACAACCTGCTCCTACCACGCGTCAGCGAGACTCACGAACCTCACGAAGCCGAGGAGTGCCAAGGATATCATACAAGGATGTCAGCTCAGACGACGAAGACGAAGACGACCCCGATGCCGACTTCGAGCTGGAAGAGCAGCGGGTCGTGACCGTGAGGACAAGGTCACGGCCTGTTGCTGCACCAACATCACGATCGGAGAAGACTGGAGGCACTAAGACGAGTAGATCGCGACGCAAAGCGGCCATAGGCGCACCATTGAAGCCGAACAATGAGGGTCAAGTCGAGCGCAAGACGACTATTCCCTCTGATGGCCACAAGCCGGTATGTCTCCTACACCTTACGCATCTACAGCCGCTAATCTCCATATCTAGGCCTGGGCTTCTCTACCGTACCACGTGCTCCTCCAGATCTTCGTTTACGCCTCCCATCCGCTTCACGACGAGAATATGAAACCTACCCCAGCAATAACATGGCTTGTACAGATGGCCAAGATGTGTTCAACCTTTACAAAGCCGGCTCTGACAGCCCTATACCGGAACCCACCCATATTCGCAATCAGGCAGACGCGGAAAGACCTTGTTCACCATCTCATCACTCCTCCACCCAGCGCGCACGATGACTATCGGGTCATGGTCAAACGATTGGAGCTGGACGCTACACAGATGACTGCTCTGACAGATTCGTCAAACAGCGTAGACGACCTTGCGGCTCTGATCAAGTCACTAACGACACTGCGGGAGATTGACATCTTTGACCCCATGGATCGGCCACCCTTTCGCCCGCGGCTTAGGCGACTTCGGCGCTGGGTATATCCTGCCGAGCTCTTCGATGCTCTACGGCAGACCAGCCTACGCCTGAGAAGCTGGCGATGGAATAGCACATTTTGTAGCCAAGGACCTCTATGGATCAAGGCCATCCACTCGGACTCTGCGTTTCAAAGCCTTCGCGATCTAACGCTCACCAAATTCCATCCTGAAGTTATTCGCGAGGACCCTGAAGAGACTCAAGGCGAGCCTACAATGGAAGAGCTGCTGGCATCTGCGTTAGCTGTGCTACCTAATCTCAGGAGTCTCTCTTTCGAGACTTGTGGTGTTGTCAGCGGGCGCCTCCTTTCTTTACTTCCCACCAATCTTACCAGCCTGAGCATCGTAAATTGTGGCGAGCTGCTCTCTGATGCATTCCAGGCTTTTCTGACTACACATGGCTCTCACCTCGAGGAGCTAATCCTGAATCACAATCAGGCTCTCGACATGTCATTCTTGGTTGACTTGAAGCGCTCCTGTCCCAAACTTGAGGTTCTTAGGATGGATACTACCTACTACAGCTCTCTAGTCATGTCTTCTGACAATGAGCCGCTGTACGAGACGCTTCTTGGCGAGAGCGAAATTCCTACTTGGCCAACTACACTTCGGACGATTGACTTTCAGTATCTACGGAACTGGAATTCGAGGTCTGCGGACAATTTCTTCAACTCGCTCATCAACTCTGCTGAAGAACTGCCCTGGCTTCACGAAATTACCATTATCGCAATGGTAGACACCGATTGGCGGCAGAGAGCTGAGTTTAGACAGAAGTGGAGTGCCAAATTCAAGAAAGTCTTCGCAAGGAAGTGGGAGGCACCCGATCCTAGTCTTGCGTCTCTGAAGGCCTTCCGAGAATGGAAGCATCGTGACAATGACGAAGAGAAAGTGGATTCTTTCATTGAGGGCATCTCGGAAGACATAGCTGAGAAGGCCGATCCGGTCATTGTAGATGATGGCAGTAGTAGCGATGATGATGTCCCTCTGCTACCATCGCGTGTACAGAAGCAGGATGAGCGTTGGGGCTCGAAGCGTCTCCGGTCACGATCGAAAGCAGCGACGAGTTACGATGAGGAATCGAACGAAGATGCTACTTCGGAAGAAGAGGCTGCGTCTGACGAAGATGAGCCATTCGTGCAAGGCCGGTGCCACACAGTGATCTTCCGCATCGATAACTTCCGTCCACGCGAAGAAATTTTCAATGAAGCCGACTTCCTTGACGCGGAACCCAGCGGCGACGAGGAATGGAACGGTAATGAGGATAACGAGGACGAGGGTGGATATGCGTGGTAACTAATGAGTAATTCTTGGTGTTTCGGATTCTAGGCGCGGATGACGTCTTATGACAAGCAGGCGTCGCTTTGGCAGATATGGTCGGATCGAGACAGGGACTATGCATTAGGGAGGCGTTGATTTGGTTACTTATTCAGATATCCGTGTGCTAGTATTGGGCTTGAATCGGGCGCATAGGTTGGGCTCTGGCCCTTTAAGGTCGCCAGCAGCTGTCTCAGCCACATGTAGGATATGGCCGTCTTAGACGATGTCCAAATTTGCCGTTGAAGTGTGATTAGCTGTTTGTGGTAGCAATGTGGTCGCAGTGATGCAAGCCAGCTGAAAGAAACACATTCGCCCGCCGGACATGTGCGTCACTCGACTGACTGCTACGCAAGTGCACAGCCTCGCAGAGCGTCCCAGGATCCTGGCCAATCCCCACCATAACGCTAACAAGGACCACTCGCCCATTGCTGCTCGCACTCCTCTCATATAACCGCTGGCTGCGATGTATTGATATTCCCGGCCGCCTTTCTTCCTCTACAAGTTCCCTTTCTAGACCTCTTATTTTCCTATCGCACCCTCCCTCTCCCGCCATCGCGTATTCTCTCTCCACAACAACGACATGGCGGTACCCACACCTCCCATTCCGCCTGTGTCGCCAGACTCGGGCCCTACCGACCCTACCCTCCCCAAGCTTCCTGCTGGATGGATAGCGCAGTGGGATAACTCGTATGTCCCTTTCCCTGGAGCATGGCAGTAGACATACTGGCTGCCCCGCCATCGCACTACATGCCCCGCGACACGAAACTAACAAGCACTCCAGATCGCGAAAGTACTACTGTACGTAGCCTCGTCCGTATGCTTGCGCGATACATGCACACAACACCTACAGCCCTAGCCAGCGAAACGAAGCCACATATACTAACCCAGCCGTAATAGATGTTCAAATCAGCACCGGCGTCTCTCAATGGGAACTGCCCACTAGCGAAGCGCCCGTAGGCGGCTCCTCATCGCACAGCACACCCGCGCAACAAACGAACCCATACAACGTACCCGGCGCATCAGGCCCAGAAGCCGGTGACGGACAACGAGGCATGGGCGACGGCCCGACTGGCGACAGGGCAGGCGGATTGGGCGTACGAGACACATGCATACTTGGGCATCAATCGGGCATGTTGGCTGACAAAGGGATATAGGGCTTTGCGATGAACGCGCTTATGGGCAACAAGCAGAGTAGTAGTGGTGGACATGGCAGCGGCGGCTCGGGAAACCTCGTTGGCCAACTCGCTGGAAGTTTCCTGGGCGGCGGGAAACAACATGGGAGCTCTTCTGGAGGACATTCGGGTGGTGGTGGCGGCGCTGGCAACCTTGTTGGACAGCTTGCTAGTGGTCTGCTAGGCGGCGGGAAGCAGCATGGAAGTTCGTCTGGAGGCCAACATGGTGGCAGTTCTTCTGGAGGCGGTCTTGGAGGCATGCTTGGGAGTGTACTAGGTGGTGGATCGGTATGCCCGCTATCCATGGTAATGACCTACCTTACGAAATGTGCTGACAAGATTCCAGCATAACAAGCCCAACAACGGCAGCGGCGGCGACTACGGTTACTCCAGTGCCTCGTCCAGCGGAACCTACACCGGCACTGCGCCCCCAACTTCCTACAACCCCAGCGCCCAAGGCGGCCAATACGGCAGCGGTCCTCCGAGCCACTCGAGTTACTCATCGCCTGCGCCTGCCCAACAATATGGTCAGGGTCAAGCTCACGGAGGCTACGGCTCACAACAACATACTCCCCAGCCGCAGCATGGCCAGCAGCAACACGGCTACGGCTCGCAAGCTGGGTTTGGAGGACAATCAGGATACGGTGGGCCGGCACCAGGGTACGGTCAAGGACCACCACAGGGAGGCCCGCCAGGCGGCTATGGACAACAAGGTATGGAAACGAAACATTGCCGAGAGGAAAAGATACAAAAGAACTGACATTTGGTCTAGCTGGTTACGGAGGTCCAGCATATGGCGCACCAAGCGGCCCTTACGGCGGCGCTGCAAACTACGATAACCACCAGCACAACCAATATGGTGGTGCTCCTACGCATGCTAATCAGTATGGCGGAGGCCAACAGTATCCTCCTCCTCCTGGGGGTCATCAGGCTGGGTATGGTGGACCGCCAGGTCCCCACACGCCTCAGCCGGGCTGGCAGTAGATTCCTCGCATTTCGGCTTGGTGCGGTCTATGAAGAAAAGATGCATGATGCAGGGTATAATATATCCCGCATGGAAATGTCAGCTGCGGTATGGTGATAACCGCGATGAAGAGAACGGACTTGGTGTGGTCCAACGGCTCAGGATATCGGGAGGGATTGCTAGAGATACCTTTCTGAACTGTGTAGATTCAATGACTTTGCTTTCTTCCTGAAAGCTGTCTCGTGTGTATCTCAGGTGCCGCTGCTATGGTGCTTCCACGTAGAAACCTTCCATGGCTCCTGGACTTTAGCCTATGGTGCCATGCGGGCTGATGTTTGCAATAGCGATGTTGTCCATGGCACGCATCTTCTTCGTCTCATCCTCTTTCCGTTGGCATAGTTGTAGGTCAAGCACTCGGGAGTCGCGCGTATATACGGCATATCGCGGGATTGCCGATATAGCAAACCTCTCCCTTCCTTGTAGCCCGCGCTGTCTGACCTCTCTGTTCCGAAAGCGCGCGAATCCCTCCAAGGCCAGCATCTCGCAATGTCACGAGCCTCGAACCACCGCCCCACTATAACCGTGTCATGTACTCATTGCTCTTGAGTTCCAACTCCTTGTTCTTTCTCAGCCAAACAAATCCTCTCCACTCGCCAAACCACCCAACACCCCCGATTCCCCTACTACCCTCCAAGTCACCCCTACCCTACCCATCCCTTCTTCCACCCCGGGTATCTCGTCCCCCTCACAGCTTCCCACCCACCCGCTCAGACTAGCCCGAAATCCTCGCGCATCCTGCCGCGGAATCCTGAGCCAGATACTGCGACCAGATATCTTGAGCATGTCAATGGGTATCGCGGTGCCAGTGGTGCCGAGGTAGGCTCGTAATGGGGAGGTGAGGAGGGAGGAGGCTAGGAGGGGGGATAATGATCCTGATGTTGTGGAGCTGCCAGTCGTAGGAGTGGAGAGGGAGGCGGTGGGTGGTAAGGAAGCGGTCCCCGGTGTGAGGAGGACGAGGTGAAAGTATGACCAGGTTGGTTTTCGGAAGGTGGACTGGTGGAGGATATGAGGTTGACTTTCATGGTGGAGTTTGTCCTTGCGTTTACGCTTTTTGCCGTTTGAAGTGCTTGTTGGTGTGCTTGTTATGTCGGGCATGGATGTATCTGCGTCATCGAGCGCGGGCGCGTTCGAGGGTGTTGGAGGATTTGGTTCTGCGGTCGCGGGAGTTATGATGGGCTTTTGAGTAGGTATCGGCGCCATCATGAGGGTTTTGTGGGCGTGCGCGTAATTTTGATTTCAATGTACGAATGTTGGAGCTCCGAGGTATCTGATGCTGAACGCGAAACTTTTGGCGGGGTTAATTAGTGCGCTTTTTCTTACCTCCGGGCGTCCCTTGCGCGTGATGATGATTACGAGAATGTAATTCGTTGCGAGGGATAACCTTCAGGTCCAGCATCACATATTAAGACTCGCATCGGCACATGGATTTCTGAACCTTTTTCGCCATTCTCTACCGTTCAATCGCACATCCACCATTACACATTCCAACTCCTCGCCTCTGCCACTCCCACCACCATTATTCCTTCCATCTCCACACCTACAGCTCGAAAGCAGAGTTAACATTTATCCAAAACTTATAATCACAAGACGAAAAGAGAGGGCCGCCAGAGGCCGAGAGGGTATCATATGCAGCTGCAAAAGACTCAGTATCCGCCGAGAACGCCTGTAAGCGCCGTTTCCGACGTGTATTAACACAATAAAAGAGCATAAGGGTAAGTTCCGGAGCAAGGGATATCGAGTCTCGATGTCGTGCTTGAGCGAAGAAACAGCTTACTGCTTGCTCTTGCCCTTGCCTTTCGAGTTGCTGGGCTCGCCGTTGGTTTCGGGCTGGCCGAGCGTTGGTAGATAGCAATGCCAATCCAGCTTTAACGGAGCGACTGAACGGTTCTTGTTGAGGCTTTCAATGACTTGCTGAAGTTGCGAAACGACCATGATCACTGTGCCTAACAGGCCAAAGAAGTCGCGGTTTGGTTCAATGTATGCGTTGACTGTAGCATCGAACTCTTTGCGCAACTCAGCGCCCACGCCCTGGACAGCGCCGAGTTGTTTCCAGATTTCAGTGACAGTAGCATCATAGTGCCTCGTGTGTTTTTCTAACTCATCGAAGCGTACTCTATTGTCGTCACGCAGCTTCGCGTGAGCAATCTCGCGCACTATCTGTGCACCGTCGAACTTAGTTTGTAAGGCTTCCAATGCTTTCTTGAGAGCGTCAAGCGCTTCCACTCTTTCGGTCAGTCGTTGCTCGATTTCCGCGGTCTTGCGGTTTGCATTCTGTGCCTCAGAGCTAGCTTGCTCAGCCTTGATATTTGCAGCCATTGCGTCTGAACTAGCTTGTTCAGCCTTGGCGATTGCGGTATCTGCGTCAGAGCAGGCTTTCTCAATCATGGCTAATGTCTGCGGTGATGCATCACGGGATCCGATAAGCCGACCTGGTGCCGGAACGTTATTCGCGAGACTCTGTAGTAGTGCGGACTTGCTTGCGAGACACAGCACCTGCGGGGCAACGTTCACAAGGTCCTGCAGTTGCGAAGCAATGCTTACAAGACCGTACAAGTGTTCTGCATCTCGACTCAAACCATTGAGAGCGTTTGCGCGAGGGTCTATCCACGCTTTCAATGCCTTCAGCTGGCTGATATCGTTCTGAATCTGTGGCAAACCCGGATACATTTGCGTGAACCATTTGACCATGCGCTGGTATATATCGTCAGTGCTAATATTCTCGTACCGGCTCTGAATGTGCTGCATTGCGAAAGTGATTCCTTCCAGTTGTTGGCTCATCCTTTCAGTATCGGCTTTCGTTGACAAAGACTCTTTCAGAGCTTCGAGATTTGTCTTCAACGTAGCTGCTTCTACCACCGTCGCCTCAAGCTGAGCTTGTTGTTGCTGTCCGAAGGTATTTTGTTGTAGCGGCAAATTCGAGACTTGTTGCCTCAAATTCGAAAGGTCACTACCATGTGTTTCCAGGGCGATGTTGATGACACGGAGCTGATCCTCAACATTGACCTTGAGTGGGTCGAAGTGTTGGTTAAAAAGGGTGGGAACGAAATCCTGTAGGAAAGTGATAGTCTGATCTTGGGCGACGATTCTTTCCTCTGTCTTTCCGAGATCATCAGAAAGCGTTTCGATGTCCTTTTTGATGTTATAGACGAGGTTGTTGAGACCGGTCACGTCAGACTGCGCTACAGTGGCGTCAGCAGATGGGACACTGGATTCATGCGTACGGTTGCGCGATGCCTGGATCTCTTCCATGAGACGGGTTTCGAGCTCCTCAAGACTCTTGTCCACAACCTTACGCTCATGCAACATCAGCGCCTTGACTTTCGTTTCCGTCGTCTTTTCCACTGTCTTGTCCAGGATCCTACTCGCAGTCATTTCCGTTGTCTGCTCCACTGTGTCGAGTGGCCTAGCACTGGCAGTTGCTTCCATGCTATCAATACGTTTGTCTTGGGCATCCAATCGGGAAATCAGACTGCCCTTGCCCATAACAGCTTTGCGAAGCTGTTGCAATGACTTGTCAAGCGAATTCACCTTCTCGTCTAAACTGCCCATGGCCGGTATATCTAGAACAGATGAAGGGAGAACAGGCGTACCAGCTTTCTTAAAGCCAGGACCCTTAGTAGTCTTCTCCAGCTCATTGACATGAGTAGACAGCTTGTCGAGATTACGTGCAGACTTTTCCAGCTCATCCAGGCGAACAGGGAGTATGCCCAAGTCAGATTGGGTAACAGTTGTTTCTAGAGTCGCGACACATTGTGTCAAGTGAGAGCCCCTCTTCTTGTAATGGTCTTTGAGAGGTTCGATGTACTTGTAGATGTCTTTGTGGACGTCTTGGAAATCGAACGCGCCGTCCTGAAGTTGTTTAACCTTCCTGTCCGTGTCCTTCATCTCTTCACGATATTCCTTCAATTTGTCTTGTAGTTTGTCTATCCTGTCGTGCATCTTGTCCATCTCATTCGGAGGAACTTCATCTTCTAGTTCCTCCAACCGTTTCTGCAGCCTATCGGCTTTGGCAAATGTCCTTGCGTCGTTTCCCTCGGCCATCTTGACCTTCTCGTGCAATGCCGAAAGCTGATTAGAGAGTTTCTGCTTCTCAACCTTCTCCTTGAAGCTCTGGAACGATTCCGACTGGGTCCGGATGTCGCGAATAGAGGTCTCATTTCTGGTAATGCGTTCAGCAAGCTGGCCGTTCGCTTCGTCTGCTTTTTCGCGTAGTTTTTCTGAAAGGACGGAAGCCTTTGCTTGGACTTCAGTTGTGACGAGGTTTTTCATGGTTTCTTCCAACACTACTTTGGGTTGCGCATCCTTCCATTTCTTTAGCGTGTCGATGTCGATCTTATGCAATTCCTTCGCGTTCTTTAACGTAGTGATGTCGTTTTCTAACCTGGGGATCCTTGCTAGAGCGCCGTTTGCAGCTTCGAGGCTACGAAGTCCATCTGTTAGATACTTAAGGTGTGAGTTGTCTAGGACGCTGGGCTTCGGCTCAGGCTCTGGCTGAACAACATTTTGTCGTGTTTCTATTGTAGCTAATCGATTGGGCACAGTCGCCAGATCTTGCAAACCTTTGTGTAGGTCCGGGAGTCCGGCAGCTGACCGTTCTAGTACCTCCAAACGCTCCGCCAGAGGCTTGACAGCTACATTTACAAGCTTGAGCGTCTCTGACCGGTCTACCAGGCTGTCATAGCGTGCAGAAGTCGCCTCCATAGCTTCCAGTCTGCGCATCATTTGATCACGTTCCTCATTTAGCTGCTTTTTAAGTTCGCCGAACTCCTTCTCTCGGTCCTTGGTAATTTGGTCGCGTTCCTTGTTAAGGTACACAATATCCATGCCCTGTGTCGCGAGCTTAAGATCGACAGTCTTGCTAAGACTAGCCGTCATCTGGTGGGCAATGGCTCTCTTTCTCTCTTTTAGTTTTCGTAGGGACTGCATGGTTATTGGAGTGCTATCTGTGGCAGGACTAGCTACATCCGCAGATCGTCGCAGCGTGCTTGGCCCTGGTGCTGGTAGCAAAGAAGGAGCAGGAGGGGCATGATGCGTAGGTGTTGATGCCCCGTTTCCTATGCTGCCCGGGGACAGGATCCGGACGTCCTGACGTCTCTGACTATGAGTGGTTTCTGGTCTATACTGGTTAGAAGCTAGGCTTGGATCGGTAGGTACATTTATAAGTCCAGCAAAAGAGCTCTTCCTTGACGGGGGAGGGCTAGCAATCCTGGAATCTGTTGAGTTTGCATACTAATTGAGTGTCAGCACTGATAATTAGAGGGAAAAGATAGCAGACCCTCTCTTGCAACGCCAACCGCGGGTCGGACGGGCGACTTCGTTTATCTGGGGGACTGTCGCCGCTAGACTGAGTCGCCAAGGGCCTTTTTCCAACGCGCGAGCTCATCGAGTCACCGAGCACAGGCGAGTACGCGACTGGCGTTCGATCATGCGGACTGAATCAGGTGTTAGTAGATCTATATCACATTGAGTTTGAACTTTGGAAAGCGAAAGTGCGTGACTGAGGTAGCAAAATCAAACGCTCACGATGAGGTCAGGCTACACGGCTTGATGTGTCTGAGATTTTTTATCACTATAGGAAGGGTAGTCTGCTGGCTGGGCGTCAGAGTGTTGGGTGTAGAGTATTGCCAGCTTACGTGCATGCTTTGGGTCTTCGAGACTAGTGAAGGAATGCAAACAGAGAAAGAGAGTGGCAAAAAGAAAACGTGTTCAAGTGAGAGCGCGAGTGAGGGCATGACCTACGGGTCTTTTGAAACACGATTACCGTTAACGTTGTCCGTGGGGCTGTTTGTCGAGATGCTAGGGACATGAGGGCGACTCGGCATCTCGCTATCGGCTGTATAGTGCGGGATAGAGGGACGAGCGCTAGAGCCGCTACTGCACGCAACAAGTACAGACACTGGGGGCAGAAGCAGCAATCAAGACGAGCAAAAGGAGAAAGGCGTAGGAGCAGGGAAATGCACGGGGTTAAATAGTCCCAGGAAACATGGCGTGGACGCCAATGAATTTGCTGGCTGCCTCGAATTAAACGCCAGCTGGGAAGGGGATAGGCCGGGGATGCGGTCTAGGGTGGCAGTCGCGTCGACGCGCCCAATGGAACTAAATAGCAAACGACGGAATAGTGGGGCCCGTGCGTCTTTACTGGAGCTTGCATCTTCGCGTTCGCGAATTGTCGCTGTCGCATAACGACGCCTAAATTACCCACGACAACACATCATCATGGCCATGGTAAGTGCGAGGCGTGACTTGGAGATGGCCCGACTGACATGACGCAGCCCATCACCACCATCGCCGAGAGCAAGGAGCTCCGGGGCCTCAATCTCATCGCGGCGCATTCGCACATTCGCGGTCTAGGTGTCGACGATGACACGCTGGAACCCAAGGTTTCTTCTCAGGGCCTCGTCGGACAGGAGAAGGCACGGAAAGCGGCGGCCGTGATACTCAAGATGGCACGAGATGGCAAGATTGCCGGTCGCGCAGTCCTCATTGCTGGTCCTCCCAGTACAGGAAAGACGGCCATTGCAATGGGCATGGCGCAGTCGCTGGGCCCTGATGTTCCATTCACCATGCTTGCCTCTTCCGAAATCTTCTCCCTGGAGATGTCAAAGACCGAGGCTCTTACACAGGCCTTCCGAAAGTCGATTGGCGTACGGATAACTGAGGAGAGCGAGGTCATTGAGGGCGAGGTTGTTGAGATACAGATTGACCGCAGTGTCACTGGTGTGAGTACGAGGTCGACTGCGCAACGGTGGCTGTACTAACCCCATCTTAGAGCAATAAGCAGGGAAAGCTTACTATCAAGACCACCGACATGGAGACCGTCTACGACATGGGCACCAAGATGATCGACGCAATGACCAAGGAGAAGGTCATGGCCGGCGACATCATTTCCATCGACAAGGCCTCGGGCAAGATCACCAAGCTTGGCCGCTCCTACACGCGCTCCAGAGACTACGACGCAATGGGCATCGACACCAAATTCGTACAATGTCCCGAAGGCGAGCTGCAACAGCGGCGTGAGGTGGTGCACACAGTCAGCCTGCACGAGATTGACGTGATAAACTCGAGGACCCAAGGCTTCCTGGCGCTGTTCTCGGGTGACACAGGCGAGATTCGCAGCGAGGTACGAGACCAGATCAACACCAAGGTTGCGGAATGGAAAGAGGAGGGCAAGGCAACCATTGTGCCAGGTGTGCTCTTCATCGACGAGGTCCACATGCTCGACATTGAGTGCTTTTCCTTCGTCAACCGCGCGCTTGAGGATGAGCTCGCACCGATTGTCATCATGGCTAGCAACAGGGGAAACACACAGATACGGGGAACAGACTACAGGTCACCACACGGATTGCCACTCGACTTCCTAGACCGTGTGGTTATTGTCAGCACTCACGCATACTCTTCCGAAGAGATGCAGCAGATCATCTCGATAAGAGCGCAAGAAGAGGAGGTCGATGTCTCGCCAGATGCGTTGGCGCTGCTCACCAAGATCGGCCAGGAGACCGGACTGCGATACGCAAGCAACCTCATCACGACGTCCGACCTGATACGCAAGAAGAGGAATGGGCCAGAGGTTACCATCGATGACGTGCAGCGAAGCTTTGCGCTCTTTTACGACCCCACAAGAAGTGTCAAGGTAAGCTCTCACACGCCAATCTACGGGACACTACTAACACGACAAACAGTTCGTCTCCGATTCGGAACAGCGTTTGATCGGCGATGCGGGCGCCGTTTCCTTTTCCATCACCAGCGGCGCCGAAGCGATGGACGTCTCATAGACAGCTTTACTATAATCTTAACGGCGTACAAGGGTTCGGTCGGGTCTAGTATTTGCATAAGGGGTAGCCAGTTCCATAGGCGTAGCAAAAAGTCTGGACATGTAATACCAAATACACTCATAGGGTCATTCTTCATGGTACTAGCGGTCGTTCTGCTAACCAATGATTGTGAGCATGAAGACAAAGGCACACTCACAACGGCAAGACTCGACGAGAAGAGTCAGTCCCCGTGCGTGGTTGTGCGATGTTCTGTGTGCCAATTTAATCTATATCGTACAAGTAAGATTGGCGAACCGCTCTTCCGGGCCACTCTATCCTCGTACCTAACAAGCTTGTATACTGGTGGACTTGCAACGTCAAACATGGGCGTGCAGACGAAACATTGCGCAAGTCCAACAGGGAGAAGTCATATCCAGGCGTGTAGTTGTTATCCAATAAGGGTCTGATTAAAAGCCGAGAAACAATAGAATGCTGACGAGGCCTTGGGTATAGACATCGCCTAGTGAGGCGTCCTTTCCCCGATTAGAGTAAATGCGTATGCGACTCCGTTATTTGTGTACGTAGACGTTACGCCACAAGTCAAATTTTCGAAACATACACCAACAAGCAGAAGGTGATGAAGATGAACATGTTGATGTTGGATTGTATTGAGATCTTCAGAGAATGACCCACCAGCCACATCTGCTCTTCCGCTGTGCCACCCCAACGGCCGCAACGGCCGGCAGACGGCAGCCAGCCTTCCGGAGATGCTCGGCATGTAAATCTTGGAAAGCTTAACCACGCAACGCCGCGTGTCACTGGACAACGCCTCCTGTCAAGCCTCCACCATATCCATGATACCCCGGAAAACCGGCACACCTGTAACCGACAAGGGGATAGTAAATGGCTTTACGTAGGACAAGGCTGAAGAAGTGGATGGTGTGGGCGGCACCAGGCACAGGCTGACAGCCTGTCGTGTGCGCGTCATGAAGCCTCTTGACTCTCCTCCCGTACGCTCTGACCTGGTGGGCGGCTCAGTCGTTCCTTTCTTATCTATGTACCAAGTTCCGCCTGCGATTGCTAAAAGGCTCGTTGACGTTATTTGCGCCTTCCTTCGTCCCACACTTGTCGATCGACAGACATTGAGAGCACGCGATCACCTTCCTGAAACGCTGCTTGCCTTCTCTCCATACTACCTTTGTGTTTTCGCCAATCATAATAGTACCATACGACAAGTGATACTTCCAGTTGGCACCCTTTTGTCCCACTAGACTTGAGACGATATACCTATCTAAGAATCCGCTGCGGGATTCTAACCTGAGCCATGCGGTTGTCGACTTACGCAGCCGCCCTTGCAACTGCAACACTCTTCGTCTCTTCACTGACTACTCCCACACCAAACACACAACATCCAAGAAGAGACACATTAGCCGATCGTATTGAAGACAGGAATGATAAGAAGAAGCCTGATACCAAGTACTTTCACGAGCCTGGGTAAGCCATTTCTCAGCCTTGCAACTCGTCAGTGACGTCGCAGATACTAACTATCTCTCAGAGGCAGTCTTACGCTCGGCCACTATGATAAGCGCTATTTCAAAGGCATCGTCTCTGATGAAGAGCGGACGGACACGCAATCGCACATGGTCCGCGCTTACCTGAACTTCTTCCGCGAGAACGAACTGGATACGTGGATAGCACATGGAACGTTGCTTGGATGGTGGTGGAATGGAAAGGTGAGTTCCGCCTCCATTTGCCTGGGGGGCAAAGGGCTAACGCATGTACAGCGACTACCATGGGATTTCGATTTAGACACTCAGGTGTCCGATAGCACACTCAACCAACTAGGCGCAGTACACAATCAGACGAGATACCAATACACCTCCTACGACGGCACCGTTCAACGCGAATATCTCCTCGATGTCAACCCGTGGATCTGGGAGCGTGAGCGCGGGGATGGTATGAACATCATCGATGCGCGATGGATCGATGTGCGGAACGGGCTATTCATCGACATCACCGGACTGAGCGAGACACATCCGGACGAGAATCCGGGCCAGTGGAGTTGTAAAAACTACCACCGGTACGACACAGCGGAACTGTATCCCATGCGAGAAACCATGTTCGAGGGTGTCCCGGCGAAGGTACCGTACAACTATGACAAGATCCTTGTGGATGAATACAAGGAGAAGGCTTTGCTAGAAACGGATTTTAACGGGTGAGTCAAGCTTCTTACTTCAAGGGACAGAGCCCAACTAACGACAAATAGACACCGATGGGATCCCGAGCTCAAGGAATGGGTAAAATCACCAGAGACGCTAGCAAAGGAAGAAAAGGAGCGCAAGAAGAAAGAGGAAGAGGAAAAGAAGAAAGTGGAAGAGGAGTCCAAGCTGGACAAGAAGACGGCTGAAGAGGAGTCTAGGCTGGAGTAGTATTCCAGCTGGCCGTAATGCTGTCGATTGGTACTTGAGCGCTTCATGTTGAATTATAGCTCGAGCATCGCCAGCGTATGTTTCTAGTACAAGATTTATTGATACCCGTTGATGTGGCGGTTGAGTAGTGAATACAAGCAATTGTTGGTTACCGAGACAGGGAAGCAAGCGAGGCGTTTCGTTTGATACCAAGACCACGAGCATGGAAGATGCGTGGACGGGCCGATGGTAATATTGGCGATGAGTGAACAGCATCGGAGTTTAGTGATGACAAATTCCGATGGCGACCCGTCATCTCGTGGAAGCCTTGGAGAACGTCACCGAAACAACGGATGGCTAGAGCTCAGCCACATGCTGCGAAGCTTTATATCTTAATCACCAACTAACTTGTCACTTACACTGTATACTAGATTACACCTAGGAATTATTCCTATCCTCGTACCGCTTCGACATCCTTTCGCCACCGAGTACAACGATCGCGCCATGACAGAAGCCGACGCATCCTCTGCGCCAACAACATCCGGCACCAACATCGAGATCACCCTCACACACCACGGGAAAGCAATCGCATTATCTTTCGCACAAGATGCCACCATTACTGATCTCTCAGAGCGTGTTGCGACAGATCTCTCAATACCGCCCTCCAACCAAAAGTTCCTTGTAGGCGGGAAGATCGGCCTCCAAAAACCACCCTTCAAGAACCCTTCTCTACCACTCACAGAGCTCGTCTCAAAGAAGATAACCCTCATGGGAAGCACAAGCGAAGCCGTATCGTCCCTCAACAACACTATATCCGCCGCGTCTGCGCCCCGGCGTCCCGGCCCCATCAAAGCCGCCACTCCAGCGCGAAACCGCGACTACAAGAAGATCCAAGAAGAAGCTCAATACACCTTCCACACTCTGCGGCCGTTACCTTACCTCCCCAACCCCGACCGCTCCCTCCGCTTCCTCGAACGCCTCCGCGATGACGCTGGCATAAAAGCCGCCATGCGCACCCACAAATTCAGCGTTCCCTTGCTCACAGAGATGGATCCCGCCATGCATACCACACAAGAATCCCGCACTTTGGGATTGAACAGAAACCAAGGCGAAGTCATCGAGTTGAGACTGCGGACTGATGCATACGACGGATACCGAGATTACAAGACGATTCGCAATACGCTGTGTCATGAACTTGCGCATAATGTCTGGGGGCCGCACGATCGCAATTTCTGGAATCTGTGTAAGCAGATTGAGAGGGAGGTTGCGAGGGATGATTGGAAGAGTGGGGGGAGGAGTGTTGGCGATGAAGAGTTCTATGATCCTGGAGAGGGAGGGGAGGAGGAAGTGCATGATCATGGGGGTTGGACGGGGGTGAGTTCACGTTGGGGAGTGGAGGCAAGGGAGAGGAGACGGTTGTTAGTAGCGCTGGCAGTGGAAATGTGAGTGCGGGGGGCTTGAGTAGGAGGGAAGTGCTTGCTAGGGCTGCGGAGGAGAGGGTTAAGAGGACGAAGAAGGCGGAGGAGGAGACTGGTGGGAGTGGGAGTAATTAAGCATGTGGGTGATTGTATGATGGATGCGCGTATACCCCCTTTGATTGCGCATAGCAAGATGAAGAACATAATATAAGAAGCGAAGTCTATGTAATTTATCTCCGTCTCATCTACAACTTTTCTCTCTTTCTATATTCATGTTTTCAATGTCCTCGATGTTTGTTTTCCCCGTCAGCCAATGGCATACCTGGGAGGCTACATTATCGATCCATGGCTTCGGATAGGAGGAAGCCATATAAGCTTTTACCCATCTTTCCCCCAAACCGCTAGCGTGACGTAGCCGATAGTCTCCGCTTCTCCGTCAACATCTCACCTCTCCTCTTTGTAACTTCTTCGTATCGTCTTCTGTCCACTTCACCATACATTCCCCTCCCGTTCAATTCATTCAAGCTCCGTTTACACACCCATCCCTGGATTCAGATAATCATGGTATTCCCATTCGTCCCCATAGCCCTCCTCATAGCAGCCATCTGGCTCACGGTGGGAATCCTCCTCGCAAAATGGCTCAAGCAATCTGGCCATGCACGCCCTTTCAAGGGAAGGAATTTCAGCAGCAAAGAGCTATATGGTGGTGGTGTAGGGTATGGGAGAGTGGAAAGTAGTTTTGGACAGGGTGCGGCCAGTGAGGGAGAGGGCAGGAGGGAAGGGAGAGGGGGTTGGGGTTCCGGTTATGGGGGTGGGAAGGGTTAAAGGTGTTTGAATGGGAAGAGATATGAGTATGTGTATGGGTATGGGAGGAGTAAGATGGTGAGTACCTAGGTATGAGGGATAGTGACAGGTATGGTGCCGGGTTGGTCTTGTCACAGTTCAGTTGACTGACACGCTGTAGACCACCAACCTTACAAACCTATATGCCTATTCCATGACTGTGGATCAATCACTCAGCGTAGTCTTCCTGGCTATCGTCTCATCACGGATGCGCCAGCATGTGTGTAGCGTTTGTGCCATGGGTGAACAGTGAAGTGAATTCTTTCCTTCAAACATGGCCCGCCGCCTATCATACGCTCGATGCCAACGCGACTATCCCGTCGTCTACAAGGTTTCACAGTCGACTAGCGCAGTTTTCCTTTCGCCTGAACAAAAGCATGACACTTACGCCGAGCCTCCACATTGTTTCGACTACGACGTCCTTTGCCCCTTATTCTTCTAGCTTGAACGACGCCGCAGCTAGATTTAGAGTACAACTTTGTTGGGCTGATATTCGTGTCCTCCTTCACATCTCAATATCGAACACTCAGTTCCTTGCGCAACCGCGCGGCTGCACGACTTTTATCTTCCGTGACTTGCGACCTGAACAGACACTATACGCCAACGCGATTGCCACTCCCGACGGTAAACACATTCCGCGTAATAGGCTAGTTGCGCGCACCCCGTCAACAACAATGCTCGGGATCATCTCAAGGTCTCTCATACGCGAAACAGTTTGAAGACTGCTGGTACGGTTTGCTGGGTGTAATGAGTACTTCCAAACACGTTCACATGCTTTACTTAGTGCTTTGAATGCTGCTACTGCACATCTTTCCTGCAGTATATTCTTCTAGCATAGCGCAATCATTTTGATATCACTTACGATGAGGACAAGTCAGCTCGTGTCATACTGAAAGACTTGACCAAAAATGGAGATGCATGCACACAACGCGGTATTCCAATCGAAGCTCAAGATGCGATAACGTGTGTCATTTCAGTCCATAACTATCCGTCTACTTTCCTCCGTTCTCCACATGCTCCCTAAGCTCTTTCTCATCGTCCTTCGCCATCACACCTCCATTCATTGGTTGCACAGCCACAACTGAGCTCCTCCTCCTCTCCGCATCATGCGCCTGCTCCGTATCCGCATAATCAATAAGGAGCTCTCCCTTCTTTCCGTATCGATGTGGCAAGTTATGCGCAATACCCACCACATTAAACGGATCCGTTGCTTTATGGAAGATCTCGTCCATTTCTTCGAGGGAGCGGTAAGCGGTTTCAGGGAAGAAGAAGTAGACCGAGGGCACCATTGCGGCGTTTATGACGGCGAAGATGATATAGGTTTGGTAGCCGATGTTTGCGAATGCAGGCGGGGTGATCATTACGACGAGGAAGTTGAAGATCCAATTGGCTGTTGTGGAGATGGCGTTTGCGGGGGCGCGGATGGAGAGGGGTGTGATCTCTGCGGGATACAACCATGTCATGCCGAGCCAGCCGATGGCAAAGAAGGAGTTGAAGACGAAGAGGAAGACGGTAGCGAGTAGGCCCAAGCTTGTGTTACCAATGTTGCTGGTTGCGCCTGCGAGGACAGCCATGGACATTGACATGCCAGCAGCACCAAACATCATCAAAGAGCGGCGTCCAAACTTCTCAATCGTGAAGATGGCGATCCAACTCGCCATCCAGTATTCGGTGCCGTTACATGCGGATAGGAGACGACTGAGGAAGGGCGAGAGACCGATAGAGTTTTCGAAAATAGTTGCGGCGTAGTAGGTTACCAAATTGATACCCGAAATCTGTAGTGGTGATTAGATTCGATTACGTTTCCCTTCCGTATTGACAAAGCTTACCTGTTGGAACATCTGGTTGACATACGCCAGCACTGTGCGGTGAAAGTTGCGGTTCTTGTTCATCTTGAAGCAGTCTCGGAAGCCACCTCGCGACATCTCCAGGGTGACGTCCTTTACAGCCTGGAATTCTGCTTCGACCCTCTTGTCGTCCATGGGAAGGTCACTCAACGCAGCCAAGACTTCCAATGCCTCCTGCTCTCGGCCCTTGAGCACCAACCAACGTGGACTCTCGGGAAGGCCTGGGATCATGACAAGGATGAACAGGGCGAGTATGATCTGGAACGCAATCGGAAAGCGCCAGGCGATGCTGCTCGGCTCGAGAAAGGAGAAACCTAGGTCGAGCCAGTAGCTAAGCATTACACCGAAGACAATCATGGATCCTTCAATCATGACCATTTGGCCTCTGCGATGTGGTTTCGATGTTTCTGACTGCCATGTTGGAACTGTACTTGTGTTCATGCCGTTTCCGAAACCGGTGATCCATCGTCCGACGATAAGTTGTGCGAGGCCGTAAGATGCTGTTTGGAGAATGGCTCCTACGATCATGATAGCACTGCCGATGAAGATTGTCTTCTTGCGTCCAAGCAAGTTGCCGAGCCAAATGGTTGCCACTGCGCCGAAGAAGCAGCCCAGCGTGTAGGCACCGACTAAAAAGACATTAGCGACGTCAGATTGGAGCGCTGAGAGAGTGTACCTGTGATAGCTTGGATGGTTGCAGCATGGCTTGTTGAACTACCTGGTGGTGGGTTGACGCTATCAATCTCAGGGAAGTATCTGATGAATGAGCCCAATGTGAGCAAACCGCCCATTACACCTTGATCTGTTCCAATGTTAGGCTATGTATTGGGCGCAATGTGCGTAGATGCTTACCATAGCCGAAGAGAGCAAAATCTGTGCCTGCAATTACAGCAATGGCAATATTGAGCTTCGTGCCTTTGAGGCCGTAGAATTTCCCCATGTTGTATAGTAATATCAGTGATCAATACGCGTGTTGCTCGATGCTAAACAAGAAAGGGACGTCAACAGGACAGCAACAGAGTCCAGCTCGCTTCCCAAGATCGTGCGAGGATGCGATCGATGAGGTATGACAAGCAGGCGCGACGACCCTCTCTTTATGAAATGTCGCGTCTCTACTGCTACCAATGTAACAGTAGAGTCCAACCTCAGTCCCATATCCCAGTAAATAACGCCGAACCGCCATGGTATTACCGGCGTTATCCCCACAGTTTGCTTCGACGATGACGTTTGGTCTGGAGCCGCTGGTGATCTCAACCCCGTGGAGTTTGGCGTGCGGAGAAAGTCACACTACTCGATCGCACGGGGACACCAGGGTCGTCCTGCGTGATTCGTCGCACCTCACTCCGCATCAGCACTGTCCCCCCAGCGCGCACTCAAGTCACCCCAGTTGACTCGAATTGCCCATCGGAATTACCGCAATAGGCTTTGCCGGCGCATTATGATGTCGGCAGCGGTTGAAAAGTTCGCGAGGCCAACACCAAGGCGGTGTTCCGCGCCGCGACCATGTCCTTGCTAAGCTTCGCGAAGCCCCGGGTTAGTCCGATGCTTCCGCACAAGTAAGAAATTGCTTGTCGGCTTGCCAAAAAGCGTAGTCCCGCTTGTCAGCCCTCTCGAGAACAATTGCCTAAACACACCTCGTGTCGAAGTAGCGGAAGACATTGATCCCACGTACCTGGTGGTGTTGGGGTAGGTGTGCCGCTCGAACAACGCTGCAACGCTGCGGGATTAATGATCATCAGGGACAGGGTGCGCCAACCACGCGACAGGACCAAGTTTTCTCGGTTCGGAACAAGACTGTGGAGCCGATAGCTTGGAGGGAGGCTTCTTTGTGGAGAACGCGTGATTGAAGCTGCACTGAAGCGCATGTGAGATCCGTCCAATACCTTCCTAACACGCACATGGAGTAACACTAACTGCAAGCAACCTTGCGATATCACGATTCTGTTTCAATTGCCATAGTATTTTCCATCAAATGCCGCTGATATTATCGTCGGTAACTCTTGTACATGCACCTGACATGTGCGATATTGCAAGATGTCTACAGTTGGTGATGCCCGGGCATATAAAGAACCTGCTCAGTACATAGCAACGCCGAGTCATGTCAGGTCTCATACTTACACGGAATGATCAGCTATTGCACAAGGAAGGTGCTGAGCTAAGACTTCAATACTTAAGGCCCCCAGGCCGTACGCTCCATCTCCACCATCTCGTCAATCGCCGACCCTGTAAAACGAACTGGTCGCATCACCCCGTTCATATTGGAATCCGAAGTCGCCACCATGGATACCTGTAGATACTGGTTGGACTCAGCTTTGACAGGAGTAGCAACAGTAGAAGCATGGGAGATCCCTACGCCGCCAATACGCTGTGATCGCTTTCTCCTATGTTCGGCCATGATTGCACTTGCCCTGCTATCATTACGCTTCCAATGAGCCATCTTTTTGACCCTCCGCGTGGTCATGTCAACGCCAGCACGTACCGGCTCGATAATGCCCATGCCAACGTAGACGTCAGTTTCCCACTTGGGTGCAGACTTGCTGTTCAAGAGTTCCAAAGTTTCGTCCTCTTGTTCCGTTGTATCATAGATGGGTCGCTTGAGAGGGTCAGTGGACGCTTCTACAAACTCACCGTATCCCTCATCTTCCAGCTCAGTACTTTGATTAGCGCCTGTTGTGGTAGAAGAATCGTCCGCTGGGTGTAGAGATGCCTCTCGAGCAAAAGAAGGACTTGTCTAAGAAGCAGAAGATTCATAATCGTTGCTCCAAGCGTTCTGTACAGATTCGGCTTCACTTGCCGCATCTACATGTGGCAGAACATCCACCGAAGAATCGGGTTGAGTTGACGACGCAGTGTCCAAGTGGGTTGCCATCTTAGGTGATTAGAAACTTCAGTGTTCAGAGATTGGAGTAAAACTTCTTGAATATTGTGATATTTGATTTCACTTTGTTGGTCATCGTGAAGACAAGCAACAATGTGCTTTTGGCGCTGTGTCTCATGACGCTTCGAAGTGACTCTACATAAAGCATCGAAGCATTGTATGAGGAAATGGTATCAAACCGAGAATCGCTAGAACATGCGCCTCTTGCGCGAAGACGAAACGCTTTTCCTGAGGCATCGGAACGTGAACTCCACATCCCATGGATGAACGCCAATAGTGTAACCATGCTAAAGATATTATATGCGCATAGCTTCTCTCGCAGCGGGCTCCCTCTCCATCTCGTACTCGATCTCGCGTCTCGGGCCCTTTGAGTCTTTCGATGGCTTCTTCTTGGGCTTGGGCGGCGGGCCAGCAGGACGCTTGCGCTTGAGGTTCGCCAGGGTCTTCTTGAGAGCTTCTGTGTCTTCGTCTTCGGACTCGTCTTCGTTTTCGTCTTCTTCGCTACCACTCTCGTCGTCCTCATCACCTGAGCCTTCGTCTGGACTCTGTCCACCTATCCAGTCCTCGAAGTCCTCCAGGTCGTCGTCGGATTCGCCCTCTATGTCGCTCACATATTCGACTTCGCCGACACCATTCTCCATTTCCTGTTCGTACTCGTTCTCGTCTTCATCCTCAATACCCTCATCCAAATCCTCGTCACCCTTGAGTTGGCCTTCCTTTTGCAGGCCCTTCATGACACGTTTCCAGACATTTGGTTCGACGTTGATCCTGTATTCGAGTTAGTCTCGATCGCATACAAGAAGTGAGTCAATTCTTGAATGTGTGGTGGTGCTCATTAAAAAATTAGAGTGTTGTTGTTGTTTTTGATCCTCATCGAAGGATCTCAGGGTTAAAAAGCGATAATAATCATAGCAGCAGCGAGGGGGAGAGGGTTGAACTTACGGTCGATCGCCATATGCGCCACTACGCAGACGGTCAATAAGAACTCGCTCGATAGCGCGCTCGACCTTGGCGGCTGCAAGAGCCTTTCGCTCTCGGCCTTCCTCTCGTCGGCGAACCTTGGGCGCTAATCTAGGAACGAGGCGCTCTCCTAAGCGCTCTTCTTCCTTTGCCAACTTCCTTATCCTTATGTTGACCTGAGTAAGACGAGTCAAGCGCTGCTTGTTCTTGTGCTTAAGGAACTTGGGGAAGTATGCAAGATGCTGGTCTACAAGCTCGAGGGCTTGGCCATAATTCTTAGGTAGCTTTATCTTTTCCCACCATTGCGACGGGAGATGGGCGCGTTCGATCGCTTTGATGTATAGGTATAGATCTCCGGTGGCGGGATCCGAGCGAATCGTCGCATACCGTGAGTTTGCGAGAGGGCACGACTGTTTGGAGCAATAACCCGATACGTTGTGTTCATTCCTGCAAAATGTTTGGTCCTTTGTGGTCTTAAGTTCTGAGCGGAGAAGGTCAGCCATGAGTTGTGCGTGCTTGTATGTAGGGCGACTAACTGAAGCTGCAGAAGTCAGTTCCAATGACAGACCATACAAGATCGTCTGAAGCCATGGCGGCGTATAAGTTCTTGCAGAGCCCCGCTGCAAAACAGGTGAGGATTTGTTGGCGGGGTTTGTCTTCCGACTGAATGCGAAAACAACAGAAGAACTTTTCAGTGGAATGGAGTTTTCGCTGTGGCGCGAAGGGAACAGGTGTTGTCGTGAAAGGTAGACAGGCGACGATCTCAAGAAATTATTATCTTAGCGTGTGCACGGGCCACTGCGGAGGTGCAGCGGAGCTATCAGGGCCTCTTCAATTCCAACATGACGATGTAAAACTTCAGTCTACGGAATGAGAGCCATTGTCTCCTCTTTCCGCCGCAATGCTGTTACTCAGTTGAGATCACATAGATGGTCAACTTCTTATGTTACACGAACCACATGGCCACACCATGGACCCTTTCATTATGAGCAGCGCATCTTGAGAACACCTCGGCAGCGCCTGTACCATACAAGCCATGAGGAACCAACCATATATGCCCTCTCGACTGCTAGTGGACGCGCAGCAATAGCCGTCATTCGCGTCTCAGGCTCAGCATGTAGACAAGTCCGAGTCACCTCTCTATAAACTGTCCAATGTTAACGCCTCGTAGATATATGAAGGACTATGTCCCTCTGCAGCCTTTCCAAAGCCTCGCTATGCGACCTTGCGCAAACTATACGCCCCCCGCCTGCCTCCTTCAACCGAGACGATACTCGACTCTGGTGCTCTGGTACTCCACTTTCCCGCGCCGCATACTGTGACTGGCGAAGACGTCCTCGAACTGCACGTACATGGCGGCCCAGCCATTGTACGCGCAGTATTGGCAGCCATACCCGAATGCGCGTCGGCACCAGAAGGTCTTGAGTCCATGCGCAAGCAGATTCGGTATGCAGAGCCTGGAGAGTTCACCCGACGCGCCTTCGCCAACAACCGGATGGACCTTCCCCAGATCGAGTCGCTAGGAGAGACGCTGTCAGCTTCAACTGAGCAGCAGCGCAAGATTTCTGTGAGAGGCACCAACGCCTCGCTAGCCGTACGATACGAGCACTGGCGCATGTTGTTGCTGCAGGCACGAGGCGAGTTAGAGGCCTTGATCGACTTCTCTGAAGACCAGCATTTTGACGAATCACCCGCTGTCTTATGCGCCAACGTCGCAGCTCAAGTCCGTGCCCTGCAGGTGCAAATGGAGGCGCACATTGCAAATGCCGTTCGTGGAGAACTGTTGCGCAATGGAATCAGCGTTGCGCTTCTTGGGGCGCCCAATGCAGGCAAAAGCAGCTTGCTAAACCGCATCGTCGGAAGAGATGCCGCCATTGTTTCTCAAGAGGCTGGCACAACGCGAGATGTGGTCGAGATAGGACTGGACCTGGGTGGATGGCTTGTAAAAATTGGAGACATGGCCGGTCTACGTCGGGCTGGTGTCACAGGCGCGGACGTCGTTGGGGCTGTTGAACAAGAAGGCATCAGGCGCGCGAAGCAACGAGCGCTTGAGTCAGATGTGTTGATCGTCGTTCAAGACGCCACAGCCGAGATGGATTCCGAAGTTATGGAGACGGCAAAGCAGTGTGTTGACGTCGGCATCGAAGTCATCGTTGCTCTTAACAAATGCGACCAACTCTATACCTTTGATCTTTCGCGGAAGTCATGGGAAGAGAAGGTTCATTCTGCACTGGGCCTTCACAAGGACCGTCTATGCTTTATTTCTTGCAAGCCACCCACATCACCATCATCCACAGGCACCAGCGACAACATCCCAGCATTCCTCACCACTTTGCAAAATACCTTCGAATCCATGACAGCCGCATTGGTCCCCGAATCAGACCCTGACCCAAGCATCTGGCAAGAGTCGCTAGGCGCAACCGAGCGTCAACGTCTTCTTCTCTCCGAATGTCTCAGCCACCTTTCCACCTTCCTGACGACCGTTGCCGACCCCTCGGCAGATACAACCCGAACCGGTGAAAGTGTACCAGACGAGGCCGACGAGGTCGACATTGTGGTCGCTGCAGAATGCCTTCGGTCCGCCGCCGACGCGTTGGCCCGCATCACAGGCCGGGGTGACAGTGGTGATGTGGAAGAAGTATTGGGGGTCGTTTTCGAAAAGTAAGTTACCTAAACCATTTTCTTGTGTCCTCGTGTTGTGTCATGTTCTAGAAGCTCTGGCAAGGTGTTCTGCGCTTTGGCCCCATCGAGGTCAGACGGCAGCCTCCGAGGGGGCTAAGCTGGCTTTGCTGGGGAAAGCCACAACGCTTATAGCACGAGCGCATCTGTACATTATCGATTGTTGCACGGGGCGTATGTTTCCCCATGGTGCTTGCCAGCTTACGTGGACCTACGGCCGCGAAGAACACGTGACGAATATCTGGCTAACGTCACCCTTCTCGTAGGTTCTGTGTTGGCAAATAGGGAGCACGTTTGCGATATCAGTGGTCATGCAAGATACATATTGCGAAGACGATGATGTATTGTGTCTAGTACGGAATTTCGCCAGGATATCAACCATGTATTGGGGAAAGAGCGGGTATGATACCCAATCGACATCATCCAAAACACCCAAACTCCATAGAACACCGATCTAGAAGCGAGACAAAAAGGCCTTGATTGGAAAAAAGAAAAGTAGGAGTGTGAAAACCAGTACGCCTAAACACCAAATGACTCTGTCTCTAGATCCAGTAGTATCCCGTATCCGTGTCCGTCACCCATTGCTCAACGAAGAGCTTATTCCAACCTATCCAAACGCCTCAAAATGTCGTATAACGTTACATGTTCCCGTGATTCCGTAATCCGTATCCAGATGTCAAAGAACTCCGTCGCTTGCTGATGCCGAGTGAAAACAGAAAAATGGAGATGGATATGAGAAAGAAAAAGAGAAAGAGAAATTGTTGGTACATGATAGGAGAAAAGTGGTGATACAGTGATGAAGGAAATAAGAACAATAAGAGAAGAAGGATGCGACTGAAGCTTAAGAAGACAAGAGTAGAGGGTGATGGCTGAAGCTTAAGAAGTCAGAGGTATCCTCCACCGTTCGAGGCGCCGCTTGCGGAGTGTTCGTACGGCGGGTTGTGGGTAGTAGCGAGGTGGGATGGCTTGAGGCGTAGTCATGGTGAACCACGCCGCGATGGTGCTGATAGATGTTTCGGATTGCGGAAGCAGCCGCTGAGCTTAGTTGTAGCCTCCGCGACCCATGTTGGCGGATTCTTCTTGAGGGGTTGGTGGCGACATTGTTGTGGGCTGATGCGTTTGTTCGACTTTCGTGTTGATTGACTTGTGGACTCTGTGAATGGAGAGTTGGGTCTTTGATGTCGGTATTGATGCTCAGATCTTAGTTGTAACCGCCGCGACCCATTGGGGTAGTGTCTTGGAAGTGGTATAGTTATGAATGTGTAGTCTCAGAATGAAACAATGCTGATGACGACCAAGACAATGTGCGTGGGGTATATTTCAGAAAGACGCTGATGAAACAATGGAAGGATGGTAGAAGATGACAGAAGAAGGTGTGAAAGGGTGGTGGATGACTGAAACTTGACTCAAAGGGAAGAAGCGACTCGACTTATATGAAACAAGAGGCCGACAAAGACACCAGAAAATGCAAGAAAGCAGACTAGGAAAGGGAAGGGAAAAAGGGCGTTCGGGTATTGTGACTGGAGTTGATCGGAATATTGCTCTTGCTTGCCTACTTTCCCATGGTCCAGGCATCCAAACCGTCTTTATACGCACAGTTCACCTACCTGTTCTCCCCTACACCACCAACCAGAACGGCGGGAACTGGTGGCGGACGTACCCTGATGCAAGCCACGAACAAGGCATCTAGTCATCATCTTTCTGTTACTCGCCGGACGACTGCGCAGTGCTTGGGTAGACAGGAATAAGTTTCAGGGTCTGTGGGTGGGTGCATTGGTGCTAGGGTGCGTGGGAAGCGTGGCAGTGAGAGGGGATCTGTGCTCGCGGGTGGAAACTGGAGCCGCAATGCAATGCACGAGCTAGGGTGGATAAGATGGGCGTGCGCGGCTGATAAACATCCGTGCTGCTGATTACATGGAAACGTGCGGAATCGTGCAGCTGGATCCCCCATTGGTGAAATCATGGGAATGCCGATTGCAAAGCAGAGAGAATTGCCGTCCTCGTGGACGGTACTCGGACGAACAAGGTGTGTTCTTAGTTGACGACGCATGTCTGCCTACCACCACCACCACCGATGATACATACGTCTTCTTTCTTGACCACTAACCCCCCACGCCATTACGATCAGAACGCGTGGAGCACTCGTCAAGGTGCTTTCTCGACAAGCGCGAGACGATTTGCCATTGGGCGGTTGTTCTAACGCACAACACAGTCATACAACATCATCACGACAAGCATCTTTCCCTACACCAGATAGCGTACCTGCGCAGTGCACTTACACCAACAAATCGCAGGAACCTCTGCGAGGCAATTCAGCGTTTCCCGTCGCCGCGCAATTGGGCGATTTGCAGTTTCGAGTCAATTATCGTGCTCCGTCATACTGTTACTCATCCATCGCGTCACGATCTATCGACGATTGCTGTGCTGCATCTCGCTTGGACGGGGCCGTTTTCCGTGGATACTCAGCGAGGGCAATGCCGGCCGTGCGACACGAATGCTTGCAAGCCATGTGCAAAGAGCGAACTACTTCTGCGTAACGTTGCAACGTACCGTTCCAGATTTGGAGGCCGCCCCATGGGCTTGGGTCGTCTGAAGTAGCGAATAGGGTTGCTAGAATGGCCGAAAAAGCTGTTTCGAGCACATTGGGGAATACAGTGCATGGCGTAGCGTTTGAGCCTTACCCGCCCATATGCCTGCTGCGTTAAACTGGTGAACTCTGCTCCCATGCCCGACCGTTGGTGCCTGGATGTTGGGAATGATCCTGGTTTAGGAGCATTCGTACATGCACCAGTCGGCGAATAGTGCAGTCCGATCATGACGGAGAATGAGTCTTCCGGTACTGTCAGCGCAACAATTTTCAGCTGTGCTGTACCCCAAGACCCACTTGTTGCGATAATGCGCAGTGGTTGTGCCTCGAATTGGCTTAGCTGCCGTTGCCATACTCCAGCTTAGCCGGAGACTTCTCCGAGATGGTATATGGAGATGCAGGAACAGAGTTCGCGTGCTGCTGTACGTGGGCTGAAGACGGGGATAGTGTGCACTAGGGCTGTGAAATAACGAGCCACCAGCGAGGACTGTTCAACCTTCGCTCTTTTACGCGCACGGACAGTTGACATCGCAAACTAAACCAAAATTCGGACAGCGACATACGCCTCGAAGCTTGACAACACCTCAATCCGCACTGTCCCGATACTGATACGCTCTATCGTTATACTTCCCATACCGTTCAGAAGCAACAAATGTGAGACTTGGCCAATACAACTTGCATAGACGCTCACATTCGTTCGGCTTCCCGGTCAACTCGGCATCGGGAAAACGCCACGTTTGTGTGACGGAAGGATGCCCACGAGCGAGCCAGTATCACGGCATCCCGACAACTTGGAAAGGAAGATTTGCAGTAACAAGGCAGCGAGAACCCCTGAGACTATCTATGGACTCCGATTACGATCGGTACCCAACGCAATAGAAACAGGCGATGGATGGCTTGCCAAATGCAGGTGACCGCGCGATACTGGAGCACAAGGCTAACCGGCAGGCATATTCGATCGTACAGTGTAGGTGCATTATCGCTATCGATTGGCGAGCCAGGTAATTGGTGCGTTCCTCGAAAATGGACAATGCGACATTGGAGGACGACACCAGCATTGCACACATCGCCGACCCGAAAGCTCTACGCGCCCACCTCGCACCATATCAACTTGGATCGACAAACAACTGCAAGAATATCTGCAGCTTCGCTTTCATATACACAGCCCCCAAAAATAGGACCCCAAACCATACCAATCTGCTATCCTCCAAACAAGCGCGACAAGCGCTTGTTTGGGCTGACTGAGCCGTAATGTCAGCGCATTCACCCGATTCGGTATCTCCGCGTTGCTGTTCAGCTGAGCTCGCTCATTGGATGGACTTGCAGTAGTACAGATGTATTTTGGGACATATGTCAGCTGCAAGATTTCTACCTATTTGGGAACTATTTGGCAAGATTCAAGTCAGATGAAGAGCGGATTTGGGTTATTTTGGGGCCTGAAGACTGCTCGATTGGGGAGTCACACGTGGATTAGAAACCCATCTGTCGACGTATGGAGCAAGGAAGAGGAGAGAAGTTCATCGGTCTTGGTATGAAATCCGCTCACGATGTCGGACATCGATGTATGTCCGACATCTGCCTTTTCGGATGACATAATATTCACCTTCACAGTCCCGACATTTGCAGACACAATACCTCAGCGTACATCACTAGTCACACCATAGCCTCGCCTACAATACCACCCGCCACGTTACTCCAATACCAGGCTGGCTCACCGAACACATGTCCGTCGCACCCGAAATTGAGGTGAGTACGCTTCCGCCTTCCGAGTAGTCGCATAATGTCGCCTGTGTGATCCGTAACGCCACAGCAGGCACGCCGCGAGGCTATGGACCAGTAAAGGTAGGCTCGCGGAGCGCCAAGTAGGACACCATCTATGACCTTGTCAGGTGATCCAGGCAACATGCCGCGTTGCTACCCGTTTTGAGTTTCGTCCACTGCCTGACCGATGTTTCCAATACGCATGACGGCCCACAGGGCCTCAGAAGTCGATGATGCATTTTCGACTCATCCCCCCATCTTTGTCCGCAGGGTGGGTATTTTGCCACACCCTCTCTCGATTTATAATATGTCGACTCTAGGAATGGTGATGTTGGCTCGGAGTGTCCGATTTGCTTACTTGACCTGCAGCCTCGTGCTTTCGAGTAAGGCTGACCGATCGGCATCCGATCTACCATTGCTCTACCGGATGTAGAACGAAGCTGGCTACGCCTCGGATACGCGGGATGTGCAGAGAGCAGCTTTGTATTCACGAAGACGTTGGTCGCATACAATTGTCACGATATGTTAACTCCTTAGTTTCGTTCAAGGGGACCCAGAATGATTCGCACTGGTAACTCATCACGTCCGATTTCTACCAATCGGAAATAAAGCTAGGATGTACTCAAGAGAATGTAACCTGCACTTCATGTATACGACTAAACATGAACAAAAAGGAAACCAATCTTGTAGCAATCCTCTAATCTAACTTTACCGAAATCCAACAGGTTGAAAAAGCTCAACCTGTCCCTCAAACTTGCCCGATTTACTCAACATCCTCTTCGCACTCTGAATTCGCGACAGAAAAGCATTCGAATCAGGCCGCTCATCATCATCAACATCAAGACACATCTCAAGAAACATACGCAACTCTTCTGTATACCCCTTATATCCAGGACGATGATCCTGATATAAGTAACCCGTGTCAGAAACATCCTTAGAAGGGCGATCCATCATACAATACATAAGTGAGATGACCAACCCAACTTGATACATATCCGTCGCCTCAGTCGGCTGTGCCTCTTCCGGAGGCATGTAGTCAGCGGATATGAGTGGTAGCTCGCGGACGGAGTAGTTGTGAACTGCCATTTCGCTATCGGTGATGGCACAGCCGAAGTCTGCGAGTTTGATGCTGATGAGGTAGTCGTTTGGTAAGGGTTGTGGGGTGCGTGTGAGAAAGATGTTGGAGGGGATTATGTCGCGGTGCGAGATGGGATCCCAGGTACCCGACGTAGCGTTGTTCGGCCCATGGTGTAAGTATTGGACTGCGGAAACGAGGGATTCGAAGACTTGCCATACGAAGCTTTCTGGGAGAAGCTTACCGCGCCGGTTCCAGGTCTTGATTAGATCTAGTAGAGTACCTTGATTGCAAAACTCAGTTACCAGATAGGGCGTGACGTGACGTTCTGTTACATTATCGGGTAAGTGCGCGTCGTAGAAGGATATGATGTTGGGGTGGAAGAGCCGGCGTAGGATTTCGATCTCTCGACCTGGACAGCCGGGGTCCATGGCTTCGGAGGACAGAAGTTTCATGATACGCATTTCGTTGTTTACGTTGTCGCGCGCGAAGAGAATACCCTGATTACACGACCCCTTGACACCTTTAAGTTCGGAAGCAATGGTCCATCGCCTGCCGATAGTTTTGCCAACGGCGAAAGTATCACCAGTGTACTTTTTGTTTTCTCGCTGCATCAGTATAATCTTAACTTTTTCCGTGGGATCATCCCATGTTTCTGGTCTATTGTTCGATAACAGTCGTATGGCACATGCTAGGCCCGGGACATCAGCGGGATCATTTGGCGAAACTATGAGCTTTGTGTGATCAAGTAGTTTAGTAACCATGCCCTCAGTGTTCTCTGGAAGTCCATAGATCTTCCGAAAGTTACGGATAGTAAGATGATCTGGTTGGTCGTGCAAGGGGTTCTCTTCAATGAAAGAATCGGCAAGGCATAGCATGGTTTCGCAGAACTTTTGAGATTCTTCGTTGGGTGTGGAAGTACCGTTGTCTGCTCGGCCACGCTGACGAGTGTCTTCGGGCATTATGCTACCTGCGTTTGTTGACATTATGTGGGGCATGTATGCGGCCAGCGAAAACGCGCAAGTTGTATAACTCTATGGCAATCAGGCTTGTTCGAGCCTACTGAGACCTTAGTAAAGCCGCTTCCAGGGTTTCTAAGACAAAATCGAAGACATTGTGTGTATATCATCCCTCGTGTGTTGTTGACTTACGCGGATGAAGCCGTGCGACACAATGTTAAGTATATAACTCTCCGCTACCTCCTCTTGGACACTGTTTTGTGTTGATACACAGCGTTAAAGTGATCTACTGCAACACCGCATACCAGTAAGATGCATAATAATTCGCGACTTCTTACTTTCTTACTCATCATCACACACCCCTTGCATTGGAGCGTCGCATCTTCTGGATTTTTCAACATGAAATCGAACGCAAACATCACTGGGAGGAGGAATGCTCGTAAGGGCAGCGTAGCAGGAGATGGTGCGGTAGTAACGGCCACACGACTCCCAACAATCGACGATCTCACAGCAGAACTTCAAGAAGCCATATCTCACTTGACACTGTTTGGCCTGAACGACTCAAAATAGTCCCCGAAGCAATTACGGAAAGCTCAAAAAATCTTGGTTATACTAGCGAGTTTGAGATCTTCTGTGCTAAACTAGGTGTTGACCAGCCCTACCCTGATAATCACATCCCGTTCAGAACGTTCATATACAACAAGACACTGGAACCTTATTCCGAAGACCCAAAGACTACCCAGGTATCCAGCACGCTGCCGCTCTCCTGCTCCGCGACAGCGAAGCCGAGGATGGTGATAATTTCGGTCTTCTTGATGAAGAGCTACAGGACATGTTGATGAACGTACTGAAATGTCGATGCGCGGCTGATCTAGCGAGAGACCGATTCGTACCTGGGAAGGTGATCGGCGATGGTAGAACTGGCAAAGAATGGGTCGTTACATCCCAGCTCTGCGACATTTCCGGTAGCTACAGTGGCGGTATTTATCTTGTCAGGAACCCGACCGATATGAATGGCCAGAGGCATATCATGAAGACACTTCCATCGCCAGCGCTTTACCCCGACTTCGCTAGTCGAGAAATCTGGATTTTACATACATTAAAGCATGAAAACATCATTAGATTCTTTGATGGCTACTCGCCGGAAGATCGACACGAGACAGGCTGGATGGTTACAGAATACTGCGACAAGGACACATTGGCGGACCTTGTGGAGAAGTATACCGAGGCAAATACTTCGATTCCTGAGCTTTTCGTTTGGGATGTCTTGGAAAGCTTAGTACGTGCCGTAGTGTACTTGCACTATGGACCAATTCTTCTCAGTGAGTTCGATCAACAGAAACTTGGAAGCAAACCGCTTAAAACCAGGGAGGATTCGCCCTGGAATCCTGTCTACCACCGCGACACAATTCTGGCTAACGTATTCTGCACTTCCAATACCGGAGATATGCATAACTATCCAATTGTCAAGCTAGGCGATTTCGGCTGCGCAATGCGGCAATGGGAAATTGAGACCAACGATAACAACGAACATCCGTGGTCAAAAGAAACGCCAATTATGGACAGTGAGTATGAGCCACCGGAGGGTCAATATGCCACAAAAGCCGTTGACGTGTATCAGATTGGACTGCTTATGTGGTGTGTTGTGCAGGGAACCGCAGGTCCCTTTAGTCTCGATGAGATGGCAACACTGCCTGCAAATTTTGAGACTTCAAGCTCTGCTCAATACTCAGGCGAGCTGCGCCACCTCCTCAATTGTTGCACGAAGACGGAACCTGGTGATCGCGTCGACTCTTTGTATTTGTTGCACCTTGTTCGGCATTACCGGAAGCTTCTAGTTCTTGAAGGGCGCTTGCCTTTTGTCAAGCTGCTTCCTTGAGTCCCACAAATGCTTTCCATCCTGGAAGTTGTTGATAGCTTGATGTAATTTGCGCAACTGCGTTACATATACATCAAATGAATTCTCTTGTTTAGCGCCCTCAACGTGACTTGAGAAGTTTCCGGAGTTTGTCCGGAAGAGCACTATCGAGGTAGTCCTGTCGAGGAGACTGGTCAGGCGGATAGCATCTTAGAGATTGTCTTCGAAAGCAAGCACCCGATGGACGAATTCGTCTCTAGTACCTGACAGTAACGAATGGTAGGAATGACTACACATTCAACATAAGTCCATAGCATCCGCCGACAGAGAACACCTGAAGTATATTAGGTATGATTCCAAGCACAGTGCCACTGATAAGCAGTCACTGGGTTGATGCAGTACCCACGGATTCCCAGGTATGGTTCTGCATACGATGTCTCAAGACGAGATCTACCACCAGGCTTTCACCGAGATGGACCCGATCAACTGACATCGTTGGCCGAGAAGGACCATGCAGTAGCTACCATTATCCCAAAAATGGTTGCACAAATCTTACAGGAATGTTCTTCAGCTTGCGCTTTACTGATCGAGGGCTCCACAAATCATGCAACGAGGGCGGCACCTTTGAATTGCGCAGCGCGACTCATCCAAAACTACAACCGCTTGACCACTCTACTCCATCTGAACAACTAGTCATTTGGTGGGAAAACCCCGTGGCATCACCAGGGAAGCAGTGACTTCTGCCGTTGTGCTGCAGCCTTGCCGATGGTAGACGTTCCTTCGCAGTCATTCGTGATGAATTAATAGCTGACGAATACGTTTTCAAGGTTCGAACAATGAATAGAGAATATGTTAGACAGCATCTTGGTGAAACTCCTTGGTAGCTGGCCGACACGTGATAGCCGCATCATCATCGGGCCGATCCGCCAGGTTCCTGGAGAATTTGTGACGCGAGAATAACGCCATCCGTCTACGTTGCTCAAGGCCCATTTCTCGACCCCACAAACGCCTCATCCATCGAATAGCCTAACGCGATCTCCAGGGACCCCCGATGAGGCCCATCTAGATCAGTAACTCGCCTATATCTGCCGAGGTATCGCTGCCGAACCTAGCTTGTAGCGTACCTCTATGACGTCGCCATAGATCATTCTCGGACGAGTCCGCCAGCGTCATTGTTCACCAACGAACTCATATAACCGCTTAGAAATGCGAAAATGTTGACGCACTAATAAACTACTTATATACCTCTAGTGATCGCGCACCTGAATTCTAGCATATTTCCATTGCAAAACTCACAACCGTTAATCTCATTAAACACGACTTAAATCTCTTTTTCTTGTTAGATACCCAATCACATTTTAGCAAATATGGCACCACGACGATACGAAGCAGAGCACAAGGACCCTGCCCCATTGAGCAAGCCTCTCGAGTTTGCCTTCTCCAAGAAGACTGCTCAGAACCGATTCCTCAAGGGTGCTATGACCGAGCGTCTATCATCATGGGATGCCCAGAACCTCGAAGCTCGTGGTGTTCCCTCCAAGAACCTTGTCAACGTATACCGACGATGGGGTGAGGGCGAGTTTGGTGTCATCCTTACCGGCAACATTATGATTGAGTACGACCACTTGGAAGCTGCTGGCAACCCCATCATCCCTCGCGGCTCAAAGTATGAGGGCGAGCGATTTGAGATGTTCAGGGAACTTGCGACACAATCTAAGAAGCACGGCTCTTTGATCGTTGGACAAGTCAGCCACCCAGGTCGCCAGGTAGCTGAGAACATCCAAAAGAAGCCAATCTCTGCATCCGACGTGCAACTAGAAGGCAATGTTATGGGCATGACCTTCGGCAAGCCCCGCGCCGCAACCGACGAGGATATCAAGAACGTTATCGAAGGCTTCGCTCACGCAGCTGAGTACCTAGAAAAGGCTGGCTACGACGGCATTCAGCTTCACGGAGCTCACGGCTACCTGCTCGCGCAATTCCTCTCTCCGACTACCAACAAGCGTACCGACAACTACGGCGGATCCCTTGAGAACCGTGCGCGCATCATCACCGAGATCGGCCAGGAAGTACGCAAGCGCACATCGTCCAACTTTGTACTTGGCATCAAGCTCAACTCTGTTGAGTTCCAAGACAAGGGTTTCGGCACCGAGGAGGCTGCAACTTTGTGCAAGCTGCTTGAAGACAACAGCTTCGACTTTGTTGAGTTGTCTGGTGGTACTTACGAGCAGCTTGCGTTTGGTCACAAGCGCGAGTCGACAAAGAAGCGTGAAGCTTTCTTCCTCGAGTTTGCTGAGAAGATCACACCCTCACTCTCCAAGACCAGGACCTACGTCACTGGTGGCTTGAAGAGTGCTGCTGCCATGGTCGACGCACTTAACACTGTCGACGGTGTTGGACTCGCCCGTCCAGTGTGCTTGGAGCCTGAGCTCCCTCGTCAAATCATCAACGGCGAGGTTCACGCGGCTATCAACCAATTGACAGACGACAATGACTTTGGCGCCACCAACGTTGCGGCAGGCACGCAGATCAGGCAATTGGGCAAGGACCAGCAGCCTATTGATCTGAGCGACAAGAGCAACTTGGAGGCATTCCAGAAGGACATGGCTACATGGGCTCAAGGCTTCTCAGACGACAAGACCGGAAGCAAGTACGGTTACGTCGATATTGAGAGTGTGAAGGCCGTGCCTTATGGCACCGCTGCACCTGCTTCATAAACGTGGGTTGCATCAATAATGTGTAAATAGATAACGTGGTTCACAAGCGAGTCGCCAACACAAGCGGGTCGCCACCCCAACACCAGCGCGACGCCTGCGCAGCAACGTAGTGTAGCACTAGAACACAATATTGTACTATAGGTAACAGATTACTATTACTCAGAAGCGTCACTATCATCTACATCTTCTATTTCTACCTTACAGGTGCAGGAGTTATGCCCAACCTCGCTGCAACGGCCGCAGCGCCTCTCTGCGCGCACCCTCTTCGCAGGCGTCTCGCTGTCCTTACGCCTACTACCCTCCTTTTTAGCAATTAAGTTAGATACCTCACTAACAGTTAGAGTCTCCTCTGCGCGTACGTACTGCCTTTTGCAAGTCTTGCGCTTTGTAAGCGTGTCAACAGCTTCTCGAAGGCTTCTTACTTCCTCTTGCATTAACACTATATTATAAGCTATCTCCTGAGCGCCTTTACCTAGCTGCTTAACCTGCTCGTCTAATGAGCTTGCTGGTGACCCTTAGTAGTTTCGCATGCGATTTTGAATTAGCGTAGATTGCGCCTCTATCTCGCGGGCGTTGCGCGGTGTTTGCGCCTCCTAGGCGACAGTGCCTAGTGCAGGCGGCGTCGGCGTACGCAGCTGCACATCTAGCTTTAATAGCACAGCCTCTAGGTTATATAGGACTAGTCTAGCACCTCGAAAGCCTGCGCGAACGTTCTCTAGTGTAAACGTTTTCTTATAAGCTTCTTTAAAGGCTAGTAGGAAGGTTTCCTTGTTAACATAGCAGATACGGCTGCGTGCAAAAAACGAGATCCTATCGCTGTAGTAGCGCTTTAACAGCGAGTAGGGGATAACGTTAAGAGGCTGCAGGAGGTGCGATAAGTGAGGTGGCATGCAGAGAGCGATAATCTTGTTCTCCTTGCAGTAGTCCTAGAAATCTACTAAGCAGTAGCTGTTATAGCCGTTAATAATAAGCAGCCTATATGCCCTAACAGAGGACGCCTTTTTATGTGCATTAAAGTGCTTAAGCTACGTAAGCGCGAGGTCGTTGTTAATCTAGCTAGTAGGAGAAACAGTGATAATCTAATCGCGAGGTAGATCTGCGAACTAGGAGGTAATAAGGACCTTCCCTGTAAAGATGAGGAAGGGCGGGATAACGCGCCCTATCGCAGAGACGCCTTGTACTAGAGTTACCTACTCGCGATCGCTAGGCTGTAGTTTCTTCTGTTTCCTAGGTTTCTCTAAGCTTATAACAATAAGCTAAGAGGATATCTTGCCTATTATAAAGCTAGACTTGTTAAAGTTCTAGGTATCCTCATCTGCGATACTATGCTTCGCCTTCATCGATTGAACAAGCGTAAACTAGGGCCTAATAATCGCTAGGTCCTCGCAGACAGCTCGCTAGTAATCGTACGGACGGCTCTATCGCGTTCGCAGCTCAGGTGTACGCTTAATAAAGTTATCAACCTAGTTCTTGCCTGTAGGCTTCCTACTACGCTCTCTCAGCAGTCTATCAGCTATATCTCGTACGTTTGCCTTTAAGGGCGGTATACCACGTAGACTCTCTTTAAGTATACGCTGTACAATCGCCTCCTCTTCTAGATTTGTAAGGCGTTTTAAGTTCGGCTCACAATCGCGTCGAGAGCGTCGTCTAGCGCGTCGGTCAACAAGCGTTCTTCGTGGGACGTTATAGATTGCTGCAGCGCGTGCGTTGCTTTGAAACTAACAAGAATTAATATCTAAGATAGCAAGCTGTATATTGCCTTTATTGTAGGTTCTTTAGGTATTGCGTAGTTGTGACATTACGTGAAGTTGCTGTGCAGGCGCCGCGCTGGTGTTAGGGTGGCGACCCGCTTGTGTTGGCGACTCGCTTGTGAACCACGTTAGAACGAATAGAAATGAATTCAACGACCAACATCCATCTGTAGTAGCCTTTATTGTCTGCTACAAGCTCAAGCCTATCCCTACTAGTCTACGCATCACTAACAGTTACACCACGTCCACCGGTGTAACAGGCCTAACATGATACTCGTCCTCACTAATCTCCCTAATCACCTCAACCCTCCATCTCTGCGTCTTCTTCCTTTCATCCTTTTCCCTCAACACAACTTCCTTCCCATCGGCCCTATCTCCAACATCTAAAACCTTCAACACACCGCTCGCTTCATTCCCAATCCACCACGTTCCATCCCCCCAACTCCCAATCCGCCAATTTAACGCATGCGCCGTATCATCCTCCCGCCTCAACACCGCTTTCGACGTGTCATCCGCGTAGACATCGAGTTGCCGGTTTGGCCCCAACCACCATGTTCGGAGGCGGTAGGAATTGGGGGTAATGGGGGAGGGCGTGAAGGCCCAGTATTGGCCTGAGTAGTAGCCCTCGCGGGTTAGTTTGAGAAGGCCGGTGCTGTTTTGGGTGCCGGCGTCGTTTATAATGTCGAGGGTAGGGTTGGAGGGTTTGGAAGTGTTTGTCAGGCGGTGGAAGTGGGATGGGGAGAAGGGTAGTTGGACGAGCATTGCTGATGATGATGGTGGTGGTGGTAGAAGATGGGGTAGATGAAGAAGGGCCAGGCAAATATGTTCGAGATGTCGTGTAATATGCTGGGTGTTGTGGTGTTATACGCTGAGCATCGCTTAAGATTAGATCTTGATCAATGAGCGCAGCAATTTTGTAGGGTCAGGGGGTTAACAGCTTGTATTTGCCGTCTTGTGGCGTGAAGCACGAGACCTCCAAAACAGGTAGCAGAATATCCTATCATGGGCTTCAAAGTGCACCGGGAGAAGTTTCGATTGGGGGCCTTGAGTAAATTGTTGAGGAAGCAGTGAACCAGATCAGGGGAGTGCGCTGATCACTTGACCAGCTGACAGTAAGCCACTATGCAAGGTCCTGGTTAGTGTCCCAATTGTAGCTTTTCGCGCATGTTTGTTGGGAAATATGACGATGAGTAAATTTCAGAGCAAGGAGTTCTTAAGATTGTAATAGCAGAAAAGAAGGGGAAGAAGATGCAAGAGGTATGAGAAAACGTGAAATGACGTCATGTTTGATGATTGAGAGGAATTGTGTCTTCGCAACCACAGCTTGGTATCTGTTTTTGATAAATCGTACCATGAACAGGCACAATAAAAAAGGATTGCGATATAGATGTGCTTGATAAGTCAGCATGAGGAATCTTATCTGAGACTGTCGTCTGGTTTTTCACATAGTCAACTTCCAATCCTAGTCGTCTTCATCCTCAGTTCCATCCTCGTTCTTCCCATCATATCTTACCTTTCTTGGCTCCATCTTCAGGCCATTCCATAACTCTTTACTGTAATACCCAAAGCAAACGTCACAATCTCCACATCTCCCACACCCTTGCGGTTCCCTACGACCAGTATATACATTGAAGACCCAATCCTCTGGTCTCTCACCCCACGGACCAGTCTTAAGATCGTACCTATCAGGCGCTTCGGGAAACTCGATCTGATTACGCGGCTTGTTGCGATTCGTGAGCGTATGAAGATCGACACCCCTCTTCCTTGCTACTTCAATCGCGCGGCGGAACCAAACCTTGTCCTTCTCATTAGCTCGAGGTACCGTTCCTTGCCCAAAAATAGGTCCACTACTTCTCTCTACGTTTTCCAAATATATGGCATCCATACACATCTCGGCATTGTTGAGAACGGATATGACCGCATCTTCGAAGCCTTGTTCCTCAGTTGGCTCCCATTGGTTATGGAAATTATCGAGCGACCCCCAGAGAACCAGCACTTCGTAATTCTTCACAGTCTCCAAGAAGCAGCGTTCCAGCTTTGCTCCGTCGCTTTCCCACTCTTCTCTGGAGTTGCCTGCAGCGTCAAGTTCGATATCTTGTATGTTCATGCAGAGATGCTTTAGAGCTCTGTGATTATTGAGTTCTTCCGGGAGGAAGGCACTGCAGCGATAGCCGTGGATATTAGGGTCGTCATGGTAGCCGTAGAACATCAAACTTTCTAGAGAGTTTCCCTGATAAACGCCCAGGTCGCCGACGAGGTTGTCGGCGTGTTCAAGCATGGCATTGCCGGCACGGAAAGAGGCTGTGATGAGGGCTGACGGGGCGGTTGCAAGAGCTCTGATGAAATCAGTACCTATTTCGCCGCAATTATCCAGAAAAAGATGTTTAACGCTGGAAGTTCCGGCGGGTAGAAGAGAGTCCCAAGGTGTTTCGTCGTCCCCGTTGCCTTCGCAGTCTTTGAAGTATATCCTTTCCAGGTGGGGTAGACGGAGAAACTGCGTCAGTATTCCTAAGTTGAATTCCCCTGTACTGGGATGATAGGCATCATCCATCCATGTTTCCGTCGGCAGACCAACAGCGGCCGATTGGAGGTTTTCGAGGCCTGGACCCCAAGAGGTTTTCTTGTTGTGAGAGTCGTTGATGAAGGTATCGAGCCAGCCAAGGCAAGAAAATGCTCCAATCTCGTGGCGTGCCGGCATAACGAATTTGACATCGCGAAGTCTTGGACAATTTGTGATAAGGAGGGCTTTTAGGTAAGTGTCATGCCCTTCCAGAATCTGCGTACGCGCTTCATCGATGCGCTCGGGTAGAAGACTGCCCTGTCCTTGCTCCAGTCGCTCCAAATAGTCGTCAATTTCACCAGGTATGAATTCCCAAGCTATTGGTGATTGTGCAGTCTGGTCGACTGGGACTTCAAAGTTGAGCGTTTTCCATGTTTCCCATCCTCTGCGGTCGTACCAGACTTCCAGGGATCGAACATGCCATGCAGAAATTGGGTCACCATACCAGTATGCGCTTCGAAGAAGAGTGGGAATTGTAGCAGGATCTAGATCAGATGACACACCGTACTTGAGCTCAGCGTCGCGATGGCGTTTGAGAATATCTGCAGAGCATGCGGATAAATGCTTGCAGGTACATGCAAAGTCGATGTGGGATGCGGGGGGTATGTAATCGATTATGTAATGAATCAGTTCGCTTGCAAGATTGGTGAGAAAACACAAGCTGTCGGTGTTGACCGTGGGGAGGTCGCTCAGGTTCGATGGGTGTGAAGGTAGCGAGGCGGTGAAAGGGGCTTCTCTTGGTTCGGCCATGTCGCTTTGTGAAGAGTTCTAGCGTGCGTACCTATCTTGAGGGAGTGCGCGTAAGTACTCTTTATATTGTCGTGAGAAGTTGACACGAAGGATGAGGCTTGGTTCTGAAGTGGTGTCTGGGGCTTGGTATTCTAGGCGTCCTCCTGATGCCTTCGGCTAATGGCGTGTTAATTTCCGTCAACCCTTTCAGCCCCGTTTTGTAGCTCGCACACGAATAGTGCGATGGTTATGCACATCCTGAGAACGACGCAGTGACGGCTTGTTTCTCGCTAGCATATCAGACTAGTAAGTTCCTCGAGCACATCACCATAAGGTTGTAGATGGATTCGTACGGTGGAGAATGGCATTGAGATGTGTTGTACATTAGGTTCCTCGCGAGAAGTGGTATCCAGTTCGTGACTCGTAAGCGTGGGGTTGGCGTCGAGGCCGATAGCTATGCGCTGTAGGAGCTGATAAAGTACTGGACGAAAGTGAGCGTGGTGAGTGAGAGTATGAGGAGCGTAACTTACTGTCAAGACCGACTCATCATCACCGTTATCGTTGGGTAGATATACGTAGAGTATGAGTGCATGCTCATGGCAGAAGCCTTTGGAATATTAGCATGCTTGTGAACATGAGGTTGGCGAAACTGACAGGCAATGACCCGTCCCCCCAGCCTGCCCACGCTCATGACCTTACCCCAGTCACGCCCATCGATCCTCACTGTGGCCCATCCTTCTTCACTACGCCCATCGGCCGTCCCTAGCTGCTTCATACGCGTACTTGGGTGTTCAGCAACGCCGTCTTCACCCCCAGCGACGTGGCCAGGGTCTAGTTCCGGATTGCTGAGATCGGTCCAGATGGAAGATATGTTCATGGCGTCGGATCTGATGCTCATCCTGAGGCAGCCGTGCATGTTGGCCGAAACTTCTAAACGGGTTCTCGCTGCGGTCGTTGCAGTGCTTGCCTTGGTGTCTGCCAGCGCCAGTTTGGTGAACCTGTCGCTGATGCTCTTCAGCTGCATTAAAGGTGGCAGTATGATGTGCACGTCTGGCTCTCGACAGACAGGCTCATGCAAATGCGCTACGGTATCCGGCGCAAGCACTCGCACAGGTATCTCTTGCGTGACAATAGTCTCGCGGTTTCCTCCACCAAACTCGTTGTCGAAGGCGGCGTCGAAGCCATCGTCGTCGTTGGCTGAAGCAGCAGGAAAGGCGCTGTACGTGTTTGAGGACGTGGTGGTGACGATGGTGAGGGCGAGCATGGGCAGGTTGTCCTTTTTGGTGAGGCGTATCTGGGCCGAAGTGGCATTGAGCGCTGATTTGAGGGCGCGATTCAACGACGTGAGCGGAACTTCGAGATTGATGACATTATCCGCTGCTGACTGCACGCTGATACTCTCAAAGATGGAGTCCTACGTGGCGCATTAACCTCCAGACGGCAAGAATTAGACGGTATGCTTACAATGGAGAGAACACTAGACGTGGTTAGAACAAGCGACACCAAGATACAAGGCGTCTACTCACGCCCATACTTGTGTGCCCTGCTCTGGTATGATGGTGAAGCATATTTGCTCCTCGCTGAGCTTCACCCACGCGAGCGGGCCGAGCGAGTTGAGCGATGCTGTGAGCTCTAGACGATGTCAGTTGCCACTCCAAGTACGGAACACACATGCTTACTCGTAAAGGTCGTAATGTTTTGTATTCCCGCCTTGAAGCGCATCTTTGCGTTGCTGTCGCACGATGCAGGTGAGATGTCGCGACGCGTCGAGAAATGTGGAGGGGGGAAAGCCGCCCCAGCGAACGTCATCGCCTCTGCATTGCCCCCATGGCATCCAGCGACTTTCACTAACACCATCACCAACACCATCTCTCTTACCGTCATCATCGCGAACTGATATTTCGATATCGCACGTATTTCCCAGAGGTTGAACAGATAACATACACAGCATAGCCTCAACTTGTCTATTCGCAACTACGTACGGCGATACAGCGACGTCTAAACCATCTCTCGATCATGATCAATACAACGACAGTCCTGCTTCTACACTGTCTGTCTCTGCACCGAGATCCCTGTGCTTGATATAGTCGTTTTCGAATACATCTGACCGGAGATTAGCTGAGCGAAGCGAAAGAACATGTACGACTAACCTGTCCACTGGTTCCTTGTATCTCGTATCTTCCTGCACCAGAAATCGGGACGTTCACGCCGCTCTTAGTAGTCGCGGAAACCGCAGTAAATGACACCGTTCCAAAGTTTGGCGTGGCCACCAGCTGGCCTGGGATAACTTGATATGCTTGAACGAACCAGTCTGCCGCCAGAGCAGTCAAGGCGGATGGATCTACACCATTAGGAGCTGCGAGCGTCTGTGTCGTCCTTTTGTTCTGTGTTTTATTCTCGATGGTCACGGTACCCCCAGCGGTAGCCACGTTGACAGTTACAGTAATAGAGTTACCGTTGGCAACAGGAACATTCGAAGTAGTGTCTGTCACTGGACCAGGAAAGTACGCGGAGAAGCTTCGAAGAGTACTGTTGTACACAATTCCACCACCGAGAACATTGTCTTGCTCAAGCGTGTCACCAATACCCACCCAAATCGAGAGGCGGTTTGTGCCCGATAGGTTCGGCACTGTGAACTGTACACCCAGTCAGTACACACCTCGCATATAGCATGGATTTCACATACGGTGCCTGTTACGGTGGCAAACGAGTCGCCTGCTGGTGCTTTGAGTACCGCACCGCCCCGGTTCAGGTCGAAGGCGGCAGATGCAATCGACACCCAGCACGCCAGAAGAGCAGTGATTCTCATGGCTAACTTGGGTCTATCCAGTAAGGAGAGAAGATGTCGTGTAACAAGACGTCCAATGAGAGAGAGGTGGAAAAGCTTCCGAATTCAAGAAGCAGAAGCAGTCGATGTTCCAGAAGGATAGTTGAGATTCCGGAGCCTACAGCTGACAGCACCACATGGACTATATTACTTCCATGGGAGCGTACCCGGTTGATAAACACTCACACCTCGCGAGCGAATCTGTTATACTTCAACAGCCTGTTCTTTCGACCGCCCGTTCGCCCAGCTATACAACTACATCCCTTTAGTATCTTGACTTACTCTAGCTGGGCATCCTGCAATGGTCCAATGGCAATGCGCAAATCATCTATACTGTGCCAAGAAATCCGTGCGAATGGCATGCGTTGATGAGGTACGGGGCCGGACAATATAAACAAATGGGAGTATTGGTACCCCACAGCTTGGCGCGGCGGCAAAGTAGGATAGATTGAGGCTCGTGGAACCTTGTCTCAACGTCCACAAACATCATCCTAGCCAAAATTCGAACGGGCCAGTCACCGTCTTCTTGTCACATGGGGCGTCATTCTACAAGTGGGGCGTTATACGTTTCGCCGCACCTGCACACAACTGCCGACGACATGTCAAGACTTACAATTTTGGTCGAATATCAGGGAGCATTGTCACTGGAGTCATTCGGTCTCGAGGAAGTTCTCCTCCAATCATATTAGTATTGCCGCCAACCGAATACGTCACGTTCACCATCATGATGAGATTGTGCCAACTGCCTAAGCCGAAAATGAAGTGCACACAATGCCATCAGCAGCGCCATGGCTACTACGGCTGCCCGATACGATAGGAAAATTCGACATGAGTGGATGATGAGCAATCCAGAATGGCAAATCGGGAACGCTGATGTAGATCCTACCCATTCATGCGATACCATCATGCATCCACACCATCTCAAGTACCCGAAAGTGCTCTAGACTCATCCCGCGCTCGATATTGCTCACTGTGATCTCTACCAAGACCGAGTTCTGCCTTTGCAACACAGCATACCCGCTCGGCGTCACCACCCCTGATCCTGGTGGCATCTTATGCATATGTAACGCAGCTGTATAAGATACTTTGTATTGCGAACATACTTCTTACTACCTCCATCTTGTCGACCTCATTACAGATCACCAGCTTCATCGACATGAAGGCATTCACTGCTACCGCTCTTGCGCTTGTTGCACCCGCAACGGCGCTACTGCGCTTCCCATGCGCTCAGCTAGTCATCGACAGGCTGGATCCGCTGGTCACGCCAGGTCAAGCTCCATCTCCTCACTTACACCAGATCCTAGGAGGAAATTCCTTCAACGTTACCATGGATCCAGCAAAGGATATGCCAGGAGAGTCAACATGCACATCGTGCCAGTTTAGCGAGGACTTTTCCGTAAGTACAGCTACTTATGTTTCAACCTGCTTGCGCAAAACTAACAAGCGCAAAGAACTACTGGACAGCCGTGCTATACTTCAAAGCTAGGAACGGCACATATAAGCGCGTTCCCCAGATACCCAACTCAGGCTTCAACGGCGTAAACGGAGGCATGACCGTATACTACATGCAAGATGGCCTCTACAACTTCCAGCAAACTTCCAAGGTCCAGGCATTCCAGCCCGGCTTCCGCATGTTCATCGGCGACGTCAACGCCCGCACCAAAGATGAAGCTGAACGCTTCCGTCAACTAACATTCACGTGTTTGGACAACATCAACACGCGTGACCCCCAGACTCTCGACTTTCCTACTCAGCCGTGTAAGGCGGGCATTATGACTGCAGTTCGCTTTCCTACGTACGTCGTTTCCTAAGCATCTTCTCAACCGCTTTCATCCCACTAACGTCAACCCGCTCAGCTGCTGGGACGGGGTCAACCTCGACTCTCCAGACCACATGGCACACATGTCTTACCCCGAATACGGCTCCTTTGAATCCGGCGGCCCCTGCCCTGCCAGCCACCCCGTACGCATGGGTCAGCTCTTCTACGAAGTCATCTGGGATACGAGCAAGTTTAATAACAAGGCTGATTGGCCTGAGGATGGTAGTCAACCATTTGTCTGGAGTTTCGGTGATGGGTACGTCTTCCTGTCCCCCTTTACCTCACATCCGCTACGAGGTGTACGAGATGATGCGGTCGCTAACGTGTTTTTCTTGTGGTTATAGAACGGGTTATGCGAATCATGGTGATTACATGTTTGGATGGCAAGGTGACGCGCTTCAACGTGCTCTTGATTCGCCTTGCTACCAGAATTGCCCTACGCTTAAGACGCAGAATGCTGCAGCCATGAATAAGTGCACTGTTCCTCGTGTTGTCAAAGAGGAGATCGACGCATGGGTTAGTGAGTTGCCTGGTGGCCATCAAGCGCAATATGTCAAGAAGCGGTGGGCTGAGTAAATTCTACACTCCTTGACAAAGTAAACAGCATTGAGGGATTGTAGGTGAGAGTTAGGAAATTATGACCATTGACTATGACTATAGTAGCTGTCTAAGTTGGCTAAGAAATAGGTGCAAGACGCTGTTTTTCGCGACTTGTCTTGGTGGTAGTACATGTAAATACTGTATGTACGAAAGAAACTGTGATAATGATGGTATATGACTCCGGCCGAAAACGGCACCGCCGCGGTTTGAAGACGCAAAATGGCCGACAAGAACAAGACCGCTGTTGATGACAAAGGAAACATCCGAAATGATATGACATCTCATGCACGCGCGATCCACTCTCCAGAGTTCATTCGCGAATGAGAAGGCCGAGCGCCGGGCTCGTTCTTGTGGAGACCGCATTTAGCACTTCCACGTATGCGGATCACGGTGATCTCGCTCGAGTCTGCTTCGGTCTGCAGACTGGCATCATCTGCATCGCCTTTTGTGTTGGTGTTCATCACCCTTGGTGCTGGACATGTGCATATGTCCTCAGCAGCGTCCTCCGCGTCTTCATCGCCTTCCAGAAATATTGTAGGCGCAACGCTGCTTCCCCCATCTTCGCTTTTCTCCTCGAAAGGACCCAGCTCTTTATCCCAAATTCCATGACTACTGTGTCTTTTCAATCCCAAGCTCTTCACAATCTCTTCGAGCTCTACCGCATTCAATCTGACTCTTCCATTTTTCTCCTTCCCAAAATCGGCCTCAGAATCTTTGTGCAAGTATCCGCTGAGCTGTGACGAGTCACTCACTCTACGCGTATGCGTACTAGCGGTCGACACAGAGAAGCGTGACGATGGTCCTAATTTCGTTGTTTTCCGAGGAGGGCTAGATCGGGTTGAGGGAGCTTCAATGTCGAAGTCTAGATTAGATTCGTCGTCGTGGAAGCGCGACATACTATTGTTGCTATGGAAGTGTGCCGGGAAGTAGGCGGTGTCAGGCCGGTAGATGACCGTCTGACCTGAATAGCGAGAGTTGTAAAAGCTATCCCTTTCAGGGGTGTAGGGTTCTGAGTAGCTAGGGACGACTTCGTCGACATCGCCGTGTAATAGGTGTACAGTGCTACCGGCTACGGGGCCAGAGATGCCGACGGAGCGTGGAGGGTTACGGGCAGCGCTGTCCGGACTGCGGATTTCTCTACCGAGAGGTAGTAAGGTGCTGAGATTAACAGCTATCATCTCGGTTAGAAACTCGCAGATACCCCATGTGGTGAATGTCAAGTCAAAGTTGTTCCGATAGCCGATGTGGTCCCAAGATGTGACGACCATCCAGGATCTAATGATGGCTGCAGCGCAGGCACTGTGAAATATTAGCAACCAAAATTCCGAAAAGTAGTGCTTTTGCGGATCAGGGAGACTTACAAGAGCCCTAACGATACCACCGCAAGAAGATGCAGTGTAGGTCCAAGCTTGAGCGAAGAGCCGATGGCGATGGGGACCGTGAAGAGAATCAGTAGTAGACTGGATGCAGCATTGATGGCTAGATTGATGAGTTAGAACTGTTTATCGGTTTTGAAGACTGCATTACTTACGGTAGTTCGCCAGAGCCCAGTGCTTGGACTCGCTTTGCGACATGCACAACGCCTTATCATCATACGAAAGATCCCAGGCCGCTACAAGAGGAACGCATTGAGCGAGGATTGATATGAACCACTCAACCGTGTGCCAGAATACCAGTACTATGCTCGTCAGCTTTGATATCAAAGGGTATTGGTACTGAAGACCTACGCATAAGTCCGACGAGAAGGATAACGCGTGCCATCAGTAAGTACGAATGACTTCTCGCATCGGCCAGAGGTAAAAGAGTAAAAGCAGCTGATAGCTTAACGACACCAAGCCCCACGATGATGAGCGAATTCAATGCCCACATCCACGGCCCCATTTGAACAGTCTTGCTGACCGGTAACGCATAGCCGTCTTCCTGCTGCCCAATACCAAGCTCTACGACTCCAGTGAATGTGATAAATATTCCTATTGTGCATAGCTGTCTTGCGCATTAGCTGATATAGAACCTTTCCATTCCGATTTTTGAACATACAGCGGCCAGTACCATCAGTCCATCATCGATGGTGAAGGAGCGAAGGAGCTTTCCACGAGTGAAGGCTCTTAGCGAGTAAATCAACAGCGCGCTCAAGGCCAGCGTGACGACAATGGCAAGATGAAGGGGCCCATTGTCGGGGACTAGCCAGGGCAGAGGAGTTCCGGAGGGTGATACCGCGCTGGCATCGGCATCCATTGTGTGAGGTGACGGTAACGGTGTCCTGTTTCCTCCGTGAATTCATGCAGAGTTGTCGACCAGACCGAGGGGAGTTGGTTGAAACGAGTGAATGACTGGTTGAATGTCTGGTGAGAATTACACGGGTGAAACGAACGTATGGGCAGGAGGAAAAGAGCGTGGTCGAGAGGAAACGGAGGGAACCGGGATGTTTAGAGGAGAGCGTCTTGTACGACGAATTGAACATGGCGTTTCAGCCCAGAGCAGCACCGCAGACACAGGCGCATGGTTCACGGCTCCTCGCCGACGTCGCTATAGAGATAGCAAAGCTGCAAGTGCGTAGTGGGGAGCCAATCGTCGAGTTGTCATAGCCTGCAAGGTACGCGAGCGGGGGTGATTTTGTTTTCCCGTTGTACTAGTCCTTCCTCTGCAGGGCCTTACCTAGGTCATGTCTTCCATGGTACAGCACGGGCGCTCTAGTGCTGGTATCAGCCGCCTGGGATTGAATTATCAGGTACCGCTTCGGACGGTTACAGTACTCGACTGCTTTTCTCGAGGCTGATCTACTTTACCAGGGGCATCTCAGGGCTCACGGGGGTCTCTCAGGGTCAAAACGGTGAGCGTCTCCTCCCGCACACCGGCTTAACTGCTCTCAAATTCGTACCATGTGTGTTCGGTAAGATACAGATGCTCTCTAGATGCGGTGTCGTCACAATGAGAGGTTGTAGCTATCCGGAGAAGGCAGTGGATCTTCTGTCTCCACACCATACGGCCCAAAACCGTCTTAGTAGAGATTGTGGCGTGAGTTTCGAGCAGTAGCAATGCAGTATTGCTGTACAGCCCAGAAAGAACAAACAGAAAAAACAATGCCCAAAGTCTAATGTTCTCCAGGGATGGATTTGTGTTCTGGGTTCGTGTGGATGGGTGGAGACTGGCGCATCTTCTCCTGCATGCGACTGGCTGACTATGCTGTTGCTTTTGCTCGTGATCTTCAGATTGACGAACGGGTATTGCGAATCCCAGCGCCACAACGATATGCGAGATGCAGGAGATCTGTTGGAACGAGAATCTATCGATGGAAAGACCGAGTGGGCTGAAATGCGGAGGCTGTACTGGGGCACGCGAGGAGGCGTATTACGACAACGATGCCGTTGACACGGGACAGGCTCGTGGCTCACGCATTACCTAGGTATCGACCATGCATCCCACGCAACAGCTGATGGATGGTCGTCGCCGGGATGAAACGCGTTTCTAAAAAAGCATGCGTATTTTGGAGTGCGACGGGTCTATGGAGTCGAGGTCATAGGGGTTGTTAGGATGGTAGCGAGGATGCCGCTCTCAGAGACCTGAAGGATTGTGGCTCAAGCTTTGCCTATTCATGGAGATGATCAGGATCTTAGCGGCGCGGAGGTCCTAGTGTTCTGGCCTTGGCACGCTAGCCCGGTTCAACAACTGTCTATCCACGCCCTGAAGCCATACCATCATACACTGGTGTGTACGCACAGCACAGCGTCTGCCGTAATCCATCCCATGTTTCTCCTTCCGGTCTCGCGAACCACAAAAATCCGGTTTGATCAACTACACCGTCAGAGGAAGCTTGATGAATACCACGACTAACTTTAACCGAGGTGTTGTTGGGATCTGTGAGGGATGCACCAAGTCCTTCGCATCTACCGCACAGGCGCTCGATCCCCGCCTTAGAATACACTGTAGGGGGCCTATCTAGATATGGTGCGACTTCGGTGGTGCGACCGTGGAGAAACACCCAGGTCGTACGAATTCCGAGAAGATAGATGCGATATGTACAGAGTCGGAGCGACATGCGCTTTTTCGTTCAAAGTCGAAAAGACTGAGGTACACGGGTACAAATGCCGGTCTGAGATGTTGGGAAATTGAAGAGAGCGGTATTCTTTACCGCTGCTCGCTGTTACAATTCGGGCTTAACACCTACCACTCGCCCTACTCAGCATACTATGGCGACTACTGCTATTGCCGCTACTATTGCCATGTTTCCAGTGGCCAGCCAAGATACACGTGCGCCAGCATTCTTCCGCGGAACGTCTTCCTCGGATTCTCAACTGCCCTGAGCCACATCATCGAGCGCAACAAATATGACTTGTGTCTCCGTGCTGTCATCGCTAAAGGATGCCGCAAGTACGATCGTACCGGTACAGCCCTCCGAACGAATGGATCATGGCATGCGAAGCTGATAGTGTTACGATCTGAGTTGTAAGTTCCACTCCCAACAGACCCATGGACCAGGTGCGATACTCCTCTGGAACGGACTCTGCCGGTGGCGACGACCCATTGCACGTATGGTTTGGAATGTCGATACGTGGAGCTGTGTCGGCCCATCAGTGATCCATGTTGTCTACGGATGAAGCGTCAATCACTTGCACAACAATACCCTAGGACTAAGTGTTCCTTCCGGACAGGCATCTCTAATTCGGCCGGTATCGACTCAACGCTCGCATTTGAGATCTTCCTCATCACCTCCAATGGATACAGTCAGGAAAGAGATGCCGTGCAATAAATCTATGTACTCGTCACTTAGGACATCTTCGCAACTGGTTGTGCCATTTCCTGAGGTCGAAGCATTGACGCCATTGAACCGATAGAAACAACCTTTAGTTGGCATTGTTCATCGAAGATAGCTGAAGTAGCCTTAGAGGAGGTACATCTGAATATCTGTGACAGAACTACGTTTGTCCTCAAAAACGAGCGATATATACCAGTCTCCGTCCAATGCGGATGCGAAATGAAACGATGTCTGACCAGAAGAGTTGAAGGCCGCTAATTGATCGGGACAGAGAGTAGTGCCAGCCGTGTCATTGTTGTTGTTGTCTCGGGCGCGACAGCCAAGTAGTAGAGTATGTGCCACGAGTAACCGAGCGGGTAAGAAGCGTGAAGTAGCCATCATTTTTGGTAGAACCATTGAAATCATCGCACCAAGCAGAAGACTGAGGCAAACAACATTTATATCGGAGAGGATGTGTTACTAGCGGCCTAGTTCACAATGCCGCAAACGAGTCACAGTCACTCGCGTTTACCCACCGTGAGTAGTCAGAATCAGGTTAATTGGGGGCCGCATTTCCGCCAGCGATCAACATGCTGTCTCCTTGGCTACCTGGTCAACATGAACCTCGAGCGCATAGGTAAAGATGGATGAGTATAGATTAAGGTACTCAACACACCACGCCGGATGGCTGCCGGCTTGGCGCGGTGGATCTGAAGATCTACAGGCAGGCTGCAATCTGATATACCTACTCATCCCTATGAAGGTTTTCAGAGCATGGAGCATGATTTCTAAGTAGATATCGCACAATTGGTGTCGCCGATACTGTATTGAACTCTAGTGTGCCTTCAACCAAACATGCTTCAAGACATCCAGTTTAATCCGAGAGGTAAAATTAGAAGGTAGTGTGAAATTCAGAAACATGTACACTACACACACTAAATTCTTGGACGATTCCCGACAAACTTCAGGCATCAAGGATCGTCTCTCAACAGAGTATGTTGTGTAACACAGTAGGTTCTAGGTCTTTGTCTAACGCTCACGGATGCGATGTTCTGAGGACGCAATGTTTGGTGTTCGTGTTCAATCAGACCTCCAAAAACAGTTCCATTCCGCCAGCTCAACGTCAACCATCTCCCACCACCACCACCACCACCACCACGCCTCCCCATACGATTACAATCGCAAAAAGAATAGCTAGAGTACTCGCTGCATCGGCCGGGAATCGAACCCGGGGCTAGCCGAAACTGTCCTGTGAAGGATGGCAACGGCTAATTTTACCACTAAACCACCGATGCGAAAGATGGTAACAAAGCTGGAACTGATGTGACCTAACCAGGGGTCGAACCTGGAATCTCTTGATATCGAACGAATCGTAGTCAAGCGCCTTGCCATTGGGCCATTAGGCCAGTTGTTGCTTAGTAATGATGGAAAGATGACCAGATAATGTTTATATATACATAGTTTATAACCGAGTGAGGTTGAAGGTTGAGAAATAACGGAAAGGTTGTTGATGTAGTAATGCTGCGGTCAAGTTTTTTCTAGTGAGGGACGCGGTGGTGGGGCCTGCATACCGCCATGCCGAACCCGACCGAGCATCCTACACTTTCCTTCGCGAATGCACTGCAAAGTACGCCCAACCTCTCTTGTTCGTATACTTTTCTGTTTACTCTCCAAGTGTGATAAGATGATGAGTGCGTTGTGCTTCATGAATCAACACTGTCTTGTTGCAGATCCAGCTGTCGTCCGGACAGCACTCTACAGGCTGCAAGGTACTCTGGCTTCAACGCCTATCTTGCTGGCCTCTGCATCCCAGCTCGCGACAACGCAAACCTATCACCAGATATCATGGTCGTCAGGATCATTTAGACTATGTATTGCCATACTGACACTCAGGCGGCGTAGCGTAAGTACGTAATTACCACCTTCGCAGTATCTCTACATGCCAAACTAGTGCTCCAACAAACAAGGTCAGCTATACTTAGAGGAAAACTCTCCAAGAGTTGGTTGTACACAATCTCTTCATGGTTGTGGTTCTGAACACCTTTGTGGCGAATGCTAGGACAAAACGCGAGCGATTTGGAAGGATAGTGGCTCACAAGAGTGTATGAGAAGATTTCCGTTCTCCAAGACCGGACTGTGTAAAGAGCGGATAGTAAGTGAGGTGAGATAGACCTAGGAAATCTCAGGGATAGCACTGCTGCGGCGATGTCAACTATGCAGCAACTCAGCGCGACCGGCAATTACTAGCTAAAGCCAGAAATCAAGCATTCGGCATCCAGTAAACTCTTGAAGATCGAGGGCCTCAACACCTACCAGAGCGCATGCGTCGCGTTCAAGTTGGGGCTGGAAAGAGGCTGAAGTAAGGAGAAACTATTGGAGTCAGTTGAGGAATGGAAAGTGTTCGAGGCAAACACTGGGCGCGGGTGGGATGCATGCTTTTCAGGAGGCTGCTTGAGGGAAGGGAGTTTGAAAAGTGATTGTCAAGTTCAGAAAGTCAATGTGAGTTTCTAGTCCTGACGGTAACCAAAGTTCGGACCATCGGTACTTCGAACATTCGATGAGGCTTATCTGTAACCTTGACAGAGTTTGTATTTTCGTGATACGAGTTGGGAAGAGAGAGGGTCGAAGTGGATACTTCAGCCGGCCACGTTAACGTGGTTCTAGCGCGACATCTCCGCGCACACGTCGCGCTCGAACCTTCAATGTTTTCATGTTCCTTCCCCGGGCCCCCCTCACTGCCAAGATACAACAAAGTTAATAGAATTTCCGACAGCCCGGATCGGTACGCAAATTACCTCTCGCCTGGGTACATACCCACTCTGCGCGACAAGATGATACGATGCACTACTCCGCGATAGGAAAGAGACAAGACTCATTCGCAGCGACAAGACGCGCTTAACGTCTACCCCGAATCTGCTATACGGCCTGATTGGCTTTTGAACCATGATATTGACCCGCTGTGCTCTTGGTACTTCCTCTGTATACACGCAAACATATCACCAGTGGTTAGACGAGGCATCAAGCGGAACGTGATGGAAAAATGCAACCCCGAAGCTGGCACAAGAAACGTATATATTCGACCTTATGAGCACGACTTGAGTACCACACTGACCTCAGCTACTTCACTATCTTGAGAACCTCCCCAGTGCCAATAAGATGAAATCAGCCGCTCTTCTTGCCGCAGTATGTGCGACCGCTGTGTTTGCAAAGCCGGAGCAGGTTGAGCCTAGAGCGCTTTTCACTATCGAAGTCGCTCCTGGAGAGACTCGCCAGATCACCGAAGAAGAGAGATGGGAAATTTCCGCTGTCAGTAATATACAACTTCCAAGGATCCCTCTAGTCTGACAATTTTCTAGAGCGGGGGCTGCGGAAGCCATTTCTTCGACATCAGCGACTCTCATGTCGCACCTCTCTCAGTCAAAGCAGGGCCTCCTTACCCGAAGAAGTTCAAATACCAAGAAAACGTCAAGCGGCTTTTCCCAAAACTCAAGTGGGACAACATCAAGAAGAACTTGGAGTATTACTCTACCTTCCACACGCGCTTTTCCGAGACTGAGTCAGGCGCCGAAGCCGCGCAGTGGCTTCTTGGCCAGGTTCAAGATGTAGTCTTGAAGTCCGGAAAGAAGGGTGTCACCGCCGAGGCATTCCCCCACGTCCGATGGCCACAAAACTCCGTCGTCGCACGAGTTCAAGGACGGAGCAACAGGACTGTAGTTGTGGGCGCCCACCTCGACTCCATCAACGGAGCGGACCGAATGAACGGACGTGCACCGGGTGTAGACGATGATGGTAGCGGATCGTTCCTTAACCTCGAAGCCCTCCGCGTATTGCTAAGCGACAAAGACTTTGGCCCCAGCAAGCTGCAAAATACCATCGAGTTCCACTGGTATGCGGCGGAAGAGGGCGGATTGCGTGGTAGTCAAGATATCTTTACGCAGTATGCGGCTGCCGGCAGGGATATCTGGGCCATGTTGCAGCAGGATATGGTTGGATACACGAAGGCTACTCTTGACGCCGGAAAGCCGGAAAGTTTTGGTCTCATTACCGACTTTACGGATCCTGCTCTTAACGAGTACATCACCCGTGTCATCAAAGAGGTAAGTACCTAAAAGTCTATACACAGGCCTGCAACTCTAACATCTGGACAGTACACCGACATTACCTACGTCAACAGTACATGCGGATATGCATGCTCTGATCATGGCTCCGCGATGAGGAGTGGATTCCCTGCATCATTCGTTTTTGAGTCCGCTTTTGAGTACCGAAACCCTCACATCCACACCGCCAACGATACGATGGAACACATGGATCCCAATCACGTAATTCAGCATGGTCAGCTCGTTTTGGGATACATCTACGAGCTTGGGTTCAGTAAGCATGATTTGTAGATTGTATCAGCTATGAATTAGTACGCTTTGGTCACAGTGTAATTAAAGACATGAAGTGAGGTCATTGAGAAACGCTAGATAATACCAGCACTCATCGTGCCTGACCCATACATCCGCATCAAGGGCTACAGATAGTAGCTGGATTATATAGTCTGCCTCCTACACACGTCTTATGAGACAAAGACAGTAACTCGACCATGTAGCCAGCTTCTCTTTAACGTATCACCGTCTAGTCATATATCAACGTTTCCGGCGTCGAAAGCGGCTGAGGCAAGAGATAGACAAGAAATGGCAGGCATCGTCGCTGTCCGTTATTTGACCAAGGGTATAGGTGGCCTTGCGCTCTCCAGATACGAATTCGGGCTCACGAAGGAGCTGGAAAAGGACGAAGTCTGGATGAATTGGACATGTATTTTTGACTTCCAAGTGAGCGGTGAGACAGCTGTCGCAGTAGAGTCCTTAGCAAGCGTGCAAGCAGCTGTCTATACTGATGACTTCATGCGCATCTAGAATAGCTATATGAGCGATTGAAAAGCGGCAGGTGGGTCACACTATTTTACAAGTGATGAGCTTTTCGCATAGATCACACACTACACCCCCCTGGATGCCCTAGTCGAGGAAGGTTTTGCGGTCCATCAACGGCGTATCCATTCTTGACAGGTATGCGAGGATTATATCCATTTACGTAGGCATTCAAATCCAAATATGTGTTCACATCTTGGGTCTTGAGGAACGTTGGTTAGTGGTCCGCGTCAAATGGTTCCAATGCAGATGCCGCAATTGTCAAGAACAGTGAGGTTTTTCCTGAGGAAGTCGCGGCGCGAAGGAAGATTTGCATGTCGCGGTGCCATTTTGTTGGAAGTTGAGTATTCTGCTATTGTTGGAAGAGGAGACAGAATTATAGGAAGTCTAGGCCGGGGCAAAGCAAAACGCGTTGATTGCAGACTCTAAGCCAAAAGGACGCCCACCACTATTTCGTCCACTAATTGCACACATGACAGAAGCGAGTGAGAAACATAGTGGCATTGGTCTAAAAAGCTGAAGTTAAGCTGATCTCTATGTCTTTAGCGTGAACGGTCCTCTCCCCACAGCAGCCTTGGAGGTAAAGACATGACAGTTTTTAGCTCAAAACACTCGGAATCGTCGCTGGCAGGGCTTGATGGACGCAAGAGCGATGATCCTTTCCTCGGAGGCATAAGCGGTCGAAGACTCGCATGAACAACTAACTGATCCCATTGATGCGTAATCTTGAAGGTTCGAGCAGCATCAAAGGGGTCAATGCTGGCTGCGGACTCAATACCTGGCGATGATGGATGTAGCAGTGTTGATTCTCGTCGCGCCTTAGGTCCATCCATATCGCTACAAATGGAGTCTGATCTGGCGCCGGTAGTCATCGCACTGCTTCGCCTTCGCCTAGGCCGCACTCCACAACCTGGCTCGAACCATCCTGCCTCGTTGAACGGAGTTATTATAGAGTCGATCGAGCCACATCGAAGGAACTCTAGTTTGAGGTTCGGGCGCCAGCTCGGTCTGCGGTTCGATGAGGGTTGTTCATAGGGATGGTTGCGTTTGCGTTCGACACATTGTCTCCTTTGCGCTTTGGGCCGTGCTACTGTGGTTTTTGGTGACAGTGGCGGTGAGGGAGCGTATGGCTTGATATAGACCTCTTCCTTATTTTCGTGGAGTATCTCACTCTGGAGGTATGAGAACTCGGCTTCTTTCTCATGATAGGTAGGTGTTGTAGAAGGACTACCATCTCCGCGCTTGGCTATTCCACCTCTTCGTGCAAAGGACCTGGGCTCGTGGCATTCCTTGGAACGATTTAGTTGAGCGAGGGTGTCAGCGCACATTTGGAACGATGCGAAGTTTCTTGCCGTTGAGATAAACTACGCTTAGACAGGTTGAGTAAATGAAGAGTTGGGTGACTGCGTTCAAGATTGGTACGAGACTTTTATTTCCGAAGTGAAGAATTTAACTTTGAATAACAGGTACTTGTAAAGTCAAGAGAAGATGACTCGAATATGGTGACCCCAGGCCATTCTATAATGGCAATGCAGCTGGTCGCACAGATGTTGTGAAGCGCGGACACCGTCGCCAATGGTTGGTGCCCTGCATGACTGACCGTTGGTACAATAAAAGCCAACGTGCGCCCACTGCAAGTTCGGACGCCTGCAAAACAAAAACTAATAGATGCAAAAGGCATCATGGTAGCTCGAATGGCTTCGAGAATCTTTCGCTGCTTCTTACTCTATTGACCAAAATACTGATATTTCTATGCTCACTTGAATTGCCTCGAGGGATTTTCCTCGCGTTCGATTGCGACATCGGTGTCAAACCGATGGTCTGTGCGTGATCCTGTTTATGTAGGATCGACCAGTTGGTGGACCCTGCGTCTAATATTGGCGCCCGGTGTAGATCGTGGGACGGACCGATGAGTGCGCCCGATCATTATACCTTGCATACTTTGCTCTACGAATAAAGTCAAGCGTACTGAGACCATGCGGAAGATGTGTCATGCGCGACTTTGGTTCTGTGAATATATCGTGCGCGCTCAGAATACGTCCATCTCCTGCGTGACACGCTTTCCGAACCAGTCGACCAATTCATCTCCACCGCTCTCGTTCTTGCCACTGAAGAAGTCTGTCATGCGCATGTCATTGCCATCGTCTTCCGCGGGCCAGTCGATACTAACATCCGCCTTCTTCCCTTCCAGTAGCTCTTTCGCAGTTCCCCACGAAAAACGAGTCTCGCTACCCCAGCCAAAGAGGGGGTCCATGTTCTGCTTCAGCCACGTCGTTGTTCGTGCATCCGATGGATATCCGGAACCCCACGCCACCTTGACTTCGGCATCTTCGTTCGCCTCGGTGGCACGATTCTGGTAGGGCTCGTAACAGACATCTAGGGCCGCGTCTCGGGTGACTTTGGCGCATACTGATGCTGCACTAACAACGGGGTATAGACTATCGGCTTTCTTCGCAACTGTGATCCGTATCGTAGGCCATATCCTCTCTAGCTTCTTCTGGTAGATTTCTGGTTTGCCAATAGTGTCGATATAGATCTCCTTGACGTTGACTCCTTGTGCCAACACTCCTTTGATCAGATCGATTGTCGCATCCATAGCTTGTGCGTTGAGATTGTATACATTCGGGGATAACATATGCGCTGAGATATCTTGAGCTGACATTACGCGTGTTGCCCATCCGCCAGCTTCGTAGAGATCCGAGCCTTTGGTGCAGAGCTTGCGCATCAGGTTCGAGCGGACTTCGGGAGTCAAGACTTTGGAGTCATCGAAGTGATGCGTCTCGGCGAGGAGAGAGTGGTGCAGTTCGATCGGTAGGTAGAAGAGGGCGTATACCATAGGGCCTTCTCATGTTAGTGACCAAGGTGATTTTCTCAGGGAAGACTAATACCTAAGACAGGGCCTCGTCCTGCTTCATCGACACCCAGTACAACTTCTCCAGACATATCGTCTGCAATCTGCTTCGGTATTGGCGAGAAGTGCGAATATGACCTTCCGCCAAGAATGCCTGGCTTGGATATTGAAGGCGCCATGAAGACATCTGACGGTGGTGTTTCCAGCTCAATATCTTGAGTATCCATCTCAACATCTTCCTGTGTTTCTGCCATGTTTGTTGACCAAGACTCGGTAGCTATAGTTGTAATCGTTATGTCTTGTGTGTCGTTGCAAAGTAATCAGTTGAGGGAGACGCGACGCGTTCTTCGGCGATTTGGACGCGACTCACCGAGGCGCTAGCGAAGTGAATGGTACCGGAGCACGGCAGAAGAACGGCAGAACCCACACACACCTCATGCGTACACGGCACGTTGCATACAGTTTTCAACACTTACCCCGAAACCTACTACAAGGGGTAGGTTCGCGCCGGCAAGTCATGTTCGTGCTACCACACACAGTGTCTCGCTGCATGGGACCCGAGGTCTCACCGGAGCCAGCAGCTTTCTTCCTGGGGATGGTCGCATGGATTGTGAGTGGTAGTACATTACACTACGACTACGGGACTGCCACACACGAAACCAATTGCGCCTATTTAACACTGCTGTAAATGGTCTTGCTCACACCGCTTCGAAGACTCTCTTGTAGCCAATTCGGCAGTCCTCTCAACAAGCTGACCTTGCTCACACTGTTAGGCAACACGACCTGCCCGCCACTGCAGCTTATGATTCTCCCAACAACCGCATCTGCAACGGCCGTAGGCTCGATAACAGCTGATCCTCGCTTCTTGAGTGCTTCTTCGACGGGTGCGATCAAAGGTGTGCGGACCCAATTGGGATGTATGGATGTGGTGAGCACGCTTGGGCTGTTGTAGTGATGCTTGAGCTCCTGGTTAAGCGCTATCATAGGTCAGCGTGCGGCATACAAGAGGAAGAACAAACTGCGTACCTTCATGGAAGCTCAGAATAGCCGCCTTTGTGGCTGTGTAGTCCGCTAGACCAGCAACGCTAATAAAGCTCGCGGTGCTCGCGATGGTCACGATGTGGCCCTTGTTATGTCGAAGCATATCCGGCAAGAAGGCTTTGGTGGTGTACCAGTTGCTGAGCACATTCACATCGAAAATCTTCCGGAGATACCCGTCAGATGTAGTAAGGATGGTATGGGCTGCCAGGATACCTGCGTTGTTGATCAGGATAGTAGGTGCACCCATTGTCTCCTTGATCTTTTCAGCGACTGCATAGACCTCGGATGGGTCAGTAACGTCGCATTTGAAGAACTTCAGGCCTGCATCTGTAATGCGCGTTAGTACTAGGCGACGGTTATCATAGCGAGTATTGATCCAACTTACAGCCCTGCAAACTCGGGGGCAGTTGCTGAATATCAAGCACTGCTACTCTGATCCCTTTGTTGATCAATCTCTTAACCACTAGCTCTCCAATTCCGCTACAGCCTCCTGTGATGACCGCCACCTCCCGGCTCCAGTTCCACCTTGCCTTCTCACTTCGCAACCTGCCAGCATTTAGGGCGATGTGGTTGAGCTGCTTATTAACGACTCTTGTTGTACCAGCTATCAGACACCACTTCAAGGCCTTTAGAACCCGTGCATATTTATGAGGGTCCCGAAGAGCAGCAATCCGAGTTGTAAGTTGGCTACGAAGTTGTGTAGGTCCTTTCGTCAACGCCCATAGCAGAGCTGCCGTCACGAGAGGGTTGAGTGCGACATGACCGACAGAAGTTACAAGGATGTTAAGAACGTTTTGTAATATATTCGACATATCTATGTTCGCATCTGAGATACGCAAACAAACCTACAGTGCGGAATCTGAGTATTTCAATAAGAACGTCACTGCCTATGTTTACTAAGCTTACAGCGCGTTGCGGGTCCGATCGCGTCAAAAGAGGGGACTGAGCGCCGCCAATAGTGAGGGGACTCTCACCGACGATGTCGAAGCCTCGGCTCTGCACTTTCCAACTACATGATATTGACTCAAGGTTCGGCTTCGATGCACTGAGGAGTGATGTTCGGACAGGACTGTCATAGCTAGGTGAGCCATAGCTCCGCATATATATCTGTTCAGAGCGTTGGTGTATACACAGACATATCGATGTCGTTGAATCGATTATAAGTTGATGAATGACTCTAGTGCCTACAATATCTAGGTAACTTCTTGTTCGTTTTCCAGGATGCTGAGGACCTCTCCCAGAATGTAGCCACCTTGGTGACTATGTACATGGCCACTGTGCCGTCACTTATACCTTGCATCGTTTCCGAGGCTGTTTTGCAAGAACACATCGGGGCGTGGCAAATGGTAATGAAGGCGCAACTGTCGGGTGCATTGCTCGTCGGGTGCAGAGGTTCCGATAGCCTGGCCCTAAGCCCTGATTCGCTAGTAGACCAGCCAAGCAGCGCACGTGTTGCGGCTTCCTGCCACGAGGAACTTTATGAGGACGTCGCAATGAAAGCTCGCCGTCCGAAATCACTTGCGATCGATATCTTCGCATGCGTTACTTTCATCCCGGCGATGGTTACATCAGGAGCACCGCTTTGCCCTGCTTTTAGCCGGTCCCACGGAGTTCACTTTGCATTGCTTGCTGATTGGCAGATGCATGGCGCGTGCGGGGAAATGCCTGGTTCTCGATTCTGAAACGAGGACGGTCAGGCCCTACCTAACCGTATCGGCTGCATTGGAAAACGAGACGCCTCATTTGAGAAGATCGCCGTTGGCGTAAAGAAAAGCATATATGGCGATGGCGAAGACAGAAGACCACGCAACTGAACAAGTGCTGACTGAAGGCGCCTCATCATCAACCTCATCAACACCTTCCAGTGGCAGATAGCAGGTCTTTCTTGATAGAGCCCAATTCACGCTTCTGCACAACATCTTTCTACCATACTGGCGCGGCATGCGTAGCGGCATGCGTCGGTGTTTGAGACGATTGATGCCCCGCCAGTCCTTCGGCCGTGGAAGCTACACTGCCCCTCCTTGTACTGTATGGCGGTACTACTAGATGCTGCAACCTTGACTGGTCGGACGACTTTCTGGGCGAAGAGCTGCCGGATGACGTGAGGGTATTGCGCACCGCCCGCCGGCATCTCCATCCCACTCCAGGGGCCTGGAACGCGCTGTAGAGAAGCATTCAGAACCACGTTTGCCGCGCATATCGAGTTAGAGTGGGTCGTGTTAAATAACGAAAGGCTGTGACAGCTGCGCGAAAGGCTGGGACGACACGCAGGAGGTGGGATGCTATATTCGATTCAGCTGTTGGTTCCGAGGCCATGACTATAATGCATCCTCAATCCTTGACACGAGATTCGCTTTTGAGTGCTAGTTGCTTTCTAAAGTATCTGTGCATGTACAGTAGAAGACTTGCGGGAGAACAGGAGGGTCCAAAACCTCAATTGGGCACAGTACGCGACAAGCAGATGCGCAATATGTGCGGAATCCCACCCAGCACTAGTTGAGCGCCACATCGTCCCCTGATCAGTGATGGACCCTGAGCTCTTGAGTCCAACGCTCCACTCCCGCTTCATCTGTAGACTTGCTCTTTCGGCGCCTGAAGTTTGAACTGTTGGCCAACACTTCCAGGCTTTCTCAGACTGTCCTTACCCACGACTCGTGCCGTGCATAGGCCGTCAAGTGCACGTTGCTGCGACCCGCTCGACAGCGACTTCCGTTCCTGCCTACGTACCGAGCCTCCAACAACGATTCCGTCTCAACTCTGTAAGATCAAGAACAGCGAGCAGCGAGGGTAGTAAGGGCATTTGCCCTGTGTACGAATTATCTGTATGTAACTGCGCTTGCTGTGTGCTGCGACAAGTGGCTGCGGCTCTCATGTGAAATCACACCGCCCGCCAATCCCCCACACCAGCTTCCTGGGAAGTCGCGCTGACTTGACTGCCAGTGTATTTCTAGTATTCTAGTCAGTATGGCCTACCAAGGCATAGGAGGAGGCAACGGCCTCAGATCTCCCCGCGAAGAATCGTCGTTCCTTTCCCTGAATCGTGCCGCTCAGAACGGCGATGGCCGCGCGACCCTGCAGCGGCGCTTCACGACCAACAACATTCCAACCATGAGCACACCATTGTCGCCAATTGGACAACAACGCAGACAGGCGGCAGAGCCGGCCGAATTTACTACAGCGGTATGTGGGCACTCTCGTACAAGTAAGAGGCGGACGTTAGGTGCTGGCGCTCCGCAGCGCTTCGCATATCAGTACTCAACAGCTGTCACAGCCATGTCGGACAGACTTGAAACGAGATCGTATAGCTCCGATGGCTGTTGAAGTTGCTGGCCGTCAGCTGCATATACACACGCGGTGAACAAGACTTTGGGCTAACGACCAATGCCAACAGACGTACCACAAGCTCCAAGTTGTAAGTCTACTTCACTGCGTCTTTTAACGCCTCTCACTCGCTACCCCTCATTTCCTATTGGAAGTGAGATTGCAGTCGCCAAGGTTACCTGTCAAGGCGACGACGCTCAAATCAGTCAACAGCCGTCTCTCGCCTTTGTTCCTCCTACACCACAACGAAAGTCCACCGTCTGCAAAAGCCACATTGCTATTATCACGCCTGTACATTTTCTTGTCTCGATTTGAGACTCCGATTCCCTATCTATACCCTCATCTTTTCGCATTTGCACTCATCTTGTATCCCGAGCGACGTTGTTGCGTCGTGACAAACCCACTTGCCGATTCGCGTGACCAGCTAACAGCTTGCTAGCTCGAGAGGAAACGAATCGAACACGAGTATCTCAAAGAAGCGAAACGGCGCTTTGACGCTGAGATGGAGCTTCTTAACTTGCAAGCCCAGCATGGCGAGGCTGACATCAACCGATTCTCAACCGATCACTACGGCGGACCTGCTCATAGCCAGCCCACCACACCGCCTGAGTATAACGAGAGCAAAGGTTTCCCGTCTGCGCTATCGCGCCCGAACCGTTTCAGTATGTCCAGTATCAATCCGGGTATTACCACACGCGGTAGCCGCGCCAACTCTCAGGTTACTTCTCCTCCTGCCAACTTCCAGGGCAACGGCAATTTGCCTTCGCACTCGATGCCAGGATCTCGTCGCAACTCTGATGAGGACCACGACGATTTCGAGAACGACGACTTCACTCCTCTGAGTCCGGCTGCCCGCAAGTAAGTTTACCCTCCACCACTTTACTTCCTACAGAGCTGACTCAGATAGAAACAACCGCATGTCGATGCCCGTTACCAGAATGGATTACGGCAACCGCAGCGGCCTTCCAGATGTGACCTCTCTTCTGGGTCACATTGACACAGCTGGTTTCTTGTTTGGTGATGACTCAGCTGCTTCTCAAGATCACAAGGCGTTCCTTCAAATGGGCAACACAAAGGACGACTTTCCAGTCTTGGTCCGTCGCGACGGTGCTGGTAATGGTACGAAACTCTCTGCATCTTCTGCTGCACTTGATTTGGCCCTCTCACAATCCCCTGGCCCGGATGCTCAATCCACTGGTTGGAACGGATTCCGTCACCGTCAGGCTCAACAGTCCCTTCCTGCTAACACTTTCCATAAAGCCTCACAGATGGACGATTATGAATCTGGTCGTTCCAACGGCAATGTCGAGAATACGCCCAAGAACAACCGTCGCTCGGTTGAGTTCAACTTCAGCCCCAAGAACAACGAGTCTAAGCGCTCTAGCTACGGCGGCCCAACCAACGGCATGCCCAAGTTGACCCAGTCCTACTCTACGAACGATGTTCCAACCCTCAAGAATGGAGGCAACGGTGCCAGTAGCATCGGTTTCACGCACTCGCAGCAATTCCACAACCACAACGCTAGTCTTGGTCGTATTCCGTCGAATGTTCTGTCCAACCGTAACAGCCGTGACCTGTCGCTCGGTAATCGAGAGGCTGAGTATCGATCCCCACAGTCAGGGTTGCACGCGAGCGCTGCTCCTTTCGGCCCCGCAATCACATCAGCTGCTAACGGCAACGGCGGAGTCCCGTCGACAGTCGGTTCACCAGCTATGTCACAGTACTCCAGTGTCTCAGCTGCCAATCCAGGCTACTATGGATACGGTATGAATATGCTCAACGGCGCTATGAACGGTCTCAACCTCGGGGCTGGAGCTGGTTCCGGACCTCAGTTCGGTGGACCTCCTGCTTACGGTCCTAACGGGATGTACGGTAGCGGACCGCCGCAGTACAACCCATACGCTACCTATGGACCAGGTGGCCGTGTACAGGACAGCCAGGCTCGCGTCATTCAGAGCCGTCGACTGCAAAACGATGCCAACAAGTACATGAACTACGATCTGAAGACCATGCCCCGTCACGAGATCTACAGCTTGTGTAAAGATCAGCACGGCTGCCGGTTCCTGCAGAAGAAGCTTGAGGAGCGCAACGCGGAAAACATTCAGATCATCTTCGACGAGACTGCCCCTCATGTTGTTGAACTCATGACCGACCCCTTCGGCAACTACCTCTGCCAGAAGTTGTTGGAATACTGCAACGACGAGCAGCGCAATACGCTTGTTCGCAATGCCTCACCTGCTATGGTTCAGATTGCGTTCAACCAGCACGGCACTCGCGCCTTGCAGAAGATGATCGAGTTCATCTCCACCGATGATCAGGTTCGTGACGACCCTTTATCTTCCCCAGCTTCCGGGCTAATCCCTTCACAGACCCAAATGATTATCCGAGCATTGTCAGGACAGGTTGTGGATCTCATCCAGGATCTGAACGGCAACCACGTCATCCAGAAGTGCTTGAACCACCTCAAGTCCGTGGAGGCTCAGTTCATCTTCGATGCTGTAGGCGAGAACTGCATTACTGTCGGCACACACCGCCATGGTTGCTGTGTTCTTCAGCGTTGCATTGATCACGCCGTTGGCTTCCAGAAGGTCGACCTCATTCGCAAGATCACTGCACACAGCTTCCACCTTGTGCAGGACCCATTCGGCAACTATGTTGTTCAGTACATCCTTGATCTCAACGACGCTGCCTTCACAACGCCCATGTGTCAGGGCTTCCAGGGCAAGATTTGCGAGCTGTCCAAGCAGAAGTTCAGTTCCAACGTCATCGAGAAGTGCATCCGCTGTGCTGAGCCACACGTCAAGGGCATGATGATTGAAGAGTTGCTTGACGTCGAGCAGCTTGAGCAGCTCATGCGCGACTCATACGGCAACTATGTTATTCAGACTGCACTCGAGTTTGCTCCCGCCGAGCTATGCGTGCACCTTATTGAGGCTATGCGTCCGATACTGCCTTCAATCCGCCAGACTCCGTATGGTCGTCGTATTATGAGCAAGGTTGGAGAGCGTGAGAGCCGTCTTGCTGCATACACCGGTCGTACTTCTTCCGGTCAGGCTTCCCCTGGTACTACTCAGGACTCCGAGGCTAGCGCAGTATTCAGTCAGGCCCCACCCCAATACCAGTCTGGTAATGTTCCAGCTAGCTACCAAGGTCCCAACGGCTCTTCTGGCTTTCAGACACCAATGTACACGGCAACCGCGTACGGTCCTAGTATCATTTCACCTCAACCCCACCGTCAGCCACACCGCTTGAGCAACCCACAACACATGCACAACCCTATGCAAGGCAACCGTCAGAACTATCAGGGTTACCAGAACCAGCACCAGTACGGTGTTGCTCAAACCAATGGTGGCAACGGCACCTGGTTCTAAAAGAGCTAGACGGTCAACGAGGTTATGACTTGACGAGCTACGGTCTGCCCAAACGAACATCACTACGCAACATGCTTACCAGTAGGTTACACTGGTGTTGGCGTTTGTCATCTTGATGGGTCGATCTTTCCTCTATCTATCAGTCCTGCCTGTTCTCAATGGGCGGATCGATCTTGTATAGTACGACTACACGAGCATCATCGCGCAGCCTAGGCAGCATTCGGCATTCACACGGCGTACGGCTTGATGGGCTATATGGCGTTTTTCCCCTTTCACTGATTGTATTCTATCCCTTCATTTTGCCCATCCATTACTTCCATTCCAACACTTGTCTTCCCGATACGGCACCTTGGTGCACCAAAAGGAACGTTTTAGCATGAGCACGAAAACGAATGAGCACGAGTACTAGCACTGTCGCCGTATGGGCGGCTACTTTTTCATTTTACACCTTGCCATGGCACTTGTCGTGAGCCTGGAGCCAGGTGGCAAGTCCAAGTAGACAAATAAAGGATTAAATTCCAAAACTTGCATAACATTGCGTGAAACAACAAACACTTAATAGAGACGACGATGCGATGAATTGTCGCCAAGATTGCATCCATGTGACGAAGAGTACAGTGCGGCTGCCATGTGAGGACGATGACGCGCCTTCCGCCTTCCGCTTCCGGACCACCCATTTGAAACAACCACCTTCCTCGTTTCCCCTAGGCACCTACAAACCACGCCCAGTACGACCAACAAGCCTACTACGCTGTGCGCCAGCGCTGTATTCCGATAAGACACTCGTCCGACGTCTGCGACGCTATAATCCACGCTTCTTCACTCTACGAGCCCCCATCCGATTACTTGCCGCGACCCGCAAGTCGTACATTACAAGACTACGCTACCTCGCATAAGCAGACAGAATGCGCTTCGCTGTCTTCTCTTTCCTTGTTGCGCTCCTCGCAGCTTTCGTCATGGCCGCCGCACCTCACCGCTCGGTTATCATCAGCTGGCCAAAGGACACACCCGACGAGATCGTCGAGCAGAGCAAGGAGGCTATCAGACAGGCCAAGGGTAAGAGACACTTTACACACCCATGCACGACATATACAAGATAGTCGCGGTATATGCGCCATATGTAGGAGGTACTTTGCTAACAAGGTTACTTTAGGTGTCATTACCCACGAATACAACATCATCAAGGGCTTCGCTGCCCAGGCCCCCGCTTCTGCTCTCGAGTTGGTGTCGACGTTGAGCGACGTGTACAAGTGCGAGATTGAGGAGGATGGCATTGTTACTACGCAAAACGATAAGGCGTAGGCTGGGATGGTGCGAGAGAGAGCAAGGACATGCAAATGAACAAAGTGGCTGTTAGATTGTTCACCCTCATGATTATACGGTTGGAGTTTGGAGTCGACGAGAGATTCGGGTTAGTTGGCGTTTCTCACGACGATTAAGTTACAGATTGTATTGATACCTTTGCTTTTGTGGTTGCCATGTACGATTTCATGTCGCGCCATACATACATGTTTTGAGAGGGCCTGTATGCGATACCCGTACACCGGATTAATACTCTATTATGCCTGACCACTGCGAAACTTGGGTATGGTGTAGGCCTCTGTTGTACCTGATGATCTTGATGTCCATGGTAAGATGGTGGAACCCTGCAGCGGCTCTTTCCCCGCGGATGCCAGCCCCAAGGGGACGTGCATCTTGTCTCAGCACAACGGCGGCTTTATGCGCGTCATGTCCCGTCTGTCAGAAGGCCATTAGGGATTGTCACGTTGATGCCCCTCACTCTACGACCGATTCACGACTTTACGACTCGACACACGGCGATTGACGACGTCGCCGCGGGAGTGTGCTGCATTTCCGCTTAGCGGTCGGATCACCCCCAACCTCACCGACGCGCGACACGTCCTCGAGCAAGGAACTGCCTGTGCTTGGTGGAGCACGTACTCTTCACCGCAACCCAAAATCCGCTTCCTCGAGATGCATGACTGTGATTCACTTTACTCCGACCGGATACTAGCATTGAGAAACCTACACGCGGGTAACAAGCCCCGCGATACACCAACATGGACGACTTCAAGCCCGAGCTGCTCAAGGCTCTCCTCGACTGGGTACGTCTCTATATGCATTCCAACTATAGGCTCGAGTGGTATAGCTGACTTTTCGCGTCTAGGTCAACACCTTCGACCTCCCCCACAGAATCACCTCACTAAGCCAACTCGAAGACGGCCAAATACTATGGCAGATCCTCGCCGACATCGACGCCGACTACTTCAACGAGTCTCTACCCAATTTCGAAGAAAATCACCGCCGTCAATCAGACAATTGGATACCGCGATGGCAAAACCTCAAATATATCGAACGCACAACCTCGACGTATATACGCGAAGAATGCGAGCAGCTGCCCGTTCTCACCAAGCGCATGATACCAGATCTAAAGGCAGGCGCGCGGGATGGATCGACAATGCTGGTTGCAAAGCTTACCATGGCCGTGCTACTGGCAGCATGCTTCTCGCCGCGGAGCAACCAGCGGATGCTACAAGTCATGCCAAAGCTAGGCCAAAAGACGGCCGAGACCATTGCCGAAGCCATACAAGAGATGCAGGCTTTGGATCAGCGCATGTCCGAACTAGGTGTCGACGCCGAGTTGACTTCAGAACCAAACCTCACAGGGTATAGAACGCCCACACGAGCCATGTCTGGCCAACCACCACCATCTGGAAACGAATTGGAGCAGGAGGCACAGCTGTTCGAGGCAAACAAAGATAGGCAAGCGCTCAAGGCGCAAGTTGGAAAGCTACTCGAGGAGCTAAAGATCTCACGGGAACGAATAGAAAAGCTAGAGGAGGAAGTCGCTGAAGCAACAGCGTATCTAGACGTTCGGGCCGGCCAGGCACAACGAGCTCAATCGGACGATGTCGAAAACTTACGAAACGACTTGCTGCGCGACAGACAGTACATTGATCAGCTCGAGCAAGACCTTGCCCACACGCGAGATATCATGGAAAGCCAGAAGCGACGTCTCGATCGATTAGAGGGCGAGGAAGGATCCAAGCAGGACCTGCGTGATCAGCTACAAGTAGTCAAGGCGGAGCGTGACGAGCTGAGTCAGAAGGCCAAGGCCAACGAGAACCTGAAGAAGAAGATTGAGTCTCTCACCAAAGAAACCAAGCAACTGGAGACGCTTCGAGAAGACTACCAACAGGCTCGTGAACGATTAGCACAGCTGGAGAGCGTCGAGGAGCGCAACGACATTTTGCAGAACATCATCAAAGAGAACGGCCAGACGCTTGCCAATGGCGAGCAAGCCATCTTTGAGGAGAAGGGCAAGCGCACACGAGTCGAGCATGAGAATCTGCTACTCATGAAGCAATTAGAACAGACTCGCGAACTACAGTACAAAGCAGAAGACGCCAAACAAGAGCTCGAAGAACGGATACGAGAGCTAGAATCATCAAACCACGCCGACCGTGGTGATAGCCTGGAAGATGAGCTCATACAAGACGCCGATCAAGATGAGGTGAAGCCCGTATCCGATGGACGAGTGAGCGCAGATGCGATTGCCCTGCAACAAAGGGTGGACATCCTGAACGCCCGCTTGAAGTCACTAGAAAGCGAGACACTCAAGCAGATGCAAGAGAACTTGGGCTTACGGTCTGACATGATGGCGGAGAAGGATGAAAACAGTCAAAAGTATGTCATGGCCTGGCGTAGATGCTCGTACCTTGCTAATTATGTGTCAACAGGCCCTTCTTAGAGCAGAACGAGAAGCTAACCACTGCTCAAACTGAGTTGGAAGACCTTCGTCGCCGGTTACGCGAGCAAGATTTACAGATGGCAGAACTCCGCAATGAGCTCAACAGGAGTATGTGTCTTTGTTTATCTACATGACTGTGCTAACTTTACTAGAATCTGACATCGACGACGATACGCGGTCAGCTGCTGTCCAGAAGGAACACGAGCGTCTGCTGGTACTGCAAGAAAGAACGAACGACAGACTACGAGAGCTCGAACTTGCAAACGCGGAGAAGTCAGGTCTGTTACGAGCAGCGTTGCTCGACCGCCAAAACCTTCCGCCGGAGCTTCTCGAACTTAAGAGGGTCGAGACCATACGGCAGATGCGCGAACGGATCGAATCTGTCATTAAAGCACCAGCAGAAGTACAACCACAGGCACTAGATACCACGAGCACGGAGATCGCGGAGACTGTACTGTCCTCCGAAGCCGCTCTAGAAAAGGCAAAGAAGGTAAGCACCAAGCAGAGTTTTCATAGCAAGCCACCTTCTTCGGCGTTTGACGTGGCAATCTCGACTGCGAGGACACATCAGCTCGAACTGTCGTTGACTACGGCTACTCTTGTCTCGCCAACTTCGCCACATAGGAACCACTTAGGGAAGGATAAATCGCTATCGGACATGTCTACTTCTACAGCTGGGACAGGACAAACCACGTGGGTCCGCATGGTGCAGCTAGTCTCGCCAAAGCGGAGAACCAAGTCGACGATACAAGCGTCAAATGACTGTGTGGCAAGTTTGTCCTCGGCCTGGCTGCCTGAGTATACTTATCAGATCGACTTCTAAACCTCTTCTCTCATGTACTCTATTTAATCAATAAAACCTGTGCTAACAAGCCCCCAGGACCTCCAAGACCAACTCACCACCTCCAGTACCCTCCGCGAGCAGCTCGAACTCGCGCGGAAGGAGACTTCAGAGAAGGGCTCGGTATGTCGCGTCCCCTCCATCTCGCGTTCAGCAGCCTGGCAACCATGGATATGGTAGACTCGGTTATTGCATTTCCAAAAACAAATTGCCAACAAACAAACACAGGTCGAACTGCAACAAGAAGTCGAAAACCTGCGACGCGAAAACGCTCTCGTCAAGAGCATGTGGTATGACATGAATCAGCGTCTGCTTAGCAATACCGTTATTCTGCAAAGACGCAGCGAAGCTCCCAAGGGCTGGCTCGGAAAACAAAGAGCTGTTGTTGGTGGCGGAAGCGTCTTAGTACGTTAGCTCTCCTGTTCCCTTGTTTTTTCCTTTTTTTGGTTAACAAAATACAGGGCCGGAGGTAGCAGGAAGAACAGCAACACCATCTTCGTCGGACATTGCAACGATAGCAGTCTCACGGCCTCGTCTTCCTTCATCGGCAGTAGGTTCGTCAGACGGTGTACTCGTCTCTTTTCTCTTCATTACACATTTTGTAGGGCCGAGGAATCGGGTTTGGTTCAGCATAGCGCAGGTTTGGTGGCATTTGTATTGCGTGAGGATGTATAGACGTATCGTCTTTTGTCACTTATACCCCCTTTTATTTATATGCGGTAGCTTCTAAATCAATGACACAAGGATATATTAGAAGCAGAATGTTTCAGTGTTTTTCGTTCATTGGCGACTGAATATGTGTGACTTGACATGGCGGGACGGATATGGAATACACAAATCTATGGATTTTGAGAAACGACTGGCCAGAATATGCGATGAGCGGCATTCGAATACGTGTAAATGCATGTGTGGTAGTGTATGATTTGGTTGTGTGTGTGCGTTGTTTCTGCAAGAATTACAGTGGATATGAGAAGACACCCCTTAACATCCAAGCGTGGCGGCATACAAATCATAAGTACTACCTAGACGTTCCAAAACATACATTATGTGCATCTTCCTTTCCCTTCCCTGACTGCCCTTCGCCTGCCCACCAATCCTCCTCCTCCAACTCCCACCAAGTCCACATACTCAGTACTCGGCTAACCTCAACCTCCTGCCGATATTCCTGCGTATAACGTCGCGCTCGACGGGTTCGTTCTGCGCTCGATTGGCATTGAGAGCTTGACGAAGCATGCCCGCGTCGAAGAAGCCATCTATAATTGCGGAGAAAAACCAAAGATCAGCCTAAATGAAACATGATGGAAAATATGGGTAGGTGTGGTGCGGTGATAATGATGATAATGATGATGATGAAGTCTCGTGCGATGCTATTCCTCTCAAAAAAGAAAAGCAAAAATAACCAGGCAATGTAATAGAAAACATGGTCAAATCAAGAAGAGTAGAAAATCGGTTTCCTCGCCACAGTAGGCGCCTTCCTCGCTTTGACCGTCTTGAGAACTGGAATAGGTTTACGTGGCGAGCTCAACAGAACAGGCGTCATGGGCTTGAAAGGAGGGGATTGAGGAGGCGTAGGCGGTAAACCATCCACCCTTCGAAAAGGTGGAGAAGAAGGAGAAGAATCAGAAGGCGAGGAGGAACAAGAAGCATGGCTCGAGACTTCATCGAGGGAAAGAAGGGAAGGAGGGGAAGGGGGAGTCCTACATCCACCAAGACCGTCGTCATCGTCATCGTCTGCTATACTCTCTGCGGGTGTTTGTTGCTTGCCGCCGTCTCCTAGGATGATTCTGCCTCTGCTCTTGAGACGGCTGGCTAGGGGTCTGTCTTCCGCTTCACGGGCACGGGTTGCTGTTTTATCGGCTGAAGTACCACGGCGTTTGATCTGGCGGAGGAGTTTTCTGATTTCCAAAAAGTAGGATTCGAGCGCGTCAATATAGCGCGAGGTTTGGCGGTGCTTGGATGAGGCACAGATGGAGATGCTGCCGTCTTTTATAATGTATCCGATGCCGAATCCGTCGGCGGATGTTGGACCGAAACCGAATTGGCGGAGCGAGGGGTTGCCGCAGTTTGAGGTGGAGAGAATGGTTTGGTTGATCTTGTCCCAGCCGCTGTCGGCGAAGAGGGCAGGCATCGAATGCTGCATTGCTGTTGGTGGCGGTGAGCTGGAGATGGAATCGTTCTCTGATAGTACTGAGTTGCGGTTGGGTGACCCTACGCCCGATGCATCAGCGCTGGATGGTCGTGTCGAATCCCAGCCATCACTGCTAGCAGTGTCGTTTGACTCGTCGATAGCCCGCTGCCAGATGCAGTATAAGGCATAAAGATGTCGGTCAGGACCTTGCGCTTTGGAACAGATCTTTGTGTTCTCAGTGTGCTTCTGGCAGGCCTTTCGGAGCGCCTCAATCTTTTGCGCTGCTGGGTTCTCGCCCCAGAATGTTGTCAGAAAGTCGACTGACTCTTCGGTTACAGATCGAATGGCTTCCGTACGTCCATGGTAGTAGATTTTCGTCATAGCGGGCTCGTATACGCACTCTATTCGGCCGTATAGACCATAGTACGCTGCCTGGAAGGCCATTTGGACGAAAGCATCGGGGGAGAAACCCATTGAAGTCATGAAGTTCTTGCCATAGTGAGGAAATTCCAGAGTCGCAAACTCGTTCTGCTGGATTAGATCTGCCAGGCGCGTCTCAGCGAAACGAAGTGCTGTGCTCAGTTCTGGCAACATATCCCACTCAAGTTTATGAGGCGTTGTTTGAACGTCGCCGAAGCTGTCTGGGTCGCGCTTCGCAGGATCAGGGCTCGAGGAAGCCCAAAGACTTGGCGCACTGCCGTTGATGGTCCTGGCAAATCGGAGAATGGTGTCTGTGTATACGTCGGATGCAAATCGTAGCACAGTATGGCCATCAACACCAGTATGTTCGAAGTTGATACCTGCACTTCCGTTCTTGCAAACGATAATTTGCAGCTTGTCGTACCAGCGGTTCGTGCAAGTTCCCACCTGAACACCACGCTCGATCTTACTTGTACCGCAGAGCATGTTCATGCAAAGATCAGCGCCTGTCTGCGGTTCTGTGTAATCCAAACATAGCACGAACAATGCCGAATCGACAATGTTGAGACAGTCGGAGTTATTGGACCCTTCCTCCCTGTGCAACACGTCACGGAGACCCGCCCAAACCTTTCGATTCTCTGTACTGAGCACACCCAGTGCTCCTTTAGCAGCATCCTGAATCGGTATTTCTTGCGCATCTTCTACAATGACTTTCAGGTTGAGCGCAATGTCCTTTTCCGTCATGATCAGATCATTGTTATCATCCAGAACATCGAACCAGTAGAACTGGCCGTAGCACATGACAACAATGTGCTTCGACGTTGGGTCCTGACCAATCTGGCATCCATTTTCGGTGGGTATTCTAGCCGTACCAAACAGTCTTGAGTATTGGTACATGCACAGTGGTTGGCCGCGGATGGTGTCAGGTGGTAGTTCTTCCAGACGAACTGCTCGGACAAACGACAATGCCGAGACCACTAATGAGGCTGCGCGAGTGACCTGGTTGTTGCGAGCTGGGGTAGGATCGTCCTCCAGTAAGAAAAATGGATTTAGATTAAGTACCACCGGGTTGTCAAAATTCAGATATGAATCGTACCCTAGCGATAGGTCAGTGTATGATACATGGATATGAATGACACTTTGAACTGTCGATCATGAGAACGGCATCAAATACCGCTCACTCATGTCATCTAGGATACATGGCATGTACTTACAGAACTGCTCAATGTAGTTGTTCTTTCCACTAGCGTACTTCTTCAGCTTTTCCTGGAGCACTGGTCCATCGGTTTTGAGAAAGTCCTCTACCGAATGAACCGTGTCGCTGTGTTCCTTTGGAGACTGCAAAGGCTTGAGAGCAGCAATATATTTCTTACACGAGCTGTCTAGCTCCGGGATGGGAAGCTTCGGAAGACTGTCTTCGTGTGCGAACGTAATGCCTGGTTTCGAATTTGGGTTGGTGTGGCTTGCTAACGGTGCTTGTGCCTCTGCAGAATAAGACTGTGTGCTGTTCTTTGCGTTCTCTGCTGAACGAGTCGTGCCGTTGCCTTCTGAGCCAGACATCTTGGATGCTTTGACTAATGTATCCTCGAGGGACGACGGTTGGGTGAATGTGCGGACTGCCATGACGAGTATGTCAGTTACGCGTAGAGAGGTGAGATGGAGGTGGCAATGTTGAGATGCCGCAAGGCACTGCGATAGAAGTAGTGACAGTCCTGAAGACAGTAGGCCGGCATGGGTACTCGAAGTTTGCGAAGAGCATCAAGGTACTTGGGGGAAGGGAAGGCTCTTATAAGACTCGAGACGAATGGGGAAAGTAGAACTAGGGCGGGTCCACACGACAATTGAGCATGTGAAACGCGCGATAGGCTTCGTAATAAACAGACAAGGTGATGCAAAATACCGCCCAGGTAGCCGACCGCTGACCCGGAACGTGACCCGGTCCATGGCAGACCAGAGAGGTGAATGACCCGATGTTCTGAACCAACGAAAGGCCCATGCAAGGAGAATGCAACTTACACAGTAGCGTCAAGCCCTATATGAGCTGCGAATAGCTTGTTCTTTTTTCTTTTCTTCTTCTTGTTCGAGGTTTGGAGATTAATGGGAGCTGCTGTAGTCAAAGTGACACTCTTGCGCAACAACTTACTGTAGTCGAATGGGCCTTGTTGCGCTCTCCAAGATGCAGCAGGACAAGGATAAAGGACCGGAAAAGGTGAGCCGCGGTCGAAGCACAGCAAATGTCAGAGAGACTCGGTCGTGAGGATACGGTAGGCGCGCAAGGCTGCTCCCGAGGTGTACTAGTGGGCCTGTTAGAAATCAGCTATCTATGTTACGGACGAGTGGAAGCGTCGGCGGTAGCGCGAAGTTATAAAGGACACGCACCGTCGCGTAGGTGGTCCGGTTAATCGGAGAATTCTGTACCTGCGCAGGCAGTGCTACGACGAAGGTTACAAGGCACTCCAGTAGGATAGAAGTATAGTCTGTAGCTTCTTGGATAACACTGCGCACCTATGCGGTCATTGCTCACGAGCTCTACGTAGGGGTAGCTTGGGGTGTCAATGTCTGGGCCTAGTCTTGGGGGGACTGGGATTGGAGGAGTTGGCTGATGTATGCCAACATGTGGAGAAGCGGGGGGCAGGGTGTGACGTAGAACACGGACCATAGGAGAAACGGAAGACCCCCACTATGGTATGCTCGATGAACTAATCGACTAGCGGCCAAGAGCTTCTCGAACCTACGCGAACACATTTCATCACGCGTCAAGCATCCACATTTGTCCAACACCTCCGCCGTGACATTTGACCGAAAAGGCGAGTCCGGAACCGATTCGCGCGTGCCATCCGCAGAGCCGCGCAAATGCGACACTTTGGCCCATGACGGATCTGCTGCAGGTGCTGCCTGACTTCGACGCGAAACCCTACACCCATCTGCTGCCCTCGCTCGACAAGGTCCTGATCACCACAAATGACCTGCTTACTCTTGACGCTGCCGATGTTGCCAAACGCGCCCAGCTGCCGGCGGGAGAGGTGAGGAAGCTCGCAGATGCCGTGATAGCTGCTCTGCACCACCAACTTGGTTTCGGCGGAGAGGAAGCAGTCGGCAATTCCTTCCTTTCCGCATCGGGTAATCCGGACTCTCCGAACGATGGTTCGACTTGTATAAGCACCTTGGATGAAGAGCTGGATGCTGCCTTGGGTGGAGGCATACCGCGCGGGTACCTGGTTGAGGTCACCGGCGAGAGGTAAGGGCAGCACGGGGTATTCTTCTTGGAATTATACTGATTTGCTTTTAGTGGTGCCGGTAAAACGCAACTACTCCTCACCCTGCTGCTGGCTTCACAACTGCCGCCTCCCCAAGGTCTTGCCAAATCAGCAGTCTACATATCTACCGAGGCGATACTATCTACAAATCGCCTCGCCCAGCTGCTATCCTCTCACCCAGCCCTCGCTTCACTGCCCGCCGATCAAAAGCCCTCATTGTCGCGCGTGCTGAGCATACAAACCCCAGATCTCGAATCACAAGAGCACATCTTGCGCTATCAGCTACCCGTAGCCATCGAGAAGCATGACGTCGGCCTTGTCATCCTGGACTCTGTTGCGGCCAACTACCGCGCCGAGTTCGAGAAGCAAGGCACAGGCAATGGGGCTGCGGCTATGGCTAGGCGAGGCACACAGCTTGTACAGCTAGGTGCACTACTAAGAGAACTCGCGCGCACAGAAGGCATAACTGTCGTCGTGGCCAATCAGGTTGCCGACCGATTTACAAAGGCACCATCTGCTGTATCCTCTAATACTGCTTCACGCACAGCATCCACCAACAGTCAAGGCACTGTCCGTACACCCTCAACTAACAGTCAAGGAGACAACCAGGACCATGCACCTCACCCAGCCTCACAACCAAGCGAAAGCCTACTCCTCTCCCCCGACCCTCTCGCTCTCGACCACCAACAACGCTGGTTCACCGGTTGGGGCGACTCGCAATACGAACAAGCCCACGTGCAAAAGACACCTTCACTGGGCCTCGTCTGGACAAACCAACTCGCCTGCCGTATCGTCCTAAAGAAGATGCCCGTCTTCGCCAGCAGAGGACCCCTAATCCACACCGTCAACGGCCAAGACCAGTGGAATGACGCAGAGGAAACCCATATTTCAAAGTGGAGACGCTGGTTCAAGGTTGTGTTTGCGCCTTGGGCTCCGCCGTCTGAGGGAAGGGGCGTCGAGTTTGAGATACAGAAGAGTGGGATTAGACATGTAGTTAAACCTGAGAAGAAATAAACAATATAAAACCTGACAACGTCTTCTAAGAATATGCGCTTCATTTGTGCGCATATGGGTATCCGTCTTACACGTCTATCGCTCATCACAATACATCTACACATTTTGAAACCCTCCAATGCAGACCAAATCCCCCACCGAGAAGACTGAATGATGCGTTTACCCAGTCATCTCAACATCCCCATTGCTCGCCACCGCGCCCGGGTCCAGTCTACCCAAACACCCGGGACAATTATGCAACACCATATGCGCAAACATATCACAGTCGATACAAAAGTGACTCTCACAAGCCCTGCATTCATACCTCCCACTCTCAGACGCCTTTTGTTCCTCACTATCCTCCTCATCCCTCTTCTCCTTGTTAACCTCGCCGTCCTGTTCCGCTGCGCTTCTCTCCTTACTGCTACTGGGTGGATTACTAAAGGAAGCCAGACAGCCCACGCACTGCTTACTCCCCTTTTCGCGGGCGCGTGACCAGGATACCGTTGCCCAGTTGCGCAGGGGGAAAAGATGATGGTAGGATCGAGCGAGATGGGTGGAGAGGAGTAAGGTGAGTTGGCAGGACGGACAAGTAATGGGCAACGAGCAGACTTTTGCGCTGCAGCGAGAACATGTGTAGCCGCCCATTGTGAGGTTGCCGTGGCATGCGCACATTGTTAGTTGGTCTTCTACTACTCGGGATGGGAAGCCCATCATCATGAGGGCTGCAGCCGAGGAATCTGAGGCTTGTGGGGCTGTTGGTGCTGCGACTGCTGGTGCCGATGTACGGATGACGGGGGGTGTTGTGGTGGCGAGGAGGAGCTCTTTGAGCATTTCTTGGTCGGTTGCGATTGTGTATTCGGATTCGTCGCCCGCGTTTGTTCGTGTGACGATTTCCGTGCAGATTTTTAGGCGGGCGCCCATGCCGATTATGCTGACGCGTATTCGGTCTCGTACGCATGCTTTAACGGTTTGGTGTATGTCTCCAGGGTCTAAACTTAACAAGCTTCCAAAGACCACGATGACCTCTCGTGTACCATGGCTAGGCGTGTGGTATAGTGTCGCTCTTGCCAGCTCCAGCGCATTCTGCAAACTGGGCGCGCCCTTTGGTTCTTTGCCATCGTCTTTACTCCTCAGGCCTTGTATCGCCGCAACGTGTTCTGCCGGGTTGCCTGAGAGCTCCGAGACTCGTATACAGACACCATCGTGCATGCCAAGTACGCTCATCTGCGATATAGGGTTCTGCTCGAAGAACTCGCGAATGTAGTCTTGTGTGTAATTGATCATCGTGATGAATCGGTTCGGCCGCATGTCCTTTTCCATCATCGCCTCTGACAGGTCAAGCACCAGGACGACATGACGTATGATACCTCGTTGGAAGGGCTTCGTATCTTTCCGTAACCTTTTGCGCTTCCTCTCTTCCTCCCGTTCCTGCACGCTCTGCCCCAATGTACCATCATCTGCCGGTTGTATCGTCTTCTCGACCGTTCGTGAGTATTCTGTTTCCCATGCCTGCCGCTTTGGTGGTTCTTTTACAGGCGCTTCTACTTTCCGCCTCTTACCCGGTGCAGTAGATTGTGCACGTGTACTTGAAGTACCGCTTTTCGTCCCGACATACTCGTCATCAGAAGCCTCATCCTCAAAATCGTAGTCCGAATCGGCCATCGTATGCGCGTGGGTTTGTATGTTCTGCGGTCGTTCGGTGGTGGTGACCGATCGCAGCTGTGACGGTCTTGCTAGGCCGTGAGGCTGTACGTGTGGAGTTCCAGTGGATGCTGGTGCGCGCGACTCGGTCTCGGGTGTGGTAGGGTCGTGTGCCGCAAGAAAGGCCGGTATTATGATGTAACAAGCTTCATATGTGATGCTCGACAGTGCTGGGTACAACGGAAGATGTCAGTCCAAGCTTCCTCATCGTCAGCTACGGGTTCACTAAATTGTGGCAGGTACCGGTTGTTTGGAAGGTGGTGAGTTCACTTGACGATCTTGGATCCACATAGGCGGAAGCGTGTCTCACACGTGATAGGTTCAACGCGCTCTCACGTTTTCATGTTCACGTTTTGCATGTGAAGGTAGTTCTCGAATATCAAATAAAATCCATTCAGCAAACATTATGTATATCGTAGCACAAGTCAGCATGACGCATCAAATGCGTCCAAGGAGCCCCAAAATGGTATACGCTATGCCGGGCAAAAGCCATCATAAGAACATTACGCCGCTGCCTCTGTACAGCCCGAGATTACCAGTCAACTTGTAACAGTCAACTCCTAATTATACGCGCTGGAGCCGGCAACAGTTGGCATTGGCCAGTCGTCTTCAGTGATGCTCGACCAGAACACCCAGATCATTACTACCGATAAGAGGGTGAAGAGTGTTGAGAATAGGCCGCCGTTGATCTTTCCGTCGGTGCCGTTGCAGATATGGACGCTGATGACATATTGGAAAACTTGACCGATAGCAAAGAGAATGGCAGCCGCGAGCAGATATACTGGGACTAGTTAGTAAGAGTTGCATACAAGATTTTTGATGATTCCTTACGCATAGGTTTGCGCTCGCCGAGAATGCGTAGCACCAGGAAAGCCTCTAGGCAGAAGAAGATGACAATGAAGACCAGTGGTACAAGTTGGTAAAGGGTGTACAGAGCGTAGGCCTGGTTTGGCACGAAGCGAGTGTCGTCCCAGTAACCCGTCCAGCTGAGTCCAGTGTCAAGGGCGATGTAACCGGTGCCAATGAAGATTATAAGCGACGAGATTAGGAGCAGACCAATGGATACTGCAGTGCCGTCGTCAAGTAGTTGGTAGCCAACAGCGCCATTGAGCATGAGGATCCAAGACGTAGCGGTGATGGCAGCGATGTGGACAGCTACAAAAACCTGTAGTGAGATTAGACTCCGCATGCCGATAGGTAGGACCAAGTACATACAATGCGCACAGTGTCATTGAGGGGGAATCCGCCAATAGTAAAGATTTCGCAAATGGACATGACGATGTAGCCGAGGAGGAAGAGCTGCATTTCTCTGCGTCCAACAGCAGCCTTCTTTCTTTGCGATCTCCATAGCAGGAACAGCGTGGTGAGGATTGCGATGCCGCATAGTATTATCGACCCTGATGATGTGAGTATAAAAAAAACATGCTCACAACGCGCATGTGCATCGTACCCAGATTGCGCAGCCTGTCACCTCCACCGACAGAGAAGCCTTGCAGAGTGCAGCCATCTTGCCATCCGTTGTCGTCTTGTGTCGAAGCTGGGTTGAAGAGCTGTGGAACATGGGGTTAGCGGCGCGTTGGCGAACAATGGACGGGCAAAGGGGTGCAGCCATGGCACAACATACATAACAGACTGTCGCGCGTCAGTATATACAAGAGCATAGCTATGGAGAGTTTGTTTTACCTGGCAGTGTACTCCAGTTGTTGCCCGTGTCCCGACAGAAGTCGTCAAACTTGCCATAGCGAGACATTTCTTGGATGCTTTTCGTTTCTGAAGCAAGAGCTGCAGGTGAGCCTCAGCCTTGCGTTCAGGTGGCCTTGGATGTGGGGAGCGATCGTTATCGGGTCGTAAATACTGCAATAGATAGCGAGGGAAATTGGCGCAACCACGATAGGTAAGAGAGGTGAAGACGAATCGCGAGGTGATTACGGCGGAGAGAGATGATGCGCTGCAGCGTATGTGGTTGTGGCTGGGGGAGCTTCCTTGAAACAATGCACCAAGCCAAGCCTTGATCTCTGGTTACCAGGGCGCGCGGGCGGCTTCCGTGGCTGCACAATCTCACGGGTCCCAGATTGTCTCGGTCCGCTAGGCCAACCCCCTGCGAAGGATCGCTTGAATTGAGTTTTGCAACAGCGATTAGAGTGAGGAATGCCCGGCGAGTGAATGGAACCACAAAGCGAATCTCCTCAGGCCTTCGTCAGAAGCAAGAAACGAGGAACCACGATGCCGAACAAACACGTTAATCTCAGCTGTGCCCAATCAGAGACCATGATGCATGGCGCTAATACGTTTCAGAAAGGGGGCCGTAGATCAATGTGCATCCAGCGGCAGAGCGCCGTGGGCCTTGATGTGTCAAATCCAGCATGACGCACAACGACTCTACCGGTGGTACAATGGAGTTATTTGAGTGGTTGACTTGGCCTGGTTGTGTTGTTGCGCTCCCCAACTACGGCCTCTCCATGATACAACTCTATGCCAGCCACTGCTGGCGTCGAATACTTACAGCCATGTTTACAGCTGTATGTGCCTGGGACTGTATTTGCCTGGGACTGGAAAACCTGCGTGTTTCGAAGCGAAGCTGCAGCTTGTAAACGTCAGAAGGGTCTCCGGCGTCTACTGTGTCGACTGGATGGATTTGACGGTTTTCTGTTTCGACGCTAGTGACTATAGTAACTCCACGAGAGGTCTTGGGGAGATTGGAAACGCGAGAACGCGTTGGGTATATTAAGTGTTCGGCTATCAGTCATCAAAAAGAAGCCTGATAGATGGTCAAAAGCAAACCCCGCTCCATCCATAGTCTACAATCATTACCCAGGTAAAAGCACCGCTCGCACGTTTCACGCGCGAAGCAAAGCATGCATGCGAGAACGCGTCTGAGTCCATACCTCTGGATCATCATGAGAAGTGCACCATGTGGCCCTGCGTCTCCGCTTACACGTAGAACTGTAGCATCGTGCTTCTTGTTGCGGTTTAGTCAAGAATCCATCATTCCTCACAACACGAATACTACACAAATATCCACACACGGTATGAGTTGTGCGAAGTTGATCGCGGCTATCTTTCCGCTTTACAGCCAGTCTCCACGCGGGGCTCCAATCGTCGATACTAAGCCGCCAACGTGACCCGCCTCCACTCGACGACTGCCCCGTACATGGCGGAAGGTTGGTGGTGGGCTTTTAGTCAGCCCCTCGTGGCGTAGTGTGAGACTCGTGAGCTTGTCCTGTGCTACTCGGGCCATGTCGTGCTGCATCGCGGGATCTAATGTCCGCTGTCAAGCCTCGTCGTCAACGGCACAGATTGTGGTAGCGAGATCAGTCAAGATAACAAACAAAGGCGGCCCTGCGCGTGTGCATCATCGTGCAGGACATGCCGCGCACTCCACAGCAGCTCCATTCGCAACATGTTCGGACCGAGCAGGAAGAAGCACCTAATCCGCCAAGCACACCCCGGCAGCCAGCCCCGGACAGGGACCTACATTCGTTCGCATGCACTGCAGCTCCAGCATCTCTGATCACGAAGCGCTATCGTGCCCACTGTCTTTTTTCCACTGTAGCCCAATGTGACCGAGTTTCTCACCGCTCTTGCGCTAGCTTTACCAGATCCCTCGTCTCGGCTGCTTGACCCTGTGACGTGCCCCCAGCGAGCCGCCTTTTCGTTCGTTCTCCCATCCACCACCTTGGAGTCGGGCTGCTCCCTAACAGCCTGCCACCTTCACCATTCCTTCCTACGGGAACAGCAACAGGAGGCCAGCCAACATCCCGCTCCACAATCTCTCGTCTTCTGCCCGTCCCCGAGACCACGATTCCGCTTATCTGCTCGACGACCACGATAAGGACAGCGCGCGGTCCTCCTTTGACACCCCATCCTCCGATTCCGACCTTTCCGTCTGGAGTGACACTGGCGATCTCGTGGACCAGCTAGCTGATCGAGAAGACCCTCTCCGCATCAATCTAGAAGGCGGCAACTCGTCGAGGTCAGGCAAAAAGCAAAAGCGAGCTCGCTTTGCGTCCCAGGACCTCCACGAGAAAGGCTCCCACGGCCTCCGATTAGAAGATATCGAAATACCTGACCCTGGGCCACGAAAGATCTCAAAGGCAGAGAGAATCCTAGCCGCCGTCATGGCACCCAACGATGGACCTTCCCGTATTCACGGGTTACACGGGAAGAAGCTGATGTAGGTAGAGCACATGCCGGATTCTGAAGCTCAAAACTAACAACAGCAACAGCTACTTCACAAGTGTATTCGTCTCATTAGGCGTGTTCCTCTTTGGTTATGACCAGGGAGTCATGTCCGGTATCATCACGTACGCCGTCGCGAACCCCTCCGCCCTTGACCGCATCTAACAATGTTACAGCGGTATCTACTTCAAAGACTACTTCAACCAACCAACCGCCGCCGAGCTCGGTACAATGGTGGCTATCCTGGAAGTCGGTGCTTTTATCTCTTCACTGGTCGTAGGCCGCATCGGTGATGTGATTGGAAGACGGAAGACCATCTTGTACGGCTCCCTCATCTTCGTTGTGGGTGGTGCTCTCCAGACCTTCGCGACCGGCATCTCGATGATGCTTCTCGGGCGAATCATCGCCGGTCTGGGTGTCGGATCGCTATCTACCATCGTACCCGTATACCAGTCCGAGATCTCGCCGCCCCACAACCGAGGAAAGATGGGTTGCATCGAATTCACCGGCAACATCACGGGCTACGCAGTCAGTGTGTGGGTCGATTACTTCTGCACGTATATCAAAAATGATTGGTCATGGAGAGTTCCGCTCTTCATGCAGTGCATCATGGGTCTTCTTTTGGCCGCAGGAAGCTTGCTCATCTGCGAGTCCCCGAGGTTTGTACCATGACCCTAGCGCCTGGAATCCACTGACACATACAGATGGCTTTTGGACAACGATCACGACGAGGAGGGCATTGTGGTTATTGCTAATTTGTACGGAAAGGGCGATATTCACAATCCCAAAGCGCGAGATGAATACCGAGAGATCAAGATGAATGTCCTGCTCCAGCGCCAAGAAGGTGAACGATCATACGGCGACATGTTCAAACGATACTCCAAACGCGTCTTCATTGCCATGTCCGCACAAGCCCTCGCGCAACTCAACGGCATCAACGTCATCTCCTACTATGCACCCCTCGTTTTCGAAGAGGCTGGCTGGTATGGTCGCCAAGCTATTCTGATGACTGGCATCAACGCCATCACATACCTGCTATCCACTATCCCACCGTGGTACATTGTAGACACGCTGGGTCGCCGAAAGATTCTGTTGTCTGGAGCCCTTATGATGCTGATATCACTCTCCGCCATTTCCTATTTCCAGTTCCTCCAAGCTTCTTGGACACCTAACATGGTCGTCATATTCGTCATGATCTACAACGCCGCATTTGGATATTCATGGGGTCCTATCCCGTGGTTGTACCCACCGGAGATTCTGCCCCTCAGCATTCGTGCAAAGGGTGCCAGTCTGAGTACCGCGACCAACTGGGCTTTCAACTGGCTGGTTGGAGAAATGACACCGATTCTGCAGGAGCACATCCAGTGGCGATTGTACCTCATCCACGCATTCTTCTGCGCTGTCAGTTTCGTCATTGGTAAGTTTAATCAAACATTTGGGCTGCGCAATCTACTAACTGTACTTAGTATACTTCATCTACCCCGAGACTGCAAACGTTCGTTTGGAAGACATGAATTCTCTGTTCGGAGACGCGACCTCAGTCATGCCCACCCCGGAGACGCTTGCGCAAGCCGAATCACTTTTCAGCGGAGAAGGCCGAGGCTCGCCTGTGCCGTCGCTCGATATCCGAGGTGGACGCCGCGGGCAAGACGATGCGATTCCCGGACTCAACATCGACCCCCCTGACATTGAGAACGGCAACAAGAACATGGCCAAGGCCGATACCGAGAACGGCGAAGGTATCGGTGGCTGGATCAGCAACATGGTCAAGAGGACAAAGGGCAACGGCGAAGGCGACAGCTCGAGCGGAAAGTACAAGCAAGTCGGACAGAACGAAGACTAGAAGACACGCGGTGTGTACATTGACAATTTCGCGTTTCCTACGTATATCTACATCATCTTGATAGGCGATGGGCATGTTCGAATCTTCACGAGCCAATGGCTCATCGAGCATAGCTTTTGGGATGTTAGAGTGTGCGAAGCATTTTTTGAGGCGTTTGTTACATGTGGGTTGAGTAGGTTAGAGAAATGCGTCTTGAAGAAGACGAAATCACCATCTTTCGGCTGCATGATCTAGTGAATAGGCTTTGGTGACGTGCATAATGATAGTGCCCCTCCCCGGCCTAGCCATCCACACAAGGAACATTACCAGTACCACGGCACCTCCGAAGCGCGATTGGGGCCAGATAAATGGAATTGTGGGTTTCACGTGATAGGATGTGAACAGGTGTCGCTTCTCCCGTGCCCTGATGCGGCGGCCGGGCTTAGCTTCCTTTGCTCGTACTGTAGTCTAATTCGGGAACAGCCCACCTCCTCGATCTTGCAGCGCAGGAGATTCTTCCATTGCTCTCTCCCTGTGAGCTTCCCTTCTATGCTTTCGCTTGTTCGGGGTTTTCTTCTACGGCCCACGGCCACTTTTAATTGATTCCCTTCTCTCGAGTCGTATTGCAAACGGCTGCGTCGCGTAGTTGCGCAAGCTCCGTGGTACCGACCAACCATTCACCACCAAATCCAGCCTCAAGCCACGAATCCCTTCCACCTTCTTGACGGCATCGCAGTAATCTCTGAGGACAACCAGAGAGTTGACCACCACGCATCACCATGGCATCAACTGCGCACACCACCGGCGCTGATGCACAAGCGGAAGAGCTGCGGAGGAGAAATGTAGCCGGACAATCACAAGCCTCAGCGCCAGTCACTACGCAGGCACAAGTGAAGGAGAAGCCAAAGGACAAGGTACGCCATCTCATACAAGTGGCATCAGAGCTGTCAAAACTCTGGTGGCTGCAGGGCCTCATTGCTAACCAACCCACAGCCTTTCAACATCATCTCCTTCCTCGACGAATATGAGTTCATCTGGGCGCCTCTTATATTTACCTTCTTCGCCTTCTTTACGCGCATGTACAAGATTGGTCTCTCGCCAATCGTCACCTGGGACGAAGCCCAGTAAGTCCATCAACTCCAAGACGTACATGACTAGTTCTGACTTTGTGCAGCTTTGGAAAGTTCGGTTCACACTACCTCAAGCGCGAGTTCTACTTCGATGTTCATCCTCCGCTCGGAAAGATGCTCGTCGGTTTGTCTGGATACCTTGCAGGATACAATGGCTCGTTTGAGTTCAAGTCTGGAGAGACATACCCCCCAGAGCTGGACTACACCTTCATGCGCCTCTTCAACTCGGCTTTTGGTGCTGTCTGCGTTCCTCTGGCCTACTTTACCGCCAAGGAACTGAACTTCCGCCGTCCTACTGTCTGGTTCGTCACGTTGGCTGTCCTCTGCGAGAACTCGTACACCACTATCAGCCGCTTTATTCTGCTCGACTCCATGCTCCTATGCTTCACCTTCACTACCGTCTTCTGCTGGTCCAAGTTCCACCGTCAGCAACATGACCCATTCTCTCCCGAGTGGGGTCTTTGGCTGATGCTTACTGGTGTATCCATTGGATGCGTATGCAGTGTCAAGTGGGTCGGATTCTTCGTCACAGCTTTGGTTGGATTGTACACCATTGAGGACCTCTGGCACAAGTTTGGTGACCTGAAGATGCCAAAGGTACGTTACATCGTCTACCGCCCGAAATCAAACTAACATGTATAGATCGAGCTAGCCACCCATCTCGCTTTCCGCGTCTTCGGCCTAATCCTCATCCCCCTCGCCGTCTACATGTTCTCCTTCTACCTCCATTTTATCATTCTCGAGAACAGCGGACCCGGCGACGCACAAATGAGCTCTCTTTTCCAAGCTAATCTGCGCGGAACTGAGGTTGGCAAGAACAGCCCTCTCGAGATCGCATACGGTTCCCGCGCGACATTGAAGAACATGGGATACGGAGGTGGACTGCTTCACTCTCACGTTCAGACCTACCCCGAGGGTTCTACACAACAACAGATTACTTGCTACCACCACAAGGACGCCAACAATGACTGGTTCTTCTACCCCAACCGCCACGAAGTCGAGTACAAGCCCGATGAGGAGCTTCGCTACCCTGGTAACGGTGACGTTATTCGTCTGCTCCATGCCCAGACCGGCCGCAACCTCCACTCGCACCAAGTCGCTGCCCCTGTTACAAAGAGTGATTGGGAAGTTTCCTGCTACGGCAACACCACTGTTGGCGACACCAAGGATCATTGGGTTATTGAAGTTGTGCGCGACGCTGCTTCCAGGGACTACTCCAAGGTCCGGACGCTCACAACCGCCTTCCGTCTGAAGCACAAGGATCTGGGTTGCTACCTCCGCGCTGGCAATGTCAACCTACCTCAGTGGGGTTTCAAGCAGATCGAGACAACCTGCGTCAAGAAAAACAACCCCCGTGATGTTTACACCCACTGGAATGTTGAGAGCCACACCAACGAGAGACTGCCCCCGGGCAACCCTGGTGACTACAAATCACCCTTCCTCCAGGACTTTATCCATCTCAACGTTGCTATGATGACATCCAACAATGCGCTTGTCCCCGACCCTGACAAGCAAGACGATCTTGCCTCGAGCTTCTGGCAATGGCCCATTCTCCACGTCGGTCTTCGTATGTGCGGCTGGAATGATGACAGTAAGCATGCACCCCATTTTACCACCCTTGAGTTACTAACACAACCGCAGTCGTCAAATACTTCCTCCTAGGTAACCCATTGGTCTACTGGGGTAGCACTGCCTCGCTAGGCATCTTTGGCCTCCTCGTCGTCTTTTACCTGGTCCGCTGGCAACGTGGATACAACGACCTGAAGCAATCGGAGATTGATATGTTCCACTACGCTGGTATCTACCCCATCATCGGCTGGGCCCTTCACTACGCACCATTTGTCGCCATGGGTCGTGTCACATATGTGCACCACTACTACCCTGCTCTGTGGTTTGCCATCATAGTCATGGGCTTCTGCTTGGACTTCACTACAAGGAAGCTGAACAAGCAGGTACAGTGGGGTATCTTCGCCGTACTGTACGCTACCATCATCTTCTTGTATTGGCTGTTCAGAGCCATCTCGTTCGGTATGGTTGGACCCAGCAGCCAGTGGAAACACCTCAAGTGGTTCGAGAGCTGGAGGATCACCGACTAAACCTTTCACGCTACCATGTCCTCTTCCGCTCAGGAACAGTAGGGCTTTCTGGGCATTGAGACGTTTGCCTTTTTGTAACAACATCTTCTTGCATCGACTTCCTTCATAACACGGTGTCTAGGGATATGGATACTGGGCAGATGGATGCAACAGGGTTCAGGCCGGACTAGCGAGGTGTTCCTAGTGGGTCTCTCGGGTGGATGATATACTTTAGACATTTGAAAAATAAATGTGATAAGCATTGAACTCTTACTCCTGATTTACCTCATACATGAACTAGAGCAAAGGATGTTTGTAGCCGTTAAGATCTGCCAGTCGTGTAGATGATCTTCCGGCAACGGGAATCTCCAATTGAAATGCCGAAGGTCGACCCCGCGAACGTGGGGCAAATCCGCCCGGAACTCCACCACGCGCATCTTGCATCAACACTCTTGATTGCTTTATAAGCCTTTCCAGATCCCTGACTTCCCATGTTTGTTAGTTCTCTTGTACGCTGCACACGCACTACTGCTACATTCTCTAGATCAACTTTCGTTCCTAGATCACAATTATTGTTATTCCCGCTCCGAGTGAACTGCTTCAGCACGACAACAACAACAAGAGCAATGTCGGCATTTGAGCGATTAATCCGTTTTGAGGATAACGAGGGGAAGACGGTGTATGGGAATTTGGAAAAGGAAGTTCCAACTAGGGAGATTGAGGGGAGTACTGTAGAGGTTCTAGAGGGGGATGTCAAGAGTGGGTTCAAGAAGACAGGGAAGAAGGCTACCGTGGGGAAGGTATGTGTTCCATGTCCCCCAAAGATATAGATTGTGAATGAAAGCTAATAGAGTATCGCATAGTTACTATGCCCTCTACCAACAACAAACATCATCCTCTGCGTAGGCCTCAACTACCGTCGCCACGCCGAAGAATGCAACCTGCAAATCCCCTCCAACCCAGCCATCTTCACCAAACCTAGCGACGCCCTCGCCGGACCCCTGGAAGACATCCCCATTCACCCTTCCTGCCAATCCCAACTCGACTACGAAGGCGAACTTACCCTGGTCATCTCAAAGGACTGCAAAAACATCTCTGCAAAGGACTACGCTTCCTACCTCCTCGGTTACACAATCTCCAACGATGTTTCTGCACGCAACTACCAGTTACCCGTTTCAGTCTCGGGGGGTCAATTCGGCTACGCCAAATCTTTCGACAAGTTCGCTCCAGTGGGACCATGTATCGTTTCTCCCTCTCTGATTCCCGACCCGCAGAAATTGAGGTATTGGACCAAGGTTAATGGGGAAAAGAGGCAGGAGACGGGTACTGATGATATGATTTTCAAGGTAGGCGAGGTGTTGGAGCATTTGAGTCGGGGGACTACGTTGAGGGCTGGGACTGTTATTTTGACGGGGACGCCGAGTGGGGTGGGGCTGTTTATGGAACCGAAAGGGTTCTTGAAGGATGGTGATGAGGTGGAGGTATATGTCGAGGGGATCGGGAGTATTGTTAATAAAATGAGGTTTGAGTAGCTGGAGCAGAGTTGAAAGGGGTGAGGAGATGGGGGAGTTATACGGCAATGTTGATATCGTGGCTTATGATATGAACGAGACTTCAGCATAAGTGCTTTGTGGAATACGAGTGGTTGTGAAAGAGGTGGAGAGATAGATATACATGTGCAGAAACACAAAATTCATTATCTAGAAGGACTTACTCTGAAATATCAATTTCAGGATCATTAATGGTGGGGCGCCTCAGTTGTTTCTTGGGAAGATTACGGCAAGTCCTGACACTTGTCCATGACGCTCTTTTAATTGCCCGGCAGGTTCTTCGGACTGCCAACCAAAAGCTTCCGCCGTCCGTGGCAGCCATCTACTCCAGACCTCTGCGTCGAGTGGGCTATCCTCATCTTCTAGGGTACCAGATCGCAATTTGACAATCTGCTCTCTAAGCATATCCTTGCAGACTGTCCTCAGACTGAAGAGATGTTCAGGTGCAATGCTGAACATTCTCGCAGAAAATTGCCCCAGGCAGTACCCGACCCCGAAGATTTGCGCCTCGATATCGGAGTCGTATATGACATCGCGACCAAGTAAATCGAGCATCGCTAGCCATATGAATCGGATGACCCCCCTTGCGCATCCCTCGTTAGGACCTTACTCGAGTGAAAAATACCACTGGGAATTTGGATTTAGTTTGTTGTCGGCGAAGATGTGCGTCTTGATCTTTGTGTAGAGAGTTTTAGGATACATGGGACAAGTATTTGACTGCGCTGCGTCCGAGTTGGCATAAGCAGTAAGGTAGGTTAAGCCGAAGATGCGGTGGCATTTGGTGCGTGTGATCTTGTGTGTGTCGTCGAAAGGATCGTGACAAATGCCACAGTTTTTCGATGACCTCGAGATTATCGAAGAATTGGGCTTTGTCTGGAAGGAGTTGTGAACTCATAATTATGGTGACTGACGGGAGTTGAAAATGAGGTTTAGGTTGTAGTCGTGGTAGAGTAGCTGGTGGAATCTGCATTCGAGTGGAATCGAGTTGGTTGCTTCGTAAAGCTGAGGCGTGGGCACTGTTCTTCTTGTAAGTGAAAGACTGGTCTGTGTAGGTAGTGGAACACAGTGAAAGTGGACAGATGCGTGATCCTTCAATGGAGAGTCATTTGACCTTGGATGGATAGGAGCCTGGTGACTTTGAGTGAACTCCAGAACGATATCGATGGATCGTCAGTAGTATCGAATGATACCAAATTGATGACTAAGATTGAGCAAGATATGTCTAAAAAGAATGCCCTACTTGTACGTTCATGATCATCTCGACATGCTGAGCCAATGTCTGCTGCAATCCGGACGCTTCGGGATCAACGTTCATACAGGAAACCATGTTTTGCATACGATGACAGAATCAAGGGCGATATTTGATAAAAAATTTCCAACATTTCAAAACTTCCCCCAAGACAAACTCACGATGGCAATCACTTAGCATTTATAGAAGTTGCGATATCGGCTTTGCTATAGCAAGCAGCGGCGTCCAGAATACGAGCTACAACAAAGTGAAAACGAAGAGGCAGGATGCAAGAAGTAATCAGACAAATGCCGAATGTATACTCTTTCCCCTAATTCACCTTGACAGTGTTTGTAGTTCATGCTGACAGGTAACGGGCGTTCGTCATGCCCACGAGACGCTAGTGCCCACGCTAATTTCGCAGTTACGTTGATGGCAGGCGACCAAGTGCCCGAACCATCAACTTTGAAACAACACAACGAAAGAACCCAAATTCATCTCACATTACAGACACGCGACCTACGTGTAGAAGTCACGTAAATCATCAACGCAACCAAAACAAATCAAAACAATGGCTTCGGAAGTAGTCAACAAGCTGCAGAACCTGGTCACAGGGGAGTCAAAGAGCGCCCGCAAGAAGAAGTCCAAGCAAGAAGGGGCTACGGCAGTACCAGCCGCGCCTGAGCAGACCAACTCTGAGGCTGGCGCAGGTGGCTCTAACCCCGCCGGCAAGGCCAATGGAGCCGACAGCGACAACTCGTACCTCCGCGAGGTTCAGAAGTAAGTCGCAACCGCATCATGGTTTGAACACCATAGCCTCAAGGTCTCACTTACTAAGACCCCTTTGCGCAGGAACATCCGCAACATCAACAAGAAGCTGGTAAGCTACTAGTCCCCGTCGCTCCTTACCCCACCAACCCTTGCTTACATGGTATCTCTAGAGCGCAACCCAGAAGGTCGACTCGATAATCGCAGCAAACCCTGGTGTTTCTCTCGACGACCTCCTCGCTTCCAAGAAGATCAACGCCGATCAAAAAGCCCAAGCCGAGAGGAAACCCGGTCTTCAAGCTCAGCTCGCGCAGTACGAGGAGCAATACACCAACTACAAGAAGTATGGCGATGAGCTCGAGGCCAAGTTCGCGCGGGAGAAGGAGATCCTGTCCAAGTCACACTCGTCAGCGTTGGAGACATTGAGGGGAACAATCAAGGCTGAGGCACAACTCGAGCAGCAGAAGATTGTCAAGGAGAAGTTGCTCACATTGTCTCGCTTCTTGAGGGCTGCGGCTGCTCGTCGTCAACTTGAGGACGATGACTCTGACCTCACCAAGGCTTTCGAGGGCGCTCTTCTCCAGGTCTATGGGGGAGATGTCGGCGCTGTTATGGCTGCCGAGAAGCTGATCGAAGGTGCGGAAGAGGGAGTTCCATCGACTGAGGGTGTGGTACTCGGCGTCACCTGTAGGTTCATAAGTATAACGAGTCCATTGCTTCATACTGACTTTCTATAGACTCCCAGGTCAAGCAAGCAGCACTCGACGAAGCCCCGTTCGCGGCTGAAGAAGCCTGGGTCGACGACGTCGCGCAGTCCCAAGCAGCTGCTCCCGAGACTGAGGCTGTTTCCGACCCAACCATCACCAACGCAGGTCTTACTGAGATCGACGCTGGCGCGAAGCCTGTCAACGAGACTACAGAAAACGCATCGGCAGCCCCAGCAGCTTCTGCTATCGGAACGGAGTCTGCAAACGCTGCTGCAGCGGCTCAATGGGATAAGCAACCTACTGGCGGCGACGACCCCCTGACCGAGTCTTTCGAGATGGTACCGCGAGACCCCGCCGAGACCGAGACACCACACGTCGCTGCTGCCGTGACCAGCACCCAGAGCTGGGCCGACGATACCCCCGAGCCAAGTGCGGCACCTGCCGCCGCTACCTCCGGTGACGACGGCTTCTCCCAAGTTCAGCACAACCGCGGCGGTCGGGGACGAGGTGGCCACCAAGGTGGTGAGCGAGGTGGATACCGTGGCAGGGGCCGAGGCGGTCCTCGGGGCGATTTCCGCGGTCGTGGACGCGGCGGCCGTGGAGAGTTTAGGGGTGGGCGTGGCGGTTTCCGCGGCGCTGCTCGAGGAGGAGAATCGTCATAAAGACGATCAACACTTCCTGCAAAACGACCTGCACATTTGGGGAAGATGGGTTACATGAGTAGCCTCTGAGACCCTATTTGGAGCATCTGAGCAGATGAAATAATGAAAGAGCTGGCAAGCCAATTGTGTTTAGTAGCATAGCATCGGTGCATAGGATCAATATTTTCTAGGGTATGGGACGCTGTACTATATTCTGGGTTATGATCTGGCGCTTAATGAATGGCTTGTACAACATCACTTCTTTCTTGCTTGAATTGAACGTCTCTGTTTTGTTGGTCACGTCACTGTCACTTTGTATGTCTTGCTGAGGAACCGTTGTCGGTCTAGAGCCCAGTCAGGACAAGGGATGACGATGACTGAGCATCTGGCCCTGGCAGTAGCGGCGTGTCGATCCGGGGAATTTTCATGGGGGGATGCGCTGGCTCGTCATGTTTTCCGATTGGCGAGTCGAGTACGAAGTGTCGGTGTGGAGGTGCAACGCTCACGCTGTGAACTAGTTCTCGCTCCGTATAGAGGATGAATCATCGGCTTTCATTCCTGTCACTTTCATGTTATGAGCGTCTACAAGTAGTTTTCTTCCATAAATTTGTTGACTGTCGTCTTGTCTCTAGAGACCGTACAGACAGGGCTTACAGACCTGGCGGCCGTATCCGCTCCGCTTCTCCACGCAATAACAGCAGCTCGTCCAATACTCGCATTATCTCTTTGGATTGGGTGAGTTGCATCCAGATTGTGAAAGCATGGGGGCTTTACTATCGCAGTGAGCTGCCCACACCCTCTTCCACTGTATGTCAGCGTCAACTAACAGTGACGTTCTACACTGCAACAGTGGCGCGCATAGATGTAGAAGCAACATGGTCATATGAGAAGCTTCCTATTGTGCGATAACAGCGATCTCGGCTTTCCATGTTGTTGGTGAGGCGCGGCTCTATTCTTCCATATGGCGGCGTGATGCACGAACTAGCGGGTCGCTGCAGCCGTTGAGACAGGCACCAGCCAAAAAAGCTTAACCCCACAGATTCAGGAACTATGTTTCAGATTTCATCTCCTTGTGGGACTTGTCTTCTCCTTTGGCGATGTTGTAGACCCGCGTCGAAGAGATAGACTGTCCGCCCTTGGAAAAGATTGGCAACCAGAAACAACCAGCGATATGTTCAAGTGAGTTTGGCGACTACGTTTGGCTCGACTGTGTTGTGTCGGCTGTCGCATGGTGGACAAGTGGGAAGCAAGGGGAAGATCTGATAAGATGAGATCTGTAGATGTGGCCTTGAATGACGTGCATACCAGTCACGGCACACAACATCTAGCGTGTCCTGCGCGTAGTAGTAAAGATGGAGTTGACAGCGCTTTGCATCGCGTGCATCGATTACAGTATATGCTTCTCGTGGCATTGAGATGCAGGCAAGCTGTTACAGCTGGAGACGGTTTAGCATATGCTGTCAATGTGTTGTCGCAACTGCCCATTATCAGGCGATGAGTGACAGGGGTTGTTACGCTTAACGTCTAGCGCAGACCCACAACCTGCAACCTCCTCACCCTCGCCTTCGCACCTCCCCCAGCGTCATCTAGCGACTACTAATCCCAGCGACTACAATAACACCCATCGACGACACTATAAGCTTCGTGGACCTCGTGTACTACTAGCAAAATTGTTGCGGTACTAATAGATCGACGCGCGCCCGCCCTGGCGCAGAAGCGACGCATGGCAACAGCTCCGCAGCCCCTCTGAGACAACTACAACCCGAGCAACATCTGCCATCGCCATGGAAGCGCTCCCAGATGTCGTGCCTTCCGTTGAGGCGCCGCTCTCCACGCCGGATGACTCTACTACGAAACCGGCTCTGACGCCGCCCACGAGTGAAGACAACGACAAGCGATTTGAGAGGATGTCGTCTGAACTATCCGAACTCGACGACAGCGATGATGGCGAAGACATCGAACCCGATCATTACTTTGAAGGAGGAAAGATACCCGTGTTCAAGCCGGTAAGTCGCCAAAATGCAAACCAATTTCCTTGGTAGGACGAGAAGCATGCGCGCAAATGTTGTTATGACTATGGCGCGCCGGAAATAATACACAGGGTACTGATTACCGTTTGAACAGACCATGGATCAGTTCCGCAACTTCAAGCGCTTCATCGACAAGATCGACAAGCATGGAATGAAGTCTGGTATTGTTAAAGTGATTCCGCCAGCGGAATGGTAAGTACTCGCCGAGTCTCAGTTGCATGGCCTTTGTAACTCATCTGACAACAGGCGCGAATCCCTTCCCGATCTTACTGAAGCCGTCAAGAGCATCAAAGTTAAGAACCCGATTACGCAAGAATTCGCTGGACAGCACGGCATATATACACAAGCCAACATTGAGAAACAACGGTCATACAATCTGCCGGAATGGAGAGCTGTAACGGATGAGCCGCATCACCAGCCCCCGGCCAAGCGAGGCGAGCGTCGGAAAGCTGCTGCGGAAGCCCCATCTCGTACCCGTTCGTCTCGCGCAGCACCTGCGAATCGCGATGCCTTGCCAGCTCCTAAGCGCGGACCCGGTCGACCATCGCGAAAGCGCCAGGTGAAGAAGGAACCAGTCGATGACGAGGATGAAGATGACAGCTCTCTTGAAGTCCCTCCCACACCCACGTCGCCCGGAAAGGAAGAGAAGAAAGCACCAGCGAGGAGGGTCAAGAAGGAAGCGCGTGATACAACACCTGCTAGGGCACGCGGTCGGCAAACTAAGACAGCCGACGAAAAGAAGTCTGTCTCTTCACGACGCTTGAATAACCGTGGTGCAGTGGCCGACTACATTGACGAGGCTGCGTTTGAGGACTTCGATTACCATCTACCTGGCCTAGAGGAGTACACAGTCGAGCGATGCAAAGAACTAGAGGACAACTACTGGAAGACGATCAACTATGGCTCGCCCATGTATGGAGCCGATATGCCGGGCTCTCTGTTCGATGACTCGACCACCTCGTGGAACGTTGCGAAGCTGCCCAATCTCCTGGATGTTCTTGGAACCAAAGTACCTGGTGTCAACACAGCCTACCTCTATCTGGGTATGTGGAAAGCTACTTTCGCGTGGCACCTGGAAGATGTGGACCTTTACAGTATCAACTACATACACTTTGGTGCTCCCAAGCAGTGGTACAGCATATCGCAAGAGGATGCTCGTCGTTTTGAGGCTGCCATGAAGACCATATGGCCAAATGACGCGAAGCATTGTTCGCAATTCCTCCGTCACAAGACTTATTTGATCTCTCCTCAGCGTTTGGAGAGGGACTTCGATATCAAGGTCAACCGTTTGGTTCATTACGAGGGCGAGTTTGTCATTACCTATCCTTATGGTTACCATTCTGGTTACAACATCGGCTACAACTGCGCCGAGTCGGTCAACTTCGCGAACGAGTCTTGGCTGAGCTATGGCCGGATCGCGAAGAAGTGCATGTGTGAATCTGACAGCGTCTGGGTCGATGTCAACGAAATTGAGCGCAAGCTGAGGGGCGAGCCAACTCCAGAATACTACGAAGAGACTGACGACGAAGACGATGATGACGATGGTGTGGATCGACTGCCCAGCCCTCCAGCTAGTGTCGCCGGTAAGACGAAAGGAAGACCAGGACGTAAGCCAGCCGGCAACAAGAGGAAGCGCGGCAAAGAGGATCCCAAGGAGACGTCGCGACCAAAGAAGCTCAAGCGCATTCGCATCCGCATTAGGATTCCAGGACGGGGTATGCCCTGCATCCTCTGCCCCAACGATGTGGAATATGATGATCTGCTGCCGACTGATACCGGCATGCAGGCCCACCGGATTTGTGCGGATTATACACCTGAGACTTACATTGTCAACAAGGGCGATGTTGAGACGGTGTGTAATGTGGCCAATATCGGCAAGGATCGTTTGGAGCTCAAGTGCAACTACTGTCGGTCCAAACGCGGCGCCGTCTTCCAGTGTTCGCAGAAGAAGTGCACCAGGGCCTTCCATGCTACGTGTGCGGTGGCCGCTGGTGTCCAGGTCGACCTTGGTCCTATGCCTACCTTTGATGAAGAGGGTACAGAATACTTTTACGATGGCTACGACTTCCGATGCCGCTTCCACCGACCGAAGAAGCGGAACAACAAGACTGTCGATGTGGAAGCATTGGAAAAGGACAAGTTCGTCTTAGCTTATGGTAAGACGCTCAAACCCAAGGACGTCATCCAGTTCCAATATGTGGGCGGCGAGATGTACCAAATTTACGGTGCACAGGTCGTAGAGAACAGACCTGGTGAGCAGGCTGTACTGGTAGATGTGTTACCTGATGGGTATGTTACGGATATTCATGATCGTTTTTCTATGCTAACAGTATACAGTGATCGTGTCGAGGTTGAGTGGAAGTATATCCTCAAGCTGCACCCTGACGAATCGCAGCGACTGAAGCCATCCGCAAACGCTAAGCCACTTCCTGAACACCTCAAGGAGAGCGATGCATCCCTTGACATTACGAACCGCACCGATGGTGTGCCTGAGATGGGCGATCCTTTCCACGATCCCAACTCTGAACACAAGTGGGCTGAGTGGTACACTGCTCCTGAGGTTACTCAGCGGGTAGCGAGAGTTGACCTGGGCAAGGAGGATCGGCTATGGTACTACCTTGGAAAGCCTTCGACTGAGGCTAGGCCACAGTATACCGAGAATCCTGCGAAGCCAAGGAACAACCCCAAGAGCAACTTTCTCGATACCGTTAAGCCTCCTCCGCCGCCAGTACCAGCTTTCCACCGTACTTCTTACCCTGCCTCATACCCGATCAAGCCTGCTCCGATCGTGGTACCTCCACGTACACCGATGCAACATCAAGTATCAGATGGTCGACCATACGCCTACAAACCGAAAGAGTCGATGGTGGGATCATTTAGATCGCCGGTGTATAACCCTGATACTCGCAAGAACCCCAACTCGCCAGTAGCACACCAACCCAACGTCAGCTACGATCATCGCATGCCACAAGGACAGTACGGACAACAGTCGTATCAGGGCTACCATTCCCATCGGCCGCCGCAATCTTCGCAACAGCAGGCTCAGTATCAACCATATGTGCCGCCACCAAACTACTCCAATGCCTCATGGAAAGCACAGCCAGCAACGTCTGGGCCCTTGCTCAATGGAATCGACAAGTATGCGCAGCCGCCATACCCATACTCTCAGAGCCCTGGTCGGTTGCCACCCTCGCCATACTCACCAGTTGTGGGACAGAACGCTATTCCGTCTTATGGCCCACCAAGCCGTCAGACCCAGGCGTCACCACATGGTCGCTCCTCGATCTCTAAATTACCGAGCAACCCTACTGGGACTCCCAAACCTCCAATGTACGCCGTCACACCCTCCTCTAACATCATTTACGCTGCCCAATCCCCTACTGAGTACTTGAATTACGTTATGAATTTCCCCTACCTCAGAAACTGTTATCTGCGAAGGACAAAAACTTACATATCACCCTATAGTCTGGATGGTGGGATTGCACCTGAATGGATGCCAAAGCCGCCGACGCCGAGAGCCAGTGGTACACCTACCTCCATCGCACCAAGGCCTATTGCTCCGCATGGAGCCGCGCCTTCTCCTGGATACTATGGACCGCCACCAACAGGTCTCCCTGCACCAAGACCATCAGCACAGTTCCAATCTCCGGATGCCTTCCAGCGCGAAATTACAAGGACGACACAAGCCCCGGAAGCACCGAAGTGGGAGCAAATGCTCAAACAGCTCGCTACGTCAGCAGGCCCTACAGCCACACCTTCCATGGCCACGCACTCGCCACAGGCACCACAACCGCGCTACCCGCCCCCGGGACCTCGCTCTGGTACGTCGTATGACATACCTAGGAGTATGCAGGCATCGCCGAACCAAACCCCGCCTCTACCGCCATCACGCGAGCCACAGCGACCGACACCCAGCCCCATTAGCGATGATGGCAAAAGTGGTCTTGTAGCTGTGCCGAAAGAGCAGAAGCCAGTGCTACCGCCACTGGAGCCTGCGTCGAATGTTCATGGGGCAGAGACATGGCGCTATTCGTCTTAGGGAGTACGCATATATGGGGGCGTTTGGCAGGGATCAATGTATTCTAATGACCGTGTATGATTATGGGTAGTTTAGGCGTTTCTCAATGTGTCACGGCATGGTTGCCAATGTGCCATTTTAGTACGACATTATCATTCGAGTCGAATGTAATAATATTTTTGGTCGATGCTTGATTTCTGATTGTGTTTTTGCTGTATTTTTGCTGTATTGAGGTCGCTACAATCACATTCCCTGCGGCGCAGATGAATCGGCTTCAGACCAGGGACGAGGTACGGCTAGTTCTCAACACACCACCAAACATCTTATTTTTCTTCACTCTCCATGTGCTTTATACAGGTATCGAAGTGGCGCAAGTGTAACGAGGAGAAGGTACAATATAATCTAAATCGGAGGATGCAAGTGAAATAGTAAAAAATAAGATGAAGAGGTGGCCAACACCACGAAAGCAAAAAGCAAAAAGAACATTTTTTCCTAACCTGGGAAAAGGCAAAAAGGAAGTTTCTTCCGAATCCGGGAATCGAACCCGGCTCTTCTCGGTGAAAGCGAGATATCCTAGCCGATGGACTAATTCGGATGATCTGATTGATGAAAAGAAGTGAATTTGTAAAATATCTAATGATACACAAGTATTTCAGCACTGAAGCACGAGTGGGTTGCGATGTTCGAGAGCGGGTTGCGTCAAATCAGTTTGCTAATGAGTGGGGCGTCATGCACATCTAGTGTCACTCGCCCCATCCAACGATCCATGGCTTTACAGATTAGTATGTTGTCGTCGTAATACCCCTTCCGTAGACTATGTTTTGGCTTTTCGCTGATTGCTCATCTGTAATATGAGCGATTTCAACAATAGTCATGACTTGCAAATGCGAGAAAAAGTTCATGTGTGCAACACATATCATTCAGTCAAGAAAGCAATGAGCCAAAGCGACTCTATGCAAGTAGATACAAGAAGTGAAGAACACCAAGAAGTGTTACAGCTTTTCCATCACAAACATTCCTCCAAATCTTTCCCACATGTCCTCGTTCAAGACCTGTCCGAATAACCGGATGTCGTCAAACCGAATCAACCGCGTCACAGACTTAGACGCGGAAAGCGCGGGGGTGGCGGCGAACCTTCTGGCTGGATGAAGATCCGGCCTTCTCCTCGAGCCAGGAGATGAAGGTGTCGAGAGTGAACTCCTTGTCGGCAATGCTGGAGCTGCCAGATGAGGCAGGGGCGGCAGCGGAAGTAGCAGCCGGGGTGGAAGAGGCAGCAGGAGTGGCGACAGCGTTAACAGCGGCGGCGCTGGTAGCAGCAGGAGTGGAAGCGGCAGGAGTAGAAGCAGCAGGGGCGGAGGCAGAAGGCTTGGGGCTGGAAGCGTTGCCAGAGCCGGAGCTAGCACCATCGAACAGAGCAGGACCAGGCATCTCGTAGCTGGACATGTCACCACCGTAGACGTTGACCTTGATACCGGGGTCGGTGGCGGTGTAGAGCTTGTTGGCGGGAGTGCCCTTGGGGGTAGCAGTACCGGATCCAGTGACCTCGATGTTGATGCACTTGGGGTAGTTCTGAGCACCGTTCTCCTGGCCGGCGGAGTGGAGAGCGATGATTTCGTGACGGAGAACGTACTGGCCAGGGGCGATGCTCTCTGGGACGGTTACGGACCAGGTGTTGTTGTTGGCGATGAGCTTGTCAGAAGCCCACTTGCCGTCCTCGAAACCAGCAGCGTCGATCTTGAAGAACTCAAGGTCGGTCGACTTGGCGGCGGTGGCATCTTCAACCTTGGCGAGGTAGTCGATGACGGGACCGACGTGGGACTCGGGCCAGGCGGTCCATGAGATGTCGAGCTTACCACCAGCAGCGACCTTGGCGACCTTAGCACCAGCAGTTGCGTCCTTGTGGCAAGCAATCTTGGTGGCATCGTCGTACATGGATGGGTCGACGAAACCGTTGTCCAAGCACTCGGGGCAGGACCACTCAATGACCTCGGGAGAGGGGGTCTGGTACTGGAAAGAAGGGTCGTAGGCAGTGTAGTCCTGGCCGTCAACCTTGAGGGCAGACAAGTGGCCGTGGGCGCTGACGGAGGCAGCAAGGGAGCCAAGGATGGCAGCGGCTTGGATCTTGGAAATCATTGTGTTGGTGGTTGGAAAGTCTGGTTTTGACGAAAAAGTTGGTGTTCAAAAAGTTACTTCGAGATCGATCAACGAAGATAGTAAAGAATGTGAGACGCTTCAAGCGTTTGAAAAAGAATGAATGTGTAGTGAGCGAATGTCGACTGACTGAATGATTGTGGTGGTGAGGAATTGTAGGTTGCTGGGCGAAAGGCATACTTATACCCAGATGCTGCCATGTCGGAAATGGCGCATCGCTGTGTGCATGTGTCAGGAGCTGACAGAAAGGGAACCATTGCCGTCCGTACAATGCTTCAGGCCTGTGGAGCTGGGGTACTCGATGTTCACGATGTGGACTTGTCACTTGTCATGGCATTGCTTGTTTCACGGCGTGGCGTTTGATCCTGGCGGTAAACAATTCTCGGTCTGGTGTTCCTGATCGACGCAGGCATTCTTCAAAGTCGAAACAAGAAGGGGTTGAAGATTGAGCAGGCGCTGGGTGCAAGCATAACGTCATTGCCATGATGTTTGGCCGTACAGTCTCTACAGTCAGAGCCCCATTATGCACGATACATACGTAAAATGATTATTTGACTACTCCTCGTGGATTGATGTGCTTGTGTTGGAGTGAGAAAAGTTGTAGCGCAGGCAAGCTGCGACTCGTTCCGCCCGCAGCACTAGATTCGTCTCGACCCGCTTAGACTCAGCACGCGGGACGAACGACGTCTACGCGTCACCAAATCTCCTGTAGTCAAGCGGCATGAACATGAACACGGAAAATCGGCAAGGCGCTCGCCTCTACTCCTCAGATTCATTAACTTGTATCAAACGCTTCCGTAGCTCCGATGGTAGCCTCAACGCCCTCATCTCCGTATGGTCGCTTCCGACTTTCATCGTTTCACGTCTCCTGTTTTGTGGGTCAACGACAGCGCGCACCTCCACCGGGCATGACACTTCCAGGCGCTTGGTAACAATATATTGATTCATACGAAATATGTTGTACAGTATGTTTGCTTTTATCGGTCGAGAGCACGATCATGAAGCTTCAATATCTCCCGGAAAATTTCGTCATACTTTTATACTAGTCCCAAGCACCACAACGACCTTCAAGGCGAGTGGTGACTTAAATCAACGACTAACTTCCAGTACCTTCCTTTGCGCTGGATCAATGCCGCCCAGGAGAACTCCACAGTTGTTTTGTGTTGTCTGAGTGGGTCTCCCGTCTCTATGCGTTTCAATGTCGCTTCCATGCTACACGGACATTAATTTCCGACCAAGCAACTTTAGCAGCCGGCAACAAAAGAAACAAGCAACGGCTAAAATGGCCAAGGCTCGCTTGCTACCGTCGACCCGTTGTTCATCTGTCAAGTTGTGAGGAACGTACCTGTTTCGTACACTTGCTTTTTCCTCCAATGGTCTCTTATGAACCGACTGCGAGATTGCGCTGTTATGTCAGGCATACCATCAAGATGCTTCAAAACAGCAAGAGCGATTGCAGTTTCTCCTCCGGCCTCGTTACCTGCAAAATCAAGGACCGGTCTCAATAGAAGGGTTATACAGTGAAGTTTTGTTTGGCAAAAACCGGCAAGGGAGCAGCAACGAGCTGTCAGACTGTTAGTAGGCAACATCGAAGAGGTGCAGCGACAACAAGAGTTCATTCCACGAGTATAGAGTCATAGCCTCCACCGATGTGTAGGAAAGAATAGGCACAGGTTTGATGACTGATACCCGCTTCAGCTGCACGAAATTCTAGTCCCTTAGCATACGACCCTTCGAGCAAGCACGAGCACTTCCGATTGCACTTACAACGTCGGTACCTATATACGCAAGACGCGCCGGATCAACTACCTACCGCGAACCGAGTGTAATAAGCCCAACAACCTGTTCCGTCATGTCTATACTATATGGACCTGCAGACCCCGTTAGCGCCCTGGGTTCCATAAGTTTTACAGCTACGGCCCGAGGCCTTTTCGAAGAAATTTGTGTAGCCTCCCATTAAGGGTTCGCATGTTCCCATGTCTATATCGGTTTTATCAAACACCATTTTCGATGTTACCTCAAGAGGCCTTCATAGTAAAGCTATGTGGTATTCAATAACATCGTACTGAGTCGATACTGTAAATTCGGCACTCCAAGTACTTTCCCAGTGATGGTACTGAAGCTACGCCGCGTCATGTATATACTCACGCTGGGATGCCGTCGTGTTTGATACTGCACACACATCGCTGAATAGTCAATAATAACTGCTTGGACTAGCTAACGCTGGCAGTTAGCTGGTCTAGGTAGTCGGACAATACAATACTACGCATGCAATAGGACACTTTGTTAACCCGCACATGTGTCGTATTATGCAAAGCCTCCCGCAGAAATTCTGTGCTGCACTTCATCGTGAGGAACTTGGTGACGGTAAATACCTAGACAGCCTTGATACGCATCGCAACGTACATCTGTTTTGACCCGGCGAAATGTAACCCTTTCAAATCAGCTACTGTATGGCACAGTATACCTCATTCGAATTATCTGTGGCCAACCGCGCAGCTTTCCAGATGACGGGGCGAAAGATGACTGCTTCTACATGCAACTAGCAGATGCGCCAGACCTAGAGCAGTCTGGTTCGTACGGCACGGTATTCGTCACATGTGCAACCTTCTTATGACCAGCGTACATATCTAATCATTGATTTCCGTAAAAACTTCACTTGTTCCTGACCTTGGCACGAAGCCTTGCTCGATATCATGGCCACAGCAGAAACTATTTCAGATCCGGTAGCATCAAAGAAGCCGAGTAAGGATTATCCGTGGTGGGTAGAGAACATCGATCACAAGATAACATCGGAGGTCAGTCATATTACCATACACGATGTTTATATGTAGAATACAAATTCTAAGATCTCGCTGTAGGTGCGACAGCATCTTGCGACGTATGGTAACATTCAACCCGAAGATGTTTCAAAACACATTTATGCTATAGTAAGATCAAGGGCCTCCTCCTTCAATTCTGCAACGAAAACTCACGCTATGCAGCGCGAAAAAGCATGGTCCATTCGTCCATACCCATGTACTGGGATAGGAATGTTCCTCTCACCCAGCATATCCCAACATCCCGCCTATGCAGCGCTCCTTCCCAGTCTCAAAGCCAGCGGCAAGTTCCTAGATATCGGATGCTATATGGGCCAAGACCTCCGCAGACTAGCCCATGATGGTGTTCCGGAGGCAAACTTGATCGGCGCCGATATAGTCAATCATTGGGATCTTGGATATGAGTTCTCCAATGACAAAGACCGCTTCCACGCGCAATACATCGAATCCGACCTTTTACATCCGAACGAGGCTATGCAACGACTATTTGGCCAGATCGATGTCGTCTCCCTCATACACGTCCTACATCAATGGGACTGGGACACGCAAATCCTAGCTTGTAAGGAAATTGCCAAGTTCTCTAAGCCAGGTAGTATGGTCGTTGGATACCAAGGTGGAACGAATGACATCGCCAAGCGAACAAAACGGAACCTGGAGAACGGGCAGAAAGAGTTTACGCTGCATGACCCCGAGACTTTCCGGAACATGTGGGATATTGTTAGTGAGGATATGGGGATGAAGTGGAGTACGCAAGCGGAGATTGTGCCATGGAACGAGCTGGCTACTCGTATGGAGGATGTGACGTATCTTGGGGAGGACTTTGCGCTGTTGAGATTTTTGATAACGAGAGTTCGCTGATGGTCACATGTCATCAACTAGCGTATGTACGTAATTGGGACGTTCTCGTTGGACAGGAGGTACTAGAAGGGCAGCTGTTATCAGTGTCCTGGGTGATTTTGATGGTCTCAACAGAATTACTGGAGCCACTAACAGAATAATTTTCTCGATTCTTCGCATATTCTATCGCGTAGGATTTGCCTTTGGACCTCTCGTGGAATTTCTCTGTGGCTCAATTGACGATACTGGCGATTCAACGGTTGTCGGAAGATCGGACACGCATTCGCACCAGCGTTATATGACCTCAGCCACACACGTAAGCACGAGCCTCCAAATACGTGAGCACAGGTATCCGGCCCAGTGAAACGGGTCGGTGTATGGTCCTCCATGTCGAAGACGTCACAACACATGCTGCATGTTACGTCTTCGAGATGGGTTGCCATGAACTCATCTTCAGTGGTATATGGGTGGATATTTACGGTGGCGAGAGTTGTCGTTGAAACGGGTTCTGTGCTGAGCGACGTTCATGTAGAGAACGATCTGGAGGGGCCGAGGTATCGGAGCTGCCTCGCCTGAATATGGTGAAGATTCGTTCCATGGAGAGTATGCGGAGTAGCTGGGGATTCTGTTCAGATCGATGAAGAGGGAATAGGATCTGAGTATTAGACGGAATAGATGAGGGAGTAAAGCTGTAATAGAATCATATTCGAAGTGTGGCATCGCTACCACAATCATGAACTTGGAACGCATCTTTGCCAATCACCAACCTGGTTTCACAGATCTCACCCCGTGGCGAATTCCTCATCTTTGCCATAGCTCTCGTTCAAAAGCATCGTTCGTCACTTCGTGGCGATGAACATACGTTACAGAGCAATGTTCCCATCGCTCCAACTAGGCGTCTGGTTATAATCATTGAGAATGAAGTCGCTATTTCAGCATTCGGCAAGAGCAGGCAGCATATCTGCATGTGAAAGTCTCGAGAATGATATTTGCCGGTGCGTAACGAAAAAGCCGTGTAAAAGGTGTAATAGTGTTGATGATTGGTATCTCAGCAGCGAAAGTTAATCGCGCTGACAAAACGGCCAGGCGCTACACTAGCCTCCAGAGTCAAAGGTTGACAACCACAAAACGTCACCAATCGCAACCCCCCGTCCTCGCGATACCATCGATCCCGCGAATTCCAGCACTTTCGCAATCACAATTAAGTTCTAACCAATGAAAAAACAATGGCAAGGGCCGCCAACGGCCAACGCCTCGAACTTTGAAACTTCGGAACAGTCGGAAATTGCCTTCTTGGGTATAATCTCATGCACGTGTTGGCTTGACGTGCGTTTCTCCGTGCCGCAATCCTGCCGCTCGCCCTTTCTCGTATCACCTCGTTTCTTCGAACGGACCCCCCACACTCTGACCAACTTGATCGTTTTGATTGCGCCCGCGCGACGATAAAGACTGTGTGTGAAAAACGCTAATGGAATGAAGGGAAATGAATGAATGGATGAGACGAGGATGATCTGCGATATGTCAGTCAATGTCTCGGTCGTACATCGGAAGCAGTCGGCTAACGCTCAGACACGAGAGTGAATGATGCGTTTTGTAAGGGAGGGGGGCCTGTGGCTGTGCTGACGCTCTGTGCAAGTCTGTTTGATCAAGTACGCACCTCTGAGTTCCAGCTCGTTCAGGAAACAAGGCCAGCTCAATGCTCCGCATGTATCGCGCCTGTGCCTTCACACACGCTGCACTTATTGCTGCCGGATCGTTTGCATGCTGGACAGCCCTTGCCGTTGCAAGCGTCGCACTTTGTGGTTCCATTGCCTTTACACGTTGGGCAGTCCTTCATGTTTGCGTTTGCGTAGTTGACCGGATCGAGCGGGCGGAAGTGAATAGCCGGGATAGATGTGGCGGCGCAGCAGCAGATAGAAGCGGAATGGAGAAAAGGTAGCAAGAATATATCAAGTCGAATTGAGTTCCGAGAAGAGCAACATATATCTTGAAATCGAAAACCGTACTGAGCCGATCGCACTGGAAGGGGGCAGTGGCGGTGAAATAGTCCGTTGATCTTGATTTAGGAAGGCAGTACCACGGTCATGAAGATGAGCAAGACAGTTGAAGTTTCGAAACACACAGTAGTCCACGGGCCTGATAAGTGTCAGGGTCTCTTTATATAATTTCCCCAACTTGGGCCCCGCGCATACCCGTAACCCAGCTCATCATCGCAATCTCACCTCGGCCGCGAATAGTGAAGCAAGCTCGCAAGCTCAGCCCCCGTCTGCATCCAGCAAGCAGTCCGAGCTTCTTCACGATAGGTTTCCGAGTTTTTACAGTGGGAGTAGCATCACGAGAACATCACTTGCGAGGGCTTTCAAGGGTCCATTTGCACTATCTTCCCAGGCGTCTGGGCAACATGATGTCAATGTGCATTGTCGGAAGGCTATGGAATACCCTCAAAGCCCTTGCCTTCGTCTCATGCACGGAATGCTTCTCTACTTCCAAACAAGTCCTGCGGCACAAGTTCTCTTGGCCACGGTACGCTCCTATCGTATGCGTATAACCATAATCTGATCAACCTAGTGCCGCCACAACCGGTCAATGTCTCCGTTATGATTGCGGCATTGAGATCGTGCCGCAACCAGGCCAGCAGTAAGCAATCTCCATGCATATCCCGATTGGGTTTGCAGCATGGAAGAGGACGTCAGACTGCAGTATCCCAGCTCTCTGGATCAATCAGTAAGTGGTCATGCTTCTAGCGCGTTCCTCGCAGGATTGCGCGCATCGTCATGTGTCACTTGGTACCAGCAACGTCATTAAACGCCCCGATAGCCTTCTTCTGCCGTGCCCAGCATTACAGGGCGCGGTGACAAGTCAAAGGGAGAAGGCTGTGAGCACACTGCTGAAGCATTGGCGAAGAACAACTCTTGGTGGTGGATTAGATGCGAGACGCCTGATACAGTAGGCACACACGTGGCAGTGTGCAGGAGCGGTAGGACGAACCGACGTGGTGGGTAAGGCTGAATTTTGGTTGGTGGAGCCGTTGATACACCAGCAAGGTACAGGGGGTAAGAATGTTCAGCTCATGTAACCACGTAGCCCCACTTCCAGGCATATCGCTGGATGCCTTCAGACATGTGTATGTTTAGAAAGCTTACACCAAGAAGTCTTCGCCCACTAGTAAGTGTAAGCAGCACCGAAATAATCGCGATGATGTGATTCCTTGGCTACTCCCTCGCATCCACAAGTGAGCCATGTAGCTGGACAATTGGAGACTGTTGATTATACACAATGCTGGTCGACGGAAAGTGTAGTTAAGACAAGAGCTACTATGTTCCCGGAAGTATCTCAAGGGCAGACCAACATCTGTTTCGAAGAGATTTACCAAGGTTTTGACGGTGTATCTTGTCTCTAACTCGGGGCCAGACCAATGTCCTGAGCGTCGTTCTAGCCCACCTAAAAGATGACATCCATATCCATGGAATTCTTAAAAGTACGGTGAAGCATCATTGAGATTGGATGCCGCGTACTAGCCTAACCTTAGCATTGCCGGGACAGATCGTGTTGTCGTAGTTGCGGACCGAAGTTGGACGATTTACTAGCGAACGGGTCATAACGTTGACACGGAACATGTCACTAGGCGACAGCGGTAGTGGCAAATCTAGTGTTGTCCTCTAGGCAAGCCGCGAAAATGGCCTGATTCCCAAAGCTTAAGTATTGTAGCGTCGCAACCCTTCGTTCTCAACAACATAAGAACGAAGAGCCCAATGGAAACCGTTGGGAGGTGAAACGACCTAGCACCAACGGTTGGTTAATTACGTGGCCCTACAGCCAATTCATTCATCGTCATTTCCTACCCCCAGATACGTTGACGTCCTCATGCTCAGGCCACAATGAACACGCGGCCTGAGGCTTGCCATAGCCTAGATCACAACAGGAAAGTCGCCGACGCAGACATTGTACCATGGAAATGAGCTTTGGGCAGATCTCACATGAGAAACGACCAATATCAATTGCTCCGATTCTCCATCACTCAAGCTAGCTCTCGACGTTCGTCCAGATACCCAAATAAAACAAGTCAAAGGGAAGAAGTCCTTTTCTTTACAACTTCGCCTTAACAACAGCCCTCTCCAGACCCGGTCCATCCCAAATGTCACGCTCAACGGCGCGTGTATTGATATGTTGCATACCCAATTGCTCGACCTTTTCCACACCAAGCAAACGCATACACGTCTCCGTTTCCGCTTTGAGAACTGTTTGTCCGTTAGCATTGCCATTCGCCATGAAACCAGAATGAGAAGAAAAAAAAAACTTACTCTCAAGCACCCTCCCCACACCCTCCTTACCCCCAGCTCCCAACCCAAACAATGCCGCTCTTCCCACCCCCACACCTCTCGCCCCCAAACATAGGGCTTTAACAACATCTGTCCCCCGCTTAATCCCCCCATCAACCCACACTTCAATTCGATCGAACACCTCAGGACAGTATTTGCGTATCTCGAGCAGCGTGTGTACAGCAGGTGGTGCAGTATCCAAAGCCCTACCACCGTGATTCGATAAGATGATGGCCTTGACGTGTGGTGCGTGAAGAGAAGCCAAATAAGCGTCTTCATGCGTTTGAATTCCCTTGAGGACAATGGGTTTGGACGTGTGTTTTGCGAGCCAGGGCAAGGTATCGCGCCAAGTTAAATCTGCGGCTGTGCCCCAGAAGAGGGATTGGCCCATACCCATTGATTTGGGCTTGGGCTTCTCGTTTTCGCTGGCTTGCGTGGGTGTCGTTGCGCTGGTGCTTGTTTTGGAAACGGATTGCGATTCTTGGACCGAGGCGCGCACGGGGAGGTTGGAGCCTACGTTTTTGCTGCGCTCGTCGTGTTCGCGTTTACCGGGCACGGGCGCGTCGAGGGTGAGGCAGATGAATTTCACCGCGTCGAGCTTGTTCACGCGGTCTAGGATGGCTTCGCTCTTGGTGCGCTCGTTTTGTACGTAGAGCTGCCAGCCGAAGACTTGACCTGGGGTGGCGTCTGCGACGATTTGTTCGGGGGTCATGGACGCGTTTTGGCTGATTATCTGCATGGCGCCATAGTTGGAGCAGGCTTGTGCTATGCCCCATTCGCCGTCGGGGTGTGCAAGACGCGCCATTGCTGCCGGGGAGACATAGATGGGGAGTTTGACAGAGTTGCCGATGAAGGTGGTGGATGTGTCGCAGCGGGTGCAGTCGACGAAGACGCGGGGTCGGAGGAGTATGCTTCGGTAGACGCTGTTGTTGAAGGACTTGCTCTGGAGGTCGTCGCTCGCGGAGAAGTAGTATGCCCATGCTTTGTAGGGTATTTGCTTTGTTGCCACCTCTTCAATTTCATCGAGGTTCAGTATGCTGTCCAGATCTACGGGTCCTTCATCTTGTGACTCTCCCGTCTCTTCTGGTGTCTTCTCCTCTTTGGGGAGGGTATCTGGGTTTATGGTACCGAGCTTATCAGAGGCTTCCAGGTTCTCTTCGAGGATGCCGGGAGGGTGGATGGGGTCGTATTCTTCGGTTGCGTCGGTGCCGGCGAGTTGGAGGATGACTTTGGAGCCGCCAGGGTGCTCGGGAATGAATCGCGTTACATCGTAGACATTGCCGTAGAGAATTACCCAGCAGCTTTCGGCCGTGTTGTGCTGCGCGACTTACTTGCGAGTTAGCTATGGCAGTTGAAGTTGCATCGCGGGCGGCGAAGACTGACCCTCGGCATAATCGAAAACCTTCGCCATGTTGTAGTTTGCGTTGAATTAGGTGTACAATGCGGGAAATATACAAACGCAAAAGCTGAAAACGCAAAACAAAGCTATACAAAGATTGCGACAAGGACAGGGAGGAGAATGAGCAAGATTAACTCCGGTGGAAGAGCAGACGCCGACGTCTTTTAGCCAACCCCAACCTGTGGGGATCGAAGCTCGGGGTAGTGCCATACCGAGTCAGGCAAGACGGGCCGCATTTCTTCTTTTGCAGAGGTTCAGTAGGTAAGCCAGATATACAGATGGCTGATTGGCGGAATACTGTTCTTTGACTACCCAGCCGCACGCTGTGCTAGCTCAGACGCGGTGAACTGCTGCACCCTCTGAAGGTGTAAAGTTGGAGGATGACGATGCTAGCTCCAAACGCCGCGGCATTTGAACGTCAAACAACCCCATCACTGAATCGCATCCAAGTTTTCTACGTCTATTCGAATAATGCGATATTCATTGCGAGTAGTTTCTGACTGCTATCGAACTCTACGGGTATCCTGGGCCAGACTCATAGCCTGCGACAAAACTTAAACAGCCTCCGGACTGGGAACAGTACCCTCACTTTTCGCTCTCCTCTGTCGTCGCGTCTCTCTGATTCCTTTTCTTCGCCAGCCATCGTTAAAGTGAAACCTCCCTCCATCGTTCTCGGTCGAACTAGAGTATCTGTCTTTCGCATTCTCGTCATCATCCTCATCACTATCATCGTGCGTGGATGCCTTGAAGAGTTCTTCCAATTCCCTGTGAATGTCCAATCGGGAGATGCGATTTGATTTGATCGCATCAGGCCCAGATTTTGCAGCCGGCTCTGAGATGGAACGCGCAAGAGTCGGCCTAGCCAATTTCCCGCCTCGTACTGCCTCTCTGCGCCTCTGTACCTGATTTCTAGGGCGCTCAAGGAATTGTCCGCGTCGCGAATCATCTACTCAAGGCATTAATGCGATATCCAGATTGGATATCAGGTGAAGGAAGGGGCAATGCGTTGGAATGTTCAGGGGTGGGGGGCTCAAGATGTTCACCAACCCTCAACCTGAAGATCTGGCCAGCCATGCTCAAGCTCGCCTTCATTCCCAGCCTCATCACCCCAGTCCATTTTCTCGAGTTCGTTTCGGAAGAAGTCTTGTTCCTCCTCCAGAACGCCAGGTTTGGCGCCTAAACTCTCTGGATAGCGCTTAAGGTTATGCCAGTGCGTGAGTGATCGCAGAGCTTGCTCGAGCGGCACGCTCTCGTCGACCTCGGCATCCACGTCACTCCCGGCTAGCCAGTCGTCTCGAAGTTCAGGTCTACAATGCAAATATACTGCAGTAATGACGCGCATGTTAGATTGTCGCCACTTGCGACCACAGTAGGGAACTTGGTTCTTGAAAAGCTTAAGCGTATACAGACGCAGCTCCGGTTGTGGTACCTTTAGACTCTTGCGAAGGAACTGCGAAGACTTGTAAGACACAAGCATGAGATTGCGATGTGCCTTGTTCTTGCAGATCTTCTGCATAATGCGGAGATAGTTGATAGATGTGAAGAACGCGCGCCACGAGAAGTTGGTGATGGGTTCTTTAGGCAACTCGTTTGTAGGAAAGCCGAGCTCATCTACTTCTGGAAGTTGCAATTGAGCGAGTGGAAGGGCTGGCTCGACTCCTGATTCGTTTGAGTCTTCTCTCGAGAGACGAATCGGAGGCGGGACGGCATCGTCTTCGTCGGATTCGCTGTTATGTGCCTCTCCTTCGTGGCTGTCATTATAATCCTCTTCAGAAAAATTCCTTGAGTGTGTTCGACAAAAGTTGAAAAAGTTAAGCTCTTCCTGCTCACTCTTGAAATTTACAATCTTCTCGACCTCTTGCAGTTGTAGTAGCTTCAAGATCAACGGAACATAGCTCGAATCAACCAGGAGCTGCGTAACGTACTCAAACTTCAGGATGTGAGACACTTTGAACCATTTCAAAATAAGTATTAAGGTGCCTGTGACTGCTTTGTCCAGGACTTCTTGTGTGCGCATCGCATCAAGCTCCTCATTGGTGGCGAATGTGTTACCGTGACCATCCATGCCGCTCATGTCAGGCCGCCCGGCTGTCGTACCGTTCTGATTGTCTTGGAATTGGAAACCGCTCTGAAGTCCATTCGCGCCACTGGATTGCGTGACGAGTGCCGTGACGTGCGCAAGGATGGCTTTGATCAACACGATGATCAGTGACTGTAAGTTGGGTAGCGCGATGCGGTAGAACTCCTCAACCAGGTGTAAACGCTCTTCATTACTACCAGGAGAGAGTTTTGGTGGTGCTGCTTTATCTTTGGGTTCGAGTGACAGTTCTTCGATATCGGGATTCTCATCAGGGCCCGTCCAACCGCGCTCGTATTTCATGAATGCAACACGCTCTTCCCATAGCTGCTTCATGGCACGCGTAGCCTTCATGCGCTTAGCAAAGAGCTCCGCGGCCTCCAAGATGGATGCAGGTATGTCCGAGCCCTCCCACTTGCGTCCTACTAGAAGGTCCTGCAGGTCGGTTGAGCCTTTTCCACCTAATTTGTTGCTAGACTCGTCGAGTGGCGGATACAAGAATGGAAACATCTGATTTGTTTGGTAGTTCTGCTTCTTTCCGCCCTTGCCACCAGGGCCTGCAGGCGAAGGTGGAGGGGAGGGCGCTGGAGTTGCGATATGAACCGGCTGATGTAAAATGGATGTGATGTTGCCGTTTGTGTCTCCAAGGCCAGAACCGAACACATGGTTGCCAGCTACCTTGTTTGGATGGTTCTTGAGTGGTGGCAATATGGAGTTGTTTTCTGGCTCTAGAGGAAATATGGGAAGCGGAGGATTGTATGCAGGGTACTTGGAGCTTATCTCCTGTCTGAAGAGATGGTAATCAAGAGGCGAAGCAGTGATGAGCGGCTGACCCTTGGAATCCTCTGACTCGAGGTTGGTGTCTCTGAAAGTCTCTTTGACCTTGCCAACTTCTGCGAGACCACCGAAAGTAACCAGCATTGCCTTCCACACTAGCAGTGAGATCTTGCTAAGCGGCAAGTTGATTGATTCGTCCCACCGTAATTTCGCGATGAGATCAACGAAAAGCACAAGAAGACCTGGTTTCTCTAGGTCAAGAATGGCGCTTCTGAGTTTGAGGCTGTTATTCGTCTTTTCCTCATCACGCGCGACTTCCAGCAAGACATAGACGGCAGTCATCGCACACCAAATCTCACGTCGCTCTGCCTCTTTCGAGTCGTGTTGTGCTTCAGGTGTAGCGTCCACCCCACATACTCTCAAAAGGGAAGCGCTGAGTGTATCAATAATGGTCTGCACACCATTACTATCGGCGAGCAGATGTAAGTTACGCTTGATGAGCAAAGCTTGCCTCCCTGATTTGGCGTATGCGGCGCTGCGTACCGAGGCCGTGCTTGACTCTGTCGCCTCGTCCACTGCTGGTTCTGGTAGCCCCGCAGTCTCATGCCAGCACCCAAGGAGGACATAGACTAATGCCTCAAGCTTCTTTAGCCTCAATACAGGATCCACCTCCTTCAGTCCTCGTAACAGATCCTGCACAAAGTCCTCGTGTTGTGTTGTTGTCGCCGTAGCCCAGTCCAGGCCGTCCTCGCCGTTGGATGCATCGTTCAACCCATGAAATGCGCTCCACTCCAACGAGTAGGACGCCTGTGTCTTCAGCAACATAGCCTGCTCCTCGACTGCATACGAAAACCACTCTTCTAGCTCCTCTTCGAAAGATGATGCGTCATCATATGTGAAGGCATACGGAGCAGGCTCGACCTTTGGTATACCCCTCACGAGGTTCTGCAATTGCGCCAGCGATGGTGCAGGCGGTGCAGGAGGAGGAAGGTTCGGTGCGGGCGTAGGAACCGAGTTGCCGTGTTGCAGACCGGGGCGTGCTGGCAGCGTAAGGGGAGGCCCGGCTTGGGGTTGGTTTTCGTCTTGTTGTTGGAGCAGTATGCGCTGCTGTTCGGCGGTGTCGAGAGGCAGGTTGAGCTCTTCTTCTGGCTCCGCCTCGATGACAGGGAAATCAGCGCTCGAATTCCCAATCAGCTCAGCTGCGTCCAGTACAGGAGGCACAAGCGGCTCTTCGGGCACCTCGTTGTTCGCCATGGTCAGTCGCGCGTATGATCTGGATGTGGGGTTGGAGTCGAGGGAGACGCGTTACGCCAACCATATCCGGGAGTCCTTTCACGTGCTAATCATGACTGCTGGCTCGAATAGTTGGTGAGTGCGGCGAGGAACGTTTGTTCGGGGTTCAAGAAAGTGAGTTGCTATGTGCATGCGAGGCAGGTGGGATGCGCCGTCCGCTAAGGGATAAGCAGGGTTCCGATAGCGCGATTCATGTAGACTCTATCCAAAGAAATGTAGCCGTGTCAATATCACGTCAACAACACAAATGGCTAGCATATATTATAATCTGATCAGAACAAGGTCACCGAGAATGCTGTATCATTGAGAAATTCCCCCTTGTTGTAAAACCTGTCGCTGAATACGTAAGAGAAGCCTCCGTTAGTTGTGCGAGGGAGGCCTATCCCAGGTGCACCGCGATATGCACACAACACCAAAAAGCCCGTACTAAAAGAGCGAGTGACAACCCCCCCACTGTACGCCGAACAATAAAGATAATCAGCCACACTCCGAGTGCGCGGAATAAACAGTAGACCGACAGGTCAAGAAATGAAGTACAGATATGTGTATCCCGAACATAGCTAACAAGGTATCGTCAACATCGTGCCGATAGAACATGATCGACGGAGAATAAGCTCAGGCCGATCAGATCTACTCTGAGCCCCAGTCAGGCGACGCTTCTTCCGTGCTCTACATAGGATTTGCCCCAGTCTGTTCGCCGTTCTCTTGACGCTCTTTGATCTCGTCAGGTAGGATGCCGTTGTTCTCGCATGCGCGCTTGTAGATTTGGCACTCATCCCATGCTCGTTGGCATTCGGCTTTAAACTTGTCGCAACTTGCGCTGAGCTCGGTGATGGCTTGCTCCGTGAGCAGCTTCTCGAGAGTCCATTTCTCGATGTTTTGTTGCTCATTCTCCTTTAACTGAGTGATGAACTGTACGGCTCGTTGCAGGATGGAACCCTTGTTCTTCTCGCAACCAGGAACGATCTTGGCTAGTTCGTTGATGCCTTCGTTGATGGTCTCGCGGCGGCGGCGTTCGACTATGTGTTTGTTAGCGACTGCTTCTTCAAGTGTTTCTACAGATGCCTACCTTCTTTGTGGTTGTCCCTCCGTACCTTGTGCCACTCCTCTGTGCCGACCTGAGGCTTGTGGGTAGCGCTTTGCGGCGGCGAGTCGCTGGGTGCTGTTTGACCGGGACGGCCCGTCTGTGTAGCAGCTTTCAAGGCCTCGAGACTAAAGTCCTGCATGCCTGTTTGTTGTTGACTGTGGTCTCCCATGCTAAAGGAACCGTCGCCGGAGTTTTGCGTCTGGAACTGGAGTTCCGTCGCTTGGGGGACTGTCATCTGGTGGTAGGCAAGCGCAGCGGCGGCAGTGTCCCCAACACTCGCGGTGTTGGTCCCGCCGTTGTGGTGTACGTCGAACTGCTGCTGCATATCGTCGTCGGCAGCGTTGTGCGCGGCAAGAAAGGAGGCAGTCGCTTGGTCGGTCAAGTCGTTGTTGGCGGGGTGAGGAGCGGGTCGGTTGAGGCCTTGATCGCGCGTGTCGCGCTTCCGCTTGTTTGTGTGCACGTTGTGGGCATCCAGCTTGCCGTCGGTAGGGTAGCCGGCGGTATCGGCCATGGTATCTGGCGGGGTATCTGGAAGTGTAGGGTGAGCAGCTATCGCCTGGGTTGGTACACTAGGAGCGATGTAAAGGTTCTGCGCGTGGTTGCTCAAGCCGTCAAGTCTGCGATAGACAGGGCCAATGGTAAGCGAGCGCGCTGTAGTCAAGGTACGACGCTGCTGTTCTGTAGGCGACTGGGATGTAGCCGCGGATGAGCGAATCGGGCGGGTGACGTATTGGAAGGTTGGTGAAAGAGGCAGAGGAGACGCGCTCGAGGCGTGAGTCGCAGGCGCAAACCACCGGATGGGGGAGCAGTGAGTGGCGCTTTGCCCAGCAGTTCACACGCAATCCGGATGAGGACTCGGTCTAGCAATCATGCGCTTGGGGAGCGCATACAGAGGCCTAGGTTCGACAAACATTAGCACGGGCGCGAGCAGCTGAGTAGGTCAAAGTGGTGCGACGAGAGGCATAGCAGGCAGGCGATTGGGCGCATCCAGCTGCCCGTTGTTGTAAGACGGAGCTGTCACTACTCAAAAGAGGGCCGTCGCATCGTGCGAGCGGGTGGGTCGTAGGAAGTGCACAATGGCGTCGTGCGTCGTTTCGTGGTGGATGCGCGCGTCCGTCAAGTGCGGGACGCCGAGCAACACCATCGCGGCCAGCGAGGTGCGGGCTCGAGGCAACCACGACACCAGGTGCGATTCTCCAAGCAGGCGGCATGCCGTAGAGAAGTCCTCCAGAAACTGCGCACATCCATGCGCATCGTTCCGGCAGTCCCGCGAAAACGACCATGATGTTAACTCACCGATGGTACAGGGCTCGACTGCGATGTTCCAATGGGTCCGCGATATCAGGTGACGGGCGAAGGCGTGACGACCTCGACGAGCGGTGCTGGACAGGGTGGATGCGCACTTTCGGGAACGAGAAAAAGAACAAAAAGCTTCTTACCTTGAAAATCGTACACTTGGGAATTGCTTCAGGAAGGATTATCAGCACAGTTGAACGTCCGACTTGAATCACGAGGCGATGAGTGCACCGTGGACGAGAGATGGTCACATGGGCGGCGGCGCTATCTTATGATGGAGAAGGCAACAGGGAAGCCAAACGGAAACTTGGCGTAGCCAGACAAGGGTCCAGACCAATCACCGCATCACGAAGCGCCATGCCAGCATCCCCACTCCCAGCCTGCCCATCTTCGCAACCACCAGCGTTATCATCACCGACTCTACACAAGTTCATCGACTCTCTAGCTCTTCGACCCCTTCCAAACTTTTGTTCGCATCTTACCGCGCCCACTAACGACTGCCTGCGAACAGCCCACTATGGCATCCGCGCATGCCTTTTCTCACTACCGCGACTCTCTCAGGCCGGCCTCACTGTGATAGCATCGTACGGATGACACCCCTCTAGACCACCTAGGCTCAGCCGACACCTCCAACACGCATTCACATGGCTCAAACAGAGACAAAGGTGTGGCATGTGACACGCTGCCCCCACATCCTCAAGCTAATCGCCAACTACGCTTTACCCTTTTCGTGACTGGTTCCATCATGCAATACACAACCATTTGGAAGATCGACTTTCACCCATCTTCTTCTGTTTGCGCTCGACTTGTAATAGTTTGACTTACAGGCTTTCTGACAGGCTTCGTATGTTGCTTCACTTGTTCTAGAACAGCTCACTGCTTCAGTGCCTTTTTCCACCCTCACCGCAAGCACGAGGTCTAGTCCATTATTTGCCAGATCAAATCCGCGGAAGCAAGTAAAGACTTTTCCTTGTTAACAGAACAAGTGGATATCATCGATCAAGGTTCACGTATAACTCTGCTCAATATCTCTAGGTGCATCACAGACAGTCATGCATGCTCCATTAAGGTTGTCTCAAGCCAATACTTTGCGTCCAGGGGAAACATGAGGAGTAGGCTTTGAGGATAAGCCATGAATTTTCATCCTGATTTTCCCAAAGTTCTGATAACATCCCATCAAGTATATGACCATAGTACCTTCTCAATTACTTCCATCAGTCGTAGTGACAGTGCTGTTAATCGGAAGCCAAATAAGTTTAAGGAGTGTACGTCTGAAACGACGAATCTTGTAGCAAGAGTGGTAAGTTTAGTCTACTTCCATGTTGACCAACCAGGGAACTCTAGCAAAGCCCCCTGTGTACTCATCACATGCTGCATACTCTACCAGCCCCGTGCATCCGTGACCCTCGCGCAGTCGCCACTCAAAGCTTCAGTCCTTCCACGTCTCTAGATGTTTACCAAAGCCGCCTATTAGCAACGTCCCTCCTGTTTGCGTATACCATTCATCGGGGAGGACAAGGCAGAGCGTATCCCGAAACAACATAGTTATCGAAATCTTTATAACGAGTGGCGTTCAGTTTATTGTACTTGCAGTGGCAAATACTAACATTGTCTCAAATGCACACATGTACCACACAGACATCGAGCATCCCACAATACGAACTTCCCACTCGAGCGCCGAACCGGCCGCATTCAGGGCATTGATTTACAGTTGGTGGTCGCGTGCAACCTCCGGAACCCCACAACTGCGGGTCTTCCCATCTGATCTGGGAAGGAGCCATTACCCAGGCGCTAATCCGTAGCCGCCCGCTAATCTAGGAAGGGAGGACGGCATGGATACATTTCGTTTTGAAGATATAATTACCCAACGGGCGCGGTTTCAAGTAGCAAGTAGAGGATAACCTTAAAGGTTATGAGAAAATGGGTTTCATGATTGATGAATCATATATGGTACGTATCGTCCCCAGCATCCCTGTTTACTCCTCTCTTCCATCTAGTTATAGCATATCCAAGAGGCCCTTCAAAAAACCTCCCGATAGTTTGAATCAACTGTATGCAATATCCACAAGTGTCTCAATGCTTTTTGGGGCTCCACTAGGTAACCTACTTCAACACTGAATATAGCTAGCTTATGCTATCGCATCCAAGAAACAGAACCTGCACATGCTTGGTTTTTTGCTCAGCTTCGACCTCCTCCGTGATGTAAGTCATGTCTCGGGCAGAGATCGAGATCGTGTTGATCGCAGACGAGCCATAGCTAGTAGCTTCGACGCAGCACTTGTATATCTAGGTGGCGATGTTCTCAATAGCGGGGTGTCTCAATCCTTTGTTAATAGGGCTGTATATTAACTGTACCTCTCCAAACCCCTCCAGCAGGAGTATCTCCGAAACTAGCTTGTTTATTATCTCCCGCCCCTGATGTGAGAGCCGGCCTCTATCAAGAGAATCCGCAATGTGATTGCATTCGAACCCCAGCTTTTTTCAGACCCTTGTTCTTGTTCCACAAACTTGAAGACTGTTCACGTTCATGCTGAAGATGCCGAGAGTGAGCCATCACTCTTTGAGCCCAAAAGTCTAGCAAGCATCCACAACATCTATCAACTTCGCTGATTGCCAGAGGTCTTCTAGCATAAACTTTTTCAGGCTTGAGAAAGACCTGTAGAACTGCCGAATGACGCATCAGAGTCAAGGCGGTCGAGGGCAAATCAGACCCGTGGTTTTGGCAGCCGTTGTCGTGTCGATGATAAGTGGGACGAGGTTGGAAGACGGTAATTGTGACACGCGAAAACATCACGTTATGACATCATCGCGACTTGGAACACCTGGAAGATGCACACGCCCAGCGCGTTTTGTCGACAGTATCCAGTTCACCGGCTGACTTATAGCTCTGGGGCCTGAAGGACAGCCATGCAGTTTTCCTTTCTTTATGCCAGCTGCCTCACTTAGCCATTGACCATTCTCTCACGAAAGACTCCAGCACTACACTCTCTCTTGAACACTACAGTAGGAAACCAAAGGGAGCCTGAACCCGCATTTCTCAGTCATGTTTGTACGAACCCTGAACCTGAATTTGTTCATCCCAGTGCAGGGGAGCAAAAGGATTCGTCGCAAGATCGAACGTCAGGGTGAGCCTGGTACATCAACATCCTCTTCAATAATAGCGCAGTACTTCTTCCGCATCTGCAGCTCCAGATCTTCTAAAATGAGATGGATCCCGATTTCCCAGTACAGATAGGGCTGTAGCTCAGACAGCTGAGTCTCGTAAACCTCGATCATTGTAGCAAGACCTCGCCAGTCTCCATCAAGATCGATCCACAGTTCCTCCTTTAATTGCTTCGATGCTCGACGGCGCCCAGCCTTGTACGGTACGACACCCTGCTCAACCCAAAGTGATATATCGACCAAACTCGTCGCACACTCCCACTGGGCTACGAAACGCACCCGGAAGTCCAGTGATTTGCGATATAGCAACAACCCCTGCAGTAGGCATAATAATAATGTGTCCAGTACAACGGCAGTCGTTGCCAAGAGTGATAACATTCGAGCTGCTGGAAGCTTGGAGTACCGCCATTGAAGACTGTGTCATATGCATACGGGTTCGGGGCGAAAATCGGGATGCGCCGCCTGCGACGAATCTGTCAGCAGACTAGATCGGATGGCGGAGACGGCCGTGGGCGTTGCTGAATCGCCAGTGCCGGATCTGACGAAGTTACCATCGTGGTCTCGACTGTGGAGGCGGCCGACGCAGCTTCATCGTATCCACTTCGCTACCAGTGATGTCAAGGCCTGAGATTGCCTCAGTCAATCTAAGCTCCACCTGATCGTCGACTTTGTTGGCTTAACCATCTTCGCCGGTTTCCACTTCGTCGGCGGGAGGGTGAGTATGCTGTGTCTGATCCGCTTGATCGTCTTCAGCTTCGTCCTCAGAGGCATTTTCCTCAGCTTGCTCATTCTCTTTGTATTCGAGTTCATCTCCATAGTCTGCATCATTGTCTAGCTCATCATCGTAGGGATATTCCACAAGATCCGGCATCTCGTCATCTGAGTCTTCGTAATATTCGTTGACAGCGTTATCCTCCGCGACGGCGTTGCTCACCTTTTCCTGACCGAATCGATTAAGGCCTACACAGCTGTAACCAGTATCTCGATGCAGGCCTTGATCACCCAGCTCATAACCCTCTCCGTTGTATCCTTCAACTGGATCCTCATATGGCAAGCAACCGCCACCTTGATGAAAACCCTCTCTAGTCCAAGGATGTAGACAAACACGGCAGAAGCTAAGGCCACAGTAGTGACAGGTCATGTGGTTGCAAGCTTCTTTATACTCCATCCAGACTCGACAATTTGGACATGACTTGGCACGGTAGGTGCTCGAGTACTCGGGCATTCATTGTGGCCTCACCCCTAAGCTTGAGGTCGACTCCCTCTCCTTCAAAAGGCTGTCGTCCAGAGTGGAGCGAGGCTGCACGAAAGCGGTCACTCGATCTTAACTCAATTGTAGTCAGACAATAAGTTCCACTTTGCAGCAAGTAAATCAGGCTTGCTGTTCGCTCAAGCAATGCCATGACATGTAGGGAAATTGTGCTTCGGCTGTCGTACGATTCGAACTGTAATTGCAGACACATGAGAAGATAGGCAACGAAAATATGTATTGGCAGTATTTGCTCGTTAATCCGCATTTGACACGAACTCAGTGATTGTTGAGCCCAATGGCACTGTTGAATCCATTCCCAAACCCCTTCCCTGGTACTGGCACTGCACTCCCAAGGCCCTCCTCCTCTGCCATTTTCTTCTGCCACGGCAACATCTCCTTCGCTGGTACCGCCGGCCCAACGTCACCACCATTCTTCCTCTTTTCAGCCCACTCGTCAATATCCTCTTGCTCGATGAAGTTACCATGTAGACCCAAGCGCAGCTTGACAGGCAGATGAATGACCGCTAGCGGCCCCTGGGAGAGATTTTGCGCATCAAAGATAAGAATATCATTGCGCAAAACGTCGAGATGGTTGAGCAAAGCCATGATATAACCCTCGCCTTCCACAAACTCCGATGGAGAAGACAAGGCTTTTGGGACAAAGACTGGTTCTTGAAATGTACATGTCGGGCCTGCCCAGAAGGTATCTTTCTTCCCACTCTCCCACTCGTAGTGTCCTAGTACGTTGAACAGTCCACCAGCCGGGGGGCCGCACTTCTGGAAATCGTACGGCTTGCTTGGATCGATGTTGCATTGCCAGAAGTGGTTGTACTTCTTCGTCAGTACTCTATCGTCAATGCGCGAGAACTCGCCGTTGATGCCGAAGAGCTTATGGGGTTGCACGCGTGTGTTAGTAGGAGTTTTCGGGTCGAAGACCCAGCGGTAAGTGTCCGAAACGAGCTTGTTACGTTGGAGTAACGTTGCAGGCGTATTTTCTTGGCTATCTGGTGGGAAGAAGTAGAAGACGTTATCAGATGCTATGGTTAGGTCGACAACGATGTTGCCTGAGGAGTCTTCGTAAGAACCGGCGACGTGGCCGTGGAAGCCTGGTGTCATCAGCGTATATTCCATGCGATGACACGTTGTGTGGGTTTCATACCGTTATCGGCGCGTAGCCAGACGATATCATCTGGTTTACCATTCCGGCGAGGCACTATACCATACCACTGGTCTTCTTCTGGATCCCAGGCAAAATGATTGCCACCTTTCTTAAGCCTCTCGGCATTGACCTTGATTGGCGTGAGTGGTAGAATCAGGTAATTCTTTGTGATAGCGCAATCGTGTATCATTCCGCAGAAAGGTGCTTTGTACCAACATTCTTCAGTCTTCTTTCCATATTTGTCAATTGTGTACACCACAATGTCGCAACTAGCGTCATACCCATTACCTCCAGCCTCGTATCCATAGCATACCATCTCTCCGGTATCCGGGTCGAATTTCGGATGCGCGGTAAATGTAGGAGATTGTACTTGGCCGTCAAAGTCGTACCTACCAATCGTCTCGAGTGTGACGGGGTCCATAGCAAACGGTGGCCCATCTTCCTTAGTCGCCAGCAACACTCCGCGCCAGAAGATGATGTTGGTATTCGACGCTGTTCTAATGATGCCTTTCACCATCTCGTTATCGGTGTAAGGATTTCTATACCGTCCCAGTAACGACTTGCGCGCCCTCGTTTCCGCTTTGAAGCGATCGGTATGTACATATCGCTGTCTGAAGTCGACGTGACCGTTCTCGAACCGGAACGCTGATACCGATCCATCACCGTTAAAATGTATATCTTCCTCGAATAAAGGTGGGAAGCGGTGGTCAGGTTGTATGCGAAAGAAGGTACCGTTTATATCTTTGGGGATCTGGAAGCACTGAGCTTCAGGCTCTGTGCATCGAACAACATACGTACGGTACCAGTCGTCTCAAGCTCGAAGATGTCGGCTTCAAGTCGTGATGGTTTGTTGAACCCTTGGAAAAAGCCACTATCTGGGAATTTGACTTGATCACCAGATTGGCTGCCTTCATGGTAGGCTGGTGGTGCGGGAATAGCGAGGGAGAATATGTGTGCCATGGTTTACTTTCAACTGATAGCGATGTGGCGCATCGCAGCTCGACCCCATTATTATGAGTAGGTATTTGGAGCGGAGTACGCATGTGCTTGGTACCAGATGTACTGCCGTGCTCGGAAGTTACGAGAATGCATGTGGGGAGGTATGTTTGTGGGGTAGATAGTGGGTGATTACAGGGATTGATAAACCCGGATTGATCAGACCGTGCAGGGTCAAGAGCGGCACAATTAAACCGAAGGAGAGGGTTCAAAACGCTAAGCATATGATGGTCGTCCCTTTTGGGGTATATGCATCGCCACACGCTAGCGATAGGTTATATTTGGTTTGGGTTAAGCTCATGGGAGATTAGACGAACTGGGACACGAAACTGGTCCCGCAGCAACTTGGGGCACTTAGTTTGCATGTGAGATGAGTGGTTGGTTCTCTACGTAACAGCGTCGGAAAGCCAGGAGGTAATGGGTAAGAGTGATACAATGCGAATTTTCCATTCCCATCTTGAAGGACCAGTTTGGGAAAAGATGGAATAGGCTGCTAGCAAATGTTGCCATAACTCCAAACCATACTTTGCTTGGCATAGAACCTGATCATTAAAGGAGTGTATCATATGGATATCAAGTCATGCTGCATCGCACCTAAGCTGCACCATTCGTCTCCGATTGTGGTTTGCTCAGCACCAGTGGAGGGCTGCTTGTTGAAGGATCTTTGCCAAAGTGTGGTGCTCTGAGATCATCGTCGGCGACTTGCTCACCCGTGACAGGATGCTTGTAATGGAACGGCACAACGCGCGTGTCTGGCCAGAGCATCGGATGATCGCATAGCACATCTGGCCCATTTGGATCCTCTGGATACGTTTTCGAGAGGAACGGCACGTAGTTGGGCTTGGTGTGCGCCCAGCCTTTTTCGAATGTCGCATGCCAGAAAGGAAAGTACTTCAATCTGAAGATCTTCCATACGCCGTTGTCTTTGATGTATTCGTTCTCGTATACGCCACCTTCCCACCACTGTACCAGACCGCGAGGGTGTGTGTCCTTGATGCTATCGTGGGTACCGGCTGACATCATACTGCGAAAGCGACCTTTGGCACGTGTACCTTCCGCGTTAACGTCGACTATGCCCTGCATCTGTGGATGATCAAGGAGGAAGCCATGGACAGGGCCATTGCGCCCGGCTACGAAGGAGTTGGCGAAGCGACCTATATAGAGTCTCTGGACGCCCTCTTTGCCGTTGTATCGGCCTCCGAGAAACTCAACGCATGTGTCAGGATGGTCTGCGTAGAGGTTGGCGACCTGCTAACATGAGTGTCCATACCAATAAAAGCATCAGTCCACCCACCTCTTTGTATAGACACTTGTCGAGATAATAGCCGTACGTATATTGAAGCTTGCGGATGTCCTCCTGATCTGATGTTCCATTAGCAAGCCACAGTGAACCTAATCGATAGCTGACTAAGCGCGTACCACTCAAACGCGTTACCTCAGCCTGTAGCTTCTCTACTATCGCTTTCAACTGCTCGATTTCGCTACCCATGATGTCGCTATTTCGAATGAATTATAGAGACTGAAGTGATTCTGGAGGCCGAGGCTATCCATCGCTTCTTAACATCCGCAGTCCAACACGAAGCACATCAAACGGCACATGGAGCTACCCCATCAGCCTCGTGAGATTCGCAAACAGAGTTCCACTCTTTTCAGGGTTCCGCGAATGGGCATACCTATACCGGCGGTATGATAGGTGCGATATGCGTCAAGCCGCGGGTTGATATTACCGGCGGGACGCATTGAGCGAACGTGTGGAGCAAGACGGCACTGAGGTGGGGTCATGGAAGCAACACCGTGGCACACAGCCTCGCTGCTTCTCCGAACTTACAGCACCAATTTTCTAGATGGAGACAATCTACGCTATCATCAATTCTTCCAATCTACCTCGCAAAACAACGCCTGTATACGACCGCTCTAAAATTTCATAATATTAAAATGGGTCTACCAGAAAAAATTGAAACGCGTCTTTTCATCAATGGAGAAGTTAGCTCTCTTCTATCGATCGAAGAAGCTCCGGCTAACCATGTCGTAGTTCGTTGAATCATCGAACGGAAAAACCTTTGACATTATTAACCCTGCCACGTTGAAACTCGTAGCAAAAGGTGAGCATGGAGTGCCTCACTTTGGAGGAAAATATCCATAACAGTCACAGTACACGAAGCATCTGAGCAAGACACCGACAATGCCGTAGCCGCAGCAAAAGCGGCTTTTCCTGCTTGGTCTGAATTAACTCCAGACAAGAGAGGCCAGTATATGAAGAAGTTAGCAAGTCTTATCCGAGAGAACAACGATGAATTAGCTGCTCTAGAAGCAAGCTCGATGGGCCGTCCGGTAGGCGAGTTCCTTGATGCTTATGCGTCTGCGACAAAGTGGGATCGTTACGCAGAAGCTGGGTATAGTGTGCAAGGTAGGGTGTTTAAGATTGGATGAAGAAGTAAGCGGCTGAGTTCGACCAGGTACTACAGGCGTTCAGACCCCAGGATTTGTCAACATGACGTTTCGTCAGCCCTACGGTGTTGTAGCTGGTATCATCCCATGGAATGTGCCACTGTTATTCTTGGCAAACAAGTTAGCACCAGCCCTCATCGTCGGAAACACGGTTGTTTTGAAGAGTTCTGAAAAGGCTCCGTTGACGGTAGGTGGTCCCTTACATACACAGGTAACAGGCTAACGATGACAGTCTGCTAAACTCGCAACTTTGGTACAACAAGCTGGCTTCCCGCCAGGTGTAATCAACATCATCACCGGTTTCGGAAATGTTAGCGGTTCAATCTTGAGCCACCATATGGATGTGAGGGGTTTGTCATTTACAGGCTCAAGTCGTACAGGACGTCTGATTCAGGCTGCTGCCGCGAAATCCAATCTAAAGCAGGTGTTTCTCGAGCTCGGAGGCAAGTCGCCTGCAGTCATCTTCGAAGACGCCGATCTGGAAAAGGCTGTGAAGGAAACAGCGCATAGTATTCAGTGGAACAGCGGTCAGGTCTGCATGGCCAACTCGCGCATATACGTCCAAGATACAATTGCCGACAAGTACATCGAGCTCTTCAAGCAGAACTTCGAAAATGAGGTCAAGATGGGTGATACGCTCGAGCAGGGCGTCAACCACGGCCCACAAGCTGACGAGATGCAACATAAGACTGTGTTGCAGTATTTGGAATCGGGAAAGCAATCTGGCGGCGAACTCATCACTGGCGGCGGCGCTCCATCGGATCGTGAAGGCTACTACATCCAGCCTACTATCTTCAAAAACACTCCGGAAGACGCAAAGATCATGAAAGAAGAAATCTTTGGTCCGGTTGTCAGCATCAACGTCTTCGAATCCGAAGACGAAGTGCTTGCCAAAGCTAACGCGACAGAGTTCGTCTCACTCTCTTTAGCGTGGCCTAGCTGAAACAAACGCTGACTAATTCTGATTAGGTACGGACTGTATGCATCGGTGTACACTAAGAACATCGATCGTGCAATGCGCTTCGCAAAAGGCTTAGAAGCTGGTACGGTTGGCGTCAATTGTACCTCGCCAGGTAGGCAATATCCATTCGACTCAACTGTACGCGGCGCATACGCTGACATGACGATTCAACATCTAGTCACTGGCGCGGACATGCCTTTCGGTGGATATAAATCATCAGGATCTGGACGTGAGGGTGAGCCTTTGTATTCACTGGACAACTTTCTCGAAACAAAGAGTGTCTTGATTAAGATCTCTTAAATATTGCGACATGAATCGAGCGGCTGCGACATGATTTGCCATCTCCCCAACGCTATTCTGTGTTAGCTATAGATTTTGATTAGCCGACCGGCAAGTTCTGCAGGGTGGCCCTGGGTGCGCAACGCCCCAGCAGATCCCCCGCTAGAAATGGGATCCCTTTTCCTTTGTCCTCAACTGCAACTGGCACGATGTTCCATGACTTCTCCACGAACTGCTGCAAGCTTGCCGAATGAGACTTTCGCATCGCCGCTAGTGTCTTCCTACTCGGCCGGGCTATCGTGGGTGTCGGATGAATATGGCCGAGTACTCCGCCGCCGCCCCGCCGCGAGCTTTGGCGCCCCCATCTAGCAGAGCACCGAACGCCCATCGTGTCCACAGCAGCTGTGATCGATGTCGCAGTAGGAAAACAAAGGTAGCTTAGAGTCTTTCTCCGTCTATCAGTGCCAAGAGACTAATTTTTACCTCCAGTGTATTGATCCTGGTAGGGCTCTTCTTCCACCGGTTGTACGATCGCACCGGCGATAACACAGGCTGACAATCCTAAGTCCCGGGACCATGTCGTTACTGCGCGCGCACAGGCGCTGTGTGTACTATTGCTACCCCAAGAAGGAAAAGGCCTTATTACCATGTCACAGAAGAAGAATACCAATGTTCGATGCGCATCCTCGAACATTTCTTCCCTGGGCATGAGCTTAACCTGCAATCTCTTCGAACTATCGCCAAAGCGATCAAGGAAGGCACTTTCAACGCAGAACCCGTCCAGCATACTGAAGGCCTCTTCAGTAGTGATCAGGCATCGCCTGAAGACGCAGAGAGCGTTGATGATGGCGAAGAACAAGACGTGAACGAACTACATGAGCCATTGGGCTGTATGATGAAAGATTCACGAGGAAAGTTTCGATACGTTGGCGCCCACAGTGAAATCCCCTTCAACGCCGCTGTGGCCACATTGGGTATGCAAAGAAAGGATCCTTCCATTATTCCAGGGCCCAAAGTAGGGTCGTATCCGCCTACTCTACCAGTTGCCTCACCTTCTACAGACCCCGGCATAGAGGAAAGCTACTATCTCCCTGGCCGAGAGCTGTGCGATATCTACATTTCCCGATTTCTAGAGGATGTTCATTCCACGCACTGGTTATATCCAGTCGAGAGTCTGCTGCGACGAGTGGATAGCACGTACTCAGAGTCAGCACCGCGCTCGTCAAGCTCCTGGATGTGCTGTCTTTACACGATGTTCGCTATTGGTGCAGCTAACTATGTAGGTACCAACGGCAACTCTCCGCCACCGGATTGGCCAGCTGCATTGGACCTGAAGACCTCGGAGGATTATATCACACTCGCAAAGCAACTTATTCCCGCAGTCTACGATGAGGCCGACATCGATAGTATACGTGCGATGGCCATGATGGTACCTGCATCTAACAGCTCTAAAATTACTCTGGCTAACCACAATTCAGAGTATCGCTATGGAGAACCTTTGTTCCAGAGTTAGTGCCTACCTTTACATGGGTGCTAGCGTTCAGATGGCGTTCTCTCTAGGTTTACATCGTGACCAGCTGGCCGAGTCTGGCAACGCAATGGAGCGAGAACAGAATCGCAGGATTTGGTGGACGTTGTTCCAGCTTGATCAGGATATATCCTCGCGAGGCGGTAGTCCAACGGTCGTTGATGAGCGGTTCACCAAAGTCACCACGCCCATGCCTTCTGAGCAGGTGAGGTCACAATCATCTGTCCCCAATGCGCCTATACTGACGTTCATAAGATATTATATCCAGGGCTTCATACCCCACTATCGTGGATGGCGACATCGGTGTCTCTTTGCCGTTTGAAGCGCGAGATCATACAGTCAGTCTACATGGAACGATCGGTAAACTCTATATCGTTCTCAACCGTATCCAATTCCCTTCTCCTGCTGCAAAAGTGGTATCGCCAGATGCCGCCGCATCTCAAGCATGATGTACCCTCACCTCCAACGCACAGACGCGCGGTCGCAGTCTTACACCTTCATTACTGGAGTACCACAATACTGCTCACACGGCCATTTCTTCTATACCTCGTTATCAAGCACGGAACGCTAGCTTCGAGCAAGAGAATCTGGTTCGAGCGCATGGGCAAGATGTGTATCGATGCAGCACAAAAGAGCACTGCGATACTGGAGCAAATGGCAATTGACGGCACACTATCGAGCTTGACGGCATTTGACAGCACATGCATTCTACGAGTCATCATGATTTTTATCCTCGCTTACGCACACACAAGAACACCTCGATATAGCGCGCATATTGAGAAGCTTGTCGAGCTTTCACGTGGTATGGAGCAGATTGGTTTCACCAAGATGGTGGCCGAGGAGACGCCAATACGTCTTGCCGATCTGGGTATTACAGGACAAGGCCAACAGAGCAATGGTAACGGAGATTCGGGGCCAGTACATCTCGATGACCAGATGATTGCCCAGCTATGGGGTAACTGGGACCCGTAAGTGCTGAAGGATCGATTTTACATGAACCGTGTCACTGACAATCACAGCAACTTTATGACTCCACTACAAACACAGCAGAGTCTTGATCTGACATTCGATGATTCTGGCGCTTACGATATTAACTCGGAGTTACTGGCTTTCACAAATCTAGATGACTCGATTATCATTGATCCGTCACATGCATACTCGCACTATGGCATGCATTGAAAGTGCTCTGCCTACACATTCGAGTGATCACTCATGGTATTGCGTCCGATAAGGCGAAGCTCTTCTATCGGATTGATGTATGCTACGCAATTAATCTACCGTACATGCTAGCATTTACGAGACGTATTGCCGTCGCGTTTGGAGGATCGCATACCCTGATTCAAAAGCCGGGAAGGTCCATCAACTGCACATTGAGAAGGAGTTTTGGGAGACTTGCGTCATGTACACATAAATGGACGTAAGATGATTTTGGGAATTTGCATATCAGTAGTCTGGCGTTCCCTTAGCGAGCATGAAACATCACACGAACGACGGGAAGAGATTACGATAATACCAAGTATACGGGCGCCTCGCCATTGTAACAAGACGTCAACACTATGTAGATACTCGGACAAACCACTTTATGGCAACCAAGCCGATTTTTATTTATCCTCACCGTCGAGTTCATAGTGGAAGAAATGCAAAGAGTCTCGCAATGTCATTGGGAGAGCAAAGCGAAAGCGGATTTTATTAGGTATTGAGAGCCGCGCCCCAGGATGATCTGAAGCCCAACAAGTCGAAAGAATGCTGTACTACTAGAAAGAAATTGTCGTGACAGTGGCTCTGCTGACTACAGCCACTAAAGTTTAAAACACACGACCCTTCGTCTGCTTCATAGCAATAATGTCAATATTCCGCCACATGAGCACCCCAGCCGTACCGATAACCCAGGCAGCGGTACCCGCAATGAACAGATACTTCTGAGCATCTCCATAAGCCCTCTGCACAGCCAGGCGAGTAGGTGATCCAACAGGGTAAGACAGCTGTGTCACAATATCCGCGTAGATCATCAAGAAGTTTGGTAAATCTTCAGCAGGAAGGTACTCCATAAGCCTCTTAGGAACAACGTCCTGCCAGATTGCCGAGGAAACCGTTAGCCCAACGGCTGCGCCAACGCTTCCACACATGGACACCAGAGCGATAGCGACAGCGAAGTATTGCTGCTCTTTGACAGCGGCTAAAATAGCGATCTCAGCTGTGATGGTCATTACGCCACCGCCAAATGCGACGAAGATTTGGCACATAATGATGTATCCAATGTTGTCGGTGGGCTGGCGGAAGTGAATGAGTAGTGCCGTTCCGAGAACTACCAGTGGAATCGAGAAGAAGAGAGTGACGGGTTTAAAGCGTCCGGTGTAAGACATAAAGGCGCCAATAAGGGCAGCGAAGATGTAGCCACCAACAGTGTATGTCGACATGATGTAGCTGGCGTGGGTAACGCTCATGTTGAAGACAACCTGTAGGATGGAGGTGAAGTACATGCTCCAGCACATGTAGCTGAAGAAGAGCGCAAAGGACAGGATACAAGCTCCAGCAACAGTGCGGTCCAGAAGGAGTTTCCAGGGGATGAAGCAGATTTCTGCGAAGAAACGTTCCCAGATTCCGAACAGGATCAGTAGGACGACGCCGAAGACGAGGAAGCAGATGATCATTGGAGAGTCCCACCCCTTCGCTTGCAGCGCGTAGAGGTTGAAAGGCAAGAGCAAGAAAGCGATTCCGACGGATAGCGTAAGAAGACCAACAGCGTCGAATTCGCGCATGTAGTATGTAAACGACTCCCAGAATGTACGTCCACTCGATCGATTGGGAACGAGGCCCTGCTTCTTTGCGTTCAAGTAGTGGTACATGAAGAGGCCAAACAAAGGAAGCGTGACTGCCGGGATAAGGATAGCTTCCATTCCAAACGCCCAGCGCCAGCCGGCTCCGTTGAGAAACGCCGTGGAAATCGGGCCGCCGAGCCAAGCAGTGATCAGGTAGGATGAGCAACACAAGGCTTGGATGAGGCCACGGTGGCGCAACGAAGTAGTGTCTGCAATGAACACGCTAAGACTGTATCCAACTCCGTTAATGCCGACGGTGTAGAAGACCTGTGACGCAGCGTAGGCTTCGACGTTGTTACAAGCAGCCGACATGATAAGCCCGGCGGTGGCGAGCACAGCACAAAGAAGGAAGCCCTGCGGGCGACCAAAAACATCTAGTGTCTTTGCTATGCTGAGATTCGTTACGCCTCCGATAACAGAACTCAGGACGCTGGTTGTAGGCGTGAGGGAGTGGAAGGCAAAGGAAGAGGTGACGTAGGGGATTAGGGCGCCGCTGATTCCTCCTACTAGGCCTTGGATGAAGTAGACGAGCCAAATAAGGATGTAGGCTGTTATCAGCGATGCGGTTGTCCAGGAAAGGGTTACGGCCTCGACGGCTTGAACACCAGCTTGGTAGTTGGTATCAACGGTGTTGTCGCCATTCGTGGTGTTGACGTGGTCTGCGTCTTTCTCTGATCCTTGGAGGCTTCCATGAGAGTCATCGTGCACCCGGCTAAGAGCTGCCTTGTGCTCGACTTCGGGATCGTTTGCCATGGCTCGTCACGGGGTGTTGATAGTAGGCTCACAGGCTGTGGACACTCCCTCACCAAAAAAGCGAGAGTAGAATGTTTGAACTAGGAAGAGAGCGAAGAAGACATGCAACGGACAGGACATGCAGAGCTTCAAAACTGCGACGGCACCGAAAGATAAAGAAAACGGCAATGCTTCGGAGAGATCCAGACCACTGTGAGCCGATAAGAAATTGCAAGTACTTGTCTGGCCTTTCACTCCAATCTGTCGCGAGCAAGGCTAGAAAAGGCAATGGCACCGACTGGCAGGATCAGACGTGCATCACAGGCGTGGCGTTTTCTTGCTCGTACCTTCTCCACGGGATATGTCGCGACATGTAGACCACATGAAAAATGGGTCGTCAGCTTGGCGGCACAAACAGAAAAGCACGGTTGTGTAAGATTCGTAGCTTTTTGCAAGGGCATGTATGGTGATCCTCTCCCGCCGGCTCGGTACGTCCTGCCAACAGTACCTGCTCAATCCCTACACTTGGGATCTCTCTTCACAGAAACACACCGGACAAGATCCAATACCGAAGACTGTTGCAAGGTTAAGGTATACCGTCGCCGTATGGCTTGCATGTTTGCTGATCTGCAACTTGCTCAATTGCGTCTAGCGAAAACGCCCGGTTCTGGGAATTAGCTCTAATGTGCTCAACCACGATTTCGTGCTCAGCCTTATTGATGCGCACAAAAATCCATAGCCGCCAGCAGCAGCCAATAGCCCGCCACATACAGTACAGGCTACGCCAATGGTGGGTCTGCGTCCTTCATCTGAGTCCCTGCATGCATGCGTCCAGCGCAGTTCACGCCCATGCCTTGCTAACATGTGGTAAGGTGGGCTTCCACATCAGAACACTTGAGAAGTTATGAAAAAGAAATGCTTCGAAAAAGCGTCATCTACACGCATGGTCATTGTCGTACAAGCCCCAACCGGTCTTATGAGCCAAAGTCCATCTTAAGCGCAATTTTGGCATGCCATCATCCTCTCTGCTAATCTCCTGCCTTCTTGGCCCTTGCCCACTCTTCAGTACGCCTTCCATGAAGCTCCTCTGCTCAGCGTTCAATCCAGTCACTACACCTCTAAATGCCTGTTGATCCGCACTAGCAATCTCCAACAATCGCGCTGCAGTTTCTTGGCTAGCCTTGGGTTCCTTCTGCGCTCGCGCCAACAAGGCAGGTATGATGATCTTAGTCGCGGTCTGGCGCTGTGGTGGTTGAGGCAGTGTGGAGATGAATGTGACAAGAGTCTGTGCGAGAGTGGTACGTGACTCGTCGAGGCCCTCAACATCAGAGGGGTTTGTAAGGAAAGAAAGTGTCGGCGGAAGAATAAGCTTTGCGAGGCTTGTCTCGAGAGCGCCCTTCTTGGGTAAGAGGAGAAGTGAGCGATAACAACCTGCTGCCACCTTGCTCGTAGTTACAGTGCCGAGGCAGTCGAATAGGTCGTCAACGAAGCGCTTGACAAGTGGATCGTTGGGTGAGAAAGCAGAGGCTGCAGAGCTCAGTAAGATTGTGGTCGCAAGAATTGTGTTCTTCTCGCATGCAAGAGCAGCATCGAATTCGCGCTGTTGCGCGTATCTCAAAATCGCGATGAAGCGCGCTAAAGTTGCACGAAGTTGCTTGCTAGTGTCGTCTGTACCTTCGGCATGGGGCGCGAGACTGGTGATGAAGCGCTTGAAGATTGGGAGCGCTTGCGGGATGACTGTTGCTTGACATGCTCCAGTGCTTAGTATAGTTGCAAAAATGTGAAGAATGCAAGCATGGAGGTCAGCTTTGATGATCGACGGGAAGACTTGTGCGGCGTCCACAAGTGCGGATAGAGCCGTTGTCAGTAAAGCAACTGCCTCCTCATTCATCTCGTGGCGCGCTTTTGCTTTGCTGTCTTCCAACCCAGGCACCAGCCCGGACAGTACAAGCACCATAATCTTGGTCAACTCGAACAGCTGATCAATATCTTCCGAAAGATGCTCATCGGCGGATGGAGCTCCTTGATCCCTCCGCGCAGATGGGTGGCCGAGGCACAGATTTCGGGTAATCTCGACAATGACAGTCTGAACAGTCAAGCCTTCGGTGAGCACCAGCCGATCTAGCATATCCATCGTTTCAGAGAAGACAACTTCCCGGTAGATGGCATGACCAGATACAGAGGGCCGTAATATCTTCTTCAGCGCCTGTAAAATCTCCAGTATCTGCTCCTTGGATGCTTGCAGATCACCTGGACGGCCTGCTAATGCTTCGAACGCGAGCCCAAAGAGCACGAAGAAGAAAGCCACAGGCTCGTCGCGGTAGTTTATATGATCAGACTTCCCATTAGGCGTAGATTCGGACAGTTCGGTTTTGCCGTCTAGAGCGTCGAAGACGAACTCACTGTCTTCATCGATGAGGCTGGCGATGGCATCTACAAGGTTGAGCCAGGTATCTTGATAGAACTGTGATGCGTTAGCAGATGCCTGGAAGTGTCGACGAGCAGATATACCTTCAAAAGCGTCTCACGGTTGAGCGCGGCGTAGATCGTGTCAAGACTTCCAGAGAGAGATGCTGAACCCATGGAAGAAGAAATGTCAGGCTCGAACCTCAGACGAGCATATTCTCGTAGTGATGCCAGCCAGAGAGGCGTCAGCTTCGCGATGTGTGGCTTCAATACGTCCACCAAATAGCTCTGCTCGGCACTAGCAATCTGCAGTTCCGCCCAAGCTGAGAAGACCGCCATTTTGACCATAACTTGAGCGTTCGAGCTAAGTCCTTTGAGATCGCCAATGGCAGCAGTTTCGGACTCGCTAGAAAAGTTTTCAAGTGCTGAGACGAGCAACTTGAGAATACGACCCATCCGATCTACATCAGTAACAATGCCAGTGGCAATAAACGTAGCACAAACATTAACAGCCTCAGCCGCGAGCTCGGGAGACGAATCTGCTGCAAACGCTGGGGTAAGAGCTGAACCGATCTGAGCTTGGTATTGTTCAAGCAGAGTGACTTCGGCGAAATCAGGGTCAGGCGTCTTGCCAAATAACTGCGCACTAATGTTAGAATGGACCAACAAGTGAGGACATATGAACATACCTTGAGCACCTGATCAATGATTTTCAAACCACGGATCCTCAGCTGCACTACACCGGCTGTAGATGCAGAGAAGGCGATGCGCACAACATCAGCTACCCTTTGCTGCAATGCCATAACGCAAGGCGATTCCTCTCGGAACGTAGCCTCTTTGCTCACCATCGCAACGAGCTCGCTCAAGCAATCCATGCCAAACGTTCGGACTTGCCATTTGAGTAGTTCCTGACTTACTTGTGCACCATCTCCAGCTTCGGCACCGGGCGCGTTAGATGCTGATGCAAAACCCGCGACTTCCTCGTCCTGCAAATCTGTCGCTCCTGCTTTTGGTTTTGATTCGATCTTATCCTGCGTCTCGACCTTCTTCGTTTTGGTAAGTACTGAGTGACATCTCTGTACCCAGGTTGCAGTATCTGATAACCCTGTCTGATGCAGCCAGTTGCGGATGATGTTCCGCACGACCTCGTGCTCCGAATCACGATCGAGCACGTGCCACAATTGGTCTTCTAGACCGGGATCAGCAGCGCGTATAACTTCTTCCGTGTTACGTCTCATAAGGTTGTGCAATCCGTCGATGGCCATGTCTCGAATCTGTGCGGAGTTGCTTTCAACAGACCGTTGTAGATGTTTGACGTAAGCTGAGAACTCCATATGGCCTGGTGCATACAACGAGATGTGTTCCTGGCAACGTAGACTCTCAATGACAACTAGCTCGTCTGTATCGCCCTGAAACAGGCCTACAAGGGTCATGATAAGGTCTCGTGCTTTTGCAACATCCTGTAGATCCGGTCCGAGTACGTTGATAGTGCTGTCAACGCATCGCGCAATGACTGCGGGGGAGGGTATATCGATCTCTATGTTTGAAGACGCAAGAGATACCGACTCGTCGTTATGAGTATCCGCAGCATACAACTGCGCCAACATGCCAAGCGTACTAGTGACATAACTGGAGAAGGAAAGACCAGCGGAGTCGGCTACTCTTGACAAGCTGTCGATGGCCCAGAAGTGCACGACTGGATGGGGATCGTTGCCCAGCGACATCAGTATCCCAAGTATATTCTTGAGATGGAAGCCAGCAGCCATACCACCAAGCTGAGAGTGAATACATCCAAGAGCGACGGCGTAACCCGAACGAGCATTTGGCTCGCGATTAGCAACAATCTGGTCCACCAGGTAGTTGACTTCGGTGGTTGTAAGAGCATTTCCAGAGCTGTTGCACAGACGCCCCAATGCCTCACCGGCAAGGTTGCGGATGAAGGGATCGGGAAGGATAACAAACAGCTGACGAAGTCAGTACGAGTGAGACAAAAATAGCGTTGTGGTTGACTTACGTGCAGCAGATCTTGCATCACCTTTTCAACAGCCGGTCCCTTCAAGCTACCAGGAGCCGAGCGTGTCTCCTTGACTGCAACTTTCAGAGCAGACAACACTGCATATGCAATGTTGACCATCATGGCTGTCTTTCTGTTGATATCGCGCTGCAGGCTACTGGCCGATAGGAAGGATGTCATCTGCTCCAAGATGCTTTCCTGGATCCTAGCTGTTTGTAATGGTAGACATATGGCAAATAGCTGAAGTGCTGAGTTGACGACTTCGGTAGCTGGTGGATCAGGAAGCTCATGACTTTCATCTGATGTCCTGATATACAAGGATATCGAATCGTGTTCGCGGGCACCACAAATGGGCGAGAGAAGCTAGCACACGTCAATATATGTCTCACCATGACATTGCACATACATACTGTGCGATCAACTATGGCCTCAGATCCATGCCTCGTGAGCCAGTGATGATGGGTACCAGTCTCTTGCTCTCCAGGAAGAGGCTTGATATCGAATCCTCGCACGAGTCCAGTGACTCCGAAGCCATGGTTATCAGCCACCTCCCATATACTTTCGAAAGTTCCTGCTGCACTCGCGATCGCGGTACTGAAAGAGCTAGTGGTGTAGTTGTCAGGCTCTGCGAAAGATGCAATGGCGAAAGGTAGTAAATTCGTCTGTAGTAAAACCTCATGGCTACTTGCTGGACTCAGTTCAACAAGTCTGGTGTAACATTGGAGTACCCTCCTTCGTACCATCAGGTCGAAGTCATGAAGTTGAAGTGCGGGGGACAGACGTTGAGACATATCATCAGTCGTCTTCTTGGCTGGCAAAGTGTTCAGAAACATAGTCGTGTTTTGCAACATTGCAGCTAGTCTCTTAGTGACATCCATCGTCAATATCCGACTGTTAAACTCCAAGAATGTTAAGATGGAACCTAGTGCGCACTCTCGAACGTGTGCCAGGAAACACAGTTCTAGATAGTTCCTCTGCACCATGTTGTCTCTATTTAACGGTTTGGGTAGTGCGTTCTTCCACAACAGAAGCAATTGCGAAAGATGTATCTTGACGAAATTGGGACCAAGAGTCATGAGGCCTCCGATTAGGATCCATGCGACTTGTATCTGGGTAGAACCGATTCTCAGATCTGAATTACTTGCAGATTTGAGCAGTGAAGTGGCTTGTGAAAGTACTCTTGAATTGACGTCTACAGAGCCATGAAGAGGTTGGGACGTAGACGTGCTGAGCACAGCCGAAAGGCCGTTGGCTAGACCGACGCATTTCCTGGGTGATTGCCTTGGTCCAGCAAGGAGGCCAAGCTCTCGGTTGACGCTGTTCATGCATATGGTGACCGCTGGAAGTAATTGAAGAGGACACGCAAGTACGAAGGAACGTAGACAGGCAGAGGCAGTCACCTGAACTGTATAACTGGGATGCTGCAAAACCTGAAGAAGTGCATCGCGACAGGAGTCCGCGATGACGTTGGTAGCCGATCCCAAGCTATTGAATAGCGAGGATAGCGTACTCAGCGACCCAATGAGTGTCTGTTTCGTTGGCTCTGGCCGTTCCTTGAGCGCTTGGGGATAGTCTTTCAGAATCTCGTTGACTAAGAACCTTGCGGCGTTGAGCTGACCAGATTCTCCCAGCATTTCGCGGCCGATAACTGTTTCCAAGATGACGGCCACAAACTTCCTAGTGCTGAGTGTGCGGTAACGGTTCTGCACGATGATGTTGTTGCTGAGGACATCGGTGAATAAACTCCGCGCAATCTCTGGGTACTTGGTTTCGATGATCTGCTCGCCCAGCCCCTTGATAGTCTTGATATAGCACACAGCAATTCCAGCTCTTGCACGATTGCCCGCCTGGGGTCGACAGTATTGCGTCGCAAGCAGTTTGAGGAGACTTGCGATTGTGAAGGAGAGTTGCGTAGCCGACTTCTTGGGTGCTGGGGACTCGGATCGCTCCATGACCATGTCGTCCCCATCATCGTCGCCTGGTTTCTTCTTCTTGTTCTTCTTCGCAGTCGATGAACGGGTAATACCAAGGATGGGGAGGTCAACCGGCGCGTTCTCAGAATAGTTCTTTACCAGCGCTGCGCTGATGCACGAAGCAACAGCATGTCTTACGGACGACGAGGGACTGTCGATGGCTTTCCAGGCCAGATTCTGCAGTTTATCGAAGTCATTGGAGTTGTCGAAGAACGTTGTATGTCGGAGGAGTTGTTCAAGACAGTAGCACACAGCTGTCTGCACAAGGTATGACTTGTCACTACCAGCGTTGCGTGCCTGCTTCCAAGCATCTCTTGCTATGAGCTCATCGGCGTGAGAGCTGACCCCTTTGAAGACTTTCCCTACAGCTTTGAATACCGCCGCCCGCAGTCCAGTGTAGCTTTGCGAAAACTTGACGAGGCCCAGCAGTGACTTGACTGCCAAGGGGGATAAGCCTATAGCGCTGTCGCCTGCGGCCTCGAAGATGGCCCCCAAGCAATGCACAGCCGCGTGCTTCGTCCTAACATCCTTCTCGCTCTTTCCTGCCGCGTTGATTATGCCGACTGACTCGTTGATGGATTCAAAGAGCAGTTTCCTGTCCCCCTTCTCGAATATGCCAGCGATTGCCCGTCCCAGGTTGTTTCGGATTACTCGTGTGGGGGTGGGGGATGCGAGGTTGATGATCTGGAATATCTCTTTCTTGATGTATATTTGGTGCGCCGAGGCACCATCGCCGTCTAGGGCAGCTACATGGCGGGCAAGGTCGGAACTGAAGGTGAGCAAGTATAGGTCTTGCTGCTCTGAAGGTAGCGCGTGGAGCTTCTTGATGTCGAGTTCAGGGTTGGAGGGGCCCTTGTCCGCGGCTGGCTCGTCTGCGGCCATGTCTGATGAGGGGATCGCGCGACTTCGGTCGTGTTATCGCAGCTTATCGCATTCGGCTGCTCATATCATGGGGAGGCTTGTCTTGACAGATGTCGAGTGTGGAGATGCCGGTGGATGCAGGTGAGCTTGCGGACCCCCGTCTTGGCAGGCACGCTGCGCATCTCCAACTATTGTTGCACTTGAAGTCATCAATCGATGTCAACCTCCATGTCCGTCCCATTCCGTCGTGCAGTGTTATCTGCTATTTCCAGGGACAGTGCGACAGGCTGCCCTTGTCGCCATGTCTCGCGCTCAAGGAATTGGCGCATACAAGAACAAGTGCGATGTTTAAGCACCACCCCAAATCTACAATCAGGCCACTCGTACGTCGTCTTTGCAACCCAACAGCACACGTCTGACACGCTATAGCAAGTGGGCGACTATTAAACACGACAAAGCTAAGAATGATGCTGGCAAATCCAAGCAACGGTCTCTCATGACCCGCGACATTACCAACGCCGTCAAGCTCGCCGGCCCAAACCCCGACTTGAACCCCCGCCTCGCCCTCGCAATCTCCACCGCGAAGAAGTCCGCCGTGCCAAAAGCCTCGATAGAAGCCGCCATAGCCCGTGGACAAGGTCTTTCTGCATCAGGTGCCGCTCTCGAAAACCTTATGCTGGAAGCCATTCTACCACCCTCCATTGCCACGATAGTAGAATGCCAGACAGACAACAAGCTGCGCACCCTAGCTGACCTTCGACTCCTCGTAAAAGAAGCCGGTGGCAGCGTCTCAACGGTTGCCTTCATGTTTGAAAAGAAAGGACGGATAATATTACGGAAGAAAGATGGTGTGGGCGTAGATGAGGTGCTGGAGCCAGCTCTAGAAGCTGGCGTGCTGGACGTAGACGAGGACGCCGAGGGTCGAGTCGTACTATATACGGAGCCTGCGTTGACAAACAAGACGGCCGAAAAGCTGGCAAAGGAGCTAGATCTAGAGATCGAGGAGAGCGAAATTATCTATGACCCTAATGAGGACACCAAGGTGCCCTTGGAGGATGAGGGCGCGGCTAAAGAGTTGGGCAGCTTCTTGGATGAGCTGCAAGAAGTGCAGGGTGTACAAGGAGTGTATATGAACTGGACAAAGGGTAGCATAGGAGACGATGTCTGGGAGGAGTTGAGAGGCAAGGTCACTGCGTGATCTGTCTCAGAACCTCCAGACTGTTGTACATTTTTGTAATATACACTATTGTACAATACCGCTGACGGCAGTGCGGAACAAGATATATCTCCGCGCTCAGCGCCTCTTATTCAAGGGTCCAACATGGCGGCTTGGACTTTGATTTTATGCCCCTCTCATAGTCGCTTCTCGTCTTCGTGTTCGTGATTCGGTGCCTTTCGTCGGCCATTCCCCATCTCTACTCCTCTCTACCAGTACCCAACTCCCTCAACCTCTCCTGCTCCTCCCTTCTCCTCTTATTCTCCAAATTCCTCTGCTTCAACCTCTCCAACTCCTTTGCAATCTCATCTCTATCGTACGGTATCTTGTGCGTTTGGCCTGGCTTGGGCCAGAAATCGGGAACCGTGAATTTGCCGTCGAGATTCGTACCAAAGTAGTACATGATACTGATTGGGAAGAGGATGTACATTCCAAACTGGTACGTCTAGTTAGTCATGTGCGCGAAAGAGTCAGACTCGGGTTTGGCCGGAATGCGACAGGGTGGAGTGGGATTGTGGTGGGCGCTTTTTGCCTTGATGCGCGGAGTCTTAGGGGTATCACTTCTACGTACTTTGAAGACTTCTAAATTGGGGCCTCCCATGTTTGCGGTTCGTAGTTGCGGCGGTGTAGTACTTGCGACGCGGCTCGGAAACTTTGGCGCTCGAGTGGAGTGATGATGAAGATGAAGATGCACAGATCTGATCGGTGATGGTTCGGCGATAAGAGATAAAAATCTAATCTCCAGCCTTATCCCACGCGCGTTCGTTTCCCCACTTCGAAGCTGGGGAAGCCATGACCTTCACATGCGTTCTCCACCTCATGTTTGTCGTCCGTCAGCTAGTACAAAAGCCTCACTCATCATAGCAACAGATTCGATAGTACCGAACCGATAATGCTGACATCCGTGTTCACTCCACATGTCCACCTCACTCCGTTGCGTTCGGTTGCCCTCACATTGCCTATTCCATCTCCGCATTCTAGCCTCGGCTCGCTGACATCTCACCTAAGAATCTCCCCAAGGCTCCCACACGCATAAACAATGTCTCAATCACCATTACCGTCTCATCCCTTCCAAAACCCAAACACTATATCTCCCCTCCCAACAAACACCCATTCAAGATGTCTGATGAACCCATCCTAACCTCCTACCATGGCAAAACCGCCATAATAACCCTCAACGTACCCAAAAAACTGAACGCCCTGGGTGCCGATGAATACTACCAACTCGCGCGGGCCATGAACGAGGTCGCAGCAAGAGACGACATCTACATTACTATCCTAACAGGCAAGGGTCGTTTCTTCAGCGCCGGCGCAGACGTGACTTTCGGCTCCAATACCGACGATAGCGCTATCGACGAGCGACACCAGTACCTAAAGTCCTTTGTGTCCAACAACCTACATATAACGCATGCTTTCTACACGCATCCCAAGATCCTCATCACAGCCCTCAATGGCCCCGCAGTCGGTCTCTCCGCCGCGCTAATCGCCTTCTCGGATTTCATCTACGCGGCGCCGCACACCTTCCTTCTGACGCCCTTCTCCTCCCTCGGCCTCGTAGCAGAAGGAAACGCAAGCATAGGCTTTGTCCGGCGCCTGGGTATCTCAAAAGCAAACGAAGCGCTCATCATGTCGAAACGCATCACATGTGACGAACTGGTAGCGACTGGGTTCGTGAACAAGGTCATTGAAGCTGGGGTCGATATCAAGGATGAACAGTACAGTGAGAAATTCCTAGGCCAGGTCAGGAAGGAGGTTGAGGAGAGGTTGGGCGATCATCTTAATAGCGAGAGTTTGGTGTTGATTAAGGAATTGATACAGAAGCCTGTCAGGGAGGCGTTGGATCGGCAGGGTGTAGAGGAGGTCATGGGTGGATTGCAGAGGTTTTTGAAGGGGGTGCCGCAGAAGGAGTTTGCGAGGTTGGCTAGTGGAGAGAAGAAACATAAGTTGTAGGGGTTGTTAAGCGTTGAATAGAAAGGAATGTATGCGTGTAGGATACACAGTTTCTCGATCAAGAAGACTAGAGAGAGAGAGATTGATGGCATTTGCTCGATATTCATTTCAACCCAGTGTCTTGTCATGTTGCGGTGCTTAGCCTAACGAAACACCCTCCGTAGCTAGCAACTCCCCACCAAGCGCATCCTGCTGGTTAGGACTCGCAATATCCACAACCGGTCTACTCGCCGTTGTCGTGTTGTCCGCCAAATCCTCCAACGGGCTCGGTCGATGTGGCGGCGGGTTCCTCCTCTTCTCCTCCTGCAACTGATGTTGCACATAGCTCGTGTACCGCAGCGCAACGAAGAGCATAAACGCACTCACGCCGACTGTAATGGCAGCACGGCGGGTAAGCACCCAACGGAGACCTTCAACCTCGGAGCGCGCGTCAGAATTGAGTGCGACTGTGATTTTGTAGTTGAGTTCTTGGATCTGGTAGAGTATCAGTATTCGTGTGTTGCGCAAGCCAGAGAAAGAAATGACATACCTTTGTTTCCATAACTCTCTGTTCCTGTCTGACAGCCATCTTCCTGTCATCGAAAAGCCCCTTAAGCTCGTCCCGAAGCCCGACCGTCTCCTGTCCCAACCTCTGCCCTAGAATATCAACCTCATGTTGCAATTGCCCCCTTTCCGTACGCATCCTCTCCATCTCTCCCTTCTTCGCATTCCCAATCTCTGTTTTTAATTCACTGCACGCTGCCCGGAAGAGATATGTGTCATTCTCCACGTTACTCTTGCTGACAAGACCTTCGCGCGCCAATGCCATGTTGTCCATGAGAGTCTGTCGCACAGCTTTCATTATAGTGATGGATTGTTCGGGGGTATAGGAGGATTGCGAGAGTTTGCGTACGAGACCGTAGGTGTCAAAGTGGTGGACGTATGGTGGTGTTTTCAGGTGCGGTGCCTTATGGGACTCTTCTTCCGCGGCGGTGGGAATGTGGAGGACACTGTCGAGGGGTTTCAACTCGCCCGTCTTTGGAGGATCAGGTGCGGGGGTTTGGGGCGGCTCGATTTCCTCAGTTGGATTGGTCTTGCTGGGCGTGGATGGACTGGTCGTTGCTGTTGGCGCATCTTCCTCTATTTCTTCTTGTTCGTGGATGGGGTCTTGCGGGGGTTTCTCGGTGGTTGCAGAGTCCTTTTGTTGTGGCTCTTTTGGCGGCTGTTGATCTAATGCAGGGGCTGCGTGTTCATATGCCTTTCCGTACCGTTGCGTAATCGATTGCTCCGACCGGCGGGACGAGGTTGTGAGATGACGACGTGCTCGTCGCGTGCGGGACGCATTCTCCTTTGCTATGGAAGCGCGTACTCGTGGCGATTTCGTCGGCTGGAACAGCATAGGCCATAGAAATGGCAATCTAGGGGCAGCCATGTTGTTGTGTTGACAAATTGACGAAGCTTGAACTTCGAGTGATGGAACCCTTAGATGCGAGATTTCGGGTAGCATCGGTAGGCCTTGGCGGGGGATCTGCCATCCTGAAGTAGATATCCATGCCGATGTCGGGAGCCTCCACAACTCACCATCGGAAAAGTTGCTCATCAATTGCGTCTTTATGAATCACGTTGAGGTTTCGAGCAATTATACATTTGGATCATCGCCACATAAGATATTTCAGCAATGCTCATCCTAGCAAAGTGCAGATTGTAGTGTCTCTAAATTAATACTAATTTGGACGCAACTAAACTGGTACCCACATCTGCTTTGACATCGAATAGGTCCTTTATCTTCAAGTACCATATCATACCATTATAGCATCCACCATATCCTCCGCGACAGCGCTGAGCCGCCTACTGACACTGGGTGTCTTATCAGGTGTCTGAACGCCATCGGAGTCTTGCTCTCCGTCTACACGATGGCGGCTGAGAGGCGGTGGAAGTAGGAAGTGTCGTAGTGAGCGAACCCGTACAGGCGTACCATCAGGCTGATACGGTGAAGGCGTCCGAAACGAAGGCACTCGAATTGGGGTTCCGGCCCCAAAAGGCGAAGGCGGGATGAATGAGTACCGGAAGGCAGGGTGTTGAGACCTACTTGGCTCTGCTTCGAAAGTTTTCTGGCGAGGTCGAGCATCTGGCGAAGTAACAGTTGCGCTAGTGGAAGCCCGTTCCATGCTATCTCTCTTCTCCCTCTGCCTGTGGCTTACTTAAAATATGTTTCACCTGGGTAGTCTAGTGTACTGACCTGCATCTCTCGCACGGCTGTGACTTGGATGTCGTGGTGAACGGCCAGAGTGCCAACGTAGCTAAGACACCAATAACGGTCAATGTGACCATTAGTGCGGGATAGAGGCCATAGAACCAGAACTCTAGCCAGGAGTGCGCCGTGAAGGACTTCATTATGGGTATCTGCAGATGTATGATTCGTGATTTTGGAGCACACCAGTCAAATCGGGGCGATAGATTTTCTCAGTACGTTTGGGAAGCACTGAGCTGACGCAGCTATCCCGGGGATCTGGCGAGTCTCTTTAACTCTCATGGTCTCCATGGCGAAGAATTAGGCGTCCGCCCCGTCCCGTATGACTCCTGCCGTACCGCGTGAAGAAAATCTATTACACCGCGTGGTTTGCATGCGGGTTTGAGGCACTGTCTTGCTGCTGCTGTCAAATGAGCCGTCGTTCCGCCATCGCTGCTTACGATGATAGGTCAGATATTGTTCAATGTTGAACCGAGAGGTGTGGGCGGTCGGGGAACAGATAAGACGAGGTGATTGAGCGGTCGTGGTCAGCAAGGTCGACGACGGGGCCCGAAGGATCTGAAACACGACCAGAGGTACGCCTTGCTGTGTCGCACTTCAAACACTCAACAATACCGATCATAGGCAGCTCTAGTTTCTTCGGGCAAGGAAGTCCTAGTGACAGTTCGCGGATCCTATGGGTCGTCATTCTTGAACTTGCTGTCCTGGACTTGGCGAAGAAATGGTTCGTGACATTTCAGACAAAGACTTATATCTGAGACCTGTTCTCGTTTTTGAAACCTGTAGGCATCATCTGTATGACAAAACGTCGGGCGTAGAAAGTCTTCTCACGCGTAAGAAGCCACGAATTTGTTGCGATAGCGTCCTGGGGGAATTTGGAGTGAACTCAAGGCATATAAGTCTACTCCAAACGAGCACATACGATACTGCTTTTCGATTGTGACGGCGCAGTAAAGGGATGACACCCTGTCCAGTGGACTTAAATCGGTATGAAAAGGACAATACATCTTCATGGCTCTCGATGTTGGTTGCGACAGCGTATTAGGGTTTCGTCAAGAGTCGGGCATAATCATAATGTCGAGTATACTCAGACATGCGATCCAGTAGACTGCGTGCCAGTGGCATATCTGCTCGCAGCTAGCAAAAAGATTTGGTTAGCGAGACGCCTAACAGATGTGAGTTGGCATTGTTGGATGAGTACGCAGCCACAAACACCGATGAAAGGTATGGGGCCCAAACGACGGTCAAAGTATGGTGCATTACAAAGAGAGCAGCCAAGCTGAATTCAATGCACGAAGCATATCCAATCAGATCCTCTACGGCAGGACAGTTTCACAGAGTGCTACTCCTTCGAGGTTAGGCTCGCTGTCGTGAGTTGGGATTGCTCAAATCGGACCCAAGGCGTGGGTATGGATGACGATGGCACTGAGGGGGAGTGAACGATAGTAGGCTTATGCGGGTCGCGGTGGGGCAGCTTTGTTTACGGTTAGTACCAACAGCGGCGGTTCCACCCGCCCACCCGTCTTGCCGTTCTTCCTGCATGTTCATCTCTTCTTCCACCAACAGTCATGCAAGCTCTACGGGCGTTCATGTCATTACGCCCAATCCTCCATGACCGGACTTAGCCGATGGCCGCAACAAGCTGGTCTAGATACCGCTATCATGTCTTCGTGCTACCCCGCGATAGGTCAATTCTTTATGCCTACCTACACTGCACAACTACAGAATGAAGGCGCTGTCTCACTTGTTTGACAGAAACATAGAAATGCTGATTAGAGTATCCTCATCATTTTATACTTCGTATATCTCATAACAACCAGACCTAGCTGACCTAAGGTACTGGTGTGAGTAGATGGACCAGGTCATGATCCATGACAAACGCCCGACACTACCCAAGCCCTCCGTACGGCCACTGGAGTACTCAGAAGCACATTCTTAGACCCTTCCGCACAGAAACTATGCTTTGGGCCCGCAAAACACGCTACGAATTTTGTAGTCAAAAGTCGGACCCAGGTCTCCAATGATCATATACGCCTCCTTGCTACCAAAGTCAAGGTGGATACCGTTAGCTGGGCAGCCATAGTCACTAGTAGATGTTAGGTTAATCCATTAGATCGGAACGATGAGAGACTTACATGTACCACTGGCATTGGTAGCCCGGCGTCGACTGGATGCTACGGACTTTGCCGTCGAAGTTGCCGAAAATGTTGTACAGATCGGTACAATAGCTGTTACCGGGAATGCTAGTAGACTCGCCCTTGAAGTTCTTGTCTTTGAAGACGATGCCGCCGGCACCGCTTTGCCTGGTCTGCAATTCAGTCTGTAAGGTGTTAGTCAAGCCCAGAAAGAAAAGATCTATAAGGGGAGTATTTTACTTACGGTTGGTAAAGCAGTGACAAAAGTGCTCAGAAGGGCGGGAAAGGGGACGAAGAGTTGCATGTTGGTGATGTTTTGTGATTAACGATCTGTGCCGGTCAAAAATGATTTGAGGTTGAAGAGGAAGTTGAGAGTGTGGTGGTGCGATATTACTTCGAGGAAGTACTACTTGTGTTGAAATATTGGAAACGTAGGTATTGAACGGGCGTAAGGCGTGATTCATGTCATCCACGCATACCACGCTAAGCAATACCGAGTTGGATAACATTCACTACCGCAAGTGATTGAAGAAACGACGGTGGCACAGGCTTCCACGTTGAGCGAAGGTTGCGCGAAGGTTGCAGTTATCTATGCTGGTATCGTGCAAGCTAACGGTATTCTGGTAGTGGGTGCTGCAACTAGTCGTTTATATTGAGGCACAGTATTTCTCAATACTCGATTGAATGTCCGAATGAGGAAGTCGTGAGATCCTCCGTCCAACTCACACTTTATGGGGCGCAGAACAGCCCAACACAGGCAGAATTGCGCGATGGCATTTGTGAAGAACGGTCGGTCCAGATTGTCGAAGCTCCGGTTTCGATATGCATGCGAGGCTTAGTCCGTGTGATTACCCTTTTCCCATCCATCGTTGGATCTTGAAGTGAGCCTTTACTGGAGGAAAATTATCGCAAGAAAAGTAAGGGTGGGTTTGCGATATACAGAATGCGCTGGATTTTCTTAGCGATGACGTGGATTGATGCAAGCAACTAACTGTGATGATCTAGATCATTCACCGAGGGATGGGTGATGCCGCGCTGCCCTATTCCAACGACCCAATCTCCACGTCCATCCAATTTTTTAATATGGGCCAAGACTCAATCAATGCAGATAACCTCCTCATCGCCTCTGCAGGTTGCATGTGGTACTGCAACGCCATCGGAATCTCTTCTCATCAATCCTGTATTCGTTTCTAGGATATAACAGCTATCGTGTGTGAGGCCGATCCTCCTGTAATGGTCTCCTACAGCTTGGAAGATCAGGAAAATAGGAGGACGATCATAATCCCATTTCTCGTCGTCGACAAATTCATACCGTCTCTTTATAATACAGCAACGTGGTGTACGGTGTAGGACCGCCGATACTGCTTTGATAGCATTCTTTAAGTCAGAGTTTATAAAGTTAGTATCGAGCCACAACTGGAAAGCGATTTGTATAATGCCACTATCCGTATCGGCATGCTGTAGAACGACCAATGGCGTCCATTTTGACTGTTTTTCGTGAATATTGCGTCCGCTAGACTTTTGGTTCTGGACGGTCGTGTTCGCGCCTTTCTAAGCCCCTCCAACCCCACACCTCCAAAAGCTGTTTGCAACACAGGCGCGATGGCCAGCACCTTCTTCTGGACCGAGGGATATCCCTCGCACGAATTCCCACATGCTGGCACATAGAACTCAAACTCTCGTCGCGCATCTGTCGCCATAATGCGAGATCGAAGACCCGCCTCATCAAGTTCATATAAGTAATGCCCTTAGCAACACCGGTCAAGTTCGACTGTGATTATGGGAGGCAGAGAACCAATTATTGTCCCGACACCTTGTCCGAGCAGCTACGAGTGATCCTAAAATTACGTTTGCACACGATGCAGATATTAATTTCATCTTTGAAAGGCTCGAGGTCCACATTTGCAACGATGACGAGGTCGTCTTCCGAACTTCTACGCGCTGTTGCGAGATGATTTTCGAGAAGGCACCTGAAATTGGGAGTATGATTAAAAGCGAAAGACTTCCATTGAGACGCTATCGAGCGATGAAACTTGGGGCTCCCTCCTGCGCGCGAGGCAGCATTTGAGGCGCCCAGCTTAGTACATCCTGCCTCTCTTCATACACCCATACTAAATCACACGACTCCAATCCAGAGGAGCCGCGCCAATTAGAACTCCAACTTACTCGCAATCCTCTTCTTCATCACGGACTTCGCCATTCCAGAAAGCATACTCTGCACTCTCCGTCATGACCGACGAGATAGCTGAAAGCACTCGGGAAGCAGTCCTTGCGACCATCGTGGCGGTCGGCAATGAGGCACTTGTTGGGCTGGGAGCAGTGACAGTGACATACGTCGTGGCAGGTGTCGGGCATGCCTCCGCCAGTGTTTGTGGTACCGCCATTTCGTGGGGTAGCACTGGTAACGATGCAAAACCCAAGTCGTTCATTTCCCGTTTGCAGTCACCCTCGCATTGGAGCAAGCCGAAGTCCTCGAGCAGCTCCTCGTCTGTGGCTCGACGTGAAGAGTTGCCTGTGTCAACGACAATTTCGCGAGGATCGAGCAAGCCTCGCTTCGTCAGACCAGTGGGCGTCTTACCATTTGTGATCCCGGGTAGCGGTGCCTGCGCGTATTGCGCTCTCAACGGTCTTTTGTTGGTGTTGCCCGGGCGTTGGTACCACGGGTCAGTCCAGAGCACTGCGAAGCATTAGATATGGTTGTCCAGAAAGAAAGAATATGCGGCTTGGCTTACAAGCAAAACCAGGATCCTCAACAAGATCCTTTGGGTAGCATGGATTCTGGGAAAGGCCATCATCCTGTATTCCAACTGGCATATTGGTGAAGCCCATGTGCATAACAGTCACAGTTCTCTGAGCTGTCTCCTTATAATGTTCAATCACCTGGAATGGTTGTTAGAGAGACAGCGGAAGATATTTCTGCCTTGCGAACGTACCCTATTGCATGCTTGTTGGACTGAGCTTAAATGCTTTCCGATGCTACGAATGGAGACTTTTTCAGGGCACATTCTATTCCACAGACTTCCCGCCTTGCCATTCCCGTCTCGAGGGCTGAGACGGATCCACTGGTTCAAGTCTCGACCTTGCCATATAGCCGCCGGAGGCCCTGAAAGTGTCAATGTCTGCCTTCAATATGACTTGGTTACAGAAGACTGCTTACACTCATCGCGCTGACACACCGGCGGTTCAAGATCGTTGAGAGGATCGGCATGCATCCAATTATGTATCCAACCAACGTTGTGTTGACCATTGTATATCGCTACTACCGGTCGGAGTGGCCCACCCCAGATGGGATCTAGTTTATCGGTGCAGGTTAGCGATGCGTAGCCATTGCCTTGTACTCTGATGACTGAGCTGTAATGGAGGCAAGCCTGGCCCCCTGTAACGAAGTCGCACGTCTTTCTATTCACGACTTCAACATCGCGGATGAATGAGGTGGTTGTAACGCTCAATGTCCTCCCTTGGGCTCGCTTCTGGTTTTTCCTGCTACACTTGCCGTCACGCCCCGAAGGTTTTGTTGGAGTTGCTGATGGTTCGCGATCTTTTTTGGAGGTCAAGGGTTTGTCGAGCTTGACGTCGTAATCTTTGCCGCGGAACTTGAAGACTGATTTTCCTGCTTTGGCAACGCCCTTGGCGCATAACTTTGCGAGAGCGGGTACTGCTGCTTGTACGGCAAGCCGGATTATCCATCCAATAACTGGAATGAACGTCAGGGGTGTCAAAGCCGCTGTGATGGCGATCCTGCAGAATGCTGTTGCGGCGAGTTCGAGGGCGGCAGCTTCCGCAGCCTCCAGTGCGAGGTCTTTTGCTTTGTCCTTGATGGTGTCTTGGACTTGCTCTTTGGTGATGGGTGGTTTGAAACCCAGACAGCAGTAACTTTGCGTGCCCCCCGCACAAGTCTGGTCTTCCTTGTCGGAGTGATGGTTGGTGTTGGCCGTGACTTCGGTCTCGCCTTCACCGCACCCTCCTAGACAACTTAATCCGACTCCTGTTGCTTACGTCAATGTGGTGTCGCCTGGATGTGGGAATGACAAGTAACAAACCTCTGTAGCCTCTCCATCGGCACTTGCCCATCACAGTGCCCTTCGCACAACATAGGCGACGGAACTCTCCTTTTTGACATCGCGAAAGGACAGATAGATCGCCTGGCTGTCCGTTCATTTGCGCGGCCTCATACTCACCCCCATTACACTTCGCACCGCATTGGGTAGTGAAACAGGTTCCTTGCGCAGCTTCGTCTTGAATAACAAGTTCGGCATCCATAATTTCCTCTTCAGTGAAGTCCGGTGGATAGTTCAAGCTCTTCTCTTTTTGGTCAACCTGATCGATTGCCCAAATCATCAGGCCGCCTATGGGTGGAGTTAGTTAAAGAATTCAAGGAAACATTCGGAAACATACCGAGACAGCGTGAGTTGGCAAACTCTCTCTTCTGTTTGAATGTATCTTCGTCGTCGTAAGATACCCATTGGTCGTTGTCCCACTGAATCCCTGATCACATGGTTAGCGCGAAGCTTGCACCAAACATAATTACTTACATTTCACGCCGGCCTTCAGATCATGCACAGGCTTCAGGTTCTTCTCTTTGATGATTTCGTTGATCTCTTGGAGTGTGAGAATTCCAGAAGCTCCGGAGCAGGGTCCCTCTTTGGCCCCACCAGAGAATGTGCAGGTACCATCAGGCTTGTTACAACTGGGATCTGTCAAGGTAAACGATCTGCCATAGTCTGTTTCAAGTCAAGTCAGTCTAGTTCAAAGATATATCGATGTAAGACTTACAGCCCTTGCCCATGACTACTTTCTCGGGCTTGACACCCGCACGCCAAAGCAAGTCGAGACCAAGATTGATCTCAGTGATATTGGTATGTGGCGCAATTTTAGAACCAATGAATTTGCTAGCCGCATCCCACACCCCGTGCAAGTCGTAGCTCATCAGGTTGAACCAGCTGACAGAAGACTGGTGCTTGGCAAGCTCAAAGTGCTTCAAGTACCAGTACGAGGATGGAAGGGTAATGGTGTAACCGTATCGACCAGCAAATTGGTCGTGGATATCCTTGGAAAGCTGCACGAAATTGGCAGAATCCTCTGCTCTGCCACCTCGATCATCTTGATCAAGTCAGCAATCGGTGACCACAAGGTGAGAAACAGCGCAAAGCTTACCAGCTGTGGGGTATTCCCAGTCCAAGTCCATTCCATCGAAACCGTAAGTATCCATGAATTGCATCATGTTGTTGATGAACGTTTTGCGATTCGCCGCTGTGCTAGCCATGTTGCTGAAAGCTAGCTGCCATGGGCCCGCTGTTGAGAATGTGTAAGCAACAAACATTGTCCCATGAAATTATCGACTTACGATCGTTGAAAGACCATCCTCCCACACTGACCCAGGTCTGTAATCCAGACTTCTTCTCTTTGAGCGCAGTGAATCTACTAAGAAGCTCTCCAGCATTCTTATCCATTGGGACAATCTCGAATGTTGTGGGGTGGAAGAACACAAAGGCGAAATTCAGATGTGTGAAACCATCCAGGTTGAGATCTTCTGGAGAGACAGAGCTGCACTTTCTGGTGTTGGCCCAAGACTCGTAGTATCCAATGTTAATACTGTCAACACTGCCGCCATCTTTATTGCACGATGGTCGCTTGACGTCTCCGCAGCCACCGAAGTCCTTTTGACATCCCTGATCGGCATCGCAAAACTCGGGTACCGAGCCACAGAATCTGAGTGAACGTTAGCATGGCATTCAGATGATGAGCAACGATCGGAGTCTATTCACCCAAATTGGGAGCAGCAAACACCGAGAGGACAGTTCTGTTTTCCGGGTGCACCATATTGACCGCACTCTGCTTTGGCAAGACAATTGGATGAACAATTTCCAGTACCACATTCAGCTGGAGAGTAACCACAGAGACCAGATTGCTGGTTAGAGTTAGTCGTGCCCGCACTGTTTTTGGGGTAATCGCTTACAATACTGCAACATGCTCCGTTAACGCAGGGCGTTTCCGAATTACAAGTGCCAGTTGGAAGTTCAAGAACTTGAGCTGCAAGTCTGTTCTTCAAGATACCGAAAGGCGAATTGAGTAGAAAGTAGTTTTGATCAACCTCCTCGTTGAAAGTTACATTTGAGAATGAAGCATTCTGGGCAAGAATACTTCCTGTCCACCCGATGGCGAGGGACGTGAAGATGAGTGAGGTGTACCTCATATTCAAAACGCTCTATGAACGATTGAACATCAGCGTCGCTGATCAGTTGAAGATGGTAGACATTGTAGTTTGATCAGCCTTGAGAATGTGGGAAATATCCATTGCGCTCCAACCAAGAGCCTAAAATAAACCCTTGTCATTCAAAGTATGGAATGCCGATACAATGCCCAGCCCTACATTAGTTCTATCAGCACTACTGCAGGGGCAGACTACTTGACTGGACGACAGTTTACCCGGACTATGTGCTTCACCACCGCTATTGCTACAACTTTCGTCCGCGCCGCGGATGCGCTCACAGTGTTGAGTGGTGATCTACTTAGAGATCGGAAATCTCTCCTAATCTTTCCTGCCTCAGCCTTGGGCCCGGGCGAGAGGTTTCATGTGATAGATACGACAAGCGCTGGAGACCCTGAGACAGAAACGCCTGTTGTTGGACTTCGTACTATCCAGAGTAGGAATACAGACAGTAAGGCGTCCAACGAGTCTAGGCACCGTACTTAGGCAGATGCTTCACCGCTGTGGGGGCCCGGAACTGTTCAAAGCGACAGTAGCAATAATGGCGTGTTGAAGGTCGTTGCAGGGCGTAAATCAAGGATCTCTATGGGGAAGGTGCGTATAATTTGAACTCCAAAATGCCAGGATGTCAAAACTCTGTGATGCGTCCCGCCTGCCACCAGGGCACGGAGCACATCTAGGTACCAAGTACCAACAACAACCGTTGTGGAGTGGCAGACACATATGGCGGGCGGCAGCGGTTCGGAACGTGCAGGATGGGGATGCTACGACTTACCGGGTGATTGCCCAAAGGTGGACTAACAATGAACGATGGAGATTAAAAGCTGACCCTGGTTTCTTGGTATAGGCTTGGCATGGCTGAGCATAGGGTAACGAAGAAATTGGAGGTTTTGGTCAAGCCGTGCTTTCGTAAAGTACTTGCACGCGAAAAGCTTCTCCAGAGGCTCAAACGTCCCGTTCCAGTGATACTGAGGTTAACTTCACACCACGATGGCTTTCACACGCGCCCTTACCACCATGAGCATCATGGCGGTTGTCTCAGGATTCAACATGTATCCTTTGCTTCCGGGTCCGATAATGACGGAGATCTTGGGTATCTCAAGTAGCTGTCTTTCAGCACTGTAAGCGAATACATTTTATCGCGAGACCTTGACTGAGTAAAAACAGTAATACCACGTTACCATGCGATAACGATCTCATGGGCTGGACGCAAAAGGTCGATCAGATCTATTGGCAGGAGAGTGATGTGGTCACTCTTTGCACTCCTCGCTGTATCAATGCTGCCGGTCTTTGGAAGACCAATGTCGAAATCGCTTGTGCAAGTGATTGGCTGCGTCATGGAGAGCGATATGTTCCAGCTGACACGTTGAGCGATCGGATTTCAGAGGGCTTGAACATGGCATGCATGCAAGATTCAGCCAAACAGTGGTGTTTGATTGAGTCGTACGAATGGACAGGATCCGATGTTGTCCAAATCGATTGTGAAGCATTTCCCGAGGATCCATGGTGCTTGAACCGTGCCGACTTCAGCGCCAACCAAAGTCGCATGTCCACTCTGTATGACGACGAGCTACTGTGCTCAGAGTGCTTCATGAAGCAGCTCTATGCGCGAGTCACATCCGAGTTTCTTCAGGACACAGACTATGGTGATTACCTCGTCAACGAATACCAGGACATCCAAAATGTGTGCAAGAAGAGTATGGGTGAGCTCGTCACAAGAATTGTGCCTGCATACCCCCATTTGACAGAGGGACCGGATATCGGTAAACCTGAATATACACCACCGGTAACGAGCACACCTGCAGCAACACCATCACCAACTGCTTGTGCTGGTAGAGTTTTAGATATTCGACCCCTCCTTGAAGACTTCGATTGCCACGAGATTGCAGAACAGTTTGAGTTAGCATCCGGTTCGCTTGCGGCTGTGACTGGAAATAACTATTGCACAACCGACGTAGAAATTTGCGTGCCACAGGCATGTAACGTGTACCACATACAAGCAAATGATACATGGTATGTCGTATCCGTACCGAGCGTAAGATATTTCGCTAATTGTGGTACAGTGCTTCCCTTGCTCAAACTTGGTCTAATTCTACAACGAACGTTACTATGGCTCAGGTTGCTACTTGGAATCCCTTTATTCTGGGTGCATGCGATCATCTACTCGTGGGCCAAGTTGTCTGCTCGAGGTCAGTGTCAACTTAGTAGCAAGAGCCCGTTTATAATCGCTAACGTCTCCCACAGTCCCCCAGGAGGAGCATGGATCAGTCCACCAGCTTCAGAGATCCCTGACAGTAGCGAGGGTCCAGTCCGAGGTGGTCCAGGCAGCACGGCATCTCTTCCAATTATAGATGATGCAAGTGCTGTTCCGGCCGATATGTTGCAAGAAGGTATATCATCAGACTGCAATCGATGGATTGTGGCAAACAATACTCAAGCCGCATGCTGGAAGCTGGCAAACGACGCCAAAATCTCCACACAGAGACTGTTTGAGTTGAACCCAGTTCTTGGAACAGCTGGTGAATTCTGCGCGACCCGAGTCTGGCTCGGCTACTATTACTGCATTGCGACACCAGGAGACGGCACGAGTCCAAGTCCCACAAAGCCCATCACAAGTGCGACTCCTACTACTGGACCGGCCAAGCCTACACAGACTCAATCCGGAATCGATCCAAATTGTAATTCTTTTGCGCAAGCGCCGGAAACTGGAGCGTCATGTTGGTCTATTGCCAATGGGGCAGGCATTGACTTGGCCAATTTTTACAAATGGAACATTGGTCTTGGATCAAACGGAGAGAATTGTAACACACAGATATGGCCCCAGTATTATTACTGTGTGGGAGTCGCGACCACAACGTCGAAAGCTCCAACCACTACTTCAAGTGCTCCGAAGCCTGCAAGAACACAGACTGGATTTCCTTCCAACTGTACAAAATGGGTGGAGGCCAAAGATGGAGATTCCTGCTGGGCTATCAGCAATGCAAATGGTGTCGATGCAAACTTGTTCTACAAACTCAACCCAGTGCTGGGCGAAGGCGGAGCAAATTGTGGATCTCAAATCTGGCCAACGTACTTTTACTGTCTGGCCAATTGAGAGACAGGTTCTTGGTAAGCTACATGTTATGATGCCATGAAGCTTGTTGCTAAGAGCTTCGTCGGGGAAATTTTAGTTACGCCGCCGTTACGCGTGTAGATCTTATGATAGCGCAGGCTATTGTGAATATGAAGTCTAGAATGAAGAGCTGCAAGAGCTGGATTGCGGAGTGGGAATGAGATGACAATCACTTCGATCATGCATCACATACTGTAACTAGGACTTTGTGCACGTAGTGAAGGCTACCCGGCCGACAACATGTCGTTCTGAAAAGAGCTCACTATCCAGAAGCCGGCTGTCCAGGTGACTTCACCCTTCAGTCGTGAATCACCGGGACGTAACCAAGAAACTGCATAGACTGAACAGATCCCGTAGCAGCTAATTTCGTATTAATTTGCATCTACGTGGTAACAATGTCTGTGCATCGCGAAAGCGCGCACGTTGGAGAACTTTGAAATTACTTGCAACGCAGCCCGCTCATTTGCGACCCACACAACCTTGGATAGAGTGCCCGTGCGCGCAACGAGCCACTACACCACACAACGAGCACTCTAGCTCTTGTAGGTTTAGCGCGCTTTCCAATTTATCCTAATATCGGTACAAACTGTGCCCCACCACTGTCCGCACTTCAGGATTTCACGGTCTATCGCAATCCTGACGACCTGCAATTTGTCCGCAACGTCAACAATGGCCTATGATCGGGATGTGGTAGTTCGTTGTTTCAAGCGACATTATGAGCTCTTGGTGAAAGCAGCCTACTTCGATTCCGCAGAAGTCCAATACCCTCCAGATGAAGGCTGGAGCGATGAGCAGCTTGCTGTGGATATTATGCGTGCTTTCGGCCGCTCAGAGGAAGTAATCGATCTCCTCCGGCATCTTCCTTATATCAAACAGCTCGACGGTGACAGCAAAGATGAAATATACTTCGAGACCCAACACCTTAGCTATCTGCGCGATACCTGGCCGTTTAAATCCTTGACTGTAGAAAAGTGCCAAGGAAAACAGCTTTTCGACAAACTGTTGATGCCGAGTCCTGAAGACTGGCCAGCTGGTTTCATTGCATTGACGCAAGACATATATGCAACATGGTGGATAATCGACACTGCGAAAGGTTTAGCAATATAACCCATACATATAGACCACTAGAGGACTGACATTTATGCCAGGTATCCTACATGCGGTAGGTACGGGTTACATAGAGCCACCAAAAGATGAGCCTTGGCTTTTGGGGTCTGTTCCACACGACATTCAACAATATTTTGACGAAATCTACAACATGGTTGAAGGATTGATGATGGTTCCTTGTCCGAAGGGGAAGAACTCGTGGAACAGGACAATCCAGCCGTACACATGGGAGATCGGAAGTGTATGTTTTGTCTTGTCGAGGTTTGAGGACGCTCTACTGATGTTTGCGAATTAGGTTGTGAGTCAAACATTACGGAAGCATGGCTGGCCCGATAATTTGGATCGAGACGAGTATCTCGAGGAGCTCGAGCGGGTACGTCCAGAGGGTTGATCTTGGACCGGAGGCATACCATTTCGAAGAGATACTCCACTTTCCAGATACAAGCAAGCACCCATACTCTCGAAAAATCAAGAGATGTGTTTAAGTTTCTAAAGCGGTGTTGATAAATGTTATTCCTAGCGCTGAGTACAGGCTCCCACGTCGAATATCAAGTTGTACCTAGCTCAACGAGTGCTGTTATCTTCAATACGCGGAGTAGTGGTGTATTAGTCTGGGTAGCGTAGAACAAAGGGAAGTCGGAAGAGAAGTTCGAAGTAGTCAGGACCCGTCCACAATCAGGGCTCAACGACACATACTATTGTAAACACAGTATGTAGTAGATGTGGCACTAGTTTGAAGAACACCCCCTATTGTGCTGCTACCTAGGTGTGTAAGCACAGTCCGGCGAGAACTCGTTGCGGTAACTCTGCAGCAGCGACAACATCACCGCCTTTTAGTCTTTCTGCTAAAAGCGCAGTATATAAGCTGTCTGTTGAGCGTAGTAAAAATGGACGGCACAGGGGCTGAGCTTTTAATAGACTTTAGTGGTGGAGAAGGTAGGAAGCTTAGCTGCGGCGGAGTTTGGGATGTTTTCCTGACACAACGAACATCTTCTGCGAAACTCTGTGTCTAAGCCCTTTTCTAGGAACTCGAATTTGTGGTTTATCTGCGGAGGGACTCCGAGTAATCTCCTTTGCCCTGAGTGCTCGAGTGATTTCCGTTGCGGGCGGTCTGCTAAGCGCGAGCGGATAGTTTCCCGACGAACAAGGCAGAGAGGAAAGTCTTGTACGCTTTAGTGTTTATAGGTCTACTTACTTACTATACTACTAGATATAGCAAGATTAGTTGTAGCTTTACACTTTAGCGTTTACTAGCCTACTCCGATCACTACATAGGCCCTAAGTTACCCGCGGAGTGAGCTTTGCAATAATCAGTATACGTGCGTCGAAGCTTCTCCGATATGTCCTCGCTTCCGGATTCTTCGCTCCCTTCGTCGTATGATTCGGAGTCTGACAGAGCAGGACTCACTCAATGTAGATAACCTCCTCATCGCCTCTGCAGGTTGCATGTGGTACCGCAACGCCATCGGAATCTCTTCTCATCAATCCTGTATTCGTTTCTAGGATATAACAGCTATCGTGTGTGAGGCCGATCCTCCTGTAATGGTCTCCTACAGCTTGGAAGATCAGGAAAATGGGAGGACGATCATAATCCCATTTCTCGTCGTCGACAAATTCATACCGTCTCTTTATGGTATCCCAACGTGGTGTATGGTGTAGGACTGCTGGTACTGCTTTAATAGCATTCTTCAAGTTAGAGTTTGTAAGGTTAGTATCGAGCCACAACTGGAAAGCGATCTGTATATCGTCACCATCCGTATCGGCATGCTGTAGAACGACCAATGGCGTCCATTTTGACTGTTTTTCGTGAATATTGCGTCCGCTAGACTTTTGGTTCATGACCAAGGAGGCCGTATAGAATCTACCTGTAAGGCGTAAAGTAGGACCGTAGTCCGCCGGTAACATGTCGTATCGACTCTCGTACTGCTCATCTAGTGATCTCCAGCCTCCATCAGCTGCACGAATGTGTGCGTCGTAACCTAGATCATTGGACCGCTGATAGCGGATGCTCTTTGGACCAGTTGTTGCCACCCACGACCAGCTAGGAAAGCCTTCTCTTCTTTGCCCTGGATATCTGCTGTGCCAGCTCAGTGAGAGTACGGGTCGTGATTCAGGCGCGTAAGGCCATCCAGATACCTCGTACTGAACTGGCATGCCCCAATAGTGGCAGTCGACGAACTTGTTCAGCAACCCGACACAGGCGTTGAGGATGTCGCTTTCAAAAGACAGCTTTCTGGTCGAGTAGTTGCTCAAGACATCAAAAACATTGTCGGAGCTGTATCGACTTCGTCGGACATGTGGTTGACGGACTCGTAGGTAAAGACCCTCGTAGTCCAAAGTAGACTGCTGCACAGACTCCTGCCATAACGCTCGGCCACACACGTAGAAGACTTGATGTTCTGTAAAGATCATCCTACGTGGTGCCAGATAGCCCTCCTGATGTGTCCAGCCTCTCGACGCCCACGTACTGCCGTTCAAAGCTTCTCTAGGAACGAACCTCTCGATAAGCTCTACACCAGTGTCTATCTGGAGACTCTTCTGTGCTTTGCGAGGTTTGCGACCAACTCCCGGTAGTCCATGATTGGACGAACTGCCCGCTGCAGCAACGATGACCAGCTGTGATTCGGCATAGATGCGGCCCATGAGCTGTATCTGAGCTTGCTTATGACTCGCGTCTAGCTGGTCGATACACTGAGAGTGATTGTTAGCTGTCTCCAGCGACTCGAACTGAGAGGCGGTTCCATACAAACTGGTCAACCCATAGATACTTGTATCCCAGTTCTACTGTGACGGTGATAGCATCGCATATCGTCTCTGGGAAGCCGGGCTGATGATTTTCAGGAGCCTCTGGGCTGCCCCATACATATGACAAGGCCACGAAATGAAAAGGGGTGACCAATGGTGCAGCAACGATCTGTTTAGTGTTGCAGTCAATCACTTTGAGGCCAGGGATGGGTGGCTTGTAGGGACGGTTACAGTTAGTAGCATGATGACACTTACAATAGTCCAGCCAACCTTGAAGAATACTATAATCAATGCTTCTTATGTTGAGCTTGCGGACCAGAGAGTGTTCGGCAGTATTGCGCATATCCTGAATCGCAAAACCACCAATATCCAATGATTCGCCCAGCGAAGTGTCTGTTCTCAACCTGAGAAACAGAGAATGCTGCGGTACGTCATCGCGGCCTTGCTCATAGTCGAAGATATGGCTCATGTGTGACACTACCGTCTCAGCCTTGCAAGCGCAATACACTACAAGAGCTTGACTAGAGTCTTCCTGAAACTCCTTCGCAGAGCCTAGCAGCCGACACAGCGAACATGAGGACGCGGAGAGTTCCGGAATTGTCTCGGATAGGGGGAACAGTTCCAAAGGGGCATATCTTTCGCAGAACTGTATAGCGCTGTCAAAAAGAAGATGTGACCAATTTATGCCAGCACAACGCTGGCACAAGTCACCCGCGGGATGAGCTTTTCGATAATCAGTATACGTGCGTCGTAGCTTCTCCGATATGTCCTCGCTTTCGGATTCTTCGCTCTCTTCGTCGTATGATTCGGAATCTGACAGAGCAGAACTGATTGCTGTAACAGCGTGTGTGCGTCGAAGCATCTGCCATGTGGCCTCTTTTTGGCCATACTCGGTATGAGATTCGAAGTCTGAGAACGCGGAACTGGATGTTGTGGAAAGGCTCGAAGCAACCCGTAAATGCTCCATCCTACAGGTCGTTCAGAGACCGCAGGATCTCGTTGTTAGCAGTTGTGCAGTAAGTCGGGAACGAAAGACACGACGAGGTGTTGAGGCTGGTGAGTTAGTGGGGCAGTGTAAGAGGCAGAATAGCCTATTCCTCGACTAGGCTGCCATGCCGCTGACAAAAAAGGTGCATGGCGTTGCTGGCGCTAACGCGATGAGATGCATGCACACTATGCACATTAGTCTTGAACGAATGCAGAATCCGGACGCATACGGCAGGTTCCGTAAACACAGAACGTATGGAGAGAAAATCAATATATAATGCAATACTGTTCGCTCAATCATCCAGACTTGTGTCATGACAGTAGTAGGCGTTACGTACCCAAGAACGCCATAATAACAAAGGTATCTCAGAAAGCAAGCCATGACCAAACACCTGACCCAGGAATCCGCACAGTATCTTTATCGTTTGCGGCTCTCATCCCAAGCACATGCCAGCTTTCGTGCATACATCGGCGTCCAGCGCATACGCGAACCGCATGCTCCACGTTTACATTGTCCGCCAGAAGTAGTTCGTGTAGAAGTGTCGTGAAAACTTGGGATCGATGTTCACAACGTGCACGTCGCCCTTTGTAGCATTCCGAATGACAGCCTTGTTATATTCGCCGGTTGTAGGGTCGGCTTCGACGTCGATTCCGAGGGTGCGGTAAAGCTTGAGCTTCAATCTGGAATCTAGGTCAGCATCTGCGCTTACTTGCCCATCGAAGGTGAACTTACACTGTCGCATCCTCACCCGCCCTAGGTTCGACACCGCCCTCTACGCCCTCATCTTCCAATTCACCAGCTACACCCCCTAATCTTGCCAAGTCACTCTGCAGCCTCTCGCCCTCAATCTCCAGATCACTCGCCTGCTTCGCAATCTTGAATTTCTCAGTGTCTAGCCTCAAGATCTCCGCCGCATGGTTCGTCGGGTTGTGTTGGCTGAGTGTGTGGTTGTGGTTCGCGGAAAGTGTTTGGTGTGTCCGGTTCAGCGCGCTGAGAGACGACTGAATGGAGCGTAGGTGTTGGGTGCGGAATTCGCTGAGTGTACTAAGAGACTCGTTTATGCGGTGGAGCGAGGTCTTGTCATTGGCGATTTTGAAGTGTGATGTACATTGCGCGATGAGCTGGAGAGTGTTAGGGACGTTTGGTCTGTACAAGTGCGAAAAGGGTGCATACAGCAGCGGGATCTTCGTCGAGAAGCATATTGAACTGTTGTGTGTCGCACGAGATGTATGAAGATGGCGTAATGGATTGAAATGTTATTGGATGTTTGCGCAAGTTCGTTTGGTCCGGTCTCCGGCGATGTCTATCGCGACTGCCCTATGGTGTTGATGTTCTTGTTTGTATGGTCCGTGCCAGGTCGCGTACATGGCAACCGCGACCGAGTGGCGGAAGGCGCAGGCGTAGCGTGGCGCAAGGACATGCAGCCACGGGGCGTACGTCACGGTAAAAGATCGCCTGCTCGGCCTGCAGCTGGAGCTTTCACGAGACAGCCGGTAGTTTGGCGCTTACCACTTGCACTAACCTCTGAGGCCATCTTCACGATACAGACATTGCCTCCTCCGAAGACACAGCTTCCTAATTTTCGTGCGCAACACAAACAGCCGTCATGCCGCCGTCATTACCATGTGAGTGGGATAATGACTTTTGGGCCGACGAACGCTCATTCCCATTAGATGCCGCCGATGTCGAGTCGCCGCTCAAGCCTGAAGAACTGCAGGTTCTGCGCGCGCAATACGAGAAAGAGGGCGAATATGTTGGGCTACAGACAAAGTTCAACTACGCATGGGTACGACTTCCCCGCGTCGGGTGATATATTCACATGCGCACGGTATCTCCCACAACAACCAAGCTCATGGCATTCTAGGGTTTGATCAAATCTACCTCACGTCCCGACCAACAGGAGGGAGTGCGCCTCCTCTCTGAGATCTTCCGCAACTCGCGCGAGCGCCGGCGCGAATGCCTCTACTACCTCGCCCTAGGCAACTACAAGCTCGGCAACTATGCTGAAGCCCGACGGTATAACGAGTTGCTGCTGGAGCTGGAGCCTGCAAACCTCCAGGCTGGAAGCTTGAAGGGACTTATTGACGAGAAGGTCGCAAAAGAGGGGTTAGTGGGCGCCGCCATTGTGGGAGGAATTGTGGTCGCTGCGGGGGTGGTGGGGAGCCTCTTGCTGAGGGGAGGGCCTCGAAGAAACTGAACAGGCGCCGTCTTCGCGAAGTCTATGACATGCGTAATGTCATTTGGACCATCGGTCACGCCAGGTCCACAATCATGTTGATGAGTACATGCATAGGCGTTTGGTGGTTTCTATACCTTTGCCCGGGATGGTATAATTTATGGCAATTGTTGATATCTGTATATACAAAGCTCTCCTACTTTGCAAGCGACCGCATCAGATTCGCGCCCCATGTCGTATACTCTGTGTTGACTGATCTTTGGCTGATAGAAGGCTTCAGAACTGAATGGAACAAGGAAGAAGCGGAAAGACGCAACAGATCGCACAAACGTAGAGTCAGAACAAGACAATCAACCGCTGCCGCGCTCAAGAAGACACACAAGCTACTTTGCTTCCATCTCCCTCCTATTTCCTTTCCCACCAATTATTGACCCAAGAGGCAAAGTGCTGGATTAGCTTCATCCATCTCAAGATACCGCGGGACGAATTGCTGGACCCCACCACCCCTGCGCATCGAGCAACGTCATTCCGGCCAGACAACTTCCGCGCCAAACGTCTATTACCTTACGGCAGGCCTTGCTTTAGAGCTTCTGCTCCGCTAAATTCCCTTCTTTCAGGTGTCTCCGCATTCCACTACTTTACCCAGTACCTGTCTGTTGTCGCAGCTCGCCACCACATCACTACTCGATCTGGCAACGGCGCATGATAGGATCTTGAGTTGATTCCCTTCCGCGCCTACTTCCGACACAAGGCCGTGAGTCTACATCCGTTGCTAAAACGTCACTTCCTGTGTACTCATCTCATCCAGTCTCCTGCAGTCTTGTCCTACCACCCTACGTTTTATCACATACGCCTCAGGCTCGCGACTATGGACCAGTCCAGCAACCAGAATGCGCCGCCACAGAATCAGCAGCCTGGGCATCGCGACATGATGTTTTGCCACGAGTGCGCCGACGAGTGGTATCGGGATGAACACGGTCTCTCGTGTCCAGAATGCGGCTCAGATTTCACGGAGATTGTGAGTTCAGCCGCCAAATTCAGCTTTCAGCTCACTAGACACGAGATGGAGCGGTTGTGCATCGACTTCCGCTAACGCCAATCAGATCGAAGACAACAATGACCCAAGAGACAGTACCGGAATGTTTGGTCACGATGGCGACGACTCCGACTCTCTACCTGACCACGAACACGCCCTACCTCACCTGCATCCTCATCATAACCCATGGCAAGCTGACGACCCTGAGGAGGGGGATATTAGCAATGTCAGATGGACAGAAACGGGTCCGGGGAGGTACAATCTACAGGCTACCGTCACTCGCTCTGTGTCGCCCCAGGGCGGCATGGCGGTGCCCGGGTCCATAGGCGGATTTATGGCCATGTTGAACGGGCTCACGGGGGCTGCATTACGGCCACCCCAGGGTCAGACGCAGGGTCAGGGCGAGGGTCTGTTCTCTGGCGCTGCGCCAGGGTCCAACCCGAACCAGTCTACTTTCCAGGAAGCTCAAAATCAGGATGCGGAAGGAGGGCCCCGATTCCGTGGAGGAACCTTCACATACCATGGCGGCGCTCGACTGTTCCCTGGAAATGGAAACAACCCTGGGCGAGCCGAGCCCGTGGATGAGATCACCAAGTAAGAAAGAGCGAGTCACTTTGATAGACCGACGCTGACAATGTGAATAGTGTTTTGACTGGCCTCCTGGCTACCTTTGGTGCACCACCTCCTCGCGTCCACGCCCACAACCACCCCTTAGGCGGCGCTGAAGGTACTTTCCGTGGCGAACACACTCATGGCGCCGGCGAACCGTTCGCAGGTCACCCTATCCTACAACTCTTCTCCTCAATGGGCATGATGGGCCCTGCGAGTAACATGGGAGATTTCGTCTATTCTCAAGAGGGCCTAGACCGCATTGTCTCTCAACTCATGGAGCAAACTTCAACCAGCAACGCACCCGGCCCTGCGACACAAGCCGATATTGATTCTCTTCCTCGTACCAACGTCACGGAAGAGATGCTAGGTGACGAGCACAAGGCCGAATGCAGTATATGTATGGATGAGGTCAACATCGGCGAACAAGTAACGCTACTGCCATGCAAGCATTGGTTCCACCACCCATGCGTATCCGCGTGGCTGCTTGAACACGACACCTGTCCTCATTGTCGAAAGGGTATCACCAAGGGTGGCGAGGGCCAGTCTAACAACCCTGCGTCTGCAGACTCACAGACGGATCGTACGTCCCAGATGCCCGGTTCATTCACTCCTTCCGGCTCGGGCACGTTCAATGATCCCTACGTTGTTCCCGCAGGATCTCCACCGCCACCTTCCAACGATCAGGGCAGCTCTTCTAATAACGCGAATGCAGACTCGGGTAACGGTGGCATCAGTGACCGGATACGCAGGGGTCTGTTTGGATCTCCGCAATAGGGATGACATCCTTTATGTCGGTTATATCAAGCTAATCTTCATATATATTGTTAGGGCGTGAGCGATTTAGGAGGAGCAGAGAGGTGTTGCGAGAGGCAAGACGGGTTGGCCGTGATTTAGCCTCTCGATCTGAATCGGCCGAGATTCAATCACCAGAGATCATTCTCAGCGGCAGACCTAATACTGAAGGGGCACGTCGCGTATCTTCTTTTCTCAGTCCACGGGCTCAGCGAATGGGAACGGACACTCGTCGGTCTACCTCTGGAGGCGGTCCTGAGAGTCCAAGCGAGTCTACTCCACAGACCACGTCTGCAGATGGCACTGCGCATCCAAGCGGGCCTTCCACGCGACGACACTCACGGCGATCTGGTCGTTCGGCAAACAGGCGACAACGGTCCGCTTGAGTCCTGCGTTGGCGTCGGTACGTTGGTTTAGCGGTTGGCGTTGAAGTCTTTCCTTCCCCACGCGTTTGCTCAGTGGGAGCTGTACATAGTCTTCCTTATTCTTCCTTGGACATCAAAGTCTTAGCATAGTCACGGCGTTGGAGTTCTGGAGTACACATCCACAGATGGGAGTTTTTCATAGTTTAAGAGCACCAATACCATTGATATCATGAGTTGCCTGTACAGCCTAGAGAACCCGAGAGCATTCTAGCGTCAATCATTCCCAACTGATCCGCCGTGACTGCAATGCCGTCGCCACTTTACAATCACATGCCAGCCCAAGCAACCCCTCACTTGCGGTGTCGCCTCAACAACGCAGCCGAAAGACTTTTTCTGCCGTGATTTCTCAACTCACGCGCCACGATACGACGTTGATGCAAAGAGGCGGTGGAGCAAAGAGCGCGAGTGCTGACCTGGCTAGCGCGGCGCCTTGTCAACGGGTGGGGTGCGGTTATGCAGGGCCAGTCCGTGAGTGACTAGGTTCTGGGGTGCAGTGGTTTTGCGGTGAAGAGACTGCTGCACGAGACAAGGGCTATGTGATTGCATTGGGGCTAAGAAGAGAGGTTGGGGAAAGCAACGATCACAGCCACTTTCGGGATTTGAAGAGGCCTTCGGCGAGGTGCCAGAGGGTTGTCGATTGAGAAGTCGACGGTCCGAGAGAGAGGGTTGGCGAGTCGAATTGACTGGGCAAGAATTAATTCTGCGGATCCGATTGAACAACGCATCAACGCTTCGACCGCCCATTAGGAAAAGCTCTGCATGACGATTGTGCGCGCGCGCGTCAAGAGTTGTCCTCGTCTCAGAGTTGGGTAAGGTGTCGTGCCTCAGTGGTCGCCTCGAGTTTGATGAGACGAAACGATGTTTGCAAAAGAAAGACCGTGTGTACCTGCAAGCCATTGGGGTTCGCATAATATCATGCCGAGTCACACGTCGACGCGCCGTGACCGTGCGTGAGCCCTACGATGGAGACCACGATCAGCGAAGATGTGCTGGGCTTGCTTATCGATTGCTCGCCCAACTTCCTATAATCGAAGCTTGCCGCGCGATGACCGCCTCCAAACGCCATTCCCCGGAGCTTAAAGCACGCTTTTGACGCGACGTGGTGGTACTGACGTGCATGGCTGTGATTGGTACGAAGGGTTTGCCCGCAAGTGGGGTGGAGACGTCGTGTGTCGAGGGCGTTGGCGAGTACAAAACTCGCGGTATCTCATCAAAGTCGAGTTGACATGACAAAAGCAACCGCCTCTTCATCATCGACATGCCCAGGGCTGGGTAGTCAGCACAGCTGGTGTCGTCGAGGAAGCCCTGGCAGACCCTAGTCGAGGCGGTAAGAAGCAAAGTGGAGCCGCTTGGGAGCTCTGACAAGGGCCCTGGTGCCCTCGGCCTCGACATCCATCTGCGTTGTGCTTGCATTAATGCCTGTCCAGCCTCGCCCATGCTGATGTGCTACGTCGTAGCAGAGTACATGACTGGCTCGTGCCTCCCCTCGAGAATGTATATACCTCGTAGCGGACGTCTAGCGTCCGACAATCCACCAGGCTTGCATGCAGGATCCAACGTGTTGTTGTGCTTGTACATAAGTAAAGCTCCATTTCGTTACCGTGCGGTGAGGAGACTTGACGGCCCGCCCAGATTCAGAAAGGGCAACAAAATTTTCTTCCCCATTGATTGGACTGGCTCGCGCGGGAAACAGTGGCGCTTTCAACAGAGGGAACTGATAGCAGTAGAGCGTGAATCATGCCGAGCTGGGGCAGGAAAGAAAGCTATGAGTGAGTGCTACCCGTCATCCTTCCCTCTGCCTCCCCTCCATCCACCCCTCACCACTGCTCCATCTGTCTGAGGACATTACCATACACGACTCTTTTCTTCTTGTTGCTTTTGGTAAGAAGCTCTCTGCCACGATACCACTTTGTGGCGTGACATGCCCTAACTATTTTTTTCTTGGTCGTTTTCTTACTGCCATTGCCCATCACCTATAAAGTCCACGACTAACGCCTTGTATCAGAGCCTCTTCGAGAGAGCAGAAGCAGATCCTCGCTGATATCGAGTCGGGATCTCAGAAGTTTAGCAGACGGCTACTACCACCAAGAACGATAAGCAACAAGAGAGGTGGACTTGTAGAACCCTTTGCACCCGTGCCCACAACTGGCGAAGCAAGCCAGCAAGAAGAGCGTCGAGGTCGAAAATCATCGAGCTCATTCCGACCGGGACTTCCCAAGCGAACGAGCAGTATGAAGAGAGCGTACAACTACTTCTTCGGCGGACCGGCACCGGTACCTGCAACAGCTGAACCAGCGACACCAGCGGTGACAACGGACGCGACACCTCCCAGCAAGGTCGAGTCGAATCAGCAGGACAATGGTGTCGACACCCCACCAGAGACACCGCGCGAGGCGCCCACACGGTTAAGTGAAGATGAAGCAGGTACGTGACGCTCACCGCGAACCCACCCCCACCTGCCCAATAACACTATCTCCAGCCCCTCCTCACTATCCGCTCTCCCTTCACTCGCGGGCGTCTCCACTGCACCACGCACCAGCTCACCACTTACTAACGCACCCCTCCTCAGCAGCAGACTCCCCCTCCCCTCCCTCACCACACGCTTCCGACAGCTTCGAGACGCAAATCGAGAAGCTCAAGAAGAAGCTCAAGCACGCCGAAGCCGAGCTCGATGAAGCACAACGCGTCGCCGCCACCCAAGATGAGCACGTACGCACTCTCGAGGACGACCACGAGGAGCGCAAGAAGGAATTCGAGGCCCGCGAGGCATCGCTGCAGCAGGATAAGAAGGACCTTGAGGAGCACATGGTCAGCGTCGTTGTCCAGCAGGTACGCGAGGCCAAGGCCAAGGAGAGGAATACCGTCCGCGACGAGTGCGAGGCCGAGTTCAACGAGAAGATGGCCGACGTCAACAAGGAGGCCGAGAGCCTTCGTGCTACCGTCGCCGACCTCGAGAAGCAGATTGCCTCGTACAAGGACGAGGTTGAGAAACTCAAGGGCATGATTGACAGCCACCAGTCCGCCTGCGCCGAGTCGGTTGACAGGTCGGAAGTCGAGGCCAAAGAGACTGAACTCGCCAGCGCCAAGTCGCAGTTGGAGGAGCTCACTGTCGAGAAGAGCAAGACTGAGAAGGATCTTGCCGAGGCCCTTGCAACGATTGAGGAGCTGAAGGCCCAGACTGTCGCCAAGGACGAGCTCGACACTCTCGCAGCTGACCGCGACGCGCAAAAGACCAAGGTCGAGGAGCTCGCTGCTGAGGTTGCCGTCCTCAAGACGCAGCTTTCCGACCTCGAGGACCTCAAGGCGAAGCACGCCGAGCTCGAGGCCGCTCACAGCAAGCTCTCCGACGAGCTCGCTTCCCGCGGTACCCAGGATGCCGACGCTGACAAGGCGTCGAAGGAGGAGGCCGATGGACTTCGCAACACCATTGCCGAGCTCCAGGCTTCTCTCAAGGAGGCGAAAGACACTCTCGACCAGAAGGCTTCTGAGCTCGATGCTAAGACCAAGGAACACGCTGCCGCCGCTGACCAAGTCACGTCTCTCACCGAGTCGTCCAAGGGTGAGGTTGAGAGCCTGAAGACCGAGATGGCCGAACTGCAGGAGAAGCTGAAGACCGCCGACTTGTCCAAGGGCGATGCCGATGAGCTTGCTCAGAAGGTTTCCTCTCTCGAGAAGTCGCTGAAGGAGGCACAAGACAACCTTGCAGCGAAGACATCCGAGCTCGAGGCTTCTTCATCCTCTCTCGCATCCGAGAGGGATTCCGCCGTCAAGGCTGCTGAGGAGGCCAAGAGCAACGTTGATGCTCTTACTACCAAGATCTCCGAACTCGAAGCTTCCCTCAAGGAGTCGCAAGACAACCTTTCTGCCAAGGATGCTGAGCTCGAGACCGCAAAGGGTGATGCGTCCAAGGCCATTGGTTCCGCAAAGGACGAGGTCGCTGGTCTTCAGAGTACCGTTAGCAAGCTTGAGGCTGAGATCGAGTCCGCCAAGGGCTCTTCCGACGAGCAAACCACCGCTGCCAAGAAGGAGGCTGCAGAGCTTCGCGAGACCGTTGAGAAGCTTGAGGCCGAGTTGAAGGCTGCCAAGGACGAGTCTAGCAAGGCTTCAGAGGCTTCCAACTCTAGGGTCACCGAGCTCGAGGCTTCGCTCAAGGAGGCTCACGACAGTCTTGCCGCTAAGGAGTCCGAGGTTGCCGCCGCGAAAGAGGAAGCCAGCAAAGCTGTCGAGTTAGCCAAGGGTGATGCTGAGGGTCTTCAGAAGACCATCGCTGACCTCGAGGCATCGCTTAAGGAGGCCAAGGACAGCCTATCGACCAAGGAATCCGAACTCGAGGCTGCCAAGGGCGAAACCACCAAGGCTACTGAGTCATCCAGCACAAAGATTTCGGAGTTGGAGACTAGCCTGAAGCAAGCACAGGACGACCTCACCGCCCACAAGGCTGAGTTAGAGACAGCGAAGAGCGAAGGCTCCAAGGCCGCTGAACTCGAAGCCTCTCTCAAGGAGGCAAAGGACAGTCTTGCATCCAAGGAGTCTGAGTTGGAAGCCGCCAAGGCGGAAGTCAGCAAGTCTACCGAGTCGTCTAGCTCCAAGATCTCAGAATTGGAGGCCTCCCTCAAGTCAGCTCAAGAGAGCTTAGCTGCGAAGGAGTCCGAACTCAAGACCAAGTCTGCCGATGCTGGCAAGGTCGCCGAGCTTGAGAAGGAACTCGCCTCTGCGAAGTCAGAACTCGAGGCCGCTACCAAGGACTCCGAATCGTCGAAGCAGAAGATCAGCGAACTCGAGGCCTCGGCCAAGGGTGGTGCTGATGAGTCTGCTGCCAAGATTGCGGAGCTCGAGGCATCGCTCAAGGAGGCTACGAGCAAGCTCGAGGCGAAGGAAGCTGAACACTCCGAGTCCCTCAAGACTGCTCAGTCATCAAGCGACGACAAGGTTGCTGCCCTGGAGAAGGAGCTCGCCGATGCTAAGGCTGAAGCTAGCAAGGTTGCCGACCTCGAGGCATCTCTCAAGGACGTCACCAGCAAGCTTGAGGCCAAGGAGGCTGAGCACGCTGACTCCATCAAGGCTGCTCAGTCATCTGGAGATGAGAAGGTTGCCTCTTTGGAGAAGGAGCTTGAGGAGACCAAGAAGGCCAAGGACACTGTAGAGGAAGAACTCAAGGCGTCTAAGCAGGCCGAGGCTGATGCGAAGGAAGGTGCTGCTAAGGCCTCTTCCGTCGAGTCTGAACTCGCTGACCTCAAGGCATCCGCTGAAAAGTCGACTGCTGAGAAGAGCGAGCTCGAGGAGAAGATCAAGGCCAACGATGCTAAGATCGCTGAACTCGAGTCTACCGTCGAGGCCGCCAAGGCGAAGGAATCTGAGCTCACCGCACTTCAGACTAAGCTGGACGAGGCTACCGCTGCATCCGAGACTGCTACCAAAGACCTCGAGGCATCCAAGACCGAAGCTGCCGACGCTAAGAAGTCCCTCGAGTCCCTCCAGGCTACTTTGAAGGAGCACGAAGAGAAGACCAGCGCCCTGACATCCGATGTCGAGACTGTAAAGAAGGAGCGCGACGAGATCAAGACTGAGCTTGCCAGTGCTCAGGAGCAACTCGAGAAGGCGAAGGCTGAGCAAGAGGAGCTTAAGAAGGTCAACGCCGAGGCTCCCGCAAAGGCTGAGTCAAAGGAATCTGACAAGGTCGCTGTTGAGCCCGCTGCCGAGCAAGTCGCTGCTGAGCCAGTACCCGAGAAGGCCGCTGCTGAGCCAGTCGCTGAAGTCAAGGAGCCAGAGGCCACTGCCGACGCCCCTGCTACTGATGGCGCTGCTGAGACTGAGGAACCTGAGACACCTACCACACCCACTACACCTGGCAACAATGCTGATGAAGAGGAGGGCGAGGCTAACGGCGAGTCGACACCCAGTGCCTCAAAGAACAAGAAGAAGAACAAGAAGAAGGGCAAGAAATAAACGCCTTGACGCTTGTTTAACCACTTTTCCTACAACTTTGAATGGAAGGATGATGAAAAGAAGAAGAGGAAGATGGGAAGTTGCATTATACCCTTGCTGCACTGGCACCCTTGGTTGGTGGCTGTGGGAGGATCTTAGATTGTTTGTTTGTTGTTTTTTGATCGTTGGTTTTCCTAGTTTCGATCTCTCTCTCTCCTCTAATGACGTTCACGCTTAGCTTGATGAATGGTATGAGCATGAGTTTGGGCACATGAGTATGAGATGGATGGATGGATGGATAGGACATGAGTCATGTAGATAATGAAGATCCTACTTTACGTTATAGACACACTTGTTGGATGAACTGGATGAGTGATTCATGTGTGATGTCGTCTGTCTTGTAAGAGAAGTTTTTCATGTGAACGTCCGAGAGCTTGGATGTGTAGTAAACCAGACCGAAGTGGTGAGGAATGAGGTGGTGTGGTAGTGGTGGCGGTTACACCGGAGGAGTTCGACTCGGTTCGGTGATGTGTATGTGTGGGATACGTGGTTTGTTATCTGTACTTCAAAGGCGCTTTGGAGTTTGCGTGCACCAAAATCATATATTCACTTCTACATCTTGATTGTACCTCTAGCTTGGGATCAGACACTAAACACTTCGCTTTCTCTCATTCTACACACACTTGCACTGCCTCCACAAAACCTAGCACACCGGCAGCGATAAATCTCTCAGTCTCATACTTGGCTTCATCACGACAGCAATTTCAGTTCTTATCCTGCGGCTTCAGCAAATAAAACAAAATCACCAGGAAAGTTGTAGAGCACTTGGGGCCATGTCAAATCTTCCTATATATTTACATCGACACACGTCAGCAGATATACATGAGGCTTACTTGCTCCCAAAGTTGTGTGTGGATGTAGTTTTTTGTGGGAGAGAAAAGATGTTGTAAGCAGGAGGTAGTTGAACCATGATATGAGATCTCAACTCAAGGTGGGATACACGCAAAAAGTCTTGGGTCACAAACCGGCAAATGTGAGCTGTGGGATTGATAATCACAATATGTACGTCTACAATCTACCTGATGGGGTGTCTATGTGATATAGAGGCACTTCTGGGTATAATTATAACCAGCATTGGTAATCTCGTCGCTCTCCCGCTATCTCCATATCCCCTTGTTTCATGTCTAGCTGTGGTCACATATATTACTACCGTATTTTTTACGAAGATGATGCTCTTGTTCGTCGCCCTTCATCTGCTCTTTGCCGTAGCAACAGCACTCTTCTCTTCTCTCTCTCAACATACAACGTGTTTTCGGGGCTTGTAAAGTATTCACTAGCTAGCGCACCGTCGTCTCCACAGCTCCCTCTTTGGTTCATCTAATAATGATCCATATCGGAAATCATGAATGGACTTGGTTCCATTAAAGTTTCCGTCGCGTTTCGTTTCAAGTCGAGTTAAGTCGCATTATAACACTGCATGCCAATTCCTGGTAAATGGCCTGAGAATGCATCCTGTGCGAATTTGGTTCGTGAGAGGGATCTGTGTGGGCAGCTAGACCTTTATAAATGTTATAACGAAGAGGCGGTGGTGCTGTGAGAACATGCTTTCGGGGGGAAGGGAGAGCCGACAAGCGATTTTGGGTAGCACACACGGCCAAGGGAGAGACTTTCGAATGATCTGTAGTTCCGAACCGGAAATTGAGGGGTGGAGAGGGAGCCTTCGAAGCTCACGGGCCTTACTGCTAGAATCGCGATTAGGTATTTTAGATCAGTGCAAGGCCTCCATGATCGCAACGTCATTATAGTGCTGTTTGGAGGGTACAACGGCCGGTGACATACGTGTCGAGACTAGACAAGGGACGAGCGCAATGGAATTTGCGGTGAGAAAAGAGCAGCTGGTCGTTAATAAGTTTACATGTCGTATAGCTAAGACTCGTTGCCGGCTTGTGCTTGCGTGGCTGGTTCGGTGCGTCGTTGTGTGCCCAGGCGGTGAGCAGTAAAGATGTACGAAGATGGTGTATTTGCTCGTTCGTTCGCTCCGCTCGTTCTGCTCTCACTTTGCTCGTCCTCGTTATGACAGACCTAGAGTAGAGTTGATGCGAAGTGGATATTACTGTCCACCTTTGGTTCCCCTTTGGTAGATGCTCACAGGAGAAGTATCGATGATGTACAGCTAGGACAATCGGGGTTGCATTGGGAATTAAAGAAGCCTAGTTAGCTCCACAGCACGTGTGTGGAAGTGCTTTTTCGGTCGTCAACCTTGGCATGCGGCGAATAACGCAGAGATCGCTGTCATAGTCTGGTTGCACATTAAATCCAAAGAGAATTATGTCTATGACTATTCAAACTTTGTAATTCTCTCAACAGAGGAGTTGCAGGCTAATCTTGTGAGAATCGTAACTAGTTTGCGTGCTGACGTCTCAAACTCGACTCTTAACATGGATGTTTGCAGGCGGATGCAAAAGCATTTGAATCTCCTACTGACGAAGGATCATCGCGGTTTTCTTCTCATGTCTCAGTACGCGGATTGTGAAAGACAGACAACAACCCTTCCAACTCATTTTGTTTTGAACATAGCTCATGCGCCTTTTGTGGCACTAAGGAGATCATCCTCCCCGTCTTCGCACTCGCACCTTTGGTAGCCTGACTATGTCTTCATCAGTGTATTCAAGTGGCGCGTTAACCGCTTGATAGTGCGTTAGCAGTCCCTTTCTAGCTCAATCGACATTGTGAAAGCAATATGGACCGGAGCGTACGTGCGTTCGGCTAACAGCTCCCAGGCGGCCGTCAAACTGTACCCAGCGGCTTCCCTCGAAACAGTTGCTATAAGAATTTCGTTTGCGAGCAACACGGAATTCTCAAACCTTTTAGGACCGTTCAAGTGCCATGATCCAGCACCTCCTGATGAAGAATGCTTACTCGAGTCGGACACATGATGAATACGAGGTTATGGTCATGTCGCGGTACCAGTCCTGGGATGCAGGCGGAAATCTCCGAGCAATGCAATGACTACCCAGCGCATAGCGTGCATGACTGACTTTACAATGTGACAAACGAGGTCGTTGAAATGCGTGGCCTTTCTTACTGCGCCGACAGGAGTGATGTGACCGCCCTACCCCACTTTGGCAGGACCGAGCGGGCGCCAAGTGGATACCGTAGACCCAACGATGTTTGCTCTTTCTCGTTCTCCTTTCACGACCTCAACTTGTCTACCTCAATACTGCTATCAGTTTGCATGTGCTATTGCATTTGCACCAAGCTAGCACTTCTTTAGCCTTTGCATGCTTGGTCGCTGATCACTCGCCGGGACCTGATGTCGTCTATCGTGAAGTATGAATAATCTCGTTGCCAGTTTGCGTGCGTAGCTTCCGTTATGGTTCATGTATCTTCTCACATCCTTTCTATACGGAACAGAATACCTGTTTCTAATGATAGCTCCAGGCTAGATCTTCAAAGCTGTAGATCTTTCCTACTCTATTCGGCAAGGTGTTTTCCAGAAAGAATGAGAGCAGACTGTCTTGGATATCGTGGGATCTGCTCGTTCCCGTTTCATCTGACGAAGTCTTTGAATCAACGGTTCACGCCCATCTTGCGCACTGTTCCCACTTCAACTTGGCACATCATTCGACTCTTTGGTGCACATTAGAAGCATGATGCAATCCTCCGATCTGACTGAGGCATGGACAAGATGTTGGCCATGAGCCGACCGCCATGCCAGAAATCCATCGGAGGACTGGCCGTTGAAACTAACTGCGCGGACTACTTCCTGGTAGATTTATTTAACACTGACCCGATCTTCACACTTGCAGTCGCGACCATTGCAAAAAGCATGGGTCTGTACCGTGCTCTCGAAGAAGCATATGAACAGACACCGACATTCGAGCATATAAGGCTACACCTCAAGCACTCTTTTTACTCATCAGCTCATCAACCACTCAGTCACTACTACAGTACTACTCTATTTTACTCTTAATATTCTTACGATCATTCATATCGAACTTAATCAACCGTCAACATGAAGTTTCTCGCTCTTGTCATTGCCGCTCAGCTCGCCATCGCGGCGCCTGTAGCCAAGAAGTGCTCCTCAACTAATGGTATGTGGCACCTACTTCCTCCGTCGTAAATGCTCAACATATGGACTGGTATTGGATAACATCAACATAAGCTGACCGTATACAGTTGTCTGCTCAGCACCTGGAACCGTTACTGAAGTCAGCGATGCTTCTGCTGAGCAGCTTGACTCTATGACCGGCTCCCTTTCCGCGCGCAGCCTGAGGCGCGACATGATCGACGATGCTATTGCCGAAATTGACATGTCAGACATGCCTGAGAAGGGAGAGCCTATCCCTACCCGCCCAAGTGAGCGTGACACCATCGTCGCCCCTACTCCAGAGGACAGTGCCGATGCTGCCCCCGCTATCTACGAGGAGACCTACGAGTTGGTTCCCGAGGCGACCAAAGACACCTACGGAGAGGTTGCCCCCGAAGCGTCCGACAACGATGAGTACTCAGAGGTCGTTCCTGAGTTGTCCGAGGGTCTCTCCAAGAGGGGTCTTTTCGATGACTTGTCTAAGACTTTCCCCGAAGTTGAGGACTCTTACGAGGAGATTGTGCCGGAGGTCACCAGCGCCGCCTACGAGGCTAAGCCTACTCCCAGCGCCTACGAGGCTATTCCCACCCCTGCGGATGCCTACCATGCTCTTCCTACTCCTAGCGAGGTTTACGAGGCTAAGCCCACTCCCAGCGAGGTTTACGGTGCTGTTCCCGTCAAGCCCAGCAAGGTCTACGAGGCCGCTCCTACTCCTACCAAGGGTGCCTACGAGTCTCTCCCCACTCCTGCCAAGGACACCTACGAGTCTACTCCCATCGAGGACAGCTACGAGGAGCTCGACCTTGACTTTGACATCTTCCGCAAGAACTAGATCATGTTGGTTAGCTCAGCCGATGCGTGATGCGAGCATCACCATACTAGACCGATTACAGCTACGTACGTCCGTCCGTAGCTAGTCTGAGTCAATACGGCACGTTCATTTGTCCATAGCTCATTGGAGCCACCTCTTCTCACTCGTTCTGACTTTTCAGCTCGAGTGTATACCTGTACTTCTAGTTTAGTCATTATCACCTAAAATTGCACTCATTGTCCATGCTTTTAGGCATGAGGCGTCTCATCCATCCTCACAATCGAGTGAAATTCTTTACTACCACTCCAAATCATACATGATGTCGAATTACCTCAGAATAATAGAGACAGCAACTTCTTCTCGCCTACTTCACACCATCAATTGGCGGAACGTTCTCTATTGGTTCATGGTTCGCGGCGTCACAGAGCGTGCGCGTGGTCAGATTGAATGTGTCATTTCGTTTGCAAACGTTTCCGGCCAGCAATACTGTTAAAATCCTGCCGCCAAGATCTAAGATCATATATTGTACACCAGCAACTGGCAAGGACGGCTCCTAGTGGGCCAATCCTCATCTGGATCGTGAGCAATGAATACATGATGCAGTATTTACCCTGCGTTCTGCATTGCGCAAGTTTATTACAACATACTCAAATATCCCAAGAACACTTGTCAGCAGCTGATCAGTTGTTTCCGCATATCTTTTCGGGAGGACTAGTGATATGCCATGCTGCTCCCTCTAGGACCTTATTAGCGTAGTATGTGTATAAGAGCAAAGCGCTCCATCCTCGATCTGTCAACTCAGCATATCTTGCTATAACTACACCCTGGAATCCCATAAAACATTTCACTAGCCGTTCAACATAGTTGTCAAGGCGCACTAACCCCGCAATGCCTAGTTACACTTATAGGTCGAATACATCACACAACCGTGGAACGACCAGGTTGGTGAGACTAAAAGCAATGCGGATATTTCCGACTCAAATGTCAAGCATCATCCAGTCCTCGTACTAGATAGAGCTACATACAAGGAAGAAAGTTCTAAAATACCATGGCAATTCGACACAGCTAGCGAACTCTTTGTATGACAACGCAATTGTTACATGATTAGATCAAATCGAAGCACTGCCAAGGAAAATTAGCGAATGTCGAGAGTCGTACATTCCAAGCCTAAACAAGCGCACGTGGGTCAAAGTTCTCATAACACTCTCTAACATAGATACTAAGCGAGTCGCGCATCCAAGCGAGTCGCGCACCCCACCAACTTTGCGCACCTCTACAGTCGTATATCTTAACAACGTAACAATATAATATATAGAACTTTATAGAGTAGATTAAGCAGTATCTAGAGTATCTTTTTTACACGTACGTGAGTTATGCCCAGTCTCTCTGCACCTCGTGCAGCGCGCCAGAGCCTGGCGCCTCACGCCTGATCGCTCTCCTCCTTGACGCTGCTCACGAGCAATCTGCTGGTCAGCCTCATGTTGAGCGAGTAGATCCTCTCCAGCTCCCTTTGTTAGTACTCCTCGCTTCTGTATACGCTTTTTCTTACGCTTTTTGCGCGCTGACGCTGCCTCATTAGCCTTCTTAAGGCTAGCAATCCGATCGCGCATCAGCTCAGCTGAGAGCATCATCACCTCAGCGCCCTTCTTAAGCTGGTTAATCGCCTCAATAATCGAAGCTGGCGATGAGCTCTTATGCTTTCGAACGCGCTCACGTATTAACGTTGATTGAGCTTCAAGCTCGCGTGCGTTACTCGGCGTACGAACCTCCCAGAGGGCCTCTGGCGGAGGAGGAGGAGTAGGTGTACGTAGCTGCACGTCAAGTTTTGAGAGCACAGCGTCTGGTTGGAGAGGCACAAGGCCTGCGCCCCGAAAGGCTGAGCAGATATTGGCTGAGGTGAACGATTGACTGAACGCTGCCTTGAAGGCTGGCAGGAACTCGAGCTTGGTGATGTGGTTGATGTGGTGGCGGATCAGGCTCTCCACCTCACGGCTGTACGCGCGCTTCAACGGCGAGAAGCAGCCAACATCAAGAGGCTGCAGCAAGTGAGATGAGTGAGGTGGCATACAGAGCGTATAGATGTTGTTCTCCTTGCAGAGCTCTTGAAACTCAAGAGAATGGTAGCTCCCGTGGCCGTCAAGGACGAGCAGGCGACGTGCACCAACAACGCGAGTCTTCGTGTGAGCGTTGAAGTGCTTCAGCCACTCTACTCCTAGCTCGTTATTTGTCCAACCATTGTCGCTCACTACGATCGCCCAGTCGCGTAGGATATCCTCCTCATACCAGGCAGATAGGTAATACTAGCCAGCGAAGATAAGGAACGGCGGGACTGACCAGCCAGCAGCGTTGATCGCAGCGATCAACGTCACCCGCTCGCGATTGCCTAGCTAGATACTCTTTAGCCTGCCTCTCCTCTCTAATCCTGTCACGACAAGCTAAGTCGTGATCTTGCCCATCATAAAGCCAGCCTCATCAAAGTTATAGACGTCCTCATCGCAGATGCCGTACTTAGCCTTTATCTCCTCTATAAGCTTAAACCAGCTCCTAATCAAGACTAGATCCTCGCATAGAGCTCTCTGCCTGTTGTACGCTCGATTGAAACGCGTCTTAAGGCTGCCCGTACGCTTAACAAAGTTACTCGGCCAGTCTCTGCCTACAGGAGAGCCACTACGCGCTAAGAGTAGCTTATCAGCTATATCACGTATAGCTGCGTACGTAGGCGCAAATCCACGTTGATCTAGGTCAAGTATATAGCTGATAATCACCTCCTCTTCTAGCTTGGTAAGCTTCTTTAAGTTAGGCTCACAATCGCGTCAGGCAGGCTTTCCAGCGCGTCGGTCGCGCAGTGTGCTCTTAGGAACGCTAAAGATTGTAGCAGCACGTTGATTGCTCTGCAATTAGCTAGAATTAAGAGATAAAATAGCAAGTTGAATATCGCCCTCAGTTAAAGGCAGTATAGTGTTGCAATGTAGAGCTATTGCAGGTTAAAGTGAAATAGGTTGAGAAAGTTGGTAGGGTGCGCGACTCGCTTGGATGCGCGACTCGCTTAGTATCTATGTTAGTGATACATAGTATAGTCAAACGTTATAATCAAAACCATTAGGAACATACACTCTCAGGTTAGGACGCTCCAGCTCTGCGAATCTAGTGTTTAACGTGAAGCGGAATCGTGGAACTACCCTACCAAAGCATCTACTATAAGACGAAAGCTCACAATCCATTTGAATGTCATCCAGTCTAAGAAAGATTGCACACGCTCGCTTGTGAGTCTGCAGTGAGCATTGCGTTATTCCACTTGGTCTAACGTGAGATCAGCACCCGGACCCCAGCCAGCCGGTTTTGACCCCTGGTTACGCCCGTGGTCCAAGCATTCGTCTACGTCATGTTGAATTGATCAGATGCGTCGAACGGCTGAACTATCTTGGTGAATGTGGATGACATTCTGAGTTTGGTGCCCTGCTGATAAGATGCACATGGATTCCATATCAGCTCCAGGTTATCAGATGAATGGGTATTATTCAGGCAAGACCGATGCAGTAGGGCTTGGTTCACGCCCAGCTTCGCGTAGCATGGTCGCCTTTATCTGGATCTTTTTCATCCTGAGGACTGAGTCTTACTAAGTCTAGGCTATTCCTGTTGCGTACGGGATATATATGCGATATGTCAGTTCTCGCGGTGCGGACACATGAAACGTTGGCAAGGCGCACATGCGGCGCAGTCGCAAAATCTTCTTAGTGGTGACTGGCAAGTTTCCGAAGAACCATTCAGGTTGTCTGTAGTCGGTGTAGGGTAGTCGTTGTGGAAGCATGGGACTTCGTGGCCAGAACTGGTCGCCTGAACATCTGGTGTGACGCGGGTCCTAAGTGTCGGAACCGCTGCTGGTCATCTGTCAGGGCCCTTGTATGCCCACCGCTCGTCCCGCCTCGTCCCGAACAATGTGCGTGATGTGCTGAGATCATGATACCTAGTAGATAAGCTCAGCTGATGCCTAGATCGCATTGGGGATCGCGGAAGTTGTAGCTCCTTGGCAAGGATTAGGCAGTTGTAAGGGTCGGGGCCAAACGTGGCTGCGCCCTCTATTGTGGCGGAGCTCGCATAACTTGACATCTTGGGAGCGAACCAGGCTGCAAAGAGATGTTTAGAAGGATTGAACGTGTGGAGGCGAGGTCTAGTGTGTTACAGATACATTGCGATACATATGGTATGGTTGATGCAGTATAGAAAATGGGGAATCTCCAAAGTTCGAAGCAGACAAGAAAACAACCAGGCTGACACCAAGCCTTGAGCATGTAGAAATTACGAGTGCCTATTGCTCGTTGAGTAAACATACGAAGCTGCAGTGATGTGTCGATGCCTCGAAAGAGCGATGATCTTCGAGCTTCGTAAGATAGCGGACGATTAAAAGGCGGGTATTGGGAAAATTATTGGATAGAGAGAAACATAACAGACGCCAGTATGATGCAGAGCTGACCATCCTGAGTTTGACCAGGGTTCGCGATCCGATTGTGTGCGTAAGAGGCACCGCCCGACTGCTTGCCATTATCCTGTATATGCTTGTTGCCCAATGAGATTTAGTCGACGATAAAGCTGAAAGTATGATGAACGCCGCCTCCCCGGGGTATTATGCGTCCTCGTCCGAATATCGAAACCGCCGTCGTAAACGCCAAATCAGATACCATATGTTGTTAAGAAAAATCGAGACAGAGCTGCGAACTTGAGTAAGTGTGCGAGATGCGTGAGGCGGATCCAGCGAGAAGTGGTGTGGAGGAAGATTGGTGCAACACCCCATCGGGTTAGGCTGTCATGGATCATGCGGACATTGGCTGATCACCCGACGCTGATCAAGGCCCACAACGCGTAGTCGTATCAGTGACCCTGTGAACAATTTCTCCGAATCCTTAGCCTCCTACACCCTCGTTGTATCTTCACCATACTGACGGTAGGTATGGGATGCCGGCATTTGGTTGAGATCGGGCGTCGCGTTCTGTCGTGGCATTTGCAGCGAATGCGGGATTGGCGGCACGTCCGTCCCAGCCGACGTACTTAGATACCCATAGTCCCAGGACCCTCGCCCCCCATGAGACAGTGTCGAGGGGTATTGTGACATCTGGTGAGTGGAAGTGCCCCACGGAGGAGTCATACCCTGCCCTGAAGGTGTCCTCTGAGCAACCGGTATGCTCTGTCCTGCTGATGCTTCAAGGCCTGCCGCCACCTTCTGGTGGGGCGATAGACTAGAGGAGGTCAAGTTACGTGTGTAGACCGTTGAAGCAGTGGATGCAGGTACTGATTGCGGTGACGTGTTTCGATGAACGTTCAGTGTTGCCTGTGAGGTGGCGCTTGGAGCGTATGTGGAGGTTGTAACAATCGGGAGATGCCCAACGCCAGCCGTTGAGGCATAGCTGGCAGACTGGTCTTGTTAGCTTCTTGCAGTGCACACCGTCGCAAGAGAACGTACATATTTGCTGATAATCTTCTTCAGCGCATGCGCGAGTATTTTCCAAGGAAACACTTTGACGTCCTTCTCGATATTGCGAGGTTTAGGGTTGGGGAAGCCCATAATAACCTTGAAGAACCCTTCGCTATCGGGCCTCGCCTTCGAGACCGTGAGAGGGCGAAAACCTTCGAGGTTGCGACGAATGCGGTTCTTCTCCTCGACGGTAAAGCGAACGTTCACAAGTTGCTCTAGTAGAAATATCGTATCTACACTTGTGATGAAGCACTCGTCCTTCTCTTCCCACCAGATACAGCTGATGACGATACGACGCGCGTCTCGACCCTCAACTGTGACGGGCGCGAAAGAAGTCGTGATGGTACTGCCAAGCTGCGACCGTTCAAACCCGACAAGCCGCCTTTTGGCCTCTAACTCTTCCTGCGTCCAATCATCTCCCATCTTGTCAAGATCGCCGTCTATCTTTAGTATCGCCTTGCTCTGGTACATCGAATACGGATTGAAAGGCTGGGGCGAAGAAATACTGCCGTTTGCTTGCGCAAGATGTGTGGCCCGAACGAGGACCGGCGTAGGAAGTGCAGGCGGCGAGGGCAAGACGGAAGCCGCGTTGTTTCGAGTAGCACTGGCGAGAGAATTGTAGGGAGTATATGAATGCAGCATCGGCGGCATCTGGGGAAACTTGTAGTCGTTATGGCTCATGCTCATACCTGATGGTACTGCATAAAGGTCCCTCTGCGACAGTTGCGAGTCGTAGTTTGTTCGCTTCACTGCACTGTACCTGCTACTCTGCGCATATGTATTGGCCAGCGTAGACTGGATCGGTAGCGATGGTATTTGTGCGGCGGAATAAGGTCCAGACATCGCGCGTGGCTTCGCAAACGCTCGCTTCGCAGCGTTGCCATCGGAGAATTCTTGACCATCGCTTAACTCTGGGGAGTATTTTCGTTTCCTGGAAAAATCAGGCGAGGATTGATATGCGAGGTTTGGCGACATGTCGGTGTAGGTGAATTTGCCTGCGTCAGTTTGCGATCGTAGATTGCCCATCTTATCTTCCATCTGCAATTTCAACATCATGGTTGGATCGAATGTGTTGGTCAGTGGGAAAGGAGGCACTTCGACGTTCAGCAAGTAGTTGTACCACGAGTCGTCGTCTTCGTAATCGACCTTTTGAAGTGCAGCGACGCACTTCTTGTGGCCAAACATGAGTATGAAAGTACGTTGATTCGCATCAAGATCGTAATTCGTCCGAAGTTGTAGCGTTACCAGAGATCCAGCGGTGCCTTGCGCAGGTGTAATCGGTTCGGTGATTTCCGTTTCAGTAACTTCAAGTGAGGCGGGATGACGAGCGCCTGCATCGATAAATGATGGATTGGGTTGAATGCCTTCTGTACCGCGTGATTCATATGCCGAGCTAGGGATGTAGGGCATCTCTGCACTCGTGGGCTCATGGCCTAGTAGCGCGGACGCATCCGCATACTGGGAGGCGAATGCGGGCTGCGCTATCCCTGGATAGCCTGCAACCTGATTTGATCTGGTGGCTTCGGCATCTGGAATGTAGGTGGTCAGTCAAACATGCTAATCGATCTCACGTGGGCCAGTGCCGGGTGCAGCCGACCCAATTTTGGCAGGTGCGCTTCCATACTCGTCAGATGAGCCGCGAACCACTTACCGTACACATATTCATGGTTCTTTCTGTATCCCGACATGGACAATATCGTTGCGGCTCTCGCAGCTTGAACAGCCTGGGGCCCACCGCCAAGGCCCAAACTGCGCAACAGTGGAGATAGTCTTCTGTCGGAAATCGAGAACGACACGTAATAAAATGTCAGGCTGGTACTATGTAGAAATTAGCAGGCAGCCTTGCGTGAAGGTTAAGCGCAGGCAGCAACGGAGGCGTCCATGACTGGGTGTCCTGACATGTCTCGAGGAACCATCACGTAAAGGATAATTGACGCACCTGATTTCCCGACAAAATAGAGTAGGTCAGACTGATAGAGATGAATTCGTCCAAATAATGTTGGCGATGCTGCTTTCCCGTCTTGTTGACGGTGAGGCGATGACGAGATGTTGCCGAACTCGTGGGGCAACGGTCCGCGTCCTTCCCAGTGGTAGAGAGACAATAGGTCCTTGTTGCAGGCAAACGTTGCGGCAAGTAGGCTCAACAAAGTGTCGTGGATGTGATGTGAGGTGGATTTGGAGACAGTCTTGAAAGGCCTTGCGGCCAACGAAGCCAACAAAAGTAGCCTTCTCAGAGACAAACGATCGGGATATTCAGGAGTTTGATTCATACGGGAATTACGGCGATTTTGGGTCTGTGTCAAACGCGGTGGTCCGGCTCGTCGCCCACTGCGACTCAGACAATAACAGCTCGCTACGGACGAAACAGGAAACGGAACGTGTCGCTCTAGCAATTCGAAACTGATTCAGAGCATATGTCAGGTGCTGAGATGAGTGTAAGTGACTTGGTACGGGAAGTCGCATAATTCGACCTGCATTTTGATGTGACTGATGGGTTGACTTACTGTGAGGACAAAGGAGTAGAGACATGTACCAAGGACTGGCCAATATGCATGAGGCTAGGTAGCCTTGCCGTGCGGACGGTATATAGAGCTGCGGGACGACGGAGCTATGACTGCGGAGGTAGGCAACAGCTAATACCAGCTAGAGCTGCTGTACAGATCGAGCGACGGACAAACCCAAGACTGTGGAAATGGGACGGGATTGGTCCAGCGTCGATGGCGGAGCATAGACCCAGCCGCAAGGAAAAGCGAGCGGTTACAGCGAGCTCTCGGGGGCTGGGATGACTCTTGGTGATTACCGATCCCGTCAAATTGGTAGACTAGTGGGCCTGTCGATGGTGAGGCATGCCCTCCAAGGCTGGCACTATGATCGTTGAGCACCACGTCGCGCAAAGCCTGGTAGTGACTATGTTCGCATAAAGGGATAAAAAGGGTAGTGGGGAGCAGGAGGCTGGTGCCTGTGTACTGAGGCTCTTGCGAGTGGCCTCGGATGGCGCAGCACTGCAACGTTGCAGTAAGCTGAGCTCCACTGTGAGTGGTGACGATCTCTAGACTGTGATGGTCGCGCGCAGTGGATCGATCGACACAGCACCAGAATGCAATCCCAAAATGGAAGAGGTTCGAATGCCAGAGAGATGGATGGTCTTGGCCAGTACCTGAGATGTGGAGTGGGGCTCTAAGACCTCTGCAATAGTAGGAAGTGCGGACGCGGAGAACCAGGGCCAAAGCCTCGAAACACTATCCGTGAATTGTCGGATACGAAGGAAATTGTGATGGTTCAGAACTTCAAACAGAGATGCGAGGGTGAGCCGTTGGGGAGAGGATATGGAGGGAAGATCGGGGTGCTGGAAATGGCGAGGTTGACGCATGAGCCGGGCGTAGCAGCAACATTCGCGGGTGCCCAGCGCGGCGGTGACATTATGATGATATACATGCGGCCCATGACTCCAGTGAGCATCAGAAGCAGGTCTACGGCCCTTGATGCGGACAGCTGTCAGGGCGAGCCATGAGCCTCTACAGCCCGGAAGATGGGCTGTAGGGCTCAGTGGACGATGACTGGTCGCAATAACGGCAGATGGCTGCCCATGGCGACCAATGCATGGCAATGGTCAGCCTGGCCCCGTCTGAGCGTTGTGGTGAAGGCATAGTCGCAGGAAGGGAGGGCATTTGTTGGAGTGTGGTGAGCAACGGGCTCCGCTGCAGCGGTCAAGCGAAGACGCATCTATTCCTGGTGTGGCTTGCAGAGTTTAAATCGTCAACATCCCTGTCCATCCTGTGCATCGCCGGAAAGCCACTCCAAACCGCCGCCGCCAGGCACCGCAACGCGGCGCATGCCTCCCACTGCGATGCGACTGTTGCTTGCCCACTTGCGCATTGATGCGCTCAATGTCGTCGTCGACAATATCATAGCAGCATTATCTGACTGATCTTCTCCATTCACCTTCGCTCCTGCCTCGGTCGGCGCGTCACAGCTGCCTGGCTTTGTTTGCATCCCGCCGCATCGGGAAAGAAGCAACGACACCCGCCCGTCGCTCCTTCCGCGAGATGAGGCTGACTTGACCATACCTACCCCGATGTTCTGACCTCAGCTCTCTGATGCCACGGCCTCCCCGATCATCATGATATCTCATCCCAACGCTATCACTAGTTTTGCAGTTGTTGCGCGCACTGGTGCTGTGGTATCATCGTTACCAACGCGTCCCTCAACACCCACGCGATGAACAAACACAATCACCACCTCCCACAATCTTCCTTGCACGTTCAAGCAATGCCATCTCAGCAGAACATGGTCAGTCTGGCCTCGTTATATTCTTAGAAAGCTGATGCAGCGCGCTTGCCCTGAACGAGTGCCTAGTGGAACTCTGGTGGCTGTGTAAGCCGCCAGAAGGAGATCATTAGCATCAGCGCTTCCGCCATAATACTACTCATCAAGCATTTATGCCGTCTCTGACGTCACCCTTTGTTCACCTTGTTCATCCGTGTCTTTCCAGGAGCGAAATGCAAAAGCCAGGTGTTCTCTGCAGGGGACCGCATTCCTCCCGGCACGCCTTGGAGGGTTACCAGGACCCTGCTTCGTGCTGCCGTTGCCTCCAAACTACCGAGACTTGTCTGGTCTTGCGCCGCAACAGCCGTCTTACGATATCCTCACCTACTGGCAGTCTTTCTCCCCATCAATCCCACCAACGCCGCGGCTTCTAGCGCCCCTCTCTCCGTTTCCACCACATCTGCTGCTTACAACGTCAGCTCAGCGATGCAGAGGTGCCGGCCTCACTTGGTGCTGTTGGCCAGCATACTAGAGGAAAATGTAAGACGGCCGCAAATAACCCCAGACTGGGTGTGCTGCCGTCAACGCTAAATTCCCAAATTTGTTTCTTCCGTGTCTTCCTGTCCACGGTCGTGATTTCCCGAAATGGGTTTTTGTGTACACTGCAACGCGACGCGTTCGCCTTCACTATGGCTTGGAGACCAATCTATCTGGTGCGCCCAACCTACGACGCCCTTCTTTACGCCATTGGGTAACTGCAATCGCGCATGAGCGTTCTGAAATTGTCGCTCTAACCACTACAAGAGTTAAAAAACGTACCATGGCCTGAACACCTTGTCACGACTAGGATGATGTCTTCCCACGAGGATGTTTGCCATTGTGTCGGGTCCTTGCCTTTGCCATCTGAAACGCGCTTCCGCATCTTCGTGATACATCATCAAAGGCATGCAGTCAGCCGCTCAGCAATAGTGGACCCAATTATACAGAGACCGCCATGACTTCTCACAAACGCCGCCGGTTATTCTTGCATTTACGTGGGTTGCGAATAAGCTCAAGGTAAAGTTCTGCCGGTCACTGGTCGCAATGAAGACCAACTTGTGCAACCTTACAACGGCCCTTGTTCGCAAGTAGATCTCGGGCTATTGATTATGGGCGAGGTTTCACAACTCGAGCACAGAACTTTCCATTGTTACACCCACTACACCATAGAAGATACCGCCCGCTTTAGCTATTCCGCTTGGACCTGATCCCGCGGACCCTTGGGCTGATCCTCTGCGCAGACGCATCATTCTTTTCAAATTTCATATCGTAAGCGATACGCCTGCTCTACTCTCGCTACTTGCCTCAAACACCCACTCGCCACAGAGACCGCTAAGGGGTCTCATCGTTGACCTACCAATGACCAATGGTCGGTGGTACTCAATTTTGTCCAAGCGGTCGGTACCGAGCCAACACAAGGTTTATGCAGCTATCCAACATGAGCATGGCTGCCCTGGCCACGATAGGGCTTTTCTGCGTTTACTGGCCCGGATAGATGCCGTATACCCGTGGCGGAATCAACTCGTAGCGCAAATCCTTCTTCATACCCGCTCGACCCATATCGCCACGCCAAGAGCAAGGGACCCGGGTACCAGGTCACCGCACAAGATGCTCGGGTCTGGGGAAAGGGTCAGCTCTGATCATGCCCCTACACTAATAGCTTGCATCGCCGTTGCGAGCCATTGTTCCTCACAATGACCGACGTAAGGCACGTCCAACGGTCGTGTCTTGGAACATGTGCTCGCCTCCCTCGGAAATCAGCTATCGAATGAGATGCCCGGCCTCTCTGTCATAGGGGGAAGGCACCAGTGGTACTGTAGGACAGAAGACCGTCGCTGAGGCACGTGATTTCCGATCATTGCTCCCCTAACCTACACCACCGACGATTTGGGATATTAGATTTCAATCTTGCAGTTTCTTCACACACGACAATAGAACACAGAAAATTAGTTCTCACTCACCACCTGTCAAAACTAGCTGTCCCATATTGAGGTCGATTAACTGGTGTTCGCCCGCGGTTACCGGTTCCAGGAAAAGCGACTTCGTCGCCGCAGCCCCCACCACCATAACCACAAATGACCCATTAACGGTCATTCAACATCCTGTATTCGTCTGATAGAGAGGATCGAAAAGGAAACACATGATGAGTTACATAATAGCAAGATAGCACACCAGTGTTCACCTTTCTCGAATTGCCACAATTGATGCCCAACCTCGCCGTATCTTCCGCGTCTCAACCGATATCTGACAGATCGATGTCCTCCTCGGTTACGGGACGAATCTATATGTTGATCAGAGCTGACTCATGGAACAGCACAATGGAACAACTCACACGATCCGCAAACCACCCTATACGAGACTTTGCACCCTGCAATGAGCAATGTAGAGCTATTCGGGGATGATACAACGCATTCCGAGGGCCTGCAATCTCGGCATGAATGTCCGCCGATTGACTTCGCTTCTGCCTTGGAGCGCTTGTTGCTTCTGCTAAGCTTAGTGTTAGCATAGAAGTTTCAGAGAAAGTGCTGGAAGACCTACCGAATTTGGAGACTGATCGTTTGCGTTTGAGCGAGACTACGGTTTTGAACATCATCGCGCAATTCTCTACCAGGGAGGATTTGTCAAGAAGCATGATGTGTTTGGCTTCGAAATTGTGGCCCTCTTCAATAAGCTTGCTCAAGGACTTGGCAACATCGATAACATCTCGCTTCTCGACGCGTCGGTAGAAGTTGAATCGTAGGTCGAGGTACCCGTGAGATGGATCGCGATAAACACTTTTGGGAGGGACTGGGTCGTCTTGTCCCAGCTTCTATGGGGCGATCCATATCAATCCGACATCACTGTCGTCGCGTCTTAGTAGGAGTGGACGTTGGTCTGACGGCAATTTGGTTGAGCTCTTGATCTTGTTCAACAGAGCGCGAGACGTGAACGGAGAGTGTTGGCGCAGCTCCTTCAACGCCCATATTGAAGAATTGGTGAAAGAACGTTCGCCTGGCTTGAGAGTAACGCTTCCCTTTGCACATCCCGCTAGGCATTGGAAGGGTGCTTGTCCGCCGTTGCGTACCTCACTCCCTCCGAAGCCTCCTGCACCGCAACAGTCGAATATAACGAGGACGTCGGCATTGCTAGCTCTTATGTTTTCCTCAGAACTTGACCATGCACAGTAAGCCATTAAACAGCTACAGAAGGTCCGGAGTCCAGGTCAGCTAAAGCGAGTGTGGATCACAATCCGGCTACAACAGTGAGCCTAGGCTAGCAAACCTTCACCGGATTAATCCTACTAATCTGCCACACAGGAGTCTGCTAGGCTGTACAGCTTGGATGAGAATCTTTGGGCGAAAAGCCAAGTTGGCATCAATATTGTGCCGGTCATGGCGTATGTGGCGGGGTGGAGAATCGATGGTAACGGAGGCTGGGACTATCGACTTGGAGTTGCAGCTATGAGCCGTGACGGCCTGCGGTCCAGTCTAGTTACAAGGAGCATAGCACGTAGTATGTATTACGACACAAATCCTGTTCTTCCACATATGACCACAGGACAATGAAAATTAGTTCACCCTCGCCATCCGTTAGAACTCGCGGTTCTAGGTTAGGGTTAATCAACTAACGATCGTCCTTAGTTACCTGTTTTAGAAATCGCGGCTCCGTCTACAGCCCCTACTACTGTACGGGGGCAGGAGGATATGAAGACGTAATCCCTACGAGCTGAGTAGTCACTAGTATTTTGCCGGTGCACAGAGTTTCCTGGTGCGTTCCTATCCGATGCTCAATCATCAGGACTACAAGAGGGACAGCTTCTCCTCAACATGAGAAGTACCGTCAATCATGACGAATCCTTACCACTAACTATCCACCACTATCACTTGTCCTGCGAACACTACTTCTTACGATTGATCACTCACTCACTCCTTTTGCATGCATCGCTTTGTATTTGTTTCGAGTTCAACACTCCTCTCCTGTACCTAAAACCAAAATAAGATCACACATCTTGCCAACTTCTCGGTACCACCTGCCATACTAATGACTACTCAGCTCGTAGGGATTACGTCTTCATATCCTCCTACACCCGTACACTATGTATGCCTAAGACTAGGTAGATTACAGGACAAGTAATTAGTACTAGTAGTAGAGGCATTATAACCAAAGGATAGGCGCACTAGTTGTAGCGTAGTAAACAAGATTAGTTGCGACGAATTCTTATCGGATAACAGTTAGCTAAGACAGTCTTATGCTTTTAATAATCTCTATCGACACCTATCTGTTGTTAGAGTAATTTCGCCTTGGGATTAGGGTAGTACAGTGTGACTTATAGTTAGTCGAGGATGCAGGTCACACTGAAAGGTTACGTAGTCATAGTCTATATCTAGTGTATTTGCTCCTATTGAACCGCCTAGCCGTTCTACCTATCTAAGCCAGTTCGCTATACCATCATGAAGTGTTAGAGACCAGATCTCTTTCGCTAACCGTGAAATCTGTAATTAAAGTGCGGGATAGAAGCATGCCACGTAACCTCGAAGTCTAGGAGTGGTAGCTCTCGTGGTAACCGAGGGCGTAAAGCAGCACCGAAACCCGCGAAAAAAGAATGAAATCAAACCAAGAAGAAGAATGCAAGTCCCCGAAATCCCAACAGAAGAGATTGGAGGATAGTCGAGATCCTCCAGAAGGGACAATTGTGTGGTTGAAGGGAAATGAATGAAGGGGTGTAGACTGCAGCCGACCCGAGAGCATGGTTTAGGCAAACACAGCATCTCGTGGATACGCGTACGCTGCTACAATGGCGAATTGTCCGCCTGGTAATAACGGTTCGGTCCGTCTTCAGCTTCATCTCGCTTACGCTCCAGGCTTACTAGATCTGCGGTGGGAAGATTCCTATCTTGTTTGGCCTTGTCATAATCCACTTTCGCTAGGTATGCCAGATGCGCGTTCTGAGCTCGAGCGACTGCCGCAGATGTTAAACGTGCATGCGACGCGAACCCATTTCAAAATGCCTCACAAGCTAGTGAGCCATACAAAGCGATACTACGTTAACATCAGATGGTGCTCGTATGTGCCTTGCATAAAGATGCAGGGCTTGTGGCCTAGCTATTCTGTGCAGCTTCGAAATCGGCACGCGGCCGCCTATCATGCCGTGCAGAGTAGAGCTGTGGCCCTGTCCTTGTCAGCAGAGAGGTCGACGATACTGTACCTAGAACGTGGCACCTCGGTGAAGCTTCTCTAAGAAAATAGGCGAGAGATCGTGCACGAAGTGGAATGACTCGACTGTCAGAGTAGGGCTCGGGCACGCTAGTCGACGATACTGTACTTAGAACGTGGCACCTCGGTGAAGCTTCTCTAAGAAAATAGGCGAGAGATCGTGCACGAAGTGGAATGGCTTGGCTGTCAGAGTAGGGCTCGGGTACGCTAGTCGGCGCTTAGTCCCTGCGGGGGTGGACCCTGCTTCTTTGGTATCCAACCACAATATGCACGTTCAACAACACCTAGGCAGCAACTCTGGCGAACACGACGGATGGTGGGGCAGTTTTCATATTGAGACTGTCACCTTTTTGTATACTGTTACCACGCAGCGCCGGACCAGGTCCGCGCTATCGCACGTCTTCCTTTACACAATACAACAAATAGCTCTCACCACGTCTCCACCATAATCCCCTATTAGCCGTCCATCCATCGAAAGCCGCTGCCGACTCGAGCTGACGACGATCTACTGCTTGTAGCAAGGGGTGCGGAACTGAGCGTTGATGCCACTGACAGTTTTGTACTTTCCACCAGCGTTGCAGGCGGTGCCGGCCTCAAGAGGGTTGTTCGGGTTAGTCGCACCATCGGCGCGGTGGGCGTTAGTGCACCAGCGCTGGCAGTCGAGGTTGCCAATCTTGGGATCCTAGCGGACGAGAATATCCCAAATTAGCATTCAACATTTCACGCTATTTCGTTCCTGAGGGGTTGCTCACATTGTAAACGCAGCAGTGCGAGTCATCTTGGAAGAGGCACTGGCACCACTGGGCAGCCTGGGCAGTGATGGCGCTGGCCATCAGCAGAGTAGCGAGAGAGAGGATGCGGACCATTTTAGCGGTTGTGGGAAGTCTCAAGTAGGTAGTAGAAGATTGTAGAGTAGAATGGATTCAGGTTGAGAGTTTTGGTGCTGTACAGAGAGATGAATATCATGATGAAGAGGGGGTAGTGCTCTGATATTTAAGATAATGAGGTGAGAGAAAGTCTAACCGAAACTTGCTTAAGCTCGTACGTATTTCTACAGATAAAGGAGCTGGCAAAGATGTTCGACCGAGTAGTGCTTAGATCGCTCTAGATAGTGCAGCCAAGTTAGCCCAGCCCCGTACCGTCTCTTTAGACCACCGAGTATTCACCCGTGGACGTGTGTCTATGCGTTCTAAGGGTATCTCATAGTTCGCAATCGTGACATACTATGGCTACCGGCAAAAGTATTGTGTGTAGAGAACTATAGCGTGTCGATTACAAGGGATAGAAAACAAGCCAACACAGGCCAACGTAGGGGTTATAACGAATAGGAGAGACCTCGCTTCCTTTTCGGCCGTTAATTCAAATATCACGAGCTCACTAACTAAGTGCTCCACCCACAATACTTTTGCTTGTAAGCACAGTAGACCCTGTTTGGCAATTTCTTCTCTATTCGGTCAACTGCTCGGGCTTAGGTTGAAGGGTATGGTATGAAGACACGCGTGGGAATGTGTTTCGTATAATCGTTACAGCGGTTCAAGCCCGTGTGGGTATCTGCGCCCCATCGCTAATGTAATCGGCGCTACGACTTGTTTTCTACTCAGCTGACTACAAGGTTTCATTTGTGATAGACGAACATGAGCTTGCCGTCCATATAAAGCTACAGCAATCCTCTTTAAACGTAGCATACCGACACAGCATCTTCATTACCTTTGCAGACAAATTAGCTCAGTACCCACAGTTCTACAAACCTCCTAATCCCACCCAACTACTCATCAACCTCGAACCACGACAAAATGGTCCGACTTTCCATCTTCGCGGTTATCTTCGCCGCCGTCACTTCTGTCGCCGCTGACGGATACTGCCAATGCCTCTTCGCCGATGGCTCCCACTGCTGCGTTGTTGTAAGTTAATAACAGCCCGAGCGAAACCAAATAGCACATACAAGCGACCAAACCTAACAATGTACTAGGAATACGGCATCAATAAGGTCTGCGAGGAGCGGTGCAAAGACAACGGAAATTATAAAAAGAAGTGTAACGCTGGTGGCAAGTACTCGGACGTTAGCTCATGGAACGCACAATGGCGCACCTCCTGCACGGAAGGTGACATTTAGGAGGTCGTACTAAGGAGCTCGCCAGGGTGCCTTGCGCAGTTCCGCCCAAGCAATTTTTCCTTTGCATCATGGCAATCAATGTTCCTTCCCTTGGTTTTCCTCAGTTCTTGAGGTCCTGGGACCTCGCCGGGAAGCTCGCATGTATATAGGCCACATTTCCTCGAAGTCCTAGATACATGACTTAGAGGTACGGCAGTCAATGATACCACCCTATATATCCTACTCGCCAACTCTCACCATGAACTTGTACTGCAACCTATTTACTAGCGTAATTCAAATCTAACTCCATAAACTTCTTAGTCGTTAAAAGCTTTGATCTAAACCCTGTTCTGTAAATACGGTGAGCACCTCGTGTAATTGGTATGACGAGGGGCCTTTCCAAACGAACACAAGCGTATTGTTATAGACTCGGCGAGCTTAATTACAGGGATTCAATGTTACCTATGCACGTCCCCCCGCAGAGTGCTTCGTAAATTCGGGCAAATATGTCTATAGCTCGTGTTATGTGGTCTCTTAGTCTACTGGACTCTATAAAGATCGTGGTTTCTCTTGCAGCTCTACGAAAGCTTTCACTCATCAGGGTCATCACATCACTCATCACATAATCCCACAGCCCAATCCAACTACATCGTCCTCATCAACGCCCAAAATGGTCCGCCTTCTCACTATTGTTACCGTGCTCTTTGCTGGCGCAAGCAGCGTTGCTGCTTCGTACTGCCAGTGCCTTTACCAAGACGCCAGCCACTGCTGCGTTATTGTAAGTCGTCATGTATCACTTCACACTAAGCTTGGCTTGCTCACAACTGTGGTGTTTCCAGGACAACCTAGTCAATGATTGCACGAGAATGTGCTTGAAGGCGTCAAAGGACTCTACGACTGCCGGACAGTGCAACGCCGGCGGGAAATTTTCTAATGTTAGCTCGTGGAACGGCCAGAGACGCAAGCAGTGTGGGAAACCCTACATCTACTAAATTCTGTAATGCACTCGCGCCATCGACAAAGCTCCTGCGAAGGCGTTCTCTATGTGTAATTCCATCGGAGGAAGACGTGCAGTAGACCTTTTCAGGTCATCAGGAGGGATGTCGACGATTGGTTCAATCAGGAGAAAGAACGCGATGTGGTATTATTGGACAGCTTGTAGTTGGTTGATCAAGCATTGGGGGCTTGTTGAGAGCATATCAATGGCCCGTGCCAGGCTCTGCGATTCATGTTATTACTTCGCCCCTTAGAGGCTACTTTGGAGAAGTAGTGCTTAGTACGTTACAAGACTATGTACGCAGCCTTATAGTCTTGCAATGCCGATCAACTTGTAAATAAGACCGATAATACTCCAAGCATGCACCTCCGCAAAGCATTCTGAAGTACACCAGCACCTCGTTTAGGATCGTTTAACTGACATCCCACAACAACGGCAGGCATTTCCCGCTGGATAATCAAGAGTACGCTTGCCCTATAGAAGAGTGGTCGAGTTCCTTTGCAATTTAGGGTTACTACACCGGCACTTCTAAGTGCCATTATTCGCGCGCTCTACAGAGTCCCTGCAATGATGTGTCCAGATACGCTAGGATAAGACTATGAACGTATCGTTAAGTGCCGCTAGCAGTTAATTCCCTGTTAATGGACCGTTACACTTGGTTCGGGCGATACCATTTCCAAACTCCAACAATCCCTGTAAGTGATAACGCCGAACCACCGAAGGGACGCTGTGGTAAGAGCTCACCGCCCCGAAGATTATCGAAAGAAGGGACTTGTTTAGGCGACAAGCGGTCTTTGGAACCTACGACCCGCGACATCACGGGAAATCCCTCCAGCGCCTTGCACAATACGCACTTGTCTACCTTCACCATATCAGAACGCGAGTCTTGGGTGCGCAACCGAGAGACAAAAAACGGAGAAGATATAGCGTACCCGTTGCTTAAGATATTTGATGTTCATTTGCAGCTCTTCTATGGAGAAGCACAGTTGTCAACAAGCAAGTCAAGCAAGCCAAGCAAGTCAAGCAACCAAGCTGCTTGCAAGCTGCTTGATAACGAACTATATGGTGGCACGTGCGGTTGTGCACGTACTAGACAGTGGACCGTTACCAAGCAGCTTGGCTTGCTTGGCTTGCTTGACTTGCTTGTTGACAACTGTGTGGAGAAGGTCGCGAGCGAGCACAGAGGAGGCTTCGAGAAGAGATTCAGAAATCTGTCAAAGTGAGACATTAACTTGTAGTGAGCACGTGACCAGCTGGCTTTTTTAGGGTCCCATGGTAACGACTTCTCAATCAGCTTCAGTTTGTCTGGCGTCCCGGAAAGTCTGCACTTCGTAGCAAGAGACGGAGAAGTGGTTGAAATGCGCAGAGCACTGCGCTCGGACGGAAGTCGTTGTACTGTTGCATCCACGATCTCGGTGGTATTGGCAAAACACAACACGTAACGCGTGCATCGAAAGACTCGGCATTCCTTCGATATATAGTCTCCAGGGACAGTATTGTATGTGGGCCACTAGTAGGGGTTAAATAGACTAGCTATAGATAGAATAGATCTGTGATCTAGTACTAAATTAGACTAGACCCTACTTAAATAAGTAAAGATTCTATCTAAAGTCTTATTGTGATAGACCTATGCTAGTGGCCCACATACAATACTTTCCCCGGAGACTGTGTATACACTCCTTTCCATAGTTGCGCCGAATACGTAGGTAAATGGCTCTAGGTGGAGTGTTGTTATGCCCGAAACTAGGTCTTTCGGCCCATCGTCGGTCATTATGCCATGCTATTGGCACCATTTTTTAGCCGGAAATTGCGTCTGGTTTGCTTCAAGCCGCACTATACCTCCGCGAGAGTCACGATAACTATCGCAGGGAGTACGGCGAGAGACTCAAACTATATTGATCGGCAAGCGAATCGTCCAGATGACAATGATAGCCCCCAAGGTTGAGCTCGCTGCTCCGTGAAGTTGTCGTGCCCAGAATTATGGGCATCTTGCTCTAAACCTAGTGTTAGAAGGACGTGTACAAGCTAGAACAGACAGCGCTTACTTTGTAGGACTTAAAAATAGCTTCAGAACGAGCAATGTAAATGGTTCGAGAAGTAGTAGGAGGCTAACTAGTAAGAACAACTAGTAAAACGAATGTAGGAAGGAAGAGACCTCTTCTTCTCGTTAGACTATATAACTAGTATATCTTAAAAAGGAGAGGGAATAATATTAATTAAGTCGAAGCTAAATTAACACAACACATGGTGTAGTAGAGTTCTCTATTAGTCCTCTATTAGAACGTGTGCTTAATGCAAGTAGGTAGAGTATTATATATGAGGAGTGTTGATGCACAGGCAGGGCAACACAACCCGATCAAATAACTCAATACAATAATCTCAATGCAGGTGTATTTCCCAAACACCTCTTGTTCACTATATGCAGCTGTAGTAGTCGATAAAACTCTGTCTCATGCGATAGCTCTCATGCTTGAACGGACGACGAACGTATGGGCGAAGCTCTCTCCCACTGGAGACGTTTGTCGCGCTCTTATGCCGGCCAACTTTTGCACTAGTCGTGATTATTGGGGTGAATAGGTAGAGTATATCATGTGTGTTGTATGTGTAGTGTTCGTTGTCTAAACCTAGTTTAGACATTCCTGTCTCTTTTCTACTCTCTATATCATCTCTAAGTCTAATAGCCCTTTAGATCTATAGTTCCCCTAGATTCTCTACTACATCCCTCCCTTACTTAAGAAGAAGGCCTCCTCTTCTTTATCTAGAACTATAATTAGACTTGACTATCTAATTACTACATTATAGCCTTCCTTAAAAACTCCTCTTCTATACTACCTAGCCAGTAAGAGACTCCTAAATGTAATAGCCTAGTGTATAGTATCTAGGCAGAGTAAGCTATTAACTCTAGAATGTGTGCTAATAGTCTGCATATAGAAAAGGAGCTTTCTGTATATAGAAAAGGGGCTTGCTACATACAGAAAAATTAATGGATTTTATAATAGTCGCATAAGTAAATGCTAGGCTTCCTGTCTACTTAGCTATATACAAGCAGTGTACTAGCGAATCCCCGCTGTTGTATGTTTTTGCTTTTGCTTCTGGCTAGTAAAGGAGGTCAACAGTTTGCTCGTTTGTACAGTTTCGTTAGCTTGACAGATGTAAAGGTATTGCGTAGGAACGAATACCTTTGCCATTTTGTAACATCATGTCGGTCATGTTACTTTTACGCGCTCAGACTTCTCGTTTAGACATCTTCCTTGGCATCATACAAGTACCCCATCGTAATAGAAAGACATGCTTTTCTACTAGCTACTTAGTTGTAAACAAAACTCCACATGCATACCCACTCCATCTAGTCCCTCCCCTTCAACTCTTCCAACCTCTCAACCAACTTCTCCCACCCAGCACTATCCTCCCAATTCTCTTTCCCTTTACCCATAACACTCCTCACCGCACTCCTTGACTTGAACTTCCAATCCTTGGCTACCAACTCCCCACTCCCAGCTGCCAGACCCTCGGTCCGCTCACGCGGTCCTAGAGTCTCATACGCATCCAAAAGATCCATCGTCATCTCAACAACAGCATCCCACTCTACTTCGGTGCCAGACTCCCATTTTGGCTGACTCGTCACTGCTCTCCATGCCTTCTCGTGGCACTCGAGCGCCGAACTGGGCCGCTTGGTGTGCGTGTATAGTGTTGCTAGTATGATCCATAATTTGGGCGATACGGTGATGAGGGGTTTGATATGTTTCTCCACGAGGTCGTTTACGAGGCGAGGAAGACCAGGACGCGAGATATCAAAGTCTTCTTCGGCAGAGACGACGTGTTTGACGAGCATGTCGATGACTTCTGCGTCGACGCACTTTTCGCCTTCGGTGGAGCCGCGCAGTTCGCAGATGCGGCGCTGGGCTGTTACGACGTCGGACCAGGATGGGGGGTTCGTGGAGGCGCTGACGGCGAGGACGTTGTTCCAAATGCGGTAGTTGTCGTGCTTGATCGTGGCGGCGCGTTTGAACGCCTTGAGGGCATCTGTACGGGGGTGGTTTGTCACTCTCGTTTCTTGCAATTCGCCGTCTTCGGTTTCTTGGATCTTGGGTTTGAGGTGGAGAAGGGAGGCGGCAAGGTTGCTCCATGCTTCTGCGTCTTGGTCGTCGAGTTGAACGCAGCGGGAAAATGCTTCCACGGCGTTCTTGAATTGGAGGAGTTCGAGGTATGCGCATCCGAGCGCGAACCACGCGGGATGGTAGAGCGAATTAATCTTTAGTGAGAGTGAGTAGGCTTCGGCGGCTTTCTCGTAGTTGCGTGCTGTGATGTAGCGTTGACCGAGAGAGCGTTGAGCGCGTGCATAACGTTCACCAGAGACCTTCCAAGCCTTTTCGTACATGGATAAGTCGTTGTCGATATCACCCAGGATGCAGTAGTAACGCGGTGCTTCGGATAGCGGTGGATCGCGTTCAGCGCCCTCCCACTTCTCCTCGTCCACATCCACATTCTCGTCGTCACCGTTGGTGGCGTGGAATAGCTGTCGTCGGATCATCCTCCGCGCTCTGTCTTCTTTCTCCGTGGCTGCATAGCACAATGCCGCTTCGGCCCACATCTCCAGTCTCTCGTAGATCTCAAGCGCAGATCTCAAACCTCCAAGAGCGACCCATCGAGCAGCGAGCTCAGACTCAAGCTCCCAACGAGAGGGTGAGCAAAGCGGGAAGATGTAGCGAAGACGCTCCTCAACCGACGCCGCCTCACTTTCTTTTGCTTGGGGAAGGAACGATGTAATCTTCTCACCCGTATCAGCATCGGTAGTAGCATCACCCGAGGTCTCTGCAATGACCTGATCGACGAGTGCTTGCAGTTGCAACAATCCACGCTCCATGGTCCGCGACTTGTATCCTTCGATGCGACTCCGCACAAGGAGAGCTTGTGTATAGACCTGCCAGTTGGAGCTCCCGCCCTCTAGCACGCGTGTAGCATACGGCTCGGTCTGTTCTCTTGTAAGACCGTCTGCAGGATTAGTGTTTTTGATACTCTCAGCCAGCGAAAGCATAATAACAGAATCCAGCGGATCAAGCAGTGGTTGGTTTGATGGGTCCATGGACGTAAGAGATGCTGGTAGAGAAGACTCATCCTTGATCTCCATGGACGCAGTATTGTTGGTAAAGGAAATAGACTCTAGCAAGGTATCATCGTTCAGATCCAAAGCCTTTGGTTTCGAGCTCTCATCAGATGTGCCGTTGGTCTCCGATCCGGCGCTCCGGGCGAGTACAATGAGCTGACTGGTATCCTTCTGTTGGAACTTCGTCCGCTTGCCCATGAGTCCGGTCAATGCAAACTCGAATTTGCGTTCCGATGTTGCCTGATCAAGGTCCGCCTTGGCTTTCTTGTCCAGACCATGATGCGTATGGATTGCCGCCCGTTCCAGAAGGAAGCTCGTATACAAGTCGTTAATCTTTCCACTCTTCTCTGAGTTTCGGATCAGGTCCTCTACGATCTTCAACTCATCATAGATAGCATCCTGTAGACTTGGTGCTGGTTCACTGAGCAGCCTCTGATGCACGAAGTTGACTCTGAGACGCGCCCACGCCGAGACCGGGATGTTCTTTTGGACAGGCGGACTGATGAGAATAGTCTGCGCCAGGCATAGCAGCTCGATATTCGGTGTGAGCTTGTATGCCGCAACACCATCGGCACTCAGCGATGCAACCAGTCCTGCACGTGCTTTGCTGAGGGCTTTGGCATTGTCCGCAACGTCTTTGGATAGCAGTGTTTCGGCAGACTTGAAAAGTAGCGGTGGCCCAGTAACATTCGACTGGAGGAATGCGTGGAATGCCGCGACTGCAATCAGAAAGTAGACATTCTGCCGATATGCTGCCGTTTCTTGTATCGCAGCTGAGTCCTCATCGTTCCGTTTTGACAGGAGCAGTCCAAGGCGATGAAAGACGTAGTCGCTCCAAAGACTGAAATCGCTTCTTTTGACATCCTTGGTGGCCTCATTGTCTTGATGGCCTAACAGGAGTTGGGATTCCTGTAGTTGAAGTATCTTCAGGAAGTCTCCGGATTCCGTTGCCTTGATAGTGGTCTCGAGCACTGCAGCGAGTTCGTCCGGTAACGAACTGCGGAAGAAACTCAGGAAGACATCCACCATATTTAAAGAGGTCGATCAAGGTAAGCTTGGAGGTGGAAAAGTGTCGCACACAATATTACGGAGGCTTTCACAACAAGTCATTCATTTGTTCCACTAATTTTGCATCTCATAGCGTGGTTGCGGGGCTGCTTTTGGAATTTGCGGCGATGAGTAAGTCAGTGGAGAAAAAGGGCTGTTTGGTGGCGCGCCTAACTACTTTGGGCGAACAGGGTCTGATCCACATCTGCATCTGCATGCAGAACATGTCAGTCTCCAACACGGTACCTTTCTGCATTCAAGACTGGCTTCTTTACGAAGTAGCAAAATCAATAAGCTGACATGTGATATGATCAAGTGAGTCACTCATTCGATTGACCGGGCGCTTGACTCTAAGGGCAGAGATACAATTCTGCAGAAATATTACTATAGCCTTACCATCGCCGGCTTGTGCGCAGCATCTACCCAACTAGCAACACCAAGCATGTGCGGCACCTCTAATCAGAGTCACTGCTGGAGCTGGAGCTGCTCTTGCCGCCCCTGCTACGGCTCCTGCTGTGGCTCTTGTGCTTGTGGCCGTGGCCAGACGAGCTATGGTGCGAATGGTGTGAAGAACCATGGTGCGAGCCATGCTCGGAGCTACCATGCTTCTTGTGTTTCTTGTGCTTCTTGTCCTTCCTGAAGTCAAGTTAGAACACGTCAATCATGGCAATCGAGAATGACTCAGCTTACTTGTCAGGTATGAGGTTGGCGCCAACCGCTCCCAAAAGCGCTCCTCCTAGAGTACCCAGCGCGCCGCCTCCAAGTTTGTTGCCGACAAATGCGCCGCCTGCGCCCCCCATCAAGGCTGAACCAAGACCACGGTCGCCTTCAGCAGGACCACCGGGCGCACCGGGTTGGCCGTATGGCTGCGCACCATAGCCTTGTTGTGGGTCATGGTAGCCCTGCTGCTGGTGCGCTCCGTACTGCTGATTCGGATCATGGTAGCCTTGCTGCTGGTGTGTCTGAGGTGGGTAGGGAGATGTGCTGCGGTTCGGATCGTAGCTTTGCTGGTATTGGCCGTGCGGCGGGGCACCATAGCCGTGCTGGGGAGGTTGCGCATATGGATCGTGCGATGGCGGAGGGTAGGGGCTCTACAGGCATGTTAGCAGTCGAACCTTATCGACTGAATGCGCCGATGTTGCACATAAGTGCTGACCTGGCCTTGCGGGTAAGGACTGTGATGTCCTTGTCCATACTGATCGTGCGGCTGTTGTCCATACGCCTGGCCTTGAGGAGGGTAGCCTTGGTTCTGCTGTCCATAGCCATGCTGTTGCTGCTGCTGGTGTGCGCCGTCGTGGCTGTAGCCGTAGCCTTGACCATGGCCCTGACCCTGACCGTAGTAATCCTGGCCTGACATGTCGTTCTAGAAATCACTCTCTATAAACTTCGAAAGAGTAAGGTGTACAGAGTTTAGGTGGAAGCGGTGCGGTAGATAGCTGCTATGTGTCTACAGCGGGGGAGGGGCAGGATGGCAGATGGTTGGGCCAGTGTGATTGCGGCATCACACGCGCGCTTTAAGTGTGACATGCCCTCGCAAGGCGCTGACTGCGCGCGCCACATGTTTACGAACGTCGGTCAAGCCTAATGGGTTCGACATGGGTCTCATGGCGGCTGAGCTGTGAGCGATTTGGTGAGGTGGAGTTCGGACACGACCGGAGATTTGGCTGAGGGGGCGTAGCACTGACCACCAGCCATCCTTCGCTCCATCCACGCAGCTGATATTACTTTCACCGCAACAAATGCGGTTGGTAATATCTCGATTGGGTATAAGGCTTGCTGGAGCTGCGGGATTAACTCCAGCCGGACGTATCTCAATCTAGTTGCCTAGTGTAGTCAAAGATTGGTTCGTCGACAGCGCTCCTCCACCACGCCTTCCACCTCTTGATTCCAGCTGTTCAAAAGACAGGTTACCGAAATGCTCAGCATACCCTTCCATGAGGCAGTGTACCCACTAAAGACTTGCTTGAAAACGTATATCGGAAGCGATAAGCTATGCGAATTCGTAGCCTTGATACCAAAGAAAGGCAGGATATCGTCGACACCCTTGCCCCAGAAAACCTAGTAGGCAGTCGATGTTGATTGTCGCCAGGACTGAAATTGAGCCCAAAGTAAGCAGCTGTCATCTTCATAGACTTGAGATATACAAAGCACCACGGCTGCCTAGTGACTGCTCGTGTCTCCTTCGAAACGGCAGCCACTGTGACGCTGTTATGCACTAAACACATACGCTCATGTGTATGCTTTGCCAGCTCGGAGCCTGCATATAAGTTCTGTCACTACTTATCCAATTACTATCTACCCACCATCTATGGGATTATATCCAAAACTGTCTATATCATGGGCGATGGTGTTCTGGGCTGGTAGGGCAAACCAAGATTATCATAAAAAATGTCCGTGACTTGCAAGAGTGCGCTCTTATTAGCCGTGTGCCAGAGCTGTCCGCCATTGGCCTGAGATGGAAATCCCCAAAGAGCTCTGGTCACATTATCATGCCGCAAGCCTATTCGGGTTTCTGTCTAACAACATCAAAATCGAGTTATGTTACAGTTTGTTGAGGACACAAAAACTATTACCAGTCATTATATGGGATTCGACTGTGCGGCACGCTTGTGTTGAATTTGAACGGCGAATTAGAAAGGTTCGTTAGCAGAAGCATATAGAGTACATGAGCAGAACTTTTGCTTCGAAACAGTATTCATGAGCATCGATGAGCGTCTATGACCACATCAGTGTATCAATACCTTCTCTTATTCCAAACAACCAGTTCATGTGCTCATTCGTGTATTGAAAGATTAAAAACTAGTAGGACGCATAAATTCCGTCGGCCTCAAAAGACCTTTAGAATGAAACAAAGGAGCGAGCGGGATTTTGAGTAATGATATTCACCTACGCATAAGACAACACGGCAGGATGTGTAGAGCCACATCTTGTGGTTCCATGACATCTTTCGCATAATCCGTCGCCGGTACAATGCCTCCCACGAGTGTGCACACTAGAGATGTGACGGATCGGTACAAGCGTACTGACATGTCAAAATCCGGGGTATCGATAAGGAGTGGGGGGTTGCCCGGAGCGCAGCATGGCTGAAGCGATACTACACAACGTCCAAAAGTTCGATGTTGGTAGAGGATCGAACCTTACTAAGTCTCAGTACTTGAGTGGCGTTCTGTACCTACTCTGGTGGTATCACGATACTCCCATCAGTAATTCCACCGTCAGGGAAGATATACCAGCGTCTGGCAAGACCAGAGCGGCCAAGTTTGATATGTAACGTGCTGTGCGTAGACGTGGCTTCGGAAGGCTTTGCCTTCTCTAATGTTTTCGGGCATGGTTTTTCCCGGTGATGGCTCGGTGGACGTCTGGACAAGGTGGCAAGGGTTACAGAAATGCTTGCCGCCTCGACTTCGGCAGAATCGGGGAGGTGGTTTGGGATAAGTCTGGAGCCTCCGCTAAAATGGCCGTAGCGCGACGACTTGGCAAGGCTGTACGAACAGTAACCGGCAAGGCTACCGCATTAGCAAGGGAACACCCGTATGCAGAGTGAGCTAGAAGAAAGCTGAGTTCTACGGTGCGCTCAACGACCGAGACGGAAGATTTTGCAGAGATTGGATGTATGAAGGCCGCGTTTGATACGAGTACTGTATGAAAGCTGACATGGCGGTCGGGTTGTATTAGTGCAGTCCCTGATCTTCAGTGCTGCATTTCCCGCGGCTCCCAACGGTTGGATGCATGTCGTTGGCCACGGTGTTTAGAGAAGGCGGTCAGCGCGCCTGCCTCAAATTCGCCACAAACAGAAGGCCTTTTGCAACGTGGGCTGCGACATGGCTCACGGCGGCGGCAACGCTGCTGCCCCTCTGTTGCAAGTAGACAGAAGAAAACAATTGGTAGGCAGTAATGAAAAACTGGGGAAAGTGCGGCAACAGCGAAAATTTCTGGCCTTTACTCGGCTTGGAATGAAATCATGGGCAATTGCGAGAAGGCGAGGTGTCCGGTTCCTCGACGCACGGGCCTGTGCACGCTAATCTTATCGGCGCCCTGGCCTGGAGAAATTTCTCAAAGCGAGCGAGACAGCCCACCAAGGCATAAAAAGCCCCTCCATAACCTTCACTGCCACCTCTCCACACTCACTCTCCCTCTGGGCTGACCCAAAGTACTTTCTCTTCTTTGTGTCGTTGCGTCAGGTATTAGAAAGGTTGCGAGTCACGTTCCTCGCGCCTGTTGTTTGATACCCCCGGATAGATTCACTCTATCTTTTCACGCCAAAAGTTTTTTAGGCCCCGCCGCCTAAGTCCATATAAGGACCACCGCCCCTCCACCCACCTTCTTTCTACACACATCCCCCCTCCACACATCACCGACAAAATGGCGCCTGCTGCTTCGCACGATGCCAAGGACGTCAAGTCCGAGAACTCCAAGTCGCTCAAGGCGCTTGAGGAGATGATGCAGAAGTTGACCGTGTCCAAGGCCCAGGACGAGATCAACGCCTCTGCTCAGGCCATCGCCACCTTCATCAACGGCGACATTGAGGAGGCTGACGCTCCCACCAAGTATGTGCACCCTCTGCCCCGCCCTCGCCACATTGCAGTCTCTAACAATTCCTCCAGGGCTGTCCAGGTGCTCAAGAAGCAACTCGCCAGCAAGAAGGATGCCGTCGCCCGTGAGCGCGCTCTCGATGCCATCCGTGCCATCGCCCAGCACTCGCACGTCGCCGCCGCTGTCGAGCCCTACCTCGTTTCCCTCCTGCCGGACGTGCTGGCCGCGGTCGGTGACAAGATGAGCGGCGTCAAGGTCGCTGCTCAGACCACCGCCGAGTCCATCGTCCAGGCTGCCAACCCCAACGCCGTCAAGGCCATCATCCCCCACATCATCCACTCTCTGGAGAACGCACAAAAGTGGCCCGAGAAGATGACCGACCTCAAGTGCATCGAGGTTCTCACCAAGAGCGCTCCCGCACAGATGGCTTTCCGTGTCCCCGACCTGATTCCCGTCATCTCGGGAGCCATGTGGGACACCAAGCCCGAGGTCAAGAAGGCTGCCTACGGCACCATGGAGACTCTCTGCTCCTTGATCTCCAACAAGGATATCGAGCGTTTCATTCCTGAGCTCATCAAGTGTATCGCTAAGCCTGAGAACGTCCCCGAGACTGTTCACTTGCTCGGTGCCACCACCTTCGTCACTGATGTCCACGAGCCCACCCTCGCCATCATGGTTCCTCTGCTTGAGCGTGGTCTTGTCGAGCGTGAGACTGCCATCAAGCGTAAGTCTGCCGTCATTATCGACAACATGTGCAAGCTTGTCGAGGACCCCCAGATTGTCGCCGCTTTCTTGCCCCGTCTCATGCCCGCGCTTGAGAAGAACCACGACAACTTGGCTGATCCCGAGGCCCGTGAGAAGACCCGCCAGGGTCTCGACACCCTTATCCGTGTCGGTCACGTCGAGAATGGCAAGATCCCCGAGATTGAGAAGTCTGGTGACGTCTCCACCATCGCCAACCACCTCAAGTCTGCCATCCCCTCCAGCATCAAGATCGATGACCGATTAACCCCTGTCGTCAACTACGTTGGTGCCATTGGTGGTCAGCTCATCGACGAGAAGGACTACGAGCCTCTCAACTGGCAGGCCAACGCTGGTCCTTTCGTTGCCGTCCTTGTTGGTGACGAGAAGGCCAAGGATGTCACTGAGGAAACCCGCAAGCGATCTCTCCCCGGTGCTGCCGCTGAGCGTGCCGTCGAGCCTGATGAGGAGGAGGGCGAGGACCTCTGCAACTGCACATTCAACTTGGCTTACGGTGCTAAGATCCTGCTCAACCAGACTCATCTCCGTTTGAAGCGTGGTCAGCGTTACGGTCTCCTCGGACCCAACGGTTCTGGAAAGACCACCCTCATGCGCGCTATCAACAACGAGCAGGTTGAGGGTTTCCCCAAGCAGAACGAGGTCAAGACCGTCTACGTCGAGCACGACTTGGACTCTGCTGACACTGAGATGACCGTTCTTGAGTGGACCTTGAACAAGCTGAGGTCCGTCGGTGTCGAGACCCCCGAGGAGGAGGTCAAGTCTACCCTCAACGAGTTCGGTTTCACCGACGCCATGTACAACGGTCAGATTGGTGCTCTTTCTGGTGGATGGAAGATGAAGCTCGCGCTCGCTCGTGCCGTCTTCGAGAAGCCCGACATTCTGCTGCTCGATGAGCCCACCAACCATTTGGACGTCAAGAACGTCAAGTGGCTCGAGGACTACCTCACCAGCTCTCCTTGCACATCCATTGTCATCTCCCACGACAGCAAGTTCTTGAACAACGTCATCCAGCACGTTATCCATTACGAGCGCTTCAAGCTTAAGCGCTACCGTGGTAACCTTGACGACTTTGTCAAGCGTGTTCCTTCCGCCAAGTCCTACCACGAGTTGGCTGCTTCCGACATGGAGTTCAAGTTCCCCGAGCCCGGTTTCCTTGAGGGTGTCAAGACCAAGGCCAAGGCCATTCTCCGTGCCACCAACATGAGCTTCCAGTACGAGGGTACCTCCAAGCCCCAGATTGAGGACATTACCTTCCAATGTTCGCTAGGATCCCGTATTGCCGTCATTGGTCCCAACGGTGCCGGAAAGTCCACCCTTGTCAACGTCTTGACTGGTGAGCTTGTCCCTACCAAGGGTGAGATCTACCACCACGAGAACATCCGTATCGCATACATCAAGCAGCACGCTTTCGCCCATATCGACCACCACCTCGACAAGACTCCTTCCGAGTACATCCAATGGCGTTTCCAGACTGGTGAGGACCGTGAGACCATGGACCGTGCCAACAAGATCGTCACCGAGGAGGACGAGAAGGCCATGGACAAGATCTACAAGATTGAGGGTACCGAGCGTCGTGTCATCGGCATCAACTCCCGCAGGAAGTTCAAGAACTCTTACGAGTACGAGTGTTCGTTCGCTCTCGGAGAGAACGTCGGCATGAAGAACGAGCGCTGGACACCCATGATGTCTGCTGACAACGCCTGGATTCCTCGCTCCGAGATTATGGCTTCCCACGCCAAGATGGTCGCCGAGGTTGACCAGAAGGAGGCTCTTGCCAGCGGTCAGTTCCGTCCTTTGGTCCGTAAGGAGATTGAGGCTCACTGCGCCAACTTCGGTCTTGACGCTGAGCTTGTTTCTCACTCCCGTATGCGCGGTCTCTCCGGTGGTCAGCGTGTCAAGGTCGTTCTGTCTGCCTGCTCATGGCAACGTCCTCACTTGATCGTTCTCGACGAGCCCACTAACTACCTGGACCGTGACTCTCTCGGTGCTCTGTCCAAAGCTATCAAGACCTTCGAGGGTGGTGTTATCATCATCACTCACTCTGCCGAGTTCACTGCCAACCTTACTGAGGAAGTTTGGGCCGTCATGGACGGTCGCATGACACCTTCCGGTCACAACTGGGTGCAAGGTCAGGGTGCCGGTCCCCGTCTTGCCAAGGACGATGGTGAGGAAGAAGAGAAGTTTGACGCCATGGGGTGAGTAGGAGTCCAAATGTCTATTGAAGCATATGCTAACTGTTTACCAGCAACAAAATTGCCTCCCAAAAGAAGAAGGCCAAGCTCACCTCATCCGAGATGCGCAAGAAGAAGAAGGACCGTATGGCCCGCCGCAAGCGTGGCGAGGAGGTCTTCTCCGACGAGGACGAGTAAACAAATCGCCGCCCTTTTCGAAAAGTTTCCTTCCTTCGGTTTTGGTTTACGGCAGGAGAGTTCATGGGTTGCATGACTGGCTTATTCGATACAAGCCTATGAGTAATGTGTTCATGGTCGGCGTCACGGTACAAAACTTGCATGGTTGCTCTTCGTCTGATTCCGTCTCGTACAAGATAGAGAATAGATTCCCCCAAACACTTCACAATACTTGTCTTGCTCGCTATGTGACTTTCTGCGTAACAGCAAACCCTTTGACCTCTGCCCTGTACAATAAGCAAAACTGTTTCTTTCACCAACAGCGTCGGAACCAGGAATGTATTACTCGTTTTCGTCGTCATCGGAACGATCACCACAGTATGCATCTAGTTCAACAACATCTACATCAGCATCACTTCTAGCACGACTAGTGTCAGACGGCGTCAGTAAGAGTGAATCAGGGAACCCAGAATCCTACTGAGCTCTGTCATTTATGCCAATAGCACCTTCATTGGTAGTTGAAGTGCCTGAAGACGGGCAGCGTTACGAAGACTACGGGAGTCTAGGATAACACGGTGACGTCCCTTATGAGAGCGAATTTGAGTCAGATGGTCAAGATCCATAAATATCCCTAAGTTTTGATTATAACGCAACCGGGATGAACACGTACAACCGCAAAGGGATAACACATGTTGACTCGCAACACTCAGGCGTATACCAGGGCGGTCATCACTGCCTTGGTAGAAACTGTTGGGTGGGCACTGACGAGGCTTGTACAAGATAAATCCACAATTAGACAAGCATGCCATGGGATCTCCCTTGCCTAATGATATACCCAGGAGTTACTTGCATGAGAATCTATGTTCGTTCAACGTCCGAACCAAGAATGTAGTCGCTAACGTCCAGTCTGCACGCACGCACTGGTCATTAGCTTAGCTTACATGCCCAGATCACTATAAGGATGTTCATAATATGGCTGATGTAGGATCCAAGTTCTGACAGTGTAGCACGAGTTCGTTTCGTAATCTTCTTGAAGCTTTTTTGGCATGACTAGATCGAACCAACGTGTATTTGGAATATCTACTAGGGTAAACTTCCTGCCATTTCCATAATGAAGCTGCGATATGGTAAAAGTTGCGAGGGATCGGCAGAAGTTGGAGATCAACAATACGTATCAGGAATCCAGCTGTGCGAATTTGGAAAGCGCGGTAGCCCTGGAACCAGACGATCTTTAGCATTACGTTAGCTATCACACCTATTCTGCATGACAGTAGGACGAGGAGGTTCTTTGATATTCCCAGGCCGCCGCGATTATTCCCGTCCACAAGACTGTCAGCCACTCGACGCGTCGAAATCCAAAATGCGCACTGCCGCACCCTTCGGTCTGCGTCTTGGTTCGTTACTTTTTCGGACATCGCCTCAATCAAGACATGTGGGCGCGTCACGCTTGAGCGGTGTGAATGATGCTTTCGGGGCTACGCGTTGGCGGACATTGATATGCGCCATGTTCTTCGGTGACGGGTCGCTAGTTGCATGTATAGAGGTTGGTGATGCAAGCGTGGTGACGATGGTGCAGTACTGCCAAATACTATTGCACACACGTGAAGTTATTTCGTAGAAGCGTACGACACCTGAAGGTTGGCGCAAAACCCTCAGGTTCGGTAGAAAACGATCAGCACAATTGCATTGAATGTCACAAATGGTTTCAATGCCTATGTAGATTTGGCGCGAGCAAGCACGGACAATCAGAGGTCATGTGCTCCGGGGTTTCTAACTTATCAGGGGTTTGACAGCTGGGGATCGATAGACTTATGCATGCGTCGATCAGCCATAATTAGCGGTTGTCAACTAACCTCCGGACGCACTTCGATGAAACTGGATAGCAAAGTGCCGCATTGCATGTGAGCTTAAGACGCGGTACTTTTACCCCAGGTTGGTACGCATTGATGATGACGTAATCACCTGAAACCTTCCTTTCCCCAACCCCTCCTGTTTCATCCTTCCCGCACAAGCTACACTCCCCTTGCGAATCTTTAACTAAAGCCGTTGCACCACCACTGCAACCTCCCTAATTCAATTTGCTATCCCGTCTTCCCAATGCCGTCAGTTGCGTCTCATCGCATTCGGACCACCATGTCGCTAACAAGCCGTACGCCTCTCATTGCATGAAGATACTATGCGGGCAAGTTCCGTCCACAGCTCGATGTAGCGCAAACCTTCTTTGCCTCCAGAACCCATCAGTCCTTTCACCGACCCACAAAGCCACACAGGTGTCGCGTGGCAAAGATGCGAACAGCCGAGAAGCGCCGTTAGACCGGCCACACAAGCTTTGTCCTTGCAGTAGAAAACTAGATCGTCGTGGATGTTGTGCGATAGACCCAACGACTGCCGAACGCATTAGTTCACCTGTCCGTCCATGTGCCGTGGTTGAACTCGAGTCAAGCCGTTACGACGGCGCAAGACTACTCGGAGTACAATACCACGTGTGGCGTTTTGGCGTGATGACCATGTTACATGATTGGCTCCAAGATCGGAGGCACTACATTGAGCCCAAACACGCTTTGCAAGCCTCCTCCGATGGGAAATTCGACGACATAGTTTGACAGCGCTGGAATATGCCGCATCTCCTAAAGTGATTCGCCATCTGCTCTGATGAAAAGTCGCCAGTGCTTCTAGCCAGACTTCATGTTCTGTCTGCGTTACAATCTCAAGCGGAAACCACCCACAACATGCATCATTATGCGCTGGTTTCGGTCTTTTGTTTCCTCTTGACTTTCGGTCATGTCCACGCGTCGGGCACCTACATGGATACGAGAGAATTAGGCATTGCTGATATCCCCGCATGTGGAGTACGTGGTTGACTATATCGTCTAGTGTTACTGCTAATGATGTTCAGCTCCTCTGCATGATCTCCACGGTTCCCGCGAGTGGCTGCTCCCTAGATGATACTGCGTGTATTTGCAGCAACACAGCGCTTGCGGCAACGATATCAACATGCATGCTTGCGAACTGTACCATGCAAGACAGTCTGGAGACCGCCAGGGTTCAAGCTGATCTTTGCAACCTCTCTGAGGAATCGCAGCGACTCGACATCTTTATGTGGACTGGTATCATATATTCCTTAGCTGTTGTCTTTGTATGCCTTCGAATCGCAGGCAAACTAGTGAACAAAAGGCTGGCGTTGGATGATTATATTGTCATCTTCGCTATCGTCTTCTGCGCATTGCCTGTAGGATGTGCGCTGGCTAGTAAGTCAACATGACTGTTATACAGCGTAAAATGTAGCTAATGCAACATAGTGACCGAGCGAGGCTTTGGTGAACACCTGTGGAACCTCGAGGACGGAGCGCTGCTACCCATTCTCCGCTACTGTATGCTTCATCATAATCAACGTCATCGGCAGCATTACTATACTAACACAAATCAGTTTTCGTATGCTGGTCGACCTATGTTGTTGTCCTTGGCCTTATCAAGGTTTCCCTAGTCCTCTTCTACCTCGAGATTTTTCATACACCGAGCTTCCATATCACCGCTTACGTCGTTTTGGCCGGGATTGTCATCAACTCGATCATAATCTTCTTCTTGACGATCTTCATATGCAATCCGATCGAGTCTTTCTGGAATCGAGACGTTAAGGGAAAGTGCTTAGACCTCCAGGCAATCGCCTACGCGAACTCCGCAAGTGCCATTGCGCAAGACTTCATCCTTCTGGTCCTACCTTTGTTCTTCATTCGCAAGCTGCAAATCAAGCGTTATCGGAAATTTGCAGTAAGCTTCATGTTTGCCATTGGCACTTTCGGATGCATCGCGACTATCGTCCGTCTCCACACTTTGACGAAGTTCAAAATATCTGTGGATCCTACCTGGGATTACGTTCCGGTCACTATTTGGACGGAGCTAGAACTTGCGGCAGGGTTCGTTTGCGTATCACTACCATCCGTACGGATATTGATGGTCAAACTGCTGCCTGAAAGCGTTAAAGAATTCTTCTCTCACGTCACCCACCCTTCGAAACAATCAAAACAAAGTAACTCGGATCCAAAGCATGCACTTCCGGTAGCACAGCAAGCACAAAAGGAGTGGTGCAAGCCTTCGGGCTGGAGTTGGATCTCGCTGGGTGCTGATCAAAGTGAGCCTCAGCTAGGTCCCAGGAAGAGTTTCATCAGCGGTCGCTGGCCTTGGGTTGCAACGTCACCTCTCACTTCGCACTTCTCTTCGCATACACGAACCGGCTCTCGTCGCCTGAACTCTGCGATGAGTAATTATAGCGACGCTGGCGTTGTACTTTCTCGGCCTCCGTACGGTTACCAGAAGAATGCTGTAGAACTGAACGAGGTTCCACAAGCCAAGTTTGGAGCTAAAGACAGACATGACGACTTTGACGACGAAGTCACTGCGTTACCCGATATCGAGTGTCTACCCGAGCGATCGTATTCACATGAGCGCACAATCAGTCCCAAGAGACTAGCCAGAGTGTGGAGTCGCGACAATCCTGTATGAGCAAGGAAGACGATGTCTCGAACACATGGAAAGCGTACTCTCGGATCCAAAACATTATTTTGATCTCCTAGACCCTCTTCCTTTCCACCGACATTGTGCCACATAAACTGGCGCTAACTGGAAACGTTATTCGTCACTCCTAAAACATTATGACAGTACCCGAAACCGCATCGGCTGTCTTTTGCTGATCTGTTCGGATCCATGCCATACCCAGTGCCAGCAAGAGATCCATACCCGGCGCTACATGCACGACCCACTCGGCATGCCTGTGCGCCCACTTGGCGTGTCGAGAGACAGTCATGACCGGATTGCCGTTAGCGACAAGGCCTCTCTCTTCGCCAGCGACGTCTTTTTCGAACTCGATATTCTGGTTCTCGAGGTACTTGTCATGGATCGTAAGGTCTAGAAGGGACGCGCGTCAGTCAGGAGAAGAGGGGCAGAGGCGGGGAAAGAGTAAAGACGAAAAGCGAGACGACGTACCCCATTTAGGAATCCTCCATGAGATCTTCAACTCAACGTCCCATATCGCTTTCGCATCCGCACTCCTCAGTGCCCTATACTCCGTCTCGAGCTTGATGTTGTGTCGCTCGACATTGATCCGCATCGCTTCTTGTCCCTCCATCGTCTTGAACAGGATTACATCTGTTTCTTCTTCTTTGATTTGAAGGAAAGGGGCTCCAGCTTTGCCGTCGGGTGTAAGGTAGCTCACCAGACTTTGGCATTTGCCTTTGGGTGTGTCTTCGTTCTTCATGAGGAAGGTCTCTTGATGCTGGGCTGTCCAGTTGGGAATTATTACGAGGCCGGGTAGCGGCATAGGTGGAAGGGTTGGAGTCATTGTAGGGTAATTTCGATATAGCAATAAGGTTTTGCAAAGACTGAGCAAGTGGAAATACGTCCGATGATGCGGCCGAAAATGACAGTATTAGGTTCTATTCTGTACACATTATCCCCACACCCCGTTCTTCTTATTCTCCTTATACTATAAAGCCGTCAGCATCTGACGTCGTCCCGTCAGCACCGTGTAACACTAGTAAATAACGTTCGCAAAGGCAAAGATCGGTGTTCATTTGACCAATCAGCGGTTTCCGGGTGTTGTACACAACAGACAAGCACACTGCCGAGACGTCCTTCAGTGTTGGTTCTCCGCATGTGGAATTGTAACCTCTAATCACATTACGGCGCAGCACCATGCAGATGTTTGGCGTAGTCCGTCGGAAAGTGCTGTGAGGGTGTAGAGCTGAGGATCCCGCCCTGCGCCGGATGACTGCCGATGTGGCGTACCAACCGCTAGGCGAAAGGTTAGCGCTATGTAAGGGGCGACCCTGGATCCTCCTCGATCACTTTTCACGCTGTGTGTGCGGGGAACGAGCCTCCAGGAGGAATCTGGGTTCGCTTTCGATTTGTCCTCGTTTCTTGTACATACACCTGATTCAGGCGAGCTACGTGTTGAAGCAGTTCATCCTCATATCTACATACCAAGAAAGCAATGTGTACAGTCCTACCCCATCCGTCGCTGCTCTACTCATATCGGATGACAGGCATTTGAAACGTCCTGTGCCCGCTAATGAACCAATGAGCGAGGGCTCCAAGCACGACAGCACCGAAGATTGGCCCCGCATAGTTCATGTTATCTCCTGTTACTGGCAAGACCTGTGGAAACGGCATCCAAAGTACAACAAAGATCAGGTAGCATAGCGCAAACATGTTGATGGGTAGGCCGATAGGACCCATCTTGAATGGTCCGTATGGAGGTGGTGGGCCTCGTATTTTGCGTAAGAGTATAAAGAGGATTGGGAAGAAGTACGATATGTGCAGGGCGAATGCTTGGAGTGAGATGAGCGCATTGAAGGCGGTTGCGCTGGCGATGTATATCAAGGAGAGACATGTTACAATAGTTCCAACGAGGAGTAGGGCATTAAGTGGGAGTTTGAGAGTGGGATGCACCTAAGATAGTCAGTCAATGCAAGATTTAGAGTCAAGGAGGAAACGTACGTATGAGAAGAAGTTAGAGAAGGGCAAGCCGTTATCGCGCGCAAACACCCACACTAGCCTCGAGACTGAAGCAAATATGTTAAAAAGTGCAAAGAAGAAAATCACCGCTATGAGCGCGGTGAGAACATTGGCTGCCACTGAGGAACCTGTAATGTTGTAGATGACCCACAAAAGTGGAAGCGGCGTAGCGACGACATCGTCGAGAGGGCCCATGTAGAAGAGGAGGATGGTCGCAAAGATGACAAGCATTATCGAGTTCGCGACACAGGTAATGATTATACTGCGCGGTACGCGCGTGCGTACCTTCCTCACTTCGTCGCCTATGTATTTAGTCAGTAGAGGATGGCTATGTCAAGAAGTACGAACATACACATGTGCAGAACACTGTCTGCTCCAGTGACGGAGAACGTCATGCTCAGAAGGCCCAGTCCCCAGGATACGCCCTTGTTATTCCAACCGGACTCTTCCCATGTGAGTGTTTTGAAAACGAAGTCAGGGTCGCTGCGCGGTCCAAACACAACGAAGACAACAATTACCACGACGAAAAGACAGATGTGGAGTATGCCACCCGTAATCTCGAATGCGTCGAGGAGCTTACGAAACCAAAGGTTGAACGTGAAGGGAACAACCATGATCGCGATCATGATGAGACTGGTGTGCAATCGCTCAGGAACGTAGTTTTCGTTGTTGAAGATTGCTAACGAGGTGATCATGTTGGCAAGGATGGAAGGTGGTCCGGCACAAGCGAAGCACCAGGCGCCGACAGTGATCCATCCTATTTGTGATGTGAGTTGCGGTAAGTGTTAGTGAGTATTTCGGCCCACCTTGTAGTAAGCCCCAGAAACGAGGAGCAGCAGGAGCGAGATTGGCTGACCAGCGGTATTGAGCACCTACGGTCGGATCTCTGCTAAGTTGTTAACAAAAGTCTAGTATCATTGCTGAATACATACATCGAAGCCAGCTCTGCCAGCGAGAAGCCAACGGCACAAGCGCCAACGCCTGCCAAGATACTGCCATAAAAGATGGAAGCTGGCCCACCGTTGGTCAAGGCGAATTGGAAGGTCACCGCAAACGACTCCCACGAAGCGAGAATGATAACCGCGAAATTAATCACAGCTGAAAGATTTATGTATCGCTATTCTAGTCAATACTTTTGCTTGCTGAAGAGAATCAATGAAGCCTACCTCGAGCTGATTTGCCGATCGTCCTCCAGGGCGCGCGTTAGGGAGATTCACTCCAGGCTTTTCGCTCTGATTGGATCCTCGCTCGACAACTTCGAGGTCAGCATCCGGCTTGTAGGTGCTGAGCTCCATGTTGGCACGAAAGACTCCAAAGCAGTGGGCAGTGGGCAACGTGCGGAACTGCAGAGACAAAAGGAGATCTTGAAAAGTGTTGACCCCACCATTACTTTAGAAGAATGACCGGGGACTCCGAGCTGCGTTACATGAGAAGTCATGGTGATTGGTAACCCGTCTACTGAGTTATCTAGCTAAACTAGACATGAATGGGGTCCGACAATGTATGCACGGTATCTTATCAAGGTCTATCAATTATCCGTTCCCATTGAAGATCATTTTTCCGGCTCCGCCGCACTCAAAAGGTTAAATCCGACGCGTCACGCGTCCCATGAGGATACGTTCATGTCGTTCATCACATGGAGCGAGATTTGTGTTTACTTCAGCAAATAGGCTCGAGTGGACCCGGGGCCGCCCGCATGGTGTCCGGAGCGAATAACGGCCATTTGGCTTCTTTGCGCATAACGTGCTGCGGGGGTTCTATGCGATACCACTGGCTCGGGCTCCTTAGATACAAGCAACCGAGATAGGATTGAGCGAACCGTTCTGCTTCATCAATATCCATCAAGTTTACCTAGGCGTGGGACTCATGTCGCCTGGATCGATCTTTTGTCTTCCACCGGTCGGACTACCATCGTTTGATAAGAGGAGATGCGTTACTTTGCAACGCAGCTCGCACTGGTTGTAACGATTGAGTCGTCAGCAGGTGCTTTAGCGAGGTTCGGCTTGGAGAGGCGCAGCGGATAGACATGGGCATTGCGGAAAACGGACTAGCCGCCATGCATATGCACAGACAGTAAGCATGTGGCGGATTCAAAGACGGTGAAAATACACGAATGAGGTCCTATCTCCTAGCGGCTTATATTGGAGGCCCAAGCATGGGGTACTCTTGGGTTGTTGGTAACAAATGCGTACCCAACATGTCTCCGAGTGTACGGCTGAGAGTCGGTGTGATGAAAGTAAGACAGAGCCGTGCGGGGATATGCTTCAACGTTCAGCATAAGCTGCACATCTCCCCAGAGTTGGTCACTACACTACTCAATGTTTGCTACTCTTCTGTCGGTTCTGTACAATGGTACCCGCAGGTTCGGATGAAGGTCGTGGCAACGCCGCAACGAAAAGGATCGGCTTCATCCTCGTCTCCACCTATGCATGGACTATCGTAACAGCGGGCGTGCTGGTCGCGCGGTTCTGGCAGGGTCATTACCATAAAGTCGAAGTCGGTCTTGACGATGTAGCAATCATTGCGGCAACTGTAGGGCAGTCCAACTCTTTGAAAGCGAACGGCACTGATCTCGTCATAGGTTGTGTATCTAGGCGCGACTGTTAGTTGGCAACATGCCATTCGTGGTGGTCTGGGAAAGGACTTGAACGCTCTCAGTGGTGAGGATATTACACTCTTCTTCAAGGTTGACTGCTCCATTGGGGATGTGTTTCTAAGGCTAATTAGTAGTTGTAGGCGATGTACATTGCTGGGATACTTGTGGTCTTTGCGATGGCGCTTGCAAAGCTATCTTCTGCTTTACTCATCGACCGTGTAGTCCCACAAACTCGAAGAGCGAAAACGATCCTATTCGGCATGATTGCAATATATGCGATATTCTCACCCTTTGCTATATCTTTCCAGTGCGGAATCGCGCAATGGACTACGTATTCGCTGCGATGTAACCATGGTGGCCTTGCGATCGCAGTCATAGTATGCAACATTACTACCGACCTTTTCTTGGTTTTTTGGATGGTTCCGGTCCTTTGGAAGCTATCGTTAAACAAAGAAAAAAGCCTGGCAACAGCGACGCTCTTCGGTGTTCGAGCAATGTACGTTCGGTAGCCTGGTCAACAATATGTTGTGGTACTGACTCTGTAGTGTAGCATTCGTTGCTGGAGGTCAGATATGGGCCACATTGAGGTTGGCTTCTAGTCAAAACTCCACCCGTGAGTGATCTTGGAGGCACCTAACAGCAGGAACCTGACGAGATACAGGTGATGCAGCTGAATTAGCCGTGCTCACTCAGTAAGTTCAATCCAGTCGATACTCTCCAAACCTGACGGTTTCAAGGTCCGTTTCCAGTCTCTCCTTGATCTTAGCAAGCGTTCCACGAATCAAACGCATTATTGGTGTTGGCGGCAGCGGTATGGTCTACCCACAAATACAAGAGACTGAACTCTCAGTCCCTCGCAGGTCTTCTAGCTGGCAAGATTCTCGTAGTACGGAACCGAAACTGGTGCCTTCTGACATTGGGGATTTCACGGTGACTGTGTCGTCGAAAGGGACGAAGGACAAAAAGAGGAAGATGCCGTGCAAGCACCTGCATTCTGATTGGCAGACGCTCACGATGGGGACTTCTACCGACGACCAGGCCAGCACATCAAGCCTATTTGGTCCGGATGAACAAGAAGGTGTAATGATGCGACAGGATGTGATCGTGTCTGTAGAGGATAGAAAGCCTCGGAAGACAGCTTGTAAACGCGAAAATTGATGACGTAGTGCTACCGGCCGGAGCTCATATCTTGAACTTATTGTCTGTGGCTGAGAGTATGAAACGCAATATATCGAGACGAATAGGCGAGCCAAACGTTGGGGATAGTGTTCACACAACGTAATGCGAGATGTCGTGTTGGTGCTGTTGTATGCAAAGGACAACGATCGCGTGTCGGATGGCTGGTTCTCCACTCCCCTAGCGGCGCCGCGCTCCACGTCCCTATAGCGCAAGAGCGAGACGTGCACTCCTAGGCCCTTTCCATCCTGTCATATCGCGCCTGATACTGTATTCAATTCACGGCCCGAGGCTTTCGCTTAACGAAGAAAACACTTGCGCTTGTGGCGAACAAGATTAACAACTAGCTCTGCTCTAGTTAGATGCCAATCGAATGAAACCCCCCTTCGATCTGTCATCGACCCAAGATCGGTTTGAGCTTGTATATGCTAAGGTCCGGGTCGCTGTTTTCTTACACATATAGAGAGCGTTCTCAATGAGTAGTGGCCAACGGACAAATCGGTATTTGGAACTAGATTGAAAGATCCCGATTCAAATATGGTGATACAATCGCTATCAGACACAACATAACTTGGGCCCAACCTTCTTTCAATGTCCTGAACCTCGGTAACCCTCTTCAGAAGATAGCCACAGCATTCGGCAAACTCCCTACACCCCCCGGTACATTTACTGGCTTACTAACAACCAAAAACTCCCACCTTCCCTTCTCCCTACACATCCCCGCCAGCGTTTCAAAGTCCCAAAGCTCACCAATCGGCATCCCCCACATACTAAGCATACACGCATGCAAACTACTCTCATAGCTCTCCGGCGGCCAAACCTCGAAATTCGCATTATCCGTCGCAGCCGCCGCAAAGTAGTTGTCGTATAAGATATCCTTCATGGACTCCGTCGCATCGAGGCCTGCGTAGAAATGTTTATCTAGCGCCATGGTGCCGCGTTCTGATCTCTCGGAGGTGGAGAGGGCGTTGTATGCTGCGAGCCAACCGGTGCGTATCAAGAGTATGTCACCAGTTTTGAAAGATGTGCCTTGGGATTCGGCGCATGCGAGTAGATCATCGGCTGTTATGGGGTGGTTGGTAAAAGGGTCATATGCTTTCCCTGACTTCTGGGCCCAGGAGTACACGTCGAGGAGGATACCGCGGCCTATAATGCCTTTCTTGGCCCAGGCGTCGATACCGAGTTTTCTCGAGCGCTCAGGTGCTTCTTCGCCGTCTTCTCCATCATCATCTACATCAGCCATGATTTCGTCGGAGAGTACGCCGTTGTAGTGACATTCATATTTTGGATGCGCGAAGTGGCGGAAGCCATCCCATTGACTGCTACTTTGCGTGTTGAAAGCTACTTCATCATCGAAGGCGCCGGGGCCTATGGTTTTGATGCGGTGTTTCAGTCCCTTTCGTCCGAAAAAGGCTGGGCCGGGGACGTTCAAGGGCAAGTCCAGTGACACTGATTGTCCAGTCTTGACATTCTCTTGTGTTGCTTTTGCTATTCGCTGCGGAGTGAGGAGGTTAAGTCGACCTAGCTCATCGTAGCCGCCCTAAAACGTTGGTGTATAAATTAATATGTGTCTCAAGTGTATTTGATATGTTGGAGGTGTTACCCAAAACCAAGCATTATCTTTTGGTGTACCTGCAATATGTGGTAAGGCTGAGCGTTTGGGGAAGGTCGATGCGTCGCCGTCTGGGTTCAACCGCATTTTAAAAGAATTCTTGATAGCCTAAGAATTCTTTGCAAAGATAATAATCTTGGATCAAGGATTACCTGGAGATGGACGTAGACAGTTTGAGGGTGGCAGTTGGGGTATTTCAAGTGACGTAGACAATCATCGTGCGTGCATTGCTAGCGCTTCCCCGCGCCTCACTCTTCTACTGTATTCAGTGCTTGATAGAAGCTTCAAGCACCTCATACAGTGAAGAAACTAGATAGGTGCTAAAAACTCTTCTACTACGTTACATCCTAGAACCGCATATAATAGAAAAAATAAAAGATATCCTACACTAATGTAGACGTCTAAGCTGTCTAGATGTATATATAATATTTTTGTTTACGTTGTCGTAGTAGGCAACGTAGTAGAAGGTTTTGTGCATCTGTATGGTTTCTTCCTTGTGTAAGGTGCAAGCCTTGTGCTATCACACCTATCTTATCTGTAGCTCTAACTGTTTGGGGGTGGACAGAATGTTTGTCGTCTCAAATCAATGTTTCGCACGCGCATAGCCACTCTCCTTCCCAGGTGCGCGCGAAACCTTAGAAGGCCTGAGTGTTACCATCGGTGAGACCCTCCGATCTCCTTTCCATCACATGCTGCTCTCATGTCGAGCGCTGTGTCTCCTCGCCTCTGCCGTCCCTTTCACACTTTACGAAGCCGTGCAGGTCTTCTTGTGTACCTTCCAGTCCACCTTTTGACACTCCTGCGAGCAGTACCTCGCCTTCTTACACTTTGCACACGCCGAGAAAGCCTTACCATCCTTCGGACTTCTCCCACAATTAGTGCAATCCCCTTCCTTCCTTGGGCTCCTTCCCTTCTTGATAACCTCAGTCATAGCCGGCACTTTTTTATCCAACATCTCAATCAAGGTCTTGATGTTCATACCATCCGTGTCTTTGGAGTCGATATCTCCGCCATGCTCAATGTACCACTTCATCATCTGCACATTCTTGCTTGTGTCGCCATGGATATCAGCTTGACCTATTTCGGAACCCGCAGTGGCATTGAAACGGTTTTTTGTGTTGACGGATGCTCCAGCATCAAAGAGGATCTGCGCGAATTCCGGCTGTACGTAGGGTTTGGTTGAGATTGACCAGAAGAGGGCGGTGCTGCCCACAATGTCCTTTCCGTCGACTGGTACTTTGAGGTCGTTGGCTAGATATCTTACAATGCCCAGCAACTCTTGCTTCTTTTGTGGCAACACGTGCAGTGCCGGCAATAGCACAGAGTAGATAGGCGTACGGGTAGGACCCCATCTTTTTGAATAAAGGTCCTGTCTGACAGTCTCGCGAGCTTCTTCCGTTCCTCCGAGTTGCTTGATCATCATTTCGCAGTAATTTTGCAGCGCATCGAATTCTTGATTGAAAGCAGCAAGGAGAGTCTGGCCAACTGGATCCGTGAGGTCACGACTGGGCTTCGTAGGGTTATTGTAGGCCCAACCACGAAGTTCCATACCGTCCATGCCCGCGAGCTGTTCATCTGAATTTTTCATATCTTCCAAGGACCTTGAAAACCACGCGTTAGTAATTCAATGCACATTCAGATGGTGTCTTGTGCTAGATACCGGTTCGATCGCGGCTGCATGTTCTGCAACATTTGCATGAATTTGGCCGACATCCTGTACGTTTTGACTGTAATATGTGGACAAGGTAATTGTACGTGGAGCAATTTTATGATGTGAAGTTGGGCTGCTCAATATTAGAAGCGGAGGAGGGGTGGTGGCATGGTCTTTTCGCGCTCGAGGTTATCGATTAGCAGGCGCGACTATCACACCCGTGTTTCAGGGTCTTGCTTTTCGCGGCAACCGAAGGTGTCCGAGTGCCTCGCAGCCGCTATTTCTGAAATGTCAAATGAATTGGAAATTGGATCAGGGAGGAAAAATATATTAGGCGATGAATAGTTCCAACAAGTCCTAAAAGACACTCATTTCGAGCTTCCAACGCCAGTCTCCGACTCTGCATCCAGATGCAGAGTGTTCACAATCCCTAACATTGGAGGTATCGCATATTCAAACGCCATTGAGAATACAAGCATCGCCAGACTGATATGCTCGTACTTGATTCAGTTCCGTATTCTAGACTAACCAGCGTCTACTTCTTTAGTGCCGCATCGTAGAGACTGACAAGTATACCAACTAGCGAGCCGATTTGTAGACCATAGTATCCTCCGGGTACGTTGTTTCCCACACGCGCAACGGCATATTCAGAGAAGGGACCCCAGGCACTTGGCGCGAGGGCCAAGTTGACAGTCTCTCGGTAGGCACTGTATGACAATATTGCCCGTGCAATGTTGAAGATAAGCGGATCAGCGGGGTATTGGCGGTCCGAAGACTTGCGCGAGGTGTTTGTGCGAAGAGTCAGGTTGAAGAAGTATGAGAACATGAGCGGTAGCACCCAGCTAGTGAGCGACCAGAGAGTAGCTGGTGACCACCAATCAGCCGAGAGAAGTACCCAGAAGTTTGGTCCCCGGACGTCTTGACTATTCGAGTACGAGCTGAAGGCGGTGGGTGTCGCGAACAATGGAGTCGTGTCAAGTGTGTTCCATTGCAGTCCTACAGCCTCCACGAGCAGGATAATGGTCTGGATTGTAGCAACCGAGCTTGCGTTTTCGCGAACGAATTCCTTGAGCTCATCGATTCGAGTCCTGTCCCATAGCTCAACAGCCTTGGTTTGAATTTCTTGGAAGGACTGATCTGCGATTTCAGCGAGTTGTGCAGGCGATGCTGGGATGTCCACTTCATTGAACACTTCAGAAACGCGACGAGATACGGCTTTCGCCTTCGGTTCGACTTCAGAGAGTACCTCGGAAACACGACGAGGGACGGCTCTGGGCTTTGGTGTACGCGCGACAACGCTGCGAATTTCTGGTGTAATGATGGGTGTAGACGTAGTGATGGGGGTAGACTCTGGACTGCGCGAATGTTAGCTTCGGCGCGTAACGCGTCGCGTATCCGGGTTCAACGTACGAAGGGTCCTTGTTCAGCGTTCGGCGACGCGTCGTCTTGGTAGCTGTGAAGGGTTCTGACGGCGAAGACAGTTCGCGCTTGACTGGCGAACCATTTCGGCCATAGTAGTCGCGAAATTCGGGAAGTTTGGCAAAGGTCGACTCGTTGGAGTTGAGATGGCTCCCAAGAATCTGCACGAGATCATCCTTCAGAAGGCCGTCGGCACTGCAAATCACTCGTCAGTGCTGCGATACATGCGCAGGATCAATTCCTAGCCTACTCGGGAAGTCTAGCCTTCTGCGCAAGGTCAATCAAGTCAGCTTTGCGCTTTCTCTGAAGCCACGAGTGAGACATGGTGAGTGGTATAGATCAAGTCGCGTAAAGCCTGCGATCAAAATGAAGCAAAAATTCAAGCAGAAAAATGCGTCGTGGGCGAAAAAGGTGGGGGCGGTGTGGTGTTGATCGGATGCAAAGAGACTCAAGATGTAAACACGATGGCTGGGGCTCACGTGGGTCATGACTGGGCGCTAACTGTCGCAGGGCTTAGCCTAGGTTATATGCTGATCTGCAGCGACAACACATTTGCCTCTGAGCAAGATAGATGTGTTGTAGCTGTCTTGGTATCATTCGCGTAGAGGTAGTCTAGGTAGTCTTAACTACATCAAGCCGTCGTCTGTCCCCGTGCTTTTGATAGCTGATAACCAGGGCTTGCAGGGATGTGGCTGCGCGGTCCCGGTCTTGGCCGAAATTTTCCAGAGTGAACATCATCGCACGGCCGCAGTGGCAGCAACGTCACTCTTTGAAGTATACCCTTGCACATTCCATCCTTCTCTACACTTGCTGTTTTCCACTGTACCAATCTTCAATCACTCTCCAGCACACCACTGCCATCGAAGCGCTCATGGTACTTGCCCGCGTGGCCAACTTCTTCACAAACGGAGACTCTACCACCGACCTGACCGACGGTAGCCGGAGAAATGTCGCAAACACAGTACAAGCAGTCGAACTTCGCATGGAGGATACCAAGTGGGGAGCAATGGAGGAGGAGGTAGACGAGGAAGCTGCGCGGCCGCCGTACCTACATGTGAGGATGCCTAGTCTGCAGAGATGAGGGATGCCAATTGATCACAAACAGGCAATGCTGGCAGGAGGAATAGGAGGGACCACTGGTGACATGTTGATGCATTCGCTGGACACTGTCAAAACACGACAACAAGGCGACCCGCACATGCCTCCGAAATACACGTCAATGGGCAACACATACTACACCATATGGCGGCAAGAAGGCTTCCGGAAAGGCTTATACGGAGGAGTACAGCCAGCGTTCCTCGGGTCTTTTGCAGGCACAGTGTGCTTCTTTGGAGCTTATGAATGGACCAAGCGGACCATGCTTGATTATGGAGTTGCGCCCTCTGTCGCATACTTCTCAGCCGGTACACCTTCCCCGAATCTACTCAAATTTATTTACATACTGACATATGTCCAGGCCTTCTGGCCGACCTCGCCGCTGCGCCCGCATACGTTCCATCTGAAGTCCTCAAGACCCGCCTGCAATTACAGGGCCGCTACAATAACCCTTACTTTAACTCGGGATATAATTACCGTTCCACTATGGACGCTGCTCGAACAATAGTAAGGACCGAAGGTTATAGCGCCCTCTTCCACGGCTACAAGGCGACACTTTGGCGTGACCTGCCTTTCTCGGCATTACAGTTTGCATTCTACGAAGAGGAGCGGGGTTGGGCGAAGAAATACATTGGCTCAAACAACATCGGCCTGCCGCTGGAGATTGCAACGGCAGCGACTGCGGGCGGCATGGCAGGTGTCATAACAACACCACTCGACGTAGTCAAGACGCGCATCCAGACACAACACAACGGCCCATCTCCTGCATGTCCCATTGCGCCGAAAGCCTCACTGTCGCCCGCCGCGGCCTCGAAACACTCAATCTCATCGCAAACGACCAAGCCATCATCAACCCAAAGTCGACCAATATCCACCTCCTCCCCTTCAACAACACTGAAAGCCCACGGCGCCGCGACCCTCGATACCTCATCCGTCATGACCGGCTTGAAGATAATATACAAAACAGAAGGGATCGCTGGATGGTTTAGAGGCGTTGGACCGCGTGCGGTCTGGACAAGTGTACAGTCGGGGACCATGTTGGTACTTTACCAAACGCTGTTGCGGTATTTCGAGCAACATCCCTTGTCGGGGTCTGAAGATGTATAACAATACTGTACGACTTGTAAGAATAAAGGGAAAAGAGTATGAATAAGAATAGGGTATAGATGCATCAGCGGCGTTTTTTTGTAGAAACATGATCGCTATATGCGGTTTTGAAGCGATAGATTTGTGAATAACAAGACATTTACACTCATAACACTTGGTTTGTCCGGGGAGTACTTTAATACATGATATTCCTATGACTGAGCAAGTCGTAGCTAATCGGAACGTATACATCCGCCCAATACTACTATTTAACACATCCCAAACCCTGCTCGTACTCTTCAACCCATACCACCACCTACCTTGCCTGATCTCCTCAATCCTCCGTATCCGCTTGGATCTCAAGACCTTCAACCGACTCATCTTCCAATGTTCGAAGTGATTTTATCTCCCTCTCTTCTCACCCTCCTGTTCCGCTCCACCACCTGCTATCGTCCCTCTCTTAACCCTCCTAAAGCAAGCAAATTGCACTTTCGTCCCCTCCCTCAACCTCTTGAGACTCACTCTCAAACTACCCAGTTCATCTTGTAACCGCACCCTCGCCGCATTATCCGTCTTCTGATCCAAGACTTGGTAGATATCAGTCTGGATCTGCGACGCCTTCTCCGTAGTATACGAAGCTAGCGTCTGAGCCATGAACTCGACGTCGAGTGTGGCTTGCATGAGTTGCGGGAGGGAGATGGTCGATAAGTTGGGAGACTGGAAAGTTGTGATGAGGGAACTGGTCGTGGATTCGAAGAGAGCGCGCAGGATACGTGGGGTAAGCGGCGCGGATGTGGTGGAGGATTCTGTGTGCACGATTACGAGATCGAGCAGGACGGTGAAGACGTAGGGGCTGGGGTCGCGGTCTGCTACGCTCTTTCGTGCGTCTGGTGGTGGCGCCCAGTTTGGACTGAAGATGCCGGATTCGATTGTGTTGTGAATCTTGGTGGCGTGCGGTTTGGTATAGGAGCGGAAAAGTTGCGCGTCGAGTTGGGAGAGGACGTCTCGGATGCGATTTGTTTCGTCGGTGAGTTGGACGCTGAATAATGTCTCGAAGAGAGTGAGGAGCTGTGGGGTTATCTCTGTTTGGAAAGCGGCCATGTTGGCGAGAGTTAAGAGGAGGCGGATAGACTGATCTGTGTTAGTAGAAGTTGGAAGACAAATAGTAATAAAGTCTACCTTCTTATTGGCGTCGACCCTGCCCCAGTCATTACCGTTCTGGTCGTCTTGCTCATCGATAGTAAGATCATCGCCCTTGATCTCGAATTCGGGACCCAAAGCTTGTCTGCCTTTCTCAGCGCATTCAACCATTCCGCTCAGCGTCCTATATAAGCTGGTGACGAACTGGCTTCTGACCATCTGTAGTAGCTTGTTGCTCGGTGGTACAACCACATCCACTCTGGTTTTGCTTGATGCCTCAACATACAGTATCTTCTGAAGGTTGTTGAGCAGAAAGCTTTGTACTGCTAGGAAACGTTGGGGCAAGTTTGTAGTGTCTTTGCGATCAACATGACGAGTCCAGTCCTCAAGCACTTTCAACTTCTCGGCGTCAGTGTTCCAAGCTGCACACACAGCTTGCACGCAACGTTCGCGTACACCACCAAGTAACATGCGCAGTGCTTCGTCAATGCGACCGCCACCACCAATCTCGGGAACTTGCAATGACGCAAGCTCATTGGCTGCAGTGCTAATCAAGACGAGCATCTTTGATAAGTAGTGAGACCCCGAAAGCGCATTCGCATTAGGAGGCCAGAAGGCATACTTCTCCCAAGATTCTCCGCGACTAGGTGAGGGTGGTGGGGCTTTCGCAGGATCGAACCTGAACCTCGACGCCGACTTGGGACTCAACGCTGCGCTCAATGGTGTGCCTGGTGTTGTTGGTGTCGGACTTGTAGGTAGTGGTGACATGAGCATGGAGACATCCTCGATGGGAGGATCGGAGAAGAACGCGACTAGGTGGTCCCGGAGGATAGTGATAAGTTCGGTTGTTCCTCTCTCGAGCTCGGCTTTGTTCTCACTGCTGAGGCGGTGGTGGACAGACGACTGGCCATGATTACCTGTTGGGAAGTTCCGTTGGGCGCGACCAGAGAGGAACGACTGGACAATCTCCCAGTATTCAACGAGTTCAGCCAGCAGTCCAGTTTTGTTTGAGAGCAGGGTACTCATCGACGCATACACGTGTTCCCAGAACTCAGACACTTTCGGGGTGTCAAGCTTCGAAGGTTCGGCACTGACATTGTTGCTAGTGGGTACCGAACGGAGCTGCTTTTGCAGCATACGCATGCTCGGCTTTTCGCCATTCGCTAGATGACGACGAAGAATCTCAATCTCAACCAGCGAATGTTGGCATTTGGAGTTGAGCTGGAACTTGAGGTGTTCGTAGCGTGAGAGCAACCATACCCATATTGGGTTGTCCTCCACACCTAGCTCTAGCATGATGGAGATGATGCTCAGGTACTCATCCGATTTGGTCTCCTCACTTCCGGTCTGTAGGTGTGTGAAATGCGCTGCGGTCAGGCGTTTCCACGAGTCACGCTTGAAATGTTCAACTTGCCGCTCAACGTCTGACCACATCCTGGCTGTCACAATGACCTGATGTATCTCCGCATCAGTCAGCTGCGTCTTTGCAGACGTTGCCTGTTCTACAATGTATCGAGCTTCCTCTGCGTACTTTCTCGCGCGCTTGTATTCCTCGGTGATTGTTTCGTGGTCTTTCCGGCGTATGGCGTCCTGCATGGCAGACCCAACCTCAAACAACCCTCGATGGTGTTCGACAGACTCCATAATAGATTTGAGAGTCTCCTCCCTCTCACGTCCATTTAGCGCAGGGCCCCAGACTTCTTCCGCTTTGACTGCGACTTCAGTCAGTGGTACCTTGATGCCATGTACTCCGTATTCACTCTCTTTAACCAGCGCATTCTTCCTCTTCTCTGTAGGTACAGCGTCAATCATGGCTGGTGTCAGAGACGCGCTCGTCTTTCGGCCTGAGAAGCTCGATCGACTCCTCTCTCTGCCAGGCTGAAGAGCCTTGGGGGATTCTACTTGCTCTTTCCCTTGGTCCCGCATCTCATTGTATACACGATCGATGGTAGCTTTGGCGCCTACGAAGCGATCGAAGTTGGATTCGACGAGGACTTTGAGCGAAGCCGACTTCTTCTCAATTGAACGGGAGAGGAAGTCAAGACCAGCGAGAAGGGAATCGGTGGACGCTTCATTGTGGACTTGCGAGAGGAACAGAGAGGGCGAGAAGGTAGTAGAGCTCAAGAGGAAGCGGTTGCCTGTATGCCCATTAGACGGGCCTTGTGTGTATTGCTATATTGCTGAAACATACGCAGCTTGATATCGTCCTCGACTTGAATATTCTTCGCCCGCAGTACCTGCACTACACTCGGGTACATGCCCAGCGGGTCCTGTTCGTCCTTCTGTACCAACGTCTCAACGCCATCTTTCGATCGTTCTGCCCCCGGAACCTGCCGTGAGTATCTGGAACTAGGCTCTAGCACTGAATATCGCGACTTAGACCGCCGTATCGCTTGTGGTGTAGCTTTGGGTGCCGGCTCATCGAACGTATCCTCTTCGTCGGCTTCGTCCTTCTCCTCTGGCCAGGTTGCGGGGTATAGTGTCGTGAGATTGTACTTGTTCAAGATCTCCGTCTCTATAGACGAGCTCATTGTAGCTACAGCGAGAGACGTTCGATTGTGGTTTCTAGAAATGTGGTGGTGGGACGTCGGAGTGCTGCGTGTCGCAAGTGGCAGCTCGCTGAGACGCGGTTGCGACTGCCAATCAGACGCGCGCAGTTCTTGGCGGAAGGTGTGCTAGTTGGAGCAAACTCGACTCCCATCTCACGACATCATACGTAATATCTTGATCATAGCGTGAACAGAATGCATCTACCATCGAATCATCTCCTGTGTATCTCTGAAAATGTGTCTTGTTTGTGTCAAGCAGGAAGTCCGGGCAGCCATGGAGTCCATAACCATAGGATATACGTAACGTATGTTGTCAAATGCATTTGCATCAGCTCTCCAGATACTGGGGCATTATGCATGGTAACAAGATTAGAGGTCACTTAGTTCGTTTTTGCCAACTGGATTCGTCTTTACTCTCACCTTTTATCCAGGAGCTCGGATATCTTAAATCAAGTAGCCTCGAATATGCTGATGTTTTCTCTCACAACTGATGCTACAGCCGCATTCTCTTACCTGGAGTCACGCTGACGACTCTGTTTCTGTCCAACTTCGCACTTTCCCACCGCTCTTATGGATATATAAACTGTTCCTTGCTTTCTCCCAACCTCTACAACTTCATCAACTTTCCCACTCTTCTACGTTAATTGCAATCTGCCCTCCAACATAACAACCCCCCTCAAGTCGTTCTCATATCATCCACCTTCTTGGAGATTTCTACCAACGCATCATGGCTCCGTCGATTCCAGCCACTCCATCTCCCAGTTTCAGCAGGTCTACTCCTGCATCTCCGATATCTCGCCCTTCAAAGAAAGTACATCGTCCTAGAAAGAGGGTTCCAGCACCGGCTTCAAGGTCAAATACTGGAAAAAGCGTTAACAAGAAGAGCAAGAAAGATGTCACTATCTCAGAGCTACATAATCCCCTATGGGTGTATGTGCATTATGGATCTGCAACACCAACATGGCTAACATCATGCAGTGACTTTGAGGATCAGAAAGCACTTGAACGTGGCCAAGGCAAGAACCGTCCTTCTAAATTCTATCGGTACCACTTCGAGAATGCGGCGACACTGAGTCTTTTCGTAAACAAGATCAATCACATCAGCCACAAAGAAGTTCTTGATCTCAAGCTTCAAGATGGGAACGCTTTCCAATCCGTCGGAACTCTCAAACCCAACTTGGATATCACGAAAGAACGTATCGATCGACACTATAAAGTGAAGCAGATGAAGAATCCTTCTCCGTATATATCTGCTATGTCTTCCCTCAGTAAGTTCCGGCTACGAACCTTTAGTTCATTAACACTAACTCAGAATAGAAGACGCGGAAGACACTGTTCGTAAGATGTATAAGACTCGTACCAGCGCCCCACGCCGTCTCTTGATCGCGGAGATCGACGTCTCAGGACTTGTACCTGCTACATTGAAGACAACTATGTCAACCACCCAAGGAGACCACTCTTCCGACAAGTCAGATCCACGCACATCGTCTACCAACGACCGTGATGTCGAGATAACCATATGGGTTTTAGATGCTGTTCCATATGAAGGATCCTCAGCCATCCGCCCGTCGCGCAAGCTGGACGAGATCCTCGACTCTGGTGGCCTCATCTGGCTATCCGTGAACGAACTCACGAGATCAGACATGGAACTATGGGCCATGAAGAGTCACGAGAACGAGTGGCTGGCCCTGAGCAGAATCCCGGAGGGACTTGTCACTAACGTCATGCCTTTCGATGGCGCTTTTCTACACTCACAAAAGGGTTACGAGGTTGTCCGCAGCCGTCTGAGCGAGGAAATCTATCTTTGGAACTTCGAAATCAAGATGTGGGTTCATGACCCGGATCTTGCGGATTTCCGACCCTATCGTATAGCAAGGGATGGCGAAGAGTTCGACTCAGATTCCGACTAGGACTCAGATGCCGCTCCCGCTCCCGACGACGATGCTATGCCCACACCCAAGAGCATTTGAGTCAAGACCACCGTCTATTCCCTCTTGTCTGTATTGCACAGTTTGTCAATCTGGCCAAGAGATTACGACCATGAAGCCACGGTGCCACTTCATTGCATGCCTTACTGCAACAAAAGAACGATAACTAGAGAGGGTTTCAGAAGGTGTTAGCTGACGGCCTCCACCTCCTAGTTTTCTCAAAACTCTTCCTGCCTTTCCTTGAACATGATCTTTATATGGGTTTTTATTGCAATGTATGCGCGTTTTCATCCATCAGTCAAACTTAACTCTGCAAGTCCTTCGTACATCGCCGATGATAAAGATTGTGCGTCTGGGCTTGCTTTTTTTTTTCTCTGACGGGCCCTGCTCTGACATTCTGAAGGTACTCTTCAGACACAAAATTGGCATTGGGAGTACACCGGAGTGGATTACATATGGTTCACTGCTGCCTAGCGTTTCTTTGTATTGCGTCGTTGCTTCATGGAACGAACCTTATCTAAACATTACAAAAAAATCGATGCTTTTCGCGTGTAATTATTGAAGGCTCCAACTCTCTTCGTGCAATGAATTAATGTAAAGTCCAGAATGTGCGCAGCCAAGAGCACATTGTGATATAGGGGAACAGTTATGAAGTTAGATCAACGGGCGTAGGGCGATAGGCTTCGCATGCAGCAAGATTGGCGGCACGCGACCCCGCCAAAAGCCGCCCGGAGCTCCATGGACCCTGCATGTGCGGCTGTGCAAGTGGCGATGACCTGACGAACGACGACTCTCCTCAGCTCTCGAGCCTTCTCTCGTTACACGCCTCTTTCAAGGACAAAAGCTCCTGAATCTCCTTCTATCATTCTTTCCCGCTACAATTCCAAAGCCGCTCTTCGAATAGCAGACTGAACCCGCTGCTACAAAAGTCCGCAGCGATGCCTGCGCCACTGGCCAAAGGTGAGTACGGATAACTCCACTTATGCATGTGTCGCTGTAGTGCTCCCAGCTACTTCACTATCCTTCCTCTCCCCTGTCGCGTGTCTTTCCATCTCTCTACTTCCTATGCCAACCTGCTTGCAGGCACCGGCTCGCGCTTTGCATCCCCGCAAGGCAACACTCAAACCCTACCGCACCGTCCTAACCACCGCTTCACATCAGGCCTTATAATCGCCGCATCCGTTATTGTCGCCGCCGGTATCGCCATCTATGAATCTCCTCAAGTTAGACAATGGGCCGACCAGACCCGTCGCAAAATCGCTGTCGCGTTGCATAACCTAGGCGATGACATTCAGCCTCGCCGCCCGAGCGAATCGTCCGATGACTTCGACGCAAGGAAGAAAAGAAGGGAGGAGTTGGTCAGGAGGAACAGGAATGAACTGATCAGGCAGGCAAGAGAACAGGGTATCGCTGTTGATTTGGACGAACTGGCTAGGATTGGTGTTGAGACCGCCGAGGTAGCTGCAAGGAGGTCGAGGGCTGATCGTACGAGAAGCTTCGACGACATGGTTGGCAGTGATGGCATGCTCAGGGACAACGCGACGGCAACCGGTACGGAAAACTCAAATGGCAACCTCAAGAAGCGCGGTGCTGCTGGCTTTGCCGCCGGCTCTGCCGCCGCTGCTGCCATGGCGAACCCCTTCTCCGACGACCAAGTACTTTTCGACCATGATTACGACGAAGATGCACCCGCACCAAAGCCATTTACCTACGAAGAACCTGCCACTCGCGAAAGCTCTGCTACCATTCAGCCCGATGTCGTCTCAACACCTACCACTGGCACACTCGTCGACCTAACACCCGATCCCGAGACTTCCGTCCCCGAGAGCCCTTCACCCGCACAGCCCGTACAGACCACACAAGAGGATGCCGACCAAGCTGCTCAGTCTTTCTATTCTTTCACATCCTCTACCTCGCAAACAGGTGAACCTGCTCCATCTCACCCCTTCTTCGATGACGACGCTGAGCACCTCTCTACCGGAAATCTGACGCCTCGCTCCGAGCGCTCAATGACCATGAGTGCTGCCTCTGTCGCCGACAGTCAAGCCAACGATGTCGCTATCCTTAGTATGCCGAATAGCGAACAGAACGACACAGACCACGATGCCCGTTCAGAAAGTGGGTTCACAGATGCCTTCTCTGAGGGCGGCTTCAGCGAGTTCGACAACGATAGGCAGGGTATCATGACGCCTACTTCATGGACAGATGTTGGCAGTGACGATGATAGCGAGTGGGGTGGTGCCGGACAGGCTGGCCACGTGAGCCAGATACATCAGTAGATGTGTTGTAAGACAGGAGTTTCACTTGCTTCAAAATGATAATATAGGGGAATTGTGCGGCGTTCATGGACAAAGATGGGGTTGGCAAATCTCGGCGTTTATTGGATGGAAGCAAGGACTAAGGAACCTCAGATAGCAATCATTGTTATCTTCATCATACATTGTCTTGTGCGCTTTCCAGGACACTACGCAGTGACTACAGACTCTTGCTGACGCATCATCATGTGTCGGCATGTCACGCGCAGCGAACGAATGGTGACTAGACAACTAGTAAGTGAGACCGTGGTGCTAACACATCGGCAACAGAAATATGACCTGTGCGAACTCCGACTCTGCTTGCATCTCAGCACAAAGGCACATCTGCTCTTCTCAAAATGCGCATTCCCACACCCAAGCTCCCAGCTCTATTCACTCGACCACCATCTATCGAAGGCACTGGAGGAGATAGCCACGATGATGGACTCACATCACGTCGGGCACTATTCACAGACGCTGTATACGAGACTGATCTGCTAGAGGGCTTAGCTACCGAGATCAGCGATCCTTGGAGTAATGGCATAACTTCACTTCTTAGCGGGACTCGTCCTGATCAAGATGTTGATTACATACTGCTAGCAGACGCCGACATCAAGTTCCCTCCCTCCGACTACGGTACTCTTACATCACCAGCGAATACAGCGGAAATATGGACATGCTATTCTGAAGACGTTTCACGTGCATACGTCTACCTCAACCATCTCATCTCCCCTGTTCACCCAAAACTAGCCTCAACCGCCGCTGCCTCTAAAACTGCTCATACTGTAAATGATCTGACAAATTCAGCGATCCAAACCATACTTCGACAACTCGACAACACCACAATGAATGCAGCTCAACTAACGCGGAAGAACACGATTCTACGCGCAACAATAGCGCGTTACGAGCAGGAGAACGAAGAGTTGGAAGATATGCACCGCATGCTGACCAACACATATAATGCAGAACGACGGCTCTGTTGGTGTGTAGGGAATGATGAGGGTGCCTACAGCGAAAGCGTGATCCAGAGGTACGGTGAGGGCAGATTCGTGAAAGGTGGACTCCATAGCTGGGAGATGGTGGGAGATGGAGATGACTGGGTGGATGAGGCTGCTGATTTGAGAGCTTAAACGGGTGACTAGAGGGGTGTGATTACGATATCTCTGGTTTCAATGGAACTTTTGGTATGGTATTGTTAAATTGCTAGATTTGTGAGTGGCTCGTTGTCGTCTTTTCTGGGTCATTGTAGTATTACTGGGTGCTTGCCTTTCCCGGTGGGCATGGGGTAAGCAAAAACATTTGATAGGACGGCCACGGCCAAATTAATGGACCTGAACTAGAAAAGATGCAAGTGAGTAGCTGCAGTACGGGTTACTGCCTGGGCTTTTGCAGTCATCAAGTACTGTTGAACTTTGGCCTCTTTTTCTCGCTCTTTCTCTTTCCTCACTCTCCTGGAATAGTCTCTCTCGGGCGAGTCTTTCATCATGGTGACTACCAACACCCCCCAGCCCATCGATACTGCACCAAAATATAACTGGTCTGCTGCAAAAGTCTATTTCATGCATCGGCGCAAACTGGATCGCACTTATTGAGGAAAGCCCAACTGTTACAGAAGACCCGATCCCACCTTCTTCAAGATGCCGCTAAAATCATACAGCCATACATATCATGTCAACAGTGAAACCAACCTGCTTTGCCTGCCTGGGGAGTTAATCTTAGATATCTTAGACCTATTAGCACCACTCAACATACTCAGCTTTCGCACAGCGTCCAAGTACATCTGGAGTCTGGCTTCCACGAAGAGTGTCCAAACGCATATACAAAAACACTTATTCTCTTTTGGCGATTTGGACGAGCACGCATGGCGACTGCGCAAAGACTGCTTTAATCGACTCGCTGAGTACGAGCATGCTGACAACGCTTTGAACTGGTTCTCTCCATGCGAAAAGTTGCTCTGCAGTTACTGCGTGGATCTCCATCCGCTCCCCGCCTTTGCTGCAGTTGTCAAACCAGATGGCGCTAGGAGCGCACACCGAAGACAATGTTCAGCATCCAAAGCCAAGGTCTATGTCTGTCCGCACAAACAACTCGCCTTCGACGATCTCTTAAGGCTACATAAAGACCCCGGCACGACTTTTATGTGCTCACCTTGCATCCCAAGCTTCAACGAATCAATCAGGTTGCCCCATGCGAAGATTGCTTCACATTAAAGCAAACGACCAATCTGTTGCTAGACTCCTTGGACGGGCTCTGGCGGAAAATATGGTGCCCCACGCTCACCAGCGGCAAGATCATGGCCACTCTTGCCCTAATTCGCGGAGGATTGGATGGTATGTACTCAGGCCTCAGGACTCGATGCTCAGATGTATAATCCTTGTCTCCCAAAGCATCAGTCTACGGTATTGTAAACAGCGGAACCAGACTGACCTACAGCCCGAATTATGCGTCGCCAGACCGATCTAGTCGTTACATAGTAACACATCCCTTACGTGTCTTTTTCTTCTCCGTCTTTTCTACATCGGTTTTGTAATCCCATTTCTTCTTACCCAAATCTACACCCCTCACCTATACTTTCCTCACTTCCACGTGTCCGCCTTCCAACACCCTCTCGATCTGCTCAGCCAATCTATCAATACTCGCTATAGTCCCAGCACCAACGTGCTTAGCCTGCCCTGAGATACCTTGCATGACAGCATAATATCTGCCTTCCAAGGTTCGAGCGCCGAATCACCGCGAGCCTCAGCATTGTGGATCACAATTATACAGCAACGAAGCGCGCTTAGAAGATCAGGGTTCAGGCCTGTCAGGTCTCAATCGGTGTTTGCAGGGCCGGTAGGGTCTACGGTAGAGGAACTCGGGGATATTAGGATTACGTTAAAAGAGTAAGGGAGATAGACGTCTGATGTAGCAACGACGGTAGCGTCTTTTTCTATGGGAGTTGGAAGGTAGATATGTGCCCCCCTGACGAACTCATGCATGTTTCCAATTGTCACGTACCGCTGTCCATTCTACATTATTATATCACAGTACTGCCCTGACCATGTGACTTCGACATTGACTAGAAGCAACTGGGTGTGACAACAGTTTGTGTGATATACTGTTTGGCAAATTCATAGCTTACACTCTGCGTTCGTGAGACGGACAGCATTGACAGCAATCATCATGTCACATACAACAAAAACTCGTTGTCTCATGCACCACCACCTCTCTACGGCCCATCCCTCATCTACGGCATCGTCAACAGCGGCCACCAAAGTCACGTCTCGTCACGATATATCCCACGAAACTCACCGCCAGCGCGAATCCAGCACCAGTCTTGTCACCAATACAGATCTTTACCACACAACACGAATCACAGTTCAAGTCTACAATGCCGACAGACCCCCACGGCCAAGCCCACACTGGCACCTACGGTTTATTCGATGACCCCGACGAGCTCGCGCAGACCACCGCAATCGAAGAAGCCAACGAAATCCACCGCCTCGAAGGCCAAATTCGGCGTCAAGAACGCAGCGACCGACGTCTAGATCATAAAAGGGAAAAGGCAGCAAAACGAGCAGCTTCAGGGAAAGCACCAAAGTCGAAGACATCATCTTTATTCAGCAGGGTCTTTGGAGGAGGAGGAGGCAAAATTTCTGGAAGTATCCATGAATCTGCAAGACTTTTGAGAAACGATTACGAGGATGAGGAGGTGGAGAAGAAAGCCAGAAAGTCCGAGTACCAGATTATGAGGAGACCAGTGACACCAGAAATGGTTTATCATGCTGAGGATGTTGATACATCGGTGAATAGTCCGTGGCTAAGCGAGTGTGGTATGGTTAAAGTTAAGAGCGATGACATTGGTGGTTTCCATATTGTGTCGAAAAAGGATATCAAGAAGAGCGAGTAAGAGCGAGGTTTGTCGAGTCGAGAAGCGTTGCGCCAATTACCATGACAGGCAGCATTTCCAGACTTATCTCTTTGGTTTCTACAGTTCCTCCGTCTCTGGTTGTCCATCTGGGTATAGTTCCACTTCTGCCATCGGAAGCAGCTTATCGACAGCTCTTCTGAGCGCCCTATGCGTGGCAGGGACGCGAAGTTGTCCATTGGTCACTGCCTGCCTGCCATCCTTGAAGGACACAAACGTCTGTCTGCCTTCCCAATTGCAGTACTCCAGTGCCTGTTCCGTTATGCCATTCGCATTGGCTCGAGCGAATTCAAGCAACCCAGTTATGGTGTGATGGTCTCCCAAGTAGTTGAACTGTTCGAACGTTCCCTTCCACGCATTACTCTCGTCACTATGAAACTCACCATGATGTACATAAATTCGGCAAGAACGGTGTTGAGCTCAGCTTCTGTAGAGACCAGGTGGGGTCGGTCGACTATCTTGCTGTCTCTGTAATCCCTGAGTTTCACGTTCTGTCGTATTTCTGCATCCTAGGCCGCAAACGGAATGATGTAGGTGGTGATAAATAGGGTTCCGTGTGGACGATTGCTGTCGCCAAAGACGCATGCTTCGGCCAGATTGAAAGCTCATCGAACCCTCCCTACGCCTGTTATCTTATCCTCCACCATCTTCATCAAGGTATCCTTGTCCTTGACTGCCTTTACCCTCTCCCCCTCCAGATCTTCCAATTGCCTCTCCAGTTCTTTCATCCTCTCTACTTGCTCCTTCTCGCTCCAGTTTAAGCCTGGTAGATGCGCGATCAATCTCTCAATCTGCTGCTCTTTCAATGTAATGTCCTGTGCTAGTTCCTTAAGATCTGCTTGGAACTGTTCTGGGGAGGGTCTGGGTGGGGGAGCGATTGTCTGCTGTGAGGGGTCTGTAGTGGGGTTTTGTTGGGCATTTTCGGCGGCGGTGCGAGCTTCTAGTTCGGCGAAGGTGTCGAGGCGTGGTTGGCCTGGGGGAACGCTTGGTGGAGCGTTTTCGCGAATTTGACGTAGAGCGGCCGACATCTGATTCAGGAGCTATCTTTGTTAACATGGGACTTATTCTGTTCATCGCATAGAGGCAGTACCATGTCCAGTTCATCTTGGATCTGGGTGAGGATGTCGCCCATGATAGCAGGCGGGTACTTGTTATATATGGAGCGTAGTGAAAGCTTTTAAACAACTACAAAATGATTGCCGAGATTGTAAACTTGGTGCGTCTAGATTCGGTGTTTGTGTTGAAAGAGAGCAGCGCGTTGGAGTCGTGGAATGCGACCGGCAGGCATAACGGTTGAGCTAGCCTAGCGCGTCACTGAACCCTCAAAATATACGCGAATCCTCTTTGTCTCTACTCCACCCTCACCCACGCCCGACACACGACGCCCGCTTTCACTCTTGGTCCGGCCCATTCGCTGTAAACATGTCACATCCTGAGCGCTCTTTCAGGATACCGTGATGCGACCTTCCCTCTGCCCATCATGGCCCACACAAACCTCCCGATCGCTTCTTGCATGGCTCCCCCGAACGACTCCGCATCGCGTCCCACGCCGAATCGCAACCACTTCTGCGCGAAATGCTGCACCGGTTGATCTACCCAACTTAATAGTCTCGCCCGGCTCGAAACACCACAACTCGCTTCCTTCTTTTCTCGAATATGCGAAACGTACCGGTTTAGCATTGACGTCGACTGTCGCTATCGGTACACTTTATGAGTACATGTCCGCACTGGTGCTCATGCGCCTGGGCTTCTCCCTCCTACGGATAGGTCGTAAGGACGATGCTGGCATAGATCTAATCGGCCACTGGGTACTGGCCCCTCTAAGGGAGCCTATGCCCATCATCATCCAGTGCAAGTCACGGAAAATCAACTGCAACCCAAGCCAGATTCGCGAACTCGAAGGATCTTTCCAAGGCATACCACCGGATTGGCGAAAGAAAGATGTTCTGGGCCTGCTGGTTACAACAAAGAAGGCTACGACAGGCGTCTTGAGGGCTCTGGGACAGAGTCGGTGGCCTATGGGTTTTGTGCTCGTCTCGCGGGAAGGATTGATCGAGCAATTCGTCTGGAACCGGGCGGCATCTGAGAGAGGATTAGAGGGAGTAGGGGTCACAGTGAGACATGTCCCGCGGGCTCTACTGGCCGAGCCTGAAAACGAGTTGGAAGGGGACACGGTCAAGACATCAAAGAAGAGTCGGTCCAAGTTCAAGAATACGGGGACGAGGAAAGACATCCAATTAACCTGGATGGGCTCGCCTATCTTCCCAGACAGAGACAGCCTCGACCAAGAAACGCTTAAACTCATCCGCCAGGTCACACCCAGCGAAGAAGAAATTCCTGCCGTTGTTGAGGTGGAGAAGCGCCCCCTAGGCCGTCCGAAAGGTTCCACAAAGAAAGCAAAGACCAAGAAGATTGCGCCTAGGCCTGTCGGTCGCCCCGTTAAAATATGGTCGGAAAGGCAGCCTGCCCCGCGCGGAGGTCAGATCCCACGTAATGTCAAGGAGCCGCGCGGAGGTCATATCACTGGAAGACCCCCAGGATCGAGGACCAAGCCCAAGCCTCCGCAGCCAATACCTCCGCCAATACCTCCACCGCCTCCACCTCCTCCACCACCGCCTCCCACGCCCACCGGAAAGAGGCGCGTCGGTCGTCCCAAGTCGAATAAGCCACCAATTATACGTCGTGCAAAAATCGGACGACCCCTTGGATCAAAGAATAAGCCCAAAGTACCTGTCGATACTGGATGAGACAGGGAAATTCCCGATTATCTTCGGAAAATGCTCTTCATCTACTTATCAATCATCCCTGGCGTTTAACATGCACCGCGCATGCATGAAAGCAACATCTGTTGCTGCCGAGGGTGCATTAGCCAGGCAGAGCAGAGCGAAGCAGTTGCTATTAGCACAATCACGAGGCAACTGAGGAAGATTACGAAACTCGGACGGCCATAAACATCATTATCATGGATGCGAGCAATGTTCATCATATTTGATTGAGGGGGAGAAGACGTTGATGGACATTGGAAAGAGTACTGGATCGTGCATTGAGTCAACACCTGATTGCGAAGACATGGTCGAGCAAAGACGATGACTTGAGTTTCTGACAACAATGTCGATGCAATGGAGGAAGCATAAGAATTGACAGATGCTATAATTGACTAGCAGAAGAAGGCACGCTCAAAGAAATGTGCGACCGTCGCCTCCATCCTATATTAACCGAAAAATAATGAGACAAGATCAAGCATCTCTATGTCCATCATGTTCTTCCAACTCCCGCCTCTTCCGTACATGCTCGCCATATATGCCCCAGAAACAAGCGAAAATGCCCAATATGCTCGAGGTAAGAGTAACGTAGTATGCCGTCCGGTAACACTTGAGTCCCAGCTCACATCCGCGTTGACCATCTGGTTCGACTACCGAGTTGGAGTCGTAAACGGCACCGTAGAAGAGGTTGTAGACGTTGCCGCTCACAACGGGTGCCAAAGTCATGAAACCCCAATTGACGGCAAAGCCATCGGATCCAAAAGCATCGACAACAAGCGCTGGGAAAACGCCAAACAAAACACCATATGCAAGTCCAGAGAGCCCAGATACAGCCCATAGATGATGGGGGTCCTCAACGCGAATGGCAGCAACTTGTGCCAAGGCAAAGATGGTGGCTGAAATGGCAGCACACCAAAATCGTGAGTGATGCAGTCTCTTGACGATGAGATCGGAACCAATGCCGGAAGACAAACGTCCCAGGAAGGAACAGAGTGAGATCATGGAGACATGCCATAATTGTCGGTGAGCGATGAAGTCGTTCTTAACTGAGTCGTCCCAGTGTTTCCAAAGGGCCTGGACATCGTGACCGATATTGCTATGCTGATCAGCGGTGGTCATGCAGAAGATTCAGAGGATACATACTTAATCGTCATCAAACCAACACCCGTCAGAAGACCCATGAGTACCCACAATTGCCAGAATTCTGACTTGTTCAAGAGTGCCAGCCCAGTGATATCTGTACATGAGTGAGTCGATTTCTTGCTTTTTGCGTCGTCGTCATCGTCGATGATGTCGCCTGGGCCAGATGATAGAAGTGATGAGGTTTCGGTCGAGGGACGGTCCTGTTCTTCTTCGGATGCTAGAAGTGGTTGGCAGGTGACAGGGGGAAGATGGGGATGGAAAAAGAAAGTACTACTTACTGGTTTCTTGTTGCGGGAGAGCTGATGATTTGTATTTGGTACCGTTGGACTTTGTCTTGTGGAGGACGTTAGAGTTGCGTCGCACACGTTCGCTGGTGGGTAGGACAGCATAGCCGGTGCCGGTTTTGTGGTCGACGACGATAAGGAAGGGTATTGATACTAAAACGACTAGTGATGTCGCAAGAGAAAGCATCATGAGCAGTCCAGAAGTATCGCCTGGAAATGCTACGCCAGCGATAAGTGTGTAGAAGAAGGCGCTCAATCCAAAAGCAGCCAGTGGGCAGGCGGTGGCCGATCCGCGATGAGTTGGCCAGTTGAGTGTCGCTATCACGATTAGCAGATCCTCTCGGAGAAACCGTTAAGATTGTTACCTGTCTTCAGAGCGGCCTGGAAAGCAGCACAGCTGCCTACGCCACTCAAAAAGGAACAAAAGGATATCAGCGCAACGCTCATGTAGCCCGGGCCTCCATCATATGCTGGCAACAGTCAGACATGGATCCAATTATCGAGCATAAGTTATCTTACCAAGCTTGATGGGATAGTAGCCCGCGAACAGCGCGAACATGCCGATGATGGCGGCAAGTCGTGGACTCTTCCTATCCGTTATGATTCCCATGGGTATGCCAGACGCATACATTCCCAAGTTGGCAGCCGTACCCTAGAATTGTAAGACGACGTTTGTGTTCGGGAAGTATGCAGGGAGACATACGACGACATTGCTCTGGGTTGCGGAGAGCTGAAGCTTATCGGCGAACTGCGGTGCCCATGCTGAGTAGGCATACTGAGGTTTGTTAGCATCCCGCTTCAGATGTATGACGGAGACGTACGTTTGTACCACAAGCAAGCGCGATTGCGGTCGCAGCAACAACAGAAATAATGCGCGTCTTCTTGTGCGTGGGAGGCTGTTCCTCGGCGACCATCTTGGTCAGTGTGAAGGAGGTGTTATTGCAATGTGTTGATCATCGAATGCGGGAGACGTCGAGTTGCGCAATCGCAGCGGACTTGAGCTGATATCGGCACTTGCTGAGCCGAAGATCAAATGCCGCAGGTAAAGATTTGCAAGATAAGAGGCACGAAATGAGGGACGTGAAGGAAGTCTATACTACTAAACAAGCAGAAAGTCAGGCGAGCCTCAAGACACCACACCGATGTCTGGAAAGTGAAGGGGTCAGTGGGAGTGAAGCATGGCTGTTGCAGCTGATCGGAGATAAGACGGCCAAGGCGCTGGACTTGGCGGAATGAGCCGCAACACAAGCGCGTGAACGTCACCGGCTTCATCCTCGTGCCTCTCCAGCTTCTCCACAACACCACTTAGGCGACTCACGGCATCTCAACCATGGGCGCATTGCTATCCGTACCCTTTCTGGCTATGCCCGCCATGGGCACGGTACGTTGACTTGCTTCGTCGCGATTGCGCGCCGCTAATATGGCTAGGTTTGGAGCGTCGCCGCCTCCTGCTGTGGCGCTGCGACATGCAGTGCCGTCATGGGCTCTTGCGGGGGAAAATGCGGTAACAGGTAGGACTGGAGACATTGGAGAGTGTGTATCAAGGTATACTGACTGTCGTGCAGCATCGCTACTCGTATCGCATACGCGCTCATCCTTCTCATCAACTCGATTGTCTCGTGGATCATGCTCACCGACTGGGCTATGAAGAAGCTTGCTCACCTCACTCTGGATTACGTCGACATTAAATGCCACGGTGAACAATGTTACGGATACGTCGCGGTACAGCGCATTAACTTCGCGCTCGGTTTCTTCCATGTCATTATGGCGCTCATGCTCATCGGAGTGCGGTCTTCCAAGGACGGTCGCGCGACCATACAGAACGGTTTCTGGCTTCCCAAGATAATGGGCTGGATCGGCATGATCGTCTTGACCTTTTTCATCCCCAACTCGTTCTTCATCGTCTGGGGCAACTACTTCGCCATGATTGGCGCGTGCCTGTTCCTTCTCATCGGACTCATTCTGCTTGTAGATCTCGCGCACAACTGGGCCGAATACTGCCAGGAGAAGATCGAAACCACCGAGTCGCGCGTCTGGACGGGCATGCTCGTGGGTAGTGCCATGTCCATGTACCTAACTTCATTTGCCATGACGATTGTCATGTACATTTTCTTCGCCAAGAGTGGATGCGGCATGAACCAGGCAGCTATTACCGTAAGTGCAGCTCTGCCTATTTGTCCAAGCTAGCTAACTTTGACAGATCAACCTCATCCTGCTTCTGATATCGTCTGTCGCTTCGATTCACCCCGCAGTACAGGACGTAAACCCCCGAGCAGGTCTCGCCCAATCCGCTATTGTAGCCGTGTACTGCACTTATCTCACCTTGTCCGCCGTGGGCATGGAACCTGACGACCATCAATGCAACCCTTTGATTCGCGCCCGCGGAACCCGTAAGGCGACCATCATCATCGGCGCGATTGTCACTTTTGTCACTGTTGCCTACACCACCACTCGCGCAGCAACGTACGGCCTCGCCCTTGGTGCCCAAGGCAACCCTCACGGAAACGGCTACGCTCAAGTTGGCACTGAAGACTACGAGCATGGTCTCGTCACACAACAACCCGAATCCCGTCGCGACATGCGCCAAGCTGCCCTTCGCGCCGCCGTGGAATCTGGCTCCCTCCCAGCTTCTGCCCTTGACGATTCAGATAGCGAGGACGAGGACGACGAGCCCTCTAGCAAGAAGAACCCGCGCGATGACGAGCGCAACGCAACACAGTACAACTACACTCTCTTCCACATCATCTTTTTCCTCAGCACAACATGGGTTGCCACTCTGCTTACCACCAACTTCGACGAGAAGGATGTATCTGGTAGCTTCGTCCCCGTTGGCCGAACATACTGGGCTAGTTGGGCGAAGATCATCAGCGCATGGGTGTGCTACGGTATTTACACATGGACATTAGTCGCTCCTCTCGTGTTGCCAGATCGGTTCGACTACTAGTCATTGTGCAGCCGAGCGGAGCTCCAAGTTCAGATTCATCGTGTTCTAAAGGCATCGCGCGGCAAACGAGTAGACACCGACGCCTATTCGTCTGCTTCTGCATAGCATGTGTTAGCATTGTATTATTAGCTAGTCTTGTGCACGGTTTCCTTGTGTTGAATAGCATTCCGCAGTTTACGTTTCGTACGTTTGCATTTACGAAATACTCTGTTGAGTTTCCAAACCCATGGATTACTACTGACATGATCATACAGTGATGCTACTGCAGACTAGCTAAATGTCTAGGTGTTGTTTATGCAACATCATCCTGAACAGTTCCCCATGAGCAACCACAACGCTACCCCTTACTCCGTATCACAAGCCCTAATCTTCCACGTCGGCTTCGCTAAATACCACCCACACGTCCTACCCACCCCACATCCCCCTCTCCCCCTATCTTTCATACTATTCACAACCCGCCACCTTGCCTGCATACGTATCTCCGGATGCCAAAGCTGTCATTTCCGACCGTGCTTCACACAACATTCACGTGACTTGTGCGCGTCGACCCGTAGTCGCCGGCTAACACGAGGGCTTTTGCCACCACTCTTTTGCGCCAGTGGGCGAATATTGTCCAGTTACGGTTGTGAACGTGGAAGACATGGGTTGGGAGGACGTCGGTGAGGAGGTTTTGGGCGATGGTGGGTTGGAAGGTTGATGGCATGACAGTTGGGGGAGAGAGAGAGGGGTAAGGGAGGGGATGTTGGAGACGAGGCTGATTGAGCAATGGGTGAATGAGGAGTTGTGGGTTGCTGGGTGGCAACCACTTCCTTTCGATGCCGTTTTTCCGCCAGTCGGGTAAACCCCAGACTTAAGCACAAAGTATGCCACTATCTCTAGAACTCCATTTTTGGCCCACATGAATTTGAAGTATGTCCTGCTATTCCAAAGATCGGGTTTTACGGGTATGAGATGCTCTCTGAGGAGTGTATCTTCGTATCTTAGACGGAAAGAGACCCTCCATCTGTCAGGTGGGAAGATCTGGGAGTACAAGGTAGATGCTTGAGTTTCCATGTCCTGGTATCTAGGTACTTCATCAGGTATGAGCTTGTGCCAGAGGTCTTGCCTGCTTTTAAAGCCGCTGGTACTGAGTTGAATGTGTCGAGCCATAGTGTAAAAGCAAGAGGTTGTGTGGTATTGATTAGGACTTGGAGAGTCGCATGCCAAACATTATGTGTGTACATGGTGCCTAGACATTGGCCATTCACAATCAGCGTGGAAACACCATTTGCCTATAGGCAATGCTCCGAAGATTCGAGATGGGTTACGTTTGCTGGGTTGTAGTGATCTTAGAACTGAGCCAGGTGCAGAGCATGATGATGGCCAAAAAAACGAAATCTCACCCAATATTCACCTCCGTGAAGAGGATCTTGCACCCGATTGGAACGAGATGTCGTTACTGTTGGTCGAGGCTGACAGATGTTGCGGTAGTTTGGGATTGCTTTGGTTTGTACGTACGATACTTGGCATGTACGCAGGGCTTTTTATGAGGATTGTGGTTAACTGTCTTGGGTTATGTCTGCAGCCGACAGGTGTATGCGACGGCCGTTTAGAGACAACTTCAAGCATGTGATCACCAAAACCACATCCGGCGTCACCAAGATCGCCCCACACTATGCGATGTATTGGGACCTCGTCGAGATCGAAAGATGCAAATACTTTCTTTAGCGCAGCGCATATATGGCTGTCAGGGAATCTGTCCCCAACAGCCTCTGATCATTCACGTATGGCTATACAGGTCGTGTAGGAACCTAAAGGAATGAACGTCATCATAAGCATTATGCGCTTTGCCCTCTTCGAGAAGCTATCCGTGCTAGAGATCTGTTCGTGGACTTCTTGTATCCCCCGCGGCAACTGGTTCCTGGTTCGTCCAGCAGTTCCACCGAATATTTCACGCTTATCCGGAGCTCGTCAATGCTGACATGTGAAGTTCCCTCGAGATACTTTTCTTGCATAGGGGTAGTACTCTATCATACGAGTCTTATACTGTATGCGGTACAAAAGGACAGTCTGATCCTTGGCATGGCTCGTAGATGTGTGAAGACAAGCATTCGACGGCGCAAACGGATCGACAAGCTGTCGACCGGAACTCAATCAAAAGTGTCCATGCTGGATCTGATTGATTCTCGTTCTTTTTAATTGTGACGGTGTGACAATCGAGGAATGTACGAACTATCGGTACGGTGGATTGAAGGTGAGCGCTGAGATATGTTTACAGGCAGTTGCTGCTGACGTTCAAGGCCGAATGGTTCACGGACTTGTGTACCGTCGGTACTAGACTGATCCGTGATGCCATACTTCCGCATTGCGGCTTGTCGATAAACTTGACACTCATGCCACACGCGATACGATTTCTGTTCCCAAGCGCGCGACCACTCGTCAATGAGTTCTTTTTCACAAGCTCGCAAAAACACTATCTCCCTTCTGTGATGGGTGAGCGTGTCCCGGACCTTTTCGGGTTGCTGTTGCCGGATCAGCCCCTCGATTCGTTCGAGGTGAAATTCGATCCGTTGCTTGACGCGTTCTTGGCGTACTTGACGACTTTTTCACGTTGCATCGTGTCTGACATGACCATGATGTGTTGATGTCGTCAGAGTGTTGGCCAGAGATGTCTCCTAGAGGCTGGAGCATCAGAACGCGTGGACGCGTCAGGGGTGATCGAGAGCCTTCTAGCGTCGGTGAAATATCCGAAGACACGAACGCATGTGCTTTTTCTACTTGCAAGTTTCCCAGTCCTTCTCACTCTCTTGCGTCTTTCCCCATCAGTGTTCGAGATCAATTACGTCCCGTAGAGCGCCGCGCATATTTTCGGGATGGCTGTGAAGTCAAAAGTTACATATCACCGTCCTGGAGGGTGGTCCGACATACACGGATGCCATTCCTACTTGTTATCCGACCACGTCTCTTGTATACCAATCTTTCGTCTTGAGGAGGTCTGTTGATTGACCATAGGCGAGTCTGCTATCGCGAAAGCAGCTGATTACGCGTGTGCTTACGGAGCAAATGGACTAGTACGACCCCGCAGTCAGCCTCCATCCACACTTCCAGAATAATCTCCATCAGGCGGTTGATAAGCAGTGGCGAAGCGCGTCGCTCTTTTAACATATAGGTACTTATACTCCAAACATCGAATATCCCGTTGTGTTCCGTTGCTGTATCTCTTACAATGCTTGACCACATCGGCATCACTGTTCCAGTATCGCGTTATGAAGAAGTCATCACTTGGTACCTGGCTGCACTTGCACCACTCGGCTACAGCAAACAGAAAGATTTCCATGGGCAAGGCGCCGGCCTGGGTCCAGATAGGTCGAATATCGTTTTCTATATCGGTGCTAAGGATGGTGCTGAAGTAGCTGCCACGCATATCGCGTTCCGGTGTACAGATCGAAAGACAGTTGACATGTTCCATGAAGAGGCGGTGAAAGCAGGTGGGAAAGACAATGGAAAGCCTGGTTGGAGACATCTGTACCACCCAAAGTACTACGCTGCCTTTGCGGTGGATCCTGTTGGGTAAGTGTCGTCGCCAGTTCGTTGTTTCTGGATCAGACTGATCCGTGCAGGAACAATGTAGAAGTCGTGGATCATGGTGTGCCACGATGAATGCGAACAATACTAAAGCGCGGATGCCTTAGCAGTATAACTGGACGTCGAGTAGCCTGGCTATAGATCATTGAACTCATTCAGAGCGTATTGTCGTATGCTCGTGCGCGACCTGAAGTGAAGCCGTTTCCATACCGCCTGCCCGTTTGACGGCTGCCAAGAGTTAGCTGTTGTTGACAGCTCTTTCCACCTAAGTCGAGCTTTTGCCTCCTCAACAACATCGCCATCGTTGCGTCGTTGGCATGATGCCCACATCAGACCGCCTGCAAGCCCTGCTTGATCGCGCTCGCGAGGCCAACAAAACCGAGCGTAATCGCATCTCGCTTGAGAGTTTCCTGGCGGGTCTTCACCAAGAAGACGAAGACCTCAATGAGGCGCAACTGAAGCAGATCCAGGCAAGTTGGCCTAGGCTGAGCCATCTGCCTTGCTAACTCTACAGCTTTCCATATACGAAGCCCTCTTGGGTCTTTTCAATGCCAGTAAGCATAACTCTACCTATTGCGAGCGCCCCACTAAACGTAACACAGCCACTCCGGTCTCACAGACCACCCAAACCTTCGCCGTAACAGCCTCACGTGCGATACAAACCGACGCGGCAACAATCTCCCTTTGGGATCTACTGCCTAAGGCTCGCAAAGAAGCCTATGATCGCGGCTTCAATGCTGGCAAAGGAGATGGGCACGTTCAAAGCATCAAGAAGGGCAACGGCGCTGGCTTGACTGAGGGTTTAGCGACTGGGTTTGAACAGGGGCGGCAGAAGGACTGAAGATGGGGCTGAAGCAAGGCATGGAAGTCGAATTGCAGCGCGGCATCAAGATGGGAAAAGAAGTCGGCTATACTGACGGCCTCGTCGAAGGCATAAGACAGGCGAAAGAAGAGATCAAGAAACTGGATGGAAAAGACAGCAGGAGGCACAAACCGGTGGGAGAAGTGACACGAGAGAAAATTGTTGTGAAGCTACCTCCAGCGCCAACAGAAAGCATCGCTAAGAAGAGGAAAGACAAGATGATGAAGCCCAAGAGTAACGGTGTCGACCCTTTCGCGTCGCTGTTGGGTCTGGTACTCAAGAAGTAGGAGCATAACAGGACGAGATGGAAGAGTTGGACAAAATAGGACGATACCCAATGGAGCCGGTCAAAGCATAGCCACTACTATATCTTCAAACACTTCTAAGCACATATACCGTTAACCATATGGCACATTGCAGACCATGAATACGTGGAACTCGATGACCCTGCAAATGTCACTGAGACCCTTCAGGCACCTTTGACGTAGGCGTGGGCTCACGTAAGCGACACCTGCCCGGCGCCTCAAGGCAACACTGACTCGCATTCATCAGCAACCGACATCAGGCCTTTCCTACTGTCACCATGTCTTCGTATGAGATTCCTGACTATTCTGCAGTAGTTTCAGCAACAGGTTTCTGAACGAGCGAGCAGGTCATCCAGGGCATCAGCTTCATCACTTGCACGGCTCTACATTCGACGTCAAATGCGCAAAATGTGCATTCAGAACCTCTGGCATAGCGGCTGATGACGCTATGCGCTCACTGTTACAGCAAGGTCCTCACGTACCGTTTCGAAGAGAGAATATACCTTGTTGTGCCGAGCCACACTGCAGCGGTTTTCTTCGTTTTGGTATTATTTGGTTCACAGAAAACATACTGCAACTCCTGCTTACTTCGATATACAAATAGTTTAACGGCTCAGAAACGATTGATACTATGTTGATCATCAGTACTAGTTGCAACAACACGATCGGATCCTCGCATCTGACTGGGAGATTGTCCGCGAGATATACTCACACGTCAAAGCCATCAATCAGCGTCTCGCTCGAGACCTACAATATTGCAACGACCCCACGTAACGAGCGATCATCAAATCACGAAGGAGAATTTTCCATACATATGCTGACATCGTTCAGCGGACATAGAATCTCTAAGAATGAGTACGCAATGATGAAGGAAAGGTTTCTCGACCAGAGCATCCATGGGATAAAGAATCAGCGGAGAAGTCAAAGTATGCAGAGGCTTTAGGGCTATGGATGGATAAGATCCCTACATCACCGATGAGAGGTGTGGTAAGGTTACAGGATATTCTGCTAAAGGCGCACGTGGAGACTGCCAAATTGTAGCTTTTGTATGTTTCTTTTACATGTTTTCTTCAAGTCACTCACTTCACAGGTAGGCTTTGTATGCGAACAGCTGAAAATAGCAAGAGAAAGCTTATTAGTCAATGAGAATACGGTGAATGACACCTTTCCGCCACCTCACTACCCCTAGTATTTCCACAATTATTTCCAAAAGGTACGACCATTGTACCAGCAAGTGTACACCGTCACCTTCCCAAATGTTGCGGAAGTTTTCAACCAAACTATCCACTCGTCACTCGACTGACTCACCTACTCAAAGCTCCCGCTCCTCGCAGGAAGCTTCACACTCCTCAGCCCAAACTCCTCACTCCTCGTACGTATCCACTCAAGCACTAGAACCATCGATTTACAATTCCAGAAGATCTGCCCAAACCCCACGCACCTCTGATCAACCACTTTACCTCACCACCAACGCATCACCACATACATCCGACCAAGCACCCTACTACACATTCCTCACGCACCGCTCATCCGCCCAAACTCGAAAATCCCAAACACCTACACCACGGTCCTCGGCCTCTGCGCCCCACAACACAACTAAACATCCCCTCAGTCTTCCACCGACCACCCCTCACGATCATATCGCTTGGGCCGAACACGATGACCTCCTCCACTCCCTCACCGTACGCGCCTCGGACCTCGAACAGCTAGCTATCGCCGCAGAAGCCCGATGGAAAGCCGCCGAAGCCTTACTATGCCCTTCGGAACATCATACCATCGGCCGTGCAGCTAATATTCCCACGTTACGAGATATTCACCTGTTGCTAGCGCGTATTAATCTGTTGGTGAGAGAAGAACGGAAGTGGAGGGACGAGTTCATGCCGAGGAGTCCCAAGGAGAAGTATCCGGCTTGGGGAAGTGTGTATTCGCAGGTCATGGGCGTTGGGGTGGGGGAAGGGCTGAGGCCTTGGAATGTAGCGAAAGAGTTAGATTTGAGGCTTGAGAAGCTATTGGAGAAGGTTAAAGAACTGTGAATGCGTGGATCGAACGGATCTGGGCTTCACGCAGAGTTGCTTTGGTACTGCGATAACGCTGAGAAGAGGAGACGCTACGACTTCCGCAATCCGAATGATACCGATGCGGAGAGGCTCTCTTGGATGAAGAACATGGCAAATTTATCGAACTCGCAGAATCTCTCCTTGACTTGTTTTGAAGCAGGACCAATGTCCGCCGCTAAACGTCAATGAAGCTTCAGTAACGTACTATCGCACACAATCACTGCTGTGGGAAGAAGATTGCAGTTTCAGCGCTGAACGTGCAAGGAATCAGGAATGACAACTACAATACTGACGCAAAATTTGCGTTTCCTTCTCTGCCCGTGATCCTTTTGGATCCTCGTAAGCTCGTGCAACACGCTTAACTCCTATTGGATTGGCGTCGGCTCATTGACTAAGCGGCACCTAGGTGTGCCAATCCGGAGTATTTAGATCTCGCAAGATTCGTGATGCATCCTCGACATGCTTGCCATCCTTCAAGAGCTGCACTTCAGTCTTTTCCCGCCGTGTCATCCGCTGCTAAGTCCGGTTCCAAACTCTTGAAAGTCTCCGTAAACACGTGGATTCGTGGAAAACCCTAAACCCGGGCCTCGTCGTCTGGGTCCATGAGCTATATACGGGACACTATGCGCATTCTGTGCATGCTCTAATGGAAGCATCTAGCGTTCTTCGGCGACTTGCCAACTTCGTCATAGTCGTGACTGCTGTTCAACGTCCATTGGGTCGCTGTCGGAAGGGATGCATGTCAGCGGGTTCAGGCCGTGCTGGGGGATGTGGAGGACGGTCATAAGACCTCAAAACGCGTCCGGCCCGCACCTTATATTGACTTGCACGTTGCTAAGTACCGGAATGCGGGGCTCCGCCATTTTTGACGATGACGCTAACGCCCGAATCCCGAGGCACATCAGCTCGCTTACGTCGCCACCGTCATTTCAACCCTGCGACCTCCTTCATTTCCCCTGAAGCTTCCCAACCTCTAGTTCACCCTAGAGCCAATACGTGAAAGCAACGCGACAAGTGTCTCGGCCAATACTATAGCCTAGATGGCAAAGTCGATGGTCCAACGTTTCGCAGCTTCCTGATCCGGGTCTTTGACCGTTTTCTGTACTCCGCCAAAATGTTTCAGACGTCCACGAGGTACACTTGACGCCTTCAACTCGGTCCGAGAGATCGCCAACGGTAAGATGATCATCCAGGTACATCCTTTTTCAGTGGATTCATGACGGTCCGACGCGACACCATCGTTCTTCGTCCACCCTCCGGTTTCTTAGTATCGTGGACCATCGCGGAGAGGCGCTGAAACCATCCACGACGTCCTGCAAGCGCAACTCGGAGTCAAGGGAACGTTGTGGGGTAAGCTGACGGATCGTGTATGGCCTTGTGATACCTGCTCGTGGCACGTCTATAAATCCAGCGGCCGGCCTCATCCAGAACCAAAACATCACAGCCTGACAACTTCAAGCATTCGCTCACGAAAGCATTGAGTTGGTCAAGATGTTGTTCTTCAACCTCATCACCGCCGTTCTCTTCTACTTCACCTCTCTTGTCGCAGCAGCCGACACGAGTGCTTGGAAGTCTCGCAGCATCTACTTCGTTCTCACCGACCGCATCGCTCGTAGCAGCAGCGATACTGGTGGCGGAGCATGCAGCAATCTCGGCAACTACTGCGGCGGAACTTTCAAAGGACTTGAGTCTAAGCTCGATTACATCAAGGGATTAGGATTTGATGCCATCTGGATCACCCCCGTCGTTTCAAGTATGTTGCTCACCGTCAATATGTATAATGAAGTCCCATACTGATAAATCGCACAGACAAGGCTGCTGGGTACCATGGCTACTGGGCTGAGGATCTGTACTCGATCAACTCTAACTACGGTTCTGCCGCCGACTTGAAGAGCTTGGTCAGCACCGCTCATGCAAAGGTACGACCGACCCAGACGACCCCAAACTATACATACACTGATTCGTTGCAGGGCATCTATGTCATGGTCGATGTTGTAGCCAACCACATGGGTCCAGGTGCCATCACCAACAACAAGCCTTCGCCACTGAACCAGGCCTCCTCATACCACTCCGCCTGCGACATCAACTACAGCAACCAAGGAAGTGTCGAGCAGTGCCAGATTGCCGGCCTTCCCGACCTCAACACTCAGTCCACCGAGATCCGCAACGTGCTCAACACTTGGGTTTCTTGGCTCGTCAAGGAATACAGCTTCGATGGCGTTCGGATCGATACCGTCAAGCACGTTGAGAAAGACTTCTGGCCTGGTTTCTCCGCTGCTACTGGCGTGTACAGCATCGGCGAGGTGTTCGATGGCAATCCAACTTACCTAGCCGAATATGCCAAGCTCATGCCTGGTCTTCTGAATTACGCAACCTACTATCCCATGAACAACTTCTACCAACAGACGGGCTCATCTCAGGCGCTTGTCGACATGATGAACACTGTCAGCAACACTTTCCCCGACCCATCAGCTCTTGGTACCTTCCTTGATAACCATGACAACAAGCGCTGGTTGAACGTAAAGAACGACCAGACTCTGCTCAAGAACGCTCTCGCTTACGTCATCCTTGCGCGAGGAATACCCATCCTCTACTACGGTACCGAACAAGGTTATGCAGGTGGTGACGACCCAGCTAACCGAGAGGACCTCTGGCGAAGCGGCTTCAACACTAACGCAAATCTCTACCAGGCCATCAAGAAGCTGACTGCTGCGAGGAAGTCTGCAGGAGGTCTTGCCGGTAACGACCACGTCCACTTGTATGTGGCGGCCAATGCCTACGCCTGGAGCCGTGCAGGCGGCAACCTCATTGTTCTCACCACAAACGCTGGAAGCACATCTAACCAGCAACATTGCTTCAACACCCAGAAGGCTAACGGCAAATGGAGCAATGTCTATGGAAACGGCGCTGCGGTGACCGCTGACG